CCTAACCCTAACCCTAACCCTAACCCTAACCCTAACCCTAACCCTAACCCTAATAACCCTAAAACCCTAACTGGAGTAAAAAGCTACGGGATAGAGCCGTTCTTAGTCGTCTAGCTGGCTAAGGTAGGCCCCGATAGCGTAGTCGAATGCATTAGTTTCTAGGTAGATAGGCTTGTCTAGATTAAAGAGGGCGAGGACTAATGCTTTCGTGAACGCTCTTTTAAGTAGTTCGAAGGCTTTCTGTTGTGTTTTTTACTAATTAAAGCGGGTATTCTTTCGGGTAAGGCGGGTTAGAGGTTTAGCTAGCTTGGCGTAGTTCTTAATGAATCGGCGGTAGAAGTTAGCGAAGCCTAAGAAGGATTAGACTTCTCGAAGGTTCTTAGGTACGGGCTAGCTGAGAATAGATTCTACTTTCTTAGAGTTTATTATAACCTCGCCGAGTCGGATGATAAATCCTAGAAACTCTACTTCTTAGACGTGGAACGCGCATTTTTCGGGTTTAACTTATAGCTTCCTCTTCTATAGCTTTCTAAGTACTTTTTCTACGTGTTTTTAGTGTTCTTCTAGGGTTTTAGAGTAGATAAGGATGTCGTCGAGGTAGGCCGTGTAGAAGACGTCTAGATATTCTTAGAGGGTGTCGTTAATTATGGCTTAGAAGGTGGCAGGGGCGTTAGTAAGTTCGAAGGACATGACTAAGTACTTAAATAGTCCGAATCGGCTTCGCTATACCGTTTTCCATTCTTCTCTCTTTTTAATTTAAATTAGGTAATAGCCGTCTCTAAGGTCCAGCTTAGTAAAGTATTTAGCCTTTTATAGTCGGTCGCGTAGTTCGTCGATACGGGGTAGAGGGTACCGGTCTTTAATGGTTATGTCGTTTAGAGCTCGGTAGTCTACGTATAGCCGTAATTTTCCGCCTGGTTTTAGTACGAATAGGATAGGGGAGGCCGCTAAGGACTAGAATAGTCGTATGTAGTCTTTTTTTAGATAGGTTTCGATATATTTCTTGAGTACCTAAAGTTCTTTCTTAGACATAGAGTATAAGGGCCCGAACTTGGGCGTGGTTTCTGATATTAGGGGTATCTCGTAATTCTATAGTTAGTATTCGGGTAGGGCGGCTTCGCTTGTTTTTTCTCTAAAGAGATTAAACTCGCGGTATCGTAGGAATACTTAGTCTAGAGGGTTCTCGATGTTGGTAGCGCTAATTTACCGAAGGTCGTATTTTATGCGTCCTCGGGAGTCTCGGGGTTTCTAGGGACTAATAGTTCGTTTTCTAGAGAGGCAAGCGATTCTATAGACTTACCGAACCTCTAGAGGTTATTAGGTCTCGATCTTAATTCTCTAGGGGGTGGCGCGCACCTAGAAGATTCTAGTAGGAGTACCGTTTTTAACTTCTTTTCTGAGGGCTTTCTTGGAGATCTTACTAATTCGTATTAGCTCGCTTTAGGTTACTTAGAGTTGTATTAACGCCGCTGTGATGCTAAACAGCTGCCGCGCCTCGTTCTTTTCTCTAGATTTAAACTTTACTTCTTCGGACTTCTAGTCGATATATAGTTTTTATTTTCGGAGCTAGGGACGTTCTAAAATGATGTTATACCCGGGGGTTTTTATAATGTCTAAGCATATTCTTTCTCGGTGTTTTCCTCTAGCCAGTACGAGTTCTTAGGTTTTTATGAGTATTAATCCTCCTCTATATGTGCTGGGTAAACCATCTACGGTAATAAGTTCGTAGGGGTGCTTCTTTTCTCGGAACTTAATGTTATGTTTTTTTACGAAGCGGGAGTTAATATAATTGCCTCTGTTAGCTAAGTCGATTAGAACGCGGGCTCGGCGTCTATTAGCGAGTATGTTAATAATAAGGTGCTCGATATACTCTACTAGGGGTTCGTTGTCATCCGTGGTGTATGTATAAGAGAGTTTTTCTTTAGTATTGCCGGTCGTTATTACGGTTATCTAAAGGGGCGCCGGGGGCTGCGCCTCTACCCGCCCCTAGATTGGAGGCTTTTTTAGTTTTTTGCCTTCGACTAGTATCTATAGGTCTTCTTTAGTTTACGGTGGCTTTCGTATTCGTCGTTGGTATAATCGGCCTAATGCTGCTTGTCGTAGGAGTCCTCTACTTCTGTTACTTATATGGCTGAGGTTTGGCGTATTATCTTATTACCGCCCTTGTATTAGCGGGTATAGTGTTCCTTCTTACCGCAGCGGAGGTATAGATCTTTCTTACGGCGTCGGTCTTTTTCTTCTTAAGATAGAGGCTCGTTGCGTCTAATGCTATCGAGGTCTATAGGTTCGCCGGGACTCGTTATATTTCTAGGTTAGCTAGAGTTGGCTGTAGGGCGGTTCGACCGGGTCGCTTTTCTACGACGGTCGTATAGTTAAGTATCGAGTTAGATAGCGATGCGGACCACCTTCTAGTATAAATTAGGTAGCTTAGTTCTAGCGAACTTATTCTTAATGTGGTCCTTTAGTCCCTCGTAATATAATATTTTAAGGACGTTGTCGGGCTATTGGAGTCGGAAGGTATAGAGTCTGAACTAGGTGGTGTAGGTTGCGGCGGAGCTAGTTTGTTTAAGGGTCTAGATTCTATAGACTGTATCTTAATATTGGTCCTTGTCTTCGAAGGTTTCTCGGAGTGTCTTAGTAAAGTTATCGAAGTTGTAGAATAGCTCTATAGTTTCCTCGTGTTGGTCTAGTTTGCTAAAGTCTTCTTAATAGGGTTTAAACTAACGGGCAGCGTTGCTACGGAGGTATAACCCGGCAAAGAAGATTTTTTAAGATTTATCTTGGAAGGCCGTTCCGAATAGATAGAAGTAGGTTTATAGTTGTCGTAGAAATTCGTCTAACTTCCTCCTAGTTTCGTTAAATATGTCTGATTCTTTAACCTTAAACTTTAGGTTCTACACCTATATTGAAGCGGGTGGTGTGAGAGTAGCTTCCGCGGCGGGAGGTTGCCCCCGTGGTCTTGTAGTGCGATTAACCGAGAAGGCCTGTCCTCTAATAAAGTAGTTTAGTAGGACTAAGAAGTAATCTTCGGAAGCGTCGGGGGATAGACGGGGTCTACTAACGTTACGGGTTAAGAAAGCGATTCTAGCGGCGTAGGCTTCTAATATAAGTATGCGGGTTTTCGTATCGGGTTCTCTAGAAATTACTAGGTAAATGTTGTGTAGTTGCTCTTCCGTGTTGGGGAGCGCGGCGCGGATTTTAGCCCAGGTCGTTATAGTTAGTTCGATGGGTTTTTTACTTACCTTTGGTGTCTGTAGGGTGGTGGTTAAAGTGTTACGCTGGAACTCGGAAAGGGGGTTTTAAGGTAGGAGCGTTGGGGAGGTACGCAACGTTAAGAGTTTACTACCGCTATCTAGAATGTTACTAAACACTAGGTATAGAGGATAGCAGCCGTAGTCAGACAGAAAAGATAATAAGAGGGGTGCAAGGTAATAATTAGAATTGACTACGAAGGTTCTATCTACTATAAATAAGTGTGCTCTATATACTATGATTGGCCGCTAGTTGGCCAGACTGTGGTATTGGTGTGGATAGTGGGGTGGCTAGTGGCTAAGGAAGATTAGCTTTGTGGGGTTAGGCTGTTAGCCACCTAAGTAGGTTAGGTGCGTCCGGTATTTCGGCATAGAATGATCCGGTCCGTCTATAAGTTCTGCTGCGCCGCTTGACCCGTATTCTAATTCCGTAACATTAGTACTACTACTAATAATTATAACGCTAAGACTATACCCTTATAAATATAACCGTCTATTATAATCTATCTTTATATAACGGTTAGAAATTATGGTTATAAGATAAATATTTTCTTATTTATATAGTATACTTATTTATAGTAGATAGAACCTCCGTAGTTAATTCTAATTATTGTTTTACACCCCTCTTATTATCTTTTCTATCTAACTACGGCTACTATTCTCTATATATAGTATCTAGTAATATTCTAGATAGCGGTAGTAAATATCTAACGCTATATATCTTCTTAACGCTTCTATCTTATTCTTTTTTCCGGGTTCTAGCGTAATAGTAATAATTAAAATTAACTACGAAGGTTCTATCTACTATAAATAAGTGCGCTATATATATAAGAAAATATTTATTTTATAACCGTAATTTCTAACCGTTATATAGAGGTAGGTTATAACGGGCGGTTATATTTATAAAGGTGTGGTCTTAGCGTTATAACCGTTAGTAGTAGTACTAAGTAATAAGCGTAATTATCGATTCTCGGCGCGGGGATTCGCTTAGCGCCGTATTTCTAACTTCTATTCTTCTATAGATATTTCGTAATACTTATCTTTTTCTATTTAAGTTTTAATATAATATTAACTCGTATTTTAATTTTATAATATATAGTTTATAAAGATATAATAAATTATTTATTATAATAATATATATATTTAATAAAAAATAATTCTATATCTATTTAAATATTTAGACTCTTATAAATAAAAGTCTAGTATTATACTTAATATACTTAAAAGCTTAACGTATTTAATAAATTAGACTATATAGAAAAATAGTTATATTTTTCTCTTATTACGTTATTAAAATCTTTATTCTTTTATTTTTAATAGTTCTAGTTTATCTTCTAATAAAATATTATACTAGCACGTCTTTAATATTACTATATTCCGTATACTAGGATTTGTTAACCGCAGCCTTGGCTACGGCATCGGCAAGCGTGTTCCAGCGTCTCGGCACCACCTAGAAGTAGACTTCGCAGCCGTAACGAGTCATCTCTTCAATCCGATCGCTTAGTGCCTTTTAGAGATCCTGGTTCTTGACCGGCTGGCCGCTCCTTGTCCTCCAGCCGCGCTCGGCCCACTTGCGTAGCCGTGCCGTTGCGTGGGTGCCCACGTACTCCGAGTCGGTGATGAGCACGACGCGCTCCCAGTCCTCGCCATACCAGAAGCGAAATCTTAGCGCTGTGATGACGGCTCGCAGCTCCGTGCGGTTACTGGTATGCGGGTGCTCGGTACCCTCCTGGCCCCTCTGCTCTAGCGTGCCCGATACCACTGCGGCGTTGCCGAGCTTAAAGATGAAAGCGAATCCACCGCGCGGGATTCGGCTGTCGATGGCCAGGGTACCGTTGTCGGAGTACGTGCCGTCAATGAAGATAGCCATAGTCTTGAGGTGACCGAACATCGGAAGGTAACGTGGACGGGGGTCGTGGCCATTGGGATCAGTAGTGGGAATGACGACAGGGAGAGGACTGCAGCGAATAGTGCAGAGAGTAGCTTGATGTCGAGCCACAACCTGAAGGCTGACCCCACGGTGGTGCCTCTGTGTGTTGATGAGAATGCGGAGGTCAAGAAGCAGCGGGTCGCCGCGTCGTTCGGATGTTCGGATGAGGACCGTGCTCAATCATGAGGACTAAGCTCCGGTCGTGTGTGGGGGGTACGCCGACAGTAACCCACAATCCAGGTATGATGGCGGCTAAGACTCAGGATTGTCTTTGCTACAACTGCCTAGAAACGGCTCAATGATTGTTGATCCCACCATGTCGCTCTTGCATGTGAGCGTAGGTTTCGGGTCCGGTATCGAAAATATCCAGGCAGAACCAGCAGATATGAACCTTGCACCCAAGACACTGCATGTGGTTGCATCCGTACGTCTTCTCGATGACCGTCTTGCACTTTGGACAACACTTGACGTTCTCCTGCTCCTGCTTCCAATTTTCGAACGCAATCTCGTTTTCGCTCCCCAGCTCCTTTGCCTCTGTACACGTGATGCCATCGTGAGCCACCACGTGGCACGCTGTACACACAGGGGTGATGCAGTTGTCGCAGAGAAAGATGCGACCATCGGTGCTTGAACGGTATATCCGGTCGCAGTCCGGCGTTGGACAGTACTGGAAGATTTCGGGCTGGGCGCGGACATGCGACATAAAGGAAACCTCGAGCAGATTCTCAAAGACCGATTCGGGAATTGTGTCTTGTATTTCTGTGAGTGTGAAGACGTGGTCGCATGTTGCCGAGGCGCCTATGCAGCGAAGGGGTAAACCGGCTCCATCTGCGGCTGAAGAACATTGGCCCGCCATACAGTCTCTGCAATAAGTGTGACCGCATGCGCCGCTAACAGGATCCTCGGGTTCCATCCAACAGACAGGGCAGACTTCGTCAGTGCCTTTCATAGTGGCGATCCTTGTCCGCCGCTCCAAATCAATGTTGTGTGTACCCAGAAAGATGGTGTGTGCGCGTTGGAAATCTTGGCACGAGCCCTGGAATGTGATCATTTTGGGCGAGCTGGTAATATTGAGCTTGACGACTTCCTTGCCGAAAACTGCAACGAGCCGTCTGAACCCACCCTGCAGAGCTATTCGCATCATATCGGGAGTAAGCAAAATAGTGTGCACGAAATTTAATAGCTCTTCCACCTTTTCTAGAAGGGAGTCCGTGGTCTGTGCGATCGCCTTGATAGGCCCGTAGACTCGCAAGGTCCTTCTTTTCAGATCTCGGTATATGAACACACCATGCGTGTCCATCAGGTTTTGAAAATAAGCCGTTGCGTCAGGGCCGAAGAAGAATGGATCGCGTATAAGGCTGTCTCCAGTCCTGGCTATCGTGCCAGCCAAAAGCTTCTCCACGGAGCTTTTTGCTTGGGAAACCGCACGTCTATCCCCACCGAAGATCCTCAGAGCCGTGTGAATGCCGTGCGTTGGCTTGTTGTATACTTTGATGTGTACATACGTTGACTCCCAGACTCGTGCCTTAATCTCCTCTAGCTGTACCCTGACGGCGTTAAGGATTATACTGAGGATTGAGAGTTTGATAGAGGTGACTGTGTTGACGAAAAGCTTGGTATCTCCTAGCGCACTAGTTTTCTTTCCATTGAGTCCTGCTGATGCACGTCGAGCGTCTTCCGGATTGGCGAATCTGGCTATGGCTTTTGAACGGGTTCCTGGAGCCTCTGCAGATACGTCCCAGTCGGTCAATTGGCCGAAAGCTTCGAGGGAATCCTTGACCTGCAACGACGCTTCTTGTGGGGTTGCCATGTAGGATTTCGGGCCCATTTTTATGTTTCCAGGCTCGCGGCCCCTTAGAAACCTGCGCAGATCTTCTTGGGTTGTCTCCACATCAAGGTTCCCAACCTGAACTGAGTGGATGACAGGTTGAGAACTCCAGTACGCATGAATGGGCGGAGGTTGGTACTTTGTCTGCAGCTTCCGCCCTCGCAGCTTTCTTAGCCCATTGAGGAACTCAACCGCTTTTACAGCGGCCTTTTCGCTGCCAAAATGTAGCCAGACGATTCTTGAGGGGTTGTACCAGCTGCACAAAACAGAGTTCAGCTGCAGCCTCTTCGCGGATGGTTCGGAGCCCGCATCGGAGTCCAACCGCTGGATGTGGGCTGCGGTCGCCGTTTTCCCTTGGATTTCCAGATTCGTGCCAGCACGTTGGATGAATTGTTGCGCGAATGTTGGATCTTTTACCTTGACCTCAGCGATTTGGTCCATACTGTTGAGGGATGGCTTCAATCGCACGTAGGATTCATCCACGCCGTGGAAGCCCAGGTCGGTGACGAATGCAATGATTTGGCCAATATTGGTAGTGGGAGCTAACCCTGAAAGTTGGATCGTAGAGTAATCTGAAGGCAGCGCCACTGACTTCACGGCGGCTCCGTCCTGGAACAACACGGTAGCTCCACCAAGATTCCTGAATGGTTCCTTCCCAGGCTCTACGATAGAGGATGAGCGCACGTGAGAAACATGTGCCCCGAATCGTCCGTCGGACCTGCTTCCATGCGGTGTGAGAACATTTCCCTGAGAAGAATCCAGGCTCACGTCGCTAGTGAGCGTGGTCGGGGCCATGTCTTCATGGCTGAACCCACATGAGGCTCCTTTCAAGCATATACCCCGGAGCCAGAAAGTGCAGGGCGTTGGGTTCTTCATGCCTTCAACAATACCTGCAGAATCCCGACGATCTTCCTGACGCTGAGGCTGTTGTCCATCGTGCCTGAATCTGCACGAAAACCCGTTCCTGCATCTCCCCTGCATGAAGAAACGACATATAGTAGTGTCGGGCTGCATTGGCTCCTCAACTGCTGCGTGCTGTCCTTGGGCCTGACGCGACTGCGGCTTGAAGGATCGTGCGCCCGGTCGAAAGCCAGTGAAGGGAAGGCGGGCGTGCTCGAAGTAACAAGTATCTCCCCGGTGACAGCGGCCCTGCTCGAAAAATCGGCAAACGACCATTATTCGTGTCTAGGACGGAATTCGGCTGGTGTGAGAGGGCTTGCCGTTGTACGGAGCCTGGAGAGTTCAACATTCGATGATTTGCGCAACCCCGCTCGAGTCTATTTATAGCTTCCTGTGACGGTTTAGACCCGTTAAGTGCCTTGGATAATCCTGCGGCGAAGCGCATGCGAGAAGGAAGCGAAGCGGTTGCTCCTCGCAACCGCTGGTCTATGCGTAGCGACGGGTGTTTATTAGCGACCCTTTGCTCCTCTTAACTTTTCTTTCTTTTCTCCTCAGCTTAGTCTTCTTGTAGAAGTATGCCAATGCATTTCTGCGAGTGCACCGGATGCAAGCCCTCACACTCGGGGCACTGGAAATTGCCGCCTGGAAATTTTGATCCCAAATATGATCCGTAGTTTTTACATGGTAGCTTCCACATCGTAAGCTCTGAGCAAATTCTCCCCCCACGCGAACATCATCTCCAGAGACTGCCGGCTGAGGTCGAAGATTGGACCTTGCGGTAGAGCCGTCCAGTCGAGGGCTTGCCAGGGGCCAGATGCCTCGTCCGCCATCGTCCGGGCGTTGCTGAGGCCGCGCTTCTCTGGGGGTGCGTCCGTCGCAGGCTGAGCGGAAGCCAGGCCCGGCTCTTAGTTGCATTTGCGCGGCCCCAATCCAGCCGTGTCCGGCCACCTTGCGGCGAGCTTGTGCTATTCGGTCCTGAGTAGAATAACCACCCCTTGTCGCGCTGCGATTAATATTGGCACATGTCGAGCAAACCCTGGTAGCCATTTACGTTTCAATCGAGCTTCTAGGCTTATAAGTATTGAAATATTATTGAGGACAGTTAAATGAGTGGATTCTTAGTAAGGAAGAGGGAGGAGTAGAAAAGGCCTCCCTCTTATCCTCCGGCTAAGCTAGAGCTGCGTTCCGAAAGCTAATTACACGTGATTCCACCATCAACCTCTTCGGATTAGGCTTAGGCTGGTGTAGTAAGAATCAATCGGAAATAATTAAGGCTGCGGCTGGTACTCTCGAGGCAATACTCAAAGTCACCATCACCACCGCTCGAAAATTGATGGTTGATCATCGACTCGATAGTAATTCCAGTGTCTTCCGCGCCCTCAATAGGCGTGGAGAACCATAGGTTGAAGTTACCATTTGTCGGCGATACACCGAAAGCATGAAAGTCGACCGTGAAGTAACGGTCATTCGTCCCCTCCTCGTTCCACCAGGCCCTCACATCCCAGACTCCAAATCCCTCCTGGATGTTCGGAATTTCCGTCCATGAGGCTTCGGACTCTTTGTTGGCAATGTTCAGATCGATCGCACCGGAACGTACGGACTCCGTGCGGGTTCCGGCAATACAGCCTTGGCGGGGCTGTAAGGCATGAGAGAGCGGCTGAATACCATGAGGAAGAGAGGCAGCCATGGTGAATGGCATTAGGGCCCCTAGAAAGGGGAGACTGTATGCAAGTAGCCTTATGCTAATTAGTAGAGATACGTGGGGACTAACTCGTTGAACTAAAGCTTACATCTTGGAGGGAATAATAGTAGGCCTAGTAGTAGCGTTGTCTAGGGGTCTTATAGGAAAGTTAGACGAAGATGAGTGGCTTTACGATTATAAGAGCTCGACGGCCTTTATATACTACTTTCTTCTACAATTTTTATAAGCGGAAACCCGGCCTCAGACAACCATCACCCGGTAAGTGGCGGAAATATACCCACGGGTGAGATCACCTTTTACATCCTTGGTATCATAGCGCAGAACTCAGTTCTAGAATCCAATTGGTGAAATTTGTATATCCTTTTCCCAACTGAACGCCGTAGTTGGAGGCCTTATTGTTTGAATACGCCCCGCAAGTAGACGGTAATAACCGGTATCTAGTTATTGGGCGATCACCGACTCAAACAGAGGCTCGCTTGGGTCGTAGTCGGTGGGGCGCCAAGGTTGAAAATATATTGAATCTAGCTAAAAGAGGATAGTTTAGGACTAGCTAAAACTCGAGCTGCTCACTCTATATGAGCGGGGCCGTGGCTATTTTCATCGAGTATTCGAGTACCTAAAGTACCTGGCTACAACCCTCTGAATAAGAATGATTGAAATATAAAGTCGTTATAAATCACACCGCCACTTACTACGTAAGGCGTAGACCCGGGCTGCGCCATAATTCGGGCCGAGATAGCCAGCCTGAACGCTCAGACCTAATAGAAGCGACACGGGTTCCGCGATCTTCGCCGGATGATTCGGTAAGTACGAGTCGCTCAGTAGCAGTTCGTAACATGGTCCACTGCCTTCCGAGAGCATTCCGGTCAGACGATGGTAACATCTAAAAGCTCTTGGCAGTTCGAGATATCCATCCGAAGTTATCTGCATGACGCTGAAGGTTCCAAGAGAATCTCTAAAAGTTCTGACCCGTCTCGAGCAAGAAGAACTAGAAACTTCCGGCCCATTGCATTTCAGAGTCCTCAACACTTGAGCCAATGCTTATGCTAGTCGTCCTTGGCAAAACATTATCTCCGCAATTCGCCTAGACTTCGGAAAAACCTACGTTTCTGGCTCAGTGAAGGACAGTACCTTTTCTCTCGATGTGGACGAGGACCAGCGTAGGTGGTTAGGTGACTCGTATTTGATCGTGTCCATTTACGTCATTCGACATCATTTCACCGCTATTAAATGGCTCGCCGATTTCGTGCCGATCCGGGAGGCTAATCATCAAATCCGGGGTTTTCTAATGGCTTATGCGCGAGACACCCTTCGATAAGCGGTCGTACCCGGATCTGTAGCAATGAATATATTTAGTAATTTAGTGCGCCGCCCCGCTCTTAAGCAGTTTGAGAGGTTCTTATTTGCTTACACATAAGACCCTGGTTAACATAGACGCTTGAAGATAGACGTGCAACCCTGCATTAATCCTACTCCGGTCATAACCGAATGATCCCGTTTCTAGATGTTACGGTACAGCCTCCACCGGGATAGAAATGTTAGAATAAGGGAAGAAGTGGGGTGCACTCGTACGGCGTGAAAAGGACCCACGTGGGTTACGTGGCCTACGTGACGCCAAGAAGGTGCTCTGTCTACTCTCACCCTCAGTGGCCCGAGCCACTACAGAGCACCTAGATCAAACCATCTACTCCCTCTACTCTATGGCGAACACCTACCAAGAACAACAGAGCATACAGAGCAGTATATCAAATTATTAACTCTTCTACGTGTATATAAACCACACTTCTTAGATAGCTTTAACCTTCGTGGTCAACTTTAACAATAGAATTTAGACTCTATTAGTAATAAGGCCTTCGCACACACGGTACTCAGTCGCGTCTTACTTACTACGTTTTTAATCTCCTTCTTGTACCCACTCAAGAAAAACCCTTCGACAGGTTTCCACCCTCTTTAGTGTTTGGATCCTTAGGGGCAGAGGCCCGCCGTTACATAGGTATTAAAATTTTAAAATTTGGAGCTTGGCCATCGTTACGGACGCCTTTTAACACCCGTATTGCAAATATAAGAGGCACTTTACTTAAGCAAATTAGAAAAGCAATGCCACGTATCGCCTTTTCTTAATTTATTTCAGGGTAATGTCATAAGATCACTACATTTAATCTACTAGTATAAAAAGAGATTGCACACAAGAATGTCTTGACTACATCCAGCTGTTGCAGAACAAACCTATCCTCGACGCTTTTTCTTTTGAGGCACTTTTAGCTCTGACTGGGCCGCTATTCAATCGATACACCATTTGCTTTTGTGACCCCAACATCTTCCTCCCTGGAGGCGGGGGCCTGATGCCTGTTGCTCTGGCCGTCCGCAGGACCAACTCCGACGACGCAGAGCTGCTCGAGATGCTACTGGACGCCGGTGCAAGCATCCCAGGGACCGCAGCGCTGCACATGGCCTCGTTTATGGGGCATTTGCCCAAGATGCGCACGCTCATTGTTCGTGGCGCCGATATCAACGAAGTCTTGACCGACCGGGTTCGCACGCATCTCAAATTCTTTGGATTCTCGACTCCTCTCCACTGGGCTGTTCGGGGAGGTCACGCAGACGCCGTTGAGCTGCTTCTGGCTGAGAACCCGGACATGGAGCTTAAAGATGACCACGGAATTAGCGCCAGGGATGCGCTGAATCAATGGAAGGTTGGATCGGCTTAGGAAGTCTGGTTAACCAGTACCGAAGCTGTTTTCATTAGGTAATAGCAGGTCAAATGTTACGCTTGGCGCACACGAAATTGTCAGTTCATGCTTCTAACAATGGGGGAGCTGAAATTTGGTGCAGAACGTACAAATATAGAATGTGCTAAATTCATGAAATTCTTCCCGTGTTGGAGGTTTGCAATCCCGCATGACGGTTTGGGTGGAAAAACCAGCTGTTCACTCTACATAAATGGCCTTATTCACTCAACACATGCTGCATCGACTCCATCTGCGCGTGCTCATCTTGTCACAACATGGCAGCTCCGTCCTCCTAGACACGCTTCGTTGTGCTCGCCACCATCCTTCTCAACTCTTTTCTCGGTGGTGCCTACGCCGCGCCCTTACAACAACTTCCAGGAGCGCTCCAGAAGCGAGTGCTGAATCCACCACTTCCCGGTATTGAGGAAGTCAAAAAACAAATTAGCAAGCCCGAGTGTGGCCAATGAACCATCTAGTCCAAGACCACATAATTGGCGGCAATGGACTAGGCTGACCCTCCTGGAAAGAAGATGATGGGCGACCTCGAGGTTCCTCCACGTGGCAAATCAGGAGTGAACAAGCGCAGGGCCTGTAGTAAATTAGCATTAAGCTGACATTTAACTATCTGTCTCTAGTATGTAAGCTTCGAGGGCGGAGTATTTGACGAGAAGTTGAAACGTCACTGCGATTGTGAGCCAACCTGGACCCATGCAGAAGAAAAAGAGGCTATCAGAATTGTTTCTAGAGCTTACTCCGAGCTCTAATCGAGCGAGGCAATTGTCGTGCTGAATATGAATTATCTCTGAGCCGGTAATAGCACCTGCGAATGCTGAGATGCTCTCGTGCACGCCGTGTGAGTCGACAGCTACGGTACTGCTGGTAACAACGCCGCGCTTTTTTGTGTTGGACCTAATGATGCTGCAGAATTCTACCTGTAGGGAAAGGTGTCAGCCTTGTAACTGATGAGGCTCCAGATCTCATTGCGACCGAGGAAGCTGCCATGGGTCTTCCACTTTTTAGTAGAGGCGCGAACAAGCAACAGCGCGATGTATAAAATGTACATACAAGGCTGGTAGAAAACCCGTTCTGTCGAATATGAAAAAGATAAATCGCGATTGATTGAATAGACTAACTCCTACAGCCAGCGTAGATGATAAACCTTCCCAAGCGACAAACAAATAGGAGCGAGCGGCATGGAATCCTCATGAGCAGATCCCATCAAAACAAGAAACCGAGGCAATGCTGTAAAACCCGTTCTCTCTCCCCGTCCACCTAGTTCTTGCACTTGCATCCAATATCCTTGCAGGTCTGCAGGGAGACTTCGTCCTCGTCGCACCAAAGAGTCTTTCCCTTCTTTCCAGAACAACCGCACCACCTCTTGCAGTCGTCGGCGATCTGGCCATCGCCACACTTCTGAACAGTGGCGCGGCTGACGAGGTCGTTGAGGTTTTCCTGGATGTGTTGGTTAGTGTTGCGTTGCACGCGGATAATAACTCGACGACTTACAGAGGGATCGGCAGCGACGGCGGCAAAAGCAGGCCAGGCGAGGGCCGCAGCGATGAGGGTGATCTGAGTGAACTTCATGGTTGTTGATGAAGAGGTTTGAAGTCGAGTTTTGAAGTCGAGTTTGGAGTTTGAGTTTTGAAAGTGTAGGGATGTGATGTCGAGCAGTGGAGAGTGAAGAATGCTGTTGTGGATGAGCAGTTACAAGCGCAGGAGTAGTGGACTTTATAGATTTTCGGCCTGATACTCTGCACTCTCTGTTTCCGTCGACGCAGAATACCAAAGAAATCCAACAGAGCAACTCGGGAGGCTCGGGAGCAGTGAATTCGGGTTGCACGGGGATCTGACAACAGGACGGATGCGATCTGCTGACACATGGCTGCTTTAGGCATTCCTCGGGGCCGAGAAACGATTCTCTCAAAACTCGGACCAACATTGCCAACGGCAGGTGCTCTACAACAGGAAAAAGGATCGCATGCGATCTGCACATCTCGCAAAACTGAAAGACAGTTTACGGTAATGTCTGCTCTTCGCCCCTGATGATTTTTCGCAACGGCAACCGAGGCTTAGACCAAAAACTGTTGTTGGGCCCCCACGTTTTCCGACTTCTTTTGTTTTCCAGCCCCCATCAACAAAAGCGAAGTTTACTCGGGTCTCCAATCCAACACCAACGTTTACCAGCTGCTCCACAGAAAATGGGGGCCTGTTTTAAAAAAGACATTCGCACTTACGGGTTGTCTCTTTGCAGCCATGTGGCAATACCTACGCGTGGATACATTCAGTTCCACACCTAGGAAAAGCAAATGTGATTTCAGAGAAGGATGCTACTGCCTTCAGCCATGACATCATTGCGAATCCTCGCATAGGGTTGGACGAGCATCTCGGGAATGTAGGGACTAACCCAAACGAGTCCAGCATCCTGCACACTTAACGGGTGGCGCACATCTCAACTCAATGAGCATGTTACATGCCAAGCGTACAAAGATAGTTGCAATTAAGTGATTACACTCTATGTATGCCGTTTGGACTTCCAAAAAATTGCGGAGGTAAACTTGCCGCAGGTCTTCAATGACGATTCTCCACAAGCAATCAATACTTAACACTACTGCGAAGTATTGGTAAGGGCGAAAGAACCGATGCTCAAATTTAGCAAAGCTTGCCAAAAGGCTTGTGTGTGGGGTTAACGCATGTGGCTGACGTGAGATGATCAACATATGCATGGTCATCCGCGATCCACAACAAAATCGGGCAAAAGGTCAGTGCGACATATGCAAGGTCATCGTTGTTTCACAACAAGTTATATGCATGGTCATCCTCGTTTCGCAACAGGATCCGCCTAAAAGAAAGTCAGGTCCTACACGATGTCGCGCAGAGAAAGCATACTCATGCCATCAACGTCCGGGACGCATACAAAATGCTACGAATCAACGTGACATTATGGGAAACGCACAGCTTGAGCACCCCAAGGCTGGAGGAACTGAAAGGGTTTGAGGACCAAGTGAACAAATTCAACATCTTTACGGACTCGTATGACGTAAACACTGACTGACCTCCATCCCAGAGTCTTTCATTAACCGATTGATCCGACGCAGACTGTATGCGTCTACCTGTCCAAAACAAGCATCTATTCGCCCTTCCTGCTGTAGCTGCTCAGAAAGCTGATGGTTCTTCCGTACAGCTGCCGCAACATTGTCCTACATGCCACTCTCTCATCGCCCGAGCCGCATGCCCCTGCGCGGTGGGGGAGTTGATCATCCGTGTAGCTCCTGGCTGTACGACATCGGCATCAGCCTGAGATATCTCACACTTGAACGGCCGTTGTCAACTGGTGGTTTCACAATGTTGATGCTGTGGAATGACGCTTGCCTTTTGTTGGTGTAGGTTCCTCGACGCCGGGCTGCAACGAATATTTTACCCTCCTCGATGGCATTACTTGCGCGACTGTTCTGGATTCGAAAGGCATAATTTTTGCACAACTCTATGCGTAGAGGTCATCTTTTGAAGATGATTGCTGGCACTTTCCAGCGCGCCGTTGCCCACTGCATGGCTGGTCCAGCCGCTTCGTCTTCGGGGACATCATCAACGCCAACTACCGGCGCAGGCGCCACAATCAGAAGTGCAGACGGTGCTGATAAGTTGAACAAGTACCACATATATGTGCATCAAGATATAGTCTCTAATCTACGCTACAGTGACAGCTTTCACGAGTTATAAGGCAACAATGAGTGGGGCTGGGTCATGGGTTCTGCTTCCGTGCCGGGTTCGGGGCGGCCCCCAACAATCTGAGCTACCCTACCTATTAACCTGTATCTTCTAATCTATGTCATAACGCCTGATAGCTGAGGTCCGAGAATGAGCGCTGATTTGCAAACTTCAAGACTATTGTAGGCATAGCGATGCAGACTGCGCAGACGTTGCTGCAAGGCTGGACGGTGCTGCATCAGATCTATCGAGCGCGTTTACCACAGCTGAGCCATCCCATCCGCCATTCCTGATTCGATGCGCATGACCAGAAGCCATTCAAGCCGACTTTTCCGTGTCCGGCAACCAGTGCGTTGGCACCGTTCTTTGGTTTCTGCTCGACTGCTGACGTGACACCAGAGTCTTCCTCACCGAAGCCAAGGTCTCCTGGCACGCACCACGTGGAGGTTTCAAGAAGATCGAGGACCGGATGGACTCCGCAGACCGGATGGATCAGGTGTGCTATTTAAGCCGAAGCCGGTTTAAGTTAGATTTGCCGAGACGGCGCTGTAGGCGGGCCGCTGGAACGACGGCCCGGCCCGAAAAGCTTGAGCTGAGGTGCCTGTGAGATGCTACAAGCTATCTTTAAGAGAAATCGAGGGTTGTTTCCAATTCTATGCCATTTAATATTTGCTGCTGCGATGTGGCTTCGTTCGCCGTCGTTAAGGAGTCCAAAAGCCATCCAAGCTGTGTTGCTCATAGAGATCTGCTGGGTTCAGCCGAACCTGACCGTTTTTGCTATTAGTAATTAAATTCAAATTCTACCATTCTTGGTTTTGGGGCGCCGTTGGGGTCCAGTATTGCCACCCTTGAACGGCCCCACAACCGCTAATAGTCCACACAGTAAGGTTTTGCAAGATTTATAGAGTTCGCATACTAAGTAGCTCATGCAATTTATCTTACAATTCTTTGGTGCCGCACTGATGCTTCTAGATATCTTACTAGAGGGAATGGCGAACAAAATCAAAGCGATCAGTAGCGTAGCAGACATTTGATCTCGGGAGCATGTCTGCACGTCAACTGCACGTTGCTGCTACTTCTGGGAAAATCTTAAGCAGCGTCGGTGGTGCCGTTTTCCGTACATTGCCGTGCGTGGGATTTCGCTCGCTGCCGTACCTGTCACTCCTCCATTTCCGGTCCCCGGCTTGGGTCAGCAGGTTCTGGCCTGATCCAACAGCTCCAGTAGTAATCTGATCTGGCCCAGTAATTGAGTGCCGATCCGCATCATCAATCACTCCCAAATATGGCGCCTGCTTTGACGCAAACTTTATCCTCACAGAGATCGGGGGAGACGAAGCGGGGTACGTCCGCAACCGCTGCGCCCATCAAATGGCGAAGGATGACCTCGATTAGGTTTTTGTATAGCTACATCAGGCGAGGAAGATGTAAAGCGGATTGGAAAGAGGTAGAAAAGGGTTGGAAATAGGATTCAAAGGTCTACATGCATACAAACTAGCTACACGGCCATGAGCATAAAGAGGACTCCGCGTTAACAAGATTGTGTGTAAGTCAGAGCAACAACGTAGTAATCGTCGGTCTCTTCGGTGCTACGTGTCAAAGGCCAGTCTCGGCCTCCAAAATCGGCAGCACCCGTCCACTTGTAATACTTTAGTAGACTAGGAGCCGGAGAAAGGCTTATACCATCTTCTCGATAGAAGCGCCAGCTCATTGCTCTAGCCTCAATTATTTCATCCAGCTGGTGCTTCATCCGCTCTAAAGTTTCGAACTCAATGATCAGTTCCCTTAGGGATGATGAGAACTTCACATCAGGCGGGCTGAGACCACTGCGCGAAGTGTCCAAAGTGGTTAAAGGATCGCTGAGGTACCAGCCGTACCATGACATATGCGGGATGGTAACAGTCATGCGGTTTGGACGGAACTGTGGTGGTGGTGAGGAAAACCAAAAACCGTTGAGTCGGGAGATAAAGAACTGAACGTGATTTAAAAGCGCGGTATTCCTGGCGGTAAACTCGGCAAATGGCCAATTGGGCCCAGGATAAGGGCCACCGTATTTCCAAATGGGTAGGGTAGAACTCGTTAGTGGAATGGCATTAGTTTCCCACCATGCGATGCGGCAGGTGGCGAGAAGGTCAGTGCAGACACGAAAGGCATGAGTGTAGCCAGGCCTATGGTAGACGCTGTTCTTCGGATACGGACGGGATAAGTCAAGATGCTGAGAGACGGCGAGAGTGAAGATCTCGTTACGAATCTCGGCCGGCAACTTGGACCACAATGGAGATTGTCGTTGAGGGTTGGAGTTGGCAGGGGTGATGGCTAACAACTGGCGTCGAACTTCACGGCGCCGTCTCTGGGCGTCGCGGCTGAAACGAGGTTAGCGGATGGCCGCAGAAGAGTGGTCGAGCTGGAAATTACCGAAGCGAGGACTGTTGCAGGAGACCGTGAGAGTCTTGCCCTGAAGCGAATGCATCATCAACGGGCATAGCTGGCGTGGCGAGTAAGAGCGAGTGTGGAGATGTGGCAATGCGTGATGACAGGTCGATGGCATTGGATGCACTAATGGCTGGCGTTGAGCACTGAAAGACTGGCCGTCAGGGAGGCGGTCATGTACCTTTTTCAGTGGACTAAGCTAGAAATGAAAGAGCTCTAGTATACCGTGCAAAAGAGGATGTTGATGATGATGGAGAAGTGTTGCGATCAGGCGACAGACGTTCCTGAAGAGTGACATGTCACGTCGGCCCGAGCCCCGCAAGCGAGCGAGCGGACCAATTTGGCCTCAGCGTCTCCAAAGTTCCAGCAGCCAGTGAGCCGAAACTAACCGTGAGCCCGATTACCCGAAAGCCTGTAGAAGAAGCATAATAAAATCAGACCACGACCGAAAATTCCAGTTCATCGACAATGAAGCACCGGTACACTCTCGACCTTAGGCGTAGAGATCAAGCAGGTGCTCCTAGACTCGGGGAAACCTCTCTTAGTAAACTAAATCAACTAGTGCATCGGCAGCGATGAGTGCGGTGGCTGGGACTGAGAAGTGGATAGTTTTAGTTGGGCAACGCCAAACTAAATGTAGTAATTGTCTCTACCTGCCGTGTACTAATATCTAGCGGGTCGCAACAGGCGACAGTTTCTTGCTGGCTTCCAGCGCGCGAAGTTTTTAGTTACTTCGGACAAGTAAGCCATCGAGCCGCCCTGTCGCCATCCAGTCTTCAACTCTCCGTCGGAAGGTGATAGAGCCTTCTCCCCAGCCAGACTTTTTCGCAGCTTCCATTTCTTCTTCTTCGGTCTGCTTTTTCACTTCCTGCAAGATACCTTCGCCTGTAGCAAACCCTGGAGTGCAGGCCGAATATGGGGAAAACCATCGTGCCCGCTTTGCAACACTCATCGTCCACTCGTCCTCAGCTTTCCTCGAGACCTCAACCGTAGCTGTGTCCATTCTCTCAGCTTGCTGAAGAGCTCCTTTTACCGTGTGCGAGATCAGACGTGAGGCTATCGTATAGAAGCTTGTCGCATTCTGCGACACGGAGCCACCAGTATTGGACGCAAAGAAGAGGTTTGGGAATCCGTTGGTCATCACGCCGTAGAAAGTTCCAAAGTCGCCAGCATCCCACTTGTCTTTGAGAGACCGTCCGCCCACACCAAGAAGAGGAGCGTTGAGCCCTGATGAGGGACAGCTGTCGAGTATCCCAACAGTGTATCCAGTGGCAAGTACTAGTACATCGAGTTCGTACTCAGCACCATTAGCCTGGACACCATTCGGGGTATAGGCTTCGACACCGTGACCATCTGTGTCAATGAGGCTGACGTTTGGCTCGTTGAAGAGGGCAAGGTAGGATTGGTGGAATGTTGGACGCTTGCAGTAGCTGGGATACCAAGCCTTGAGTTTCTCAGCTGTTAAAGGGTCCTTCACCTGGGCGTCGACGCGAGCGCGCATCGCTTCCGTCCATGGATGATCCAGCTCGAGGACTTCTTTCAGGTGCTGCTCTTCCTCCCCTTTGGAGATGAGTCGGCCGGCGTGACCTGTCATCACTCTCATCCCGGGTATCTCGGTCCAACTGTCTCGAACGATGTTTTCAGCATCCGGTTCTCCAGTGAACATTGCTTCCAGACTGGCCATCCGCTCGTCCTGCCAGCCCGGCTTATATGCCACTCGAGCCCAGTCCTCCGGAGTTTGTTCCTTCTGCAGATGCGGGCCCACGTAGGAGGGTGTCCGTTGGAAGACATAAGTGTGCTTTGCCCACCGCGCCACGTGAGGAACGACTTGGATCGCCGTCGCCCCCGTTCCGATGACGCCGACTCGCTTGCCCCGTAGGCCCTCCAGGTCCGGCTTCTCCGGAGAGCCTCCACTGTGAGACCAGTTCCAGCGTCCGGTGTGCATCAGCAACTTGTTCGGTGCCGAGCGGAAAACGTCGACTCCGTTCAGCTTGGGAACGTGAGGGGCTCTCATCATGCCGCCAGCTAAGACCAGGAACTGCGCGTAGACTTTCAGTTTTTCTGGCTCTCGTCCGGGACCGGGGTTGTGTCGCAAAGTCACAGCCCACCGCTTGGCCTCATCATCCCATTGCTGGTGTGTTACAGCAGTGCAGAATTGGCTGCGGACATTCGCCGTGTTGGCGATTCTCTCGAGGTGTTCCCGAATTTCATGGCCGTAGCAGCTGTAAATCATAAGCCCATTGTTAACGACCTACAATAGGCGAAAGCAACTCACTATCTGCGCGTGGGCATGTAGCCAGTTTCTTCCAAGAGCGGGACATAGCAGTAGGACTCGATGTCGCACGCCACACCCGGGTAACGGTTCCAGTACCACGTTCCACCGAAGCCTCCCGCTTTGTCGACGATGACGATATCGTTGCTGTTGATGCCGGCTTCGGTGACCAGTCGATATGCAGTCGTCACACCAAACATGCCTCCACCTACGATAAGAACTTTGATGTCGGAATTATCCTTGAGCGGTCGATCTTTGGCCGCCAGCGCATCGTAGTCGACGTACAGGTCGGCATCCATGGACAAGAGCGATGGGTCTCGAAAGTCGATGTACTGGGCGAGCTTGTCGGGGCGGAGGCGCTTGTCCCGCTCCTCTGCGTACTTTTGAAACAGGGCATTGGCTGAGCTCGTCATGGCTGCTTTGTATCAGGCTTTGAGATGGTTCTTGCGAATGGAAATTGATAGGAAGAATGGTGCGTCTTTGCTCTGTTAATCACAAAGGGTACCATCGCATCTACTTTAAATCTTCGTTGAGGAGCGGAAACCATGCCCTGTACCAGGAGGCGGTTTTGGCCGGATACTATCCAAGGCAAAACTCCCGACTCGACCGACCGAATTTGGCTTACAGTTGGTGGTTTACATATTGTGCTAAGACTCTATATCCTGGCGCCAAGTTACTCCACGAGCGGATTGCGAAATGGCCTTCTACGTTACCGTTTCAGACCAATTAGTGCAAGCGACCTATTATTGCAAGTTACACTTTGTCAGCTGTATCCGGCCCCTCTCATTTGCCTGCCAGCTTTACGTTTTTACTACGAAATCTCTGGCCTGTGCATTCTTGGCTCGTCCGAAATACGAATAGTATCTTGCCCAAGAAAGAACGGTCTCCGCGGAGTCCGTGCATGTCGTCGACGCCCGGTGCCCGCGGAGTCCGTGGAAGCCTTTTCAATCCGGTCACCGCGGATGTTACGGAAGGAATCTTTTACGAAGCTTCCAAGTGATTTAATACGTTGGTTACAGGAGCTGCAGCTGACCTATTTACCACCGCCGAGCCACATCAGTATGGAGCCTCTATTATTGCCGATGTCTGAGTTACGATATTCTGCATTACGGGCCACTGGGATGTTTCTCTTTGCGTGAAATATTGCGTTCTGCTTAAAAAGCAAGCGAAAGCGAGAACAAAGCAAGAATGGGGGATAGGATCCAGGCACCAACTAGAGCCTACCAATCTGACGTTCCAGGAAGATCCTAAGATGAAAGTATCCCTCCGCCAATCAAACCACCTGTTCATTCTCTTGCCCATAGAGTGCAGCATAACAGGGTCAATTTTCGGCACTGGGTGTGGCTTGTGGAAGATGATTTTCCCTCCGTGCACCGACGTTTCAGGCCCGTTGTTCTGGAACACGACGGCCGAGCCGCCATTGTTCCGCGCTGAGAACCCAGCATCGGACATGGCGAGAACAAACGTATCCCAGTCAACAAGTCTAGAGGCCTCCTGGCTAGACGCCGGGAACATGGCCATGAAAACATCAAAGGAACGCTTGTGGGCCATAGTGATTTGTGTTACGGGTTGTTCTGGAGTACTATTGTCAGTGGCAACATGGATTGCGTCGCGCTCGACGGTGGACTCTTGTGGCCTTGTTTTGACTTTCGTCTTCCGCTGCTGAATGTCAGGTTTTTTAAGTGCTGAAACAAATAATTCGGTCCCAAAGTACGCTTCACCACCTGCTGGTGCTGCCGAAACCTCAATTTCTCGGAGAATCCGCTCTTTCTCGGCCTGCAATGCCTTTAAGTGCTCGGGACTCTCGTGCCCCAGGAGGAACCCGAGAATTTTTTCCACATCGCCTTCCGGAAGATGCTGTGCTGCAACTTCCGCCCGAAGGGCTGTTGCAACAGATCTCCAGAAGTCTTAAAGAGTCCGATTGGTCGCTTCAAAGTGCTTGAGAGAAGCCGTATCTCTGCGTCTACTGGGTGGACCTACATCGCAGAATTTCTTGAGAAGTGTCGCCATAGTGCTCTGTGCGTCCTGGGGTGGTTCTTTCGCTCTAACGTAAAACCTCCAAGCCAGCCGATCGTCGTTCTGTATGACTTCTAAGTGTAACGGCGGGCCTCTGCCTCTAAGGATCCAAACACCAAAGAGGGTGGAAACCTGTCGAAGGGGTTTTCCTTGAGTGGGTATAAGAAGAGGGTTGGAAACGAAGTGAGTATCAATACGACTGAGTACTGTGTGTGCGAAGGCCTTGTTACTAATAGAGTTTAAATTCTATTGTTAAAGTTGACTACGAAGGTTAAAGCTATCTAAGAAGTGTGGTTTATATATATAGAAAAGGTTTATATAATCTAGTATACTGCTCTATATGCTCTGTCGTTCTTGGCGAATGTTCGCTATAGAGTAGAGGGGGTAGGTTTGTTTGATCTGACTGCTCTGTAGTGGCTCGGGCCACCGAGGGTGAGAGTAGACAGAGCACCTTCTTAGCGTCACGTGGGCCACGTGACCTACGTGGGTCCTTTTCACGCCGTGCGAGTGCACTCCACTTCTTCCCTTATTCCGACATTCTCTAACCCTGTAGAGGCTGTGCCGTAACACTAAGACGTCGCGGAATTTATTCTGGGGGCGATGGAGACGGATTGCGCAGAGCAGCTCTGAGGTCGCGGCGTAGGTGGACAGCTTTGCAAACAGGATCTCGTCCAGCCGAGCGCGTTCCTTTGCGGAGCACTGGGCGAGGTGCTCGTCGAGGAAATCGAAGAGCATCCCATAGTCGAAGCGGCGCTGCTCATCCGGTGCGCCCTGGAGCTGCATCAAACACCAGTCCGGCGGGTCCTCGTCGAATAGTTTCGTAATGGAGTTGTTAGTCTTACGCTTCATCGTGAATTTGCCGCCTGGAATACGCTCGAATGTCCACAGATGATGGAAGCCTGACCGTTGAGGAATGATTGCCTGAAGGTGCTTCGACTGACTATGCATCGAATTGACGAGCAAGAGCTCCAGTGCTCCGAGGGCTTCGTCGTACTTTCGCGGTAATGGCTGTCCAGGTGCAGTGTTGTCCCTGAAACGACCGTGCCAGTTCTTAGCATTGTAGAATTCGTCCAACACGGACTGCCAGAACCAGACGACGATGATATCGTGGAATAGCTCCCCAACCATGACTTGAATATTTACTCGCTGCCAAATTCGTTCAAGGCGGCATTCTGTTGGATGGACCGCACGTATCGCCGCATGTAAGATGATTGCGTTTGAAGAAGCCAGATGTGATCAGCCGCCGCGTCCATCTGAGCCTTCGTCTCGATTATTGTGGCATCCATGTTGAATATTGGTGGCGCGGAGAAAGGCTAGTATGTGAATTGGGACCAGTAAGCCACGTCTCCACTCTTCTTCGAGCCTGACTTGACCATCTCTGCCCACTTTGCAGACCCAGAGGGGCTTCCTAAATCAGCCTCTTCCAGAATCTGGCTCACGACTCCACGAAGAAACTTCAGAAGGCAGACCTGTGCCTCAAGGATCAACCGGGCTCTGGGGAATCCAATAGTGTCTGATCGGTGGGCAGATGCCGGCTCCCAAGGAACAAGCTACCCGTACCGGGGGCCATGCAACACTATACAGCGTTCATGAAAGTCGACATCGAGAAATCCCATGGCCTAGGGGACCGTAAGATCCTTACTGTCAGATGGGGGCCACATCTCAGCGGTGTAGTGAGTTCGGTTGTAGAGCAAACGAGAAACACAGCGGGATCCTTTCTGAGGAGGTCGACACTCAAGTTAGGCAGCAGAAAGCTTTCCCGGAACCTTCAAACATCCTTCCAGTGCGGGTCTATGTTAGTGTGCCTGAGATTCGAAATAGACCAACGATGCATGCATATCAAGGTCAGATTCGGCATTGCACAGAATGATTTCATGTCTGTCTCTGGTGCGCTTTTTCCGATCTGTCTACATGCTTTCCGAATTGTTGACTCAGTTACTCTCAATCTTTTTGGGCCTTCGCAATGTACCCTCCAATGATCTCCTTCGACTAGGCGCATTTTTGTACACAACATAGTGTGTAATTTATGAGTATTTTATAGTATCCAATCAAATGGTTTAGTATGTAGGACAATGTAGACGCGCGGTGCAATGCCGAGGCTCTTACAATATCGGGAAAGAATTATAAATAACCGCAGCTACCTTGGGTGACTTCGGTGTTCTGATTGGTTGTCTCTGACGCAGAAGCCTTGGAAGACAATTCATAACCCCTGCTTAGATGTTCTACGCTCTAATAATATATCCGAATATATCCCTTGAGCTGCAGGCTTCCCGTGCGATAGCCTTCCGTAAGCGCTGGCCCATTGCATGCGTTGGTTGGCTAATTTGGGAATCCCTGTGAAGCGCATTCCGAGACATTTGAACAGTCAATCCCTGTTGTCTTACGCCTCTCTCGCGTGTTTCCCGCGTGGAATAAGCGACCATTATGCCTTTTTTTTTTTTTTACAAAAGGCGGACGTTTGCCTGCTTCAAGGCTGTTTTCGTTTTCCCGTGTTCTGCATGCAATAAATGGATCAGTGGGCAGAGAGCATGACTCGGCTACATATTCTGGCCGGGTTACAGTAAAACAATCGTAGCCTGCGTTGCTTTATCAATTTTGAAAATAATAGCAAACCAACTCCTGTTCTTTTCTTTCCTTTTTTCAACTTCACGGAATTCGCTATTACCGACGTAGGAGGAACCACTGACCCCGTCAACCGCACATACGCATGGCATGTGGCAATGTAACCGGATGCACATGTGACGAACTCACCCGATGGCAAGCAATACAATCATTGGACGTCTTGTTGCACTGAGATCTGCGTGGCGTGCGTGATACGCGCTTGGCATTGCCGAGATGCAGACTTGGCCGCCATCTATAAGGTGTTACACAGAAAGCCACGCGGAAAAGGCGTGTAGCTTTGACATCCGGTAGAGCATCATTCACCAAACGTAGTGCCTTAACGTTAGCCCTCACGACTGTTAAAAAGCCAAATTTCCACTAGCTGCCCCCTCCAGTTCATACATCACGCAACAGACACTCGAAACAGGGCACTGGTAAGGAGTTGGATCTGAACATACATCACCTCATCAGCAGCTCAGCCGGTCAGCCGGTCAGCCGGTCAACTGTACACCGGCTTACCATGAAAACCATCTCATTTTTCCCCCAGATGGGATAGCAAAGCTACACAGTCTCATTTGGTCGTAAGCTCCCTTGTACGAATAGTGTCTGCGCTCGGTAACGGGTAGTAAGGCCTTCAGAATGTCTAAGTCAGGGTTCTGGTGATAGAAAACCTTTGTAATCACTCTTCCGATTCATTGCAAACATCGTATCCGCTCGATTTAAAATAGAAAACGTTTTTAATCTTAAGATTGAAGCAGAATGGAAAATACAAAAAGAAATGCGCTCAGATACAATCAAAATGGTCCGCCAAAAAATTCGGCAAGATATCGTGGGGCTCAGTCCAGCGTATCCATGAGTCGTGATCGTTTTGGACGCTTTCAGGATGTGTTCCTTGAACGTGCTCTTTCAACATATTGAAATCCCCCGTTTCGAAATTACCTTTGCAGATTGGATATGAAAATGTGATGCATCTGGAGAACCGCCTCCACCTCTGTGAATCGTCTCGGATCCGAGCTCTTCTCAAATCAACCAATCGCTTTGCACATGCCTCAATGCTATCCATAGCCTTTTCTGAGTTGCTCCTGTCGGTATTGACGCTGCTTGCGTCTCCGCTGGTGCTTCCCGGTCCATGGTAAAGGTACTTTCGAACGCTCTCTCTGATGAACTGCTCGTTGGTTCCTTTCCCATCCTTCCACTGATCCAATTTGAGTACACCTATGTGAGGGTCATTCCAGCGGAAGTACTTATCGCTCCAACCCTTTCTTGACATTTTCTTCCGAAACTCTTCATGAACTTTCTCGCCATCAAGGAGTTCCGCTAGCGCACGACGACCGGCTTTCCAGAGTGGATGGTGCTTGATGCGATTCACAACAGTGGATCGGGGATGTCTTATAGCACGCCAAGGACTTTCCCTCAATGTCTTTGCGAAGCCCTTCGCAACCTTTCGTTTTCTGGGCCTGTCAGCCTTCTTCCCTGTGCCAATACTAACCATAATGCCAAAAGGATGTGGTTCTTGGGGCTCTTCGTCACGCAGCTCACGGTAAGCCTGGCGGGTAGGGTTGTTAAACATACTACCGCCGTCGCTGTACTCGAACTGTCCTATCTTGATCACCCCCAGATAGGGCACAGCTGCTGACGTAGCTCTAGCTGCCTTCCAGATCGGAACATCCCCAGCACTCTCAGAGCTTGTCGCTGAAGGCTTCGGCTCTCTCTGCTCGTATGTTCGGAATCGAAATTCCCGTTCAGATGTGCCATCCAGTTGGATCTTTTTAGATATGACGACACTAAGAGAGTGATATTAGCACGCTTTCCTTAGGAAAATAAGATTGGATTACACGTACGTTCTGCAAAGGTCTCGTGGAGAGCTCATTTTGTGATACTTTGTGTCGTCCTTCCCGTTTTTCTGGTATTTTTGCGGCATTCTTTCATTCACCAACTGTTTAATTTGAGCTTCGAGATGGGCCGGGTCATGCTTCGACCCAAAGACTCCATTGAGCCTGAAATGTCTTGGGCTGCCGAATATTCTCTGTGCCATATCGGGGTACTTTCGAACACAGGTTTGAACATCCATTCGAAGACGACCAAGCATGATCGAATTTAATCTAGTACTGTTCGTAAGCTATTTACATCGAGTTGGAAATATGTCACCTACCCCCCGGTGCTCGTGCCAACCATGTAGTCGAAGTAGTGACATGGAAGATAGTACTCCGTCGTTTGCGTCGGTCTTGGGTCAACTCTCACCAATTCTATGGCGTCAGCTGAGTTTTCTTTCTTTCTTCTGTTCATGTGCAGATTTTCTGTCTGGGAGGTTCTTTTCAAATGGATCTTCGGCGTCCAAGATCTCTTCGGCTTGATAGGCTGCGTAGGTAGTCTTGTTGGTACTTCTACCGGTGGATTGAGATCAGTAGCTCTCTGAAGACCGTGTATGTCGGGTAGCTGGAAGCTCGAGAAATGCGGACCATCTGGGTGGCTCTGTTCATATTCGCCGATAGCGTCCATGAGAGCCTCGAGAATTAAGAGGCTGGCAAAACCTCTTACGCCGCCGCCATCTCATATCGAAATCAGACTCTGAGAAAGTCAATATGGCGCGAGACTTACCAAATGAAAGCACAGCCTTCTTCGTCCATGGGTCCTCGTGTTCAGTCCCTTCTTGCATTCTTGATCTCGAAACGTCTCTGACTGTCAAAACAATAAGGCAAGCTTCAGGCAGGCCTACTTGCCAATGGTAGATTTTGGTGACATGGACCTTGCCCATGCCTTTTAAATTTTCGGGGGCCCGCCTTCGTAACAGGAACTCAATGATCGCGCAAGGCAAAAAGGCAACGGGTCTTCCCAGCCACAATGGGGCTGAAATGCACGCAGAAAAGTAAGATGATGAATTTTTCTTGGCGATGCAATCATATACGAGTATTAAAATGCTTGCAATTTACGACCACATATGCAGTGCAATTATAAAGTTAACGCATTGCGAAAAGCGTTCGCGTCGGGAGTAGAGGGCCTTTTCTTAGATTAAACCTCGATTAAGCGCAATTTTTACTTCGACCGCACAATGTTCAACACCTTCATAAATTTTGTCCAATAATCCATACACACTGATTTGAATTCTAACAGCTGCACCTCACAGCCGCTTGACGAAAATTGAACACTATATGGATCTTTCCAGCGCAGGTTTATTTCTCTATAGATGTATACGATTCTAGCATATACCAGGAACAGCTAACTGTAGAAAGCCCTTGTACCGAAAGCTAGTAACCGTTGCGCAAGCCACTGTATGCAAGAAGGAGTCGTTGGGTAAGGTGAAACTAGCTTGCAGAAGCCACATGGACATTACGGGCTTTCTAAGGCCAACCAGAAGCACTTTCAGGGATTTTGCTTACGTTTCACAAAGCAGTCACAGGAAGTTGCGCAACTGAGTGGGTTACCACGCTAGCCGGTGTGACCACCCCGGGCTGGGACGCCTTGCAGCCTGTGTCGTCTTTCACAGCCCGCTCACGCGGCCTAATCCCGTCTTACCACCTCTATTGCGCCGTTGACTAACTCTTGCATACACCCAAGAAATGGGTGGCTTTGGTAGGCGCGGAGCCGCCCGGTGAGCGAGTCCCCGTGGACAACGCTGTCCCTTAAAAGCCCCGCTCTTCACATTGCGGCCCTACACGTAAGACCTACAACTACATCCTTCAAGCCAACGATACTCTACCTCACTTCTTGAACTTCTCCGATAGAGCCCAGCGAGGTTCCAAGTCGATCTCATTCATTTCACCGTCACCGACAAGCAAAGTAGTAGACGATATGAGATATGGTGGGCAAGATGAACAGCTGCGCCAACCTTACGAGGTTGATCTGAAGAGAATCAGCTACGAAAGGAAGAGGCATGAGCAATGCGCACGCCGTCAACTGATTCAAGCAGAAAGTGAGATTCCCGCAATCGAAGAAACCATCGGTTGCTTCAAAAACCGATCTACGAATGTGTTGATCCTGGACACGAATGATTCATCAAACGATGTTTTGAAGTTCCGGCCACTGAGAGAAGTCGAAGGTGAGGAGAACTTGTATGGAGGGGGCAATTTCAACCACTGACTTTTGGCAAGGTCGGTCCGCGATCGTGTACCGATTAACGTCGCATTGGAGACACGTCGTCCACGTCTACATCCAGCGCTGCGATGGCCATGGATCTTCGATCCACCGAGCTCACGTGTCCTCGAATTCGAGCTCGGTGGAAGGTTTCGAGTATTTCCGAACTGTTCATTTCAAGCGTTCGAGCCGAGCGCGGATCATGGTCGGAAAGGCGAAGTGGCTCTACATTCTGCTTCCGGACGAAGACGATATCCCTAAGGAACGAACATGCACACGCGAGAACGATATAAATCGGACTGGAAAGCGGTAGGCAGGGTGTGGAAATAGGACAGAACATGGGTACCGGGCACACGGTCGTTGAGAGATGATTAAGTGCGATCAGTGGAAGGTGCCAATTTCTTGTATTCGCTTATTTGGCTGCACCTTCTTGTGTTGAAATATACCATCAAACTAAATTGTAACAAGCATCAATAATCATCGTTGCTGGCTAATGATGCATACCGCTATTTATATATAGCGACAGTTGTAAGGGAACATATCTTCGATGACATACGATTTGATTGCAATAAAAGGTGAAATTCGTCCATACGTGTAGTCAGCATCCAGTAGTAGTCTACCACGTTTTTCTGGTGTTTGCCTCTCTTTACTATGATTTACATGGTTGCTGAACCTCTCCAATTACATGGCTGAGTACTACATAATTGGGGCCTACATGAAACATTGGGCATCGGGTGTACAATATCTCGGTGTTGTTGAGGAGTTTCGTTGAGGCAAATGCCCATCCAAAGGCCATTATCCTGGAATAATCAGCTGTGAGTGGTCCTCTAGCATGGGGCTTGGTATACATGAGTAGTGACGCGGGAAGTCTACAGTCATCTGGTTGGTCGATTTACTTCTTAGAGACTTGTCATCCCACGTATCTCCTCTATTTCTACTTCTCTACTACCACACAACGCTGCCTTACAGTCTCGGACATCATCAGTCCAACTTCAGTATTGAGCGCCCGGAATCCCTGGACAACGCCGATCTGATCCTCCTTATCCATCTCCTGGCTCATCTTGAACCTCCCCTCCAGTCTGGTAATTTCGATCTCCACGCCGATAATGTTCTTCTTCAGCAACTCGATGAAGCGATCCGGCGCATCACTGGTCTCCCACGCCGATGGCTTGCCCTCCTCGCCAGTATAGCCCATGATGTCGGTCTCGGCGTAGTTCGATAGGGCAGTAACCTGCTGCTGCAGGAAAGCGCCGGTCTCCGGGTTGCGCGAGTCGCAGTAGACGGTGGCCCTGCCATATGCCTGCACTGCCGTGTAGTCCCACGTTGGCACAACCTTGCCGGTGGTCGGCTTGGTTTTGATATAGAACTTCGGCGTGACGTAGTGGTGGACAGGGCCGTTGAAGACGATGACGACGTCTTCAGGGAGTGGGCCGTTGGATGGGTTGGCGGCTTGCACCGCTTCGATCATGGCTTTCGAGTGAGGGTTCATCTTGGCCATGTGACCGCGTAGCTTCCCCAGCCCGCTGCTGTCGTCAGGAATGTCAAGAACCCATGGGACATGGGATAGCTGGACGGCGGGGAAGTTCGGCGATGGCAATGAAGTGACAATGATTCCCAAGGGATTCTCTTTGATGAAGTTGTGCAGCGTGGGGACGTCGTACTCTGCGTGGTCTTTGGGAAGATACATCTTGGTGTCGTGAATGATATCTGCCCTTGATGGTCTGATGCCATCCTGAAGCGTGGTGCTTCACAATATATACACCCCGCAAGCTGATGGTAAAGCGACTGCCTTGGGCATGAGGTCATCAGAAACGAAGTAAGATAAGTAATAAAGTGGCCGTAATTGGCCATTAAACCCCGATTGATAAGATTACATGGGGTCCTTGTCTACGTGTGCATTTTCCCCACGCCTATCCCTGTTTCAATCAGTGCGGGGTCGTCGTGATATGGAGTGCCGAGTTCTTCCGGATCATTGCCTTATCAGACAACGTTGCTCTGGCGATCAAATCGGCTGATTGATCATCCTCGAGATCGCTCGAGTAAGCAGCAATGGTGTTGTGGTTTTGTTGATAGATCGCCCACCCGCTTACTGCATGGAGCAAGTATAACCTTAAACTCGGATATCGGTCAGCTTAATCTTACTTCGGTATGTCCATCCGAACAAATCTAACACGACCGTTTCTAAATTCAGTAGGTTCAACCTTAAACCACGCGAGATGGATTGTGGGGTATAGCCACAAGTGAGGGAAGCGCCAAGTCTTATTCAAACCTGACCTCCTTATCAGAGTTCACAAAGATATCCGTTCAGCCGAAGAAGCCGTAAGGTCGCTGTCGAAGTACACAATATACAGTACAAATTTACTCTCAGAGCCTTTAAAAGTTTCTCGTGGCCGAGACTGGTTTAAAAGAATGTCCTGGTTGCGTTTGGCTAAAATTGCAAGTTATTGTGGTAAAACAGAAGTCTGTAAGCATTCACTACATATTCCATCATGATAGAAAGTCCGATTTCTGATAGGTAGACCGGGATTTCGGTAGCGGCCTTCCTTCCTTATTGCTGATTGCATGGGCTAGATACTTTCCTCCTCATAAAAACGGGAATGGAGGAGATAAGCGGAGGTAACTCATATCAGTAGATCCCACGGCCCAAGAAATGGCAGGAGATAAGGGTGGGCTATGAGGAAGAATTGACGAATTATGGAATGAGGATGGGAGACAGGCATTGAAGCAATGGATTGGCCGAGGTAATGGATCATGTGCAGCAGATTACGAAGGGGGCCAAATTCCAAGATGCGGGGAGGCTCTGAGAAGGCATAAAAGAGGAGAACACGAACACATCCGATGTCACTGTCCGCATCTCATCGATCTGCCTGAAGCCTTCCCTATCATACTGAACTCTTTTCTTCCCAAAATGTCGCAAACAATGACGGTTGTCCCACCTCCCCACGTGGTGCATGGAGGTGTCCAGAACCCGCCATCCGAGCAGTGGACCTCTTTCGAATGGGAAGAGCCAACGCTTGGAAAGCAGGTCCATGGAGAAGTCACTGTCATACGCACAGAGGGCTCCTCTGGCTCCCTGACAGCCGGCTTCTGGAGGACCGGCCCAACATCCCCTGGCGCATCGAACGACGGTTCCCATCAAGTCGTCTACTCTTCCCCCCTTGGCGATGAAACGGCCTGCATCATCGACGGCACAGTGACTCTCACGGTGCCCTCCACCGGCGGGCGCTTCGAAGCCGGTCCTGGCTCCATCATCAGCTCCCCCAAGGGCCTTGAAGTCCACTGGGACATCAAGGCTCCAGCCTTCAAGAAGTATTGGTGCATCTGGAGCGGCACAAGCCCGACCGACGACCCACCCAAGCAGTTGACTGTCCATCACGTCACCGACAACCCTGAGAAATGGGAAGACTATCACTTCACCGAGCCGAAGGAAGGTCCGCAAGTTGCTGGAGAGCTGTTCTTTATTCGCACAGGCGGCTCGTCCGGCACGATGCTGAGTGGCATCTGGAGGTCCGGTAAAGGCATCGCGGGGACGAATGTTGATGAGAAAGGCACACTGGTGACGCCATACACGGGGATTTTGGGTGATGAGACGATACTGCTGTTGGAAGGGCGGGTCACTGTGGTCGAGACCGAGACTGGAAAGACTCACCATTTCAAGGCTGGCGATGTAATTGGGCTTACTTCTGGTGTGCATGTCACTTGGACTTCTCATGGACCATTCACCAAGAAGCTTTGGGTCATCACCCGTGACGCAATTTAGCTTAGTCTTCGTGTTTAAGCGGTGTCAGTTTGTCTCAACTCATGAATATACATCGACATGTTTCGGAAACCGTTATACTCTGCCGGCAAGGCATTGCGTGCTCTCATCGAGGCGGGGAGTGATGAGAGTCTTTCGGCAACGAATTGCTTCGGCATATCTCTTCCGGAGCGGTTTTCTGGACTTGGAAAAATTGTGAACCCCAATGTATCCAAAGGCAGATGGACCGTTTCTTACACGCTCTGTATGATTTCCGCTGCTAATACCATCACTAAGGCATAATTAATCAAGTCAGATTTAACAGCTGGACCGAAGAGAGATCTCGTGCCAAACAACTTGGATTACATTGAAGATGGATAAATGTGAACTTGTCTTGCAACAAATTGCAGCGCCACCAGCTCCATTGCTATTGTGACTCTGGAAGCTCACTAAAACCTTTTATCATGCGAAGTTCCCGCACCTGGAATAATGAATTCATCACAACCCGCTACAAATATGGAGAGTAGATGGAGAGAAGCTAGGCGATGAGGTGAGAAGATATGTAGAGACATCTGCAACCGGTGCCGAGATTACCTGCGAGGTGAGTCCAAGCTTTGCCCACATGTATACTGTATACCGAGGCTACGAAGTAGGCTGTAAAGACAGCGCAAACTGCGGGGCGACCGGTGTGCTAGACTAGGTATGGTGCGGAAGCTAGCTTCAAGCTGTCCAAGAAAGGCTCAGCATGTGGAGGCGCGAGATGCCTACGCTCAGTACCGCAGCGCTCCTACGTAGGTGGAGGTCAACCCCATCCAGCAAGAACGTCACAGGCTGTCCAGCTGCACTCTCCGTGAGGCGGTATATTCCATGAGCTTAACGAACGGATCGCAAGCGGCGGCACGGGCCTTGCCGCTAATGCACGAGAGAAACTGAGTTATTGCTGCGATCGCTCCGAAATGGGTGGAGTTTAAGAATTGTCATTGTTCAAAGCAACCAATGAAACGTTGCAAATGCTATACGCACGACGATTTGCCTATCTTGGCGTCGCGCTAGTACCCCCGAGATCTATGGTGACGCACCAAACCTCAGCTCGACCCACTTTTGCGTCGTGACTTGCACTTTGTGTCTATGTGCACTATGGAAGTCGATCAAGCTGATCAGATGAGATTTTTCCTCTCCACCACTAACAAGAGGCAATACTGCGTCTATGGATAGAAACTCGCATCCGGTTTCGTGTCGCAGAGGGTCGCATGTGTGGTGGGGTAGGGCTTGTTGAAGGCCGTGCAGCGGAGGTTGCTCCGCGTTGACAGCTGAATGGCCGTGCTTGAGCGCAGATCAGTCCGCTAAAGAAGTTGGGGAGTGGAGTAGGCCCGCGATTCTCAGCCAGATCCCCCAGTGGAGCCTCTTGGTTGCAGAGTGGTGGATTAACTGAAGGCAGCGACGATGTCAGGGGCAAAGTGGGGCCGTCGGTGGCGATGACAGCGCAACACATCAGCAAAGGGCAATGGCAGCGCAGAGGACCCGCAATACACGACACTAATTTTCAGCTGCTTCTGATATTTGAAATATTGTTCCAGGGCGCAGTGTATATCGTATACTTACAATAATTGTCAGCTGAAGTTGACGTCTTTATGCTATTTCGGAAAGTCCGCCGAGCGGTAAGACCGCGAACGCAGGCCCGGTCAGTCGCATATTGATGTCTTGACAATCTATTCTTGCTTTGCAACTGTCGTGATTGTCTATCACAGGATATAATATAGTGCGTTAACTACTAGCCCGCGATAAGGGGGAAAACATGGTTGCTGTAGCATTTTCGCCATCCGACTTTGTTGACCTGTAGTGAATGCCTTGACATTTGACTTGGCACTTCTTCAGCTGCTTTGAATACGAACTCTATCCTAGCACTGCATATCTCTAGACATCCCCGTTCAAGTCCGCAGATCGGCTTCCTGGTTCTTCCAAATCAAGGTTTGGGATCTGCATTGCGTGCGTATGGCAGGGATCTCGGAATCTTGCCTACCGTGCGCGATGACGGAGAATGACCCGAATCATGGAGCCACGTAATCGGTGATCTGCATTAGCACGAACTTTCAGCCGACCTGCAACACTGGGCGTGTCTATCTGTAGTTACTCTGTCCTTGGATTCGCCAGATCTGACTGAAGGCGGCAAGGTCATTCCGATCAGCTCGAGTCGCGATGAATTCTGCTTGACCTTTACGGTGTAATTGACCTACTTAGGCGAGGAGAACCTAGTGTCCACTAAATAATAGATTCTCATATATAGTTCGAGGTCGTCCATGCCTTTGCTTTTCCTCTCATCCCACAACCTTCCCATCTCTTCACCCATCATCTCTCATCTCTCCCCCTCCATCAACATGACTTTTGACCGCGAAGGCTCGGCGCCATTCCGATTCGACCACAACAGGCTCGGCACTGTCAAGCCGTACTTGGCCGAGCCTGAAGGCTTCGACCTCTCAACGGAGGATCTGGAAGCCGTGTTCGGCATCCAAGCGCAATACTTCGGCAAGCTCCCCAAACGCATGATCATCCCCGTTCTCGAGGGTAGCTGGTACACTCAGCATTGGTACTCGACGAATGGCTGGCTCTACGTCGTGGAGCCGGAGGCGTGGGTGCCTCAAGTCTCTCACGGCGACACCATGCCGGCTTCGTCATTCAAGACGACGTACGTGAGGGAGGAGGAGACCATCACCGAGACCAAGTTCAATGCTGGCACGTCGGCCGAGGTCACCATCGAGGCCGGCGGCACCTTCTACGGAGTCTCGGCCAACGTCAAGTCGACCAGCGACATTTCGTTCCGGTACTCGAGCTCCACGACGACCAAGGAGAGCCTGGAGACCAAGGGCACCAGCGGCAATGCGCCCATCCACCAGTTGTTCGTCTACCCGAAGCTGAGGTGCAAGGTCATCAAGAAGCAGCGCATCGATTACACCATCAACGACAGCAGCGAAGAGCTGAAGTGGACTGGTGATAGTTACAGGAATGGATACTGGGGCGAGCGCTGGGTGTCGGATAAGCGCCTGGGTGCGGTGAGGAAGCTCGGCCTTCACCCTGTTCCCATGGAAGGAAACGGCCTTGGCCACAAGGCCTACATTCTCCCCATCCCGCATGTCACCGACGATGGGGATATCGATGTTACGACCATCATGAGCCGGCAGGGGTGGGTCGATTGGTACGTCTACGATCTTCCCTGGCAGGATGGAGACGACGAGGTCATCGACCTCGCTGCGCCTAGGAACGGTGTGGCCTTTAGGCCCATGACCACATGGACAACATTGGTAAGTTGATTATCTCCCCAGCTACAATATTATCTGCTAATGCAAAAGTAGCCTCCGCTTGAGGAATAAGATGCCACAATCCTCCACTCCCAACGATGTTCGCCATAGTGGCTGTTCTGCCATGCTTGACTCCTGCATGCAGAACGCAGCCATTGTACCGAGCTATCATCGTGGCCGCTTTGGTGATCTATTCTCAAATGCCTTTGTCCATGCTCTGCACGCCAGACTTTCCTCTTTATGTCACATTCTGTACATTATGTACTAAATTCAAACCATGATTGACCAGCCACCAAAGCTTCTTTCCCCGCCATGACAAGTTGTTTAGCCATAATGGGGCGTGTTTCTCTGATTGACATTCGATGTGTCATCAGGCGTCCATCATACTCGCCAATGTTTCACTAACATGACCACAATTCGATCCTGCTTTTCCTCCCCTAGGACCTTACTGGACTATGCAAGCCTCCACGAATTCTCCCTAGGAGATTAGCCAAGTGGTTCCATAGGGAAGCATCTCACCGTGTACTTTGAACTGATACGGGAGGTCGCTCGCGCCCACTAATGACCGGTCTCTCTGGCCAGATCTGTGCCACCAGACGGTCGCCACGCAGCTATACGGTACGACGTAGGGCTGTGAGCTCGCCACGTCGGCGTACAGATCGTAATGATTGATGATAAATGCCCTGGTCTGAAACGTCTCATGCTCAACGTAACAGCGCTCGACGGCTTGAGGGTCGTTGTGTAGGACCAGGGCCATGTGCCCAAATTCGAAGTCGTCGTACATGTCATCGAGGCTGGCGCGGAACATGCAGTCGCGGTACATAAACGAAAACTGATGCGGTGGACTTGACAAGCTGATGCCGCTCGGGTTGTAGAGGCGGAAGCCGGGGCACTTGATCTCAAGGACATACTCGGGATCCCCCGCGCTGGGATGGGGCATCAACTGCATATACGTCCAGTCATACGGCTTGAGAGCGGCAAAGGCGCGCTCCGGTAGCTTTTCAGGATCTGGAACGTCGCCCTGTTCGTTGAGTGTAGGCCAACTTCCCTGGTTGTCGCCGCCCAGGAACGAGGACGGCGCCCATCGAAAGCCCGGGATCTGTAGCCGGTCCGAGGACTGGGACGCCATGAACGCCCAAGTCAACGATGGCCACCCGCAGTTGATGTAGAAAGACATCATCCGCTGTGAGGCAGGAGCACTCTGGATCGCAGCTATGCGATCCTGCTCCAGGCGGAGCATGCTGGCCAGACAAACAGGCTCGTCCTCGAGACGACTGGTCGTGCGGAAGTCCAACAGCAACGAGAAAGCTTCCTGGCGACGGGATTTCCCGCGGATCTTGTGCAATGAGCCATTCTTGATCTCCAAGCCGATCAGGTTGAACAGTGTCTTCATGAGCTTCCGCAGTGAATGTGGATGAGCGTATTGCCAGTCGTCATCAACCGCGCCAGCAACGATTTCTTCAAGCCTCGGGTACCGGATTCCAGGCCCCACGACCCCATCACAGAACTGAAAAACAATTTCGTCCGCCAGTTCGCTCTCCTGGCAAGTCCAGAGACGCTTCGACCAGTCGCTCAAGAAGATCCGTAATGCCACTTCAAAGGGATCCCGGAAGGAACACTGAAGGAGCTCTGCGTCAAGAACCAGTACTTTGTGCGCCTTGGAGTATATATCAGCCATGCGTCTGATTGCCATCTTTCGAGTTTCGTTGAATCGAGGTTCAACGGGGACGCAAAGCGTATCCATCCAGAAGCAGACAGGTTGACCGGGGGCAAAATATGGCCGAATCCACTTTGCTATCTGGTCAATGACGCAGTTCGGGAGAGAATTTTCAACCCGATTGCTCATTCCGTGCGACCACACGTGCGATATGGCAACGAAACCGCCACCTTGACCGTCCCACAGCCGGAATGTGTATGGGCGGCTTGGTACTACTTCCAAAACAGGCAGCGCGCCGCTGTACAAGCCCGCTGCAATGTTGGATGTCGGTGCCTGGATAGAACCGCACTTTCCAGTTGAGCAAAAATGACGGGGCCGATACCTCTTTTTCTCGGTGAGAGAAGCATCACACTTATACCATGAGCATTTGCTGTGGTCGGTGTGAACTCGGCGCCGTTGCAACTGCATACATGCTATGAGCCCGTCACTGTATGTTACAGTCTTTCTCATCCTCTGAATTTCGCTGAGGCACCAGCCCCGCTCATGCAGTGCCGTTATTACAGAATCACTTTCAAGCCCAAATCCAAAAGACGTAGGGGTGAAAGCGCTGCTGTAGCTCGGCTGAATCTGAGCTGCATGGTGATGCACTTGCTTTGCCCAAGCATTTCTCGCATGGTTGAAGGCTTCGAATACGGACATGATGGCAATGGTCGTTCGCTGGAATAGATCGCGATATGATTCCGGGATGCAGTCAAAATTGGCTGTCATCAGATTCCTTACATGGGGCTCGGCATCGAGGAAGACTTGATCGACTTCTTCAATCACAAATCTAGAATCTTCGTGCTCGGTGATCCTTCGGGCTACGCTGCTGACCCAAGAAGTGGTGAAGCTGGGCAATTTAACTGTCGTGAGGTATTTAGTGCCGTTGACCTCCCGAATGAAGTCTCCAAGATCACAAGTCGCCCGGCCTTGGCGAGCAACCTCGGCCAAAAATCCCAGAATCAGCCATTCTTGAAGATATCGTATGAACTCAAGCGCTCTGCCGTCGTCGGAGACGCATTCTTGCACATAATCTTTGTAATAGAATCGATCTGTTTCGTAGTATCGGTTTCGCAAGATATTGAAACGTATTTCTTCTTTGCAGTCTGGGTATCGACCGACATACTGCGTCGCGAAGTAGGAGCCTGGCGCGGGATTTGGAAGTTTTGGAATATGATCTTGACAAGAAGGCACTCGTAATGGCTGGGGCTGAAAAGGAATTGCTGGTTGCTCAGGGTGGGCTGCAAGAGAGGATTTTGAGTTACCCATGCTAAGAAGCTGGTCTGTGAAGAGATACCGCAAGAAAAGAAAATGAAAATGCTGTCGTCTGAGTGTTTATGACATTCATACCCTTCTCCATAGTTTTATTACGCGCCGTCAGAGCAGAAGCGAGCGTGGGGGCTGTGCATTTGCACCAATCACGTCAGGTGGGGAAGCGCTCAAAGAAACCCACCGTTTTTGCGCAAGGCTGATGAGCATCTTCCCCACAACTACGACACGTGTTGACCAATCAGATCAACATCATCAGGTGAAGTTACGAGCTACTACAAGACGTAAAGGGAAATTGTTCTGCTTAAACGCCGTGACACTTTTAGTGTAGCCCCACTTCGTATCTACGTAGACTACACCGCACCAAAAAAAGAAGGAAAAAAAAACAAAGTGCCCAATAGTCCGCATCAGTTAACGCATGTGGGCTTTTTCTACCAGAGATAATGTTTCGACAATCCTTAAACAGACTGGAAAGTGGGTACTTTTCCGCATGCCTTGCCAAGACAGTCCAATTTCCGGCCCGCTGGAATCGTGTGTGAGACTCCACGCCCGTAGGTAGATATTAAAGTAAATATGACCACTACTTCTAAACTTCTAGATCTACTCAACATAACCAATTAAACACGTGGGTTATATTGATCAATGCCCTCATGTCCGCCATCGCGGTCCAGCTCCTATTAATCATCAGACCAATTTACCCCTCTTGTTTCAAATAGGCCTCCGGCTGCCCATCCTAGAGATTTCTGTCTTGTAAGTGGTGACTTCACACCTACTCTGTAAACCATACGAGCATGTGCATCAAGGATCAAATCCAATTTATAACTGTTTAGCCAGTACGGCTTCCTTCACATCCGTGACAACATGTTTAACCTTATGTGGGAATCTGCAGTGCAGAAGAGTTGATCGACTGTTTGAACCATGAAGTTGGCTTGCTCGTTTCAGAGACTTTCAGAGACAGGTCGTTAGCTAAACGTTTGATGAAGCTGCTCAGCTCTTCGGTTGAGGAATAATCGGTGAAGTAGGATGGAATTTTCCGGCTACCAATTCGCCCTGTGATGATGGATCTTAAGTTTCCCTTAGTTAGAAGCTAAACTCTAACGCGAACCTGGCAGCTACGATTTTGTATGAGCAAGAAGTGGGGAACAATCTAAGGGAAACACCCATTTGCGCAATGTTGAGCATCTTGCCTACAACCCTGACATGTGCTGTCCAATCAGGTTAAACATGATTACAGGGGAGCGATATGAACTATGATGGGGAGGATTTTAGCGTGTCAGCAGTCCGTATCCACACAAACTGCGTCGCATAATAAAGTCAAAGTGAAGAATAAAGGTTTATCAGTCAGCATGAGTAGGTCATCTTGAAACAGATGAAAGCCCCGGCATGGTCCAGAAATGGGAAGGTATGTATGTACCAGGGCTGTTTCCGTGTGGTTTTCCGCCCCCTGCAAGCAACTGCCGGTCCGCTAGAACCGCATGTAGGGTTTCATCCATGCACATGAAAGCGAATATAACGCATGGCTTCCACTCACTTCTGTTGTTCTTCTCGAATTATGAATTTCCTCAACTAAAGAAGCAAGCATGTGGGCAACAGTCACACTGACCATCATCTCCATCATCGCCCTCCGACTACTATACGAAGCACGACGAGACCGACGCCTGCCACCTGGACCCAAGAGACTTCCATTCATCGGCAACCTCCACCAGGCGCCACACGACGTCCCCTGGCGCACGTACCACAAATGGTTCCAGCAGTACGGCCCCATCATCAGCGCCCAGTTCGGCGGCACGACGATGATCATGATCGGCGACAAGGACGTGGCGCACGAGCTGCTAGACAAGCGGGGCAGCGTGTACGCCGACCGGCCGCGGATGGTCATGGCGGGCGAGAACCTGACCAAGGGCATGCACCAGCTGCTGCGGCGCTACGACGAGCGGTACCTGCTGCACCAGCGCATGGACGCGCCGGTGCTGAGCCCGCGCGCGGCGGCGACGTACGAGCCGCTGCAGGACATGGAGTCGAAGCTGCTGCTGCACGAGTTTCTTTCGCGGAATGATTTCACAAAGCGCTTCGAGCGGTACAGCGCCAGTTTGGTGTATAGCCTGGCGTACGGGTTCCGCATTGAGACGGGCGACGAGCAGCCGCTCAAAGACGCGCACCGCGTGCAGGAGAACTTTGGCTACGCCGGTCGCGTGGGCACGTGGGTTGTTGACGCGCTGCCATTCCTGAATGTGCTGCCGCGTGGTCCACTGGCGCCGTGGAAGCGCGTGGCCGACGATTTCTTCCGCATCGAGAGCGCGCTGCACACCCGCAACACCGCCGTTGGCTTGTCGTCGAAGGCTTGGAACTGGACCAAGGAGCTGCACGCCAGCAGTGAGGCGGCCCAGATGGACGACCTCGAGTTCGCATACGATGTGGGCATCTTGGCCGACGCCGGGTTGGACACTACGACTGCTGCCATGGAGGTATTCGTGCTGGCTTGCCTTGCGTATCCGCAGTTTCTCCAGCACACCCAGCGCGAGTTGGATGAGGTAGTCGGTGGCGAGAGGTTTCCTTGCTTGGCTGATCGGGAGAAGCTGCCCTACATCCGTGCGTGCGTGGAAGAGACGTTGCGGTGGAGGCATATTGCACCGGGCGGCATCCCGCACGCCACGCGGTGCGAGGACGAGTACATGGGTTATCGAATCCCTAAGGGGGCGACCGTACTGCCTGCCTACTGGACCATGCACCTGGACGAGAAGGCGTGGGATGCGCCTTTGAGTTTCGCGCCGGAGCGCTGGTTGGGCCAACCGGATGGCAGGCACTTTGGCTTCGGTCGGCGTGTGTGTACCGGGCGCCACATTGCGCGGAACTCGATGTTTCTTCTCATCGCCCGCCTGCTGTGGGGGTTTGATATCAAGCACGCCGTTGATCCGGCTACGGGGGAAAAGGTTGAGGTTGACGATTTAGCCCTGACTTCTGGTTTTGTCTCAAAGCCACAGCCATTCCCCGCTCTGTTCAAACCTCGCAGCAAGCGCCATGAGGAGCTCATTGAGAGGGAATGGCAGACACAGGACAAAGATATTGATAAACTCTTGAATGGGATTCGCGATCAACAGATTCAGGCTGGGCTACATATCCGCGTAAAGGATTAAGGTATTAGAACGATAGTTCTCTGTTACTGTAGAAAAGGAACGTCAAGCATACTTTCAGCGGCGGCTTCATTGCACGAGTCTCACAAGTTCCTACACATAGTATGGTCACGAGACAGAAGCTTCTGAAGGTAGCTTTGCACCTTCTCATACTTGTCACAAGTAGTGATCTTAGCTTCCTAAAAGGCTGCTAATTTCTCAGGAACATTGAAATTCATGTTTACAAGATCAATTGACGGGCAGTATATTCTAATCCGAATATGATCTTAAGCTTTCCGCGACTTGAACATCAAGGGCAGCGGTGGAAGAGTCAAAGTAAAGGTGTCCTGCTGATTCTTCTCGAAGTTCTCTCCAGTCTCACCTGGGGCATAGCTGATGTCAAAGTTGAGAGCTACGCGGGACAAAAACATACGAAGCTCCAGCTTGGCAAGCTGCTTGCCTGCGCAGTTCATCGCACCTGTTCACACGTCAGCAGGGAGTTGGTAAATCTCCATCAAGCCATCTTGTCTTACCTCGAGAGAATGTGATGAAGGGAGCAGTCTCTGGGTTCAATTTGCCATCGCTCCACCTTTCAGGAACAAAGTCCAGAGGGTTGTCGTAGTTCCGAGAGTCACGATGCAGCGTCTGTGCAGGGATAGAAACAATACTATCACCAGGAATATACACTTCGTCAATCTGGAGTCCTTCTGGAGGCGTCAGGCGGCCCAGGCCACTGGGTACAGGAGGACGGAGACGAAGAGATTCGTTAATGATGTCGTCGAGATAGCTGATTTGCTTGACTTTTTCGTAGGACCAGTCGGAATCACCGTTCGGGAAGTATTCATCAAGCAGAGCTTGGAGTTTTTTGAGGACGCGTGGGTTACGAGCAAAGAAGTTCAGCGTGTTGGAAAGAGCATTGGCGGTGGTATCACTTGTAATCGTTAGCAAATGCCAAAAAGGGGATGGATGGCCATCACGGACCTGCCAGCAATGATAAGAAGACGGGCATCTTCGTGCAGTGCACCTTCACCTGGCGGTGCGGACTTGTCGTTCTCGAACCTCGCCTTAATCAGGTAAGAAAGGATGTCTTGAGGATCAGCGTCCTTGTCCACTTCCTAGACGGACCAGTCAGCATTTCCCAATCAGTAATTCCAGGCACATAGCTGCCGCACCATCTGCTTGTCTTTCACTTGCCCAGCGCAATAATTCATAAAGGCAGTGAGCTTGCTTGCCGCACCAGGAATTGCTGCAAGCATGGTCAACAACCAGGGAACTGGTGTGAGCAAACCAATGATTGACATGGAGTCGTGAATGCCCTTGATGGTAGGGTGCGTCTTGCCCGACTTCAGAGTTTCCAAATCCTTCCCGAGACCAACTTCGCCCATGACGTCGAAAGAGAAAAACATTGACCAGTCAGTCGCATCGACTGGACTGTTCTCCAACTTCCGGATTTGACTAATCAGAGTATCTGTCTTGGCCTTGACTCGAGGCTCATATTTCGCGAGTGCTGATTCAATGAGTCAAATTGACTTCAGATCTGTGACTAATTGATCGTACCTTTCACGCCCAGGCTGCGGTCCCAAGCTCGTCTTCGTTGCCGATGGACTTCCGAGACTCTTACAGAGTTGAGGGAGCATTTAGTAACGTCGTTCGTGACCTGGGCGTACCATGGTGATTTCTTGCACGCCGACGGGGGCCCTTGCCATGGTTAGTCTCAAGGCTGCCTTCATTTCCCTTTGCATATTTTACGCACCATGAATGAGCTGTACTGCGGCCGGTCGATTGACAGAGATTTCGCGGGGTCCTAAGACATGTGGTGAGCATGAATCATGCGTCACAACAGAGGACGGGAATGACGCGTACCGATGCGGACAAAATCCCCGTATTGCTTGTGCAGCTTTTCCACCTCATCACTCAGCTGGGTATTCTTGCAGGCCAGATACATTGCGTAAAATCGTGAGGCTGCGGCCAGCCTTGGACCAGGGAATTTCCGCAGCCTGTGGAAGATCAAACGGTAGGCGAGAATGCTCGTGGCAAGACCAAGCTTAAAGGCGAACGCCACCAACGCCGTTCGAAAAGCTGCTTCGGAGGCCTGAAAATGGCCGATCGAAGTGTAACATGCCCACAGAGCGGATGTAGACACCAAATAAATTCCGACAAACCGCCATCCATAGCTGTCAACCTCGAACCGGACGATGCTCCAGTGGAGCAGAACGCCCAGTGTAAACGCAGTCGAGAAAGAGTGCAAAAGCCCTGCCTGCAGACCTCTCTCAAGGCCGGCAACTTGGAGTTGGTTCATCATGTGTGCAAGGCGTGATGCGTTGGGCACGGAGGATGTGCCAAGAAAAAGAAAAGATGAAGGCACCAAAGCGCAAGCCTATGATACAGCTCGCTTTTTGTGTTATCGCTGGCATGGGGGCGAAAACACCACACGCCCCACCTTTGGGAAAGACCTGCACCACGCGGCCCCATTCCCGAGTTCCGCGGGACGGAAGTCTGTGCTCGGAGCTATTACCGAGAACGGGCGGCTTGATTCAAGCCATGCATGTTCGTTACCGACGGTCTGGAACTGTGGTCGAACTTGGGGTCTGCAACTCAAACCGCTGCCCGGGGTGCTGCATTAGCCGGCTGGCCTGTCACTCACGCCATGTAATTACAGCGTCGACCCCATTTAGGAGAGCTAAAGCCCCAAAGACAGACGTTTTCGGTTCTGTGCCGTGCCACATCCCTGCTCAACCACGCCGCACTGTGCCGCACCAGGATCCAGACTGCTGGCGCCCGCGCATGAAACACTGCCGACGACGACTTCTTCTCCGTGGTATGTAAGGAGCCGGTCCCCTGGCTGCGGAATCACGTCCCGTGCCGTTTGCACTTGGGTCAAGGTCTGGCCGGGGTCTAAGAAGCCCTGGAGCAGCTTCCGCTATGCGTTGGGCCCAAAACTCCACACCTCCCTGTTGTACTCTAGATGCAGACAATAGATGTACACCATGTCGCTGTCAACACTTCAGCCGCTTTGCTACTGGACAATCACACCGCTATTCGCTATTGCTACGGTCACTACGATTGCTCGAACCTACATACGGCTCTTCATTAAATCATTCGGCTTAGACGACTGGGCTTCTATCACATTACTTGTTGGCCACCCCCTGGACTTGATGGATAAATGTTGACTTGTAGCAGTTCTTCAACGCAGGGCTCCAAGCTATCCTATATGTGTTCCTCAAATATGGTGCCGGCTTGCACATCATAAAAGTGCAAACCGAGCACCCTGATTACATCACTCAACTCCTCAAGGTATGTCTTCATTGGAATACTTGAATGAATCTTGTCTGATGCAGGAATGGGCCAGGGGCTTTTCGCCATCGAGATCTACTACATCTGGATGCACTTCCATCTCAAGATGGGCTTCCTGCTCTTTTACATGCGTCTCTCTCACGTTCAATCTTTCCGCATCCTTATTTACATGGCAATGGTGTGCAACGCTCTTTGTACGGTGGGAATATGGGTACTCTATTGCCTTCAATGCATTCCGCTCGAAGCATTTTGGAACCCAGCAAAATACCCCGACACCATCTGCCTGAACAGCTCAGTCACTTACTTTGTCCCCTACTCCCTTGTAAGGATACCGACATGTGCTCTGAGGATCCCAGTAACTGACGTCGTATTGCAGATGCTGTCGTTGGACATTGCCATCTTCATCATTCCAATTCATACAGTCTGGAAGCTGCAGATGACCCTGCGCCGGAAACTCCAAGTGCTTAGTGTCATCTGCACCGGTGGTGCCGCCGTCCTCGTCTCCGCGCTCCGTCTTGTGGTACTGCTCGAATTCTCCAGAAGTCCCGATTTCACTTGGACACTGGGCAAGATGATCATCATCTCCTCCTTCGAGATCAATGTTGCTATCATCGCGTCCAACATGCCTTCCATGAAAGCTCTCTGGACCAGCTGGCGGGATGGAACATTGAGCTCACAGCAATCAAAATATTCCCAGCACCACCAGCTCTCCGATATTCCATCGAGCGGACAGCAATCACGGTCGGCATCAAAGAATCGAGGTTGGCCAGATCCGACGGCAAAAGCGAACAATATCTCAGAGCAATCGTTAGTAACGAAGGACAGGGCAGTTGTCACTCACTCGCCGCATTAGGATACGCATGGTTATCCTCTACGGCACCCAGAAGATTGAGCTCTATCATATAGGGGACAGAGCCCCTCCAATGGAGAACGCAAATTATTTCCTTGATTCAAGAACAGATACTCGCAAACAATCACCACAAGTATTTTGTATTTATTAGTCTATGATAGCACGAAATGTATGTTGGAAATGATACCACAGCGTAGAAGCCGAATCTTTACAGCGGGCATGCAAATCCAAATCTCCCGCCCAGCCCTAATCTCGTGATCATAATGACGCGGCAGCGTCATCTCTACGCATTACCGATACCCCGCAAAATATGTGGGGTCGATGAGGCCGTGGGCAGGGTTGTGGCCGGGACGTGGCCAGGGGAACGGGTTTTGGGGGCGGCTGGAAGAATGAGGCGGCCGGCCCGCAGCTTCGGAACTGTTGATTCGCGAAATTACTCATCAGGCTCTAAGACGGATGAGACGATCTGTCGTGGGCAGAACCCCGGCTTTCGATATCAACTGAGTTTAGTAACGGCGGAACGCGGAGACGTTAGAGTTCATCACTCTACTTAGTAGCTATATGCGTTCCATTGCAATGCTTTTCCCATGACTCCCACCGCCTTCTCATACACCAAGCGGACCAAACGCGTTATTCGTTCCCCCAACTCGGCTATCACCCCACAACATGTATCTGCTCGAGGTGCTCGCCGCACTGTTCGTCCCTGGCAACGGCCTGTTGGCCCAATTCGCGGCGCGCGGGAAATGCATCTGATTCGCATTGGCCAGGCCGGTGCCAGACGTCATATGGTTGGTGATGAAGTGGGCGGCGACCTGGCTCTGGCCGCCGGCAAAGCTGCTGAGGACGGCCTGGGAGGTTGCGAGGTAGCTAGCGATGTTGCGCTGGGCGCGGTCGATGTGATTGTCGATCCAGTAGCACCACAGAGTGCGGAGCCCCCAGCTGGTGACGCCGTTGGGCCGCTGCGGGCCGGTCGGCTCGGTGGTGCCTTGGGGCGACTGGCCCCAGGTGAAGGCCGAGTCGAAGGCGTCGCAGATGGCCTCGACCTCGTTGGACGGCTGCGTCCAGCGCGGCCGGATGTCGGCGTGCTGCAGGTACTGGAAGACGGCGGCCGAGTTGCGCACGTCCTGCGTCGCGCCCGACTGCGAGCCCGTCGTCGGCGGCGGCGAAACCTGGTTGCCCTGCGTCCAGTCCTTTTTGACCGAGTTGACGTCTTGCAGCAGGACGGCGAGCAGGCCGCGTGTTTCCTTGCTGAGGGCGCTGCCGAGAGCCTCGGACGCGACGTGGTCGAGCCAGTCCCAGTTGTTGCCGTTGTACTGGAAGAGGAAGCCGTTGTTGTTGCCTGTCTGCGCAACCCCGAGCACCTGCTCGACCCACGCCGTGTCTGCTGCGGTCCAGCCGGCAGGGAAGGGGATGGGTCCGCCGTTTGCGTAGTTCTTTGAGGTGCCCGAGAGCCATTGGAGGAAAATGGTAATGATACCAACCTCGAAGACGTGATCCGTAGCAAATTTACTAACGCTAACGCCGGCGACCGTCTTGTCCTTGTTGCGGATGCTGTTCTTCACGATGGCTGGAGTGCATGCTTGCGTCCGGTCGTTATTTGGCATATACCACCTGGTTACGGGTCAACATGCTAATCAGAACACTGATAGTAGTTTTTCTTACTTTGAAACTTGCAGATCTGTGCTGTAGAGTCCACATTGAGGATATTCGGAGAAGGGGTACGCCTGGCCATTCCACGAGTACGTCTTTGTTTCGTACAGTACCCTCTTCGAAAGTTTGGCTTCCGTGCAGAGTGCATCCGGAGGGGGCAGGATATACGGGCAGGATGAATCATCACCATCTCGCTCTAGTAGTGCTCGGCGAGCCTTGGACGAGGAGTCGTCATCTTCGGCCAAGCCGATGGTGTAGCACAGCTCGCACGCCTCTCCGGGTGTTTCTCCTCCACCACCAGGGCACTTTTTGAACTTGTCGGGGATCGTGAACATGGGCGGAATTACGTGGTTCTCGCGCTTGGATAGAGAGCCAGCAGGTTCGATGAAGCTCAGAGCTGCAGGTAATGCATTTCCCCATGGATCCAGTGCTGGAACATATCTCGAGTGATTGAGAGCATCCGGCTGCCTTGTCTGGTATGGGGCTCTGAGAGTCCATACGTCACGCTTGGTGGGCTCCTGGGCCGGGCAGATCTCGCCTTTTCCGCCTGGTGTTATGTCTTTTGCGGGCAGCTCTGCAATTGGTATCCTGGTGGTGCCTCCCCAGCCAAAGAGGTCTGGTGCATCTAGCTGGGCGTAAAGCTGCGCTTGTGCGTTGATGCCGTATTTGAAGGGACATGTGCTCGAATCGCTACCAGCTGCAGCACTCGCATAGAATACCACAGATCCGTCAGCAACAAGATGCACAGCGGCATTGTCAACCTTCCATCTGTCATCGAAAACAATACCGAAGGTAACGGTAGGTTTCAGGTGAACCTCGACCTGGCCGGAGGCAGACACTTCCCAATTGAACTCGGGCGTTCCAAGTGTTTGAGAGCCACTGCGGTTTGGATCCTCGAGGGCTTTTGGTTCGTATCCAGACTCCTGCGGGTACGTTTGTTGTGTTTCCCAAGACGCGATGTTGACCTGGGCATCCAAGTGGCCGGCAACGACAAATGATGCCGAAAGGGATCCGTAGACCGCAACATTGGGGCCTACTGTGACGATACCTACGCAACGTGAGCAAGGCCTCCTTCGGATTGAAAACTCGCTACATACCGGGAACCCTGAAAGTTGCTCCTGGGAAGTCATCCAGCCCGATCATCTTTATATCTCCAGAGTCGTAAGTCAAAGATGCAACCGCGTCGAGTGAGAAACTGGCAGTAACCGAGCCTTTGTTCTTGAAATACAAGTACGACTGACTGAGGTCTGGAGGATTCGGAAGATTGAGTGTCGTGATGATGGTGATTCCGAAGCTGGTGTCCACTTGGAGATGAGCCGATATCTCTGCTTTGATGTTTGCTTGCGCCTGAGACGGTCTAGGTCAGCCATCATCTTTTTCTTGAGCCACCAGGCGTAACTTACAGTGGCAGGGCCTACGGGGCAGGGACCCCACTGTTCGTCAACCAGAATGGCGGTGATGGTTTCGTCCACCTGGTGGTTGAGTTCCTCGGTAACTTTGGCAGTCCCCGTGGTGATGAGGTTCTTCAACCAGGATATGACGCCACTTCCAAACCACCGCTTGTGTATCTCATGCTTATCTAGCGCCCCGAAATGCACGTCATCGCGCCATTCATCCTCAAGCCAGCGCTTGTGGTTTCTGCCAACGTCCTCAAGAGAGCGCTTGCGTTTCGTTTCTCCGGCCTTGTTGACGACGTTGTTCCAATAGCCTTCTTCATTGGAGAAGTCGATGCGCATCAGACTCTCGCCAAGATCGCGAGGGACTCTTGCAAAGTCATAGTCAAAGGTCAAGTCGTAGATCTCCCGGCCAATGAATTCTCGCTTGCGAATATGATGCGGCAGCTCCTGGTTTTCGGAGACGGTCATGTTTTTCGCAACAGCGTACTTTCCTGGGCCGCACTTTACGTTTGTCAGCCGTCTATCCGCAAGTTCCTTAGTAAACTTCTACTTACTCCATCTGGCATCTCCAGGATGGTACCAGGCACGCCGTGGCCGAGATATATTTTGTTGCAATTGCTGTCTTCCGAATAATCCGTGCAAACCATCCGAACGGTCTGCTCTTCCTCGCTGATGGAGTTGAAACAATCGAAAACTTCCCAATGGGAGCCATCTCGTTTGTCCAAAGACTGTTGTATCTCTTCGGGGGAAGTGATGATGACGAACCCAAACGCCGATTTCTATTTCCATCAGTTACAGGAAACATGGTATATATGGACTTGATTCTTACGTTAGGATCTCCCTCAGTGCCCTCATCTTCCCCGGTTCCCCAAGTGTCATCGGTTTCGAGTTTGAATTCCGGATTCGCCTCGTCATCACTAGGTGGATTGGGGAACAGATACTCCAAAGGCACCGGCAAGAATGGTGATTTGCCGCTTTCCGGGTCACAGCAGAATGCACGTGTCCGTTCCAGGCTACGAAAGATTAGAGTCTTGACACATTTGGCAGAGAGAAGGGAACCTACTGAGGGAAACAATTTTGGCCTTCACCATACTCGCTCTTTGCGAGCTCCACCTGGTGGCCGGTAGCACAATGGTTATCATCACAGCTATAGATACCTTTTCCGGTTGTGCCCTGCTTGGTATCAGCTCAAATCCCTCAGCGGCATCAGCATAGGACTCACCGCCCAGGCGCAGTTCTTCCAGTTCTTGGCTTCCTCCTTGGAGCAGCAAAACATCTTGCCGAAATCCAAATCATACGCATCAAGCACTTCGGCCAGCGCCTCGCCAACCAGACCAAAGAACTGAGAGAAGTCAGCAATAGTCTCCAGAAACGAGCCCTCGAACGTCATCAGCGTCTCATCCGACGAGCACGAATCCTTCCAGCTGCAATCAATCGCCTTGGCGTCTGGCACATCGCAGCAGTAGAACTTCAGGCCGTCGGTGCAGTAGTCGCCGTGGTCGCCCCACTTGTTCGACTCCAGGGCGACCTGGCCCGGGTCGCACTGGCCGTCGCAGAGCGGGGGGTTGCCGTGCCACTGGCAGTTCTTCTTGTCGGGCGCGGCGTCGACGGGGCAGCACAGGGTGCTGTCGGCGCTGTCCGAGTGGTAGCCGCCCCAGAAGCCCGTCGACTGGCCGCACGGCTGCGTCGTGATAGGCACCTCGCCCGGGTTGCAGCTGCCGCCGCACTCGGTCACGCGGCAGTCGCCGCCGCCGCTCTCCTTCCAGTAGTCGGCCTTGTCGGCCTCGCTGTTGAACGCTTTGAGCTCGTTTGGGTACAGAACGCCGCGGAGCGCGGCGAGGTCGGTCGTGTCTTGGTCGACGGCCCAGATGAGGAGGCCTGAAAGCCCTTGGTCGTTGGCAAATTTGACCTTTTGCTGGAAGGTATCTTTGTCATCGTAGGAAACCCTGGGTGGGTTAGCCAGCGGTTGAAGGTAGTTTGGAGGGATGAAGTACCATTGGTCTTTGTTCCACGTGATGTATTTGACGGCGTTTTCCTTGTCGTAGTAGGGCGATACGTTATAAGTATCGATCACGTCCATGATTTCCTTGTACGTCAGGGTGCCCGAGTTCTTCGAGCACGCCCCTTTGGTCGCACCGCCCTTGAAGAGGCAGCCAGGCTGCCAGCACTGCTAATGGTCAGTTCAGATTCTACCATTGGTCTGGGCAACTTACAGAGCTATCGGCCAGTTGGAAAGAACGGCCGTAGAACCCCAGGCCGAGGTTGACCTTTCCTGGGTCCACGTCATTACGCCACAAAAGGTCGAGGGATTGCTTGATTTCGGTAAGATTGGTATGAGCCAAAACATGGCTGCCGATTGGATCATCGGCATCCCAGACGCCGTGCAAGTCATACGACATGAGGTTCATGAAGTCAACGTGTTTCATCATGTTGGTCAAGTCGAACCACCGTAGGTACCAGTAGGAAGTTGGTGCTGTGAAAGAGACTTCGTAATCCTCGGGCTGCTTTGCGATTGCGTCTTTCAACTCCTTCATCAATAGGGTATAGTTTTCGCCGTCTTCGTCATGACCGCCGCGATCAGGTGCTCCGGGATACTCCCAATCAAAGTCAACTCCGTCGAAGCCGTAGTGTCGCATGAATGAGAAAAGGTTGTTGATAAACTTCTGGCGATTCGAGGACGACGACACCAAGTCCGAAAAGACTGGCTGGGTTGATGTGTCATTGTCGTTGAAGCTCCAGCCGCCGAGTGAAATGGTCGCCTTGAGCCCCGAGTTCCGCTTCTTGAGCGCAGTGAAGTCGGAGAACAGCTTGGCATCGACACCTTCCATAGGTGCGATCTCGAAGGTATCGGGAGTGATGTAGCCGAATGCAAAGTTGAGGTGGGTTAGGCTTTCGACAGGGATATCCTTGAAGTCCATGCCCTGGCAACTGCGGTCGTGCGCCCAGGACTCGTAGTAGCCGATGATGCGCTTCTGGACGTCTGTGTCAGACTTGCCAGACTTTGGTTGCTCGCAATTACTCTGGCAGCCTGTGTCCGGATCATCCGTCTGGGCGCAGAAGTCGTCCGTCATTCCGCAGAAGCCGTACTCGCTGCAGCAAACATTGAGAGGGCATTCTTTACCGGGCGGGTCGGAGTATCTGCCGCACTCGGCATGAGCATCGCAGTTGCTCCAGCAGACGTCATTGGGGGACTCTCCGTTTGTGCCACACGCGTCTGGTCCATAGTTGCATTGCCCAGTGGCCTTGGGGCAACAGGCACCGTTCTTGCATGGCTTGGTTTCCGAGCAGGAGTAGTCGTCGGCATCTGCTGACTCCCTGCGGAAAAGCCGAGAGACATTGGGGCATTTCCCAGGGTCATCAGATCGGGACTTTACGGAGAAGTCAAAGTAAGAAGGGAACGCAGGGTTTTCGCAGGTCGGTTGGACATCTTCAGACCGCGGCTTGAGGCCGGATGGTAAAGCCAAGACCGCATTGAACAGCAGAAAAAAGGAGAGGGAGACAACGGAAAGAGAAATGATCGATCTTCGATTGTAGGGAACCATGATTCAACGAAAGCTGAGAAGGAGCGAGGAGAGCAAAGAGCTCGGGTGTGTTTTCGAGCGAGAACCAGCGGGATCAGAGTGGTCACAAATATGCTATCACAGGGCAGCGGACCGCCTTACCGACCAGAATAGGGCTCATATCATCCAGCACATGGTACTGAATCCTTCAAGCGAAGGGCGGAACCGACATGCTGAGAAAGTCGTTGAAAGCCGACTCTTTGAGGGTCTCGTGGTGGGTTCGCCTGACAGTGGTGCATAGAAAATTGACCAACAGCCATTTCCAGGCATTTCGCAACCCTCAGCTCCGATGCAATATTGAAGGACTGCATTAGAAAGAAAGAGATATAGCACTTTTGGGATGTTGGGGGCTGAAACAGTAAATGGGTTGTGCAGCAAAGGGCATACAGCTCGAGGCGACATTGCTTTTTGCGGATGGGTGGTGTGTCATTTGACCCTTCAGACAGGCATTGTGTAATTTGCATAGTGGAGCGGGGTAGATTGGCTAAGGCTGAGTAGTAGGGCTTGTAGTATTCTTATCGCCGCTAAGCAACGCCACAACACGAGCTTAGCGGAGCGGAGGCTACGCCTGGCACGGTCCGGCCCGGCTTCTACCCGTATTAGGCAGCTCAAACTTCGACCGCGCAGCCCCCACTCGCCAACCTGACCCCGGAACGGTGGTACCTTGCAGACACACGACTTTTTGAACAGCGGTTGCGATCCTTCGGCCAGGCACCATCGCCTGGACATCCGTGGTCGGCAGTCAGAGACGGAGGCAACCCAATATCACGTTACAATTTTTTTCTGAATTTACTGTCCTTGTATTCAGCGAAGGTCGAGGTTCATCCGCTCTAAATCCATACTCGTCGTTCCTTCATATCCTCAGTCTTCATCTCTCTGCCGTCATGCTATTCAATTTTTTGTTTGTCGGTTCCTTTGCGTTCAGGGCGTTAGCCCTGCAAATCTTCTCCAATGCATCTGTGCCGGCGAACGCTTCACAGGCGTGCGGCAATGCCTGGATGGCGGACCTTCAGTGCATCCCCGTCGTCTTTACCTTCAGGCCTGGCAACTACTACAATGAGACCCTGTTGAAGTTGGCATGCACGTCGGAGTGCGACAAATCCCTGGCGTCCTGGGAAGCGGGCATCTTTGGCAATTGCCACGATGTGCCCTGGACGGATGCATACAACGAGAGTGCCCCCATCGAAACCGTGCCAAACCTCGTGAGGTACAACTATAACCAGACATGCCGCACGGACTCGGGCCGGTACTGCAATGCAGTGCTGGGAGCTGCGGCTGCATCCGGAGGCGGCGGAAACTTGTCTGCATGCGACCTCTGCGCCGTCAAAGCTCTTCAGTTTGCTGCAGGATCCCCCTACTACGACGGGTCGATGCTGCAGGCGCAATCTGTCTATCAGCAACTCACATCGAGCTGCGGGGTCACAGGTCTGCCTCTGAGCACGACAACTCTCTCGTTCCTGTGAGTGGTGGCCTGCCTGATCCATTACGCAAACTGACTGTCTTGTAGGACGAGCACATCCACCACACCATCACCTACGCCGACCTGTGCTGCAAAGACATACTCAATCCAGAGCGGCGATGATTGCCACTCAATAGCAAAATCGCAGGGAATCGGCACCATGTGGTTGATGACTGACAACAATCTCCCAGCATGGTGCAACGACTTCCCCACGACAGGGGAGCTGTGCCTCGTGAATACGTGCAGCGTGTACACAGTACAGCAGAACGACACTTGCGATTCGATGGCGGCAGCGAACAGTATATCGACCGTGCAGCTACATGCATGGAACCCTTCGATCAACGCAGGTTGCAGTAACCTGAACAGCAGCATTGGCTTTGAAGTGTGCATCGATGAGCCTGGCCAGAAGTATATCACGCCCAACGAGACCTTCACAGCCACGACTGCCACAACGCCGGCACCTGTGCCAACCAATGTGGCGGATGGAACCAATACAGAGTGTGGACAGTACTACCAAGCTGTTGCTGGAGACTATTGCAACCTCCTCACCCTCAAGTTTGGAATCAGCCTTGAAGACTTTATTTTCTTGAACCCTGCAATCAATGAGAAGTAAGCCGCCTCCCTCTTTGTGCCAGATGAATTTGCTGACAACAATTTGCACAGTTGCACTAATCTTTACGCAGACGAAAGTTACTGCGTGGAGGCCGTAGGCGACAGTAAGTGATGGTACATATTTTCAGCTTGCTTCCTGTTTGCTGACGACGGTGTTGCTCAGTAAACACGTATTCCGGCCGCCCCGGATACGTCACAGCCACGCCAACATACTCTGTAAGCATCCACCTCTGTTTACGAGAGTAGCAACTGACGGTCAAAGATGATTCCATGGGATAGCTGGCCGGATGCCACCTTCACGCCCAACACGACAAGCTCAACAGGGCTACCACTCGCTTTGGGCACTCGTCGAGACTGCAACATCTACATGGACGGAGACGACTACCAGTTTCCAGACGCAGCAGTGGACGGCACGACACAGTGTGACGTTGTGGCGGGATTCTGGGGCATCAGCGTGACAGATCTGACGTACTGGAACCCGTCGCTCAATGCATCGTCTGCCAACTGCAGTCTTTCCACGGGGCTCAGCTACTGCGCAATTTGGGTTGATGTGCCAGCGCCGGCAATTCCCACAACGACGTCTGCGCCTATCAGAGTATGTTTTCCCCTTCGATGAGACTACGTAGCTGACAGTGCCCGGCAGGACGGTGCAGTGGCGAACTGCACGTACTACTACGACGTCGAGGCCGGGCTGACGTGCCAAGACGTGCTCGACTACACCTGCCTCACCATCGCCCAGTTCTACGCCATGAACCCTGCCGTCGGCGCCGACTGTAGCGGGCTCTGGCTCGGTAAGCACTTTCGGCACAACCTGCATGCATCATCTGACGTTTGCAGGATACCAGTACTGCGTCCGCACCGATGACTACGTCGACCTGATCGGCTGTAGCGACGGCGACGACAACTCGACAACAACAACGACGCAGACGGGCACGCTGACGGCGCCACCCACGACGGGCACGCAAACCGGCACGGCCGTGCCCTCGACGACGGCGCCGGGCCCGACGCAGACGGGGCAGCCGGCCAACTGCAACGCGTGGTACATAGCACAGGGTAAGACGCAGGCTCCTCCCCGCAATACATACGCCCTCTCACTGACGAACGCATGACAGACGGCGACTCCTGCGCCTCGGTCGAGACGACGTATCTCATCAGCGCCGCGCAGTTCCTCGCGTGGAACCCAGCTGTGTCGGAGGACTGCTCGACCGGGTTCTGGGCCGGGTACGCGTACTGCGTCGGCACGACGGACGCGCCTGTTTCGACGCCCGCGGCGACGACGACGACGTCTGCTGCGAGTACGACAACGACGGCGGCGGTGCCGTCGCCGACGCAGGGTAATAGCATTGTTAGTAATTGCAACAAGTATGCGCAGGCCGCCGAGGGGGATTACTGCTCGCTGTTCGCCGAGGAGAATGGCATCACGGCGGCGGAATTGTATGCGTGGAATGCGGTGCTGGAGGAGGATGGGAGCGGATGCGATACCCAGTTCTGGCTGGGGTACTGGTACTGCGTTGGCGTTGCTGCTTAGCTCGGGTTTTTATTGGGGGCGGGCTGAATTAAGCAAGCGGGCCGAAGCTTCTTAACGTAGTACCCTGTCGGTGCCTGCATGAAAAGACCGGCCTCGCTTATGCTTGTATCGAAGCTATATTACGACATCCCTACCTGCCTGACTCTCTCTTCCTTTCCTTCTACCGCCGCTTCTCCCCCCATCCCACCACACCACAACCATGTCCGCCCCCGAACCCACCACCACCAACCTCCCACCCCGCAAGCGCCTGCACGCTGCTACCGCCGCGCCGCTCCCAACCTGGCACGCCGCCCGCACCACCGACCACGCCGGGCAGCCCGCCCACGCCGTGTGGTTCGGCAGCTCATCGTCATCACCACCACCAACCGCGACATCCTTCCAAATCTACACCACCAGCGCGGCGCCGCCTACCACCACCGACCCGGCAGGCGCCGCTCTGTCCGCCGTACGCCTCCTCCTCGGCGGTAGCGGGCCCGATGAGCTGCCCGCACTGCGCACTGCGCGCAGGATCGACGTGTACGCAGGCATGCCAGACGTGCTGGCGTGCGTCGAGCATCAGCGGCGCGAGATCCGGGCGCGGAGCGGCGGGGGCGCGGCCAGCATTCCTGGGTTCGCGGCGTCGGCGTATGAGAAGCCGAGGGGGTTGGCGGTGTTGTTGGCGGTGCGGGCAGAGGAGGATGGGCCGGTTTTCGTGTGGTTTGAGCGGCGAGGTGGGGCCGGTAGGAGGGTACGTGTGCCTGGGGATTTGGAGGTTGAGGAGGGTGGGGAGTTGGCGTTGGAGAGGGTGGAGGTGGAGGCTGTTAGGATAAGGGTGTGGGACGCGGTTGAGGGGGAGATGAGGAGGGTGAGGGTTGAGGACGTGGATGAGGGAGATGTGAATTCTGAAGATGATGAGAGTGCGGCGAAGGCGGGAGAAGACGAGGGTGAAGGTGGAAAAAAGGGAGGTGCAGCAACTCGTCCACAGCACCACCTCAACATATCTTCAGAGGTTGACACCGCTGGAGACACCTATATCATCATGGACAACATCCCAACAGAAGCCGTCTCTCACAATAATATTCACCTAAGCTACATCGTCTACGATCTCAGCGGCAGCGAAGACCTCACCGCCGTCGCCCATTCCTTCACCGCCTCTCTCCTGTACCACCTCCCCTCCACTACCATTGTTCGCATCGAATTTCATCAGGCTCCGACCCTGGCCGCCAGCATCGAGCGCTGCCACCTTGAGCTGCGCGCACGCCCAGACCTTTGCATCGGCTACCTCGACAACCAATCCGCCCTGCACTCCCGCATCTTTCCTTCCAGCCCCAGAATCGAGGCCGCTATCGACAAGCATCGTGCCCACACCCTCGGCCACGGCGTCCAGATGTCAGGGCTTAGTGTGTTTGTGGTAGCGCTGGAAAACAAGAATGAAGACGGCGTGCTGTTGGTGAGAGCAAACCCGGATCTTGGTGCATTAAAGCAGCTGATGGGGAGAAATCCTGATGATGAAACCGTGACCGTAGCGAAGGCGGTTGAATTGTTGGTGGGGAGGCCGCCGGGCATGGCGGCCGTGGCGGCGAGGTTGGCGGGGAATCTATAAGAGCTATTGTTCGATTGAATAAAGGGGTATTCCAAAATGCCAACAAGAATGTGCCCTCTTGGATTTCTCATACGACACAATCTCCATCCTACACCTCCGGAGATTTGCGCTTAGGAGTTATAAAAAATTGCTATCTGTAGACAATAGAGCTACCGTTTCTGGTGCTGGCAGGACCAGTCCAACAAAGCATCGTATTCTCAGAGCTTTAGAAAGTTTGCTTACTTTCATACCTGTAGATTAGTGCTTGAGAACCCCTAATAAGGATACTCGGAGAAGAGGTGCTGCTATCCATTCCACGTGTACGGGTCTTTTCTGTAGAGTTTTCTTTCGGAAAACTTGGCTTTAATGCCTACTGTTACAGAAACGAATTATTGAAGCCCACGTCCATAATAATATCCAGCCCAGTTCTATCCTGAGATGATTCTATTTCAAACTGTTTACCACTGTTAGCCGCTATTAGATGTTTATACATATATTCAATTGGGCTTACTAATCCATGGAAAAGCCCTTGTTCGCCTTCTGGAAACTGCAGATCATTAGAGTCTACATTACTCTGACGGCTGGTATTCGAAATACTAGGTGTACCGAGTTGGATTCCATTAGACGCGACTCTGCAATCGATGCCGGTATCATTCGGTGCCATGCAGGGTCCAGACTCTTTTTGCGGATGAACGCTACACCCAGGTGACAGCGACGAGACCAGCACGATTGCAGAGTAGCTTTCGGCTAAGCCAAACTTCATTGCTATTTCCTATATACAAGTAGAGTTATACTTATGAAAGATGGAAAAGCTCAGCCGTAGCTCCATTCTGTAGCTTCTCATCAATAATACTCGCGCTCATTCTTCCATGCAAAAAGCACTCTCCAATAAGCTCCCACTCAATCCCGTCTACTTGCTGGGGTCGTGGCGCAGACTGTTTGGGCCGCAAAATAAACGGCACTTTTCCTCCAAACAACGCAACGATAGTATCATCCAGCTGAGTCTCAGATGGGCAAAGGCCGAGTCTCCACTCATCTGACATGAACAGACATTTCCCGATAGGTCCCGATAAATCGAAGCTCAATAAACCAAGGCTTTCCGTGTTAGATTCGATGGTCTCTTCGAGGGACTGTTGCAGAGACTCACGGATCCTTGGCGGCAGTGTTCGCATGTCTGCATCGTAGCTTTTCCAATATTGAGCAAGAGGCTTCGCTGAACTCGGCTCCTCCCAAACATTTCTGGCCCGGGGTTCTGGGCTTCTGAGCAGGATCGTTTCCAGAAGATCCCTGAAAATATCCTCCCAGTTTCCATTGTAAGAACTTCTCGGGTGTCCAGGCCAGTCTTGCGTTGGTTGCGTATCGTCATCCGCAGGCTTCTGTATCATCATCCAGACCTTGTATAAGTTCCTTGGAATAGTAAGTTTTGACTTGAGGTGAGGAGTAACTTGTTCCAGGACCCCCTCGTTGGCAAGCATCTTCCACTTACGGGGGGAAATCGATCTTACGGTTCCTATGCGTACTCCACGTAGGCTCAATAAGTCAAAAGATTGTGTGACGCACAGGGCATCCATGTCGATAGCCTTGGTCTCCGCAAGACTGAATTGTGAGCCTGAAAGCGCCAGATTGCCTCTCGTAGGATCCGGTCTTCCTCTGTGCCAAAGTGCCCATGAGGGATAGCCAAATTCGACAACGTCGTTTGTCTGTTCGTCGCGGTGTTGATCAGGACGTAATTGCTGGACGGTTTCGGCAACAACACTGAGAACGTCAAGGTTGCGGTAATTCTCGATGCACCAACGTGTGAAGTCGCAGAAAAGCTGCTTCTCAGTTTTGTCGTAGTCAATTGCAAGTCTTGCAGGCAAATCAGATGTCGACAACCTGTTCATCTCCCTCGCCAAGCCAAAGAGCGCAAATAGCTTGTCACGAGGATCGCCGGAGTTGAAACTAGTGCAAGTCATACGAAACAACTCTAAAACCGTCAAAGACGCATCAGGAGTGTTTGTGTAGCGGATGCGGACCAACTCTGCCCATATGGTAGGAACCGGAGTCTTTGGTTGTTTCTGTTCGTGGGCACAGATCCGTTGTGAGAGTCTCTGTAGCAGCAGTACATCGGTCCACTCAACGAAGTTTTCCGGATCGATATGGATCCATGCCTCCCCACGTGTCCGGAACACTTCTTGCAGCACCCAAATTCGAGTGAACCAAGGCCGGTCGAACACACGGGAAAGTGTTCGGACGAGATCCCACGGAAGGTGCGCCTTGCCCCCATACGTGCCGGCAATCAGAGACAGCTTCTCCAACTGGTCGTCAGATAAATCCACGTTTGAGGTGATCTCATGTCGCACCACATTGCAATAGGCTTTGACCCTCTTGGCAGCTTCTTGCATTGCTTTGTCTTCACCAAGCCATATCCACAAATTCGCCGCACTTGCATATATCTGACCCATCATCCCGACTTGGTATGAACGCTCTTCGTTGTCGTTCTGATTTATGCACAGGGCATCAATCCAAAAGTGTGGGTACTTGGGTTTTCGTCCGAATCCGGGATCCCAATATTCTCGTTGCCACTTTCGGAAGCTCCTCAGAGCATTGTGGAGGTTTTCGGTGACGCGGAACGGCTTGAAGCGGGTGAAGTAATCACCACCACCATCGGGTCCAGTTGGCATATGCGCGAGTGTAATAGCTCTCTGGTTTTGCATCTCTCCCCAGCAATACGATAGCGCAATATAGTGATGTTGCTGCTGAACCGGAGGTTTGAACTCGAGTAGGACACAGCTGACAGGCTCATTGTCATCTTTAGCTGGCATAATGAACACTAGTCGGATCTCGTGGGCTGCCTTGTCCAGCGGCTTGTAGTCAGTATAGTGTTCGTTTGGTATCCTCTTCGTTGTTGTCTTGTTTGCATCTGTGACGCACGGTCCTTCGTCTAGGATGTGGTCCACATTTTCGTTGAAGACCATTTTCGGCCTGACGACGTGCTCGACGTCAGCTGCATGCATGCATTCCTTACAGTAAGCCCTCTCGTAATCCTGACTGACTGCAAAGATGTGCCCAACTGGGCCACCGCATGATGCGCAAGGCTCGCAGGGTGCCATTTCGGTCCTGATCTCCGAAAATCCTGGTTCGTCCATCTCTTCAGTCATCTTCTGATGTGGCCAGGAGAACCCGTGCTTCTTGAACATCTCTTTGTCGCTTAGTTCTTTGGAGATGCGTTGGCCGATACTACCAAAGAAGATGTTTTCCCGCGCATCATCATGGTCCTGCTCAGGAGCGTGACCGGGACTATAGGCCTGAGGCAACCAGTATAGATCAGGCGATTCCTGGATTTATCCGTCTATGTTAGTATCTTGTTGTAACGGACGCTGCTGCTTGTTTTGCTACATACCATGACGGTTATGACAATCCTGATGTGTCTTATATAGCTTACCCAGTCCAAGGACTATGAGGTGGTTCGAGTAATTATTAGCGTTTATAAGGTTTTAAAACGATGAAACTAAACGTGAAGTAACTTACCTGAGATCTCGCCCATACGGCAATGCGATCTCCCTCTCTCAATGCTTCTACAAATTTTGCTCCGTGATGACGTCTAGCACCCACATCAGGTTGCCCCCTCGCCTCCCAAAGGACTTCGCGTGCCTGCCACTCAGGTGAAACCCGGTTCTCACACACGCGATAAACACCACCACAAGAACTACCTGGTACATCCACAAAGTCCCATCCTTGTTGGGTAAGGTCATCCAGGAAATCTAAAGGGGAGCTGCGAACGTCATCGCTTACGACAGGTGTAATGTTGTTGTTGTCACGGCGGCCGTCTGTACAGCAGGCCGCAGGATCGTCGCATCAAACCACGATTTTGATGCGCGTGGCTGGGGCGGTGCCCAGCGTTGGTCGCGGCTCACTAGCGATATATTCACCGCGGAGACGCCAGCGGGGAGGGGATGGGAGAGAAGGTAGAGTTGAGCGACTGGCTCCGCTGAGGGTGCCTTGAGGATGGTCGAGGCCGATCGATAGCTGTGGACGAACGTGTGGAGTATCCTGTTGCTATCCATTGGAGCGTTATCAAGGCTACTTTACTGGAGTTGTGAAGAGTTTTGGATCTAAAATATGCTGAACAAAAAATGGGGAACAAGTGAAAACGCTGAGGATAGAATTAACAAGTAAGAAATTACGAAGGAAGTTTAGCAGGTGAAAGAGTAGAGTCGCCGAGGATTAATCTTAGGCTAAAGAGTGGGAGAATGGGTATATTTCTCAATTGTACTGGCATGGAGGATAGAGCGTGGATATATAGATAGTAGTGTACTTAACTCACGTGATATGACTTCAACAAGGGCACTCTTGACATGTGAGAATGCGGGGAGCACCTGTTCTTTGCGCCATTAATGATATCTGACATGCGTTTTCTGTGATATGTCATTTATGCGAAGAAGAATGTTTCTAGTGGGAGATGCAGGGCTGCGTTAGTGTAGAAGCGTTTCTGCCTAAAGGTTTGCCACATGCATATGACGCCAGTGTCTTTGCTGGAGGGGGTTTTGCTGACTTGATAGGTGAAGCTAGGCTGTAAATCCACTGCCGCGCCAGCCGAAAGTCAGGGTATACTGCGACCCGGCCACCTGCATGCAGATGACAGTTGGCAAGACGAGTATGCAAGTTATTTTAAAGCGTCGCAATGAAGGCTGGGTCTAGAAGGACCGACGAATGAATACAATTTATAACATTTACGTATTTTCAGCTACATGAACAGGGTTTATGTGTGCTATTCTATTGACATTGGCCCGGCGCGGGGTACAGCATCGTCCGCCCTGACCCAATCGCACGCGCCCAAATGGACAGACAATGTGAAGAGCAGAGTGACCTGGCAGCCATATGCTTAAGATAGTCAATAAGCTCCATATCAAAAATTCGCTCATGTAATAGGTAGCTAGAGCTTTTGTCCAGAGGTAAGTGTGTAATTATGCTCGTTAAATCCAAAACTCCCAAAACCCTTAAAACACTGGAGCTGTCCACGAAGCCTAAGCTGCTGCGTCCTCTAAAACATCGATTCGATCCAAGATGGCCTATTTAACGCCTGGTGTCTGTGCATTATGTGCAGCTTTAATTTTCTAGATATCATCCTACGAGACAAGCTGGTAAGTATTCATCAAATATAAGTAGAAGCTCACGCTTACATCAATAAAAACTTCTACCTTCTTCAACGCCGCTGCAGCGCGACTGGTCATCTAGGTTTTCCATTTTGCTACGATGTTCAACTTCTCATATAATCCGTCTAGGGTCATGCACACTTCTTTCGTCGGCATGCTTGCAGACAAATACGCAGGTGGCGACCTGGAAGGATTCAAGGCAAAGCGCAGCAAACAAGTGCTAATGGGAAAGGTGGGAAATTCATTCGACGTTGCCTACACCGCAGCATTTCTAGCTTCTTCTCAAAGTCGATAGATTACTGGCCAAAATACGCTATTTTGAATAGTAACTAGAGCATACTCTTCCACATTTTCCGGTATCTATCCGTTCTTCCCGGGTTATCTCTAGCTGAAACAGCCGTCTTGAAGCCTTCTTTCTGCGCCATCTGCTGGAATGCCACTCCTTCGGGAGAATTCCTCGTGATGCCATCAAATACAGTCGCTAACCTCTGCGCACTCGCCACCTGCGGCTCAATAAAACCGTTCACCACCTGCTTAGACATCCATAATTGATTGCAGGGAACACTCTTGATGCGGCCCACAAGAAGTTGCGTCGTCTCCTCGAGATGAGCACGTGGCACAGCCTTGATAACAAGCCCAATGGCCTCAGCTTCTTTCCCACTAATCAAGTCCCCCGTAAAAAGCATTCTCTTTGCCTTTTCGGCACCGATCCGAGCCGTCCACATGGCCGTTGTGGGACAGCCCCAAACACGGCTCGGCGGGTACCCGATGCGCGCGTCGTCGGCCATGACCACCAGGTCGCAGCTCAGCGCGATGTCGCTGCCGCCCGCCACCGCGGCGCCATGGACCTGAGCTACGGTCGGTTTGCGGCTGTGGAAGAGCTCCGCGAAGCATGCAGTGTATTCGCCCATGATGCGGTAGTCCTCCAGGGGATCGTATCCGTTGCGCAGGTCCTGGCTGCCGCCGGTCTGCCCGCGCTCGGCTCGCTCGGCATAGGCCTGGAGGTCGTAGCCTCCGCAGAAGCCTGCGCCGTTACCTTTGACGACGATGATATGGACATTCCGGTCTTCGTTGGCTCGACGGACAGCAGAGCGGATCTCGTATGGCATGCGCTCATCGATAGCGTTCAGAAGCGCAGGACGGTTCAAGACGATGAACGCCGTCTTTCCGTCAGCAGAGGTTTCGTACAGGATAGATTTGAAAGCTTTCTCTTCCATGATGGCTCTTAGAAAGTGACCATTACTCCAGAAGAATGAATGTTGAAGATGGTTTCAGAGTTGGTTGGAGCTTTGGTATTTCCGTTTACCTCGGTAATGACAGCGGCGGAGGATGCGGAACACGACCCTCGAATGAATTCGACATGGGTCCTGGGGTCCTGGTTCAGTACTAGTGCTCCCGTCCTCTCCGCCTTTTGCTCACCTCATCAAAATCCTGCCGCTCGCCTATTGCTAAACCGTCTATTCATTATTACGGCGCAGCCGCAGGAGAGAACGGATTAGAAGTTAGAGTTGCAGCTCCAAGCGGAAAAGCCCCTGCGCCGCGCCCGATAACCACGCTTGTCACGGTTCCTTCCAAGAGCGATCTGGGAAAGTACCCCGACAACATATAGATAGCTATCCAATCAACCTAGTCAACCGGGCCACTATTAATGCATTCACAATTCTCACTCTCATCTTGTGCCGTAGCAGCGCTAGTAGCTGCGATCATTCGATCCTTTGTCGCGAGAATTTTTCTCGCACCAGTCCGCTTCTGAGAACCACACACACTTCCGGTTACATGGACCAAGCGGCAGAGTTGATGTTTCTCTAACATAGCAAAGATACTTTGCCGGAGAAGTTATAGCGGAGAAGTTATAGCGGAGATAATTGTTCAGCGGACAAAATGTACTGGAGGTAATCATCAGCGGACAAATTTTAACGGAAATGTTTAGTTTAGCTCCGACTCTAATAGATTCTAGCCTATCTCCTAGTCTAGCTTAGTTTCCTTTTTTCTTCTCAAACAGCTCTACTCTTAATAACTATATATATATAGTATAACTCGCTTTTACCATCTCTCCTTCACGCTTTCCTTCATACCACAATCAAAATGGCCAACCAGATTCATTTCATCGCCCTCATGTATCCAGACCCGGAGAAGGTCGACAGGGTAGATCAACCTTACATTCTCGAATTTCTGCATTGGCTTACTTCTAGCAGTTGACCGAGCTTATTCAAACTGTTGCGGAATACGTTCACGATCACGAACCTGCTGTATGGCAGTATGAATTTTATCGGTCCACTACCAAAGAAAATCAACCAGTCGTAGTTGTTATTGAACGGTAAGTATTTATTTTTCGATGGGGTATAGGATTGATACTGATGTATATTTCTTACGATATTAAGGTACTTCGATCAGTCTTTTGTTGACGTTCACATACACACCGAGGGATATCAGAAGTTCTCACAAGCTCTTACCAATGAGAAAATATGTATTCGCGACCACAAGATTTACTTTCTATCGAAGATAGCTGGCTTCAAGCGTTCCTAGCGACTCTGAACGCAAATTGTTTTCTTCATTCTTTGCGCACGATTGCGTTGTGGTATTTTTCTTTTTGTTTTGCTTTTCTTTCCTTGAAATATCGTTGCGGAGTAGCACCAAAACAAAATTTGACTTTTTCTACCTGCTACTCTGCAAAGCCGACCACGGAAATATGTATGTGTGAGATCTCAACGGGGAGCCGAGCAGAACTCACGTTAGTGTCTGCGCTATCTGGAGCCAATTGCTTTGTTGAGTTGCTCTATGGGTTCCTCGTCGCCTGGTGAACTGCTATTATGCTTGTAACAGGGATTGGGACACGTATCGCCTGGGGTTTATGGCGTGATTTCGGAGACAAGACAAGACAAGTTAGCAGGGATGTTTCCTTCGTTAGGATTATGGTGCAACGTGTGCGCATCTCGGATTCTCGTATGCAATCCGAGCCGATTCACTTAAATACTCTCACACCACCTAATTTGACTTCTCGGTAGGATTTCCAATGGAACAACATGTCAGAGATCAGCGAAACAATCAACACCTACCGCCCGGATCTCACCACCTACGAGGAATTCTACAAGCATCTCCATCGAAATCCCGAGCTTTCCTTCCAAGAGCGTGAGACTGCGGCTACTATATCAGCGCGTCTGACCTCTCTACTCGATGCCTTCCCCTCCATAAAAACGTCCATCCACACTGAGATCGGGTCCTACGGCCTCGCCGCTGTTCTACACAATCAGGATCCACATGGCAGTAGTCCCACTGTTCTGCTCCGCGCAGACATGGACGCCCTCCCCGTCGAAGAACAAACGAGGCTTGAGTATGCCAGTAATAAACGTATGATAGCGTTGGATGGAGTGGAAAAGCCGGTCATGCATGCATGCGGCCATGACATGCATGTATCAGCGCTAATAGCGGCCGCGGAGCTCTTGCTGAAGGCGAGAGAGAGGTGGAGGGGCACGGTAGTATTATGCTTTCAGCCCGCTGAGGAACTCGGAAAAGGGGCGCAGGCGATGATAGATGGCGGGCTGTATGAGAAGGTGCCCATCCCGGACGTACTTATAGGGGGGCATGTCATGTCACGCAAGGCTGGTAAGAATAAGCAGTGACACGAAAGAATTGGCAAGCGCTAAGTCATTTTCAGGGACCATTGGAACACGTCGCGGACTTTTAGCTTCAGCAGCGGACTCATACACGTACATACACTCTTCTCCCTCTTTGCTCTAGAATTACAATGACTGATCTACTCCCGCAGACTCAAAATCCATGGCCGCTCTGGGCACGCTTCTCAACCCCACCGCACCTGCGACCCCATTGTTACAGCGGCCCATACGATAGTCCGGCTTCAGTCCATCGCCGCTCGAGAGGTTGATCCCGAGGAAGGCGCCGTCGTCTCCGTCGGTTACATCCACGCCGGCAATGCCGTGAACGTCATTCCAGACACTGCACACGTCGGCATCGACGTACGTACCTTCTCGCCAGACACGCGCGCCCACGTGCTTGGGGCTCTGCGCCGCATCGTCAATGCAGAGAGCGCCGCCGCCGGGGCGCCGCCGCCCGAACTCGTCGAGGAGCGGGCCTACCCGTTCCTCGTCAATGACGAGATGGCAACGCGGAAGGTGGAAGACGTGTTCAGCGCTCATTTTGGGGACGCGTACGATGCACATGCGCAGGGTCTGGGAGGCTCGGAGGATTTCGGCGTCCTGGCAACGGCCGTGGGGCGTCCGAGCGTCTATTTCATGTACGGCGCCACGGACCAGAGACTGTGGGAGAGATTGAAAAACGAGGGAGAACTGCAAGCGGTACCTAGTACCCATTCGGCCTCTTTTGCGCCTGTCTTGGAGACGTTAAGGTTTGGAGTTGACGCATATAGTGGAGCCGCTTTAGCATTTTTAAAGCGGTAGCAGAGTTACGACTACATTGTAGATATCAGAGATAGGATTACGAAGCGTGGATCTGGACCTGTGTGATGGCAAAAGTGTGTATGCGTTTTCTATTCATTTGACCTTTCTTCTCGTGCTCAATTGACTAGTGTATCTAACAGTAGTAGCCATAGGTGTAACAACTTCTTTGACTGGTCGCCGTCGCCCCTGAACCTGGCCTCCGTGTCAGATAGGCGACGCCAACGGGTCATCTCGCCCGGGCTCCCACTCTAGGTACCTACTGTGCTAGGTAGCGCCAGAAGCTTACACAAACCGCTTTAGAGACTGGTAGAAGACGTCTTCCGCTGTCCAACTCGCGACAGAGAGTCAGTTTGTAGCGATGTAGGTAATGTTAGCGCCTCGGTAGGTTTCCCGCTGCAAACTGCGATTCATCCCTTCAGTCAACCATCAATACCGCCGCAGGCAGCAAAAAAGAAATGGGTGCATTAATCTCCATGCATGGTAAGAAGGTATATAGGAAGAGTAAGTAAAAAACTTACGTAGAATATAGATCGACGCATGTGGTTAGATAGTAAGAATATTAGTAGCAATATACCAAACCTATAATAATTAATAACGAGAATAAGCTAAAAGAAAGATATATAGGCTGAACCTACTATACGCTACCGCGTGTGTTCTATCCCTTGGGTTATATATGTACATCGCCCACCAGTGTCTCTTGCACGCCTGCGTGGTCATCAATGTCATCTACAGAGAGTGGCTCACACTCGCTAATGTAGTAGCTAAGGTCTGCCCCTTTGAACGGAATTGTGCGAGATCGCAGAGCTTCGGATGCATCAATGCCCAAGCCATCTCCAGCAGGATCTTCGATCCAGGACATGCCCTTGCCCCAGTGAGCAAATCGATTCCCACGGTAGGTCCAACTGTAGTTCTCCCATTTGTTCTCTGCGAGGACTTGCATGTAGTGAAGCGAGCTTCCGGGCCACAGAGCTGTGACCTTGCCTCCAGGACCGGATTTGACTGGCCAGAGCGGACACGTGAGCTACATGAAAAGTTTCAAATCGAGACAAGAATTAATGAGTAACTTACACCAGCTTCTACAAGCTCCTGTCCAAACCGTTTGTCTCATAAAACTCTGCGTGTGTGTGTCGAAATCTTTCTGGGCGGCTTCGGCGACGTCAAATGTCTTGACATCCTCTCTCAGAACTTTGCGCAGCATTCGGATGAAGTAATCGCTTGTTGCCTCGAGAGAACCTGCCAAAACTCAGTTTCAACGAACACCGGATATTCCAGCGTGACATCATACCCATTAGGCTACCGTTTGAGATTGGTGTATTTGGTCCCAGGAACATGAGATAGTTTGGGAACCCCGCCACGCCTGTTCCCATGTATGAGACAGGGTTTGATTCCCACAGATCTTGCAAGTTGTTGTTTTCCCGTCCGATGATAGGGAAGCGCGGTCGGAACGTTGTGTCAAAGCCAGTAGCAGCAATCAGAACATCTGCCCGTCGAACGTGACCGCCAACGAGGATACCTTCCTTCGCAATGGCCTCGATCGGTTCGAAAACAGCCTGCACGTTCGGCTTTTGCAGCGCCACCAGATAACTTTCCCCGGGGTTGATCCGCCTACATCCTACTTCAAAGGATGGAATCAGCTTCTTCTGCAAGTCCTCGTCTTTGATAAGATTCTTCATGCGCAACTCGAACTTGGCGCGCAAGTCCTGCTGCTCCTCAGTCGATTTGAAGAAAGCTTTGAACATGCCATTGAAATGGTTTTCCATCTCTTTCCTTGTCTTGACTGAGAAGATAGGATCGTCTCGGAACTGCTGCATGTCTTGCACTGTGTAAGGAGGATTGACGGGACCCTCTTTACTGCGTGCAAAAGGCGGGGAGATCCATGAGGGTGTGCGAATGTAGACATCCACTTGGCCACATGTTTGCTGAATGCTTGGAAGAACTTGCACGGCACTTGCTCCCGCACCAATTATTGCAATGTGTTTTCCCGAGAGATCCACGGACTCGTTCCAAGCAGCTGTGTGCAGCAGTGGGCCTTCGAAACCGGATAGTCCTGGGATGTCAGGCATTCGGAAGTTGTTCAGAATGCCCCCAGCGTTGATAAGGACATCGCTCTCGACCGTTGCTTTGCCCTCTACTTCTACCTTCCACGTTCCTTGCTCTTCCTGCCAAATGGCGCTCACTACCTTTGAGTTGTACGTGATGTACTTTTCGAGATCGAACCGTTTGCAGACTGATTTGAGGTACTTTTGAATCTCTTTTGATGTCGCATAACTACCAGACGAAGTTTGAGCTCAGTCCGCCCCGAAGCGTGGAAGGCCAGCAGAAGGAAAAGAGGCACTCACTATTTCGTCCAGTACGGATTCGGGGCGAACGAATACTGGTAAATATGGCTTGGAACATCACAGGCGCACCCTGATTTATGATTGGTCAAAGGAACATCCTGATTGGACCTTGAGAAGGTGGAGTTTTCACCTGGATACCTGTTCTCGTGCCACGTTCCTCCCAGGTCGCTGGACTTTTCGAAAAGCTGAAAATCAACGTAACCTGCTAGATGGGTTTGAAGCTTGTACGCTTTTTTCCCCCTGATCAACACCTAGCCCACAAGTGTAATCGTCTGAACGAATGACTGACCCATGAGGATCCCAGATATTCTTTTAAAAAATGGTTAGAACCCAAAATAGAGATAATACGAGCTTTGCTCACCCTGCTCCAACGACGATGCAGCGAAGTCGCTGCTTTGTTCGAGTCTCCTCTGATGACATTCTTTGGATAATGAGCGCAACTGCTGCGGCTGGACATAAAACAGTTTCCGAAGGGTATTTGTCACTTAAATTCCGCATTGTTCCCCGCACTGGTCCATCGACTGAGCAAGAGTTCTCTATCGCTAGTCCGATGATAAGGCGGCGCGGGCCCGGGCCGGGCCGGCATAATGATCTGAGGCGGGTAGATATCTCCGTCAGAATCTAAGGCGGGCACCTCCGCCGAAATCCGTCGCTCGGTACGTTGGCTGGTTCCTTGGCCCATAGGCTTTCGTACGTGTTTCCAGCTGCACAATTTATGCAACTTTTCATTGGAATAGTAACAGACAGGAATGGGAGGTTAGCCGTCACAAATAGGGAAGCTCAAAATTCAGTCAGGCTTCCAACTCGCGTATAGGCATTTTTCACAGCAGTCAGCTACGTATCAATTGAAACGACAAATTACTACTTTATCAGATAATCATCGAGAGCGATTTCCTCTTCTAGCGAGCCATGGAATTCTTCCAAATTTCGACTAGCGGACCATGAGCTCCTCTCACGGGATCATGAGAAGGAATCCCAACTTTAGAAATTTCCTGCCACAGTGCTGCGTGGTCCACGGGCGTCTTTCCCAACTCATTACGCCAACGAGGCGACCCCAACAGTGATGTCAGCTTGTTTACCTACTATTAGCAGAGGAGATGGCACACCTTTGGATAGACGCCAATGTAACGGTAGTCGCTTGTAGCTGTAATCGAGGCATGCGCCACTCCAGCTGGGACAACCACCACATCACCAGGATTCACGGAGACAATCACACCACCACTCTTGTCTGCACTGCCTTCTCCAAAAATTAGGTCTGAGGAACCCTGGAAGACGCCTTCAACGAAGAGATTCTCGTCAGCGTACCATAGAACAGCATAGTGCACTACCAGTACCCAGCTTTGTTCTTCGGATCTTACCGTAGCATTCATGAGTATTGGGATGAAAATGCTTCACTCTGACTGTGCTGAACGTTCCCTGAGACCGAAATGTTAGCAAGCTGAGTATTAAGAAGTACGTGGGGACATAAACCTTTTTCTCCCACTCGTTCCTTTCTAAAAATGTGGTTGCAGTGTCTGCGGTAAGAGGGTGTGGGAGTACGCATCGATATACCAGAACGGGGATTTTGCTATTAGGCGCATGCGTGTTCGCATTGATGAGGTATTGCTCTGGTTCAATAGACATGTAGTAAACAGTTCTGCAACGGAAGAAAGATTCTTTAGATTATGCGAACCAAAACGTAAGCCGGCGAGACTTTAACATGGAGGCGAGACTGTCTTTATTAATAGAAACTGTCCGGTGAACCTCCGTCTTTTTACTATCATAACACGGACCCGGACCGGCTCCGGCCTCCAAGCGTGAAATATACGTCATCGGTAATTACGCACGGCCCACCCACCCAGCTCTTCCTTCAAACTGCAGTGGCAGTATTACGAACTTGGTACAACGGTAAATTTCTTCTATCGAGCTTGGGAGTTTCTTAGCATGTCGGGTGAATTGTAGGGTTGAATCTTTCTATTTGCCTCGGTTATGGTGTAAATGTCTATAGCCAACGCTACTCACTGGGTAGGAAGAAAAACTAGAAATCCATCATCAGCCTCACAGATTGATCCCATTCTAAGGCTCTCGTAACCGAATTCCATCAAATTCTTATTGATCTCCTGGCTCAAATGGCAGAAACAGTGATGTTCCACCGATGGCAACATACAGGCCACAACAGGCCCATATAGGGGTTGCACTTGTAACACCCGAGAAGGTAGCAATGAGTGGCGCGCTGACAGATGCTAAGCGGCCGCAAGCCAATGTAAGGCCGCAACCAGTGCCGCGATGTTCGGTACGCATCACTTCAGGTGTATAACTATAATCTTGTTAGCACACTGCTTAGAGCTACGTTCGCTAAAGAGAGACCTGAAACACGGAGATTCTTACGCGTAGAGAATGGCGTAAAATGCATTTTGCCAAAAGCTCACCATGCAGGAGAAAGCTAGATTCGATGCTTCGCTTCGTACGGAGGTAAAAGCGCCGGCAAATGCTCCGGCGATCAAAGCCGTGATGGTCATTGCTCGCCTTCTTCTAATCCAGGGGATTTCGATGAGGTAAGCACTTAAGATAGGGCCAAAGATACCGACAGTAGCTGAGATGCTATAGTCACGGTACGTCTGGTAAGTACTACCATCGCCAAGCTTGGCACCGTGGGCCTGAAGGTAATAAGTAAGGAAGAGGGAGTAAATGGGATAACTAATGTGTTCTCTCGTCAGCAGACTCTCACTACGTTCAAAGAATTATACGTACGCGATTCCCATGGTCATCCATAGAACTATCAAACAAACCATAGAGCGCGCCTGTTTTCTTCCTTTGAACAGACCGGTAAAGCGGCGCAAATCAAACTGGAAATGGGGTTTTCCCTTCTGCATCTTGGCAACCGGTGCAAGGCGATCAACTGACAGGCGATGGTCCGATCGGTTCGTAGTTGCAATTCGGTTGATGTTTGCGACTGCCTTGGTTAATTCGCCCTGAGAGGCGAGCCAGATGGGAGATTCCTCCATCCTGAAGATGAAGATACGAACGATCGCCATGACCAAACACATGCCCCCGACGGTGATATATTGATACCGCCAGCCCATGTTCTCGCTCCGATGACATGTTGCTGGAGTAGAATCCTGTGGGCAAGAGTAGTTGGCGATAAGAGGCCATGCTGTCCGAGCGTCAGTCTCAATTTGAAAGTTGATTACGTTCGATGGCTCACCTATCAAAGCTCCAATCGCAGTCCCAACCCCCCAGGTCGCCGCCAGACCTGTCATAAGATAGGTGTGCGTTTTAGGAAGTGCTTCTATGAATACTGTTAGGTCAATGGCCACTGGTCGAAAGTTAGCGCGCCCCAGGTCAAAAGCTAAGCAATCACCTACAGTTTCCACCGCCGCAAACTGCCATGAAAGCAACAAATACACACAACGTAGCGAAGTTCGGCGAGCTTGCACAGATGAGGGTGCATATGGCGGTGCCGCAAAGAGAGGCTTGCCACAAGAAGCGACGCCCCATGATATCACTCAGAGTACCACAGATGATCGCGCCGATAAGCAAACCCACGTATAGAGCAACCGTGACCAGAGTTGGATATTGTGCTGACAGTTCTTTCTGGATCTGAGGCATAACGACGGTGACCGAGATAAGTAAAATCTACTTGGCGATAAGCTGTTGTCTTTGAAGTACAATGAAAGGGGATCTACCTGATCTACGGCGAATCCAAACCCGCAGGTACAGAACAGCTGCCATTGGTATCGGCCCATACCAATCCGCTCAATGGACTCCTCCAGTAACTTGCCGTTGTTGATGTAGGATGCTTCAATGTCGGCGTTTGTGAGTTCCCGGACCTCTCCGGCCTCGATGCTGGTGACCGGATCCTTCTCGGATGCCTTCCGTGCAGACTTTGGGGTCGCGCATTCCATCATGTTGCGTAGTAGAATGGTCGAGGTAAGTGTGGGAAGAGGAGGGTTATATGGTAAATTCTGGCCGAGATGCTAAGAACAGTTGCACTTCCCGGAACGGATCGGGTCCGCTGGTTCTTATCTTCTGACCGGAGATTGCAAATTCAACCCCTCAACTACCCCTCTTTTAGACTATAATCAGCCAAAGGCGGGGAGAAATAGCTTTCAATGAGCTTGATATGCCGAAAAAGAGTACCCGTACTAGCTTCTACGAGCACACGTAGCCCGGCTGGGATCGGTCCGATTCCGTGCTTACGCACTAGGTCAACCTGGTTATAACAGAACCACTAATTTGTACAAACTGACAATGGGGGACATGTATCGAAGGGCGGCTAGATGTGGCAAATAAAGATGACCCTGGCTTCGCTTTAAACTATGCATGTACATCTTCTACCTGTTCCACGATACAACACAATTGATTGATGCAATAGACTGAAGTTGTTGCATTAAAATCACAAACGCAAAGTGCCAGAGCGACTGTTCGTTTCCCATTTGGTCCTACAGCTACCACGCCAAAGCCCCATTTTCCGGGCTGTCGCAACCTAAACCTTCGCAGAAGCTGATTTCCTCCTCAAGTTTGTCTGTCATCGTCGGTGCAGGAGTCATGGGCCAAATCCTTTTAGCCAGCTTCTCTTCTTGAGCTCTGTGATCCATGACATTTTTCCGGACGAGCTTCTGGAAATATAACGGTCCCTGTTAAAATACGTCAGGACCAGCAATGCATGGGTTTGGATGGGAGAGGGAGCTATACTTTTTCGTTGAAAGGATGTAGCTTTCCGTTGACGAATACTCCCGCATTAAGGTTCTTCTGCACTGCGTTGCAAAGATCCTTGTCTTCCTTTAGCACCTGCTTGAAGAGCGAGTCGATTTTGTGGAACTCTTCATCGGTAGCGTTCTTGTGCCGGTATACCTCATACTCCATGGAACAGGTAGTGACGGAGGCCGGGACGCAGCGCATGATATAGAAGAAATGAGGCCTACGGGTGTCAGTACGACATTGCGGATCGTTCTGGTAAGAGGCTTACGATAAAGTAAGTGAAGCGTTGGGATAGTAGAAAGTGCTTGCAATTTTGAGGCCAGCATCTTCGGATTTGTCGGTGCTGAAGTGCTGGATATGGCCGGCTTGAGTATCGACGTAATACTTCGACAGATCTGATACAGAAACAACACCTGGGTGCGCTGTAGGGCAATGGTAGCACTATGTGGAACATGTCAGCCACGCTTCCATGTGATATGTAGTTTCTTACCTCGTTGTAATTATCAGCCAGTGTCTTCCAGTTATAGTCTCCGACCATCGACCATGCATGATCGAAAGTGTATCCGGCCATCTGGAACTGAGCTAAGCGAGGCTGCAAATCCACACCTCCGAAATCATCTGTCCAGTCTGCGCTCGGCACCTTCGCGGCTTCAAGATTGACCCAGATGAATCCAAGTGCGTCGATGTGGGTATGGATAGGGTAGAGATCGTTTTTCGCCTTGTCAAAGCTTTCGACAGTGTCGAAACGTGGTGCTTTAGCAAGCTTGCCGTTCAGAGAGTACGACCAGCCTGATTTGCACATCTTATCAGTAAACAAGACAGCACTGCAATCAGAGCGTCTCACCATGGTACTTGCAGGCAATGATGCTTGCAGTCCCGCTATCTTCATTGACAACAGGATACGCTCGGTGTCTGCAGACGTTGTGAAATGCGTTCACGTTGCCTTGACGGTCCATGCACAGGAAAAAGGAAAAGCCGGCCTCAGTGAAGCGAACGTAATCACCAGCCTTGGAGAAGCGATGCCTGTGAGTAACAAGCAACCATTTCTTGGAAAAGATGGCGCGCCTCTCAAGTTCGTACATCTCCAAAGAGCGATACCATGATGCGGGAAGACCTTGCGGAGCAGATGGCTCGTCTGCTCCAGGTGTCGAAGAATAGCCGAAGAAACGATTCATTCTGGTGTGCAGATTGATCGTGTTTTTCCGATTCCGAGTAATGACATATAAGTCTTGAGATGTGTGGTAGCTCCATCGGGCACGGCTAATGTTGGGGTGGGGTAACCCAGTGGGGACGGAGGCGGTCCGCTATCCGCTATCAGCACGGAATCATACCCGGCATACCCTGGAACGAGATAAGGCCACCCGACACGGATATGGTCCGCGACCAACAAGGCTACATACGCAGCGAGACTTGTAATAAAGTGCTTGTAGCCTGCATAAGCACGCTGCACAGTATGCAAAACGACAATTTAGTAAGCGGCGCTCGTGTGTATCTTGCGAGAGAATGCATCATGGGCCGATAATTGAGGCGCAGCTCAGCCGCCGGGTTCCATGACGTATCTTCCGGCTGGCTCATCCAGATGAGAAGGGCACCAGCAGCAGTAGCACTACAGAACATGTACTCGACAAGTGGAAAAGCACCTGGCTGAGCATTGGCGCGCAGTTCGTTGTACAAGGCCTCCTCTCGGGTGCATCGCTACCTTCGCCCACGGGCCGGCCCTTTTCACGTTACCTGGTGGAATTCCTTTCTTATATTAGCGCTACTGTTACCGTAGATGCTCTAATTGAACGAGACGCATCATGGATAAAAGCATTTTCTCCGTCTCACGAATTCTGGAAGAACGACTGTGGAGAATGAAGAACGAATGCCACGGTACACAGGATCGAAAGTCGCTTCGGCATGTTGTTTGCCGAGGGTTCCAAGCGAGCGAGTTTGACAATCACCCCACTTTGACTGATAGACAAACACCTCGGGCCTCCCCACCTTGAACATCGACAAGTAAATAGTGTAAACGTCACTGGTCCGCAGAACATGTTTACGAATGCCACTCGTCCTCTAAAAAGGGTACATCAAGCCTGTGAAAGTTGTCGGTAAGCAGTTCGTCGAAATCCGCCGGCTCCACGACAATGCTGATGTAGCTAAGGCGGAAGAAGACACGATGCTCAGGGGAGAAGCCCGCATGCGCATTTTGCGTAAGGCTCGGACAGTCATGCTCTTACGCAGATGGGAGCGAGAACAGCGACAGGGTTACTGAGATCGAGTGCCGGATGGTAAGACTAAGCTACGAGCGAGATGCTTGCATAATTGGCCAATGCACCTAGAATTACTTGGGTCGCTTGTTCGGTTCTCATTATGTTCTACTATGCCTTATGATTGGGTTGCATTTACCTCACTCCCATTCTCCCATCAGTCCACAATGGTTTAATCTATTCTAAGAGTCACCATGGCTTGTCGCTTTCTAACATCGTATCTTAGGAAGCTCGATTAGCCGCCTTGGAAGACAAGATAGGTATAGTTCTTAGGGAGACAAGGTTAGAGTCCTCTCTTATGTCTAATAAATCATTCGAGGTGTATCCTGACCTGACAATCTCTAGTCTACCTCAAGAAGTATCTAGCTCACAGCACGAGTCCGGTAGAGCCTCAGAAACTCGCACTCTCATGAATCTGCTGGGGTCATCTCCGACTCAAAGCCGCGAGAACGACGTATCGCGGGCACGAAAATCATACAGGTAGCCTTTTCATGGTTCATTTAAATTTTCACCTCTCGGCTAACGTTTTGTGAAGAACGCTACCAGCGAAAAATGTCATGGACAAGATCGTGGCTTTGTTTTTGGATCGATGCAACTCGCAACCTTTGCCTCTATTCACCCCGGCATTCGATCATTCGTATGAAGTGCGAGATTCGGCAGTCCTTTACGCAATAGCTTCTGTGGGGGTCCGCTTCTTAGATGCAAACACCCTTCAAGACGACCCAGGAATTGCAGCCAAAGAATATGCAGAAGCTGCGCGACGTCTGGCTTCGGAGAGGGTTCTCAGTGGTACCGTTGAACTTTCTACAATCCAGACGCTCTGTCTATTATCGTTCCTTGACTTCCATGGTATGACCATCCAGCTGTAACTGGGATGTCCAACTAACGCGCTACAGTTGGAAATACACACCGTTCTCTATTCCAACTCGAGAACGCCATGCACCTCGCCGAATTGTCCGGGATGACCAAGGAGTTGTCGCAAAGGCCCTACAATCGTTTTGAGACAGAAGAACGACGACGCTGCGTTTGGAGTCTGTATTTACTGGGCTGTATGACTGGGAACCGTAGTCGACGAATCGCTTCCCCCTTTAGCGAGCAAAGCATGTGTCTCCATCCAGCCAGCCCTGGGAAAACCTCACGAGGTGAGATTCAGGCCATCTCAGAGGCTGACGAGAACACCTCAGGACGAGACAGCGGGATAATTGCATATTCACTGATGCTATACGATGTCTGGGAGAAGGTAGCTCAATACTCGTCCAACTCCGAAGCGGCTGCCGGCAAACCTTTATGGACAGTCGACTCCGAATATGCAGCAATCGTGTCAAGCCTCATGGAATTTGAATCCGGCTATCCGGACAAACATAGGTTCGAGCAAGGCCTACGCGGCCTTGATAACTGGACCCTTCAAGAAAACCGCGCATACTGGGCCCCGTTCATGTCTATACAGTTCTTGTACACCGCTATTCTCTGCTTACTCAACCATCCATATCTGCTTTCTGTTCGATTGGGCCCGATAGCTGCCAGTGTCCCACGCACCTTCAGCCAAGCGGCTTCCGATCTCGTGAAGCTGCATTCAAACTGGATTGCGCGGTTCATCGACATAGCCAAGGAAAAGGATTTTCCGATCGTGGATCCGTTTTGCGCTTACTGCGTTGCAGTGGCTGCTACAGTGTTTGACCATCATCGGGTGGTTGGCAATGCGCAGACGCGACAAAATGCCGAGGAAAACTTCAACAAATGTGTGGAGTTCCTTCACTCCCTTGCACATCTCTGGCCTATTATTGCATGCATGGTGACTATGCTTCTGTCCAAAGTGTTGAGGCAGGGTGCTTACGGATCGAGGCAGGTCAAACTCCTACAAGACTTGGATCGCGTAAGTCTTGAGCAATTACAGCCCCAGAGCACTTCTACCGTTTCGAGAGACCCGAACACCAAGGCCGCGATTCTCCAGAAGATCCTTAATTATTCCTCGGTCAGCCAGTCAAGCTCTACCTCTACAAATACGCTTTTTCATCCGTCTTTGTACTCAGAGAAAGCTGCTGTTATGCAACCTTTACCTGACTCTCCTACAACGAATGGTTCCACTCCATCAATGGCAGAAGCAACGCAAAATTGCCCCGATCCGGCGTTACAGCAAGCAGAGGTTCTAGGTCGATGGCGATCGGATGCGGATGGGCAAACAGAGCCGCTTGACGGGTTTGTTTTCCAAGAGCCTATCCAACTTGACGCATCTCTTCTAAATGGTGTACAAAATGAGAGAGAAATGAGACAAGATTACTGGTGGAACCTGGGAAGCCTCTAGTATAGTTATCAAATCGAAATGATTTAACGGCAAATTTCAACTTTCGACTACCGCTAGCCAGCCCCGCATTTCAGCATACCTTCTCACCTCTCACTTTACTACCGCGCCGCCGCAGCCATCTGTCTTCTCCAAGCAGCTTAAGGTCAGTGGGGGCAACGCCCAAGTTTAAAGCCCTCTGGCTGCATCCCTAATACAGGCCGCAATATGCGGTCGTTCCCGCTGGACCAGTCGGGCATTAGCACGACGAATATAGGGCAATATTCGGGCGCAATTATGGCCTCCGAGGCCGACATTAGCAGTAACAAAAGTTTAGACCTAACGCATAATGGAAATTCACCCTTACAGGCTTGGTGTATTAAGGTACTGGTCTTCTTTTGGGGAGAAATGTCCGGTGAGGGGTTATTGCTTTTTGGACACGATGCGGGATGTTCATGCCTGAATCGCGTCATAGAGTAATCTGAGTAGTGTAGCAGGTTCTGACCACCATGCCAAACCTCTTCTATGTTTGCTCTAATGGCCTTGACGGCGGCTAAGCATCAGTGCTCCAAGGCCTCCATGACGTCTAAGCCATTACTAAAGATGGTAGGTCCTGGGGCTTTTACTTCATGGTAGAATGTGGCCGGCTAGTTAATCGCATCCGACTGATCTTACGCACTTATAGCAGTAAGAAGCTGTGAATCGCCTTGATGGATTGCGAACTGAAGGATGTCGATCCTTTGGTCTAGGATCTGCTTCCAGCTACGCCGCACGGGACCGTTGGTCGAAGTTGAGACCATTTTCCTGAAAGTCATATTCATCGTCAGTGCATGATATGGACTATGTCATGTAGGGAGAATCTTACGTGAAATGCAGGTACTTCTTTAACCGGGTGGAGCGGGCTTGTCGATGAAGAAGAGAGTTAGGAGATGTTTACGACTACTGAGAAGGTCAGGCACACATATATAGTACTCTGAAAATGGTGTCTTTCCATGGGCTCCGCCCTCTTGAACAATGGTGGTAAGACCGGTAGGCGGAATGTATACCATTAAGGAGAACGTGAATAACACCTAAACGTGGTGTTGGGATGCCTAGGGCAACTCTCAAGTAAGAAAATGAGAGCATGGCTCAGGAATGAATACGGTTCAGGAATGGTATGCGAGCCAATGCTCACCCGCCAGTGCGGGAATTCTGTGGGAGCTTCGGGTCAGCGTCGAATCCGTCCATAAGCGAACGTTAATTCCCTAATTGGGTTACATAGAACCGGCCGACTGGAAATTTAACATGCTCTACAGCAGACTCTGGCGGTTTCCGGGTTACTCCGCCGGGGCGAATTCTAGTTGAAGACCCATGAACCCAGTACTCGGTGCCTGGAAATGGAGGGGCTGGTAGCTTTCCGTGAGGCGATCACTTTCCACCTACTTGCGCTTTTAAAAACGAAAGACAAGCTTGTCATACCATGGCCGCATCCAAAGCACACATATTTTCAGCCATAGATAAAAGCAAAGTTTACAAACCTCCGTTTCCAATCAGCGCCAACTGACGCGGTGAGAGGAATGTTCCCATGATCGGTACGCTCCTCGAACACGGAACGTGTTGCTGGGAGAAATAGATCCCATCAGTACAATCCCCACTGGACGTAGAGAAATCTTTATATAACTCGTGCTGTACCTTCAGACATCAGCATCCATGCTAAATCAATCGTTCCAACTCCTTCAATCAACTCAATCATCACAATGACTACCTTTGGACTTATCTCATTCGACCGTGCTGCGGCCACCTACGATCCCATCAAGCATCAGCTCAACATCAGTGTCGAAGGCCGTGCACCGCATGGGACACATGGAATTGAGCTTGTACCTGTCGTGTGGATGGGCGGCCTGAAGTATGAGTTAGACGGGTGGACACCAAGATATCCCGTCGAGCACATGCCCTACATCTTCGAGGAATCATTCAAGATCCCCAACCTGGCCATTGCTGCTCCTGCGAATGAAATCATCATTGTTTCACTCAACCACCCAGACGGGCTTCGGGTGAAGGTTCATTGGCTTGGCTGGGGAGGCAGCCAGCTTCCCAAGTCGATTGGCAATGGGAATGGAACTCCATTTCCCAAGCACCATCATGAAGCAGAGGTCATGCATAAGCCTCCCAACGCGGACACCATAATCGCGCTGTACAAACAACCCTTCACCGTGAAGGAACCAATCTCACCATCGGGCCGCGGCTTCGCGAAGGTGCTCTTCGACCAAAATGCGCTATTCATGGTCAATTCCTCGATCGAAGACGGGATCATCACCTGGACGCTCAACTCGCTGAACACGGGAAAAACCCAGGTGATCGTAGAGCGCTTCGCCGGCGAAGGGCTCGGGCTCATCCGCAAGGTCTACGACGTCGACGTGGTCGTCCTGGACAACGTCCTGGCCCAACACCACCACAAATCGCATTCCGAAACAGACGAAGTTGGCAGCACAGCAGCCAAGCCGCACGACGGCGCGATCCTCGACTTCCTCGGGCGCGTCTTCATCGCCGTCCGCATCGTCCGCGACATCGTGCCGGAGGCGCAGCTGCTCTGGGTCAAGGCGTCACTGCCGCACGGGATGCCGTACCCGGTCAGGGATCCGAACATGCTGTCGCACCTGGACTGCCGGTTCTCGACGCCGTCGGGCTCGGCGTCGATCCAGTCGCGCGGGTGGGGCGACTGGTGCCCGCCGTCGTTCTCGTCGCACAAGATCATTGGCATGCACTCGCTCGATGTCGAGAAGATGCCCATGAACATCACTGATGCCGTCGATGCGATGCGCAAGCACCATATCACCGACGCTTTTTGGGCGGCTTCCCTCGAGTCGCCGACGGTGGCGCCCGAGGAGCTGCCTGATGAGCCGCCGTACTATGTTTTCCGGATGGTTAATGGGAAGAATGTGTGGGTTAGCCAGACTGGAGTCGTCTGCGTGACGGATGCGTGTGAGAGTGTTTTCCCGAAGCAGGGTCTTTGAGGGGCATGGGTAGAGAGTGATAAATCGTATGGCTTATATTAAATGGTAACCAATACATACTTTGGCCACACAGGGAGAGAGTGTCGCCTGCTGGATAGATTTCATGGACAACATCCTCGTCGTCGCTTTCACATTCACAGCAGCAAGGCGGAGAGACCAGGTCTCAAAGTCACCACCAACACCTTCCCAAAAGTGATTGCCCTTGATGTTGGGGTCCGCGCCGCTCTCAAGAAGCAACTGAACTGCTTCCTCATGACCTTCTGATACTGCTACCACGAGTGCCGTATTGCTGGCTTTTCCGCCAGAAACATTGACTTCCGCACCGTTGTTAAGCAGAAATAGGATGACTCGGATGTGGTTTCCTTCACAAGCAGCCTCGAGAGCATATCCGTGCGCTATTCCATTAAGATATCAATAACAAGACTGTACAATCAAGTCATCCAAGTAAGGTAGCAGCCGACACAACACCATAAACACGTCCTCGCCAGCGGTCCTGGGATTCGGCGGCGGTCGTCAGAGCGCACACATGCCGACAGGAACAAAGGTAGAGGGCGCATTTGCCGTCAGCGTAGGTGCACGCGAGGGTCTGCGTTGGATCGGCGCGCCGGCAGGCAATCAGCTCAGCTCAGCAGGAGGGCGTGCGTGGAAATGTAGTTTAAGTTGATGTAATGCAGCGCTATGAGCGGCCTGGCTGGTGCACGTGCGTATGCGTGCCTTGCAAGGCTCAGCTGAGGCGGCCTCGCAGGTGGGTGCAGGGAGGCAGTGCTGCTGCGGTGGCCCCGATGCAGGGGAGTGCAGAGCGCAGATGGCGAGATGCCTCAGGCCAAAACAACTTTGCCGAATAAAAAAAACTGCACTGCTCTACGGAAGCTCCAATGTCGTGTCCGGCACATCGCAGTCGGGGCTTAGCAGCTGGTCCATGGAGGCCTTCCCAAAACCGCCCCACCCACGCCCGTCGCCATTGGCTGCTGCCGAGCGTCGTCGCTGCCACATCTGCCACATCAACTGGGGCGGCGTCTGCTTTAGCAGCCTGTGCGGCCTTTGTTACGGCGCCGTCACTGCTTTGCACGATGCGATTATATAGAGGGCTGGCCCATCAGTTGCTGTACGCCTGGCTGCCTCGAATGAATAGATGAATTCTGGGAAACAACGGTGCCCTTGAATGAGATCGACCAGGAAAAATGAAGGAAGAAAAATACTACTGCCGTATATATCAGGCCTGGTACGAGGAAGGTGGGCTTCCGGTAAGTGCCGATAATGTGGGCTGTCCCGGAGTGGGCCCACGCCACGTCACTTGTCTCAAGGCCAAGTTATCCACCTGTCCTCGTCAGTAAGGAGCACAAATGCTCTTCACACGCGCTTCTTTGAAATTTTCTCTTTCTCGTTAATCCGTTGTAAACAGCACCACCCAAGGCTCTACTTATGGACGACGAAGACCACCAAAACAATTCTCCTGTCCCGACACGGCGGGACCTTGAGAGCGAGGATTCTGAAGATGAAGACCCCGAGAGCGAAGAATTAGAAGATGAGGACCTAAAGGGCGAGGATTCTAAGGATGAAGAATCTGAGTATGAGAATTCTGAGTATGAGGACTCTGAAGATGGAGATTCTGAGTATGAAGGCCTCAACCTAGGCTTTGGGGACCTAGATCTTGAGGACGAGAGCTCTGTAGACGAGGACCCTGACGACGAGGATTCTGAGTATGAGGACCTTGAGGATGAGGATTCTGAGGATGAGGACTTTCCAGACCTAGACTCCGAGGATCTAGACCTTGAAGACGAGGACCTTGGGAACGAGAATCCTGAGGACCAGGATTGTGAGAACAAGAATCTTGACACGGACCGTCTCCCGTGTGAGTTCTGTGAGAAGTGGCCAAATGTGCTTGTTCACGAGGCTACCAAAAGTAACGATAACGAGGAAGCTATCATACTTCCTTACGTTGCCGAGAACTGGCATGGGGATCCACGACTCGTATTCCATGGAAGCTGTTCGACGTGCGCCGATGCCATCGATGAGGACGATGACGAGTTGTGTGATTTCTGTAGACATCTCCGCCTCAGACATCTCTTGCTCTGCAACAACCATATTTTCAGTTATTGGACGGGTATGGGGGCGTGCATGGGCACTGTCAAAGAGGTCTACGACCGCAAATATGAGGAAGATTGCTCTATGTGCGGCCTCATCACCAGGGTCATATCTTACCTTGAGGCTCAAGGTATTGACGGGGAAGATATCAAAGATGAGGAGGTGTTGTTGTGGTTCAAGGGAAGTCGTCTTGTACTCCGCACAACACGGCGGAAGGATGGATCTTTTCGTACATGGTACTTCGGGCATCGACTCCGTCGTTCAGGAATATCCAAGAGTAAGAGATTAAATGATAGAGTTAAAACAGCTGCTAATGGTTGTTTACAGACATGGCGGTCGAAGATGCGCGTAAAGCAGATCAGCAGCCATCTATTCTTGGAAAGAAGGTTGACTGGAACCAAGTCAAGAGCTGGCTTGAGGAATGCCGACGCGCCCACAGGCCGTGTAACTCCGACATAACTGGATTCTGGGACCGCAGATTTCGCGTCATTGATGTCCATAAGAGAATGGTCACAAGATTGCCGTCTCGCCGATGCAAGTTCGTGGCTTTAAGCTACGTCTGGGGCACCGGACCGGAAAATGAAAAGGCACAGTTGACAAAAGAATCCATCAAGATGTTTGAGAAACCTGGAGGTCTAGATGATCTTCCTGCAACCATCCAAGACGCCATGAAAGTATGCGTTGAACTCGGGGAGAGGTTCCTCTGGGTCGACCGTCTCTGCATCATCCAAGACTCTGACTCGGACAAACTGCATCAACTGAAGCTGATGGGGCAGATCTACTCTTCCGCAGACTTTGTCATTGTCGCGGCATGTGTTAACGGGGCTAAAGATGGACTTCGAGGAGTTAGCAGACCCCGCGCCCAAAGTCAATTTCAAGCACGTGTCCTTGAATTTGAGGTTACGCGCCTCCTTCCAGAACTCGAGAAGGCCCTTAGACGGTCCAAATGGGGTAGCCGCGGCTGGACCTATCAGGAAGCTATCTTGGCGAAGAAAAAGCTCTATTTCACACCAAGTGAAGTATGGTTTGTGTGCCAAGATGGAGGCCACCGTGAAGATCAGTATGGCACAGAAGAGCGTTTGAAACCCGGTTCTACAGAACTTCACTCGACATTGCGTCTGGGCTCAGGCTTTGGGAGCTATGTTAGCCTCGCCAGCCAGTACGCTAGCCGAGCCTTTACGAACCAATCTGACATCTATAATGCCTTTGGCGGAATCCAGAACATGCTATATCCAGACACGAGAGTTATCTATGGCTTACCGGAGCGCGATTTCGACGAAGCGCTTCTCTGGAGTGTTCCAGATGATTCCGTGCGCCCAATACTTCGTAGAGCACAAGGGGCAATACTTCCGAGTTGGTCATGGACATCCATCAAAAGCCAAATCGAGTATGGCGATGAGAACTTGGGATCGCCGTGGTTCCCATTGGTGAGGTGGGCCTTTTCTGATGAAGGGACTATTCGCAGTATCAACAGCGTCTACTACGAATACTGGCCGGATGAATATGCTCGAACATTTCTTGCGATTGCCTGGACTGCGGGCTGCATTGAAGCCGAATGCCCCTTCCAATTTGGAGAAATGGACGAATACTGGGAAGATGAAATCCCGTTCACTGTTTCACGAAAAGATCTCGAAAAACGCTGGCCCAAACCGCATCATTTTTTCGAAGAGGTCAGCCTCAGCCCAGCCTCTAGCGGTCATTACGATGAGTCTAGGGTTTGGAAAATTGCTTCTCACGACGACGATATCATGAAGAACCTACAACATCCTGGCGTGATTTTCACTCGTGCTCAGACCGCGCACTTCAATGTGGGGATTACTCCATGGGAAAGAGAATGGTCTATCGATGACGCTGGGACGCTCTTGAACTTCAAGGAATTCAAATTGCGTACCGGGATGAGCGATGGCGATTGCAGGATGACAGAATTCATAGCGCTATTCGTGGGGAAACCGCCACCGGGCTTCTCGAATCTTGTTGATCGAGATGTGTTAAGACGTTACAATTTCAGCACTCCGGATTGTGTTGAACTCCAACCGCCACCTGTTCTGATTGTAATGGCAATTGATCGCCAGGGACCATTTGCACGTCGGCTTGGACTTGGGTATATCTACCTGAGAAAATGGGCAATGGCGAAGACTACTCTCAAAACTATATTGTTAGTGTAGAGAAGATAGATGTAAAGTAGTCAATTGAGGTTTTTTTATTATTCAAATGTTTACACATCTAAGGATGCCTCTAGCATGCTTGGACTGGTAACGTATGCAACATACCGAGAGCCATGCATACGTTGAGAGTAATGGCGAGGTATGGCTGGCGACGGAGCTATAAGCTCACTTAGGCAAAGTAGCAGTAGTTCAAGGTATTATCGGGTGTGTAGAATCGAGACTGCAGCTGTAACTTTGTGTAGTGAATGTAGTAGTCATCAAAGATTGCATCCAACTTCTGTCAGCCATTGTCAATTCTACTTAGCACTACGGCACTCTCCATTTGCCACAATATCTCGAAGTGTCTCGAGACAGACGCCAGCAGCCTCCCCGAATTCATTCAGTTGAGTAATCAAGCCACATCGCCAATCGGGCTTCCTATGCCATCGTGAGTTGTAACGTTCCGTATTCTCCTCAGCATCTTGGGACTCTCGCATGTTTTCGATTTTCCAAATCGTGATTTCGAGATTTTGATCACCGACTTCCTCTGGCAGTAACCGATTCTCTTCGAGCATCTATATCCATGCAAAAGTATGCTTTGCGTTCTATCCACAGCGACAATTTGCTTGGCCGCAGCATGCTCGCCTGAGCAATAGCTGCAGGATATCCACGCGGATTCGATTACGTTTCTCTTTAAGAATGACCATAGCCACGATCTGGCAACAATGCTCAGGTTATCCGGTAGGAGAACACGTACGTATGATATCTGGTAGTACGATGTTGCCAAGAAGAGGTTGCATGTTCCGAAACGACTCCTTGTAATTGAGGATCATACTCGCACTCACTCTACTAAAGGATTCGGGATCCTTCAGAACGTATGCGGCAATCATCATGTTCCAAATATCTTCAATGCGAAAGTTCCACGAGAGTGACCTAGTTGCCAAGGAAACCCAACGTGACGAGGATAGACACGACATCGTACTTGTCGGCTGCGTAAGCAATCACTAGTGACTGGCTTGGTGAAATTGTGTGGGGAATGCCGCGAGAGTGTGCCACGTTACAAATGATCTCCATCGTGAATGGGTCATCTTCTGGCAACGAGATTTCTCGAGGTCCGCCGTTCGTTTGTGGTTGTCCTTCGCGGAAGTTGGGGCCAAGCATAGCTTCGAATGCTTTTGACGCGTTCTTCAAGAAGATTGAGTGGACGAGGAGCTTCACTTCACTTGGGCTACATAGGAGGAGAGTGTCGCCTGCTGGATAGATTTCACGAACAAAATATTCCTCAACGGCTTCACTGCCCATGGTTAAAACGACTTTGGAGTTGGAAAGTGGTCAAGACGATCTGATAACAATCAATGCATATGTTGACATGGTATTATCGTTCGTCGTTTCCCTCTTTTATCTTTCAAAAAGGTCTTTCCTCGTTATTGAGTCTTCTTGCATTCTTTGTCCCCTGACTCCTTCCTTCGCCACATTACCGGCAAGGAGATGGTATTAAAGATAACTGATACATATAATTCCGCGCCATATGACTCTTGAGCTACGTTGCAGTTCTGCATGAGCAAAGGCTTAGCCGCCACTCTGGTGGTAGAAGCAAGGTAATTATCTGAGGCTAGTCACTGCTTATGTGCCTTGGAATGGAGCTTTTCCAGAGCAAAACGGCAGTGAAACAAAAATAAGATTGTTGCAGAGAATGCACCCTTGGCTGCAGATATTCTCCCCCCTGTAGCTACACTTTCGCCTGTACTTCCCCCTCCGCTGTATCTAAAGCTCTCAGAAGTAAGAAATGTGCTAAATGTCTTTCCCCGCTAGATGCTAACTACTAATCGCGTTGAGTTGCCCGACTAATATATAAATTCTGATACGGGAACAATGAGGTGGAAAGGATAGCATTCAACCTGGAGGGCGGAGAGGGAACATGCAGTTGAAATTAAAATCCTGAAATGCTGCTAATCTGGCCAAACAAGCTCCGAGAGAAGTTCTCTTGATGCTCTCTTTCCTTACATTACATTCCTTTCTCCGTCTAGAAAATGAATTAATTACATAGAGACCACATGTTTCACAAGGCAGAGGAGGAATGGCCCTGTACTACAATGCTTTGTCGAACACAAGGCGTGGCCTTTCTGGAATCGTTCCCAGTCCCTCAAGCCTTCCAGCCTGCCATCTACACCCACTATACAGATACAGCCTCCAGCCCCGTAGCTATATCCAGCCCATGAATCGTCCTGTTGAAGAATTCAAACATAGCCAACGGCTGGTACAGCTGAACAAAATGCCCCGCCTCGTAGACGCGCAGGAATGCCAAATTACCAAACTGCCTGCCCTTACCGTACTCCTCTCCGCTAACCACGAACGACTCGTACTCGGTTGCGGCAAAGTCCTCCGCGCCGGTGTAGTTCACAGCGAGGGAAACCGCCCTGCAATGAAGATCGTCAGCAAGGCAACATCCACACCCCCTCCCCACAGAACCAAGGGAAATACTCACTCTCCACCCAACCAATTACACGCATAATCCGCATCCCCATTAAACAGCAGCACACTCACCCCCGCATCCGCCAACTCCCCCAACGCCTCCTGAAACCCGCCCAACACCCCATCCCCGGTCTGAAAAAACGCATACTGCACCGGCACGCTCTCCGGCGTATAGTTACTCGCGACGCCAATCGCGTCCTGCACCTCGCCCGTGTTGAGCCACGCCGCCAGCAGCGGCTCGAACGCGCCGAGCACCGAATCCTCCTCGCTCACGCGGATGTCGAACCGGTCGCGCCCGGACACCGCCCGGTACGGCCCCTCGACGCCATCGAAGCACATGGCCCAGGCCTCGGCGCAGACGGCGTCGCGGATGGCGTTGCGCGGGAGGGCGGCCTGCAAAGCGCGGCAGGTGCTGGCCTGGTCGATGCAGCCGGTGCCGGGGAGGGAGAGGGAGAGCTCGGCGTAGGCGCGGATGGTGGCGTTGTAGGCGGTGATGTTGTACGGGTTGTTGGTGGCGTACTCCGGGAAGAAGGGGCCTTGGGTGATGGTGTCGATGTAGCCGTTGCCGATCTGTGTGGGGGTGGTGGTGAGCGTGGGGGTGTGATGGGTGGGAGGAAAGGGGGACTTACGCCGAGGGACTTGAGGTCGAGCGAGATGCCGTCGAGGTTGCCGGCGGCGATCTCGTCGTTTTGGTCTTTGAAGTGCTTCATGATGGCGGGTCTGGGAGAAGTGGTCAGCTGGCTTCAATGCTTGCGTTTTGGCAGTAGGTCTTTGGTGAGTCGAACCCGTAGTGTCCTCTGTCAAATATGTCAGCGAAGAACGGCAAAAGGCATACTCGGAAGCTCGCTTACCCCCAGCTCACAGTCCAAAGGTGAAACTCCTTTGATTTGATCTTGGGATCCAAGGTCGGTAGCGCGCTGTAAAACCCTTGGACAATATCCCAGGCAGCGATTGCAGCATCTTCGCTGGTGGTGATGGCAGTCGTCTCGTTGATAACTGACCAGACGCCCGTCACGTTGGCCATATCCGCACTGAGGAATTCGCCTGTGTTCTCATCAAGAGACCCCTCCTGAAGGTCTGCGTAGGAGAAGCCGGTGCCGATGGGTTGCGAGATGTAAAGCACATTGGAGACGTTGTTGAAGCTTAATGGGTTAATCTCTGTGGTGCCATCCTCGTTGAGGTTGCATGGGCCGATTCCTGTGCAACCATGTCAGCTTTTCGAATTTTACATTGGTCTGCAGTAATTCATACCAACGAATGCTCCAACGAGCGAGTCGGAGCCAGGTCCACCGTTAATCCACACGGTAACGGGATCATTTTCGGGGTCATTTCTGGACTCGAAGAACCAGAAGAAGGTGTGGCTGTCGGCAGAGGTGTCGATGAAGCCAGAGTACCTCGAACTTGTCAGTGGTTGAATTAGTTGTAGAATGCTTTGAAACTTACGAATTTACACCTTCCGTGGTTTCACAGATACCGGACTTTCCAGGTTCCTTGTAGCGGATCGTGGCTCCATTGGGGGCCGTAATGGTTTTGAGATCGGTCGGTTCCTGGGGAATTTGGGCCGAGACAGCGTTGAGCGAGAGCGCCAGACCAAACAATGTCGAAGTGAAATGAGAACCTGAAGACCACATCTTGAACGAATCTCCTGCTGAGTTGGTAGGTATTCATGGTGCTGTCAAAGCGATTTTATCGTTGTTGTTGATGATGCAGGATCACGATCCCTGTCCATTCAGGGAAACACGCGGATGTTGTGGCGCAGTAAGCTGCTGCCTTCCCTAGGTAACTTCCGGCTCTCAGGATCTCAATCAATAAGTGCTGTACAAGCTAAGTGGACCAACAGCAAGCCATTTGGGGCCGTAATGTCAGTAAGTAGACAAGTGAGCGGGGAAGTACGCGGCAAGGGCGCGATAGGAGAACAATACCCGTTAGCAAACCAAGCTCAATGATCCATTCTTGGAACTTGCTTGGTTTGTCACTCCTCTGCTTCGCCATCAGCACTAGAAGGTTGTAAACCTGTGCCTTGCTGGTGTTCGCAGCACAGACCTCAGATGCGCTCCACCACTCCGGAGCCAGGACCGGAACACCGCCACCAACTGTTTTACGCCTTCTTTGCACCATGTTATTGGCTGTTATTGCCGGAAAATCCGGCTAAGAGCCAATGCGGGACTTTTGTTGTGTCCAACGATGCAGTCTGGAGGGCCCTCCAGATATTGCATTGGGGCTTCGCTCACCGTTCCCTAAGGTATATTCCGCTCGCCCACATGGGGCGATGACGGCGGTGTGCAAAGCATGCGTGTAAACCTTTCCCTCGGTGGATAGGGCACAGCGCACAAGACCAGCAAAGAAGCATGGCTTTGATGTAGAGAGATAAATTTGATGTATGACTAATCCAAGGAAATCGCTGTAAGCACGCTCGATCTATGTAAACCAACGCTTTCTATAAGTCTTGAAGCCAATTCAGAGTAAACAGCAAACCATCCAAGCGATCAAAAGAAGGAAACAAATTTTAAGACCAGAAGCAAAAAACAAAAACCAAATAATAAAACCAATCGACGAAATTGAAATCCAGAAACGAACAAACCAAGTACCATCCAATCCAATCTCCCAAAACTCTTAAAACCCACCAACAAACTCCACCATCCTGTCCATACTGAGCTCCTTCTTCTCCCCATCCCCCAACCTCCCCAACACCCCCTCAAACAACCCCATCGCCAAATCGATCTTCTCCTCACTCAACCCCCTGCTATCCCACTGCACCTTCAACCTATACCCCTGCTTCCCCTCCTCACTCAACGTCTTCTGCACCTCAATCGCAAGCGCGTAATTCATCACCATGTAGATCTTCTGCTGCGCCTTCATGACCAGCCAGCTTATCGGATCCGGCTTCGCCCCGACCGGCGCCGGCGCAAACGGCTGGAAGACGAACAGCAGCTTCGCGGCACCGGCTGCGTCCCTCTCCGCGCCGTAGATGTCGCCCAGTCCGACGCGCCCGTGCTCGGCCGACTCCCAGAAGTCGTTCTGCGCGGCGGCCATCCAGTCCGAGACCGTGGAGTCGTCGGCAGACAGCCCCATCCGCATCGGCAGGAAGTTGGCGCAGGTGCCGTTGAGCAGCTGCGCGTCGCCGGTGTCGATGTCGGCGTTGCGCCCGGCGACGAGGTTGTCGATGACGGCGTCGTCCGTCCCCAGCACGCGCCCGGCGACGAGCGCGTAGACGGCGCTGAAGACGGTCATGGCCGTGACGCCGTACTTGGCCGCAATAGCATCCACGTCGGCCTGCAGCGGCACGAAGCGCAGGCGGTCCGTCGCCGGCGCGGTGGGGAGCGGGAGGAGCGGGCGAGGCGGCGGGGCGGGGTGGCGCAGGCGCGTGTGCCAGTAGGACAGGTCGGCGGCGCGGTCGTTCGCAGCGTCCCAGGTGATGAATTGCTTGAAGTCGACGACGGGCGGAACGGACTGGTCCCCGCGGGCGATGGCGGCGAACTGGTCCTGGAAGATGCGGAGGAGGGTGCCGTCGTAGGTGCCGTGGTCGAGCTTGATGGCCAGGGTGCGCGTGCCGTCTGCGGCGGAGCGGAGGACGCGGTAGCGGACGTGCGGCGTGCCGGGCGCGAAGCGGGAGTCGCGGAGCTGTTCGGCCAGCTGCGTCTTCTCCTCAGGAGTCGAGTACAGCTGCTCGTCCCAGTCGAGGGTCGGGAATTTGAGGACGACTTGGTACCAGGAAGCGGGGTCGGCTTCGTCGGCGAGCACGTAGAAGGCGCGGAGGATCTGGTTGCGCGCGGTGAGCTGCGTGGTCGCGGCTTTCCAGGCGTCGAGGTCGAAGGAGGCGGGCAGGTCGCGGTGCACGGTGAGGTTCCAGTACTGGCGGTCTTTGCGGCCTTGGGTGAGGAACTCGATCTGGCCGGCGCCGCAGGGGTAGATGTCTTCGACGTCGTCCTCGCACTTGGCCTGCCTGATGACCCGCCTCACGGACTCGGGGACTGTGAACTTGGCCGCGGGAGCAGCCTTCTTTGGCGCCAGCTCGATCTTCTCCATCTTAGCAGCCTGCTCCCTCAGCGTTGGCAGCGCCAGCACCTGGGAGAGGGCGATCTTGTACGACTTCTTGCGGCACTGCCCCGCGACGTTGATGCCGGCGATGGAGTCGCCGCCGAGGGCGAGGAACGACGAGTTGGCGCCGATGGCCTCGAGCGGCTGGTCCAGCACGGCCGCCCAGATGGCCTGCATGACGCGCTCGGCCTCGGTGGAGACGGGCTCAACTTCACCAGCATCCTCGTCATCGTTCTTGGGAACGTAGCTGGCGACGTCGGCCTTAGACAGCGTCTCGGCCAGGGCGACGAGCTCCTTGCGGTTCGCCTTGCCGGACGGCAGCGTGGGGAAGCCGGAGAAGGGCAGGAAGACGGAGGGCATCATGTAGTGCGTGATGGTGTGCATGCCGTCGATGACGTCGGCGATGGCGGGCAGCTTGTCTTCCGGAGAGAGGAGCTTCTGCGTGTTGGGCTCGTGGTCGCCCTTGAGGACGACGAAGGCGACGAGCTGCTTCTTGCCGGCGAGCTCGGCGACAGACACGATGGATGCATCAACACAGTCGGTGCGGAGGACAGCATTCTCGATCTCGCCAAGCTCGATGCGGAAGCCGTTCAGCTTGACCTGGTAGTCCTTGCGGCCCAGGCAGATCAGGGAGCCGTCGTCGGCCCAGCGGGCGAGATCGCCGGTCCGGTAGAGCACCTCGCCGTCGGCGTCGCGGACGAATGCCTTGGCCGTCTGCTCCGGGCGGTTCAGGTAGCCCGTCGCCAGGTGGGCGCCGCGCACGCACAGCTCGCCGACTTCGCCGGCTGGCAGCCTCTTCAGGCTCGAGCCTTCGGCAGGGAGGATGACGGCCGTGGCGTGGCGGAGGGGCAGCCCGATGCTGTTGAGGTCGCCGTCAGGCGCCACCTTGGAGACGGTCATCAGGATGGTGGCTTCGGTGGGCCCGTAGCTGTGGTCTGGTCAGTAACTGCCTGAGAACTGCAACTGAAAGCTGTACTTACCCGTTGTAAACATCAATCTGCTTCGCCCACTCCTGAATGTTCGAGTCAATCTTCTCACCACAAACATTCAGCACCTTCAGCTTCGGAACCTCGCTCGGGCCCCCGCTAATCAGCTTCGCCATGGTCGGCGTCAGCATGACCTGCTCGACGCCCATGCGGTTGATGTGGCCAGCCAGGTCCGACATGACGTCGTCCTGCGGCGCAACGCACAACGTAGCGCCAGCCGACAGCACGGTGAAGACGTCGTAGTACGAGGCGTCGAAGACGTAGTTGAGCGTCCAGAGCGACACCCAGCCGGCCGTCACGGCCGTCGCCTCGATCATGCCTTCCGCAGACGCCGCGACGGCCGAGTGCGGCACCACGACGCCCTTGGGCAGCCCCGTCGAGCCCGACGTGTAGATCAGGTACGCGGTGCTGGCCGGGCTGAGTCCAGGGACATCAACAGGCAGACCACCACCCTCGTCCAGGTCCAGCTGCTCGGGAACGATGGCATCGAGGCCGAAGGCAGCGCAGTCCTCGCCGTTCCGCACGTCGGTGATGATGCGCTTGGCGCCGACGTCCTGCGCGATGAAGCTGTTCCGCTCGCGGGGGTTGCGCGGATCGAGCGGCGTGAAGGCGGCGCCGCCCTTGAGGATGGCGAGGATGGAGACGAGCGTGAGGGCCGACTTGTCCATGAAGAGCGGGATGATCTCGCCGGGAACGACGCCCTGCTGAACCAGCTGCTTGGCGAAGTTGTTGGCCTTCGCGTCCATCTCGCCGTACGACCAGCTGCGCCCGCTGCTCTCGACGACAGCGACCTTGGACGGGTTGGCCGCGGCGCGCTGCTCGAATTCGGCGTGGGCGAGGCCGAAGGATGAGGGTTCTTCCTTCACGGTAGGCAGCTGCTGCGGCTCGGCGGCGGTGCTGGGGGCGTTGTTGGCAGTGGCCTGCTCGACAGTGTCGACGAAGAGGTCCAGCAGAGCCGTGGCGGCGCCGCGATCAACGCCAGCGAAGGGCACGAGCAGCTTGACGCGCGAGGGGTCGGCCTCGTTCAGCTCGAGGCAGACGTAGCCGGTGAAGTTCTGCGTATCGGCGTCGACGGGGACGAGGGCGCTGTCCTCGGCGAAGGCGTCGGTCTTGGGCACGGCCAGCACGTTGACCATGGTGTTGAAGAGGCTGGGGCGGAGCGAGGCCGCGGAAAGAGCATCACGGAGTCCGGAGTGCGCGTAGCGGGACACGTTCCACAGGTTGTTCTGCGTGTCCTTGGCGAACTCCTCCACCGAGCCGCTGTTCGAGACGGTGATGCGCATGGGGACCGTGCAGAGGGTAGGCCCGTTGAGAGACAGGATGCCGGCGACGTTGGCGTCGCGGCCGGCGAAGGCGGAGAGGAAGGTGGCCTCGTCGGTGCCGAGGTGGCTGGCCAGCGTCATGGCCCAGGCAGCGTGCACGGCGGCGCCGATGGTGACGCCGGTCGCACTGCTGAGGCGCTGCAGGGCGTCGCCCATGTCTGCGCGCAGCACGAAGGGTTCCTCTGAATCCTCAGAAGTTGCCGGGGGCAGGTCGACGACCGTCTCGCTGGCGCCGGCGAGGTACTCCTGCCAGAAGGCGCGGGGAGCGGGCTCGCTGGCGTAGGCCCTGTTGAAGGCGACATAGGCGCTAAAGGGCGGGCGGTCCACGGGCTGCTCGCCGCGCAGCACGGCGGCCGCGTCGGCGGCCAGGAACTTGCTGGACCAGAAGTCGAATAGGCAGTGGTGCATCTCGAGCACGAGCAGCGAGTCGTCGAGGACCGTGGCGCGGACGAGGGGCCCGTCCAGCTCGAGGGGATCCTCCTTGAGGTCCTCGATGGCGCGTTCCAGTGTCACGCCGCGGTACTCCTTCCAGGGGAGGTTGACGGACTTGCGGACGGACTGGACGAAGGAGCGCTTGGACTGCGTGAAAGAGGTGCGGAAGATGGGGTTCTTGGAGATGACCGTCTCCAGCGCCTGGCGCACTTGCGCGGGCTGGACGCCCTGGATGCGGTAAGTGCGGCGGTAGACGTAGTCGGCGCTGCCGATGATGCTCTCCAGGCAGAGTCCCTCTTGGAGCGGCGTCGCGGGGTACGCGTCCTCAAGGCCGCGAGTATGCCTGGCAGATGCAGCTTCCGGCAGCAGCGAGAACGGGGCCGGGACTTCTCCCATGACCAGGGACGGTTCGGGGCGGAGATCGCGCAGTGTCTCGGCCTGCAGGACATCAGGCACAGAAACCTGGACGCCTGCAGCCCTCAGCTTGCCGACCAAGACGATGGCGTTCAGCGAAGAACCGCCGAGCTCTTGGAACGACGCGTCCAGGGACACAGCCGAAGCACTGAGCGACAGCGTCGCCGCCACGGCGTCCAGGACCTTGAGCTCGAACGCATCATCCGGGGGCGTGCCGGCCGGCGGCGTCGACGACACCGAAGACGTCGGGGTGATCAGCTCCTCAGCGCTCAGCCCCTCGACCATGGCAACCAAGCCGGCGACATCGACCTTGCCGGACGTGTTCAGCGGCATCTGCTCGACCTCGACCCAGTAACTCGGAACAGCGTACGACGGCAGCAGCGTGCGCAGCATGCCGCGGGCCTCGCGGACGAGAGCGGGCCACTCGACCGTCTGGTCCGACACGACGACGGCGACGAGCGCCTTGCGGCCGAGCACGGTGGCCGGCACGACGTGCGACTGCGCCACGCCCAGCTGCCGCCAGATGTGCGCGTTGGCCTCGCCCGGCTCGACGCGCTGCCCGTCGATCTTGGTCTGCTGGTCGATGCGGCCCACCAGCTCCATCGAGCCGTCGTCGCGCAGCACCACCATGTCGCCCGTGCGGTAGAGGCGGCCCGCGCCGAAGGGGTTCTTGATGAAGGCCGCACGCGTCTTCTCCTTGAGGCCCAAATACCCCTTGGCCAGCTGACCGCCGCCGAGGCAGAGCTCGCCGGGCGTGTTGACGGGGACGGGGGAGATGCTGTTCGGCTCGAGGACCATGCAGGTCGTGCTGTCGGTTGGCTTGCCGAGGAGTGTTGGAGGGCTACCGCGAGAGAGGCGCTGCCGCATGTTCAGCTGCGTGCACTCGCTCAGCCCATAGGCGCTGGTCAGAGAGACCTTGTCGGCCCACGCGTCGACGAGGGCCGAGCTGACGGGCTCGCCACCGAGCGTGATCGACTTGACGTTTGAAGGAAGCGTCGCCGGGTCGTGCAGCATCAGCATGCTCGGCGTGATCTCCAGCGAGTTGACGTTCATCTCGCGCAGAGTCTTGAAGAGGCCGAGCGTGATGTTCTCCTTGCTGGCCAGGCACAGCGTGCCGCCGCGGCAGAGGCACCCGAGGATCGTGCGCTGTGCGGCGCTAAAGTTGGGCGAATGGCACAGCAGCTGGCGAGGAGGCTCTGAGCCGTTGGGCGCTGACATGGCAGAGATGCCAGTGGTGGCTGCCAAGTGGGAGAGCAACACTCCCTTGGGCTGGCCGGTAGTGCCGGAGGTGTAGATGACGTAGGCAATGTCAGAGGGGCTCTGGTACAGGTTGAGGTTGCCGAAGTGGGCTGGAGGGGCCTTGATGGCCCTCTGCACCAGACGAGTGATGGGCATTTCTAGGGAAGAGTTGAATTGGCCCGTCGTGGTCTCGTCGACCAGGACAAAGGGGGCCTTGACATCCTCGACGATGAACTGGTTGCGGGCGATGGGGGCGTCAGGAGAGAGGAGTACGTATGCAGCTCCCGTCTTCAAGACGGCCAACACAGCCACGACCATGCTGATGGATCTCTCCATGGCGATAGGGATAATGGCGCCGCGGCCGCAAAGCAGCTTGCGGGCAACCGAGTTGGCCATGCCATTCAGCTGGTTGTAGCTGAGCCCTGGCACATCCTCAAATTGAACGGCAATGCGCTCAGGATGCTTCTCGGCCTGCGTCTCGAGGAGCGAGTGAAGAAGTCCGGCTCCGTTGTTGTTGGTGGTGCTCTTGAGCTCCTCGATCTGGGAGTGCTGGAGGCTCTGGCGACGGGGGGCAGTGAGGACCATTTTGATAGATTGGAAATAAAAATGATAATTGATGTGGATATGATGAGGAATGATTGAGATGTTTGGCAATAAAAGATAGTGAATGCCGCTTAGTTGTGGTTTGTTGTTGTTGAGAGTGGTTGGAAGTGTTGGATGGTGATGATATCCTTGATGTCGGAGGTGATATGGTCCTATATATCCCAAGATGCTTCGTAGTTTCTTGAGTTACATTCTGAAATTCTGCCTTGGCAGTTTGCTTGTGGCTTGCTGACGCGTCTTGTCACTGAGGTTTTCCAGTATAGTCCTGCTACTTCGACCCTTAAGCTCCGTAACCGTGTCATCGGGTCAGCCCTATCAAAGGTGAATGTGGAGGACCGTTAGGCTAAGATAGGCTTCTTCCGTCTGTATGGGAGGCTGGTGCTCGGTTTCTTCCGCAAGGCTGGAGGAGATGCTACGCAATTCTGAGAGAGATGGGCCTATAACAACGCCACTGTGTAAGAAATGTCCTATAGACTGCAACTTGGCGCACTTTCTACAACCCCACGGGGTAACCAAGGCGAGAGAAACCGTTGGTCAGCGCTAAATTAGCCGGCTTCCCCGGATGAGTGCTTTTATGGTTGACCCTGGCCTGGAACAATTTCGTCCCTATCTAGCGCCCCATCTGGAACTCTTTTAATAGACATACCCCACGATAGCTACCATCAAACACTACTACTCCTCAGCTCTTCATCTCTGACCCCCACGCCTCCTCATCCACATACGCCATGCCTCACGCCATCACTAAGTCCCACAGCAGCGAGGCTGTTGCTTTCCACAAATTCAACATCCCAGACACTCTCAACCCGGGCCACGTCACAGTCAAATTCCTCGCCGCGCCCATCAACCCCCTCGACATGCTCGTCCTGGCCGACCGCTACCCCGTCAAGCCCGCCCACCATATCAGCGGGAACGGGGTCCTGGGCTACGACGGCGTGGGCCAAGTGACGGCCGTCGCCGACGACGTAACCGGGCTCGCACCAGGCGACATCGTGGTGCCAAGCCGGTTCGGGCTGGGGACGTGGCGCACGCACGCCGCGCTACCCGCATCCGCCCTCCAGAAACTATCAGAAGCACCCAAGGACATGGCCTGCGCCGCCATCCTCCGCATCACCGTCGCGCCGGCCTACTGCCTCGTCGAGGACATGGCGCCGCTGCGCCCGGGCGACTGGATCGTCGTCAACGCCGGCACGTCGGCCGTCGCGCAGATGGTCACGCAGTTCGCTGCCATGCGCGGCGTGCGCGTCGCGCAGATCGTGCGGGACCGGCCCGCCGCCGAGCTCGCCGCCGTCAAGAACGCGCTGCTGGGGCTGGGCGCGGGGCTAGTTTTAACCGAGTCAGAGCTGGAAACCGGGGACGGTCTCGCCCAGCTTCAGGCGCTGTCAGTGGCGCTCGCCCTCGATTCCGTTTTCGGCAAGGCTGGACGGGCGCTGGTCAAGGCGCTGGCACCCGGCGGGACCTACGTGCAGCTGGGCTTCCTGGCTGGGCCCAATGCCCAGCTCGCCCTGGATGCGGCTGATCTGTTCGCGCGGAACCTTACCATGAAGGCGTTCCGCGGTACCGCTCAGCTGGGATTGCGGTCGCCGGCGCAGCAGCGGGAGCTGTGCGATTGGTTTGTTAGATTGTTTAACCGGGGGGATTTGAAGCTGCCGCCGCTGGGGCTGGAGCGCGTCGACTGGCATGTAGCTGACGCTGGTGCTGCTGAGCGCAGTGCCAAGGCCGCTGTCGAGACTGCTCGTGCTGGGGCGTTGGGGCAGCGGAAGCAGGTTTTGGTTTTCAAGCATTGAGGGGTGCGCTCTTCTTGTCTGCTTTTGGTCATGTTTTGTCGTTATCATGAGATTGCATTCCTGCTCTTGCTATGTAACAGCTTGCTCCATCTTCTTTTTTAACTTTAGATATGCATCTTAGAACTCTGTTTTTTGAAATTGAGTATTGTAAATTTACTTGAAATTGTGCTCCAAAATCCACAACATTGTCACCGAACGTTTCTCTTTAGTAAATACCACAGAATATTTGAAGTACGTAGAGTCGCACGTAGTATTGAACCAGAAGAGAAAGTCTGTTTACCTTAGCTCTGAATATACATAATCTCTACTAATCGCGTGGCTCTTAAAGTGTCAACTTATTATGGTTTTGACGGAATATATTGACGTTCTAGAATGCGGAATATCGACCAAAAGAATGAAGGGCAAGTATGTACATAACCCAAAAATGTAACTCCCAATCCCAAGCAAACATTTCTAGTCTAAAAAATCTACCAAAACACCCCCAACGCCACATCCCACCATTCCCAGAAACGAATGTCGTCGGCCGCCGCTCTTGGCATTACCCGAACAGGCAAGAAGCTCGGGTCGCCCAGCGGCCGGCCGCCCCGCTGCAGCTTACTTGCTTACATACTACTGTCCCGCCGCCGCCGCCGCCGCCGCAACCCCGCCCTGATCCTTCTTCGGCACAGTCGGCGTAACCGACTTCTTCAGCATCTCATGCAAGCCCTCCGGCCTGATCGGCACATCGTCGTCGATCTTCAGCCCGCGGATGACGCGCGCGATGAGGGCGTACGTGCCGAGGATGATGAGCACCTCGACCAGCTCGGCGACGGACAGGTGCTGCAGCGCGTCGTCGATCGTCTGCGGCTCGTTCGTGTACGTGGCCAGCTGCTCGTCGACGACGCGCAGGATGACGCGGTCGCGCGCCGACCATGGCCCGTCGCCGGCGACAACGGAGGCCGGGCTGCACGAAGAGATGGCGGTGATCTTCGCGGGGTCCATTTCGTAGACTTCGGCCACGGGCAGGTTGACGTCGTATTCGTACTTGGCGCCGAGAGTGCTGGCGGTGCGGAGGACGATGAGTTGCTGCAAAGGCTGGGGTTAGTGGTGTGGCGGACGGGGAAGACGGAGAGAGACTGCTTACCCAGTCCAGCAAAGGGACTGTGCGAACTTTGCCGTTGAAGCAGCCGCCGATGACGCCCATCAGGTGCGGAAACAGGCCCTCGGAGTGGCCTAGCAGCAGGAAGATGTTCCGGCGGAAGGGAAGAACATTGATCTTCTCCGCAACTGCAGGAGGCGCAGTTTTGGGGTCCACATAAGGGACGAGGCAGGTTTTGCGGAAAGGATCAGCACCGTTGGCTGAACCGTTGGCTACACCGTTCGTGTGGTTGGACATTGTGGAAAGAAATTGTTTGAGTAGAAGTCTTGGGGCTGTAGAGAGGAATGTGGAAGTCTGAGGCTGTTTATGGCGCGCACCCCGCGGGGGTTTTTAATTGTGATAAACAGCATGAGGCGCATATCCAGATACGACTGTGTCTCTGGTCATGGTTGTGGGCTGCATGGCCAAGCCTGGTCAGATGTAACACGGAGGAAAATGGAAGAAGAGGCGTTTTGGCGAGGGTTGCAATTCTCCGCACAGCGACCCTGTTATGGCATTCGGTTCAGCAGCACATGCGCTGGCTGGTCCGTATGGTACCAGGGTTCTTAGCGCCATCCCTTCGATGGGCGAGATGTGGTGCGGCTGATTCTTTCCCCGGACATGGTATGGTGCCACTATACTAGTACTACCAAAGTGGAAACATCCGTCCATAGTGTCAGCCTCATGGCTTTTCTCGAGGCTTTACACAGAACAAACACAACATCTCATTGCAACACCTCGTGCACCGCCTCAAACGGTGACCTTCGCGACGCCATGCTGGAGTCTGGCTACCAGCACTATTACTTGGCAAATGTTACCATCCATCCACCATTTCAGTGGCGTATCTCAGGGCTGGGCATGTAAGAATAGAATCCCTACCGCTGGCTGAGACATTCATATACACTGAAGACTCACATCAACTGCTCTCCTCCAACATCTTTCCTCTAAGCACATTCTACCATGGCATTCTCTTCAGTCATCTTCTCCGCTTTTACCAACGTGTACATCTGTCTGCCACTTCTCGTGGTGGCCTACGTGGCGTACACAAGATACTTCACGGGACTCTCGCACATCCCAGGTCCAGGCATTGCCAGTATCAGCAATTTTTGGAAGATCAATGCGGCATGGCACCAAGACATGCCAAAGCGGAACATCGCCCTTCATCGGGAACACGGCCCTCTGGTCAGGATCGGGCCGAACATGATCTCGGTGGATGACCCGGCCGCTCTTCCAATCATCTACGGCTTCAAGCCGATCTTCACGAAGGTGAGTAATCTCTTCAGACAGACAAGTCTCAGCAGCTGATCAACATCCCAGACGGCCTTCTACCCCATCGTCGAGGCGCTGTACAAAGGCAAGCTGGTAGCAAACCTCTTCACCACCCGCTCGGAGAAGTACCACGCGCACCTGAAGCGGTCCTCCGTCAACGCGTACTCAATGACGGCACTGGGCGACCTCGAGCCGCAAGTGCAGCCCGTCATCGACCTCTTCCTGCAAAAGATCCACGACGTCGGCGCCGGCGGCACCAAGCCCTTCGACATCGGCACGTGGGCGCAGTACTTCGCCTTCGACGCCCTCGGCCAGATCAACTTCTCCGAAGACCTCGGCTTCCTGCGCACCGGCACCGACGTCGGCAACAGCATCGGCACCATCGACGGGCTGCTCGCGTACCTCTCCATCATCGGCCAAGCGCCGTGGCTGCACAAGCTGCTGCTCGGCAACCCGCTCGTGCACCGCCTCCTCCCGCTCGAAAGCAGCAACCAGGTGCAGAACTTCGCCGTGGAGATGATCACCAAGCGCATGGCCAGCATCGAAAACGACGACAAGCCGCTACAGCGCGACATGCTCGCCCGCCTGCTCGAAGTCTCATCCCAGGACGACGCCAAGCTCAGTCTGACCGAAATCATCGGCCTGACCACGACCAACCTCATCGCCGGCTCCGACAGCACCGCCATCGGCCTGCGCGCCATCCTGTACTTTCTATGCCGCAGCCCCGCCGCCTACGGCAAGCTGCAGCGGGAGATCGACGAAGCTTTCGCGGCTGGTGAGCTCGAGGCGCCCACGCCGCGCTATGCCGATGCCGCGAAGCTGCCGTACTTGCAGGCCGTCGTGACCGAGGCCCTGCGCGCTCACGCGGCAACGGGGTTCGTGCTAGAGCGCGAGGTGCCGGCGGGCGGCGCAGAGATTGCGGGCCAGGCTATTCCTGGGGGCACGATTGTCGGGATCAATTCGTGGGTCATGCACGCGAATAAGGAGGTGTATGGCGAGGATGCTGAGGCGTTCCGGCCTGAGCGCTGGTTTGAAGATGACCAGCGTGTGCGTGAGATGAAGCGCTGCAACATGTCGGTGAGTAACAACATCATTGGTCTTGAGAAAGTGGAGTGTCGTGGCTAATTCTTGTGCAAAGTTCGGCGCCGGTCCCCGCGTGTGCATCGGCCGGAATATCTCCATGATGGAGATCATCAAGTTCATCCCGGCCCTGATGCGCCGCTTTGACTTCAAGTTGGCGAATCCGGAGCAGGAGTGGGAAGTCTTGGGCCACTGGTTCACGAAGCAGACGAACCTTGATATGATTTTCACTCCGCGTGTTTGATGAATTTCGTTTCATTTTTTTTGATCATTTCTGCATTGTATTCTTTGGCCATAGAACGTTTTGCTTTTAGCTTGAAATACGTGCATAGAATATTCATAGAAATTATATTCCGGCTTTCTATCCTAGAATCTGCAACAATCCTCTCATGCGTAATCTTCGATTCTAATCGCCTTCAGTACCGTAGTTTGTACATGAATGAGCAATTAATAATTTACCATCTTTTTCTGGCAATCATAGACGATATTTTCGAGTTGACCTTAAAGCGCAGTGGCTTTCTTCTAGAATTTCGCCGGTGTTGTGAATTGACAAAGGGGAATTTCTTGGTGGTGTAGCAATCGTCAGCTGCCGAGACATCTAGCCTGCTTCCAACCGTCTAGCTAAAGCCAAGATGTATCATTCGGCTGTAACCGAGTGCTACATAACGACAGACTATAGTTATGCACGAAGTGGCGGAAGATTCCGGTGGTTGCTACCAGCCAAGACTAGCGATCCTGACCAGCCACTGGAAACCTACTTCGACGTTACAGCAGCCACATTTACCAGTGAGATGGATCGGGAGGAACACTAGGCTGCGGCAACGTTGCGGTATTGCTGAGGTTAGAATCTACGCCACAGCTTGGCTGATGCCACCCGCGGCCTACTTGGCCACAATGCCCTTGCCAGATCTGGAAACGCAACCGCCTTAAACATGAACATGTATAACTGGTAGGAGAGTGCTCTAAACATTCAAAAAGGGCCTTCAATCCCTCCAAGCAGCAGCACAGGACACCGGATTCCACCCTCGTTTCCACCATGTCCACTGAACAATCCTGTTGCCAGAAGTTTGTCGACACCGAAAATGTCCAAGATGTTTCTGAGAAACAAAACCCAGGCGTTACTCGTACCATTCGTGGCTTCCAAGTTTGTCTCACCCCATTGATTCTCTCTCTCTGGCTGACACCATCCCGCAGTGGTTCCTCGTCGTGGTGGCGATCCTGTCCAGCATGTTCATCTACTCGCTGGACGGCACCATCACGGCAGATCTCGTCCCCTCCATCGTCAACGAATTCAACAGCGTCGAGCTCCTGCCATGGCTCTCAGTCGGCTTCATGGTCGGCAGCATCGTGACGGTGCTACCGCTGGGCAAGCTGTACGCCAAGTACAACGCCAAATGGCTGTACATCATCTCAGTCTTCATCTTCCTCGCCGCCTCCGCCCTCTGCGGCGCAGCGCCCAACATGTCCGCCATGATCGTCGGCCGCGTCTTCCTCGGCGCCGCGGGCAACGGCATCTACTGCGGGATCCTGACGCTCATCTCTGTCTACACCGAGGACGCAGAACGTCCCGCGTACCTCAGCCTGGTCGGGCTGATCTGGGGCGTGGGCACGGTGCTCGGCCCCGTGGTGGGCGGCGGCTTCGACAAGGTGTCGTGGCGGTGGGCCTTCTACATCAACCTGATCATCGGCGGCGTGTGCGCGCCCGTCTACCTGTTCCTGCTGCCGCCGTTCGACCCGCAGCCGCAGGCCAAGAGCCTGCTCGCGCGCGCCGCCAAGTTCGACTTCCTCGGCGCGCTGTTCTCTATGGCCGCCATCCTGTGCCTGATCATCGCCATCAACTTCGGCGGCGCCCTGTACGCGTGGGATAGCTGGAACATCATCACCCTGTTTGTCGTCTCGGCCGTGCTGTTCGTCGTCTTCGGCGTGCAGCAGAAGTACGCGTTTCTGACGACGAAGGCCGAGCGCATGTTCCCCGCCCACCTGCTGCGCAACCTCGAGGCCAACTTGCTGTTCGTCTGCGCTGCCACCTGCAATGCTGCGGGTTTCATTCCCGTCTACTACCTCCCCATCTACTTCCAGTTTTCGAGGGGCGATGACGCGCTGAGCGCTGCGGTGCGCATGTTGCCGCTTATTGTGCTCTTGAGCGCCGCTATCATCGCTAACGGGTATTTGATGGGGAAATGGGGGTACTACCAGCCCTGGTATGTTGTCGGAGCTGCCTTGGCGTTGGTCGGTAATGTATTGTTGTGTGAGTTCAGATCCCCAAGTATCCTCTGGTTTGGTTTGGTTTTCTGATTCTTCTCCCAGCTCTGGTGGATATCAACACCGATATTGCACAAATATATGGCTACGAAATCCTCGTTGCGGTTGGAAGCGGATCTTTCATCCAGGTAAGAGAATTCTCAGTGAGTGCTGTCAACTGTGCTGACGAATACTTTTTCTCAGGCTGGATACGCCACCATCCATACCGTTGTTTCCCAAGAAGATACGGCCAACGGAATAGCATACATGATGCTCGGTAAGCCGGACTGAAACTCGTCTGACACCAATTTGTTCTGACTGCCTACCACAGCCCAGTTCATCGGAATCGTTTTCGGCCTAGGAGTTTCCGGAGCTGTCTTCATCAACAGTGCTACGCAAGCCTTACAAGTACTGTTGCCGAACGTACCTGTGCAGCAAATCAGGTCTATTATCAGTGGTAAGCTCTTGTTAGTTGTAAAATCAAGAAGCCATATCGCTAACGCATTTCAAGGCACTTCCTCCAACGCAATGAAGGCGGTCCCTGTCGAGCAGCGTGGTTTAGTGCTTGCTACTGTCGTAGATGCCCTGCGCAAGGTGTAAGTTTCTACTCTCTCGACCGGAAGGCAAAAAAGAGTGCCACATACTGACGGACTCAGCTTCATCCCCGCATATGCAGCTGCAGCAGTTGCACTTGTCGTATCTGTTTTTCTTAAGGTAAGACTCGGCAAATTCTTGATGATGGTAGAATAACACTAAAACTTTTGGTACAGAGGAACAGAGCATTCCATGCGTAGCCTGGGAATTAAGGGGTTTCGACCACGCGCAAGGACTGGTGCTCCGCCCAGCTTGGTTGTGATTCATATCTAGAGGGATTACACACGAATATCGTTTTGTATATCATGATCAGTTAGAGATTTATAGATTAGATAGAGGCGCCTGGAGTCATTCATCGACATAGATTCTGTATAAAAATGGACATAATATGCGCAGAAGAATTACCATTGATTTGATCGTTATGTAAAATAGCAGCTGCCTCCGCTTTTTAGAGTAATAGGGTTTCACAAGGCACCGCTGGAGTACTTGAAAGAGACGATCTTCCCGTGACAGTAGGCACCGTCTTTTCTCTATTCCAGAGAGGCATAAGAGCCTTCATCCCTGATTTCCATTGTTGGAATCCAATGGGCAGGTGCGGGACGAGGCTGACGTAGGAAATGGCGTAGTTGCTGGGTGGCGTAAAGCATATATATATACTAGAATCTAGACTTTCTGTGACTCTGAGAGCATAACGCGATGTGCGAGAAAGAGACAATAATTTCCGCAAACAAGGCTGGCGAAGCCAAAATGAGTTCATGTGAGTGAAGGAAGGAGTTGGTTAGTTGGACTAAGAATTTGGTGGGATGAATACCTCGACGAGGCTGAAAAATGCAATTCTCGGCGATCACAATCCTACAAAGGACCACGACACATGCTTCCGCAACAGGCTACTACCCCTTTCATTCTAGATTAAAGTGTCAGTAGCGCCGTCAATTAAGCGCGGTTGCCCAGCCGTCGCACAAAAATGGTGGTTTCCCTCCAGGACATTCGTCGAGCTAAGCTGAAAGCAGTATAGTCCTCACTCATGATGTATTCTCGAAGCTAACCAAAGGGATAGGTGCTTTAAATATGTCCAGATCACGTATCCCATCCTCACTGAGCATTGAAGCGACAGTCGAGAGTGATGAAAGCACGTAGTCTCCTTCCCGTGTTGCTCGCCCTCAGCGGCATCCAAGCGAGCCCGGCCGGCCGATACGACGGATATGACCGGCTTGCCGGATCCTCGTTCGGCGTGCCTGGAGATCAGACGTTCGACTACGTCATCGTCGGGGGAGGCACAGCCGGTCAGGAGCTTTTGGCCACCCCTCCGTCTACCGATCAAAACGCTAACTTGATGTCGGGACAGGACTCACCCTCGCCAACCGACTGTCGGAGAACCCGGCGTGGACGGTAGCAGTCATCGAAGCAGGCGGCTACTACGAGATCGAGAACGGCAATGTGTCGCAGATCCCGCTGTTCGCGTCGGTGGGCTCGGACAAGACGACGGCCAACTACAACCCGGCCATCGACTGGGGTTTCGTGACGACGCCGCAGCCAGTGAGTGACCGACCTTACGACACCAAGAACGATTGTTCCTGAATACTTGCGCAGGGCGTAAAGGGCGCAAAGGTGCACTACGCGCGCGGCAAATGCCTTGGCGGGTCGTCCGCCCGCAACTACATGGCGTATCAGCGCGGCACGATCCAGTCGTACGACTGGTGGGCAGACCAAGTCGGCGACGACTCGTACCGGTGGAAGTCGTTCCTGCCGTACCTGCAGAAGAGCGTATCGTTCATAGCACCCGACGCGCGCAAGCGGGCGAAAAACGCGACGGCGCAGTACGACCCACGCAGCTTCGGCGCCAACGCGGGCGAGGTGACGCTGACCTTCTCCAACTACGCGCAGGCCATCTCGTCGTGGGTGCAGCGCGGCATGGCCGAGATCGGCATCAAGCCCATCGACGGCTTCACGAGCGGCAGGCTGTTCGGCTCGTCGTACGTGCTGGAGATGATCCAGAAGGACCAGGTGCGCGCGTCGTCCGAGACGGCCTTCCTGTCGCCCGCCGCGTACCGGCGTCCCAACCTGTTCATCTTCACGCACTCGCTGGCCAAGAGGGTCATCTTCGACGACCGGAAGACGGCGACGGGCGTGGCCGTGGACACGGCCGGGAAGAAGTACACGCTGACCGCCCGCAGGGAAGTCATACTGTCGGCAGGAGTGTTCCAGAGCCCGCAGCTGCTCATGGTGTCGGGCGTCGGGCCGAAGCCGACCATGGACAAGTTCGGCATTCGGACCGTTGCTGACCGGCCCGGTGTGGGGGAGAACATGTGGGTCAGTTGTACCTTTCACCGTTTGGCGCGACGCTGGCTGATGCTTGCAGGACCAAATTTTCTTCGGTCCGAGCTGGCGCGTCGATGTGGTGACGGGCTCGTCGATGAGAAATCCATTGACTCGCGCCCGTGCCTCTGATGACTTCAACAGGTGGCAAGCCGGCATTATGACCAACACAGGAGGCGACTTCTTCGGTATGCTGTAGTCTCCATCATTGCCAACGCATCGTTGCTAACACGGAACACACATACAGCATTCGAAAAGATTCCGCCGGCCATCCGGGCGACCTTTCCGAAGAACGTCAAAGACTCGCTCGCCAAATTCCCCGCCGACTGGCCCGAGATCGAATACCTCACCGTCTCCGCCTTCCTGGGCGACAACGAAAACTACGTGACCGAGACGCCGCAAGACAACTACAACTACGCCGCCGTCGTCGGCGCCCTCATGGCCCCCGTCTCCCGCGGCACCGTGTCCATCTCGTCCGCCGACGCCGCGGACCCGCCCGTCATCGACCCCCGCTGGCTGAGCGATCCCGCCGACCAAGCCGTCGCCGTCGCCGCGTACAGGCGCGTGCAAGAGCTGTTCAACTCGCGGGCCATGAACCCCGTGCTGATTGGCCCCCAGTACTACCCCAACACGAACGGCCGCGCGCAAAGTGATGCGGAGGTGCTCGAGGAGGTCAAGCAGATTTTCAATACCATATGGCACGGTGCGTGCACGTGTAAAATGGGGAAGAAGGACGATCGTATGGCCGTGGTGGACAATCGCGCCCGCGTCATTGGGGTCAATAGGCTCAGGGTTGTGGATGCGAGCTCGTTTGCCATTTTGCCTCCGGGACACCCGGTGAGCACCATCTGTAAGTTCTCTTTTCTATTCTTTTGTGTCATCGCGGACGCTGACCACCTTACAGATGCGCTGGCGGAGAAGATTGCGGACGATATCAAATACACGCGTAATTAATTAGATCGAACCAATTTAGTATTGATCATTTGATATTATATATTCAGCAAGATCCGACAGAGTCTTTCATCACTTTGAAATCTATCTTTCATTTCAATCATCTCCTCGACATCCCAGTTCGCGAACACAAACCTCCCGCTTAAAAATGCAGCCGCTGGACTTGCAAGCCAGACCGCAAAGCCGCCAGACAAGCTCGCATCATCCCATTCGTACCCATGATCCTGAGCGAATCCCGCCTGTGCCATCCCCTCAGTGAAAACGATCCCAGGATTGAAGCTGTGAACCCTGACCGCCGGATTTTCCAGCTGAACGTGCTGCATCATGTGCGTGAACGCCGCCTTACTCGCGCCATAAATGGCATTGAGAGGAATCGTCAGGTACGCCGACGCAGTGGAGACGTCGATGATCACCTTGTCCGAGGTCTCCACCGGAACCTCATCTCCACCACCGCGACCTTCGGAAATGATGGTACGGCTGCGCTTCACGCGTGAGGTATCGGCAGCGCGCCCGAGGAATCCGCGTACGACGTTCATGTTCCCGAGCACGTTGGTGTCGAAGCTTTGACGCATTTCCTCGGGCGAGTAGGCGCACGCGGCCAAGCCTTGCTCGGTATATGCGGCGTTCAGCACGAGGACGTCGACGTCTCCACCGCTACTACGCAGTTCTACAAACATGTTCTCGATTGCTTCTCTGTTCTTGAGGTCGACTCCGTACGTTTTGAACGTGGTTCGCGGGAAGTCTTCACGCAGCTGTTTGAATGTCTCGTCGAGAATGGCAATGCGACGGCCGAGGTAGACGATTGTGGATGCGCCAGCGGCGGCGAATGCTCGGACTATCGCAAGGCCGATTCCACTGGCACCGCCGGTGACGAGAACGGTTTTGCCGGCGGCAGAGTTGGCTGGATTGGTGGGATCAATAGCAGGGTACTTCATACTCACTGTTAGTTTATTGCATTCGTGGACTACAACTACTCACCTGAGTTTTGTGTAATTTCTTAGTCAAGTGCATCAGACCGAGAGTGTCAGACATGATGGATATGGTGATGCGAACTTGTGCGTGGCGTTGTCTTGAAAATAACTAAGCAGTAATTGAAGAAGGAAGTATTAGAAAAATTAGACATTTTATAAAGAAAATAGCTTTTTAGTTTATAGTGTGTTACTGTTTCCTTCATGTTGGTGGGCATGCGGCAGTACATAATTTCGGAGGTCGGATTCTCGGCCCTCCATGGTTTCCGAGGCCCGATTCTTAGTAGTAGAATCTTCCGACCCGACGATGAGGATCTTTCCCCTTTTTTGTGCAGTACCGCGAAGTTGGAATATAGTTGAACATTGTTTTCCACCACGTGGATAACAAATCATGCAGGTCTAGAGTGCAGTTTGATAACGGATCGCAAACGCCCGAGGGTCTCAAACGACGGCGGGACGCGCCGACTCGAATGAGTAAAGACGAAGGTCGGCCGAGATAGCTCGGAAACCGAGCAGCGGGCCTCAGTGCATCATTGCTCAAATATAGTCACCCAGAGGGGATACTTAAGTAGATCGAATACTGAGGCTCTTTTTCCACAATTATCAGTATCTTGTTGACCTTTCACCATTGCCATCGTCCCTCAATTTAAATTTCCAAACAAAATGATCACTTACGCCATCCTCGGTGCCACCGGCTCAACGGGCTCAGAGCTTTTCAAACTCCTCCATAAACGCAGCGACGTCCACTTGAATATTTACGCTCGTTCTGAAAGCCGACTTGACAGCATTTGCCCCGAGTCACGCAATTCTTCCCACGTCACCCGCTACATTGGAGACATGAACGACACGCAGCTCTTGGTAGAGTGCTTGAGGGGAACATCGGCGGTATTCGCAACGGTCGCGCAGAACAACACTGAGCCGAACTGCTCTCTCGCGGTCCGGTCTGCACAGCAGATCGTCAAAGCACTCGAAGTCCTCCGTGACGAGTCCAAAGGCAACGGTCAGCGTTGGAAGTGCCCCACTGTTGTGTACATCTCGTCGAGCACCATCAACGACAAACTCAACGCCTTGTTCCCTCCGCTCGTCTACACGTTTATCCACACGTCTCTGTACGACCTCTACGAAGATATCTCGAATGCGCAGAAGTATCTTCGAATGTTCCCCTGGATCCCTGTCATCTTTCCGCAGCCCGGCGCGATAGTCCAGGACCCGAAAAGCTACGGAGTGCGATTGAGCGAGACGAATATAAGCATGAGAATCGGGTATACGGACGTAGCTGAAGGAATGATACTTCTTGTGGAGGGAAAAGAGTGTTCTGGTGATACTGAGGGGGATCCTGAGAAATGGATTGGCAAGGAGGTTGGGCTGGTTAGCCTCGGTGGAGAACAAGTGGCGTGGACCGGATTTCCTTCGAATCTCTTTAAGAACATCCTACCAGGATTCTTGTGTACGTTTTTGCCCAGCGTCTGGAGGCTGGGGAGAAAGGCTGGACTATGGTAGATACTAAAGAGCTGACCTATCATGCGAGAAGTATCATCGTCATGGAATTCATTCTCTATATTTGTTGTGGGCTAGCGGAGAAGATTGTGGACGATATCAAATACACGCGGTATTAATTGTTGCGTAACGAAGGGCTAGCAGGCATTTATTTAGAGATTGAAAAAAGCCAAACATCACCATGGCTGATGGTTGATATTACTTCATCCACATGTGAGCAGTTGGTATGCGGGGTTGCAGTTTGAAGTAGCCGAACACCTGGATTTAACAGCTAGACGCCGCTGATTGCACCCTTGCATCGTTTCATGGAAAGATCCGTGGTCTGGACCAAATTCAGCGAAGTTCAAATCTGGTTGGGCTGGTCCCTGGTTCAACCCGAGGAGCTGAACCAGGTTGTATCACATGCCGTTCTCATCCCTGAATCCGGGTACTAATGCCTCAAAAACGGAAAGCTATGCGCTGGTCACAGGCCACACCTCTCAGCTTGACTCCAAAATTACCACGTCGTCGATGGTCACCTCTAGGTCTAGCAATCACTTTTTCTGGGGCGTTGGATATATGGAGCTAATATCAAAGCCTTTCTACATGAATACCATCAATGATTCACTTCAAAGACAAATATTGCGCGTTTTTACTACAAAAGATGGCCAGGCCGATGATTCCGCACTGTCACGAGCCTGAAAGAGTAGAGTGTAGCTTGGCAAGGCCTATTTCCCGACCGCACTAGGGCCTAAACCCATAGAATATTTCCGTCTTACTCGAAGAACCCAGTCTCCCCTGTAAAACTGTTTCACGAATTCCGAAACTTGAAGGAGCCAAGCATTAGCTCTAATAGTACTATCAGCACATATTTTTAAGAGCGAAAAGAAATTCATCCGTATCAAATATTTGCTCACAGACTTTGATCGTTGCCATAGAAGTAATGTGCAAGTTCTTGATATCTTAATTTACAGATCTAGTTAAGGAAAAGTACGCTGCCAGGCGTCTATGATACTAGGAAACAGAGAAAAGAAAAATGAAAAACAAACTGAGGAATAGGAAATATCAAACGAAGGCGACGAATATCCTGAAATCCACCTGATAGTCCGTCAGTAGTGTAACAAACCCTTGAACAATTTTTACAAATGTTACGCCTCAACAAAAAAAAAAAAGGAAAACAAGTATCTACAACTCCTCCAGCACTCTCCTCCCATCCTCACCCGCCTCCTTAAACTCGGTCACAATACCCGCAATATCCTCCGCAATCTTGCCCGCCGCCTCAGCAGTGTAGATGGCATCGTCGTACATAACAGTCAACCTGTGCCCATCACCCACCGCCTTCGCCACCTCAACAACCAACCCGTACGGCTGATACATCCTCACCTTACTCTTCGCCATAACAAGCCACCTCGTCGCCTCCTCCTGCACCGCCGGCTCAAACGGCTGAAACAAGAACAGCGTCCTGTTGCCGACCTCCTTCCTCTCCAGCCCGACCGCACCGTAGATCTCGTCCAATCCGACATCTCCGTGCTCCGTCAGCGCCCAGAACCGGTCCTGCGTATCCTGCAAGTAGGACCTGAGGTCCGCCGCCTTATCGACCTGCAGCCGCATGGGCAAGAAGTTCGCGCACGTGCCGTTGATCGTCTGCGGATTGGAGAGCGCGACGTTGCGCCCGCTGAGCAGGTAGTCGAAGGAGATGTCGACGTTGGCGGTCGCGCGCGCCAGCCACAGCTGGAACGCGGCCTGGAAGATGATGGCGGGCGTGACGCCGCAGGCGACGGCCAGTGCGTCGAGCTGGGTCGGGATCGGGAGGCGGGTGGCGGCGGTGATGCGGGGGACGTGGGTCGGGGTCGGGAGCAGCGGGTAGGTGTGGGCCTTGCCGGCCATGGTTTGCTTCCAGTAGGCGAGGGAGGCCTGCTTGTCGGATTGGTAGATGTGGAAGGCGAAGTCCTTGAATTGCTCGTAGGGGGGCAAGGGCGTGTTGGAGAGGATGGCGGCGAAGTGGTCGTCGAAGATGCGGAGGAGGGTGCCGTCGTAGACGGCGTGGTTGAGCTTGATGGCGAGGTCGAAGGTTTGGTCGGGGTAGCGCAGGATGGCGTATTTGATCATGGGCTTGCCGAAGGTGAAGCGCGTGGCCCAGAAGTCTTCGATGATGGCGGTTGCGGAGGCCTCGTCGGCGACGTCGGCGATGGTGACGTCGAGTTGGGAGGACTTGAGGACGACGCCGACCCATTCGGATCCGGAGACCTGCAGCCAGGAGGTGCGGAGGATGTCGTTCACCTCGGTGAGCTTGGTGGTGGCGTCGACCCAGGTCTGAGGGCTCATGGATGCGGGCATGCGGCGGACAGCCATCAAAGCCCACATCTGCTCCTCGCGGTGTCCTTGGGCAACAAACTCGGCTTGTCCCGGAGGGCAAGGGTAAACTGGATAGTGTCAGCTCTGTATGTACTGACTTTTATCTGTAAACTTACCGTATTCCACGTCCTGCTCGTAGTTCAATCCAGCGGACACAACAGCGGTCTTTGCCTCCTCGGGAACAATGAATTCCCTCTTCGGCTTAGAATCATCGACAGTATCGACCTGCATCTTCGAAGCCATGGCAGCAAGGTCAGGGAATCGCAAGATGTTGGTGACCGACAGGATGTACCCGGCCTTGCGGGCCATGCTGGAGAGACTGATGGCCGAAATTGAGTCTCCACCAAGAGACAAGAAGCTCGCTTCCCTTCCAATCTCCGACGTGGGAAGCTTGAAGATGTCGGACCAGATAGACTCGAGGATTGCCTCTTGCTCAGTCTCGACCTTGACGACCTTGTGCTTCTCACCAGGACCCGAAAGCGCGTACTCGCTAATGGCGAGCTGATCCATCTCCTCTGCAATGCGCTTGAGAGCCTTGCGGTCAACCTTGCGGGAAGGCAGCTTGGGGAACTCTCCCATGGGAATGACGATCTTGGGGATCATGTAAGGAGTCAGACCGGTGAGGTTCTCCCTGAAGCTGGCGAAGTTGTCGATGTGATCCGCGGCGGGCTGGACTTCGACGACGTCGGTGGAGTCGAAGATGCAGAAGGCAACGAGCTGGGGCTTGTCGTTAACATTGGCGAGAATGACGACGCCGTTCTGGACCACGCCAGTCTTCAGCACAGCAGCTTCGACCTCGCCGAGCTCAATGCGGTGTCCGTGAATCTTGACCTGGTTGTCCTTGCGGCCGAGACACTCAATCTCGCCGCCTGGCAGCCAGCGGGCAAGGTCACCGGTGCGGTAAAGTTTGTCCACTGCCCACGTCAGCATCAGTAGCGGTGCAAGGTTTCGTCCATACTCACCATTCAGCTTCTCATTCTTGACAAAGCTAGCCTGCGTGAGGTCGCTCCTGTTAACATAGCCGTCGCTCACCTGGGGACCGGCAATGCACAGCTCGCCCACGGCACCATAAGGAACAAGGCCACTTCCATCAGGCTCTACGATGAACGCCATAACCGTCGGGAAGGGGGAGCCAATGTTACCGATGCGGCCGCCGAGCTGCACATCCTTCGTCGTCACGACCATACTAAAAGCCCAAGTCAGCGTCTCCGCAGTTCCCAAATTTCAACATGCTGCACACATACCTCGTCTCGGTCGGCCCATAAACATTCAGAATCTTCCTCCCGGCCCCCTTCCACGACTCGACCACATCCAGCGTCAGCGGCTCGCCGCCAACGATCAGCGTCTCAAACGTCGGCACCTCCTCCGGCTTCAGCAGCTTCGCGACGGTGGGCGTCAGGATGGCCTGCTTGACGGCCATCTTGTTGATCATGCCCGCCAGATCCGACAGCAGGCTCTCGGTCGGCGCCATGCACAGCGTGCCGCGCGTCGACAGCGTGTTGAAGAAGTCCTGCACCGACGCGTCGAAGACGTAGTTGGCGAACTGCAGCGTGCGCCACTCGCCCTCACCACGGCTCTCCGCCACCTCCATGCTGGTCACGGCGGCGGCGGCGGCGCGGTGCGGCAGCTGCACGCCCTTGGGGAGACCCGTGCTGCCGGAGGTGTAGATGATGTAGGCGAGAGAATCCGCCGGGATGGTGATGGCCGGGGCGGTGGTCGGGAGGGCCGCGAGCTCGGAGCGGATGTCGTCGATGAAGACGGCGGGGAGGCTGTGGTGCGTGTTGAAGGCAGCGTGCGCGCGGTGCATGACGAGCGTCTTGGCGCCGACGTCGGCGGTGATGAAGAGGTTGCGCTCGACGGGGTTGTCCGGGCTCATGGGCACGTAGGCGGCACCGGCCTTCATGACGCCGAGCAGCGCGACCATCGTGTCGATCGACTTGTCGAGGATGAGCGGGATGCGGTCGCCGACGCGCGTGCCGTGCGCGATCAGGTAGTGCGCGAGCTGGTTGGCCCAGCCGTTCAGCTCGGCGTAGGTGACGCGCTCGGTGCCCTGCCAGTCGATGGCGATGGCCGAGGGGCTCTCGGCGGCGTGCTGCTCGAAGCGGGCGTGGAGGAGGGACGGCGAGGGGCGGTGGAGGGTGGCGCGGTTGGAGAGCTCGTTGTTGAGGAAGCTAGACTCGGAGCTGCTGAGGATGCTGATCTCGGCGATGGTCTGGGTGGGGTTGTTGACGATCGAGTAGACCGTCTCGATGAAGGCGTCCATGATGAACTTCAGGCGACGCTCCTCCATCAGGCCAGCAATGCGGAAGGCCGTCTCTGTGGGCGCCTCTTCGACCTCCATCGTCGTCCAGTAGAGACCCCAGTGAGGCCGAGGTCCATAACGCTTGAAAACACTGCCGGTTGTGCCATCGTCTTCCGTCTTGACCAGGATGTTCAAGAAGGTATCGACCGAGTCCGTTTTCATGTTGGCAGCCTTCATGCCGTTACGCATTCCGAACTGGGCGTGGCGAGCAAGTTCCAAAAGGCCGCTGCTGGTCTTCTTGGCCAGCTCTGAGACAGGCTGCTCGGGATCCAGAGTAATCCTCTGCGGCACAATGGTCAAGGTTGGTCCGTCCATTGTTTGGATGCCGCCGACAGGAACATCCCTACCAGACAGCGATGTCATGAAGGTCACATCGTGGCTGTTCAGGTGCTTGTTCAACACAATGGCCCAGGCAGCGTACATTACCGCACCAGCCGTGAGGCCCAACGGGTGTGCGAGATCCTGGATGGTACCGGGGAGTGTCTTGCTCAATTTCGTGATGTTGGCAACCGGAGCGGTATTCAGCAGCGTTGGCTCAGCCCTCTTCAGGTAATCCCTCCACCAGCGGCGGTGAACACTGGCATCCTGGGCTGTCAAGTAGCGGACGAAGCGGCTAAAAGCAGGTCTGGGAGCCGGAGTCTTGCCAAGATAAGTTGCAGCCACATCTTGGTACAGGAATGTGTACGACCAGAAATCGAACAGAGAGTGGTGCATGGTAACGACCAGGATCGACTTGGAAAGAACACCGACTCTGAATAACGGACCCTCCATCTTGAACCTGTTGTCCTTGTCGTGCTTCAGGTACTGGTCAAGGCTGAGGGAGCTCTCCACCCACGGAAGCGACATGTCGGTGCGAACCTTCTGGATGATGCTTCGTCCGTTAGGCTCGAACGAGGTGCGCAGGATGTCGCTCTTCTCAAACACAGACTGAAAGCTTGCCTTCAGCTTGTCAAGGTCGAGGTTGGAGAGATCCCAGACGCGCTGGTACGAGTAGTGGTCTTCGTCCATTTCCAGAGAGGGCAGCAAGTCTTGCTGGAGCGGGGTGGCCGGGTAGGCGTCCAGAACGGCGGGCTGGAGCTTGAAGGACTCGCGAAGCTTGACATCCTTGATCAGTTCGAATGGCTCTGGATCAGCATCCGCATCGGCAGCCAGCCTGATGTAAGTCGAAGCAGCCTCTTCCAGCGAAGTCTCGCTCAGCAGCGAAGCCATATCCGTCTCGAATCCAATCTTCCTCAGTTCGGCAAGCGCCCTGATGGCCTGGATAGAGCTTCCACCCAGCAGGAGGAACGAGTGCTCCTTACCAATCGTCTTGATATCCAAACCCAGAACTTCAGCCCACACCTCAGCGATCTGGATCTGCGTCTTGTCGGTCAGGGCTTCGGCAGCACCACCAGCCATGAGCTTCAAGAAGCCCTCGACACCCAGACTCTCAGCCTTGGCTCGAAAGCCCCTCACATCCGTCTTCCCGTTGATGTTGGTGGGGATATCGTCCAACGGCATCCAGAACGACGGCACCATGTAGCCCGGCAAGTACTGCTCCGCATGGGCCCTGACGTCCTGCACCGCGCTCTTCCACTCCACACCCCCCTCAAGCACCAGTCCCGCAACCAGCACCGTGCGGCCCGCAATCTCAGCCGCCGTGGTAATCGACGCCTCAACCGCATCATGCCTGATCAGCACACGATCCACCTCCGCCGGCTGCACCTTCTGGCCATTGATCTTCGCCTGGAAATCAATCCGGCCGAAGATCTCGAACTGGCCGTCATGCAGCATCTTGGCCGAGTCGCCCGTGCGGTACAGCTTGCCCTTGCCGAACGGGTTGTCGATGAAGGCGCGGGCGGTGCGCTCGAACTCGTTCAGGTACCCGCTGCCCAGCTGCGGGCCCGCCAGGCACATCTCGCCGATGACGCCGCGCGGCGCGAGGTCCGTCGAGCCGGGCTTGAGCACGTACGCGCTCGTCGTGTCGGCGGGGCGCCCGATGACGCGCGGGTTGCTGGACGCGTGCAGCCGCGTGCCGAAGTTGAGCTGCGTGCATTCGGACAGGCCGTACGTGTTGCGCAGCTCGACGTGGTCCGCCCACTGCGAGACGAGCGTCTGTGGGATGCGCTCGCCGACGAGGGTGATTTGCTTGAGGTGCGGGACGTCCGAGGGGTGGAGCAGCGTGAGGGCCGAGGGCGTGATGCCGAGGGCTTCGACGCGGAGGTCGTTGAGCGTGGCGACGAGCGAGGTTTCGAGGGTCCTCTTGTTGACGATCAGGAGGGTGCCGCCGTGGACGAGGGTCGAGAGCATGGTGCGCTGGGCCGCCGAGAAGGTCGGGTTGTAGAAGAGGAGCCAGCGCGTCTTGTCGTTGAGCTTGTGGTAGGCCATGCCGTTGGTCGCGGCGCCGTGCGTCAGGACCACGCCCTTGGGCTTGCCGGCCGAGCCCGACGTGTACACGATGTAGCACTTGTCGTGGGTGCGGATGTCGAGGTTCAGGTCGGAGTCGTCGATGGGCTTGTCGGCGTCCCTGGCGGCTTCCAAGCTGTTCTCAATCTCCCGGCTGTTCTCGAACAGGATGGCGTACTTTCTCTGCGTCAGTACAATCCTGGCCTTGGAATCTTCAACAATCTGGAGATTGCGCTCCTTGGGACCCTCGGGATCCAAGATGGTGTAGGCAGCTCCCGACTTCAGGATTGCAAAGAGGGACACGATGAGTTCAATCGAACGGTCCATGCAGACGGGAATGATGTCCCCCTTGCCCAACTGCAAGTGCCTCGCCACCTTGTTCGCAAGCTTGTTGAGCTCAGCGAACGTCAGCTTGTTGTGGTGTTCATCCTCGAGGGCAATGGTGTCCGCACGCTCTGCTGCCGTCTCCTCGAACAGGCGGGGAATCGTGCTGGGGTGCTCCTCCTTCGTCGAACGGTTTCCCTTGACGATAGCAGTTCTCTCCTCGTCCGAGTCAATCTCAATGTTTCCGACAAGGGAGTGGGGGAGGTAGAATTTTTGCAAAGCGCTGCGGAGGGAAACAATGAAGTGGGAGAGAAGCAACTCGGCCTCGCCAGCCACGATGCTGGGGGTGTGGCAGAGAGTGAGCTTCAGCGGCCTGGTTCCGTTGATCGAGAGGGCCAGGGGGAAGCAGGTAAGCTGTCCAGCGGTAGACGGCGAGTTCAGACTGGGAGTGTAGTTGACTACAGTCTCAACGGCATTTCCGTGGATGTGGCGCTGAATCTCGTGGTAGCCGATGTAGCTGTGCTGCGAAGCAATCCGGTGGTAAGAGCTGACAGCGTTGGCCAGTTCCTGGAACTTGACATCACCGGAAATGCTGAGGCGGATCGGGTAGGTCTGGTCGAGGCAGCCGATGCAGGAGTCGGCACCAAAGAAGCCCATGTCACGGCCGACACTTCCGAAAATGACTTCGTCAGAGCCGGTGTGGTGCTGGAGAACGATGGCCCAAAGCGTCTCAAACAGAACGCGGCGAGGGATGCCGTACTCCAATTCCACGACGGAAATGTTGTACAGCATCGACTCGTTCAGCTCCGCTGAGATTGCCGAGCGCTGGGCAAACTCAAGACTTCCGTCCACAGCTTCGACCGGGCGGACCGCGTTGCTCGTGCTGGCGTTCTCGAGAGCATCCGCCCAGAACTTGTGAGAGGCCTCGACATCCTTGGTCTGGGCAATGTACCGTGCGTACGCTCGGAATGGGGTTGATTCTGGCACAGGCACCCCGCAGTAGAGCAGGTCAAAGTTGACCTTGATAACTCCGAGCGAGGTGCTGTCAACCAACGCCCGGCGAACGTGCAGGTACACATGGTATCCGGCTCCGGGGGCTTCTTCCACCGTGAGGTGGGCAAGGTCATCATCCGAGATGTCGCTGACTTGAGAAGACGATGTCGTGGAAGCGGACGACCTGCGCCCTTTCCACTTGATGTCGGATATGCGTCGGAGGACCCTGTGGTACACCTTTCCAGTCTTGGGGTCCGTGCGGAGAACGGTCCTGAGGCAAGAGTCTGCGCAATTGGTAAGCATGCATGCAAAACACTGGTAGTCATCCGACCGGAAATGTTCCGATTGGCTGTAAACTTACGGTGGTAGCTGATCTGTCTCCATGTGGACTCGATACGCTCAATGGTGGGAGGCGGATTTGTTGGAAGAATAATCCGAACCCTGCACCACTGAGCCTTTTCTTTGCTTACAATCTGGGTCTGCGCCGCAGTTGCAAGAATATCGTCGTCGATCTCGGTGGGGGCAGCGTGCTCATACTGGGCGGGAGACGGCCACTGGACGACCTCCACATGGTCGAAGGGATCGTCGGACAGCAGGTCCACCGCACGGTGGTAGAAGAGAGCCATTGTGCTGGAAGGGATATCAATGGAAACGAAAGAGAGAACTTGCTGATGGTAAGACCATGAGTTGACTACACGCTTTATATTTTGCAGTCCATGACCGCGATTAATTGACGTTGACTCGTTGTCTCTCTCGCTCTCTGCACTCTGACTCTGCCTCCGTTCCGCTCTCGTCCGCCTTGAAACCGTTGGATGGCGAATCGAGCAGCATCCTTGGCTCACGCTCTCTGCTGGCTAGCATGTTGGGAGCTACTGACTCGATGATGCTACAGTTTGCGCAAGTCCAGCCATGGCCGGCTTGGCCGCATCCGTATTCCGTTGTGCGGACCGCGCGGGCGTTCACCAATCCGAGTGGTTTGTTGCGAAGTGGTGTTTCATCCGGTGGGGGAACGAAAATACCTCATTGGTCTTGGCCATTGTGTCATTCGATGAGATTGTGAGTACCTTACGAGTTACGAGGAAAAGCAAATATGCCGCGTGGTTGATCAATTGGCTCCAACCGTCAGCCGAGGCGCCTCGTGGGAACCAATTTTCGGGGAAACAGAACCGTCTGGGCGGCCTTGCGAGTCCCCCACAGTTAGTTAGTGCGTGATATAGCGGGAGTGGGATGCATCAGGTCTGGACTCTGGCCATGGACCTTCCGTCAAATGAATCCTGTATCAACACCAAGAGAGATGAATTCAAAATATCCTATTCTTCTTGGCTGTGGTCCCAAGCCGGGCGGTCAGCTCAAGCAACACAGGTCTGAACATAAGCTCTGGATGGCGTTGTCCAAGCTCCGGACCGTCCCGTTTCACAACTCTTGTTGTTCCTTGGGGTTCGCAGTTGGTCTAACCGCGCTGGTAGGCTGGACCGGCCGACACGCGCTTAGGCTAATGTTCGGACAGAAAGAGCCTCAGATCATCGGGGAAAAAATAAGTGCCCTCGACGCACAACCGGGGATTGATTGCCGGGTCCGACTTAGTGGCTATCAGGAACCGTTCAGACTTCCGCGCCTTGGCGACGCACGGCCGGCGAGCCGCAATGGAGACCTTCAGGCAGCCCGGCGATTTGGGTGCACGCCTGCGTCTCGCCCAGATCTCCCGTACTCCATCGAGTACTCCGCAGCTCCATTCAGCCACGATCTCAGCTTGGTCATGGCCAGATCAGCTTAGTCTTGCCTAGGCGACCCAAGCAATTTGCCGAGCCGCCGCTACACTCGGCTCTCGCCGCGCTCTCCCTACCCCGCATGGTCCTTCCTCTTTGCCACGCGAACCCGAATCCGCATACCCTCTCGTTCAAGGCAGGGCCATGCGGATGCGCGGACCCCGCAAGATCTCATCCCACGCGGCCGCAATGCCTCCGTTCCACCGAGGCGGATGCTCTTCCCGATCCGGAAGTCCCCCCTGTTACACCCTGCAAGACCCTGGCAATGACGAACACGGGTGGCTTTCGACGCAATCCGGTTAGTCGGTAGAGTTTCACAACCCCGGCCATGACGAACACGATTGAAATTCAACGTATTCGCCTAGTCGTCAGCGGCGTCGAGGCGGCGCGGCTCGAGCAGTTGGCGAATCCTCCCGTTGCTATCCGCTGATTAGCGCTGACGAAGCTATCATGCATAGGCTACTTGAGTCAGGTTTCACGGCTTCATCTTTATTTCCTTCTTAGGCTCTGTTTCGCCACCCGCTAGTAGGAGTGTGTTTATCTCCGGACCGGCGACGTCGGCAAAACTATACAACATTGACTCAAGTTGCAGCACCTCTTCAAACTCGAATGTGACAGATGTTCGTGAATCCCTTAATAGTTCCTAGTGCATTGACGAGTAATCACTGCCGCGCAATCGGGTCTCACCTTCTCCACAGCTCAGTGATTGAATAAGCTCGGGAGTATGGAGTTTTCCGCATCCGTCCTCCGGTCAAGCACCCCTGCGAGGCTGTATGGCAAAAGAATTACGTTGCCAAATTCTCAAATGCACAGGCTTTCTGTTTGAAGGAACCTTGTTGTACATCGACCGATCGCACAGGAGTTGAAGTGATTGGGTGATGAAGTGATGTCGGAACATCCCTGCACTAACCATCCATCTGTCCGTGCCTATGTGATAGTTAATGCTGGATGACCTAAGGTAGCTGATTAAGTCTAAGCAGCAAGCTCTGAGGAGAATGCCGGCATGACTCCACAGAGCCGCGTTTGCCACATTCTCATTGCTGCCCGATTGGATTTAGTGTAGTTTGCTTCACACAGCTCGGGTATACGGATACACAAACCACAGTCACTAATCGAACATTCTTTGTCTGCATGCAAGACTTTTTCACCCAGCAGTTTGCTTCATCTGGTGCATGCAGTATGAACAATAATTGGGAAGTAAGAAATAACATGAATTCAGAGTGATACATCTCCTCAATTTTCGATACTACTAGTCTCTTCATTGTGTATCTTCGCTACTTCCACTCAATCTCTTTTACATACATGCAGTTACACTATGAGCCATTCTAAGCCTTGGCCATGAGTGCCGGGGCCTTTGCGAAGCGAGCAACCACGCAGCAAGCGGCGGCTGCCACGACCATGACACCGCAGAAGATCTGAACTCCCAACCATCCATGATCCTTGAGGATGGCTCCGGCAACCGGGTTACCCACCAGGAAACCGAAACCAGCAAACGAGAAGCTCATACCCATACGAGTACCAACGACTCCAAGGTTGGGCGACAAGCTGACGACCGTCGTCGGCGGCAGCGAGACAAATGTGCCAGAGAAGAAACCGTACAAGATACCAAAGACAATAACGCCTGCCGTGCTGTCGATGGCAATCCAGCAGAACGCCAGCAGCGCCGAGATGGCGCAGCACGGCACCAGGATGTTCAGCGGGCCAGTCTTGTCCGCGATGAAGTTCGGAATGATGCGGCCGAAAGCAGAGGCGGCGTTGAGGATGGACAGCATGTAGAAGGCGAGGTCGGAGCTCATGATGTTGTTCTCAATCGCAAACGACTGCACGTAGAAGAAGGGGATGTACATGCCCATGAAGCCGAGGAACTCGGCGATGCTGAACATGAGGAACGGCACCTCCTTGAGCGCGGCCAGGTCGACGAGGCGGCGCTTCTGCGGCGGCAGGACGCGCACGCGCATGACGGCCACGGCGACGGCCATGGTGCCGAGCATGATGAAGGCCATGACGCGGGTCGCCCACGCGAAGCCAATCTGCGGCTCCAGCCGCGTGAAGATGATGGGGTAGATGACGCCGCCGAGACTGCTGCCGCTCGCCGCGATGCCCGTGGCGAAGGACTTCTTCGTCGTGAAGTAGGTCGAGACGATGGCGACGCTTGGGATGAAGAGGCAGCCGCTGCCGAGGCCGATGGTGATGCCCTGGGCCAGCATCACCTGCCAGTACTTGGTGCACAGGCTGGTCATGAACATGCCGAAGGTGATGAGGAAGCCGCCCGTCCGGAGCAGGGTCTGGAAGTAGCCCATGTCGAACAGTGGGCCGGTCCCGACACCGATGATGAGCAACAGGAACGCTTGGATCGAGCCAACCCAGGAGATGTTGGACTCCGTTTGAGAGGACAACATGTCCGAGGCATAGTACGTCTGGAAGACACCAAACGAGTTGACAATGCCCCTGACGCATCTTGTTAGTTAGTTGCTCTCTGCAAAGGATTGAGCTGGAGCATACCAGGTGTTTAGGAAGAGAATAAACGAGCCAAGCACCTGCAGCCAAGCCGTCACACCACCATTCGGTGGCTCGTTCGCAGGGGCAGGCTGAGCTTGAGCTTGCTCGGGCTTCTCCACAGGCGTGACCTGGCCAGAGGCCTCAAGCGAGCTCTTCTCCTCCATATTGTTCGGGTCGTTCAGCGGGAGGGACATGCTATCACAGTGGGCAAAGAATTGAGAGCTGTGATGCTGAAGAGTGGGAGTTGTTTGGCGCAGCTGAAATCACAATATGAAATTTGTCTTCTTAAGAGTGCGGCTGTCTCATTGCAGAATGGCGTGCGAGCGTTCCGACTGCTCGAAGGAGTTGCTTCGAATGATCTGCATGCGCTCTTTTAGGTGGAGGCGGTCCGGGTTCCCAATGGAGGTAGTATCCGCCAGCTCGCCTCCACTTTGGCTCGAGTAATGCAGAGGCGAGCGGCAGGGTAGCCTCCCCCCACCTCATGAATCAGGCCGAGGCGGATGCACTGCTGAAAACAGAAAGCGTACCGGGCCGGAGCTTATCGATGCTTAAATCCATCTAAGGCGCCACACCGAGTCGGCCCGGGCGACGGGACGCCTTGACCAAGGGACTGTCTCACGCTTGCCGCCGACCCTGGACGATCCCTCGGCGCGAACCTCGGGGCCTCTCAACACCAGTCATGGTTCCGAGTCTTGCTCGAAGAGGGCTTGATTTCTAAGTGGCTGATTTCTAAGAACTTAGCATTTAAGACGAGGCTCTCGCTGCACTCACTGGACAGACAAGCAATCATCTCCATCTTTTCACCATGGCTTCCTGGAACGACCGCACCGTTACGAACGAGCACATCCTTCCCTATGTCGATTCCAAGACAGCCCCGCCCGAGGTTGCAGCCGCACTGAACACTCTGCCATTTGAGCGCAACGTGTTCAAGGTCAGAGCGTCCTTGGATCCCACTCTTATCGCATGATGCACTGACCATTTGCAGCTCCTCGCCAATGCGCCCATCTTCTTCCCGACTTTCATGAAGCTCTTGAGCCTCTGCTGGCACGCCGACCGCGAGCTCCGTGCCACCGACTGGCAGATCATCGTCCTGCGCACGGCCGCCACCCTGGACGCGCCTTATGAATGGGATGTGAATGCGCCCGTTGCCAAGGTGCTTGGCTTCAGCGAACAGCAGTTCGATGCTCTGCGGAACCGCTCGCAGCCCGTTCCTGCCGAGCTGTTCACTAAGCGCCAAGTCTTGCTCACGCGCTTTGTTGACGAGATCAACAGCCCCGGCGCGACCCGCGTATCGGAGCCGCTCATGCAGGAACTGAAGTCTGTTTTTGGCGACACGGCTGTAGCCGAGATGTTTTTCACCCACTCTGTTTATGCGTTCTTGGCGAGGTATATGAACAGTGCCAAGATTGACTTCGACCCCCCGATTCCTGGGCTCGAGGACATGCTGCGCAAGTTCAATGCTGCCGCTATTGAGAAGGAAAAGACTTTCACGGATTAGGTTTGGAATTTTGGTCTAGTTTTCCGCGGTGGCTCTTGTAGAATATATCCAATCATTTCTCATCCATTTCATCTGCTTCATCACTGCAAATTCCAACGTGGCACCTCGTGAATATTTGAAAATGTGCAGATCTCATACCTCAGACGCCCTCTTTCTAAGAACGGCCCACTCTGCTCAAAAACTCAAATCGTGTGTTTCTAGTAGAAGGTTGCTCATCTAGCTCCTTAATCTGTTGCTTTGTGATTTCGCTCTAGGGTGGTTACCACCAACTCCAATTGCCGTGAAACCCCCAAAACCAACTCTAGCGACCCAAACCCAACTACCACGTAAAATGCACGTATAATTCATATGACCGTGCTAAAACAAAAATATTCATTTTTATCACAGTCAGTATCTGCAGGCTTAGGCATTGTGATAAAATTTATAAATTTTAAAATTTAATCGTGTCGCTAAAATTCTACCGCGATTTTTAAAAATATTTGTACTATAGTAGAAACTTGAGTGTGTGCCGCTAGAGTTAGACTTAATAATTATTTATTTCTCTCTCTTTCGAATTTCTAATTATTTCTGAAATTAAACTTTATTCGTAAACTTGTCAAATAGATCCTTACTAGCATATCCTTACTAAGAGCCGTATGGTGTAAGTATTATGGAGCAAGACTCCTTCCACGCATGAGTATGCAGTCTAAGATACTCTGTAGGGATTAGGTATCTTCATCATAACATATCTGATAGAATGTCTTGTACACAGCGGAGAAGGAGCCTTAATCCGGATGAAGTGTCACGTGCCTGGGTGGTGTTCAAAAGCTTCACTTCCAATGTTCATTTGTTTAGACGCGTCATCGAAGTATTTCTCATTCAGTGTTTAATTTTATGTACATGCCCAAGAGTCTACACCTGTGCGACGAAGACCTGCTTCTTCACACCGAGCGGTTTCTCCGTCGCCAGCTGCAACGACCGCTTAACCGTCTCTGACAAATCAGCAGCGCCACTCCCCTGGTCCCAAGCCACCTTCTCCACCACCGGGGTCTTCAGCCTTCCCTGGAGAAGCAACTCCCCGAACCACCCCAGCAAGCTCTCCTGCTCCGGGACGGACCGCAGCCCGAACTGCTGCGAAAGCCGGAAGTTCCTGAACCTGATCTGCTTCCAGAACAGCGTCTGCTGGGACAGCCGCAGCACGCCATCCGCGCCGCCCAGCGACCCGTAGTTGACAAACGTCCCATCCGGCGCCAGCAGCGCGGCGAGCCTTTCGCCCGACGCGCCGAAGACGGCGTCCAGCGCCAGCACGACGCGGTTCTGCTCGACGGCGGCCTGCAGCTCCGGATGCGCCGTGACGCCGGCCTGCTCGAGCTGCTCCTCGCTGACCACGACATCCGCGCCGATCTCCTTTAGCGTCTGCGCTACACTCTCAAAATCCCCGCGGCCCCGGATGACGCTGATGGTCCTGCATCCCCGGATCCGCGCGAACTGCGTGACCATCTGCGGAATGACGCCGCGGCCCGCATTCAGCACGACCCAGTCGCCCGGGCGGAGGTTCCGCATATCCTCGAGCAGCAGGTACGCCGGGGCGCATCCCATCTTCAGCAGGCTGGCGGCCGCCGGCTCGATGGCGGCGGGGACCTTGAGCAAGTCCGCAGCCGGCAGCACCGCGTGCGAGCGCCAGGTGCCCAGCCCGTGGCGCTTGGGGATGACGTGGTCGCCCGGCTGCAGATGTTTGACCTGAGCGCCGACGGCCTCGACGCGCGCGACGCCGTCGTTGCCCGGGATGGGCTGGTCCGCGTGGTGGTGGACCGGCTTCACGGGGTAGCGCCCCGCGATGGCCATGAGGTCTTGCGGGTTGATGGGGAAGGCGAGGAGGCGGAGGAGGACCGCGTCCGCGGGGATGAGGGATGGGGTGGTGGGGGGGATGGGCGAGGTGTGGACGCCGACCACGCGGGCCGCGTCCGACGAGGTTTCGGAGAAGGTGAGGATCTGAGCGGTGGCGGACATGATGGTGGTGGTGGGGCGAGGAATGTGCAAAGGCGAATATGCGAGAAGCGGGTGGAATGCACGTTCTCCTTCGCGCTGTATGATTTGGCTGCTTTATTGTCTTCTGATATTGCTTTATCATCTTTCGGTGGTGTTCGGGCGCGTGGTATGGTCGGTTGGTCAGCGGCTGCCAATTATTCGTGCCGATATTCATGAGTCGTGCCTGACGGATGCGGGGACCATGTTGGAGATGGCGTGCGCAAATCAAGGCGCCCGACCATCCACGTGTGGTCGGACACCGTCCGTATCGGGTAACCCATCCGCCCTCTCATCTCGATCAAGAAGGACGCGCCAGCAGAGGAATGCTACAACCAAAGGAGAATGGGAGCTTATGAAACTGCAATTTCTAAGCCCGAGGATGCATTTCCCGACCTGTATGCACTATCGGCCCGGGTCGTTGCTCTTAATACCCGCTGCGCCGAGCCGAATCGGGCTGCAAGCTGTCGTCTGTTGCCGCGTACCATCGTCTTTTGTTCTCACCATGTCACCTTCTGCAGAAGAGCCCCACTGGCAGCGCATTGGCCGCGAAAAGCGCGAGGCTGTCCACGCACTGCTGCCCGAGCACTGGCGCCTGAAGACCGTGCCGTCTGCTGTGGAGCTACCCGACGCTACCACCTTTCCGCGCAACGTGTTGTCTGATCAGGAGCTGGCCATCACCGAGAATTACACGGCCGATCAGCTCACTCATGAGCTAGCCAATGGCAAACTCACAGCTCTTGAAGTTGCAAAAGCCTTTTGCCACCGTGCTACCGTGGCCCATCAACTGGTAAGCCAACATTCGATTTCATTGTATCTCTGGTTGACCTGTTTCAGACAAACTGCCTCAGCGAGGTTCTCTTCTCGGATGCTTTGGCACAGGCTGAGGCCCTTGATGCTCACTACCGCACTCACGGCAAGCCAGTCGGTCCTCTCCATGGCTTGCCCATCTCTCTCAAGGACCAGTTTCGCGTCAAAGGAGCTGAGACGTCCGTTGGCTTCATTGCTTGGTTGGGAAATGTTGAGACAGAAGAGACCGAATCGTGGTTGGTGAAGCAGCTGAGGGCCTTGGGCGCGGTCATTTACTGCAAGACCAACGTGCCAACCAGCTTGATGGTGAGTAATGCTTTGAGTCATCTGTTTTCCTAATCAAAAAGAGGGAATCAAAGCCCTGGTTGGTGGTGCTGATTAAAACAGGGAATTGAAACAAACAACAACATCATCGGCTACACGAGCAATGCACACAACCGTCTGCTTTCTTCTGGCGGCTCGTCAGGTGGTGAAGCCTCTCTCCTTGCGATGAGAGGAAGCATTATTGGACTTGGCTCCGACGTCGGTAAGTCTGCCCTGGCCGCATTTTCAAGAGACGATTCCTAATCATGTATTTGTACAGGAGCGTCTATCAGGCTACCATGTGCTCTGAGTGACATCGTCGGCCTCAAGCCTTCCCATGGACGTGTCCCATACCTCGGGATAAGAAATAGCGTAAGTAGGACTAGCACCTGAACTGCGGAAAAATTGCTCACATGTGATCAAATATAGATGGAGGGCCACCAGACTGTTGAATCTGTTATTGGTCCTATGGGCCACAGCATTTCCGACCTGCGCCTTCTCCTTAAGACCATCATCCAGACCCAACCCTGGCTTGCGGACCCTAAGGTCAACAGGATTCCCTGGAGACAAGAGGATGAAGATGCGGTCAAGGCCAAGATCCAAACAAAGAAGCTGACATTCGGTGTCATTCGCACTGACGGAATGGTGAACCCTCACCCTCCAGTCCAGCGCGCCATCAACGAGGCGGTTGAGGCACTGAAAGCCAGGGGCCACGAAGTCATCGAATGGAACCCGCCTGCACATGCCGAGGCATTCCAAATTCTTGTACGTCTCGATTCCCCCCAAGCCCTGCTATCATACTCATACAGCTGCAGTGGAACACCTTCGCCGCCGACGGAGGCAAAGACATCCACTCCGTCGCCTCCGAAGCCGGCGAGCCGCTCGTTCCAGAGATCTCCGTCTCATACGGAAAGGAGCTCGGCCACCTTCCGGTCGGAACGGTGAACGACCTCTGGGCCACCCAAAAACAGAAATACGAGTACCAGGCTCGCTACCTGGAGTACTGGCAGTCCACGAAGAAGCTCACGCGGTCGGGTGAGCCGGTTGACGCTCTGATTGCCCCGGCGGCGCCCTCGGCATCCTACAAGCCCACCGAGGGCAAGTACTTTGGCTACACGGGCGTTTTCAATGTGCTGGACTACTCGGCTGCTGTCGTCAAGTCTCCGACGAAGGCAGACATGGCCAAGGATTTGCCCTTCAAAGACTATCAGCCGCTGAATGACTTTGACAAGGCGGTTGCCGGTGATTGTAAGTTTCTGTGGAATCCTCACCCTTTCTTCACTTTGTGCTAATACGGAGAACTTGTAGATATTCCGGAAGTCTTCCATGACATGCCGATCGGCCTGCAGGTTGTGGGTCAACGCTTGGAGGAGGAGAAGGTCTTGGCCATTGCGGAGGAAGTCGAGGATATATTCAACGCTCTGCGGAAGAATTAAGTTAGATCAATGTAAATAGCCACAAGTATGAAGATGAAATTTTCTCCTTCACCAAAACTACGGTCATGTGTCAGCTACACGGTCGGTTGGGCTCGCACGCAAACCTGACTCTGAGAGTGTGACTTTTGGCCAAGAATTTCCAGTACCACACCTTAGAACAAGCAACACTTTCAATGACTACGACAACTTCAGCCGAGCTTTTAGCTGCCGAATGAGGGACTTAAAGTTGCCTTCAGAATCCAAGACCTCCGCCAGACCCAATTTGTCTCTGAATGTGTCACCGAATTCTGCATATAACACCACGTGCACGCAGGATAGCACGAACAGGCCTACCAGACGGCGCCAGGGAGACACTGCACACAAAAACAATGGTAAACTTCTAGGCCTGTACACAGTGTTCATCATTGAGTACATGACACATCGTCAGCGCATTGGGAGGTTGGTGCTTCGACAACCGGAGCCGCATAAGTGCGAGTAATTTTTATGCTAACTGGAGTTCGAGTTTGCGAAAAGTGTTGTCTGAGCATGGGCGGCGCGAATTAAGATAGATCTGCATTTAGCTGCGATGCTGACAAAGACCACGCGGAAGTGGGTTGGAAAGTGCTTGCATTGAGCGCCATGGTCTCTTCCGCCCCGGTACTCCACTTCAACTTCGCCACCTCCCTTCTTGAACGCTTATCAGGGCTTATCTAGTGGTCAAGAGATCAATACCACTAGTGGTTAGATGTCAGTGAGGCATTATAGATAAATCCCTTAGTAATCATGCGCTAAGTCAAAAGTATGTGGGACGGAAGGTGGAGTGGAGAATCAGGGCGGGAGATAAGCAACTACGGCCCACCGCAGCGTAAACGCCATATGCATGGCATCTCACGTTTTTCCCCGCTAAATTAGGTATTCATCAAGGTAGGGTGATCCTACAAGGGGGGCCCATGAGCTGGGAAACCGCCTTCCTGGTCAGTGGTCATACTTTTTCAGGTAGTCATGACCGAGCCAATGAAAACCTCGGAGAATGACACAATGAGCGGCTTAACTGTTCATAGACCCCATTGCACTGCACGCGCTAAAGGCCTGAAAAATACAAAAACACTACAACCCCCTGATGTCGGCTTTCATCTTCGCTGTAAGCGAGCATCACGATCAACGTTTCAAATGCGGAATTGATATGAGTGAGTAGCAGGGATTATAGCCGCCGTCTTCTTATGCAGTGTGAAGCGATTACTCATTGGATGCCTACTTGCCGCGCCACACTTTGGCTGCATATACGCCAAGCCGTCAGCAGAGCAGGGTGGTGCGCTCAGCCTTGCGCATCGCCCCCAACAACCCCGCCTCTTCCACTCCCCACCCCGAAATCTGTTCCCGTCCGAACCCTTAAGAACTAACTCATTCACGGCTCCATCGATGTACATACAAAATATCTTATCAAAGGTTCAAATTGACAACTGTCAGCGTTCTACTCGCTTCGCCGCTGAATTCGCCCCCTCGGCGAGCTTTCAGCCTTGAGCGCGGTCGCCAGGCAACGGCATGCCGCCGACCGACTACACCACCTTTCGTGTGAGGGGTACACGAGCTGGAACAACTCGAGAAGACCTCCAAGCGCTGGTAGCGCAAGCTGTTTCCTGCCAGGATGCATCTGGAGTCCGAGTCAAGTCTCTGGCTGTCGACGCCTCGAGGCCTCGTGAGATGGTTGCCACAATCACATTTGCTGATATCCCGGAGGAGTTGTCGGACGGCTGTGGCAATTGGACCATCGAGGCACCGCCAGATGTCACACTCGCGATCGATACGCACTTCCATGGCTGCACTACCCTCTACTGTCCGCCTGCAGATGAGTGGAAATTGGAGTAAGGTTGAATGTTTGAAATTGGCCAAACTAGTGGTTCTAACATCTGGGCGCTAGTCTTATTGCCATCTCTGGCTTGAATGGACACGCTTTCGGTTCCTTCAAAAAGAAGAAGAGCTCCTACATGTGGCTGCGTGACTCTCTGCCTCAGGACTTTCCAGGCTGTAGGATCATCATCTACGGCTACGATACTAAGCTGCAGGACAGCCGGTCATTCCAGAACCTGTTGGATATTGGGAAGAAGTTTCAAACTGCTATCAGACAGGTGCGGCAGGACGCGAGAAAACCTCTAATTCTTCTCGGCCACAGCCTTGGCGGGATAGTGGTCAAGGAAGCCATTAGCCTCATACGGAGCAGCCCCATTGATGCAGACAATTTGACCTTCGCAGCAATTAGAGGAGTTATTTTCTTCGGAGTTCCAAACCAGGGTATGGACATTCGTTCTCTTATACCAATGGTTGGTGATCAGGCCAACCGTGGATTCCTCCACACTTTGGACCACAACTCGCCTGTGCTACGTATTCAAGCCAAGGCATTCTCTGCGGCAATCGGAGAGCTTCGGTGCGAGATTCTGAATTTTTACGAAACGCAGGAATCTCCAACAGCGCATCAGAACGTAAGTGCTCGCTTAGCAATAATAACCCAACCGCAGAATGCTAACATCAAGAAGGAGGACGGGACTTGGTCCATGTCCGGATCACCAGCAGTCCTGGTCGATACGCACTCAGCGACACATGGTCGGCCAGACGACTCCCAAGGACATCGCGTCTCCCCGATCGACTGCGACCACAGCAATTTAATCAAATTTGGCAGCGCGTACGATGAGCCGTATGTGACGGTAACTGCATTTCTGCAAGAAATTGAGAGCCACGGAGCATGTAAGATTCCTTCGCCCCTACATTTCAGTTATATGCTCACTTCACTTTTTATCAGCACCAATGGTTACCATGACAAAGACTGAGGAAGGTTAGTCAAAGAAGTCATTGTATATAACTGTTAAAATTGACTTTTTGACGAAGCTTGTTACCAATCGCTTGGATTTCGTGAGCAGTACCAGCGCATGGATTCACTTGAGCCATCTCCAGGCACATGTGACTGGCTGAGAACACATGAGCTTTTCACTGAGTGGCTTCAAAGTTCAAATGGATTTCTCTGGATACGCGGCAAGCCTGGGTCCGGTAAATCGATGGCCATGAAGCATGCTCTGAAGCATGTGAAGTCTTCAACCAGCGGGGCTGTTGCATCATTTTTCATCCATGGCCAAGGCACGGAACTCCAAAAAACGGTTCTCGGAATGTACCGCTCTCTTCTGCATCAGGTTTATCCTTACTCCCCGGAATCCTTCTCCGGTCTCACAACGAGGTTCGAAGAGTACACAAGGCAAGCTGGCAGGGCTACACAGGATGAGAAATGGTCCTGGATGAAGGGTGAAATTCGCCAGAATTTCTTCGACGGCCTCCGCAAATTGTGCGGGAAAACCTGTGTTACTATACTCGTGGATGCACTCGACGAGGCTGGCGAGGCGCAAGCCAGAGAGATATTCAAAGACCTCGAGACTCTAATCAGCTTATTGGGAGATGAATCCACGCGTCAGTTATCGCTTTGTGTCGCTTGCAGACATTATCCAGACATCAGCTTCAACAATGGCAAGACGATCGTTATAGAGAATTTCAACGGCTCGGACATTAGGCATGTTCTAAATTGGCGACTAGACTCTGAGGATACTTTTGATGCCTCGGAAAAGCACCAGCTCAAAACCGAAATCCTTGGGAAATCCGAAGGTATTTTTCAGTGGACATCATTGGTTGTCGAGACGGTCATACAAACAAAGCAGAAGGGAGATACTTTCCAGGCTGCCATGAGCAATGTAGATCGCCTACCCAGTGGTCTGAACCATCTATACACGGCACTGCTGGAACCCAAGGATGAGCAAGAACACGAGCTCAAACAGCGAACAAAGCTTTTCCAGTGGGTCGCGCTTGCTGCGGAGCCTCTGACACCAATTTTTCTCCAGCATGCTCTCGCTATCAATCCCAAAATGGCCTGCAAAACGGTGTGCGGATACGAAGAGTCAGACGAATTCACTGAGGAGAAGAATTTCAATACGAAGATCCAAAACCTATCTAAAGGGCTAATTGAAATCAACGGCTCTTTCAAATCGGGCCAGATGGGCTTCATTCACCAGTCCATCCCGGATTTTCTACTCTGGCATGGAGGATTGGCGCTCCTCTCAGGATTGCCTAAGGCTGATGTAATAGGACTTGGGCATTTCGAACTATCTATGACTTGCCTCAAGTATCTATTTCTTGAAGAGATACGCAATTCCTTTCGGCAACCAAACCATTTATATAATCGCCTTCCAAGAGAAACATGGATCACTAGGTTCCCAGCCATCTCGTATGCATGGGATAATTGGATATTGCACGCGGTCAGTGGAAAAGAACTGAAAAAGGAGAGAGATGAAGAGTTCTTTCTCGCCGACCTCATGGAGACGTTTGGTTGGCCTGATGACGAGCGAATGATAGAGCTCTGGATTCCACTTGAACAAACTTTCGGATCCCCTTTACATTCATGGGTTTGTAGATTTCGACCTTCTTTGAAAGCCCGGATCCCGGGGTGGCCCTGTCAGAATGCGAGGCTCATCCACCTTCTCGCCGTGACTGGGCTGTTTCGTGAGAGTGCACAAAAGAAAATGCTTTCAGACATCGAATCTCCCGCAACACCAGCGTCAAATTATTTTCTCACACCATTGGCCTACGCTCTGCTTGGGCAACAAAAGCAGGTTGTCCAAAACATGATTGCAGCAGGAGTATGCGTCCAATACAAGACTGGATCTCCATGGCGATCACCACTCTATCTTGCCAGTTTGTGGGGTGATCGCGCAGTGGTGTCTTTACTACTCAAATGTGGATCGGAAATAAACTATCGAGAAGCTTACACAGGACGTACCGCTCTACATGCAGCCGCCAGCGAGGAGAATATAGAAGCAATGCACGTTCTTCTCGATGCAGGAGCGAGGATCAACGATCAATCCATATCTCTACATTTTAGAGGTTTTCTACCCTATTTCGAGAATGGCCAATCTCCACTACATGATGCAGTCTTGAAAGGAAAAGCCAAAGCAGTGAGGCAGCTTATCTCCCGTGGGGCAGATTTGAATCTGAAGTCCTTGGGAAGAAAAGTAGCACCGCTGTCGTGGGCCGTTTCAGCGAAAAATATCGACATGGTCAGGCTCTTGCTGGAGCTTGGTGCAGATATCAACGCACGAGACTCAGCCGGTAACTCCCCTTTACACTATGCCTTCTACGACGCTTTTGGCAATCAAGATTCCCGTTCCACACCGGAAAAACTCGATATCGTTCAGCTTTTGATTCAATCCGGATGCGACGTAAACGCACAAAACAAATCAGGGGATACGCCTCGGAAACTGCTTACTAGCACGAGTCCCCCAAGTATCGTGAACCAGCTACTTGGCCGGAAAGCCGACCCGAATCTGAGAACACGTCATGGTGTGGCGCCAAGCACTGGTACATACGACGGCGACACATCGTCTTCTTTAGGCTGGATTACGTCCCCATATCTTATGTCATGAGATGTATGCGGCAGATTCAGTACCGAACATTCCGGAAGCGCTTGAGATACTACTCAAAGCTGGAGTGAACCCCAACACCAAAGATGACGAAGGGGAAATTGCACCTATTCTGGGTAGTGGGATCACAACGACTTTCAAGGAGAGAGGACAAGTAGCGAAAGATGGATGGCATCAAGCTGCTACTCGGATCTGGTGCAGATTCGCAAGCCACTAACCAGATTGGCGGGACAGCCCTTTCGTACCTGGATTGCTTCGAGAGTTTGACACCCCCGAAGGCGTTAAGTGCCGGTATCCAAAATGTTCTATTTTGAGAAAGAGAGTTGCCGAGCTTACAGGGAAATAAAGTCGGTTCTTCAGACGACACAGGCCCTGGTATCCGGATGTCGCTCGTAGACTTGTTGGTCGACTTTGAGGTTATTATATCAATGTCTCGTTTTACGGGAATTCGAGATAGAAGCGTTTCAAGCGCCGTTTGCCGCACTGGTCGCGTTTCCTTAAGCTTAAGCTGCTCCTTGAGCTGTTGGCGCATTTAGTTGGGATAGGCGGAGTGATGTATGATGAGGCATTGCTGAACGTTGTTCAAATTGGTTTGATTGTGGCTTTCATTACCATTCTGGGTACCATAGTCTACGGAGGAGACTTTTTTCAACGAAGAGAATTCGTAAGAGCAGAAGAATAGCTTGGTAGGAAAACAACAACAATAAAAGACATCGAGTAACCTCAGAACTGCTCATCGCCGCCTCATAATATGAGTCCTGCCTGCATCCTCGAAGTCGGGCGCGCCATGATATACTCCACACACATATCGGTCACTCCCCTTTCACGGTAAACCCTCGCCAACTCTCCAGCCCCTAGCAACGGATCACCACTTACCGCCGCCATCTTATCAAAGAACGATGCATCCGGTGATAGTAGTGGCGCAGGGGGTGGCTCGTTCTGACAAATCTTCGTTCCAAGGAGGACTTCCCTCTGGCATTCCAAACACAATGCCAATTTCTCTTCATGCTGCTGCTGCTGCTGCTGCTGCTGCTGCTGCTGCTGTCGCTCCTGGGTATGACGAGATGGCGCCGCAGCATCAGCAAGACCATTAGTCCCAACGGTCGCTCTTGTAGCAGCAGCCACAGGCATAGAAACCGGAATCCTCAGTCCCTCGCCCTTCTTCCTCTGCCATCCCACCTCCAGTAGGCCGTTGCCATTAGCCACGACACTGTTGGTCTCTTCACTTTCACACGCCCACAACACCTCAATCCACCCACACAATCTCTCCATCATCGCCTCTGCCAACACCGCCGGCACGACCTCATCACACGAATGCAGCGAAACACTCACCGCTTCTCTTCCCCCCTCTTCACTCCCCTCCACTTGCTCTTCGCCCATAACCACCTTCGTCTCAACCGTCACATCCGCCAAATCCCACGGCTCACCCACCCACCCGACTCTCTCCTCAGAGCCGCCGCCGCCGCCGCCGCCAACACACCCTTCATTGCCCACCTTCTCCCCGACACCATCCAGCAGCCCCGCCATATGCTTATTCAAGTGCTGCACCACCGAGCCAAACCGCCGAAGGGTCCGCTGGCGCTTCCTCCCCTCCATCTTCCCTTCCTCGTCCCCGAAACCACTGTCCAACCCACCCAAATGCTCAAAGAACCCCACACTCTGAAACGGCCTGGCCCTGAGTGCTGTGTCGTCAACACGCTTGAGCAGCTCTGCCGGCTCTAATGCAGATCGGCCGCCAAGCAGCCCGCGCACAATAACCGGCGCCGTCGTGATGCACGGCCCAGCCACCTCGTCGACGCGGGGGAAAGGCACGGCGGAGCGGTTGGCCAGGATTTCGCCGAAGACGATGGCGCTTCCTTCAAGGTTGTCATCATCGGGGTGGTTGGACGATTGGGATGATTGGTCGTCAGATGGTTGGGGGGAAGAGGATTCGTCGGATGAATGGTCGTATGGTTGATCGGGTGATTCATCCGGCGGCAAGGAGGAGGAGGGTTTGCTGGAGCTGGACGACAGCTCCGCCAGCACCGCCGCCCAAGCAGCCTTGAGCACAGTCGAGAACGGAAACCTCGTGCCACGTCCTCTCTCCGGACCACGAAGGACGCGAGTACGGGTCGACTTGGGTGGATGTACGGGCAACCAGGCGCTCGGAGGCAGGTCGTGCGGCCGCTCTACGATATCCGTCACGCGGGTAATACCGGCAAGCTCAGTTTGCCAGAAGCGCTGGGCGGCGGGTTGGAGAGACTGGACGGCGTGGAGGAAAGCGAGGAAGGAGGGTGGTGATGGCGGCGGCGGCGAAGACGCGGGCTGGTGGTAAGTGGATTCGATAGCAGAGAAGATCAGCGAGAGGGATATGGCGTCGTACTGGGCGTGAGGAAAGCGGATAACGAGGCGTGTGGCGTCACTTCCCCTCAGAACAGCAAAGCGGACGCCCTGCTCACTGATAGGGGCTGGTCGCTGTCTGTCTCTCCGCACATACGCGTTGGTCTCATCCTCGAAGCTGGCTTGTCCTGGCCCAACATCCTGATCCTCGATCTCGACATCCGGATCGCGGACGACGACCTGCAGCAGCCGGTGCTTGTAGTAGACGAAGACGGTGCGGAGGATATCGTAGCGCGCGACAACCTTCCTGCACGCATCCTTGAGCTTCTCGGCGTCCATGGCACGACCGCCGGCGGAGAGGTCCAGCGTCAGGTAGTAGACGGCGTGCCGCTCCTTCAGCTGCGAGGCCGCCACCATCTGCGTCTGGAGTTGCGTTGCCCACGCCGCGTCTTCGATGTCAGCCGGGCTGACGTTTAGCCGCGGCGCGATGTGCAGGCGGAGCAGGGCGTCCAGATCGCCCTCGGATCGGAGCGTGGAGAACGGGCGGTAGCCGGTCTTGGATCCGTTCTCGGCCTTGGTTCCTGCTGCGGTCCTCGTCGCGACGAGCGCCATGTCGGCGAGCTTGGAGTGCTTGAAGATGTCGGCGACGGTCAGGTGGATGCCTTGACGGCGCGCTGAGGAGACGAGCATCATGGCGTCGAGGGAGTCTCCTCCAAGCTCGACGAAATTGCTGTCGGCAGTCATCTCCGCCCGCGGGCCGAGCGTGGCCCTCCATAACACCAGCAGCCGGCTCTCCATATCGTTCAAGTTCTCCTCCTTCGCACTGACGAAATTAGCCTGGCGACGTTGCGCCAGCAGCCCCGTACCGATACTCCGCAGCGCCCTCCGGTCCAGCGTGTTCGCCGGCGTGAGCGGGAGCCGCTGCAGTGGCAGGAAGGCGGCGGGCAGCATGAAGCGGGGGAGACGCAGCACGAGCTGCTCCGGTACCCCCTGAACAGCATCATCCAGCTTCCTCTGGACGTCAGCCTCGCCAGCGTTGCCAGCGAGGACCAAGAAAGCAACCAGGCGGCCGTTCACAAGCTCCACCGCGACGCCGTCAACGCCACCCTTGGCCGTGAGCAGCTCGCGCAGGCTGTCCTCAATTTCACCTAGCTCGACGCGCTGGCCGCTGATCTTGACCTGCGTGTCCCGGCGGCCGAGGTGCTCCAGCGTCCCACCTGCGCACCAGCGCACCAGGTCGCCCGTCCTCAGTACCCTCTCTGCCGGTTCCACGGTGTCTAGCCACGCTGGCCTGGTGACGAACGTGGCGGCCGTGGCGTTAGGGCTGTCGATGTACCCCGAACTCAGGTGCGGACCCTCGATTAGCAACTCACCTACGGCGCCCACGGGGCACAGCTTCTCGTGGTTGTCGGGTTCGACGACCCATGCGCGGCCGGAAACACAGCGGCCGATGTTGCGTGGATTGGTACCGGGTGCCAAGGGCTCTGTGAGTGTGAAAATGCCGCTCGCCTCGGCTTGGCCGTAGCCGTGCAGCAGCGTCAGCGCGGGCGCCCAACGGGCTACGGCGTGGGCTTGGAGCCGCTCGCCGGCGGTGATGACCGTCTTCAGCTGAGGGACGCGCTGTGGGCCGCCCAGCTGCTCGAGCAATGAGGGCGTGAGGATGGCCCAGTTGGCGTCCAGGCTGTTGATGCTGTCAACAAGTTCGTCCTGCTCCGAGGCCACGCACACGCAGCCACCGGCCAGCAGCACCGGCAGCATCTCGATGAGCACAGCGCCATTGCCGTACGAGGAAAATTGCAGCGCGCGCTTTTCTGCGTCAATTTGGAAGGCAGCCGCATGGCAGCGCGCAGCAGAGGCGAAGCTGCAATGTTCGATTACGCAGACCTCAGGCTCTCCGATGCTGCCGGAAGTGGAGATGGCAAACGCTGGGCTGCGGGAATTGGTGCTGCTCCGCTCGCTTGACTCGGGCCATGCTTGGACAGTAGATGAGTCAATAGTGATAAGATCGACGAAGGACAGTTTTGCAGCGGCTGATGGCGAGGCCAGTGCCAACCTGATGCCAGCCGTTTCCGCAAGTTTGCGCAGCTGCTCCTCCGGCTGACTGGGATCCATCAAAACAACAGCATGGCCTGCCTTGAGAATGCCGAGCATGGCTACGATGGCCCAGACAGACTTCTCTGAGCACATGGCGATGAAGCCAGGTTGTATTTCCAGGAGCCGGAGGCGCAGCTGGTGGGCGACGCAGTTCGCGTACATGTCCGCCTCCGCATAGTTCATGGTAGTCGTAGTTGTGCAAAGGGCAGGGCGTCCAGGGCTTCTGGCAGCCTGCTCCTCGAAAAGACTGTGCAGACACTTCTCGATCACTGGCGTGTGCCCAGTGGTCCACTCGCGCAGGAGAGCTCGGTCGTCGTCGCTAACAACATCAATGTCCTCGAGCTTCATCGTTGAGTCTGCATGAGCTAGCTGGTGAAGGATATTGTCAAGCTGTCCCAGCATGCGCTGCATCTGGAAGGGAGTTAGCACCTCCGGGTCGTGAGCAGCCTGCACATCAATGCCCGCGTCACTAAAGGAGCAAGTGACAACGAGAGGGTAGACGTGGAAATTTGCAACGTCACCGTCGTCCTGCTCTCCACGCAGGATATCGAAGCCGTCTTCACTGCCGATGGCAACCTCGGCTCCGGGGGCGTGCAGCTCGATCAAAGTGCGGAACTCGCATGCCATCTTCGCATCATCGTTCACGCGGCGGATAGCCTGAAGGCCGAAATACTGATGCTCGATTATTTGCGTCGACGTTTGTTGCACTTGCTTCAACAACTCGATGATTGGCTGTGCACCGTCGCCCAGCTGAACACGAAGGGGCACCGTAGTAATCGTCGGGCCAGTCATCTCATCGATCTGGGGAAGGGGGGCAGTGCGACCTGATCGTGTGACGCCGAAGACAACATCCCGTGCTTCGCTGTATCGAGCAAGCAGGATGCCCCAGGCAGTCTGGAGGAAGGTGGCGGTTGTGAGGCTGGATCCATGCTTCCTCTTGACGGCGATGTGACGTTTGGCAATGAGGCTGGCGTTGAAAACACGAGCGGGGGCAGAGGCAGGAGGGAAAGACGGCGCCAAGCAGCCGTCCAGGTACGATGCCCAGAATCTCTCCGAGGCTTTAGCATCCAGGTTCGACATCCACTTGATGAAATGGTTGTAGGACGGGGCTCGCGGGACGCTTTCTCCGCGGTAGGCTTTCTTCAAGGCGCCAGCCAATAGAGGAAGCGAGATGCTATCGTATATGGCATGGTGCAAGGTCAAGACAAACTTGGTGTTTGCCACGATGCCAAATCGGATCAGCGCGTCGCCCAGCTGCATCGGAACGGCGCGGTCCCTCACGAGGTAGCTGTCCACGTCATCGGCATATTGCCAGGCGGTCTCCACCTCGGCGCTGACTACCACCTGCATCGCACCCATCCCTTGCGGCTGCACGATCCGTGTCCGCAGAATGGGGTGCGCTTTGAGCACAGACTGCCATGCTTGCTGCAGGCGCTCGACGTCGTCTTGCGGACCGATGTTGATGATATAACGGGAAATGTAGGCGCCCGGCTGCCTTAGAGATGCCGTGAAGAGGCCTTCCTGCAGGGACGTGCAGGGATACGCATCCTCAATGAAGTCCGCCGCGATGCCCGTCTCCTTCGCCAGCTGGCTACCGATGTCAGCCGGCTTGCTGTCGTGTTTGATGAGTGAGAAGGCTGGAATGTGGACGTGTTCATTTGCATTGGCAGCCTTCATTTCCAGCGCCATGTCGGACAATGTCCGCTTGGTCATGATGCTGGCGACGCTGAGGGCGAAGCCTCGCCTGCGAGCTGCAGCAGCCAGCTTCATTGCGTCCAACGAATCCCCGCCAAGCCGGAGGAAACCGTCATGTGCACCAATCTGAAGCACCGGAATATCGAGAACTTCACTCCACAAGCGTTGCAGCAGCACCTCAACGTGCCCGTGCGGTTGCTCTTTGGCGGGCAGAGAGGTGGCGGCACTGAGCGCCAGGGCAGCGCCGAGGGCGCGTAGTTCGGTGCGGTTCAGTTTATTTGATGCTGCCAAGCGTGGAAGTTGTTGGACAAGGAATATTTGGGACGGCACCATGTATCCTGGAAGTCTGGTGGGAAGTTGTGCTTGCAGCTTAGATTCTGCCGATGAATCCGAGCCTTCGACGAACAAGGTCAGCACGTCCTTCTGGGCGGACACGACGATCTCAGCGGCGACGGTCATGCTTTGGTCGAGAATGTCAGAGGCGTGATACTCGACTTCAGATAGCTCCAGGCGTTGTCCTCGTATTTTAGCCTGTGTGTCTTTGCGGCCAAGAAATCTGATGCTACCATCGACTTCGTAGCGCACGAGGTCTCCGGTACGATAGAAGCGGTTCATGGCTCCCTCGTCTAAAAAGGCAGGCCGGGTCACGAAGGCTTCGGCGGTCTCCTTCTCCAAGCCGAGATATCCTCGAGCCACAGCAGGGCCTTCCAGCCACAGTTCACCCACGGCACCGACGGCAGCAAGGCGGGAGTCGTCGGCGATGTCGACGATCCAAGTTTTGCAGCAAGTGCTGCGGCCGATACATGAAGGCTCCGTCGCAGGCGTCAGATTCGAGTTCTGCGTAGCCTGAACAGCGGCTTCAGCTGGGCCGTAGCCGTTATTTAAGCGGACATGTGGGGCCCAGGTCACGACAAGGTCACGACGGAGCGGCTCTCCGCCAATGACGACGTCATCAACGCAGGGCACTTGAGAAGGGCGTAGAAGTGCCAGAGCAGTGGGCGTCATGAAGAGGAAGTTGGCGCGGCAGGCGTTGATGGCACCAGGCAGATCATCCATGCGCTGGTCGTCAGACAGCTGGCAGACGCAGCCACCGACGGTCAGAGTGCCCCAGATCTCGGCGATGCTGATGTCAAAGGTGTAGGCAGAAAACTGAAGAGTGCGCGATTGGGGACCCATGCCAAGGGCGGCGGTGTAGCCGGCAGCGCTAGACAGGGCGTGGCGGTGTTCCAGCACAATGCCCTTGGGGCGGCCGGTGGAGCCGGAGGTGTAGATGACATATGCGGCATTTGCAGGAGTCACGGCCGATTCGACGGGCTGCTCGGGGAGTGGCAGGCTCTCAACAAAGTCCTTAGACACTACGACCTGCTGGATACTGCCATCGAGCACGTGTTTGTGGCGGGGGGAAGTCAGGACAAGGGTGGCGCGCGTGTCTTGGAGCTGGTGCTGCAGGCGCTCGAGCGGGCTGTCGGGGGCAAGCGGCACAAAGGCAGCACCGGCCTTGAGGACGGCCAGCATGGAGACGATGGTCCACAGGGACTTTTCCATCAGAACAGGCACTAGGGTCTCGGGGCCGACGTGAAGCTGAGTCAGGTGGGCAGCCATCCTTTCGGCTTGGGTATCCAGCTGGGCGTAGGTGAAGCAGCCATCCCAAGCATCAACGGCACTACGGTCTGGATGGTGGTAGGCGTGCTCGGCGACTACAGAATGGATGCAGGCATCTCGTGACGCGTGATGGGCGCGGTTCCAGCGGCGGATTTGGGACGCGTCGCGGGGGCTGAGAGTGGCCAGGCGGGCGGCGGGCAGCTGGGGCTCGCGCACAAGCTGGTCGAGAATGTGGGCGAAGGTGGCGGCGACATTGTCGGCGTGGGCGTGCGAAATGAGCGATTGGCGGCACTCGAGGGCGAGCTCGAGCTCGTGGTCTTGGATGGTGGTGCAGGCGACGCCGATGACGCCAGAGCCGTTGTCGTCGACCTGGCCGATCTCGCGCACCGCCACCGACCGGCCCGTGCCCACCGGCTGCGCGCCCTCGCGCTTCTGCACCGACAGCGTCGTGTTGACAAAGCCGTCAACGGCCACATTCAGCGCGTGTCCGATCTCAATCAGCGAGCACGCCCGGTGCGGCAACTCGTCCAGCGCCCCTTCCTGCGCCTGCTGCAGCAAGTCCTCGCCCGTTGCCGCCTCGTCGACGCGCACCATGCATACCGTCACGTTGGCGAACAGGCCCACGATGTCGCCTGCGCCCTCGATTTCGATGTCGCGCCCGCTGTTGGCGCACCCGAAGCACGGCTGCCCGCTGCCCGTGTAGCGCCTCACCACCAGCGCCCACGCCGCTTTCGCCAGGTCCGCCATGGTCAACGCCCGCTCACGGCAGAAGCGCACCGGCGCCTGCGCATCATGAAGCCGCACCTCGACCGTCATTCGCTCGTCGCGTCCATCAAAGTCGTCGGCGAGCAGCGGAAATGGGCACGGTGGTACCCCTGCAAGCCGCGCCGTCCAGAAGCGCAGCGCGCTCTCCGACGACGCCGCTCCGCCCAGCGCATGTGCCACGCAGTCGCGCCATCGCGCCGGCGGAAGCGAGTCCAGAAGCCCGTCGTACGCCAGCTCCAGGTCGCGCTGCAGCGGCTGCGACGAGAGGCCGTCGACTAGCACGTGGTTGATGTCGAGCCGCACCACGGCCACAGTTGGAGAGAGCCGGCAGATTGTCAGCTGTTGCTCCGGCCGCCCTGCCACCCAATCCACCATCGGCAGTGCGTCCAGCTCCTGCACGCTCATTCCCGCCACTTCTACCACTGCAGGCTCGAAATTTGCCAGCACCACCTGGTCGAACGTGCCGTCGCCTCGGCTGCTCTCGATGATGACGGTCCGCAGCGACGCGTGCCGATTCACTACCGACTGCCATGCCGCCCGGATCCTGCTTGTGTCTATGTGTTGCTGCGACTGCAGCTCAAAGATGAATCCTGCTTCGTGCCGCCCTCTTCCGCTAATGCGGCTGAGCATGAAGGCGTGCTGCGCTGGCGTGCACGGGTATATGTCTTCAATTTCGTCGTGTCCGATGCGCTGCCGCACCGAGTCGAGAAAGCCAGCAACCTTGGAGGGCGGTATCCCGAGTAGTGGAAACGACGGCTGCTTCCCAGCTGCTTCGCCTGCCGAGAGCTGCTTCACAATCGACGCAATCGCCCTCTCTGACTCCCGAACCCATTTTCCAATGCGGTCCTGGTGCTTCATCTTCCGGTTGTAGACGAAGGAGAGTACAATCTCGCCGTGCCTGACGTCTCCCCAGATGTCGATGACCCCGAATCGCCGCAGTGTCGGGCTCATCCCATCCAAGCTCAAGAGGTCGAAGTCGGGCATTGCTTGGAAGCAAGCTTCCGCCCGTTCCAGCTGCTGGTATGCCCCTGCGTAGTTGAAGCTGACTTCCATGTCATGGCTGCGCTGCTTACTGCCGTAGATACTGGATGCGAACCAAGGCAACCCATTTCCAGCGAAGCGCTCGCGTGCGTCCTGAGTGTCCAAGAGCGTGCTCATGGGATCATCCTGGTTTGCCGACGCCACAAGCACGGGCGTGATGGTGGTGAACCAAGACACGGTTTGAGAGAGGTCGATGTGGTCGTTCCAAGGCTCCCTGCCATGGCCCTCGACGTAGAAGGCCGGCATTTCCCGTTCGGGGAATGCCACCCGGAACCCGTGAATCACGCCCGCCAGCAGCATGTCCGCAGTACTTGCCTGCAGCTCCCCGCCCGTTATCTTCGCCGACATACTCTGACTGATTGCCAGCTTCTCCACCGCAATGTCTCCCCAGACGTTGGTTTCGCCCGACAGACCCCAGAACCCCAGATCGGGGACCGGAAGATCGTACGGCGCCCGTGTCGCCGCCTTTGCAAGACTGTTGACATGTCTTTCCTGCTGCTTCAGCCACCTGGGGAAGGAGTAGGCCCGCGGAAGTTCTGTTTCTCCAGATCTCAGGATCTGCTCCACTTGCAGCAACATGACTCGGAACGAGACAAAATCCGTTACAAGGTGGTGCCCGCACAAGAAGAGCAACTGCTCCTCTTCGGCCTGGATCAAGTCACAGCGCAGCAAAGGGCCATCTTCAATGTCGATGCTCCGCTGACTCTTTGAAATGAGCGGCATCAGCTCAGCCCAGTCGAACGAGTTGTGGAACTCGACTTTCAGGGAACCTTCGACGTCGTCGCTGATGGACTGGAACCACCGGCCCTTTCTGTCTGCAAAGAAGCGCGCTCGCAACATGCCATGCCGAGCCACAACAGCTTTGAGTGCTGCCACGAGAGCGTCCGGCTTGATCTGCTCCGTGACCCTGACGAGCTGGCTGATGTTGTAATGATTCTCGCCCTTGGGGGAGATGTCGAAGAAGAGCTGCTGGATGGGTGAGAGCTTGAAGGGTGTGTCGAGCTCCTCCTCGACCTCGGCCTCCTCCACTTCATTCGCCACCAGCGCCGCATTCCCGTCTGCCAGTCCAGCCAGCGCTTCGACCGTTCTCAGGCGAAGAACCTGCTGCACCGAGAGCCTGAGGCCAATGCTCTTCGCCTGCGCGACAATTTGCATGGCGGAAATGGAATCACCTCCGAAGCTCTGGAATGGCTTCCGCAACCCAATAGCCTCCTGCGATATGTTGAGCACATTGCTCCACACCGCCCGGAGTGCTGCCTCGGTTGCGCTCGCCTCACGCTCGATTGGCTTCGGCAACACCGCTGAGAGCCGTGCCGCCCCTAGCGCCTGGAGCTGCTTCCGATCCAATTTCCCGGTCATTGTCAGCGGAAGCTCAGGCACCGCCACGTAGACTCTCGGCACCATGAAAGCCGGCAGCACTTCCGCAGCGCGCTTCTGCACCTCGGCCATCCTCACATTGACGCGCTCCTGCATCTCCGCGCCGTTCCCCCCGCCGTCGTCGCCCAGCGTAACGAACCCGACCAGTGTCGACGTGCCGGTCGCCTGCTTAATCAGCTCCACAGAGATGTGCTCAGAAGCTCCCAGATACTGCCGGAACGCCTGCTCAATCTCCCCCAGTTCCGTGCGCTGCCCGTTAATCTTGACCTGCCGGTCCTTGCGGCCGACGTAGACGTACGAGCCATCGGGCGCCCGGTGGCAGAGATCACCGCTCTTGTAGAATGCGTGCGGACCCGCCTCATATGGGAACAGCCTCTCATGCCACGCAGGCCTCCCAATGAACGCCGCCGCTGTCCTCTCGGGATCATGCACGTAGCCGCGCCCCACGTGTGGCCCCTCGAGCAGCAGCTCGCCGACGCTGTCGTCGCCGTCGGCGATCAGCCGCCCGTCATCGTCCGGATCCACCAGCCAGCCGCGCCCGACCAGGCACCGGCCGATGTTCGCAGGGTCGGCCCCGGCCCGCAGCGGCGGCACCGGCCTCGACACGCAGATCATGCTCGTCTCGGTCGGCCCGTAGCCGTTGACCAGCTCGACCCGGTGCGCCCACCGCTCGACCACGGCCGGCACCATAGCCTCGCCGCCGGCAACGAGCGTGCGGAGGGAGGGGATGATGCTGCCCCCGTCTTCGTCCCGGGAGCCCGCGTCCTCGGACTCCGGCGGCAACAGCTTCACCAGCACCGTCGGTGTCAGAAACGTCCAGCTCACGCGCAGCCGGCGCGCCGCATCCACCAGCGCCCCGCCGTCCAGCCTTTCGGCGTCCGACACGACACACACGGTCCCGCCACCCGCCAGCGCGCCCAGCATCTCCATGATGGACGCGTCGAAGCTATACGACGCAAACTGCAGTGTGCGGGCGCCGCCGGCACCAGCGCGGCCGGCGAGGCCGAGAGGCGGGCCGCACCGTGTGATGAAGTGGAAGAAGTTGCTGTGCGTGGCGAGCACGCCTTTCGGCTCGCCGGTGCTGCCGGACGTGAAGACGGCGTAGGCGAGGTTGCTGGGGCGGACTTCTTGCTGCTGTGGGTCATGGTCGCTGCTGTTGCTGCTGATGCTGGTGCTGCTTGAGGCGGGCGAGGCGGTAGTGGTGGGGCTGCGATCGGGAAGCGGGAACGACGTGGTCAGAGTGGTGCCGTCCAACGTCAAGGCAGTGTGGACGAGCGAGGCGAGGCGGTGGTGGCAAGTTGCCGAGGTAATGGCTACTTCCGCTCCTGTCTTGCGGACGATGATGCGGAGCCGCTCGTCGGGATGCGCCGGGTCGAGGAGCACGAAGGCGGCTCCGGCTTTCAGGATGGCGTAGATGGCGACAACTGATGAAGGCGGTCAGGCTTCTTGCCCTCTGTTCGGGGAAGAGGCGGCACGGCACCGTGAACTCACCTGTCCAGATACATTTCTCGAAACAGACGACAACGAACCGCTCCGGACCCGCACCGTGAGCCCGCAGCTGGTGGGCGACGCGCTCGGCGGCATCATCGAGAGCCGAGTAGGTCAGAGATTCGCCCGAGGATGAGGCGACAGCCTCGTCGTTGGGACTAGAGCGAACATGTTTGGAGATGAGCTGATGGATGCAGGTCTCGGCAATCTCGGCCTTCGTGATCTCGCTGTTCATGTTGAAGTGAAAGAGACAAGCTTGGCTTTGTCAAAGAAGCAGAGATGGATTGTCACCACTCTTGATGATGCTCCAACTTTCTTAATGCGCGTTTCAATCTGTTTTAAAATCGCCTTCCGTGACATGATACGCCACCTCATCCACCGGTGTATGCATCACTTGCAAGGTAGGAGATGACGGCAGCCAGCCACTTCTTGTGGCGTTGAACGGCATGTAAAAGGATACGGGCTATCCGCCCGTGATTCGGTGATTGCCCAGCGTCACCTGCAGGATTTATTAGTGTGGAGCACAGGTTCTTAACAAGGGGGATGTCTCGGGACCAGAGACCAGGCTCAGGGAAGATCCTCCACACGGCTCACTTTCTACATCTTCCACTTTTGCTTCTAGTTGTTCTCCCTCTCTCTCTTTCCTCGACAATTGTTGATCAAGGTACACGTGTAACATCTGTTCTTCATGATGTCCTTCAATCGTACTAGCCGACCGTTGAGTTTCGTACTACATCGCTAAAGAATATTAACACGAAGACCCGATCCATACCGAGATGTGGGGTCCCCTTTGTCCCCACCAATTGCCGAGTGTGTAACAGTTGGTTTTCGTCTACCGCATCCCCGAGCCAATACCGTCCTCTCCTTCGACGCAGCACGTGCAGCCCACACGCAGTCAATAAGCCATGATAAGACGTGACAGCGAGGCAAGGCGGTGTCCTGATCCGTCAGTGCCGAAGGTCGCAGCAAAATGGGGCGAATTCATCCCGACTTGCTATCCTACTGGCCGAAACTATGGCTACATTTAATTTAGAGAGGTTGCCACCACTAATCAAGAGGACGCCTTGCCCGCCTAGAACTTACGCCGTAGATGTGGATGTAACCCGATGTAGTGTTATCGCCGTTCACGACGACGCCCGCCCAATCAGATGGCCTGCCCCTGCTATTTGCATACACGGCCCGGCCCGGCCCGGATGCCTCTTTGGGACGTGGCGCGTCACATCAAACGATTGCAACTACTTGGGATTGCAGCGGGAGATGCAAGGCAACCCCACGTGAAGCTCCGAGATGAGCAATTTCATCCCGTCTCTGCTAAGCACAGATAGGACGAGACACAGGGATTGTCTCTTTTGGCGGTTTTCTATCTGTATCTGACCCACTAAGCCTCACTGGCACTCAATTAGTATCACACGGACTAAGAAGGCATGCACTGATGTGAAGAGTGGAAGTATCAACTCCTGGTATAAACTACATCGCTATGTGGATTTAGAGTCTCTGGAGGTTGAAAGGCTTCATCCCTTTGTTTAACAAGTTACGTTTCAGTATCTTGATCTTTATTTTTTTATAGTTTCTAGGCCGAGGCAGCCTAACAGTACAAGTATCCCTGCCATAGTAGCTAGTGGAATCCTTCGCCAGGTTCAACCACACAGTCGGAATTCATACACTGTTTGCCAACAAGTTGAAGTTCGTAACGTAAGTAAACATTACTAGTCTATTCTATCTCTAATATTCATAATTCAAAGTAAAACATTAAACTGCCCTCAAGAGCTCCAAAGTAACCCGTACCCCCTCAACAAGAAAACATCCATCATCACGCGTTACTCTCACCCTTCGCCTTCTCCGGATCCGCATCCGGATCCGCATCCGCCGCCACCACCCCCTCTCCCTTCCCCCTCCTCCTCTCCTCCTCCGCCCTCTTCAGCACGCTCCTCCACTCCAGCGCCGCCGTCCCGAGCACAGTCAGACACGCCAGCACCAACCCAATCACAAACACTTTCCGTAACGCCTCATTATACGCCACGCGCCCGGCCTGCCTCAGCTCCGCCGGCAAGCCCGCCAGCACCTCCGTCGCGCCCCCCTGCGTCACGCTGCTCGCCTCGAAACCCGGCACCAGCGCCCTCATCCGCCGCACCAGCTCGTTGTCCATGACGTTCTGGCCCACCGACACGAATATCGCCGCGCCGAACAGCTGGCTGAAGAACATCAGGCTCGTGCCGATGGGGACGTCGGGCGTCGGCAGCACGGTCTGCGCGGCGAGGTTCGGCGCTTGGAAGCACAGCCCCATGCCGAAGCCGTAGAGGACTTGGTAGCCTATCCACGCGCCTTCGGTGGTGCTCGGGTGGAAGGTGGTCAGCAGGCCGGCGCCGACGGCCATGATGCTGGAGCCGGCGATGGCGAGGGGCGTGTAATAGCCGATGCGCGTGTTGGTTATGCCGCCGAGGATGGAGGCGAGGACCATGGAGAGGAGGAGCGGGAGGAGTTGGATGCCGGATTGGACGGCGGAGGAGGATTTGATGGTTTGGAACCAGAGGGGGAGGAAGTAGACTGCAGCGAAGGGTTAGCGGGGAAGCTGTGGTGTGGGGTGGGTGGGTTTGTGGTTGTCATACCGAAGATGTATTGGGATGAGCCGATGCAGACGGTGGCCCAGCAGCCGGCGACGATGCTGCGTTGCTTGAAGATGCGTGGGGGGATGGTGGCGGTCTTGGGGAGGAGGATCTGGATGGCGACGAAGGCGAGAAGAAGAATGCCCCCAAGAGTCAATAGTGCTACAATTCGGCCGTTGCTCCACTAGAGAGTATCAGTACATGGGGTCAAATTGACATCACATTCGGGAAGACTCACAGCATAGGTATTGCCGCCCCACTGCAGTGCGAGCAGAAAGCAGATGACACCGGGGATCAGAACCGTAGTACCGAGAATATCGAGCTGAGCCAGCTTCTGTGTCCAGGGAAGCTTGGTGGTGTCTCTGTCAGGGACTTTGAGGCAGAAGGCAATGACGGCCATTGCCACGGCGCCGAAGGGTAGGTTGATGTAGAAGCACCATCTCCACGTGGCACTGGAGGATGTGAAGGCGCCGCCAATCAACGGGCCCACGATAGAAGCGATGCCGAACAGGGCGCCAAACATGCCTTGAAACTGCGGACGTTTGTCCAGGGGGACAACGTACACGATGCTTACGATCTGACATGGCATCCGCGTTAGCAGGTAGTGGCTCGAGTAGGAACGACAGACTTACGCATCCAGCGAAGATTCCAGCGGCGCCAATGCCGGCGATTGCTCTTCCGATGATGAAGGCTGCCGATGAAGGGGCGGCGCCGCAGATGGCGGAGCCAAGTTCGAATAGCAGGACGCTTGTGAGCATGACACCTTTGACTGAGTAGAAGGTGTAGAGTTTTCCAAACAGCAGCTGGAACGAGCAGCACGTCAATGTGTACGCGCTTCCGTACCATCCAACGTCAGGCAGAGAGTGGAATTCGTCTGTTATTTGAGGAATGGCCTAGCCAAAATCTATCAGCGCATGTCCTGGCTAGGAGGACGATATTCTTACTGTTGAGATGATGAGTCTGTCAAGGGCAACGAGGAAGATGCTCAGAAAGACCGAGGCGAGCAGCAGGAAGACCTTCATGGCCGACTGTGGCTGGTATGTGTCGTCGACTGGTGGCGCATCAGGTGTGACCGTAGCATGGGGAGAGGAGCTCCCCGTATTTGCTGAATGCACATTTGATTTAGCGCTTTCGGGTGTTGTAGGCCGTTGAGACTCCATGGTGATTATGATACACTCGAACGCAGCGAGTTTTATCTCTCGCAATTCGGAGCTGTGGATGAAACAACAAGGAACTCAAGATGAGTATGAGCAGAATGGTGTTTCGCAACCAGATGTGGGCGAGGAAACTCTGACTTTTAAGTGCAGGGGGTAAGAATTTAGAAAGTGTTGTCCGTCGGGGTTTACTAGAGCCCGAGAGGGTTGGTGGGGGCCAATTTCTGTGTCGGGGTTTTCAAACGCCCGAGGCAAAGGGCAAAGGGCAAGAGGCAAAAACATCGTTGCCCGAGCGGAGCAGGTCTTCCGCAAACCACATTTATAATCACAGTCCAGATGTCTTTCAAACACTAGGCTGTAATGCTGTCCATTCTACCTGCTTACATCAAAAAAAATTATCAACGAGATAGCTTTGATCGTATTTAAAAATTTATCCATATTTTCACCGAATGATGGAGAGAAGCTTGATCAACTGATTCGTTTCCCGACTCCATTCGCGCTAGTTGTATGATCAATTAATTCTTAGTTTATGGCTGAGTGTCATGCCAGCCTGCCCCATTTCCGAGAAATCGGAAGAGAATATGTACCACAGCGGTCCAGACCGTCTAGTCTAAATCGTTTCCAATTAACAATATCTTGAGAACGAAACTAAACAGTGGGAGACGTTTCCTCTATACAACAGACCCAGCAGAATTTCGTAGACAATGGTAAAAAGACTTAAACGCTTATTCAATCTCAAAAGCTGTAGCTTCAAGATTTCCTTGTCTCCACATGTCTATAGCTTCGCCATGCATGATACCGTTGACGTAGCATTCACCAACAAGCTTCCAGCGATTTCCAAACGGCCTTAGTATGAAAGGGACACGGGCTCCAAAGAGGAGAGCAACTTTGTCCTGAGGTTGCATGTTATGCGGCCCTAGCCCGTAATAGCCGTTGCCAGTAATAAAAAAGCGCCTGTGCCTGCAGACCATTGACACCTGTTCTTGAAAGAAAAGTACAGACATCTCTTCGTCCTTGGAAGCAGCGAGAGCAGATTTCAGGTGATTCGTGCTAAGTCTCGCTGGAACCAGACTCTCTATCCCATTCTGGCTACACAATCCCCATAAAAGAGCTAGCGAGTGTTCAAGACTACCGTTGGGGATATAGGGATGCTCTCGCCCTCGTGAGGACCACAAAAAATTCTCCGCGGTCAGCGTGTCGCAGTAGGCTCTCCAGGCGGGTATTCCAGTGGGATAAGAATTCCGCTCGTTGTTGCATAATTCGTTCCAGATATCAATGATTGGGCTCTGGTAGTTGTGGTCCAGGTCACCGCGATGACCTGGCAGAAATGAACGCATCCGCAAGTGATGTGACTGGCTTAAAACGCTGTCGAACAGAATGCCTTCAGCATCTAGAACTCGATCGCTGTTGCGAAGGTGGAAAGAAGGCCTAGTATCTCGCCCAGCGGAAAAGCAATCCTTTCCATCTAAGCTCAAGCATGCGGTTCTACCAGTGGTATTCCAGTCTGGAACCCATGATGGCAGGTGGGGTCGACGAAAACTTGGTTCCCTAAACACGGTCGAGAGAACATCCAAAGGATTCTTGGTGTGAGGATCCCGCAAAAGAGAGACAGCGATATCTCTGTATGTTTTCGAGATTGGTGCGGTGTAGTCGATGTCGATATGGATCCGCGAAGCACAGGGATGACTGAGAAGTGCGAAGACTTTGTCCCGGGCGTCCGAAGCCATGTGGGTCCGTGTGAGATGAAGGAGCCTAAGGAAGCCAGCGTTATGGTCGTGCCAAAACTTGTTCGTCATACGCCTGATCCATGATGATTGAAGAGAAAGCGTATTTCGGAGTGCTGAACTTTGCGCGTTGATAAATGCATTGGCGAAGACAATCTTTGACCATTCGATCTGCTCACGGCCACAAACGACCATCGCCCGCTTTGACAGCCCGACCTCTTGTAGCACCCATACTCTTCTGAACCATGGATGCTTCAGAACGAGGGAAAGTGAAGGTGACTCTGTTCTAAAAGCACGGGAGAGTGAGTTATCGGTGCTGGAAAAGAAGGCTCTACTTGGTTCCGGATATCCAGGTATCTGTTCAACAGGCCCAAAGCTCGAATGGATCCTCTCAATGAGACAGAATGCGGCAGCAGCATGCTTAAAGCCCGCGTCCAGCCAGACTATGATCTCGGTAGCTTGCTTAAATATGTCCTTCATGATGCGGACTTGGGCACTCCGCTCATCTGTGTCGTTTTGGTTGATGCATATAGCGTCAATCCAAACCGACTCTTCGTTATCCCGACTTCGTATTCTCTGAAGAGCAGCGAAACTACTTCGCGTCACCTGCATGATATTTCCATCGCACTCGATGCGCTGAAATCCTCTTTGTTTTCCCCAGGTGTAAGACACTGCTCGATAACGAGGGTTTTCGGACAAATTCACATGGATCAGGCTGCTTCGGATGGGTTGACCAGGTTCCCCAGGGAAGACTTTGAGAATGCGGATGGTGTCTGTGCGTTGCAGAGGCTTGTACGAGAAGGCTGCGGCCCGGTGCACACGTCTCCCGACCTTGCGGCACCGCCACAATGCGATCCGTGGTACGGATGTCGGTGCGCTGAACATCTCGGTGGCCGTGAATCCCGGCCAGCGGTGGCAAAGAAGAAGTCTAAGGCTCAGATTTCAGCCTTGCGCAAAGTTTATTAGTCTGGCTAGGTCATGCGCTCCGCTACAGGGATTATGTCGATCCATGCCACTTCGGGCCGTGCGGCGCGAATACTGTGGTCAGAGGGGAAATAGGTAATTGTTAGCTCGGCGCCAACGTACAACATGCTATTGGCCAAATTCCATGACAAACACCTGGTTTTGACCTGGTCGCAGTGGAGCGCACCAAAAATCAATCCCTGTGAGAACATTCTACTTGTCGGGGAGCTACAACTTTGTATCGAAGTTCTTGCTTCAGTCAAGTGCTGTGAGTCTTCAGAGGCTCAATTTCTCACCCACGTAGGTACGAACCTCACAGGCGAACCTGTATAACAAATGATGAACAGGTCAAAGGCCGACTTAGTTCTCAGGGCCGAAGAATGGTTGAAGCTATTAAAAGACGTTGTGTCACTCGACTCGGTCGAGAAGTTTTGGGGAGCCAACACCTAACTTTCACAACCAGTCACTCTTCTTCTGCCATCTCCACTCTGTCGCTCCATCTCATCATCGTGCAGCGACATGTCTGTCAGCGCACGGTGCTGCCTGTACTCCTGTTATTATTAGCCCGGCCCGGCCCGGCCCGGCCCGGCCCGCCTCGTCCCTGCCTGGACCAGCACCGTCGAATTGCCGACAGCATCGCTCACACCGCCTTGTTCACCTTTATTGATCTCTCAACTGAGCTGTTTAGCACTTGCGCGAGTTCTGCGTGACGGACGTGGAGGACAATTAACGGAGTACGGGTAGGGCTTCTGAGTCAGCCCTCTCCATGTTGTTGGGCACGGGACGTCGTGTCGTTGGTCGTGCTGCTGGTGTTCGTGTCTGATCTTGGATGGTGAATCAGGTAGTGAGGAAGCTGGTATTGCGTTAAAATGTCCCTAGCTGCTCCACAGCTGTCATTCTTGATGAGATAGTCCCAGATCTTGCCGACACTATGTTTTCTAAGCAGGTGTATGTCCGCAGTTGTCGACAGAAACTTAAGTTGGTGTGGGGGCGGTTTTTTTGGTAGGTATTTGCCAGGTGGAGCCAGTTGTGCCGAAGTACTTACGCGCACAGGTGCCAACACAGCTAGGCACACCTTCAGCGTGGGGCTCCCAAGCCAGCACTGGCCAATAAAACCAAGGGGCACAACTCTCGGCGCCTACCTGCATATTCGCTGTTGTAGTTGCTCGCTGGATTATTGGTAGTGGTGGGGTCGTTTTGCTGTAGTGGAGTACAGATGACGAGGCTGAGTAGCCTCTTGGAAGTAGATCAAAGTCTGCTTGCGCTCACTGAGCCTTTTAAGCCAGTGCTTACAGCCCCTCCGAAGATACTTTTACCCAACCGGCGTAATTGTCTTTTTTCGTCATTTACTCTTTCCCACAAGACATTCTAGACTACACGACATGAAACTGCTTTAGACAGCTACGCGTGGTAAAGCATGGAATTTAGTTTGGTAGAAGTCGTAATACTTGGACTTCTTACGGTCGCATTTTGCCGACTACTCCGAACAGTGCCCGTCACAATCAAACAACAGTACGTAGCTATTCCATCTACATGCATAGGAACTGATACTAACTTTCTTGTGCCTTTCTCTTGAATAGTTATGGGCCATCGCTGGAAACTCCGGACCCCCGTGCTGATCAAGGAGTCTCTCAATCAACTATTCTCGATGACTCAAAACACGCATCGCCTTCCCCTGGAAGGACGGCAGCTCCAAAAGACCAAGCACCAAGCACGGGACCTGAAACGACAGAACCAAGGATACCCCGACTGAATATGCTGTCTGCGGACCCTGCCCATATTACCGTGCCTGAGACTTTCCCACGTTCCGAAGGCAGCAGCCTCACGCATGAAGATTATACGATAGGGTGGATGTGTGCTCTTCCGATCGAGTTAACAGCTGCCGCAGCTATGCTAGACCAGATCCACCCTGACCTTCCAAAGGCAAATGCAGCGGATTCAAATACCTATACTCTGGGCAGTATCGGAAGCCACAACGTTGCCCTGGCTGGTCTACCCAACGGATCCTATGGAACGAACTCAGCCGCAGTGGCTGCTTCTCACATGCTGTCGGCTTTCCCAAATTTACGGTTCGGTTTAATGGTGGGCATTGGCGGCGGAGCTCCTAGCGAAGACCACGATATCAGACTTGGCGATATTGTAGTGAGCAAGCCACGGGGAAAGGATGGTAAGATAGTGTTTCCTTTGTAATTTAGTTATCCAAGCTTATACTTCCAGGTGGCGTTGTACAGATAGACCTCGGAAAGGCCACCGGAACTGGGTTCAAACGCACTGGAATACTCAATAGACCGCCAACTGCGCTACTAACAGCGCTCACAAAACTGGAAGCGGAGCATTTCGGGGGATCCGAGAAAGTTCCGCTCTACGTTGGGAGACTTCACAAGAAATATCCAGGTAAAGCAAAAGAATTCTCTTATCGGCTCTCGGACGACAATCTCTACAAGACAAATTACGAGCACAATCCAGCGGAGAAGGCTTGCAGGAATTGCGATGTAAATGAACTAGTTTGCAGGGAAAATCGGGAAAGCCACGATCCGGTCATCCATTACGGTACCATCGCCTCCAGCAACCAGGTTATTAAGCACGGTCCAACGAGAGACCGCCTTCAGAGAGAACACGAGGTTCTTTGCTTTGAGATGGAAGCAGCAGGCCTTATGAATGACTTTCCATGCGTTGTAATTCGAGGTATCTGCGATTATGCCGACTCACATAAGAACAAACGATGGCAGCCGTATGCTGCGGCAGTGGCGGCAGCGTATACAAGGGAGCTCCTAGAGCAGATCCCCGCCAACGCAGTAGATTCTACACTTCTCGCGAAGGAGATAGCAAGTCTGCGGGAGACGATAACAGGAACTGGTTAGTCAGATATCACTTTGACTGAAATATTTAGATCTCAAATTGACCTTTTCAAATTTTAAAGTGACTTCCGCAATAACCCATGGTCTCCGGCCGGTCCAAGACGGTAGGTCTGCTTGTAAACTTTGCTCTATATCCTATCTAATTAGTTGGCAGACCTTGGAAAGAGAAAGAGCAATGAGATCCTTGACTGGCTTAGTCAGTCCAACCATGAAGCAAAATACGCCGACTCCATCAACAGCGACCGATACAAAGAAGGAACCGGTCAATGGTTCCTAAACTCTTCAGAATTTCAGAGCTGGCTTCACAAACCCGGCCGAACGCTATTCTGCCCCGGGATTCCGGGATCTGGAAAGACCATCATCGTGTCGCTTGCCATACAGAACTTATTGGCTTCTCTTAGTCGCAACAAATCAATCGTTGCCTTCTTGTATTGCGACTACGGAAGGATATATGAACAGACAACTGATGGCCTTCTCACCGCACTATTGCGGCAATTTTCCCAGGACGATCACCAACTTCCTGATCTCATTTTAAGCTTGTACAGAGTTTGTGACAAGCAGAAAAGAAGGCCTAGGCGGGACGAAGTGAACAAGACGCTTACCTCCGTTCTTAAGAGTTATGATCGAGCATTCGTCATAATAGATGCTCTCGACGAGTGTTCTGAGCAAACTCGTGGAGAGTTGTTGTTTTCAGTTCTTCGTTTGCAGAAAGAAACGTCGATCAATCTCTTGGCAACATCTCGCCCTGTTCCGGAAATAGAGAGGCTCTTTCAAGCAGACCCACGACTGGAAATCCGCGCAAGCGAGGAAGACGTCGAGATCTATCTACAAAGCCGGCTTCGCGAGCTACCTGACTGGGTACGAGAGGACGAAGCTTTGCAACAGAAGATCAAACATGATATTTCTGCGGCTATTGACGGAATGTTAGTAATAAACCGTGAAGTTACGATAAAAACTAACATAATTTACTATAGGTTTCTTCTTGCGAGACTTCATTTCGATTCTCTTCAAGGAAAACAAACTAAGGGAGAAATTGAAGAAGCTCTTGACGCATTCATGCACCCTCAAGGGGACACATACCCCCTAATGATAGCCTACGACGAAGCTCTCCGACGCATTTCCGATCAGACGCCCAACGAGAAGAAGTGGGCCCAGAAAGTTCTCTCATGGGTTATCCTCGCACGACGACCCTTGTCCCCAAGCGAACTCCAGCATGCACTTGCAGTCAGACCCGGTGACCGAAAGCTCCACAGCAAAAACTTTCCACGCCCCGCAAACATCGTTTCGCTATGTGCGGGGCTAGTCTTGATCAACAAGGAGAGCAATGTTGTCCAGCTCGTCCACTATACGGCAAAAGAGTACTTTGAGAGATATCCCCCTGAATGGATTCAATCCGCCCCAGCAGATTTGGCACGATCTTGCCTTCGATACCTTACTCTCGACGCTTTTGCCAAGGGTCCATGTTTTCGGGAGGAAGAGTACATGGAGCGTGCTAGTAAGCACGAATTCTTTAGCTACGCGGCATGCTACTGGGGGGAGCACTCTCAAGATGTCGAAGCTGACGTGAAAGATGTTGCTTGGACGTTTCTTTTCAACGACGGCTATACCAGTTCTGCATGCCAAGTCATAGAAACGCAAGTCTCACCATGGAAAGTGATTTCCAAATCTCCAGAATGGTCAAGGATCCATATAGTTGCATTCTTTGGCCTGAGCACGTACTTCCAACTCCTAATGGATGAGCAATCAAACCAACGGAAGAGATTAGAAGCTGTCAACTCGATGGATCGAAATTCTCGAACGCCGCTTCATCTAGCAGCAATGAATGGGCGAAAGGCGCTGGTAAAGATGCTCGTCGACTGCGGGGCCAGGCCGCATGACTATCCATTTCACGGTACGCCGCTCTGTGAAGCAGCAGAGCATGGACAGGAGGCGGTGGTAAAGATTTTTCTCGATAGAGTGAAAGACGACGCGAAGCCTGAATATCATCAGGCTCTCTATGCAGCAGCAGAGCATGGACACGAGGCGGTGGTGAAGATACTGATCGATGCCCAAGAGAGATTACACGTCAACACGAGGAAAACCTACAGTTACCCGGTCAGTAATGCAGCAAAGCATGGACACGAGGCGGTGGTGAAGATACTTATCGATGCGCAAGAGAGACTAGACGTCGACCCGAGGAAAACCTATGGTTACGCGCTCGCTTATGCAGCAACTCATGGACACGAGGGGGTTGTGAAGATGCTTGTCGATCTTGGAGACAGAACGGATGTTAACTTGAGGAATTATCTCGGTCAGACGCCACTCTCTGCAGCAGCAGCTCGTGGATACAAGACGATAGTAAAGATGCTTATCGATCTTGAAGAAAAAGTAGACGTTAATTCGACGGATAATGACGAGCAGACGCCGCTCTCTCTAGCAGCGTTTAATGGACACGAGGCGATAGTAAAAATGCTCATCGACCTTGGAGACAGAGTGGACGTTGATTGGAAGGATATATGTAACCGCACGCCGCTATCTCTCGCGTCAGAGAGCGGGCATGAGGCGGTAGTAAAAATGCTCATCGATCTTGGAAACAGAGTGGACGTCGATTCGAAGGATGGTAGTGACCAGACGCCGCTATCTTACGCGTCACAGAACGGGAATGCGGCGGTAGTAAAAATGCTCATCGACCTTGGAGACAGAGTGGAAGTTGATTGGAAGGATATAAATAACTGCACGCCGCTATGTCTCGCGTCAGAGAACGGGCATGAGGCGGTAGTAAAAATGCTCATCGATCTTGGAGACAGAGTGGACGTTGATTCGAAGGCGGTATACGGCCAGACGCCGCTTTATTTTGCAGCATCTAAGGGGAATCCAAATGTGGTGAAGTTGCTTGTGGATCTTGGAGAGAAAGTGGACATTAATTCAAGGAATCGATTCGGCAAGACGCCGCTCGGTGGGGCAGAAGAGGGGAGAAAGTTCACTGGCATGAGAAGATTGGGGCAATACGAGAAAGTGGTGAATATTCTCAGAGGCAAGGGTGCATGTCTCTGATCGCGGTAGTTACCCGCACACATGAAAGTCAGATCGATAGCCTTGCGTACTAGACTACTCTGTCGATGGCACCGGCGCATTACGTGGTTGATGGGCGCGGGCCGGCTAGCGCGGGCGGCGGTGCGACAACGGCTGGCCTGGTGGAGGGCGGGACAGCGGGTACCGGCGACGGGGCGGTGGTAGGGCCCGTAGTAGCGTCCAGTATGCCTGTGTGCGAGAAAAGAAGGCGGTGGGTAGATAGAAGGAGTGATGGGCGGTAGGATTTCATTAGAGCTAGAAGGCGGTAATGTACGGGAAGGCTTTCCCCTTAACGGACTTAAGGAAATATTTCAAGTCTTATAGAGTTGGACTTTCTCTTCTATAATAGACGCCGTCTTTGCTCTCGCGGCTTTGGTTCATATCGCGACCGTTGCCTTCATCAGACCAGCGAGATTTATGGGAGCGTTCTTTCCCCGTCAGCCGGGCCTTACTCCGGTCGCATCGGTTGCGGAGACCATGTCCGTTTTCTTCCAGGTCGGTCTGCTCCAGACGGTGGCCGCCGCGTTCGCCTGGTGTCTTCTCAGCATCTGCGATGTCGGAGTGTTAGAACACTCCCGGAGTCGTGTGTCAACTTGGCCTTGAAGCTCGTTTCTGGCTATACGTTGGTGCGGCCCGCAGCTGCTACGGTCGTATTGTGGAAATAGCAGGGGGAAATCATGGCGAACTTCGAAAATCATTACCAAGTCCAAAATCTGTGATAGCCTAGTCTATTTGATTATGCCAATGTCCGAAGTTCTCAAATCCTATTCCTTACGGATGGAGTTCTGCGAAAAGACACGCGAAGGACAGCACGATAGTTTACTCCCCGCCTCCCCAGGCCTAGTATAACAGGCGCTTGGTTTAGCATCCTAGATTCTGCAGTAGGTTGTGTAATTCTCGAAAGTATTTGCTGGATCGCGGCTACAGATATGTTCGTTCTTGACTAATAGCAGTGTGCGTTTTCTTTTCAGCGTGGCGAGGTAAGCGTGGAGTCGACGTCTAATCTTATATAGATGTTCACCCTGCTGTTACAGCCTCTACCGTATTGAAATAGTGATACGATCCAACAGCTACGCCATTAGCTATAAAAGACCGACCAGCACAAGAATTACTCCTTTAGCAGCAGGGAGCTGGATCCGCTTGGTCAAACTGCTCCCTGCGCCCGCCATGCCGATACGGGGGTGGATATGTCTATGACAAATCATTACTTCCAGCAACGAAGGACAATCGCAACGGAGGAGCTGGACGCATGCCTTCCAAGGATCAACAAACATCACCAAACCCAGAACAGGAAGCAGGGCCAACCAGCGTCCACATAATATCTGAGTATGCATCGGACTCTAATCGTACCATTGCTACAAGTGGCTCTTCAACTACGTACTAGGTTCATTATTCTGACGTTTCTTACGCCATAACTTTAAGACAGTGATGACACTTCGCGGCCCCCAACGATCCTCAGCCACCTCTAATGGAGTCATACCCTTAATCGCGTCTCTAGTATCTAGACTAGCGCCTTGCTTTAAAAGGTAGCCAGTAATACTAGAGTAGCCTCTCGCCACAGCGGTATGTAATGGAGTGCCAGGCCCTCGCTCCCAGTAGAAATCCTTTTCAGGGATGCCGGGCTCATCGACGTTCGCGCCGGCCTCTTCGATAAGGAACCTCGCCTTCTTAATATCGTTAACCGAGGCGACGTAATGTAGGGCCTTAGCACGGTTTACGTCGGCGCCGTAGGCGATAAGTAGCTTCACGATGGGCATGGCCGTGTCGTCGTCGCCGTGCGCCATGGCGTAGATAAGGATGTGGCGCTGGGCGCCGGTCTCGACGGCGTTCGGGTCGGCGCCGCGCTCGAGCAGCCAGGCGAAAAAGTCGGGCGGACAGCGCGGGCTGCGCAGGGCGCGGTGCAGGACGCCGCCGACGCGATCCGTCGAAGGGCGCAGGCCCGTCGGGTCGTTGGCTAGGTTGATGTCCAGGCCCAGGTCGAGGATGGCTTGCATGCACGGCTGCGAGCGCGCGCTGGCCGCCTCGAGGAGCAGGATGCCGCGCGACACGGGCGTGGTGGCGTTGTGCAGCAGCCAGCGGAGCAGAGCGACGTTGCCGTGCTTGACTGCCTGGTAGGCCATCTGCATTTCCGTCGGCCGATCGGCGGCGGCGCATGTCTGCGCGAGCGCGAGGACCGCTTCGGCCGGCTGATCGGTGCAGGCCTCGAGAACTTCGCTTCGGGTTGCCATGGGTGGAGCGGAGAGATGAGGGTGGGGTGCGGCGGAAAGAAGCGTGAACGACACGGGGACTAATATGTGTACCCCGAAGTCACATGTTACCTTGGACGTGCATGTTATTTTTGTCGCCCTCACTGTGTCAATCGGCCCGCTTGTCGCTTTAATGTGCCTTTGGTATGTACTGTGCCGCACTACCATCGCTGCCTGGAGAGCCTTGACGCCGCTCATGGTAATGATCTGCCTGCCCGTGCTCAATTCGACTACATCAAGCGAACAGAGCCACCATGAGAATAGAATCAACTCCAAAGCTGGCAGAACATGTACTATGCCGCATTGCTATTCCAGTATGTAACATCTGGTCGAACTAACATGGGACCAACACAACAAACCCTCCTCAACTCCGAAGATAACGACAAATACCAACAGCCATGACTAGTCGTATGGCATTGGGTATAAAGTGATGCGAGAGCACTTCGACAACAGTATCAATCAATCAACAGCATCATCATTCACAAGCAAACAGTCTTCACTCAATACTCATCATCTTCATCACAAAACTCCTCAAAACTACCTCAAAATGCTTTCCTCCGTCCTCACCGCCGCCCTTCTCGCGCTCCAGGCTCCCCAGTCCGTCTTCGCAGGGCCTATCCAAGCCCCCGACCTTCAACGCCGCGACGACCGGCGCCCTACGCCTTCGAAATCTGAAGTAGAGGACATGATGGATCTGTGGAACGACTACGGCATCGAGCACGTCTTCTACACCCTGACGCAAACCGCAGCGAAGAAGTGGGCGAACGACCACTACGACGACTTCAGCCGCATCACCATCTGGGACACGGACGAGGATCTGCAGAACGGTCTACTCTGGGAAGACTACGGCGAGGTGCAGAACCTGTGGGTCGAGGTCTACACCGAGCAGGCCCAGGGCGTCGCCTGGGTCATGTACGTGGACGGAAGCAAGATCCCCTCCAACTCCGAGAGCGCCTACGACAACATCGAGAAGCCCATCCTGGAGAGAAACGCCAAGGACGATGGGAACGCTCTCTTCGAGGTCATCCAGGTCAGCGCCGCCAATACGAACGAGATCTATCAGATTCTTCCCGTTGATGTGCGCGACTTTTCCGGCTGCAGCTGGCACGGTGAGGCTCCCGACTGCGATTCCCAGTGTCCTGATGGAACCAACGAGATCACTCGGAGCCACTACGGCGACGACCCCAATGGCAAGTGCACTGGCCATGGTAAGAAGGTCTTCTGCTGCCCGGCTTAAGCCCAACGTCGTCTTCCAACCATGGCGAAAATATGTCGTTGTGACGGCGGGCTGTGGCAACAAGCTCAGCTGCCGAAAGAAAGCACTGAATACCCCTCTTGGCCATCGCAACTGCCAGCAATGTCGTCATTTGCCAATCTTTGTTTCACATCTTTGTACATCACCTCAACAACCCGAGCCCCCATTTCCCCGGCGAGCTAGTGGATCTTGCAGGCACGTAACCTAGACGTGCTACAATCGCTCTGGGATACTTATACGTGGAGAAGGTCTGCTATCACTTTTCCCTTGGCTTGGCGCATTGCATGAAATCTATTCTTTGTTTCTATCGACTCTATCTCAAATGCATTCGGAGCGAGCCCGACAGCCCGGGCGACCAGCTTTATTGACACAAGCCGCTCACCTGCATCTCAACAAATTGCTTGGGTTGTCAGTGCCACCTTACTTGATATCTGCACTGCATCCTCATCTGTTGTACAAGAGTAGGCAGCCACACTGATCACCTGAACCCCACGCACTTCGCTTCATCTGTCTCACCCGCCCCGACCGTCGCCGAAACCCCAATCCATACCGGCCCAATTCATCTGTCCCATACCAACGTCCAACGGAAACTGCCCCAGCAAGCCAGCATTAGGAAACCCGCCTAGCCCCGGTTCCACATACCCCCCCAGCCCCTGCTGCCCATCCATCCCAAACATCATTCCACCATAGCCCCCAAACCCCGCTCCCATCATCCCCCCCAAATCCGCCACCCCAGCATCCACAGCCGCCGTGCCACCCTCCTGCTGCCCCTGCTCTTGCCCCTGCTGCCCCGTCTCCGCCACCGCCTCCGCCCTTGCCACCTCCGCCATCTTCTCCCTAAACCTCTCCACAATCCGCGGCACGACCACCGGCACCTCCCCAGCCCTCTGCAACGCCTCCTCCCTTGGCCGCCACGCCTGCAGCACCATGCGCGCAAAGATCCCATACAGCGGATTCGCATCATCGTCCTCCGCCGTCGCCGACGGGGGGTAAGCGGCAGTAGCGAAGCGAGCGTCGTAGTGGTCGCTCAGCAGGGCCCAGGCGCGTGCGGCGTCAGGGCTGAGCGGACGGCGCTTGAGGTGCTGGACGGCCTGGACGTAGGCCGGAAAGGGGAAGTAGAACTGGAAGAGCCAGCGGAAGGGCTTGGTGAGGGGGGACGTCATGATTTGCGTGTCGGCGTCGAGCCAGGTGAGGGCGTGGGAGAGGGCGGCGGTCTGGTCGTCTGGAGAGGAGGGGGAGGAGGGGGAGGGGGAAGAGGAGGAGGTGTTGTTGTTGTTGTGCTCGACGAGGCGGTAGCGGGCGAGGAAGGAGCGCGTGGTGCAGAGCGTCATGAAGTGCAGCGGGTTCTGCGGGTCGCAGAATCGGAGGTACTTGTCGTTGAGGCGGCGCTCGAGGATGTCTAGACTGCCTTTGGTGTCTTTCGCGATGGGCTTCAGAGCGGGCGTGGTGAAGTCGAGGTGGATGGCGGCGTGGCGGAGGAATTCGCCCAGCTCGCTGCGCACCGCGGCGTAGAGGACGTCGGTGCATTTTTCCTGGGCCGGTGGCGGCTCCCGCATTTCCGGCCAGAGGTCCGAGTCGCTTACGTTCAAGGGGATCTTGCAGTCCCAGGTGGGCGCGAGGACTGTGGACCTGTAGTTGGCCAGCTCGCTGACGCGGGCGTCGAAAAGGACGAGTGACCACCAGAGCCTGCGGCGCATCTCGGCCTCGAGAGGGTTACATCCAGCATTGGCTGACTCGCTGTCAATGCCCATGCGTTGGGCAATGCGAAGCGCCACACCAAGCACCGAAGACAGAGATCGAGGGTCTGTCTGTGGGCCAACCGAGATGAGGTACAGGAATAACGCAGTCAAGCAGTCGCGGTCGCCAGTTCGTAAGAATCCACAATTCAGCAGCGCTTGCTCACAGCCGAAGTGATGCGCTGTTAAGAGAGTTTCCTTTGATGACTTGAAAATGGCCTGGCAGTCGTCTTCGTCGAGGCTTTGGACAGCAACACAGTAGATGCTGAACATCAGCGCCTCCAGGGCAGGGCTGGTGTGAGAAACATTGCTGGCGGCTTCTATGATACGCCCCTGCAGACTGGGGGCGTGATTAACTTTGAGCAGTGGGTTAACGCCGTCGAGATATATCTGCCAGAGCCGAAGGATTTGGACAGGCTCAGGGTGCAGAGTTGAGATGTCGACAGCCGTCTTACGGGAGCCCAGAAAGAGGTGGTCGTTCTTGCTATACAAAAGATCCCACGCGTTCTTCACCACTCCTTCGCGCACATCATCCTGCGATGAGTCGCTATCATTGTCGGGATCTCGGAACTGTTGCCGGCATGTCAGTAAGAGAGGTTTTATGCAGGCGTTAGGAGCCATACCCCTTGGCTCATGGTATGCCAGAAGTTCCTTAAACAATTAGTCAATATGGACACGGCTTTGCTTATTGCACATACTTGGGTTCGTATACTGGTTCGGGCTTGACGTTGACCAAGCCGGACGGTTGCTCTACCACCGGAGCTTCGGGCATATCCTCGTCTGAATGGTTGGCTCCTTCGACATTGGGTGATGCATTCTCCTCCTTATGGAGCGGCTCGAACTTGACATTGTTCTGCCGGAGGAGGTCCTCATACCTGTTTAGGCGGTCCAGTAGCTCTCGCTCGGGAAACCTACGCTTTCTCCGCGGGTTCACGGTTGCTGGGACGCACGATGCCTTCGACCTGATGCAATTGGAGCAGGGAAACTTGCGGTTGCATTTGATTTTGCGCTGCTGACAGAGCACGCACGCAAGCACCCGCTGGGCCTTCCGCAGTTGAGAGGACGGGGGCGACGTCGTTGGACTTTCCTGCTCTGGCGTGGGCCATATCGCCAACATCGTTGCGTCCAGATGGCTATTTGGCCAGGGATCGGAGAGAGTATTTCGCAAGTAAGGTAAGCGGGTTGTCTCGGGGTTTTGTAGTGTCCGACCAGCCCTCGGCCCCCAAATCCTCCGCCAGGCTACCCAAACCTAGACTAGCTTGCTTACCTCTGTATGACGTAAGGCCCATTCCTCAACGCAAGCGTCTTATCTCAATCCGCTGTTGCCTGCTCCCACTAACGCCTCACCACGCCACATTTTTCTGCTTCGTGGCCAAATATTCAGTATCTTCAGGGTCAATTATGTGCATGGTGCGGTGCAGCTTTTGCTCTCGGCATCATCGCAACAGTGACATGCCGAATACTCCACACGCTTCAACCATTTGAATGGGCTTAATCTTCGAATAGGGTTACATTTCTTTTTTTTTGCTAAAAATAAAACTGTAAATCGGACTTGATTTCAATCACCATAATCGCTTTTCAGGACACCCTTTCCCCCTCACCACCTTTTCACATTTTCAGTCAAGAACCAACCGCGCTTGGGGGATCGAACGCAATCTGCTGGCACTTTTCCATGAACTCGCCGCCGGTGACGATCTTCGCGCTGCTGAGTCCCAGTGTAGTAACGCCCTTCTTGCCGTCCTTGACGATGAACACTCTGTTCAGCTTGACGCTCGGGTCCGCCTTGTTCCTGACCTGGCACGCGACGGGAAAGTATGTATCGCCAAGCGTGTCGACAGGCATGAGCGTAGTATCACCACCCTTCATCTCTACCGGAATCAGAGAAATAGCCGCATCCCCCTCAGCGATCATGCCCTGGTCGACGAGTTTGAGCTTCGACACCTCGAGGCTCTGATCTTCCATGTTGGTGCGGGAGAAGGCGAGCAGGCGCTGCTTATCGTCGGCGGACACGGCGTTTTTCATGTACGCGAAGGCGCTCTGCGTGCCGATCTGCTCGCCCTGCTTGCCGGTGGTTGCGAGCTTCGCCGGGATCAGATTCAGGCCGCCGTCGTCGCCGGCGGTCAGGAGCCACACGCCGTTGCCGGCGGTGACGCTGCCGTATCGGAAATTGTCGGGATCGGTGGTCGTGGGGCTCTGGCCGGGCTTGCTGGAGCTCTTGGTGTCGTCGATCACGCCATTCAGGTCGACGTGGTTGCCCTCGTCCTCGACGGCGGCGATGCGGGGGCCGGGAAGCAACTTCGCAATGCCCGTCGGGATCCTGTTAAGGTTATACTGTCAGAATTGCAGGTCTAGTTATGGGAGGAGGGGTTGAGGCTTACGAGTAGCAGCCGGTGGTCAGCGGCGGCGCGGTATAAGTGAGGAAAGTGACTGTTGTAAGCTCGAGAAGGTTGGCGTAAATATTGTTGCCGCCTCCAACGCTGTAATCGATGCCCTTAGGACAGCTCTTTTCGACGCCGTAGCTTGCTGTTCCTTTGATAAAAGGCTCATTTGCAATGGAAATACCTTTGTTGAACTTGGCCAAGGGGATGTCGATACCGATGCCTATACTAAGCGGGAATCCCAGCCGAGTACTTGCCCGGATCGAGCCGAACGCCTCAAACTTGGGATCAAATTTAGGCACAAAGCCGTTTAACCCGGAATTCTTACTGTTAGCTAGGTCGAGAGTGGCTTTGAAGTCGGTGAAGCCAGCCTCGGCTCCCGCGAGAAGCGTACCCTTGGCGTACAGCTTCATCTTCAGCCGCGCGTCCAGACGCACTGCCGGACCTATCGTAATGATCTTGGGGATGCTGAATCCTGGGTGGATTGGGGCTTTAAAGATGTTGTACGTCTTTTCTGCTGTTTCTTCAATATCGACCTCCAGCCCGAGGAAGAGTTTCGCCTTGATGTTACTGCCTTCGACCGTAATGGTGCTTTTGTCTAGCTTTCCCTCGAGTATGTTCAACCGTACTTCGCCAGCAATACGAATGTTCGCTTGGATGCCGCAGTCGACACAGTATAGGCTGTACTTTGACTTATCCTCTCCTCCGCTCGTAATCCTATACTGTTCACCCCAAGGAGAATCGAAAACCTGATCCGGGTTCTTGAGAGCGGGCGAAATGTCGATCTCGAACGTAGACTCTGGCTTGAGAGTAGACCCACTGACAACGTTCTTTACATCCTGGATCAAATCATAGGCTTTCTTGAAGAAGTCGAAGATACCTGTCGCTTTGTCCACGATACTTTGGAAGAGTCCCTTGTCTTCCTCCAGCTTGGCCAGCGTGTCCTTTGTCACAGCCTTCGCGATGGCCAACGCGTCGGTTTTTAGATCTTTCGCCGCTCCGGTTAGAAGTTTCTTGGGCTCTGTGAGCTCACTGGCAATCCTTGCTGCACTTTCCTTGTCTTTGGCCGTCTTAAGCGATTTTGCGTTATCCTGAACAGTCTTTGAGGCATTTGTAACTTGCTTGTTCTTGTCGTCAAGCGCCTTCTTAGCAGCCTGCATTTTTGCAGCAAGCGCCTTGTCCGATGGATTGGCGTCTGCGGCGGCTTTCGCATTGAGATAATCTTTCCGGGCGTCTGAGGCCTGTGTTTTGGCTTTTCCGAGACTGCTAACGGCGTTATCGAACGACTTTTGCTCGTTCTCGGTGATCTGCTTCGCGTTTTGGGCCATCACAGTAGCCACATTCTTCTGGTTGGCTATCCTGTCTTTCTTGGCGGTATTTTTGGTGTTTGCAATAACGTTCTTCTGTGCGTCGGTGAGGCCTCCGACTGAATTCGATCTCTGGCGGCCACCGTCTGGTGCTGCACCTCCACCGTTCGCTGCTGCCGCTGGCGCTGCCGACGTCCCCGATCCGCCTGGTGCTTTTCCTCCCGGCACTCCACCTGCACCATTCGCGGCCGCGTTGACTGTACCGCCTCCTGGGTTTGCTCCCGATGCTCCACCTGCATTATTTGCCGATGGGGACGTCCCTGAGGTACCCGGTCCACCTGGTACTTTTCCTCCCGCTGTTCCACCTGCAGGGTTCGCCGGCACGTTGGCTGTCCCACCTGCAGGATTGGCCGGTTGGTTACCTGTTCCAACTTGTCCTTTTCCTCCTGTTGCCCCACCTGCAGGATTCGCCGGCGCGTTGCCAGTCTTACCTCCTGTTGCTCCACCTGCTGGCGTGCTACCCTTCCCACCTGCATTTGCATTTGATGCTGCACCGCCTTTCGTCGATGATGTTGTCCCCCCTTTGGCGCCGTTTTTATTTTGCGGAGCTGGGTCGCGGCGCAGGATGCCACTCCACTCAAGATCGTAGTCAGGGTCACCGGCGGTGGCATTAGCCGGGCTGTCATCCTCATCGAAATCGTCTTCCATGTACGTGGTCAGCCCCGGAGCAAAAGCATGCAGTGCGTTCGAGAAGTCGTTCTCGAAGTCGTAGTAGCCCTCTTCATCGTCGTCCGAGTCGGTGTTGAGATTGTAGTAATAGTAGTTGCCCTCAGCGTCGTAGTAGCCCAGATCATCAACCCAGTCCGCATCAACGTCGGCATCGGAGTCATCGGAGAGAGTGGGATCGGTGTCGTTGTTGGGAGCGTAGTTGGAAGCGCCATCATCTGATGAGCCAGAGCCAGAGCCAGAGCCAGCGCCAGAGTCTAAAGGATCTTCCGGGACGTGAGTGCCCCATATCAAGTGAATTTGGTCCATGGCGTCCTCAATGGCGATCTCGGTGGCGTCAAGAAGAGCGGTAAGTGTGCTGTCTGGATAGGACACTCTGGTTACGTTCCAGTAGCTGTGGTGGCCGGTGGGAGCCGAGCCGCAATCCGCACTCCAGGTAATGGCGATGAAGTTCACGTCCCAGGCGGACTGAACGTATTCTAATGCCGATGCAGTCCAGAAATCGACCTCCAGACCCTGGTCGGCGCACCTGACATTTAGGACGAGCTGGGAGTATTCCAAAACAACAGCAAGGGTTGAATGGTTTGCGGTCATCTCAGCGAAAAGGTGCTCGGTCGATGGATCTAACGGTGTGAGATGGACATAAGACGGGCATGTATTTGGGATGGGAATTACCTGAGTTGCCATCCAAAGTGAAAGTGAACTTGGTGCTGTTGGTCGGGGCCAAGCAGTCGAGGCCAACAACAGGCTGGTTTCCAGGCACTGCAGGCAGCATCGTTGGCCAAGGCGAGGAGTCCGTGATAGAAGACGAGGCATAGCTGATGTCAGCCTGGCCACTGTCGGCTGAGGTCGAGGACCCATTTGAAGGTTCATCAAGCACTGCCGCGGGTGTAACTTCAGGAGCTGGGGAGCCTTTCAGAGTAGTGGTGGTAGTTGTAGTTGTAGTGGTGGTCGTGGTGGTGGTGGTTGTCGTCGTCGTGGGGGCGATGGTGCTATCCTCATCTTCGCACGGGCCAGTCGTGTCAATGACGTAGGTAGTCTCAGTGGCTTGCACAGTGACGAAGTCGCCGTCGTACACGTTGGCATCCAGCGGGACATCGCGAATACCATGTTCTGGTAGGGCGATGCCGAGAACAGACCCCGCAAGGGAGGCGATGAGGAGAGGACGGCGCATGGCCGCGGAAGCCGGCAATCGCTCACAAGAATCAGACAAGAGGTGATCTGCGAATAACGAAGTACACACCGCTGCTGCTGTTGAAGATTCGAATTGAGACGCAAATTCTAAAATATATATGCTGCCTCCATGACCTCTTCTATCGTTTGCAGTCTGTCGTTGCTCCAGGAATCCTCTGCCGAGCCCATGCAAACCATGCCAAGAACAGCGTTTGTGTTTGTCACGGAGTATTGACGGGCTACTCGAGAGCGTACTGAGCGATATTGCTGTTCTCGACCCCAGATGTGTCGTGTAAATCGACCACGCGGGTGTTTCGACGGCTAAGCAGTTTGCGGCCATGTGCTTCGACGGAGGCCGGCTGCAAGCGTAATTGGTGTTTGAGGGTCCGCTTGCAAGCCAACGGCTGATCACTTGAGCGGCTCTGCTTGGTAGCTGTTAAGCTTCCCCAAGCATTTACTAACCTTACCCTTTATGGAGCACCCTACCGTATTAATGAGGAACCTAAAGGCGCCATAGTCAATGCGAATCTTTCATCTGAAGCTGGTAAAATAGTTAGGTGGGTATATCTTATAAAGGAGATTTCCCTGAGAAATTGCGATAACTCGATCCTCTTCAAATCCTGATTTTCATAATTGTATGTCGTAAGGCAGTGACTCTTGTGGGGCGCGCTAGCTACCCGTAGCTTCAGGCTTACAACCCCGCAATAGGTATGCTCATCAGAGATTTTAACCTTACAACGCTAAGCCAATTAGAGTAGGTATCTAACTCTTATCCCACTGTTTTGGCGCTTACAACTCAGCGAATGGATCCATGGCTCACGGAAAGCCAGAAATAAGTGGGCAGCAGGGTGCCCGCTGACCATTGCGGCCAGCAGACGTGATCTCGCCCCTCAATTCCGGATTGATCATTTCTGTACCCGCTTGCGCTTACCAGAGACCCTGTTCGCCTGGAGGAAGGTCATGTACTTCGCTAGTGCGGCTTACATTGAAGGGAAAGCGTGAATTGAAAGCAGACAGCCATCGGTAGCTATGAAGTCTGCTCGGACAGGCGCCTTGTGTCCAAGTGCCATCAGGGTCAGTGCTCAGATCTGCACGCAGGCCGATGCATTCCTCATCTGCAGTCACTGTGGCGAGGATAGCAGTTTGAGTCAGAGTAACACTGCTCTCTACATGCTTTCGTTGAAAGAAGTGGAAAGATTTCCAGGTAATGGCGGGGATCTTGTATAAATGATCACAGCTCTGCAGCTGTAGCCTCACCACATCATCCCAATCATGCGCCACCGTGCCCCAGCCACTTATCTTGCTTTGGCCTTTTTGAGGTCATGCCTGGGCGAGACACACACAGCAGTTGAGGTTTTTACCACGCTCACTACCGAGGTTACGACGAAAACGGAGACAGCTTATGTCTTTGACGCAGACTGTACGGAGGCAGACTTTGAGGACTCTCCGGTGACTTCCAGCACCGAGTCTGCGTCGAATGCGTCTCCAACTACCGTGCTCCTTCCTGCCATCCATTGGGACCAGGATACGAGTAGCATCGAGAACTTGCATCCCGTTCCAGCTGGTGAAACAGTTGCATTGTTCTACTCCGAAGGTGGATCATGTGGTAAGAGTGTCACGTTATCCTTGAATGGACAGTGGCTAATGCTGAGCCAGATCCAAACATGGAGGCTATGATAGCGTCTATGACGCCAGCCTTCAACTACACGGCCGTTGTCCTGGACCATTCAGACCATGTCAGCGACGTAGTGTTCCACTCAGGATCCGGGCATCTTAACATCCAGTTCGGGTCCCCGGAGGCCTATGATGCAGCTGTCAAAAGCTGGAACGAAACAAACTTGCTCCTCATCACAAACACACCGGGCTGTGGAAACTACGATGGCGGCGAGCGTTGTTACTTTGCCGTCACTACGCTCAACTTCGATCGGCCAAACCTGTCGGTTAGGGTGTCCGGCGACAATCAGATTTTTGCGGACATTGTTAACGACGTCACCTTCGAGTGGGGACTATGGCGGCCATCTGCATCTGCGACGGCGTCAACAGCAACCTCCACTTCAGAGCCAAGTTCCAGTGTATCATGTACTCCACCTGTGGACAATGAATATGGACTCCCAACAGCTTGCTTGGGCGACGACTTCGACCTCCAGCTCGACGATGCCCTTGGCTACGGTGATATGAGCGAGTTCGAATTTGCCGACTATGTGAACCTGACAGTTCCTGGAATCGACCAAGACGGCGACGAGAACTTCGAAAATTATCTAGTCGCACGTCAAGCTGTTTCGCTAGGGTTTCCCGGATTCTCAGTACAACTCAATCCACTCGCAGGACCGCCAATCTCCCCAGCCCCAGTTGGTATAACAACACAACAACTTTCGAAGGCTCTCCAAGGTCTTCCTATCATTGCGCAGCCAAACACTCGGCGATTTAGCTTCTCGATCCCCTCCGTCCAGCCGAGCGACTGCAGCGACAATTCGTGTACACCTGTCCAGGGCTCATTGGCAAAGATTCGTCAATCCCCGTGGGGAAAACAACTTCTGCTGTACAGCTGGGACTCGAGCAAGACGAACAACAAAGGTAAAAAGGGAAAAGCTTTCACCAAGGGCAAAGGCAAGAAGGCAAAAGAGTCCAGCTTTACGGGCTCACTGAATCTGTACTGCGTCGACTGCAGTGCCAAGGGATCATTTGCTGTTTCGGGCAAGACATCGTTTGTCAACATTTTAGGGGCGCTCCTAAGGCTGAGTAACGGCTGGGCTCAGGTCGACGTCTCAACCGAGTTGGCGCTGAAGCTTGGAGTTGAGGCCGAGCTCGAGTACGATTCAGGTCCCCTGAAGACGTCATTATTCCGGAAGTCGTTGAACCCGTATTCAGTTGCGGGTGCATTTGACGTCGGTCCCATCTTCGATGTTTCTGCCGCCTTCCAATTCAACGCCGTGGCCAGCGGGAAGGTGCTCGCCGGCGGAACGTTCACGTTGACGGATGCGTCGTGGCGAGTTGATCTCTCGACAGGGAAAACAACACTGAAAAAGAACTGGGACCCCATATTCAACCCGATCTTTGAGGCAGACGGAGATATTACTGCTTCGGCTGATGTCGGCTTGCCTGTATCCCTGAGTCTCGGTCTGAAAGCTTTGGGAGGGAAGTTTGATGCGACAGTTGGCATCACCGACACCCCATCGTTGACTGGCACTGCCCAAATCTCTGCCGAATTGTCATTGAATGAAGACAGGTCCATCACTCGCGGCCTGACAACACCGGGTGGCTGCCAAGGCATCTCAACTAAACTTACTTGGACAAATCGCGTTTTCGGCCATGCAACGGTAAAGATAATCAAGAATTTATTCAATGAAGAGTATGAGTTCCACAAGATATCGAAGGAACTTTTGACAAAGTGTATCAAGTAAGCTTCTTTAAATCCCGCTCCGGTAGCCTCACTGACACATGAAGGCTTGGCTCGCGGCCCCCAGCTGCCGATGAAGCAGCAGGCAACAATTCTCCATCGACCGAGCGTCCCGCTGTAGCTAACAGCAAACGCCAATCCGGCCCCCAGCTCGATCCGGATATTATACTTTACTCGGACCCTATGATCCAGCCTGTAGCCTACAGCACTACGGACGGCTTCGGATACGCGGGCGTGAACGTCTACGACGACAGCGGGAGCAGGAGCTCGCTCTTCAACTGCGCCGACGACAACTTCTACGTTGGCACTAGCGACGATGGCAGTTACTGCTCCTCCTTCTTCCGCTTCGGTAACGAAACGGCGCTGCTTACTGCCGACAACACTCTGCTCCACTACTACGGAAACACCATGGCCCGCCTCGGCGTCAGCCGGCTGCGCACCGCGCCGCCAGAATGGGTGCCTCGCAGCTCCATCTACGTGTATGGCCCCCTCCCCTCCATTAACGTTTCTGCCTCAGCTGATATGAAAATTCCCATCAATCAGAGCGCTCGCCCCCGCAGCCCCACTGGAGAATACTGAGAAGCGCGGATTGGTTGCTGTTGATGTGTCGGGCAACATATTCTTCCCGGTCGTGTGCAAGTATACGGACGATGCCCTGCCGAACAAGGTCTTCGTCGTCGAGGACCTCAAGAAGGGCATCGAGACGCTCAAGTCACCCAGCATCATCTACTCGATTACGAATGGAGCGGTCGCGGACTGCTGGCCGCTGGGCTTGGTTCGTGGCGATGATGGGGAAGGGCAGTACGTTGGCAGTGTGTACCAGGAGGATCCAGATGCATCGATATTCAATTCTGGAGACCTCCTTTAGAAGGAAGTCAGGCCACTTCTTAGCGCAGACGCGTGATGGTATTGAAGAGACGCAGCCTACAGAGTTGTAAGGCATTTCCAAACTGTACTTATATGAAAAGGACTATAGAAGCAGATACCATGAAATGTCCAGATATTTCGTGATATTCAATGAGCCTACAGCTCGGTTAATTTGCACTTTGTGTCCAACGAACATCAGTTCTCGCAAATATTCCTCAATCAACGATGTTCACTTCTCAAATGAACATATTACATGTGCACCATCAATTTCATTTAATTGACCACGAAGACCCTAGCTACCACGAACTACCTTCGTCTATATGAACAGCCGACGGGAAATTGTGCGGCACTTTTCGAATGACTGGCCGGTAAAGCCGTTTGGATAGACGAAGAAAGGCCGAGTCTCCCTACTCCACCTTGCATACGTTGTAGAGCCTTCCAGGGCCGTCGCAATGCCCGACCTAGTCACCGACGAGTCAATGAAGTTCTCGTAAACAAAACAAGAGAAATGGGACTGTCGACGACTTACACCCCTGGTATCGCAGCAAACAGCATCGGCGGGCGCATTACCCGGGCAAAGAGCTCCGTAGGCACCGGCAGGGCAGTCTTCGCGAGCCTGCAGGGTGGCAGGAGCGCTGGCAACGAGACCGGCAAAGAAGAAGATGATGGCAAAGCGCATTTTGGATGATAAGAGGATTCGATGAAGGTGAGGCTGAGGTGGGGAGCAAAGGAAGAAAAGAGGTCTCTTTAATAGCTCAACTTTGGACGCCGATCATTTCTCCATCAGCCCAGCAGGCCATCAAATCATCAGCTCATGCTTTTTAATGCCAAGAGGCTCCATTAGAAGCTCCGATGGGATGCTTCAAAGGGGATGCTACTTAACATGCGGGGTATAGGATGCATAAAGACCAAGAAGCGGATATTCATATTCGGCAGCTGGGTTGTTCGATAGTTCACTAATCTGGCCATAACAACACCACGACTGCAAGTACTACAGTGAAATTAAAATACTTCTATCGTCTAACGTGCCAGACTACTCAGTTTCAATCCCTCTCTCCAACGAAGAAGCGTCATGGTGCTTTTTCATCTCACGAATATGAGAACTAATGCTTGCTACTGATGTATAATCGCTTGATCATTTGATGGCACGGGCCGGGCTCCGAGGATATGCTGACACTAGGTACACAGAAGGCAGGTAAGATCGAGTGCTTGGTGCACCATCATTGGAGGTATTTAGCCTCTATAACGTGTGACGCCGTGGAAGCCGGATCGCGATCCCGGATTTGATGCAGGGATCAATGCGACCTCCCCACAAAAAGTCAGAACAGCAGAGTGAAAAATCGGATCTCGGAACAACAGTCAGCCGATGCCATGAGTGAAAGAAGAAGACTGCACGGACAGTCAATGGGGACCAAGCGCGCGCGAGGCATCGAACGTAGATAAAATGTGTGCGGAAATCCGTCTTGTGGTATATGTCCTTGCCAGCTAGGAGACTGCCAGCTAGGAAAATTTAGAAAGAATCCAGCTTGCTGATCTCGGATGCCTATCACCTAAAAGGTGTTCGGCTTATTGGTTTGTCTTTCTAAAAAAAAAAAGCTGAAGACGGTTGTGCAAAAGGAAAAAGACATTTAGCTATTAAACGAAAAAGTCTTTAGATCATACACGCTGTACACAAAAAAAAGTTTCCTGCGCCACAAAGCTCAGAAAGCGCTGCTGCCTGCTGCTTATCGTCACAAGCCAGCGTACGTGTGCCTCGCACTCCATACACTTAGTTGATTGGACACCGCTGGCGACCCCGCTTCTGACGTGGCGTAAGCTCAGCCTTGCTATGCACCTCAACAAAGCATTTGAGAATACAACTTACCTTCATGACTTGAACTCTCCTTTTACAGGACTATGCCTCAGCTGCCATGGATCCTGTTACCGTCACAGGTCTTATTGTCAGCGTCTCCCAACTGTTCGAATACACCGGAAAGATCGTCAAGTACGTCAACAACGTCAGGAACGCGCCCGCCGAGCGCAATGAAATCACCAAAGAGTGTGTCAGTCTTCTTGGCCAGCTCAACGACCTTAAATCCCGAGCGGAGACGACCGATCCAACCGATGCGTGGTTCGACGGCGTTCGGAAGTTGGCCTGCGGCGATGGACCACTCGAACAGTTCAAAGAATCATTAGAGAAGCTCGCAAAAGCTCTCAAACCTGCGAAGGGGGCCAAGAAATATGGCAAAATGATTTTGTGGCCGCTTTCGAAACAGGACACTCAGACTGCTCTCTCACACATTCATCGACTACAGACCCTGATAGCGGCGGCACTTACGCAAGACCACTTTAATTTGTCACTGGCTATCAAAGACAAGCTAGACGATATTTCGTCGGCCAACACGGGTAAACCATGTCGCTTTTATTGCTTCAGGCACAGCTGATGTGTGACCCAAGATATCAAACGGCAACAAGTTTTGGACTGGATTTCGAAGATTACATTCGCGTCAAAGCAACAAGACCACCTCAGGCGTCGTCAGGAAGGTACTGGGACGTGGTTCCTGAACGAGCCTTTGTTCCAGGGCTGGCTCCTCGGACACCCCAGTGTGCTCTGGTGTCCAGGTATCCCTGCAGCAGGCAAGACTATTTTAGCGTAAGTCCTATCAAGTATTTCCCCTTTTTAACATCGTCCTTACATGCCACAGCTCCGTCATAATCGACCACTTAGAGTCTCAAACTGAGAGACAGAATGCTCATGTCGCGTTCCTGTATTGCAATTACAAGGAACAAACCGAACACACAGCCCTGAATCTTGTCAAGAGCCTTGTGAGACAGATCGTCGAAAGACAGAGCACTATCTCACGCACAGTCAGCAATCTTTACAACAACTTCATGAAAACACAAAAGGCTCCGTCTATCGACGAATGGACAAAATGCCTTCTACATGAGGTTTCCAGTTTGGATCACATTTACATTGTGATTGATGCATTCGATGAATGCTCTGAAGTGAATCGAGCGCGACCAGGTCTCCTGTGCGAATTGCGCAAGGTTATCAAGGACCCACGAGTACGACTTCTCATCACTGCAAGACCAATGACACAAGTCGAAATCGACCCAGCCAGGACACAGACCTTGGAGATTCACGCAAATCCGGAAGATATTCGATTATATCTCGAAAACCAAATTGATCACGAGGAACGGTTGTCACGCATCATCAGACCCGATCCAGACCTACGGCAACGGATAGTCGGCACAGTAGTCTCCAAAGCCAATGGCATGTTTCTTGCGGCTGAGCTTCATCTCGCTTCGCTTGCCTCTAAGCATAGCCTCTCTAAAGTGCGCAAAGCTCTCGATACCATTCCCGAACATCTGGATGGCGTGTACAACGAAGCTATGCTCCGCATTGAGCAGCAAAACAAAGACGACGCAGAGCTAGCTGTACGCGTCTTAGCCTGGATTTCGTGTGCACAGCGACCGTTGAGGATCATCGAGTTACTCCAAGCTCTGGCCATGGATTTAGACGAGGACACGTTGGACCTGGAAGCTATGCCCGACGTTACAACGCTAGTCGACATCTGTGCTGGGTTGATCACTATTGATGAATCAAGCGACGTGATCAGGCTGGTCCATCTTACAACTCAAGACTATTTTCTACGTAGTCGGGCGACCCACTTTCCTCTAGCACACCGGGATATCGCAGGTACTTGTCTTGCATACCTCTCCATAAGAGAGTTCCAAAGTGGTTGTAGTCCCTCAAGGGATCTATTCTCCATCCGTCTCAGCAGATATCCGTTTTTCACTTATGCCGCACCTTACTGGGCAATACATCTGCGTGATGCAGAGGCCGACAGTTCTGTAGACGGTCCCCTGCGGGAGAAAGCTCTGGATCTGCTTACTAGCACAACTCTGTTTGGAAGCTCCTACCAAATGGAGTATATGCAGAGGAAGGGACTCTTCATCTCTCGAGACCCAAATGCATCCGCTCCGCTTCACTTCGCCATTGCTCGAGATTTGACATGGATAGCCCATGAGCTCATTCAAAGAGTACCTGACATCAATGCCTTGGATCATCATGGCCGTTTAGCCCTGGAGATAGCGGTGCATCGAAGGAATCACACAATTGTCCCTGACCTGCTTCAAGCCGGGACAATAGTTGACCGTAGAAACTTCTTTGGCCAGACCGTTCTTTATCAAGCCACTTTGGAGCAGCCCATCATAGCTGTGCAGATGGTGTTCCAAGAGATCCAAGACTCAGACGTCAAAAGCGCGCTTTGGCACACAGCTGTCAAAGATGCAGTGAAGGACAGAAATCTGGGAGCCATAAAGGATCTGATGCGTCTGGCTGACACTAACATCAAGGTTAGACGACTGTTTCACGAATTTCTAAGCGCCCTTGTCGCAAGAAATCTACAGCAGCAATGGTTTGTGGGAGAGATTCTGGAAAGCATGCCACAATCAACCCATATCTACCGACTTGATACAACAGCATTCGGCCCTCTTCTCTTCGGGTGGGAGACTAAAAGCAGTAATATGCCTGTTCTATTCGCCCGAGTGACCGAATCACACGTGCTCTTCTCCATGAGGCTAACCGAGAGTCTTAACAAAGGCTTCATGGACGAACTTGCCGAGTCATATGTTTTGGTTCTTCCGGATCATGGCAGTACTACTGGTTGTGTCGGCCTGGCCTTGCAGACTGAGCATTTTGATTGTGAATCCTGTACAGAAGATGATATGGCTGTTCGCAAAAGCGTCAATTACCACCGCATCCTAGAGACCGCCCAAATCTCTTCATTGTTGAAAACGCAATGCCAACCGTTCACACTGTTACACAGGCTTTCAGAATATCAAGATGAAGTATGGCGCATTGCCTTTTCACACGATGGCAAAAAGCTGGCAATTACCGGTCGATGTGGTGACATACTCATCTACGATACGAAGAACTACACTTCACTACAGCGCTTGAGGGAACACTCCAGTGGCATTGATGGCGATCCAATACCAGATTACCGCACGACCAATATCGCCTGGAGCCCTGACGACTCAAAGATCTTGGCAACATACCAGGATGATATGGCTCGTGTCTGGGATGTTCAAGTAAATTCCACCCTTTCAGTTCAAAAAAAAAAAAAAGCTTACTGACTCATTACTCAGAAGTCCACCACGATGACAGTTCTCCGCGGTTTTGATGCCCCTCCAACCTCTGGCGATTGGGATCCCACACAGGGTTCAACACTCATTGTCGGATCACAAGACAGTGTGCATGGTTTGAGGTCCTGGACCGAGTCGGGGTCCGTAAGTGATGAATGGGGCGAAAACTACCGGACCAACGGACTCAGAGTGAGCGAAGATGGTCAGACTCTCGTGACGATCACCGACTGCAGCCTTCACAAGTACCGTATGGAAACAAAAGAAAAGATCGGGGAGTTGGCTGTCGATGGGGCAAGCCTAATAAGCGTTGACATGACGAAGGACTCTCGACATATCCTTCTGAACAATGGTGGTACAAATCCTTGTCTAATAATGATCGACTCTGAGAGCTATGAAGTGGTCAGGGCATTTCATGGTCCATCCCATAAATGGTTCATCATCCGCGGTGCTTTTGGTGGACCCAATGACGAATATGTGCTTAGTGGCAGCGAAGGCATGTAATGAGACTTTTAGTCTGGGTCTTGCGCTGATCGATATCACAGATGGCCGTGTCTTCGTTTGGGATAGGGAAGCGAGGCTCCTGGCGATACTTGAGCACTCTCTGAGCGAATGCGTCAATGATGTCTCGTGGCATCCCAATGACCCCACAATATTTGCCTCTGGAGGTGACGACGGAACTCTCTGCATGTAAGACAAAGCCAAATCTCCCAATGTGACTTGATATTAACACGAGAGGCAGCTGGAAAAAGTCCATATGACGAACGAGATTGACTTCATTATACAAATAGATTTGCAGAGTTAGGATGGGAGAGGTCGGGAATTTCACTCATGGTCCCCTGCAAAGAATACAGTATGGCATCCACAGTTACGTGGGGAATGGTTAGTCTGGGGTACATTATGAAAGAATCATTTAGTGTCGTTCATGGCGTCAAGGATCAAATTGAATAGCGACTTAATACCGAAATTATGGAACAACACTACTGAAATATCTTCTGCCAGGGACCCTCAAGAATTCCCTCCGAGTCCATATCGTAGTACCCCCTCGGTGCCTGCTTGACCAAGCTCCTAGCCAGAACGCACAGTGCCCGCCCATTCATCTCGCGGTCGCTCACGATACGCAGCAGACACTGCCCCGCGTCTTCACCGGACGCCAGCGCAATACCATTCGCGTCGAGGTGTTCAATCAGCTGCGGCGGAACCAGCGCCGTCCTGAGGAACCTGTGTCACGAAAAATAAGCAGCCGCCCGTCAGCATGCACTCAGCCACGCCATCGAGGCAATGCGCATAAGGTAAGGTTGGAAATTACTCACGAAGGACAAATCGTATTCACCCTCGTCCCATGCGCGCCAACAACCCGCCTCAGCGACCTCATCAGCCCACGCACCGCCCACTTCCCCGACGCATACTGGCAAAACGTCGACGCATCCAAATACGCCGCGATGGACCCCTGCAGCACGAGACTCGTCTCGGGCGGCGGGGCACCGTCGGCGAGGGCAGCCGCGTGCTGGCGGCGGAAGCAGTGCAGGGCAAGCTTGGTCGTGTAGAGAACGCCCTTGTAGTTGACGTCGACCATGGCGAGCGAGGGCTCAGCGGGCTCCGCGTCGAGAGATTCTTCGTTGGTCGCGAAGATGCTGTCGACGCTGGTGCTGATGCCGGCGTTGGCGACGACGATGTGGATGAGCGAGGTTGGCGAGAAGGTGCGCGCGGCGCGGAAGAGGGCGACTTGGTCCGGCCATTGGGTGACGTCGCATTTGGCGAAGTGGAGTTGGCTGGGGGCGTTGTTAGAATTTGGGGTAATGGGTTTCAGCTGGGGGCAGGTACGTACTCTGGGAACTCGGAGACTAGCTTTTCGGCTGGTTTGGAGGCGATGTCGCCGATGACGACGTATGCGCTATGATTTGAACGTTAGATTCGTTCTGGAAATGTTATATTATTTTCCGAGTGGATGCCTTACCCCGCATTAACGAGAGCTCTGACGTAGGATTCTCCGATTCCTTGCGCCCCTGCATAAACGGTCAACCAAGTGAAATACGGAGTGCCTTTATGTACTCACCGCCAGTGACAATCGCAGTTTTCCCGCGAACCGCACCGACATCGAAATCCGTGTTGCAATCAACCAGTGATGAAGCCATTGTTTTAGAAGATAGGAGAGATTATTTTCCTAGAGCTGACACCATCTTTGCTGAGAACTAACCTCCTGGTTTTATGTTTGACGCTGAGCTGAAAATCTCGGACTTCCCCACATTGGATACCGTAGCCAATAAAGCCAGAGCCACGGGTAGCTTACTAGAACTTAATAGCGACTATAGGTAGAGATTCCTTCGCGCGGCCCCTGCATCAACGCCTCAGCCCTAGTCCACGTGAGATCCCATCCAACCCCGCCCGCCTGAAAGTGGCCCCCACCCCCGCTTCTACCACCACACTACATTGTCGCGACACCATACAAATCGATCTGCGGCCACTTATTGGCATGTAGTGGGGAGTATGGCACTATACTTAAAAGAAAATACCCTAAAGGCATTGAATTGAGGTCGAGGCAAGTATGCCCCAGGCAAAAGTGGATGGATTATCCTTCAGGAAAGTGTTCCCCGCACGTAGCCGAAAATCTATGAGGAAAGTGCAACCCGGGCATCAATTGCTTCGTGTATGAGCACCAGATTTATTTAAGCAGTATCTATCGCCGTCCATACCAATAATACTTAATCATATAACGGCTGAAGCAAGAAAGAAAAATCAAGCACTACACAGAAACGCCACAATTACCATAATGGACGTACCAGGCTTCGCATTGATCACGGGAGCAGCCTCAGGCATCGGAAGAGCATGCGCGAAAGGCTTCGCAGCCGAAGGCTCCGCCGGCATCGCCCTACTCGACATCAACCAAGAAGCCTTAGCAGCCGTCAAGCAAGAAATCGAGAACGAAATCATAAAGCCGAACGGCAAGCCGTGCCAAATCGAAACCTACACCATCGACATCTCCAACGAAGACCAAGTCATCCAAGTCGTCAACTCCGTCGCCCAAAAGTTCGGCCGCCTCGACTACGCCGTCAACGCCGCCGGCATCGCCATGAAACACGAGGGCGGCGCCGCCTTCGCCAAAACACCCGACTGGCAGCGCATCATGGACATCAACCTCAACGGCACCTTCTACGTCCTCAAAGCCGCGGCGCAGATCATGCTGAAGCAGGAGCCCATCCTGTCGTCCATCGACGGCAGGCCGCTGCAGCGCGGGTCCATCGTCAATTTCGGATCTATTCAGAGCGTCGTCGGCATCACGCTGTCGGCGGCGTATACGACGACGAAGCACGCGGTTATTGGGCTGACGCGGACGGCGTCGGAGGATTACGCGAACAAGGGGCTGCGCATCAATGCTGTTTGCCCGGGTTACACGGAGACGCCGCTGACGACGAAGAATCCTGATGTTGCGAAGGCTATGGCGGAGAGGGTTATGACGGCGGTGCCGATGCAGCGTATGGGGAATCCCAAGGAAATTGCTGATGGTGTGCTGTACCTGGCTGGTGGAAGGAGCTCTTTTGTCACTGGCTCCGCGCTTATGGTTGATGGAGGTTACACTTCCAGGTAGTGGAACGTTTATTGGAAAATGAGATGCTCACTTGTGAAACGCTTCTTGGCAATTGACTGATTCAATACCTCTCTTATGATAAATTCCTCGCACATGCATGCAGACAGCTGTTGAGTATATCTGTATTCCTATCAAGATAAGACAAGCCGGGCTTACGAGACGATCCCCCGCAATTGGCTTATCTTATCATGTCCTGCCAAGTGTGAGCCTGTCAGCTGTCAACTGCTTTGTCACCATCGTGCAACCTGAAAAGTTTGTTCTGTTCAGCCGCGTAAGCAAGGAACCATCTTTGCAACTCCGATCACTTACAACCCGCGGTGAGGGTACCACGAATGGATCACTTCGAAAGCCTCGACCAATTTCGATACGGCGACGCACCCTTACGGCCAATACGTTGGCTTGGTTATGACCACGCTAGTCATCCTCCATGCAGCTTCAAAGACTATCTTCTCAATCGTGGACTGTGCCATGTAGATTTGGAAGCGCTCAAGTCAACGAAGGTTGACAGCGATTTTGTATGCAACTTTCTACCGATGCTGCAAAGCTGGCTCTTCATCGGTGCTTTGGAGTTCATTGCAGGACGCCGAATACCTGAAAGCGACTTTTTGCGAACAAGGCTGAACAAACCAGTTGTTTCCACACGCTTCATTGCACCTCTACTAGATACATGGGAGAAGTCCACACAAGATTTACCATTGCCACGACGCGAGGTTTGGAACGACGATGTGCGGGAGATCCTGTCAGAAATTCAGTTCTGGTGCTTCAAGCTCGCGTCTTCAGACCTGGCGCTCAACGATTCCAACGGAACGCAATCTCCCCCGACAGAGCTTGACGCTACATGCAGGCTATTGACGTTGACCGGAGAGGCCATCAACACAGCAAGAACTTACCTTCACACGCCAATGCTACCTAACGCAAAAGGATTTGCCGGAGCATACACCCCTTTAGAGGAGAGAAGACTTGTTGCTCGCCTCGTCAAGGTTGGCTGGTGTCCATTCATGGCACGGATGCTGAACACGTATCGATATTCGGTTGCCGAATATGCATCATTCTGGAACAAATTAGAGCCAAAATTCGGCAGGAGTCACAGTCAATGTTCTCCTGAACAATGCGTGGCATACGATATAGATACATCAACCTACCAGCCACGACACGAAATTTTGGGCTGCACATGTGCATACGTTTCACCTCCCATGGAAGAAATAACAAAGCGGCTTCATGCCGGAAGCATCCCCATCATTACTCTTCGGAATCAATCAAGCACAGGCAAGGAGCAAATCCACCTGGATGTCTTGGACGGCACAGACTCCGAGGGAGGGTTTGCTGCAATTTCGCATGTTTGGTCAGATGGTATTGGGAGCAATTCAGAACGTGGTCTGCCTTCCTGCGTTATTGAGAGCCTGTTCATCCGAGCGAAAGCCTACGGACAAAGCTGCATCTGGATTGACTCCTTGTGTGTTCCTGCCGAACCCGGCACACGCTCAAAGGCAATCCAGCTCATGGCCAAAACATATCGAGACGCGGCAATCACCTTGGTCCTTGATTCGCAGATCAGACGCATTCACTTTGGGCTTAGTTCTGCCTCCATCGAAAGACTGCTCCTAATGCTAGTCACGTCTCCATGGATGCAGCGGCTTTGGACACTTCAAGAGGCAGTTCTCTCGGGATCTCTCGTGTTTCAGTTCCAGAACACCATGGCCTCTGCTGCAGAGATCTATATCGGACTCCACAGGATTTTTCAAAGCCGCCTCAACCCTGTTACTCAGGTTCTGGGCAACGAGTTTCACCGACTTCTCCAATCATCTTCCGTCATGGCTGGTGTCCCCGAAGAACAAAGGACGCTTGAGCTTGGACACGTCTCCCGCATGCTCAGGATACGATCAACTTCAAAGGCACGAGATGAAGCAATTGTCATTGCAGGGTTGCTGGATGTCGATGTGGGCCCCATGCTCAAAACGCATGACCCAGAGGCGCGCATGCGCATTCTGTATAAGACATTGAAGAAGGTGCCAAGCGATATCATCTTTGGTAGCAAGAAAAGGATGGAAGGCCAAGGATTTCTCTGGGCTCCCACGTCATTCTTAATGAATGAAACTACGTCTTCTGATAGATGGAGTCTTACCATGAGCCCAAGCGCTCAGTGGGCGGAAGTACTAGATGAAGGAGGGTTAAGAGGGAAGTATGTTGTGACTCAGCTCTCGAGCACTGTATGTGTCGAGTACGGAGATGCTGTTACACTCCGCTTAGGGGACAGATTGATGAAAGTGACAAAATCGACCTTCAGATCTACAGCGAATAGCGACTCGATTGAGTTTGACAGTTTCGCAATGCTTCCGCATCTTGGTGGGTATGAGAGCATGAAGCTTGCTGTTGCGTTGTTGCATCATGGAAAAGGCATAAAAGGCGATGTCTATGAATACAGGGGCAGGTTATTGGTGGGAGATTTGGAGGTCTACAAACACCCGGAAGAGGAGAATAAGAACGTCATTGATGCGTGGACTCACGACGCAGGGGACTATAGGGATATAGTGATTGTTTAGATGGAGCAAACGAAACGCTCCTTTGCTTGTTCATTTAGTATTTTTTTATGAAGAATCAACAAGTCTTTTTAAGAAGTGTATTTGCGTTTCATAGGGACTTGAGCAGCAAAAGAAACCGGAAAATAGGCACACTGATTTACTTACACAAAATTGTGGCAGAGTGGAGAGGGCTTTTGTCAAATATCATTTCTACTACCACAGTTCGGCTCCGCGCTAATGGCTGATGAAAAATGCACTTGCTAGAAGTAGACGCGGGGGAGATTGAGCACAACTGAGGATGATGATTGAGTTGGGGATGCTCATGAGAGGACTCTATCTAGACCCGTTCTATCTATGCCATTTAACCTTTTAATCCCTTTTTCCAATCTATGGCATTCTGACAGCACGGGTGGTCGTGAAGTCATCGTCCTCTTCCTTCCCAACTGATTCTCAAACTATGTCTCAACACTTAATCTTGCCATCCTGATACCTTCAATAAGTCCCAATATCAACGCCAAAGCCCAAAACTCCGAAGTGTGATTGACACGTCCGATCAGAATTCCAGGTCCTTGTTGCTGCAGCCACCACCACAACCATTCTGCTGCTGCATGTCCGACCTGCCCCAGTCATAAACACCACCTCGGTCAACGAACGACTTCTTGTCCCAAACCACCTGCTTCATGGCTTCCTTGACGCCGACTTTGAGAATGGACTCGCTCTTCGTCATGACGCCTTCTCCCTTGTCGAGGAAACACATGTACTCATCGAGAAGCAGGTAGCTGCCGGCCATCGTCTGATTATCCTCAGGAACACAGCACGGAAGATGTTTGTGGCGGTCACAGAAGGTGCGCCACTGTTCGTCCGTCACCAAGAAAGTCCGCGCATCCCGCTTCCTCGTCTCGTCGTCGTTCTCGCCAGCCACGATGAGACACTGAAAGACCTTCCAGCGGAACGGCGCGAGGCGCTCGATATTAGCAACCATGTCCTCGTCCCAGTTGTACGTGTTGACAACGGTGTTGAGCTTGAACTTGACGCCGAACTTCCTGCACCAGTCCGCAATGCGGAACAGCCGTGCCACATTCCCGCCGTCGTCGCCGCGGCCGATCTTCTTGTTCGTCTCCGCGTGGAACGAGTCACACGACACGGCCAAGATGTCCAGCCACTGGCAGTTTTCGCGCATCCATTTCTCCGTGATCTTGCTGCCGTTGCTGACGATGCTGATGCTTTCCACGCTCAGCTCCTCTTTGCAGTAGCGGAGGAGCTCAGTGAGGAGGCGCGAGTAAAGGAAGGGCTCGCCGCCCGCGATGTTCAGCTTGCGCATGCCGGCCTCTTTGAGCAGGCGGAGACCGCGCTTCGCCTCGTCGATGGGGAGGACGTAGGACGACGTGTCCATGTGGAAGCAGAAGCCACACGTGTAGTTGCATTTGCGGGACGGGAAGTAGTTGACGGAGACTGGGGCGTTGGGGTCCGCGGGTGGGTTGTTGATAGCGCTTGGGTTGGAGTGCTTGGTCAACGTAACAACGGCGAGGAGGATGGCGATAAAGAGCCATGAGGCCGTCGGTACGCTTGTCAGAAGAGAATTGAGAGCCATAACTTGGTGCCCCGATGCGGCGGCCGATCAGTGATTCGAGCTTGGCTACTTCGCCGGTGTAGCCTCGGGCGTTGGTGTTGACGGCGGGCCGCAGAGGTTGAGGTTCAGAGGCGAATATCACTGCCCGACGTGGTCACTTAAAAAAAGCGGCATGCTTGATTGACTTAGGCACGTGCACCTGACCACCTGCGGCATACTTGTTTGTCAAATGACGTCTGGTGCTTTCTCTGGTCATGCGCATCTGAAAACATCAAACTTCCGCTCGTGGTGTGGCGATAAAGAGCCAGCACCACCTGCTCACTTTGACACAACCCACGCTAGGACCATCATCTGCATCCCAGCACTATTGACTTCGAGGCCTATCGACACCATGCAGACGCCTCCCACCATCCCCATGCTCCGTAACTTTGCCGTGATCTTCGTCCTTGGTGCGTGCGCTTAGACCCTCAACCACATTTTGGACCTGCTCTAACAGTTTTTCAAGGGCCACCTGGCGCCGGAAAAGGCACACTCTGCACCCACCTCGCCCAAACCCACAACCTGAAGCACTACTCGGTCGGCGATAGTCTCCGCAGTTGGATGCGCGAAAACCGTACCGCACCACTTGCAGTCCAAATCCAGGACAAGCTTGACGACCAGGGCTTCCTCGACTCTGACGATCTGAACCCGTTCATCCTCCAGGCAATCAAGGATGCCCTCTATCAAGCGGAGCCGGAATTACAGGGCATTCTCATCGATGGGTTTCCACGATGCGCAGGGCAGCTAGAAGGCTTCCTCACATGGCCGTTCATCATCGAACTACCACTCGTTCCGAGCTATCAAGGCGCGGTGATGCCAATTGCAAAGCCGGATATCGTGCTTTGTTTCAGCGTCACCAAGGAGAATGCGAGAGCGAGGTATCTGGCCCGAACGCGGGATAGCAATGACAGCGAAGAGAAGTTCGAAAGGCGTTTCGCGGAGTATGAGGACAAGACTGTGTATGTTGAAGAAGTCTATCGGCAGCGCCGCAAACTGATCGATGTGAGTATCAAATAGTCTACGTTGAGAGTGAAATGCTAACGAGCGTAGATTGATTCAAACGGAACAAGGGAGGAAAACGTCGATACGATGACGAAGACACTCGGAGAGAGCAGACTATGGCAGAAGATCATGGTTGAAGGGAGGTCAGAAGCGCATTTTCTCGTGTAAAGGGCATGAATAAGAGAAGCATCGGTAGTGTGGTACTACCTCATGTTCGCGTGCCAGGGGTGTCACTTGCTCAAGGTTTCACAGAGCGCTGAAATGGAGAGGTTTTTCTTATCATCATATTTGTGAAGCATAAATAACAAAGAAGGGACGGCGTTGCGTGGTACTTTGGGGAATTACACAAGGCGGGGCTTATGGAGGTTAGCTTCATCAAAAAGGCAACTCCATCCGGATGTACACCGGCTGAACGCCTAACCTGGCCACCAAATACCGGCATTTTGCGGAAGGCTTGCGCAATCCCTAGCAAGCCATAACGTATTTTGATGAGGGAGATGGTGATCGCGATAGGCTTGTAGGAACCGTAGGCCCTGGAACTCCTCGCAAATAGAAACTGACACTTCATTTACGTTCAACATAAATGATCATTGGCCTTTACGACTTCCTTTCCTGCGTGGCTGGTGGTACTAAGCATAGGCGCTAAGGCAGCCACTAGCACGTCAGAAACAACGCATGAAACAAGTTCATCCCAAGATGGCCAAGTCATTCTCTGAAGGATTTGTACTTCCCACAACCGCCCGTTTCAACGTGTATATATAGTCAGACTGTTGGCGCCCCGAGGTTACTGGACTGCAAAGAGGATCAACGTAATCTCCACCCCGTTCGATATTCTTCGCCATTGATGAGGGATGTGTTTGGGCCAGCCATAATTTCCTTAAATACCCTTGTGAAAATCTCCATCATTTCAAGATCTCTCACAGCGGTGAAGCTAATCTCCACCATAAATTTGCTTTCATAGACCATCTATTCCTTCTCACAATGCGACTTCTCACGGCTTTCTCGGCCACCCTATCCACAACTGCAGCAGTTGCTGTGGGCGCACGAGCAGTAACGCCAATCGCTGCCTCTGACCATGCTACAACGCCTACCAAGCTCACCTCTGCTCTACCAACCGGTGATCTCCCAGACCCGGCAACATTCAAGGCCCAGAACGGCACCAAATGGAAAATCGAATACGTCGGCAACCTCCAGTTCTCCGGCGCCCCTGGCACGGAAGGGCTGGGTGGCGATAAGTGCCGCAGCAGCGTGTTCGGCGACAAAGTCATCTGGAACTGCGGCGACATGGAGTGCGCCGGTGACTGGCGAGTCTGTGGGTTCTCCATGGGGTGAGTCCTCTTCCTTGCTCATCCGCGCCCCCGCATCCACGCGGAGCTGATGCACCTCGTCCCAGCCCTGCCTTCTACGGTACCGATTCAGTTATGGTAGTCAACACCACGGGGATCGCCCTGGTACAGGACAACGACTTCGCCACTGCGTGGTCCGGCGACCCCGCGCCGCAAGCACCGCAGACAGCGTGGGGCATGGACACGTCGAACGTCGCTGCCATCAATGACACCCACGGCATCGCATACGCCTGGGAGATCTGGCGCGGTGCTCCCGACGGATCCTTCGTCGACCGCGGCAATGCTGTTGTGGCCGTCACGCTCGGGGAGACCAAGCCCATAGCCACGCGCCTGGGGCCATTGCTCAGCGGCCCGGATGCCGTGCAGATGGGCCTTCTGGCAATCCTGCGTGATGGCGACCACATCTACAGTTACTCGATGGGCGGCCCGTCCGGCATTATGGTGAGCCGCGTGACCGCGTCGGATGATGCGTTTGATGCTGCGAAATACGAGTTCTTGGTGGCCGGGGGAAGCGACAGCCCAACGTGGAAGATACCTGGCATTATCCCTGCCCCGACATCGACGGAGTATGGGATGCAGACGGCGAACGCGGATGGCAAGTTTGGCTGTAACGTGTACGGCTCCGTATTCTACTCGAACTACTTGCGCAAATACACCATCATCTGTTCCGCGTACATGCATTTTACGAACATGTATGTGGCTGATCAGCCATGGGGTCCGTGGAGTGCGGAGTATGGATTGCTGGAAGGGTGGGGCGCTGGGTACGGGAGCCACGCTCATCCGGAGTACTCACCAGGCGGATCGCATAAGGAGCTTTACTTCTCACAGGGACCGGATGGGCCGTTCAATATGTTTAAAGCAACTTTCGATTTTTGACTCATCTAGAATATTTATTGAACGTCTTATTTCAACAGATTCGCGCTGCGTAACGATATTATTGTCTCAAATTTCTTTCAATCGCCTATTGAGTGGGCTCTTCAAGCTTTATACGCATCATGATATTGCATTTGTCCCCCTGATTCCCGACTCAACTCTGCTTTGAACAAAAGGACTAACCGAGATGAGTTGTGCACTATCGTTCTAGGAAATAGTAACTGGTGTACCAGGAGGGTGGAGACCTATGTTCTTCCCCATGAAATTTGCCACCCCAACGCGTTCCCACGTATAGTCGTCTAACTTGGCTATGATCAGTACGTAATGCATCTTTAGGTCTTCGTTCTCTCCGGACTTCGATCTACCGATGACAACACACTTCAACTCTTGCTCCTCTGGTCTGGTTCCTCTATCGTAAATGATCGTGCCTTGTGCTGAGCTGTCAAACTCACGCGCTACAACTGTAAGCTTTTTACCACTCGCCCGATCCGCCGTATGCCACGATGACCGTTGAAGAAGCTTCTGGTCCCAAGGCGACCGGACCTCTTCCCTCTCCCAATTCACTTCGTTGAACGGGGCGTCCAAGTAGTCGATACCGCCCTGATTCAACATCCAAGACCACGATGGTACCTCACTACCAGGGCTAAACTGGATTTTTGTCATTGATGCCACACCTGCGCCACGCATCCACAGTAGGCTTCTTCCCAGATAGCTGCCATGTCCGGGCTTGTGGCTATCGATGATTCCAAATCCTCCATGAACCCCGAGGGCGCGAATCAATCTCTTCTCCAGTCCAGCGATCGCCACTGGTCTGTCTGTACTTACAGATAGTGCCAATCTGGAGTATTGCCTGTAAAAGTCCTCAAAGAACGCAATTATTCCACCCTTGGATTGGTTCCTTGCAACTTTGGGCAACTCCGGATCTCCGAACAGTTCTGCCTTGCTGCTGTATGGTCGTAAGTTCGAGTAGCATATAACGGTCTTTTGGTGGCTTACTTGTTCATCTTCGTAAGAGTTTCGCACCGAATCCCATCACCACACTCCCAATACATCTGCTCCTGCGTGAAGTGAATTGTTCTTCGTGCTAAAGCTCTTTCTTGATCTACCCAGCCTCGCCTGTTTAGATCCGCTTGAGTAACGTGCTAATCGAAGTCGTCAATAGCTTCGCATACGTAAAAGCAGTTTTCTGAGCCATCTGGAAACGTCACGAAGCTTCGCGAAGATGGTCGTTTTAGGAATCCATCTGCGGTACCCGAAGCTCTAGTTGCAGCAATTACACAGTATGCGCAGCTGAATACGTCTTCCATGCGCTTCGCTTCGTCACTCCAGTCTCCATCACTTCCTTGAATAATGCAAATTGAATCAATCCACAGGTACCGTATGCCGAGTTTCCTGGTAACAATGACAGCATCTCTGAAGGTCACTGGTAGATCCATAATGTGAATACCCCGCATGCGGATATCGATATTTTCTTGGTTCGTCGAAAATGGTGGATTTATGTCTGTGTTTCCCCATCGATGGGACAGCGCAACGTATTTTCCACGGCAGCCCTGCGTCTCACATAGTCTCACTATCTTTGGATCATCTGATCCTACATCGATTACTCTTGTTGGCAACATCGTGGGGGCACGAGGAGAACAAGTGTGATGGTGATCACAGTGTTTCAGCCATTGGCGAATGACCTTGAAACGTGGTGCGTCTCCTTCCTGTGGTAGGCCTGGGAAGCCAATTTGAATGTCATTCAAAGGCTTCGAGATATTTAGATCCCGACATATGGACAGGGCAGGACGGTCAATGTCTCGGATCCGCAATGTCGAGCAATCCCGATACAGCGTAGCCTGTCCGGTAACATCCAATCGTCTAAAAGCTTGACTCATGAGGAGGCAGAAGTCACACTGCTGGGCTCTTTTGCAGACACTGGCTACATCTGCTTCTAGCCGAAAGTACGGATCCGAAAGACCTAGGTTCTGGCAACAATGGCAAAGATTTTCGCTCTTCGATCGAGGGGGTACAATGCAGTCTGGTTTGAGGTCGTGGAAGATCTCAATCGCAAAATCATTATCGACGATAAACACCCAAGTGTCAGTCAACGCCTGATAATATGTAAGTAAAATAACCATTGACTACCTTGGAACGAGTCCCAGGGTGTGGAATGTCAAGTAATGCGGCTACTCTTGAGTATTGCTACGTACATGCGCATATTGGGTATTCAATTGCGGAACTGCAATGCTCGTCTCTTCGTAAGGAGTGGAATCATCAGGTGAAACGACAACCGTTGGCACCCCTCCAGGGGGTACCGCTAGATGCTGACTGGTCTGGCTCGGGGGTACGACATTCTCTCGACTCGCGCCCGTGAATAAGTAGTTTTGATTGTTCCTCCCCTGGCTTAAAATTCTCCCCAGCTCTTTCTTGAGTTGAGATGCAGTTGCGCGGCACCCTGTGGTACTTTCACCGCTTTCAGAGCCGCTCCCACTTTCACCAATATTGTCTTTCTCATCAGTCCTAACGACGAGGAGCCTCATTTTGACAAGGTTGAGTAAATCACTGAGAGCACTTTTCTTGCCATTGACGAATTCTGGATCTTCCTCTTGAATAGCTTGCATCCAGTCCTTGACAACGTTGTTCACATCGAAGTTGCCGTCGATTGCGAGTTTGTAGAAATTTGTCCCGTTGAAATCTTGCTGGATGCCGTCGCCCATGATGGATCCATCTCGTGTTTCCTTTCTAAACATCCTCAGTCCTTTATGACCATACAAAAGCCATATGACAAGTTCCAGGACGATACATCCCATTAACCATACATGGTAAAGGCGACTTCTTGGTTGGGACTTGGCCCTCACGGGGTGACCCTCGGGACTCTCGTACATCATGGTACCGAATCTCATACTAGTTAGTCCTACCCGATCTCGAGTGGCCATCGTGTGGTGTCTGGCTAGGCCAAGATCCGCGATCTGAAGTGTTCCCAGTTTCTCCGGCTGATCGGAACACCTGAGCCTCAAAATGTTCTCAGGTTTGAGATGTCCGTGACGATAGTGGCCAGCGTCAATCGTTCTTGAATCCCCGCCCAAGTTGTCCGTGTTGGATTTGATGGCCTTCGATTCGCCACTTCCATCGCCGTGCAGACAGACAAGCGCATCAGCAAGGCCATGGAGCTGTTCCAAGACGTCTTGAATGAGCTGTGGACTAAGAGCTGGTACTGGAACCGTTTCCCAGAAGTTTTCAAGACTGCCTCCGTCTGCCCATTCGAAGACGAGATAGTACTTCTTGTCTCTTTGAAAGGCGGCAATGGCGCTGGTTAAATGTTTGTGCTGGTGCCTCCTCGTACCAGTCAGTGCACTCAGTTCCTGCTCCCACGCTGTTTTGGGATCTGGATAACTTGTGTCTTGCGATGGTTGTAGTTCTTTGATGGCAACAAGAAGTCCGAGTCCATCCTAAAAGCACACGGAATTAACATTATGCCACCATTCTTTCATGGGTGCTCATACTTTTGAGATGATTTCATGGTGGTCGGGATGTATTCTGGCCTTTTGAACTCTGCTGAATCCTCCAACAGGATTCTTGCTACGATCAGGCTCAATCCAGTCAAATGGTAGGATGGCGCTGGGAGCGAGATCATGCCCGAACTCAGACGCACTGAACACAGGTGCTAAAAATGACCATCGTTGATCGAAGAAGCCCTGGACGGCGGCCATGTCCCATAACTCCTTGTTGTGGAGAACGTTGAATAAATCGTCATGCACACATTCGATGTCACCTGCGGATACACATTGAGGTTCGTATCCATCAGCCAGACGTGTGTCATCCAAGCCTTTTTCATGGAAGGAGTCCATGATTGCGACGAGTTCTTTGTTCGACTTTCTGCTGGCCTTCAACACCGTCGCGAAAAGCTTTGTTGCTTTATTGTTCACGAATTCAATTAGGGCTTGTGATGCCCCCAGCAATGCCGCTCTCGTGTTTTTTTCAGAGAAGATCGAAAGGAAGCACTTCTCTGGGAGGAATCTTTTATTGTCCAGTTTGCTCATCACTAAACACTTAGTGATTTTGTCCAATAGTTGAGGATCCTCAGCGGCTTCTGAAGAACGCGACTCTACGAGAATTCAGCCAAGTATTGCTAGTGCGGGGGAAGTAAAGTACCTTTGTCATCTTTTGCGTCTGAGCCTCCCCACACCAATGATAGAATCATTCCGATGATTGCTGTGATACCGAACATAAAGAAATGATTTACGGAGCTGTTGAAGAGTACAGGTATGAGCTGAGAGCTCGCTGTATAACTGGGTAAGGCTGTTCAAATAATATAGTGATCATTCACATGCGACTGTAAGGCCAGCATGGCACAGTCCCTGGGTGCTACGAATCAGTTGAAACTCCCGTCATCCTCTATGATTCAGCGAGTATAATTAGAACGTGTGGGTAAGCGTTGAGGGGAAATGAGGACGTGTGTTGTAGTAGTTGGTCAGGAAAAGAGGGGAAACAAGCGCCTCACCATGCTGTCCAAAACGCGGCAGTGCGTCGTCTCTGAAGCTCTTTGGTTGATTGGAAGCGATAGCAGCGTGGCGCCAACACACAACCAATGGGTATCAATAATCTCAAGCCTGCCTTGCGAGGCTGTGGGTGGCGAAGCTGGCCAGATCCTATTTTACCAGGGCCGTCGTCCACCAACTCGAGCGTGATGAGAGCGTAGGATTCCGGGATATCGCTTGGTGCGCAGCTTCGGTGGGATGAAACTCACTGCTTCAATGAAGCGAGGCCATCTAGATTTGTTGGTTGAAGCCTTTTCTCACTTTACCCTTGCAGGACTTTACGGCCACAGTCACTTCACTGCCCATTCATTCGTTGATGAGATCTCCGTTCACGTTAGCGGTAACGAACTACTTCATTCTCATCATCCACCTGTCCTGAACGTAGAATTCCTACATTTGCTTCAGCAAAGAGAGCTTTGACCTCGCTTGCTTTGAGGCGAGCTATTTCGTAGCCGAACATCCGATTTAGCCGTTCAGCGACGAACAGCCAATGCGATTTTCGCAAAATAAATGCTGTGTAACGTAAGCGGTGGCCATCTTCAGCGGGGTTTGGTAGTTGGGTCATGCATGGAGATTTGTAATCGATGATATGCACCCTCGTTCTGATTAGTTCGTCGAGATTAATAATAATTCTATTGGCGATGGTGCCCGATTTATCGCATCGGATGAAGACTTGGTGTGAAGAATCTTTGCGTTCATTCGCCTACATAAGCGATCAGATGCTGCTCGAATCTCAGCCTCATTGATGCAGCAGGACCGGTCCGGCCCATTGCCTTGGCGACAAAGATCCGCACCGATACCCCGCACGAACAGATTTCAAAGCTTTCTCTGCATATTCAGGCAATTTAACTAAGATGTTTGGTGCGTCTACTAAGGTATCCGCATATTCTATCGGTCGACAAACACATTTCCGCAGTGGATGAACCACTGCCGTGATACCCACGTGTAACATTATTCCTATTTCGGCTAGAAAGACAAGGCTGAGGCGGAACGTGATTGAAGATCTTATCTCTCGAACCACGATCAGCGCCCGCAGTACAGCCAGCCACAAAATGCCAGCACGGCTGAAAGACTTCTCAGAATACAACCAACAGAATCAAAGCCGAGGGGAAGAGTGATCGTCGGCTTCACGCCGCCCTGGCGCTGCGCCCATACGTTCCTGTCCTCGGTAAATCCCTGGATAGAGGAGGGGGGTGCATTTTTGGAGGGGAGTATGGAAGTCGGGGTGTGGACAGCCGCGTACGTTGGGCAGCAGCTGAGCCATCCAGGAAGCCTTATAACGGGGCTATTTATTCAGCATACATTTTTATTACGTTCCATCGGCAGATAACAGGTGTGGGGGCTGTGGATGCAGCAATGCTGACAGCAACTGCCCGTGAACTCGTGCCGATCGCTCTCTTGCAAAAATGCCTCACAACATTTGACCTCTAGCCATTGGTCGTCGAAGCTCATCACACACTACTTTCCTCTGTTGCAATAGGCCGTTTCCAGAGGTGGCTGACAGGATACCGCCACAAATCTTCCCAAATAAATCAAGAAGTAATTACCAAACAGCATATGTTCAGTACCCGAGCAGACCAAATAGCATATCTTTAAAATTTTTACAACAACGTAGAAGCCTCAACGAAGTTAAAATATAAGTATATTTATATATATATAATAGTACTTTAACTTATATTTACTTATTATAATTAAAAAATATTATTTTTATAATAAAACTATCGACTTATTTAGCTAAAATCTCTTTTAAAATCGACTTTTTTTATCGCGTAAAAAAACGTTAAGAACGACTAAAATTTAGTTATTTTTTTAATCTTTATAATAGTAAAAAGGCTAAAAAATATTATTTATTATAAAAATAGTTTTTATCTACGTGGAAACGTTGGCGTTTTAGAAAAAAGAATTTCGACGTATGCTGTTTGGTCCTATATATGCTGTTTGGTCCGCGCGGCGCGAAACATATGCTGTTTGGTAATTACCCCATAAATCAGCCACACTGGCACACACAACCTCGTGTATGCTGCAATCACGTGGTGATGCCAAGCCTGAGCAGATGCAGTCGAACATGATAGGCTGCGAAATTTCGACTCTTAATTACCTTCCTAGGCCGAATATCCGCTATGCTCAAGACATGAATCCATCCTAACTACTTTTGTTTGAAGCAGAATATCTTACCAACACGGTGCCATGCATGCAAGGTCATGCGGCGAAGCCAAACTTCGTTATTGCCAGAGATAAGAGTAGTCTTGAACTTACTAATTCGTATAATTCATGGGTGAGATTATCTCACAATGGCTTGCTGGGCTTCGACCACCGAAAACTACATCTGACGTCAAGTCACTATCAAGAGAATCGCTACACATGGGTTCACGCTCAATGCAAGTCTCACTTGTCCACCCAATGCTTTATTTATGAGATAATGATGAGCCAACATTACATCCACTCTCGCAGGTACCATTGTGCTGCATCACAACGTGCGGTTGGGAGGCAAAGCTGATGCCAAGGTTTCCAGCATCGGCATGTTCCTGTCTTGGATGCGTCCCACAGAAACCCCGTATCTTAACCTACATCGACCCATTGCTCTTGAACCAAAGAGATAGAGCTTTCTTGGAATAATCCGACTCCAACTCTCTCCCAGCACCCATTTCGCGGTTCAGCGGGCTTTGGGCGTAAGAGAAGAACGTAAACCTTCTTGTAGAAGTCCTTTGTTGAACCAATTTGAACGCATCTCCAACTATCATCCAATGTCTTTTCGCAGTCATCAAGCTCGACCCGATCTCCTGTGTTGAGTGTGAAACATCTGCATGCGACCCTCAGCTTCACCGGGTTCGATCTATCCCCGGTATGCCATGGTGAGGACTGAGTGTCTTGGTCCCATGATACTTCGATCTCCTCAGTATACCAGTAAACCTTTCCGAAAGGGAGGTCAACATAGTCGATTGGGCCTTCGTAAGCCATCCAAGACCAGCTTGGAACTCGGGTAGTGAGTTTGATTCGTTTCAATACCCTTCCTCCAGAGCCTCGCTGCCATAGAAGGCTTCGGCCGAGAAGACTCTCATACTCTGGGCGCTTGCTCTTCAAAATCCCATATCCACCGTACACTCCTGCATGCGTGTAGAGAGCATGTATCATTCTCTTTTCAAGGCCTGCTATTGCAAGAGGCCGATCAACTGTACGTGATAGCGCAAGCCTCGAGTAATGTTGGTAGAGCATCTGGAAAAGGCGGATCCTACCACCTTTAGATGATTGAATTGCTAGATTAGGAAATCCGGGATCTCCAAGAAATGCCGCTTTCCGACTGAATGGCAATGTTAGCATCCTCGACGTATCCATTAAGCAGCCATAAAACTCACTTTGTCATTTTCGTCAACGTTTCACAACGGACGCCGTCTCCGCATTCCCAGTATGTTTGCTCTTCAGCAAAATGGATAGTTCGACGCGCCAAGGCTCGCTCTTGTAAAACCCATCCCCGTTTGTTCAAGTCTGCCTGTAGGACTTGACGATCAAAATCATCAATGAACTCGCAAATGTAGAGTGGTGGGTCTAACTCGGAGACCATAACGGACTTTCGAGCGGAGGGCCCCTTAAGAAAGCCATCACTGATTCCTGAAGAACAGCTGGCCGCAAGAACACAGTAGGCAGAGCTAAAGACATCCTCCATTAGGGTTGCCTCTTGGCCCCAGTCTTCCACGTCGTCTTGAATGATACAAAGAGAATCGATCCACAGGTATTGCACATCAAGCTCTCTCGTAATCGTGACGGCGTCTTGAAAGGTTTTAGGAAGATTGCAGAGGCCGATTCCAACTTTCCGCTCGGAGACATTGCGTTTCAACGTACAATAAGAGTCATTCGTGTTCGGATCTCCCCACCGATGTGACAATGCAATGAATCTTTGATTCCCGCCAGCCTTTCCGGGCGCCTTGCAAAGACCTTCTTCCTTAGGTACGCAAAGCCGCACAGTCGGCGTGTTTCCGTTTCCAACGTCGATGACTCGAGTAGGGAGAAACCCGGAAGCAGTTGAACAGCACATGTGGTTCTCGTTGCAGTTCTTGAGCCACTGCCGCATTAATTTGAAGTGTGTTCGACTCCCAGCCACAGGCAAGTTTGGAAGTCCAACCTGGATGTTTTCATGCGCTGCGTCGAAGCTTTTCGTTATTTTTTGGATACTGAGAAAAGATGTAGGAACACGTTTACTCACATGCGTCTGAACAGATGGAAAGAATAGGACGGCCATCATCCATGTTTCTCATGATGGATCCGTCTTTCCCCAGACGGATCTTCTGTACACCTAAACGTTCACATAACTGAAGCAGCAACTTACAGAGCGGGCAATTGGAAGTACTCCCACATAGGTTTTCTCGGGATTGCTCCAGGCGCATGGGCGAATCTCTAAAACATAGAAGTCTGCATCGATGACAGAGTTGTTGTCTGTTAGACGATTTTGAACGGATGTCTTGCTCATCGATCTGGCCAATAAATGACGTTGCAAATGCGTTATCGAGGTGGAAATTCCAATCGTCATTAAACTAGTAATACTTTAGTACTGTTAAAATACGTATAGATAAATTTTCGCATACCGGCTACTCCGTGTATTAGTAAATTGCCCTCCCATCTTATTAAGATCAGGGTTACGTACCAGCTATTATTATACACAAATCAGCTGATATTAACATAGTAACGTTAAAAAAGTATATTAAACTTACGTGCTAGATAGAGATATTAGTTACGTTCTTGATTTTTTTTCATATTTTTACTTACAGTCTTTTACCAAAAATAGAACGATGATTAACGAACATTTTTCTAATTTACTATAGAGAATTTACTTACGTACTATTATAGTTGTTAGTTATAAACCTATATGCAGAGAATATAGTTAACGTACTGTCTAAAAGTGTCTTACGTGTTAGTATTCCTCGTCTTTTTTTTTTGATGAAAACAAAGTAAAAAACTACTCGCGGATTATACGTACAATCTACGAGATGTGTTACTATTGTACATTTAGAGAGTTGACCAAGTCTGTCTAGGGTGGAAGCAACTTACATTCTGAGATAGATTACCAGCTTCTTGCTGAGTATGAGGCGGACGACGAGCCATGTCTGGTGTGAGGAATGCTGCAGATCGAGGTCTTTGCTCTTGTGGTTGCCCAGCAATTGTCTGCCGTCCGGAAGGTCGTAGATCGGTCCTATCTCTCTGTACGAACGCATACTTTTCGTCGTCGGTTGCTCGTTTCAGGATGTCGTCGATGCATGTCCTGAAGTCCGTGGCACTTGCTCTGCTTGGAGTCAAACTACCAGACCCATCATCCGGGAGCTTGATAACAAGGAGCTTTGTCTTGACCATCATGAGCAGGTCTCCAATGGCAGTCTTCTCCGGCTGACAATCCGGGTCTACCGGAAGAATATCATCCATCCATTTCGAAGCAATCTTCTCGTTCATCCTGGCAGACGGACTTGGAAGGTCTGGACCTTCAATGAGATAGTAAATCGTGCCATGCTCATGTTTCCCCAGCTTTTCATCTACGAATTCGTCCAAGGAGTCAGAACCATAAAGGAGCCATATGATGAACTCCAGAATAACACAGCCCATGGACCATAAGTCATACAGGCGTGATCTTGGTTTATTTGGCAGAGTAAAGGCTTCGGGAGGCTCGTAATGCGATGTCAGGTACTTCGTACCCGTTGGTTTGTTTCTCGCGTTGGTCCGAAATGTGTGCAGCTTCGCCAAACCCAGGTCAGCTATGCGAAGCTCCCCCAGCTCCTTTACCTCTGAAAGATCCTGAAATCTGAGAATATTGTCGGGTTTCAGATCACCATGGCGCCAGTGGCTTTCTGATCTCGCTTCATCTTCAGAGTGGTTGTCTGCTCCGTAACCGGTGTGTAATACTTCAAGAGCTTTAGCGAGACCGAGGAGTTGTTTGAGGACATTCAGAATGAGTGCCTTGTCGAGAACTGGATGACGATAATTCTTCCAGTAATCCCGTAGTGTTCCTCCTTCGGCCCATTCAAAGATGAAGCAATGGCGGATACCTATCTTGTAGGCTGCGACCGGTTTGATCAGGTGGGAGTCGTTAAGCTTGCCAATTTGATGGAGTGAGTTTGCTTCGAGCTCCCAGGCCGTTGCTGGATCATATCCAGGTTCATGATCGAGATACTTTAGCTCCTTGATCGCGAAGCACAGTGCTTTCCCATTTTCCTGTGTTTATACATTAGACTGCACCTGTAGGAGGATTATTACGAGTAGCTTACCTTGCACAGCACTTTCTGGTGAGCTGGATGGATTTTCACTTGGGATACAGTGCTGAAGAAGCCTTCCCTTACCGAAGGGGAGATTTCTGTAAAAGGCAACATAGTTTCTTGGGGGAAGTCATGTTTGAGCTTGCCTTCCGTGAAGATAGGAGCCAGAAAAGTCCACTGGGATCGGTAGAATCGTACTTTTGCGTCTGTTGTCCATTTTTCATGATCGAAAGTATCGGGTGGTAGTACTGGAAAATGATGGCCATTGTCGTGTTCGGCTAGAAGATCACGAGGGTTACGGATCGGTAAATGCTTGTCGGTAAACCCACTGGCTCGAAACGATTGCATCATGGACCCCAACTCGCTCTGGTTGTCGTGTTCCTTGATGTCAAGTACGGTCATGAATACCATTTTGGCATCTTTGTAGATGAACTCGATGAGCTCGCGTGGGGAATCTGGGATTTCCGCTTCAATGCTTTCCTCTGTGACAAGCTCGTTGAACTTATTCGCAGGGACGAACTCTGTCCGGTCACGGCTGGATGTGACTGACAACGTAGCCCTGCAGATCCGGTCTCGTAGCTTGATCGAATCATGTTGTTTTGAGACAGACTTCGGGGACCCTGTCACCTCTTTCGCATCCCCCATGCTGAACAAAAAGGAAAGGATAGAGGCGATGGGATAAATGACGGGAATGGATGTGATCAACGTGAGCAAAATGTATCTGTATGGCATTTCCAATAAAGACGCCACTTGGAGGGAATCTCAAAAATGTGATAACTTGATGCGGTTGATCTAAGGAGGTTTATCTTATGCGAAGTGTTCTCACGTTTTATAACAAGGCCTTATCTCTGTTACTAAACAACCATTTTATGTGTGATCTCGATGCCATGCTAGCCGTTTCCAAAAAGGCTTTCCAAGTGGCAATGCAGGAAACGGCAGCCTCCACTGCTGCCTGGAAGTCTGCGCATCGTTTACGTGTCTTGGTGCTACAGAAGGTCAGAAGACCCTCTGTATTCGACTGGCGGGATTCTCGTAGTCTGTTGAAGCTTGAAATAAGGTTTGGAGGTCTGCAGCTATAGGCGGGCGCGCAACTTGGAAAGCCACTCATGGCCCACATTCTTCGTGAAGGTGCGAAATATGATGTGGAATGATGCGGGTGGCAAAATCAGCCAGCGCCATGACTTGGTTATTGGATTGGAATACGGAGTGTGGTTGCTTGGGTGGCTTACGAATTGTAACACAAGAACTCTCATTGAATTAACACAGCCCACTAAGCGAACCATTTCATTGATCATTAATCAGGGCTGGATGGGTAGGCAGAATGATCTTGCAGTCAATTCGCTCTTACAGGTGAACAAATGATGCTTGAGCCTCAGCCTTATGCAGGCAACAATCTCAGTCAGTTTAGCCTCGCCAATCTCACCAGCATTTCAGGGCGAACGCATCCACTAAATAAAATGCCAAGTTAAGATGCGGAGACACGGCTAATTGATGATCGAATCAAGAGTTTGGAAACTAATTTTCGTCTTGTGATGCCAGCCGATCAACTCGTATTTTGTGTAACAATCAATCGCTTACATCCAGTGACCTCCTTGGCGGCGCTAATCACTGTAGAATGACAGGTTCAGCGATGCGCATGTGGAGGCATATTTCTGTGGCGAGGCGAAAGTCGGCAAGGCGCTCTTGTTGAAGCCCAACTCCACGAGAATATCTGCACCAGTCAGGACAGGCAACGTGTCTGCATTGAAATGGGGCAGAATCTTACTGTCAGAATACTCCCCCCAGCCCAGGTCGTGTAACCCACCCCGCGAATCCCTCGCAAAAGCCGCCCACGCCTCCATCACCACTCGCGTCAGCCCAGCCTGCGCCTCCTCTTCCGGCAGCCCACTGACTTCCTCGGAGTTGCCGAATAGCGCGTGCATGTCACTGCCGTGATAAGCGGAGGAGTTGGGGTAGAGCCGCAGGTTATCCCAATCGCCGCCGTAGCGGTACACCCACGACGGCACGCCGAACCGAGCACGCGCGGCTGCGCCGTAGGTGCTGGGGCACGTGAAAGTAACGAGGTTAAAGTTGTCCCACTGGGCGTCTGTCAAGATGCTTCCTGCACCGTAAGCAGCCCAGCGGTAGTACCCGGCTTCGAAATGGGTGTTCCCGACAAGATAAGGCTGCCAATCGTTAGTCTCCTTCCCCTTCCAACCACACCAATGGACAAGAGATTCAGCCTCACCACGCGCGCAAACTCCCCGGCATCCGTCATCTTCTTCAGCGTTTCCTGGTCAAACACCGTCTCATTATCCACCGTCGGCTGAAACACAGCCTCTGACCGCCCCTGGCCGCTCACAGTCGGCAGTTTTAGCCCTGCCACAGCCTTCTTGATAACTTCGAAATCCTTCCCCCGCATACACTCCAGCACCCCATCTCCGCCTGCATCCTCGCCTGCATTCCCCCCTACATCCCCCCCTACAACCCCCGCCGCACATCCCGCCGCCGCCGAAACATTCGCCCACCGCTCCGCCGCCGTGCTCTCACTGCTGACCGGAAAACTCCACACATTCCCACTCATCGGCACAATGCCCGCCACCACCGGGTCCTCCCTGTGCGCATACGCCCAATAATCCACCGCCGCGCCCCCCGCGCTCTGCCCGGCAACCACAATCCTCCCCGCATCGCCGCCAAACGCCTCCGCGTTATCCCGCACCCACTCCACCGCCAACCGCTGATCGCGGAACGCCAGGTTCTTCGGCCCCGCCGCATCGCCCGGGAAGCCGAAGATCGACACGCGGTAGTTGAGCGTGACGACGACGACGTCCTGCGCGGCGGCCAGCTTGGTCCCGTCGAAGAAGGGCGTGTGGCTCTCGCCGATGGTGAAGCGGCCGCCGTGGATGAAGACGAGGATGGGCTTCAGCGTCGTCGTTGCGTTCTGCTCGGCGGCGGTGCGGGTCCAGACGTTCAGCGTCAAGCAGTCCTCGCTTTGCGTGTGGTTGAGCTGGCCCGCGAAGGCGGCGACGATGCGCTGCGCCTGCGGCGTGCGGTCTGGGTAGGCGACGCGGGCGGAGGCGGTTTGCGGGCAGGTGTAGCCGTAGTGCCCGGCGATGAAGGGCGCCGCCGTGTCGTTGTTCGGGTTGCCGGCGGCGACGTACGGCTGCGGCGCGGCGAAGCGCAGAGGGCCGATTGGCGGCGCAGCGTACGGGATGCCCAGGTACTCGGTGACGACGTCTGGGGCGGTGGCGGCGGGGTGGCCGATGATTGGGCCGTTGGTGGTGAGGGCTAGGTAGGCATTGTTGTCGGCGAATGCGGGGGCGGCTGCGAGGAGGATGGGGAGTAGAGTGATGAGGGGTAGGAACATGATGGCGGGAGAATGGCGAAGGGGAAGAAAAGCAAAATGCGGAGGGGGGCAATGGCATCGCGAATGTTAAAAGAAGCTTAAAAGTGGTTCCCGTGGGGTCTGGAGCGGGTCAGCACTAGGTATCGGACGATGTAGATTAAGTGCGGCGGATCTTATCGCGCATCAGGCAGGTGAGCCGCCTCGCTTCCCGTCTCCGCAGTGGCGCTTGCACCATCTCGTACTACCAAGCCCGCAAACGATCCCGTATTCAGCTGCACTACCGGCCGGAGACGGGACGGGAGGGGAAAATAAATCTTGAGTTTCCGTAAAGCGTGATATTTGTCATTTCTGCTTCTTTACGTAGAAGCTATGTACAGATCTGTAGCGGAAAACGCACGGATATAGGCGCTGTTGAAGAGAGAGAAAGCGAGATTTCCAGCTCGTAGGTCCGCGACACCAGACAGGAGCGGAACGTGGGCACGAGTATCTTGCCGGCCGGGAACTCGACGGGAATCGAGAGCTTCAGCAGGTAGTAGACTCCGCCAACGTAGCCCGCCGACGGCGCAATGACCTCCGACGGCGTCATGCGGCCGTGCGACAGCTGCATGTGCTCCCAGCCGGGATACTTCTTCAGCCACTGCACGCCGCTGAGGTTGAATGGAGGTAACGATATTGCGTCCGTATATGAGCGCTCCTGCCCGTCGGAGTTGTCGGCAGCAAGGGCGGCCCCCGATGTGTATATCGTCGTGACGTGGATTTTCCGCATGATGCCGTCGGCCGGCGGAGGCCCCCACTCGTGGGATGCGGGGTCAAACCGCACGAGCACTCTGCAGGAAACGGCGTTGCCGGACTTGATCCCTTTGAGCGCGCTTGGCGGCTGCGCCTCCATGACCAAACAGCCTAGTCTATTAGATAGAATGTTCCGCTTGACGATGCTCTCTTCGCGGATGCGATAGCTGCTTGAAAACTGCGGTGGGGCTTCCGGGAAACTTGGGACAATGCAGATCCGCTGAGCTGTTTCCGCCGTGGTGGATCGGCCTTCGGGGTCCTTGAGCGTCGCTATTGCGGTGACTTTGTAGCATACCTCAACCATGTCGGGTGTTGGGTCACTGAGGATCTCTCCGTCGTGTTCCCATCTGTGCCATCCGCCCATGGTTGGTGGAACTTGCAGATGGTCGTCGTCGTTCATTGGGGGACATAGACAATGGGTTTCAGGGAGCCCATGTGGAATGGTGAGGCTGAACTGGAATGTGCGTTTGCCTTGTGCAGGCAACGCCGCGTCGTCACCCGATGGTCTGATGGTTTGGTGCATCCTCAGCAGCCGTTTTTTCATGATGGACGGCATGGCCCAGACGATGTGTTCGACACGTGTCCGTGCCTTTCCTGCAGCCTCGTAAGCACACCGTCTCGTCAAAGTCCGGGACTCGTTGAATGCGCACCCGTGAGGTATACTCTCACGGTCTCGATGCGGGCCTCGTCACGCGTGCTGACCTCGACCTCTCCTGCGACTTCATCCCCTGAACCGAATGCTCCATGGTTGCTTGCGCTGCCTTTGGTGTTCACACGTATCGCCAGCTCGGCAACATTTGTGCTGGAGCTCTGGGAAACGGCGGCCATGTAAAGGAGACGGAGACGAGCGGTCAGACAAAGCTAACAAGGGATGGGTGGTTCGAGCGGTTGTGACAAAATAAGGTTATGACGTTCGCCCGCCGCTAAGCCTTGACCGCTCGCCGATCCCTTCCCCCGCTGGCCACTTGGAAGATTCTCCGGCGCCGGCATGCACGCCGCGAAGCCTTGAACGTTACCGGTGTACGTAAGACGTGCGATTGGCAGGAGTTTCCGAGCCTGCAAATTTTCAATGACTAACCTGCATGTGCCATGACAAGTCGCTCACCAGGTCCAAGAGCCTTTGCAACGGCCGCCGATGATACTTTACTTAAATTAGTCTAGCCCGCTGAAACAAGCGTCCCGCCCTATCGATGACAAGGTCCCGCTGTGGCGGTGCCGAACTCCGTGCCAGCAACTAACAGCGAGCTACACAGACTTTTGAGCCTAAATTTTTATTAAACTTTTTCGGCACATCCTCTGCATGATAGTTGGAGGACACATTTCGGAAATTCCGAATTATTTGGAATTTGCACTTTCTGCCCGCTACGCGCTTTTCCAGGTCCCAAGTGCACAGTGCTTTCAGGGAAAGTGGATCCTCCGCAATGAAATGTGGCTAGGTAGCACGCTTGTCCCCACCACCGGTCCGCTTAGCGTCGGCAACCATGCATGCGACAGGGCTAGATATCAAGGCCACATCATCAATTCTCCCGCGGAGAAACGTAAACACATCAGAATATGGTGGAATTGCTTCCCACGCCAGCCTCCTGCTGGAATTCCGACTGCAGTAATTTGGTAGACAACATGATTCTCTCATATTAATCATGCTCGAAACGTGCTTTTCCCATGCTCTAAACATCTACTCTAAAAACCATATCATCAAAAACCCCCCCACCAACTCCCCCACCCTCTCTTAACGCCCTCTTCTAAAACCCCTAAAGCTCCTTCGTCATAATCCAATCCGTCTGCACAACCCCCCCAACCACAAAATCATGCTCTCCCACCTTCTTGTACCCCCACTTCTCATACGCCTTCTGCGCCACAACATTCTCCTCCCACACCCCCAGCCACATCCACCGAAACCCCTGCTCCCTCGCCATCTCCTCCACCCTTCTCCCCAACCTCCCACCAACCCCCTTGCCGTGCGCATCCGGATGCACGTAGATGCGCTGCAGCTCGACCTTGCTCTCGAGTTGCTCGACGCAGGGTTCGCTGGAGCCGCGGGTAAGTACTGCAAACCCGAGGACCTCGCCAGAGGAGGGGTCGACGGCGAGGATGGTGTCTTTCTGCGGGTTGGAAAGATCGTTGGCGATGGCGGTAGGCGTGTATTCTTTGGCGAGGTAGGCCTGCAGTTCGTCGGCGGTGACGGAGTGCCCGAATGTCACGCTGAAGACGTGCGCGCCGAGGGTAGCGATGGTGGCGGCGTCGGTGGGTGCGGCGGGCCGGATTTGGACTGGTGGTGGTGGTGGTGGCCGCCGGCCGTTGGTGGTGGTGGTGGTGGTGATTGTGGCGGCCATGGTTGTGTTCGATGTTTGGTGCGGCGTGAACGAAAGAGGGGGGAATAAACACTGCGGTTGTCGAATGAGTGGACTTCCGAGATGTTTGCGGCTGAGAGAGAAGAAGGTGCGGCGGTGTGGCTTCAGGAATCGGTGCATGGTTAATAAAAGTAAATTGGCCGCGACGACTAGTGCGCCGCCGCAAGAATCTTAGTTCTGCGATATGTAATTCGTAGGGCGTAGAAAAGGATTTTCTGTGCTATGTGAGCGGTATGACGTGAACACTTTTATGTAGTCGGGGCGGATTGCCTCGTCCGTTCAAAGGGGTAACTTTAAGTACGAATACGGGCATGCCCTAAGCGCCCGAGGCTGAGGACTGTCTCGGCCGAGAGATTGTCTCACAATAAATATAGCTACATCTTTTTGACGTTGCGGTGAATTCCTAAACACATCTCATGGTACACAAGTTCTAATGGCCTTCCGTACATCAAGTCCATTAAAATCGGCGTTCAAGCTACATCGACATGCAATCACGTGGCTGAGGGTCACTCGGTCATTATTCCGATGCACAGCGGAGACCAGCCTGCTCTTCCATGACTGCGGATGATGGGGAATTCCCTTAAAATTTCATTTATATTGCTTGAGTTAAGTTACAATAACGGCCAACCATCGGGTGATCCAATTGTTGTTTGTACGTTTGTATACATAAATTTTGGCAAGAATGGAAGATAGGAAAATGTGGGTAAGGTTGTTTCACAAAGACAACAGTCGTTCAATTTCATGCAGATGAGTACGGAAGAACAACAGCGACAATCAGAAGGAGACGATCAGGACATGTGCCTCAATCCGGACCATCGAATACGAGAAGGTCGTCAAATACTCTTCATCCCACAGGCAGGCCTGATATATAAAGAGCCACAGTGACAGGTAACAGAGCTGCAGGACCTTCAACATGGCTCTATTCAGCATGAAGTTCGCACCTCTTTCCCTCGCCGCCGCTCCGGTATACAGCTGGTCCCTCGCCATCTGGGACATGGTCTCTCGGCCGAGAGAGTGCATGAGAGTTAAATAGCTGCAGCTCTCTTCCATTACAATTGCTCGAGCTACGATGCATATCTGATCAAGCTCGCCGCCGTTGAATATAAGCTACAACAGCTATCCTCGCCTCATCAATTCCAATCAGAACGCACGCAGAGGCTGCTTCGACCTTCAATCACGTGGCTGTGACCACTCCTCATCCGGCCATGTTTCCGCCGCAAAGCGCATCTCGCCTCGCCCTACCTTATGCGGCTGCCCACTTTAGCGGCGCAGTGGGTCCTGCGGCTTAAAACCTAGCGCGAATCCCTCGTTTCTACGACCGGCCAACTCTCCACCTCTCACGCCGCTGCCATGTCGCAAACAGCCGTGGTCCACGAGCTGCAGCATCTGCACGGAGATGGCGCAGCTATCGCAGTCGTTGCCACTTCTGCTGCTGCACGGCAGTCCATTAACGAGCCAGAAGAAGAAGAAAACAGCAGATCGGGTTCGGATGATGCGCCGCAGCAGCAGCAGCTCTCGCTCTTCCGGCTAGGCACCATCGCCGCCGCGATAACGGGCGTCCTCGTCGCGAGCAGCATGACGACCGGCCTCATCACCGTCGCGCTGCCGACCATGGCCAAGGATCTGGAGATCCCGGAGCACCTTCTGCTCTGGTGCGTTGTTTTTTTTTTTTTTTGCTGCGTCCCCAATCGCTCTCTGTTGACTGACGCGGCTATTACTATACAGGCCCGCCTCCATCTACGGGCTCACCAGCGGCTGCTCGCTGCTGCTAGCCGGGGCTATCGCGGACTACGTTGGCAGCCGGATCGTGTACCTCGTCGGCTGCCTCTTCCTCTCGCTGTCGATGCTGGCGAGCGGGCTGGCGCAGAACAGCACGCAGATCATCGTCTTCCGCGGCTGCCAGGGCGTGGCGGCGTCGTGCTGCCTCCCGACGGCCGTGAGTCTCATGTCCGAGTACTTCCCCGGCGGGCGGCGCCGCAACGTCGGGTTCGCGATCATGGGCGCCGGGCAGCCGCTAGGGTTCTCGCTAGGGTTGTTCCTGAGCGGTTTCTTCGTCGACTCGATTGGGTGGCGGTATTCGTGGTATCTGGCCGCAGCGGTGTCGATGGCCGTGTTCGTCGTCGCCGTCTGGGCGCTGCCGCGGAAGCGGGCTGAGGTTAGGTATTCATGGGGCGGGCTGTTCCGGCAGCTGGATGTGGTCGGGGCGGGCATGGCGAGCGCGTGCCTGGGCATCCTGTCGTACGTGCTGGCCATGATTTCGGATGGCCCGTCGCAGATCAAGCAGGGGAGGAACATCGCGCTTCTCTGCATCGCCGGCGCGCTGCTGCCGTCGTTCATCTTCTGGATGGACCTACGCACGAAGAGGAACATGACGGCGCTGATCCCCAACGCGCTCTGGAAGAAGACGGCCTTCTCGACCATCTGCGTCATGGTCTTCTTCACCTGGGCCGTCCTCAACGCCGTCAACTTCTACTCCAGCCTCTTGTAAGCCTCCTCCTTTACCAGTCCCCCCATCCCCCGCGCTGACAACCACCCCCGCCGCAGCTTCCAAGACGTCCAATCCCTCCCCGCCCTCCAAACCTCCCTCCGCTTCCTCCCGAACGCCATCTCCGGCATCATCCTCAGCATCGGCACGGGCATGATCCTACACAAATTCTCAGCCTACTGGATCGTCCTCGCCGCCTCCGTCATCAGCGCGCTGTCGCCGATGCTCTTCGCCATCGCCGAGCCGACCTGGTCCTACTGGTACGCGCAGTTCTGGGCGATGCTGCTGTCGGCCGTGGCTGTCGACGTGCTATTCGTTGTGTCGACGCTCGTCATCACCAACATCTTCCCGCCGTCGACGCAGGCGCTGGCGGGCGCCGTGTTCAATACGGTGGCCCAGTTTGGCGGCGCGGTGGGGCTGGCCGTCATGGCGGTTATTTCGTCGAATGTGACGGAGCAGTCGGATTATGCAGTTAAGACATCCCCGCCTGCACTGCTCGAGGGGTACCGCGCGGCGTTTTGGGCGTGCTTTGCGGCCATGATTTTGTCCGTGGGGATTGGGTGTGCGGGGTTGAGGGATGTTGGGAAGTTTGGCGTCAAGGTCGAATAGCCGTTAAGAGCTTACGTAGTGAATGAATGCCAAAAGTGGGTGAAGATGGGGAAAGAGCTGAAAATGGAAAGTAGTGATAAGCCAACAAGGAGTTGTTGTACCTGGCGGCAACAGCGGCGCCAATGAAAGCGGAGCTGGAACGCGTTTAGTCATCGCAGCCAATCAGAAACGGTTTATTGGCAGCATGACAGCACAAGCTACCCAGGGTCCACGCGCGGCCCGCGGAGTCGTACCGCGTGGCACAGTTTGCAAGCGATTAGCTCGCAGATCCCGGTTCTCCCTCTTCCGGAAAGTGCAGCCGAAGGTGGCGGCGGGGTGAATTCCAACGTCCATGATGAATCCTCCGGTTGACTCACGAAGCTGCCGGCGGCGGCCACGAGATATAAAACCTACCACCACCTCCATCATCCCTCCCGCAGCACCTGCTTTCCCCCAAACCATCCCTCCACCCCAGTCCTCCGTCCACACACACACCTCCAACCATGTACCTCCGCGCCGCCCACGCCGAGCGCCACATCCCCACCCTCCGCGCCTTCATCCGCGACAACCCCCTCGGCATCTTCACCACGGCCATCGACTCCCCCTCGTTCCCTTTCCTCCAATCCAGCCACATCCCCTTCGTCCTCGACGTGCAAGACGACGCCAGCGAAACCGAACTCGGCGTGCTGCGCGGCCACATGGCGCGGGCGAACCCGCAAGCGAAGGCGTTGATGGAGCACCTGAAAGCCACGTCGGCCGCCGCTGCCTCACCCGACGCCGCTGCGCTCCCGCAACAGCTGTCCCGGGACGTAATGATCCTCTTCAACGCGCCCGCGCACCACTACGTCACGCCGAAGTTCTACACCGCCACCAAGCCCGCGACGGGCAAGGTCGTCCCGACGTGGAACTACGCGGCGGTGCAGGCGTACGGGCGGGCCACCGTCTACTTCGACAGCAAAGCCGCGTCGACGGAAGCGTTTCTGGCGAAGCAGGTGGCGGAGCTCTCGCAGCTGTCGGAGACGCGGATTATGGGGTACGAGAAGCCGTGGAAGGTGGATGATGCGCCCAAGGCGTATACGGATGCGTTGAAGAAGGCGATTATCGGGATCGAGATTGAGATTACGGACTTGGGGGGCAAGTGGAAGATGAGTCAGGAGATGGGGGTGGGGGATAGGCAGGGGGTTGTGGAGGGGTTTGAGGCGTTGGGGACGGAGGTGGGGGGGAAGGTTGCGGGGATGGTGAGGGAGAGGGGGGTGTGGGAGTAGAGGGAAGAGGAGGATGCGCGTGGAGGGATGGAGGATTGGAGAGGATGCTTGGTTTGAGAGAACCGGAAAGGCCTGCATTGAGGTCAGCTGCGCGGAAATATTGGCCCACATTCCTGATGGGACATTGGAAAAGATGAGCCGGATTATCCAGAGAATACCTGGAGGAAGCGTAGACGCTAGAGGCCACCAGATGGCCAACTACCAGCAAACAGCAAACGGAGCAGCAAACAGTAAATAAAACAGGCGAGCGTCTTGAAATTAACATGAGGGACCGTCATATGTCTTAAGACCGAATGTGTTGTTCGGGATTTCCGGAATCGCCGAGAACACCGGCGTTACCCACCGTCGAACAATCTCAAGAGCCCATTGGACGAACTCACCAAAAATTCCGGGCCACTCAACCCCGCACTCCCGAATCTCCGCTGCGGCGAGAAGGAAAAGGATCTCGCATTTGCGGGGTTGGAGTGCCGATCGGGTTCGCTGCCAAGCTCCCCGCATCTCGTGCAACAACCGAGTGCGTCATCACCGGTACTTGGGAATCTATATTTGTGACATCGTTCCTCATCTGTCCCGAGAACCAGACCGCAAGTTTTTTGTACTCCGACAATGGCTTCAGGTGACGCAAAGTGCGAGAAAGTTGACCTACCGCACCACCTCGAGGATGTCGAAACGAACACCTCCGATGAACATGTAGACGTACCTGAGTTCGACGCTAAGGAGACCCGGCGAATTCTCCGCAAGGTCGACTATCGGCTGCTGCCCATGTTGACTCTTCTGTATGTTCTGTCTTTCATTGACAGGAGCAACAGTGCGTATAACCACCACATGCAACGTGCATTGGCTGACGAAAGTCTCGTAGTCGGAAACGCAAAGGTAGCGGGGATGAACAAAGACCTCGGTCTGACGGGCTCTCAGTACAACATCGCGTACGTTGCTCCAAACAGCCATTGACCATCTACTAATGACGCTGCAGCCTGACCGTCTTCTTCTTCCCCTACGCTTTATTTGAAGTCCCCAGCAATGTCGTTCTGAAGCTTGTAAAGCCATCGATTTGGATCGCATCCATGATGATCGCGTGGGGCACAGGTACACCTTGATTCCTTTCCACGCCCAAAGTAGCCGCTAACACCATCAGTCATGACCCTCATGGGCATCGTCCAAAGCTACGGCGGCCTCGTCGGCGCCCGCGTCGCAGTAAGCCTCCTCTCTTCCCCACCACCCTTCATCCCACCCCACCCCTAACACCACCAAACTCAGCTCGGCTTCGCCGAAACCGGCTTCTTCCCCGCCAGCACGTACCTCCTCACGACCTGGTACAAGCGCTTCGAGCTGCAAACGCGGATGGCCGTCTTCTTCAGCGCGGCGTCGCTCGCCGGCGCCTTCTCCGGCCTCCTCGCCTTCGCCATCCAGAACATGGACGGCGTGGCGGGGCTGGGCGGATGGCGCTGGATCTTCATTCTTGAAGGCATTGCTACTGTCGTTATTGGCGTATCATGTCTCAAACTGCTGCCAAACAGCCCCGAAACCGCGTCGTTCCTGAAGCCCGAGGAGCGCCGCTTCCTCGTGCGGCGGCTGCAGGCGGACTCAGGCACCAAAACAGGCCACGTCGAGACGGAGGACCTGTTCCACTGGCCGACGATACGGGCGGCGCTGGTGGAGTGGAAGATCTGGTTCGCCATCATCATCTACTGGGGCAACTCCATCTCCCTCTACGGCTTCACCTACTCCGCCCCCAGCGTCATCCTCGGCCTCGGCTACTCCGCCGCCAACGCCCAACTCCTGACCATCCCCATCTACGTCCTCGGCGTCATCTCGACCATCGCCGTTTCGTATTACGCCGACAAGCACCAAACGCGCTGGCCCTTCATCGTCGCGCCCTTCTGCCTCGCCGCCGCCGGCTTCCTCGGCTTGCTCTGCATCCCGCACCCGCGGCTGCCCGGGCTGACCTACGCGTTTCTGTTCTGCATCCCCGCCGGCGTGTACCCGCCGCTGATAGGCGTGTTGTCGTGGATTGGGAATAATTTGGCGCCGTCGTGGAAGCGCGCGGTGGGGATGGCGCTGCTGATTTCGATGGGGAACTTGGGGGGTGCGATTGGGAGTAATGTGTATCTCGAGGCGCAGGCGCCGCATTATTGGTTGGGGTTTGGGTTTGGGTTGGGGATATCGTTGGCGGCGATTGCGGCGACGGTGGTTCTGAAAGTTGCGTTTGAGAGGTTGAATGCTGAGAAGGAGAAGATGGGGAGCGAGGAGGAGGTGCGGGCGAGGTTTACGGAGGAGCAGTTGAGGAGGATGGGGGATAAGAGTCCGTTGTTTAGGTATATTGTGTGAGGTTGCGCGTGGTGGGGTGGAGGTGACGGGTGGGCGTGGTGCTTTGGAGGCGGTGGGTTTTGGAGCGTGTGCTGGTGGTGAGCGGGTTTGACATCTGACAGACTGGAACAGGGATCATTGCCATGAGTCTTTGCATTGTCTGAAGATCTAGAGAAGAGTTTTATGATACTTCTGCAAGTGAAGAGTTGGTATGGGAGCAGTCAATCTCCATCTTAAGCTTGGAGACTCATGTAGTGAAGCCATAATACCTAGAACTACCCGAGATCCTATGACACGTCCTCACCGACGTCATGGTTAGTGAAGATTTGGAATACCTCGGTCACCTTTGTAGGCGGCACTTCAGTTCTCGTGCTCTCCAGCATCACAGCCGCCCAGAATTTCACGGCATTCGCTCTTTTCGAACCAGCCCAGGAATTCATGCTCACTGGGAAGATTGTCGAGCATCCACTTGCCAACCAGATCCGGAAAAGCTTCGCAGTCCTTGAAGTTCTCATCCTGCACGAAGCGGGTTTCCGCGCCCTCCTTGATCAAGTTCGGCGCGTCGTAGAGACCAGCGTACACCTCGACAGCGCCCTCGTCAAGATCAACCACGTAAGCCCACTCGCAGAAGAGGGTGTCGCCGATGAACGATAGTTCTTTGACGATCGGGACCGGCTCGGTGGCATTGGCAACGAGGCCCAGGATCTTGGCACACGTATCGCGGCTGACGGACGGGACCACTTTGGGCTCGTTCGCCTCCTCCTTTTCGAGATCCTCTATTTTGCTGATGAGGACGTGGGACCGATGATTGTAGTATTCCCTCTTGGCACGGGCCCTTTCGTCGTGCCAGGCCATGACCTGCTCCTCCGTGGGTTCGTAGAGCATGTTGCCGGCGTCGATGACGGCCTTCAGCTTGGAAACGTTCTCGGGATTCGCGACGAAGCGGAGGACGGTGAGGCCTTGGCCCTCCGGGTAGCCGTCCCATTGGCCGTACTGAGCGATGTGCCACGCGCCTTTGTAGTAGACGAGAGTGAGGTTACGTGTTCCCATGGTTGAGACTGAGGCATCGTTAGCAGTTGATGTAGAAGAAAGGCGGCCATGGCACGTACAAGACGCTGTGACCTGAGTGATATGAAGCTTGGCAGGGTGGTGAGTGCGGATGGTGGGTGCGGAGGGTGAAGAAGCGACGCGCACACATATGCGAGGTTGACGCGCCTTTCCTTTCAGCGGGGTCGCGTATTCACATGACGTCCCTAAACCAATGTGGCAACCGCCAGGCAGCAACGTTGGCACAAGCGCTTAAAATCCCTGTATCGGGAAGGGACCCTCTTCTCGCCAAGCTCGCGATAGATTTTCTTGCAGCGCACTCGCCTCACTGATTCGTCTGATGGTGCATACCTCTCATATCCAATTTTGTGGTTTCTTTCTGAGGATCGTGTCAGCAGGCGTAGGCCGGCTGCGTTTGCTACAACATGTTCGTTGCCCGATTAGGCTTAGTGTAGTTTGCTTTGCACGTAGTCCAAACCTATCGTAGCTGCTAATCGATCATCCTTCAATACCATCACTTTGAACTCAAGATATGCTCTGACATCATGCTGGTTTATATCACGTGGGAACTTTGAACTTAGGCTGATGCTTGCTTTATGGATAAGGTTGCGTTGAAAGGTTATAAATAGCACATGAATTCTAGGAGCATTAATTGAATTAAACTTTGCCGGCTTTATTTCACTCGTATCTGTTGTCGCGCGATTGTCTTTCTCCGCTTGCGATTTCAAAGGAACATTATTCGCTCTCTCTCTCGACTTTAAGCATCGCTTGTTTCCAGCATACCGCCTTCCGATGCGTCTGCCCTTGCGGCTACATTTTGCGCAGGGGCCTGTGGAAGCAATAAGAGATGTGCATGAGGTAGAGATGGAAAAAGTGGTGAGTTCTCCCAATCCTTCTCGTGCTTTTTAAGTGGCGCCCTTTCTTTTCCTTTAACACGATGAGATTTAGTTTTAGTTTTTATTGCACAGATCTGGCATGATTAGGTGAATGACCCGCTCTCCTCCGTCGCTGTTCCTATGGCGTCTAGATGGCTGTGCTCGAAAGCGGTGATGCCGAAGGCTTCCTCGATACCGTCCGCCCGCGTGCGCTCCTCTCAGATTCCGAACCCCATCGTCTTAATATGGCCGCCAGCGCATCAGGTTGCTCCTAAGCACATCTCTCGCGCCTCAACTACCACCAGTTGTATTTTGGGCTGAGGATTAAGGATGGAGTAGCTCCGATGCAGTGGTCAGCTGGGTGTGAGCGATCGCCAGGTACTGGCGGCCACCTGATGTTGTCTCATCGGAGTCGATCCAATGAAATAGAGCATCCCAGGTCCCGTCATTGAATTGCGACTGCTATATACTTTCTGCTGCAAAAACCGCGTCGGCATTGTTTATGTCCGACGATAAAAGGGGCAAGCGGTGAAGTTATATCTTAGGTGCGGAAGAGAGCGGGCAAGAGTAAAACCTAGCTTGTTACCGCCTATTACGGGTGAATAACGGAAAGCGCCGGCTAAAGTCAAAAGCATAGCAGCGAAGATCTGTGAATACTCCACTGCAGTGGATCAGCCAGTACCGAGACGACGGAGTACGTCACCAGAAGGAAATATCGCCAAGATCGCGGGGCCAAGCGGCGTATGACTCAGTGTTTCGTCGCAATAATAGTAGTTGTTATTACTGGATGGGGAAATAGGTAATAGGCGTCCATGATGAAACATCTCAGTCTGTGCGGCATCCGTAGAGAACCGACGGGAACCGGCCGTATCCGGACCAATAGATGCCCACCCTCTTACTTTGCTCAGAGGGCATTACAAATCAAAAGGTTGTATATAAGATAGCTAAATGAATAGCGATAAAAATTCAAAGCAATTCACAGTTAACCACAGTCTTTCGGTACAACATACAGATCCAAGCAGACTCTTCACAACACCAACATCCCACCATGCCTCCCAACACGAAGCCTATTCCCAAGAGCGTCCTCATTTTCGGCGCAGCCGCCCACATCGGCCGCCCGCTCGCCGAGTTCCTCCAGCGCGAAGCCCCCTCCATCAAGCTGCGCCTAGCAACCAGCAGTCCCGCAAAGGTCTCAACCCTGCAAGCCGCCTTCCCAGCCGCCGAAGTCGTCGAAGCCAACTTCTCCGACGAACCGTCCCTTCTCCGCGCCACCGCCGGCATGGAAGGCGTCTTCATCATCACGCCCGGCGGCACCGACGAGGGCGCGGCCGCCACCAACATCATCAGCGCCCTCAAAGCGCACAACAGCGCCATCCACATCCTCAAGCTCGTCGGCCTGCAGCCCGAAGCCAACCCGCGCCGCATCCCGGAGAGCCTGCGCAACTCGCTCAGCCTGCCCGTGCAGCACGCGCTGGCCAAGCGCATGTTCGACGAGAGCGGGCTGCCGGTGACGTACCTCAACATCGGCGCGACGTTCATGGACAACTTCTTCTGGATGAAGCGCGGCCTGAAGGAGGAGCGCAAGCTCATCTGGCCCGAGCGCCTGATCCCGTGGATCGATCCGCGCGATATCGCCGAGGTGGCGGGGACGCTGCTGCTGAGCCCGAATCAGCGGCACATTGGCCAGTTTCATACGGTGAATAATGGGCATGATTTGATGAGGTTTCAGGATGTGGCCGAGTTGATGACGGAGGTCTGGGGGGAGAAGATCGCGTATGATTCGAGCAAGGAGGCCTTTTTCGAGGAGTATGGGCCGCATATGGGTGAGAAGGTTAAATACCTGTATGAGTTTTTCCGGTACGAGGAGCAGAATGAGGTGGTGTGGGCTCCGAATAAGTTCGTTGAGATAACCCTGGGCAGGAAGCCGAAGACTGTTCGAGAGTGGCTGGAGGAGCACAAAGAAGCTTTGCTGAACTGAGCACGTTGTTTAGAGGCTTGATAGCTTCTTTCGCGCTTCACGGACTCGAATGTACGAAACTAAGTAACAGATTGCCACCGCAATAGTATCAACATTGTCATCACTTTGTGTGCAGATTTTGCGAGTGAAAATGGCGAAGTGCAACCATTGCCGACATGCATGCAGTATGACGGAATGTGGTTGTGGGGATAAGACGCCTTTCAGTGCGCGTGGGGTAGAAGTAATTTTAGCACTTCGCCAAGGTATTCAGTCACGAAGAATATTGAGGACATGTCGGCCATTGAAGCGGCTGCCGCACGAGCTGTCCCTGAGAGCTAGCTAACAGTTATTGCGTTCCGCCATGATCAAGAAAGCAGAGGATCATCGGAAGCCCTCTGAGAATGTCTGTTGATGTGGCAGTTGATCTGCCTACACGGCGCCTACACAGTGTGGGGAATTTCATTTGCTACGAATTATTCCAAAGGCTTCCTCGTATGACTGGGCCGATTTTACAATGGAAGACGAAAAGGTACAGTGATGACAAGGGTATGTAGAGTCTCAGAACAACCGGGTAGGAGTAACCAAGAGCACACACAGTATGTCACCCTTTTCCACCAACCCAGTCATTTGCACCATTCGCGATAGCAAGACATCTATATCGCCGTTGACACTATTCATTTTTGTCAGGACTCTCCGCAATTGCCGCTTCTCATTGTGAATAAGAGACAATACGACATGGGGAAGCCATCCGCTTTTTCCGAACATTCTTGAGGGAAATGCGTACAGGAAAACACCGTTGCTTCTGCGTCAGGCTCTAAGCCCGATTACTACTATCACATTCGTGGCAGACTTGATAGAGTGGGGTTTGCACAAGTTGTTGCACTAAGCGCCCAACCTCGCTTGCTGATCCATAAATAGCGCGCGTCTCTTCAGCCCCCAAGACAATATATGTAGGTAATCGAAACCGGTAAGCTATTGCAGCTGAGCGGACCATCCCGCTAGAGTGATTCGCTCGGATGTGGGGTCTTGCATCCCATGCCGAAGAAAATCACATCCTTTCGGCAACCCGGCTGTCAGCTGCCAAGCGCTGAACCGCCGCTGCCTGAATGCTGACCTTAAAGCGCCCAATTCCCCTCTGCTTTGAGACCTTATCCCTCTTTTGGCTCAACTCTATAATTTGCTTCACATCGCTAGGGAATGCTCCTTTTTCCTAAGTCACAGATCGCCGTTGTTCGAACACACATCTCACGAGTGTAGTAAGCGCCAGCCTTGCAAACAGCAGTACTCTTTTCCTGACCTTTGGCTTTTTCTAAGTGCTCTTGCCGATTTCATTGATGAACACTGTAAGATTTCTGCGAGCCAACTGATGATGATTTACTCATTTTCGCTGTTGCAAAGGACATTCCGTGTTGCATCATCCACAAAGTATCTTTCAATCCCGACGGCCTTCTTGCGCTGTAAGAGTCGAACAGGCCCGAAAGGGTGCCGGATCCATCAAAAGGGCCGGCTCAATCAACACCAAGAGCTAGCGGACGAACATTTGCCAACGACTATCACGAAAATCCACCAGCCAAGGAGGCAAAGCTCACATCAAAACCCACGTCCCGAGTGCACGTGCCCATGGCGACTGCACAAGCTCAGAAGAGCGATACGACGCTCCAAGACTACACCATTGGATGGATCTCTGCACTTCCAATAGAGCTTGCTGCGGCCAAGGAGATGATGGACGAAATACACCCGAACAAGCCGAACGCAGTTGCTGGAGACACAAACACTTATGTCCTCGGGCGAGTTGGTGACCACAACGTTGTACTTGCGTGCCTGCCCAGTGGATCATATGGCACCAATTCCGCCGCCGTTGTTGCATCCCACATGATGAGAACCTTTCCCAACCTTCGTTTTGGCTTGATGGTCGGCATTGGAGGAGGCGTGCCAAGTAAAAGTCATGATGTTCGGCTTGGGGACGTGGTCGTCAGCAAACCACAAGGGGAGTTCGGTAAGACCTAATAGAATCTCATGAAGTAACGTTGACCTGATCATGAAAGGCGGCGTTATCCAAATCGACCTTGGAAAGGACACAACCCAGGGCTTTGAGCGGACCGGCATGCTCAACAGACCACCAGACCTGCTTTTGACTGCTCTTGCAGAGATGGAGGCCGAAAGTGTTTTCAATGAATCTGGAGCACTCCCGGATATCCTTGCTGGTATTCGACGGCGATGGCCGCAAAAGGCCGAGGAGATCTCATACGACTCGGCAAAAGACAAGCTTTATGAGGCTAGTTACAACCATCCCTGGGGCATGGACACTTGCGAGAGCTGCGAAGAGTGTAGACTTGTCGAAAGATTAGAACGTCCTGGGACTGATCCTGTTATCCATTACGGGCTCATCGCTTCTGGAAATCAAGTTCAGAAGAACGGGCCAAACAGGGACCGTCTGTGGAAAGAGTTTGGAGTCCTTTGCTTCGAAATGGAGGCTGCCGGCCTCATGAATCACTTTCCTTGCATTGTGATCAGGGGGATTTGCGATTATGCAGATTCACACAAGAACAAGCGCTGGCAGCTGTACGCTGCTATGGTAGCAGCAGCCTACGCAAAGGAATTGCTGGGGAAGGTAACACCAACGGCGGTCGAGAACGCCGACCTCGCGAACAAGATTTGCGACCGGCGTAAGTGAACCAGATCCCTCGTACCTCAGATCATGTCTAACTTTTTATGAAGTACTCTCTGATATCGACGATCGCCTGGATCCACTTTTGAATGGTAACTTGCTCTTAGAACTATGATGTATGCTGTGACGTTGCTAATCTCTCTACAGCTCGGCAGAGTAAAGAAGATGAAAAGATCCTTGACTGGCTCAGCAAATCAGCGCACAGAGAAAAGCACAAGAACGTGCATGTAGAGCGCAAAGGAAATGCTGGCCAGTGGTTCCTAGACTCTCAGGAATTTCAAGAATGGCTCAAATTATCAAAGAGCACGCTTTTCTGTCCAGGAAAACCGGGTGCTGGGAAGACCTTTGTGGCATCCCGCGTCATTGACGAACTGTTGTTTGTTCATGAGAAAGATAGAGACACGGCGGTGGTCTATCTATACTGCGAATACGCAAGGCAGTCCGAGCAAACCAGCACCAGTCTTGTCGCAGCTCTACTAAGACAGCTATCAGCATACAAAGCCTCGCTTCCTGCGGCGCTGAGAAAGCTTGCCCGAGAATGCAAATTTCGCCAGGGCGAGGAACGCCTACCTACCTATAGCGAGTTGAACACTACTCTTATAGACGTTGCACAGGACTACCGCCGTATCTTTCTTGTCGTGGACGCCCTTGACGAATGTTCCAATGAAGCCCTCCTTGAGCTGGTTTCCTCAATCCAGGATTTCTATGGGAGAGCCGCAGTCTCCCTGATGCTAACATCACGAAATGTTCCTGAGGTTACCCAGCTCTTGGAATGGGACATCCAACTGAGAATCGAAGCGAGCAAGGAAGACATCAGAATGTATCTTGACACGAGGATCCAAGAAATTGCAGTGCTTCGCAAAAATTCATCTCTGACGAAAGAGGTTGTAGAAGGCATCACGGAAGGAGTTGATGGAATGTAAGTGTCTACCGATAAAGCAAACTAACGGCTTTCTAATGATTGTTATTACCAGGTTCCTGCTGGCAAAGCTACATTTCGACACTTTGAGCCAAGCACACACTCCCGGTGATATCAGAAGAGCTCTTCGAAATTTTAGGAGCGCTCCACAGGGCCAGTCTAAGCTAGAAAAGGCCTACCGAAATGCAATCGAGCGCATCGAACAGCGCGACCAGGACTGCGCATGGGCGTACAAAATTCTGACTTGGGTCGTCTATGCCATTCGGCCTCTAAGTCCATGGGAGCTGCAACACGCACTTGCCATCAAACCTGGAAAGGACTCAATTGACGAGGATGACTTTGCAGACCCCGCCGACGTCATTTCACTTTGTGCCGGGCTTGTCACCATCAATGAAGAGACCAACACCGTGCAACTGGTTCACTATACCACAAAGGAATTTTTCGAGAACAACAGACCGGAATGGATGTTTAAAGCACATGAAAAGATGGCAATCTCCTGTCTTACATACCTCTCTTTTGGAGAATTTGCCGTCACCCGCCCATTGAACTATGCTTGGAATACCAGTATTATTTTAGGGGTCTTTTCCACGCGGTGGGCATTCTTTCAATACGCTTACCGGAACTGGGGCCACCACATTAAACGCTGCAGTGACGACTCCTGGAAAGACTTTGAGGAGTTGCTGCTCATGTTCTTGGGAAGCAAGAACCACATTATTGGGGCCTGTTATACGAATGAATGGATGCCGGGTTATTCACAGAATTGGCGATGGTCTCACTACCTCGCGAGCTTTGGACTCAGCAACATATTCGAATACATCGTCAAAGATCACCTCGGGCACAGCTTCACAAGCTCCGACATTGACTACGCGGATAGCTTTACGGATACTCCTCTATGCGTGGCCATCGAGTATGACAGCGTGGATGTTGTTCGCTTCCTTCTTAACTTGCGCTCACCGTGCGATGTGAATATCAACTATTCACGTTATGAATGGACAGCTGTTGGCCGCGCAATCGAGAAGGGGAACTACGCAATAGTGAAGCTATTCACTGAACTCCCTGCCGATAGATTGGACCTCAGCGCACATCCACATCCATGGTATCCGGAGTTCTCACCGCTTAGTCTAGCTGTCAAGAACGGATTTAGCGACATTGTGAAGCTACTCATAGACCTTGGACCGGATAGAGTGGACCCAAATGGCGGCCATGACAATTGCTTGACAAATCCATTTCAGCGTGCCGCAGAAAATAACGACTGCAACATGATGCGACTTCTACTTTCCTCCTGTCCTACCATCGACCCGGATGCTGGCGGCCTTCAACACCAGACTCCACTCATGAGAGCGGTCAATAGAGGCCATTCGGATGCCGCGAAATTTCTCGTAGATCTCGGTCCAGAGCAGGTCAACGGCAATGCGCGCGATTCTGACGGTAAAACAGCTCTTCACCACGCAGCATACAAAGGGCACGCTGCCATTGTGGAGGCACTTGGGAGTCTACACGTCGACAGAGTTGACATCGATGCACAAGACGCATACGGCCGCACACCATTGTATCTGGCAGCAATGCGAGGGCATGATGCGGTGGTTGATGCGCTGATCCGCATCGATGAAGGAAGAGTGAATTTTAACCAGAAGATTCGTCATGGTGAATGGACACCCCTGTTAGAGGCAGTGTGGAAAGGCCATGTCAAGGTCGTCAAGTCACTTTGTAGTCTCGGTCCAGAAAAGGTAGATGTCAATGCGCGCATGTCGGATCGCGGAACGGCTCTGCATCTTGCTATAGTAAAAGGGAGTTATGAGATTGCGGAGCTTCTCATTGGCCTCGGGGAAAGAGTCGATTTTGATATCAAGGACGCGGATGGTGACACAGCAAGAAGCTTAGCAGCTTTCTCACGGCCGGAATTTGTAAAGCTCTTTCCTGAAAACACTAGGTAGAGTGCAGTAGCTATCGAAGTGTAGTTGTGTTGGAATATTGAGCCGAACCTGCAATAAAATCTTGCAAACCCCAAAACTTTCTTTGACTATTCGACTTAATTTCGAAATTCAGATATTGCAATGGGAATCGTTTTCTAGCATTTCTGTAGGTACTAGACATTTTATAATGTTATTAAGCGTACTATACAAACTTCTTAATGCCCTTGAAAGCAAATATTGAGATTAATAAACCCATGGCTGCTCGTGGGAGCGAGATAACAAATTCTCGCGCAGTTAAGTAGAAGTCGACCTGAGTTCGTAAAGAGAACTTAGACGTCTTGAATAGTAACTTTCCTTTGCCTCGAATGTCGGAATAAATATTGTGCGGTTAAACCCTTCTTGACTTAGGCTTTGATGCTATACTATCAAGTATTATTATCCTACCGTCATCTCATATGTCGCACCCTGTATTGAGATCTCTGTGGAACCTCCTCCGAGGATATACATCCAGCCGAGATGTAATAGTGGTCGGTGAGAACTTGGGCAGTGACGCTGGAGAGGCAGAGCAAGGCACAGATGTCCACGTCCCTTATCAGCGAGTGGAGTAACGCCACAAGTCTACGGCGTGATGGTGGCTGCTTTATTAATTATGCTGCTCGGCAAAGACAGATTAAAATCATGAGCTCGGAAGCGGTGTAACCTTGCAATCAGGTAACCGATGGGGGAAAAACTAATGATGGTGATGGGAAGCGGGGTAAAAGTCGGTGGCGCGTTCCTTGCGGCAATTGTTTGTCACATCCTTGTTACTTATGACGTAGTAAGCGACCGCACGGGTATCCCGGGTTGTGGAAAGAATAAAAAGGATTTGTGCTCACAACACCGTGCCAATAAGAGATGTGGAAATAATGGGTCGGCCAAGCCACATGCGTGGAACCAAGCACGAAGATCAGAAGCTTGTCATGCTTGTTTCGATTAGACCGACACTAGGCGGTATCGCCCAACCAGATACGGCAGGTGGTACTGTTGGCATTCGTGATTGACATGAGCGGTCGGGGAGACTTAAATACAGTCTCGGACGCAGCGGAAAGCATCAGGGAACACGGAACGATGCGGTTCTTTGGCTACTTGAGCATTGCAGCATGCTGCGCCCTTGTTTCTGCGGCGCCGGCGCCTTCAAATCATCGTCTGCATGAGAAGCGCAATGGCCACCCCCACGAGTGGACAAAGCGGTCGCGCGCTCACGGTCAGAAAATCCTTCCCATTCGTATTGGTCTCCAGCAGCGCAATCTCCACCTTGCGGATGAATTTCTTATCGATGTCTCCGATCCTGCGTCGCCAAACTTTGGCAAGCATTGGAGTGCCGAAAAGATCGCCAATACTTTTGCGCCATCCCGAGAGGCCACGGACACTGTTACCAACTGGTTGTTGGACTCTGGCATCGATGCCTCTCGTTTGACATACTCAACTGGTAGGTTTCAGGGAAACATATTTATGGATTCATGCTGATGTACTGTCGAAGGCCGCAACTGGATCCAGTTTAACGGCACCTTGGAGGAGGCTGAGCGCCTGTTCAACACCGAGTACCATTTCTTCGAGCACAAGCAAACCGGTGGCTTCCGCATTGCTTGCGATGAGTACCATCTCCCAATGCACGTCAGCAGTCATGTTGATTTTGCAATGCCGACCATCCAACTTGACGGCCTCCGTCCCATCGCCAACCTCGATCCTGCCCTGACCGCGCCAAGCCCTCTCACCGGGCTTACGGGCACGAAAAATTGCAACGAGCTGATCACCATCGACTGCCTGCGCGCCCTCTACAGCTTCAGCTTCCTCAACTCCAGCCTCCCCGGGAACGAAATGGGCATCGCCGAATGGGCCGACTATCTCTACGACCCCGACCTTGTCCCCTTCTTCCAGAACTGGACCTCTCCACAGATCCCCAGCAACACGCTCCCCGAATTCATCAGCATCGACGGCGGCAAAGCTTCCAACGCCACCCAGGCCGAAGCAGGCAATGTCATCGAGTCCGCGCTCGACTTCCAGACCGCCTACTCCATCATCTGGCCCCAAAAGCTCCGCCTGTACCAAGTCGGCGACGGCGTCAACGTGGACAGCGTCGGAACCTTCAACATCTTCCTCGACGCGCTCGACGCCAGCTACTGCACCTACAAGGGCGGCGACGCGCCGTACGTCGACCCGGCCTACCCCGATCCCAACCTCGGCGGCTACACCGGGCCCCTGCAATGCGGCGGCGCGCCCGTCTCGAACGTCTTCTCATTCTCATACAACCAGATCGAAGCTGCGCTACCCGAGTTCTACCAGCGGAGGCAGTGCCACGAGTGGATGAAGCTCGGATTGCAGGGCGTCAGCGTGCTCTTCGCCAGCGGTGACTCCGGTGTTGCCAACCGGTACAACGCCGGCTACGAGAACAGCTGCTTGAATACCGACGAGCCGTACGTCGACGTCAACGGCACGCGGTTCTCCCCGTCGTTTCCGTGCAACTGCCCCTACGTCACCGTCGGTATGTATACCCAACCCCCCGCCCCGCCCTCACCCCCCCGCCGCTAACCTCCCCACAGTCGGCGCAACGCAACTCGCCACGTCCTCCATCACCGGCGGCGAAGTCGCCGTCGCGAAACCAAACCTAACAAACCACAAGCTGGACTACTACAGCGGAGGCGGTTTTTCTAACATCTTCACCGTCCCCGACTACCAGAAGTCCGCCGTAAGCGGCTACCTCTCTTCGTACCCACCACCCTACAACGCCAAAACCTACAACAACAGCGGCACGTCTCGCGCGTACCCGGACGTCTCGGCGCTCGGCCTGAACATCACGACCGTCTACCTGAACCAGACGTACGGCGTGGGCGGGACGTCTGCCAGCACGCCCATCGTCGCGTCGTTGGTCAACCTGCTGAATGAGGAGAGGATGCAGAGGGGGAAGGGGCCGGTGGGGTTTTTGAATCCGATCTTTTATGCGCACCCGGAGGCGTTTAATGATATCACGGAGGGGGCTAACCCGGGGTGTGGGACCGAGGGCTTTGCGGCAAGGCCGGGGTGGGATCCGGTTACGGGGTTGGGCACGCCGAGGTATGAGAAGTTGAGGGAAATCTTTTTGGGGCTGCCGTGATGGGGATGAGCGGGATGTAGTAGTGCATTTACATATATGTATGATCCGCGTTCTGATGGCCTACACTACGCAAGGCTAATCGCGAACGCTGGCTTCCGCGTAGCCTGTCTATGCTTGCTGTGTTCTTTGTGAAAATATGCAATAGAGCGTGAGAAAAGTTTAAGCCGCTGTTTGAAGTTGAAGTTTTAGCTCTATCGTTTTCGGTGCTACCTATGATAGCCCGGACCACCGCATTTGTGAGAACACTATGGAAATCGACAAGCCTTTCGAGTATGACGCCATTTTCCTCATGTCACTCAATAACCAAGGCGATGAATACGACCGTGACGCGGCATTCACACACTGATATACTTGGCCAGCTGCCAGTATGACAGACCAATGCAGAGTGAGCAGGAGGGTCAACGGTTCGAGGAGTAAATTGCAGCAGCATTCTACTGAAGAATAGTGAAATTCCTCAATACCAAACTTTTTCTGTTGAACATGATTCAAGCCCCGGCAATAAGGTTGCGGGCATTTGTTTTAGGGAAGGGATTAAGGATCTTAGCGTAGCCTCCTTCCCTGCCAAAGTACGTAATCCAGGTTGTGTTCAGGACTTTTACAGCCCTTTACACGTGAAATACCCCGCACATTTACCACGCTCGGCCCTCAGCCAGGGGTCTCACCCCGCATTGGCTACACTTCAGATTCCATCCCCATCTTCTCTTTCTGTTTTAGTTCCTTACTGGGTACCTTGCTAGCAACTCACACATGTAAAACTTTTCCTCAGTTTCCTTTTTAAAAATGTTGCTTGTCTGTTTTCACTAGACATCTCCGTTTTCGCATGTGCTCATGTTCAAAAGTAGCTCAACAACCCAAGGCAATATTGGAACACAATGGTTGTTTTCGGGCATACACACTCTGCATCATTAATTCCCTCAACTCTAGTTAGCCAGAGTGGATTATCCCTTGCAACCTACGACAAATTCCTCAAGATAATACATTTTGGCTTCAATAGAAATTAGAGGTGTATAAATGTGAGCTTGTGTCCTCCCCCATCGCCGCCATCATCTTCAATCCATCCGACACGCTTTCTATCCTACACCCAAAAACAACCAACATCCCACGTAAGAGTCCGCCTCCATTATGATTGCCATAACCCGTGATATTAACGCTATAGAATAGAAAAATGCCCGCAAACTCTACTGTTGTCCCCGCCTCCCTCTCTTCGGGGGCAAAGCCCTACTCCGAGGATCCCCGTAAAGTTATGGACGCCTTTCGCAACCGCACCAAGGATGCCTTGGACCAGATTTTGGACGAAACAAACAGAATCCAGAAAAGGATGGAAAACCTGGCGAACGAAAACGAGAGCAACAACGAGCGGGAGTGGCAGCAGTTGCTCATCGAAGCGACTGGCTCTCTGGCGAAGCATTCCCTCCAGCAAGTTGGAGATCTAAGGCAGTTCGGCACCAAGAAGCTCACAGACGCCAACCTGGCCCGCCAGGCCACGTCCTCTGCCAACAACACCTTCATTGGCGTGACCAACGCCGTCGACGACTTCTATTCCAGCGCTAGGGAATGGCTGAATGGTGCTGCGAGCAGCCTGCAGTACTGGCTACCGGAAAACAATGCCGCAGAGAATAAGATCAGGCAGTTTGAGCGCGCCAGGAACAACTGGCACAAGGGCTATTCGACTGTCATCGAGGGATGGTTCGAGGGAGATGATTTCGGCCACAACAACGGTGCCGACAACTTTTCGGCCATTGAAGGCCTCGCCACCAAGCTCAACTTCATGGGTATGGAGAATTTCACCATCGTGAAGAAGGACAGCGGTTGGGCGCTGGAGCTCTCTACTGAGTAGGTTCGAGGTCCGCCTCGAGGCCCAACAGATACTCTACCTAGGCTAGCAATGAGATGAGTGTCTTTGATCAAACAGTGCAGTCCCAGAAGCGGTGGAACTCGTGGTCGTAAGGCACCCCCTCGAGCTAGACTGTCAGAATTTCAACATGGTTCACTACTGCTTCCCAGCTACGCCCCAGATGTTGCCGTGCCTGCTTTTCCCAGTGTCGCCGTATTGAGTTAAAAAGGCCAGAAGAACCTGCCCTCGAAGCTGATTATTTAAAGTCTGTCTGATTTATTGAGCGCTAATCGTTAAAACCAGCTGTCGCGTGTAATAGTGTAGGGCAGGCATCTCTTGCGGCCGTTGATGTATTGCAGCAGGCGTTTGAAGTAGAAGTTGGCAGTCACGGTGGAAATAGATAGGTGCATTTATGCGCGTAAGCTGATTCAATACGGCATGACTGGTCCTCTGCTATGTTAACCTGGCTTTCTTTAAGATATACAACGCGTAGGGGGAGCGATCGTCACAGTGGCTGGAGCTGCTGTAAGCGAGCTTCCTGGGGGCCAAATCGTACATGACAGGGATCCGAGAAAATTTATTGGTCCACTGGGGCGTTACAGCCTAAGGTGATCCTTCAGCCTCGTTGTACAGATAAGGGCTGTGGCCACCCCGCATTAGTGCGTCAAAGCGTAGCCGTTGATGCATTATGAGCCGTATGATACTCTTTTCATGGCTTTCCCAACCATGAAATCACGTTTAGGGCAAACAGTAAAGCCTCGTCAAATGGAAGCTGTTTCAATCGCAGCTCGTCTACAACAACGTGCGCGAAGCAACCCCACCTCTCTAAGCGCGATGAGGCGCAGCCTTAGCCACACCCCCATCACAAAGTTAGCCCTGCATTGAACTGAAACTCATCCAATCATGGCACGGGGGCCGTATCAGCCTCATGCAAACTCTGGCGACGTGCAGCCATGGCTTGATGCAAAGCAAGGCAGACTGTGATCCAATAAACGCAGCGAAGGTGTTGGCTCAGCCTTGCGCATCCGAGAGGCGCTCAGCTTATAACCTCTGTCATCCGATTTCTGATGTTTCCGCCCCAATTTCATCCAGTCCTACCTACAGATGCCAGAGAACTTCGTTCTTGTCGTTCACCATGACTGCCAATACGACGCAAGCGACCAATGCGTGGGATTTGGCCAGGAATCGCTTTCTTGAGGAAAAAAAGGAATTTCTGCGCGACTTGTCCCCAGCCGAAAGACGGTTATACGAAGATGCTTCAATGGAGACCATTCTTAATGAAGCAAATGAATCGCACCAACGGTTCATCCAGACAGACACCCTCAACAGACTACGGCAGAAGCTCAAGCCGTTAGTAAACGCTCTTGATGGATACGGCAAAGGGCTTGATGTCATCTCAAATGTGTCTACAGTGAGCGCTATCATGGCACCTTTATGGGGTAGTATGCGGGTGGTCCTCTACGTATGTCCTTCTTACCTGTCATGCAAATCAACCTGAGGCTTACTTAATATGTTCGTGCCGCGACAGATGGCTCAACAGACGTACGAGTTTTTCGAAAAGCTCATCGACATGCTCCTTCAGATTGGGAACTGCCTCCCCCAGTTCCAAGATTACGAGAGGCTGTTTTCGAATCATGATAGATTACTACTCAGGCTTTCTGACGCATACCTGAATATGGTCCGATTCTGCAAGGAAGTGAAGTGTTTATTTAAGACTGCTAAAGGCCGAAAGGGTAATCATTCGATATCATTCAAAAAGATCCTCGACTAACTTTACAAAGTTTCCAAGCTCAGCTTTACTCTCTCTTGCAAATCATTGTGGCCACCATTCACGGACAAGTTTGCGCACTTCCTAGAGCAATTCCAACAACAGCACAAGCAGATCATTCTCGAAGTCGACATCTCTCACATGACTGAAGCAAAGAAGGAGCGGATCCTCCAGAAAAATGCAAGAGCATTGATTGAGCGGAACAGAAGAGAGAGTAAGCTCCGGCAGGCATTGGACAAAATGTCACCCGTGAATTATCAAATACAGCACGAGAAACTTCGACAAGCGAGATGTGCTAGTACAGCTACTTGGATATTCGACAACGACAACTACCTGCGTTGGTTTGCGCAGGCGGATTCAGCACTGCTCGGCATCTTCGGCATACCAGGGTCGGGTAAATCTATTCTCGCCTCACAAGTCATTGATACCCTGTCATCTTCGTACGATGGGGAAGCAAATTTATGCTATTACTACTGCGACTATGCAGACTGCCGAACGTTATCAGCGTATACCATCATTGCCACGATACTCCGTCAATGGCTAGGCCACCCCGTTGGGCAGAAAGTAGGACTGCAAGAATGGATCATCGATCAGTTCTATGAACAGCAATTTCGACCACCAATCGACGATCTCATCTCCAAGGTCCTAGAGGTCCTGGCCGAATCGACTGAAGTGTGCCTTGTGTTGGACGGCCTCGATGAGCTGGATGACGACGAGCAAGTTATCCTGGCCACGACCATGGCGAGGCTATTGCAGGTCAATCAATGCCAGGTGAAAATTGTTGCATCTTGTCGAGGAGAGTCAATGAAGCGAAAAGTGTTTTGGTATTCGGGCTTCTCTGTTACTATGTCGCCACAGGAACTAGGCGGGGACATGGAAGTCTTCGTGGAACATGCCATCGACAAAAAGATCCAAGATGGAGAGTTAAATCTGAACAACGTGCTTCTAAAACAGGAAGTTGTTGCAAAGCTGACTGATGGCGCGCAAGCTATGTATGGAAACCCCTTTCATTTTACCACCAATACTGTTATGCTAACAGTCCCCAGGTTTCTGTGGGTGCACTTCCAGATTGCGGAGCTCTGTGAAGCCAGGAGCGAGGATGAAATACGAAGAGCCTTGACAGACCTACCAAGAGACCTTTCGAAGACTTATCTGCGAATCGTAACCCGCATATTCGGTTCAAAAACAGCATTCTCTACAGAAAGAGTGGAGTTGATATTCTGCTGGCTGATGTGCGCTCGACGACTATTGACCATCGAGGAGCTATCAGAGGCATTGGCGATTAGGGAAGATGACACTTGCCTCGTTCGAGATCGGATCGTGCTGGATGGAAAGCAGCTTCTACAAGACTGTGGTAACTTAGTTGTCGTTGATCCAGAGGACGGAACTGTCAAATTCGCACACCACACCGTCCGAGAGTTTTTCATTCGGAGACACTGGGAGCTCAGCATCATTGTCAACTTGACTGACGAGGACGATGCCCAGAACCACAGCATCCTGCCGGATGCGAATTCTAAGATCGCACGACTTTGTCTGCAGTATCTGCACTTCAGCGACTTCGAAAGTCAGATCACATTACGCTCCGAAAATCAAACTGCCGTTCCTTTCAATGAAGGATTCATCGAGGCTATTGTCCCACAACAGCTCTCTCCGATTGCCAGAACGGTCGCAGACCGCTTCTTCCGACCTACCCACAGAACACGCGACATAACTTTGAAATTTCCACAAAAGCGAGAGTACAATCCACTGGAGCAGAAATACCATATGCTGGACTATGTCACGGGTAATTGGCCATATCACCTACCTGAAACCCAGTACAACAATGGCATAGCTGTGATGGCCCATAGAATCGCATTCGAGAAAGAATTCACTTTCCGTTGTCGACCTTGGGACATACCAGAATATTCAGATCTCTCTCCAACACATTTTCCTTCACTCAAGAGAAATCCGCCACCACCTGCATTCGCTGCTTTCCGTTGGTCGATCGACGAAGGCGTTGCCGGTCTCTTGCAAATGATACTTGAGTATCATCACGTGGGAATCGATGAGTACATCCGCTTTGAGTCCCAAAGTACTCTTCCAAGCCGCCAAGTCCTGAGAAGGGCAGCCTCGAGCCTTTGTAGTCTTAACACAAACCAGGTGGTTAGGGCTATCAAAGAACAAGGATGGGTAGTTCCACTCGATGAGATCAATGCCCTATTGTCGTTAAAAAAACCAGATGCATTTGCTCAAGCATTATCCTCTATGCACGACAGCCGCGTCTGCATAGGATACGGCAGAGTATCATCCTCTATATGGTCCAACACAACTCGGAGCCAGCCCTGGTATGGACAAAAGTGGAAACACTCCACTACAGACTACAGCACCATCTTTCCTCTCCAACTCGATGAAGCAATCGAGATGGATGATGTCGTCTGCGTTGAGATCCTCACCTCCGTAGGCATCGTTCCTCAACGTCGACAAATGCTCCAAGCCGGCCTTGACGGCCGGGATGAACTACTCACCGTTCTTTGTAAAGCCGTTGCCAATCGTACCTCTCATGCAAGGGCAACCAATTTACTCTCTCTGCGTGAACTCCGAGAGGATCTCTACATGCAGCACCGTATCGTACAGGGGAATATTGTCACATCCTTTTGCGGAATGCTGGAATTTTCCAAGGAGCTGGATGGGAAAGAGATAACCCGAGAGGAAATGACCGAAAGAGAAGCCAGTGAAGCGGAAAATCTGCAACAGAGGAGAGACGAAATACGGAGGCGTCAAACCGAGGCACAAGACGAAATAACGGAACGACTTGAGAGGGGAAAGAGAGAGAAGATAGAGGAGGACAGGGAAAGAGAAGATAGAAAACGAGAGCAAGAAAGAGACGCAAGACGGAGATATCGGATTCTAGCAGAGAATGAACGGAGGGGGCGACTTGAGAGAGAACGACGTGAAGGAGGACAAAGAGACAGAACTCCAGAGGATACGAAGAGAAGCCAGGGTGACAGTTATGAGTTTGATACACCGGACTTCCCGCACCACCCTGAAGGCCTAGCACTGGCGGCCAGCTCAAAGACCATTGTCGACCGACGGCAGACACCAGAGTCTCTATTCCCCATGTATTCTCGGAAGGATGATCAGAATCACACCAGCTCAGCCTCAAGACGTTGGACTTCGAAGAACGAAGATTCTGATTACAATCATTTGCCATGCGCAAATACAGGTAGGGAAAACTCTCCAAGGTTTTTTGAAATTCAGAAATCCACGGTTGTTATTAACAAAAATGTTTTGATATTTGTTTCGGTTTGTTTTTGTGGCCTTTTTTTCTTCATCTTGAATGCTTTGGTACTTGCTCTCGCTGTTTCCCTTGGGCTTTTTCCATCATTACGTAGTCTTTGATTATCTCGCAATGACGAGGTGCGGTGTAAAGGAGGATTGAAAGTGTTAAACGGAAAGGAATTCAAGAGTTTCTAACCACGTCTAACACGACCGGTTGAAGGTCGGACACATTTAACTAAGACAGAAAACTTGAGCTCAGAAGAAGTGAAATTTTTCAAACCCTCGAAAGCTATCATCAAACCAGGTCTCCGTTATCTAGCTAACCCTCCCGTTCAATCTTCGCCATCTCATCCGCCGCCTCACCCGCAACCCGCCTCAGCTCACCATCAGCGCCCTCAAACCCAGCCAGCGCAGCAAACCGCCCCTTCCACAAATTCCACATGCCCGTGTCAAGAGTGCAATCCGGCCCAATAGAAAACCCCTCCTTGGCGGCTTGAAACATACTGCGTCCGGCCGTCACGATCCACGTCACCGCCTGCGGCACCGCCAGCCGCGCCTGCTCCACATCGCTTTCGCCCTCAACCTCCCAGCGGAGGGCGTCGACGATGGTGTTCAGGCCAACGTCCCGCATGCCATCGCGCGGGCCGCGGGGCGTATGCTCGATCGGCTGGCTGTCGAGCTCGCGCAGGTACAGCGCCCCGAACTTGGCTGCTCTCATGGATCGCGTGAGTCTTTGAGGGTTGTTGCGCATGTCCCTTGGCGAGACGGGGCCTGTACGAGTTCTTAGCATCATTTGCTTATCGTTATATTTGGCAAAGACTTACTCGCAGGGCCTTGGCTGAGCCAGAAAGGGAATTCGGGGAGCTCGCGCCAAAATACATTGCCGTTTTCCTTGACGGGCTGGCCGTTATTGTCTACGACGTCCGGAAGCCGGGCAAGGCTCAGCAGCGTCTCGATGAGAAGGTTGAAGCTGGACTCGTCGTGCTCGATATGTGAAATGGCTGTGCAGTAGATGCTCCATAGGGCCGCTGTGTTCGTCTTGCCACTCTTGATGTGCGGGTCGTAGAGTGAAGCCAGAGACTCGGCCGTTTCCTGGGGTGAGGTCCTGCGATTGAGCAACGAGTGGATCATGTCGACGACTCTGCGGCCGTCGGGGCCGTCGTCAACTGGTAGATTCGCAAGCGTGTTCTCAGCCCACGCGTCGGCCATGTTGTTCTTTGTTTGCGGGGTATGGATGTGGGATGTTCACGCAAAATGAAAGAGAGACTTGTAGTTTGTAGAGGTTACGCTCACTTCAATGGATCAGGGCCGATGTATAGAGGCGCATCAGCACAACGACGTCACAGCTCCGGCGTGGACTCGACCTCCATATGTTCAGCAAGGGGCACAGGCAGCAGTACCGAAACTAGTGCTGATACTACGCCGCACACGGCGGTGTGTGTCAGCCTGTTCGGCTAATCGGCCCCCACCGCCCTTGCATCCACTGCTCCCTCCGACGTCGATCGTGAAGGATTAGGGCTCGGCCCATCAACACCACGCTTGAAGCTGAATATTGTGCTACATACCTCAGCCGCACTGTTCATGCAAACGTCGAAATGGTAACGGACCGATTGAAAATGGCCTACTCAGAGGAATTCTGTGCTACAGCATCGGCGTAAGCTGCCGCAATTCCCGACACTACCAACACAACCATACACACCTCGTTGATTGAATCGAGCCATTGAAAGAGACGATGAAGGGATGATATTGCCGTCATATCCGCATCCTTCGAATGTGATCATGTATATATTAAGGCTACTCAACTCTCCAGAATCAGCACAACAACCCATTGTTCCAATCTAGTACATCCATTTGAGAACCAACTACCAAGATGCACTTCATCCAGATCCTTGGTCTTGCCCTTTTCGCGGCTGCCCAAATCAGTTGTGCGGCTGTCCCGGCTGCCGAAGACGCCACCCTGTCACCGGCACCTCGACATGTGCTCCTTGAACGGGCCAATCCTAGTCCTCAAGCAGTCATTTGCGGTCGTACGTGTCAAGACTTTTTGCAGATTAGATTGACCTACTAAATCCTATCCTAGCGTCTAACAACCAACAGAAATATGGCAAGGATGCGGTCAAGAAGGCGTACAACAATGGTAAGAAGTACTGGAAGAATTACGATGACTGTGAGTCGATCTTCCCCAGTCTCTCCTGCCATCAATGCTGACGGCAAGGGTAAAGCCCGTTGCTACAACGGCAACTGCTTCCCTAAGAAGTACGGAGGCAACGGCGGCAACGTTCGGAGTAATCTGCCGGCCGAGTGCGATGTCAACGCCCGAGGCAGCGCGCTCGTCGAGTGGCCTATCATGGAAAATGGAAAGGCCTATGCGAATGGCGTCAACCCGGACAATGACCGTGTCATCATGTGGGACCGATTCAACAATGGCACTATTGTCATCTTCTGCGGCGTCATTTCTCACCGAGGCCTTGGCGGGACGAGCTTCAACTGGTGCAAGAAGGATAGCTCTTAGAGGTTTATCTCGAGGGCAATTGTGCCTTTCGGCACTGGCACTACCACATGGAGATTGGAAGAGTTTGTTTGCAAGAAGATACGACATAGTTTCTGAGGCTTTGTACTCCATTCGCTCGCTGCTCCGAACTGCTGTTTAGCCATTCGATCGTCGTTACGTGGGTAGTTGAAGCTTCAATCCGGACGTAGATGTTTATTTAATAATTCTACATCTACGTCCGGATGGTAGCTTCAACTACCCACGCAAGTCGAATAATTCTCGATGAAGGAAATTCTGAGCGATCATTTCTTTACGCTGCATTCTTTAGATAACAGTCTTTGGTTTATTCCATCCTTTGTAAACAATGACAATTGATGCCAACCGATTGCCGCTGCTCCCAATATCCCGAGATGACAACACTGCGATGACCTGACTTCCCAGCCTCTGCATCCTCATGCACTTCTCTCTCGTCCCCCCTTCACCCCAAAGCTCGATTCCACGACCTACACATCCAGTCCCATCCCCTCCCTCGCCGCAATCACCCTCGTCGACACCGCATTAATCCGCATATACCTTTCAAACCCGTCCACACCCACCACAAACGGATTCGGCGCGCCGGGCGCCCGATACTTCAACAAATCCGCATTCCACAACGCCCCATCCGCCACATGGTGATTCGACAACAACACATCCACGCCCCTCTCCCGCGCGATCGCCGCAAACCTCTCCTGCGACCTGACCTTCTCCTCCCGCGCCGCCCGCCCCGCCGGCGTCGCCGTCCCGCCCGACAACCCCGCCACGTGCTGCGTGCCCCGCCCGCCGCGACCCTTCTTCGCGCCGCCGACCGTGCCGCTGCCGTCATCCGCGCAGCTGCCGCCCCCTTCGTCGCCTTCCTCCCAAACCGGGAAAATCAGCGACAGCGTCCCCGGCGTGTGGCCCGGCGTCAACACGACTTCGAACGCCACGTCGCCCACGACCAACGTCTGGCCGTCCTCCAGCGTGCGGTCCCTGGTCGGCGGCGCCGGCAGCCCTGCATCTGCCCCCAGCCCCTCCATCCCCTCCCACGCCCTCGCCGACGCGTAGAGGGCCGCGCCGAAGCGCTCCTGCAGCACGCGCGCGCCGCCGTAGTGGTCGAAGTGCTCGTGCGTGAGCACCACATGTTTAACATCCTCCCCGGCGTACCCGAAGTGCGCCAGGCTGGGGAGGAGAACGGCGTCGACCTCGTCCGGGCTGGAGAGCGCGTCGATGACGACCAGCCCCGCGCCGGTGTCGTAGGCCCAGGATGAGACGAAGCTGTGGCCGACGAAGAAGAGGGAGGAGAAGGGGGAGAAAGGCTCGACGAAGCCGCTCGGCGGGATAAACAGCGCTGGGTAGACGGGCTGCGCGATGCAGAGGGATAGGAAGAATTGGTACAGCGGGCCGGAGGTCGAGGCGAGGGAGAGGGCGGTGGTGAGGTGGTGGGTGACGTTGGCGGGTTGGGCGTGGGGGAAGGTGGTGGTGTTGAAGAATTGGGTGACGGGGGTGAATTGGGCGGTGGTGAGGGGGGCGAGGAGGAGGGTTAGGGTGGGGGTGAGTGTGAGGCGGGGCATGGTGTTTGGAATGTCGTGTGGCTGTTTGGGGTGAAGGAAAGCGGCAAATACGTTGGCGAGGAAGTGCTTTTAAGCTTGTTGCCGAGATGAAGTTGCTTTTTCGATATGTTGTGCCACCACACCATGAAATCTCCAAGAAGGAGTCAAGGAGAGCCGTGACAGCCGGACATCGGGGTTACCACAGGAGGGGTCTCGTGGACGAAGGGAGCCAAATATCAGACACTAGTGACGGTACATGGCCTCACATTATAAAGTAATCGCCTCTAGTCAGAGAAGAGACGAATATAAAGTCATTCATTGACATAAATCTATACTTGTTCCCTTTCGAGAATGCCGTAGCTCTTCAACAGGGACAGTGCTGAGGAAAAGGGTGATGAATGCGAGGGTGGTTTGAGCTGCATCGAGGGATCATCTGATACATTCGCAGTGCTGATAATGGTCGGCTCAGCAGCCTTGGCAGCACTGAGAAACTAGTGGTACCAGACGCCGTCCGCAGCATTAATTCGACTTACCTGGGGAGCTGAAGCTAATGTCCGGACATGTTTGTATAATTTAAAACCTGACAAACACGTCCAGACGTTAGCTCCAGCTCCAGTCATATGTTGCGAGATTCTTAGCTCTGATCAGACATGTTTCTAGAGTTTAGGTGCGTCAGAAACACATCTCCATTCCTCCCATAGCTTCTACAGACGTTAATTACACGGCTGGCTTCGCTTCCCGTATCTCCGCCAGGTGCGCGAAGCCATATGTTTACTATATATATTAAAGAATCGGTCCTCCCCTCATCGCGCCACCTACATCGGGCATCGTGAGGACGGACCCGTGCCTCGAAGGGCTGTTCGAGTCAGCTGGTGTGGTGGTATAGGCTGGTAGCAAAAATCTACTACGTGGTGGGTTTTTCTCCCCCCAACTCCTGCTGAGCCGACCGAGCCCTCTGGGTTCAAGTCTGCCGGGGAGCAGGGTGAGTTTTTTGCTCATTTGAATTAGTGTTTTTTTTTTGGCAATTGCTAATGTGCGGGCATGGTGTTCCCAAGCTCGATAGAGGATTAGTTCTGACCAACCAGAACCCCCGCACGCCGCAAGCACCCGACGAGCAGATAGAAAACGTCAACCAAAGAAACAAAGCAAAGAACGAGCAGACAGAAGATGCGCTGTTCAGCATTGCAGGTGGACTAGGTTTGCGTATCTCACGCTAACCCGATTAGTCCATCACATGCAGGACTGCGCGATTCTAAGGTCAACCACAGTTTCACCCGCACTCCGCCATTCGCCTTCTCCTAACCACCTCACCTTGCCGCCATGGCTCCACCGTGGCTGTCAACCGCCGAAGGCCCTCCCAAGCCGACTCAGCACCCTGCGTTAGCACTGCGGCAACGAGGCGAAACTCCCAGAGAAACACAGCAGCTCGATGTCATGGACGGCCTTCAACAAGACTCTCGCAACACACAGGTCATACCTAAGCCTGGTCAAAGCAACCACACCGCCATGACGCAAGTGCCTGACCCTACTTCGAACCACATGAAAACCATGCGCGATGAAGCACTTTCGCCAACCAAACAAAGCACCGTCATGCACACTCAGGACAGCGAGCAAACCCAAACGCCAATGCTTCGCGCCGCGGTCAATCCCCGCCCCCCGAGTCCTCCGACTGAGATTTGGCCCCCTCTCCACCCCCCTCCGGCTGCCTCACACCGAGACCATACCATCGAAGTCCAGGCCGTATGGGACGCCGTCACAGCGCTTTGCGAGCCAGACCGCCACATGAGCGATGACCACCGTCCATTCCAAGCAGCGACGACTCTACCCGCAGCCAGTCCCCCGCAGGTGCCAGACTCAGAGTCAGTCACCACATCAAACGAGATGACGTATCAACGCGCGCCAGATGGGGCTAGTTCTGAGTTCTTGAACAGCTACCATGGTTGGAAGAGCAAGAAGAGGTCCGGTGACCACATCGGCGGCTCGGATAACAAGAGACACCGGTCTTAAGGCGCATAGTGCACTCGCGACGGGACTTGATCTCGGACGGCGGAGAGGACTAGTGGATAGCATACGGGGCGAGTGACTGGGGGAGTCTGCGGGGCATAAAGGGTCTCGTTAAATGCGGCTGGCAATCTGGATTTGGAAGAGTCAAATTCGTGGGCGCCCAAAACGAAAGCTCAGCTGAGGAGGTAAACACAATAGATAGCAGATGATAATACAAAGCTTGAGGAGAAGACCAAAACCAATACAGTCCTTGCGCGAAACATGTCGTGGAAACCAACCTTGTGCCGGTTTCAGAAATCGTCCGGGATGTCGATGGGAAGAGGAATCCCCAGCAGCTCTGTAGCAAAGCGCGGGGGTACTCGCTTTGATCGCCACCCGCCGCTCTCATGGTTAGTGGTGTTGAACAGGATTTCATGGCGGGTCACGTCTTTAGGGTTTTCACGAGCCTTGGCCCAGATGCGTATCTCCTCCTGCAGCCAAAGCGCTCTCACAGCCGGGGGTCCATTTGGTAACTTGGGGGGTTTCCATGCAGCCAGCTCCGGGTCTTCCATCATCTCGACCTTCTTCCATGGAGTCTTCTGAGTGGTTGCGGCATCAGAAATCGCCTTCTCATTCGTCTCGAAGCTCGACTTTAGGGCTGCAATTGAGGTCCGCTCAGAATAAGAGGGGATCGGAGATGAGCTACGATTTGTATCATCTTGAGTGAAGCCATCATCAGTTGGTATGGGGGGGGGGGGGGACCGTTGATGTTGTGGGGTTGCTGCTGCTCAGTGGGCAAGATGCGGAGTGTTGCTAGGCGGCGCACTGCTGCATCTCAGTATGATCCTGCAAAGTATGAATGTTCTCGCTAACAAACCTTTCAGCTTCTTCTCCTGGCGCTGACCTTTTCGTCCTCTGGTCTGGCCCATTCTGGGGTTCTTCGTAGTCTCAAAGTCAACTCTGGCATCGGCGCATTGATTTTTGAGGTGTCGCTCAATGTCCAATCGAGTGAAGAGCGATGAGCGCGACTTCTGGTACGTTCCGCCGTTACGGTGATCTTTGCCAAGTCGTCCTTCAACCAGTTCCAATATACCTTTGGCGTGGTGAGATACGCCTAGCAGGGGCCTTACTTTGACGGCAGAGGCGAGATATCGGACTATGTCGGCGGAGTACTCATGGAGAGGAATTGGCTCATATCGCCCGAGTTGAAGTCCTTTCTTTGCCCGCCTTTCTCGAATTAGGCCCTCTGCCTCATCTCCGAACATCTTGTACAAGAAATCCACATGACGTGCAACGTCCGTGGCGGTGGTGGTGGTGGGGCACACCGGCATCAGAGGATGAGGTTGAAGCAGATTCTATTTGAAGCGGGGCCGCTGAGCGAGGCTATGGAGCGCCAGAGTTCGGTTTGAAGCAGCTTCGGATGTTTCACAGCGGTGAGTTGCTTCGGCTTGGTGAAGGCCGGATTTTGGCCAAGCAGGGCGCGGGCTTCCGTATGAGCTTGGCAAGATAGCAAAGGCGCGATGTAAGTGGTGAATGTGTCGGAATATCGTGCAGGAGCCTGAAAGAGGGCAGCGACGAGGAGCGGCGAAGAAGAACGGCGTGGAGGAGTGAGAGGTGGGATGGGAGTAGCGCATGCTGGTCAGAGGAGGAGGAGGAGGAAGTGTGACGAGGGATTGTGGCACGAGGGTAGAAGATATTTGCGGTCAAATAGCATCTGTGTCTTACCACAGTAGGTGCAACCGCTCCAAGATTAGTAGCTTCCGACGTGGGAAGTACGCCACCCATAGACTCTCTCGAGCCTGTCACAAACTCCAGAGGTAACAGACAGCCAGATTTGTGACTTCACATCTGGAACACGAACAATGTCACGAAAACATCGAACTGACGACAGCCATGAGATTAGAGGAGTTTCTATATGGTTGATGCTAGAAGTGCGACCGTAAAAGGTGTAGTTACTGCTTACGCAGTGACACGATGTCCGTGATAACCATCATCTTCATGGCGCAAATAGGTGAATCAGAAGCATCGGTGTGAGCCCTTCCATTCCAGACCTTGTAAAAGTGTTGAGCCGCCTTCTTGCCTTCCACAGAGCCCTCGAACACAAATTCCACGTTATTGTCGCTTTCCTGATAATCTATCATGTAGTTGACCCCGTTTCGCATGAGCCAAATTTGCAACATAAGAACCAAGTCGCGCCAGTCAGCAATTAGAGCCACGCTGACTTTGCGCATGAGAAGTAGTTTGAGAGCAGCGTCGGTTGGCGTCAGTCGGCGTTCCGCATCGGGCGCGTTGTTGGCGACGGCGGCATCCTTGGCTGGAACGTCGTCTTGAGTCTCGGCGGGCAACTCGTTCGCGATGGTCGAGTTGAGGTACTGTATGAGGTAGGACCGTTTTTCAGGCGTGAGACTCGAAGGCTTTGCGCCTTGAGGACCGTTTTGGCCCGGCGGTCGGAGGGTGGCGCTGGGGCCGTTCGCGGACATGGCGGAGGTGGTGTTTGCTGCGGCTTGCATGATTAGCACCTGTTGTAGTATGGGGCGAAGAGATATTCACTGCTTCAAGAAGCTGACAGTGCGACCCTCTGCTGTTCTTCGGACATTCACGCCGTTGTTTACGGTCACGACAGTGCAGGGATAAGGAGGAAGGGTTTGCGGAAGCCGATGCGATCACAGGAAGTTTTGCGCGAGGTTTCGAAGCTCTGGAGGAAGGCGCGGATGACTCGCGCGGACTGCCGTCTGGGCTGCGGCCGCAAGCATGCAGCGACCGCGAGGTGATATGCATGAGTCACGTGCCGAGCTGCGTCGGCGGGAGCCTGCACTCAAAATCATCGCCCTCGACCGCACCTCTTCCACTCCACCTTAAAACTGCTCACCCCCAACAGCCTATCGCACAAAGGTTGCATTACCCGGTCGCCGCGAGATACATTGAACAACAACGCCGCCAGACAGCCATCTGCAGTCGTAGCAATGGCGGCCAAGTCGAGTACGGACGAAGAGCAGGCTATGCTGGCGAACATGGACGTGAGCCTATCCGACGCCGAGATGCAGGAGAATCGTGATCGGTTCGTGACACCTGGTAAGACACAGTCCTGGCCTACATCCGTCACATTTAGCGTCCCTGACACATTCTCAGCGTTTATCTTGCTAGCTTGGGAGCCGGTCCACCCTGATTCCAGGAAGCTCGAGAACATTGTCATCAAGTACTCATACTGCCATGGCTCCGCGACCACAAGCAAGACACAGACCATCAGGAAGGCATCGGCGCTTGCCTGCCTCTGTAACACGGCCTACATGTTCAGGGCTGAGCTCCATACTGTCGTCAAGTGGAAGGGAAAGCCTCTGGCTATCATGCCCAGCGAGCCTGGCAAGAGGATGTTCACCACCTTCGTCAACGGGATGTCACTCCCTGTGGGACGTGTCAGGATTCTTGAGACTGGCGACATTATCTCCTGTTATGAGTTGGATCAGCCTGAGGCCGACTTTGACAGTATCCTCGCTAGCACTTCGTTCGACAACGATGGCGATGGCCCTGGGGGGAAGAAGCTCACCAAGTCGATCCTCCATGTACTCGCGATCATGGCGATGATTGCCATTGTGATCATCTTCGTCGTAGTCGTTCTAGGCGCAGTTGTCATTGCTATACTCAACCTCATCATGCCGCAAGCATTCTCCTTCAGCAACCTCGTCCGTTTCTTTCGGCACAATGCGTAGCCATATTGGCATTTCGACGAGGAGGGCCATGATGAACGAACGGTGGAGGAAAGCAGAACTTGAGCGGCGAGGTTTTCATATTCATGCAAAAGGCTAGATTGGGTGAAAGGGTCTCATGCAATTCGGTGGCACAAAAATGAGCGGGTGAAATTGTACAACTACTGCGGCACCAACAAAGGTCAGAGGGGATGTCGTGGTCTTTCTGTCTTCCTTTCTTTCTTCTTCTCAGGGTAGCCTACACCTCCAAAACCACATTTTAAGATAGCAAGAAGTTTCCGGTGAGCTGAACACCGAGCCTTATCAATTCATGGAGCTACCCCTGGTCGAGCGATCTATTACTCTATATAATGTTGTTCCCTGCGAATAATGTAATTGAAGGCAAGAGTTATGACCCTGGTACGCATGACAACGTGGAGATGGTGGCCGAAACATAGGCAAAGAAAGGCGACGGCAGGGAAAGAAGCTCTGAGACCCCAGCCTAGCCCGCTGAGCAGCTCATGCGTGTAGAATGTGTGCTAGACGAGCGGCCGATGAGCGCGGGCTGGAGCTGGAGCTGGGGCTGGGGCACCTCGTATGAGCCCAAGATTCCTGCGCCACGCACCTGCCATAAAGGTGAGCTTGACCAGTCACGTGCCGCACCGAACCGCCGGTTCCACTTGCCCGCCCGGTCACTTAAAGTCTTTGCCTTACACCGTACCCTCTTCCACCCAGTTTACCTTCCTGCAAAAGCCATCGCCCTGGTGACCCGTCGCACGAACGCCTGATCCACAACCTCACCAAGATAGAGACGATCCCACAAGCCTCCAGCGGCTCGGCGCATCTGCTCAGATGACATCCAAGTCGACCATGAGCGAGAAGCTGGCTGAGGCAGCATCGGTTGCGCGGCGCACTGGAACGTTCATCGACCCTCGCTATCGGCAGGAACAAGAACAGGTCGCCATGGCACCCGGTAAGACGTTTTCCGGCCCGTTCATTCAGTTTCCAGATTCCCTGACATGTTCACAGCATTTGCGGTTGTCACGATCGAGCCCCGCGCGCGCATGGGCGACACGTATACCCAGGACTTCGTAATCAACTACCCCGACGGCGAAGTGCTCATCGACCGAGAATACCAGTCAACGGAAGATATCGACAACCCTAAAAGAACCCCCATAGCTCAGCCTCGGCGGGAGAAAGTGTTAGGAATAGCTTCCGACGGCCCGCAATTCGAAGTTGATTGCCTTTACATCCCTTCTCCATACATCTCGACGTTCCACGCCGTCATGAAGTGGAGCGGCAATGGTATCGTCATAACCCCATTCTCGCATAGTAACCCGGACAAGGCGGTTCCGCCTATTTTCGTAAACGAAAAGGTCGTCTCCAAGGGAAAGCTGAGGGCCCTTCGCCCTGGAGATGTCATCGCCTTTCAGGAGCCTAAGAAGACCAAGGCATTCTGCAAGTGGGAGGTCAAGAGGATTGCCTACGGCGGCCTCCAGCCTTTGACTCGCAGCGGTAATTTTGAGGAGGAGGAGCTCGCCAAGCTGCGTCAGATCAGTGCCAAGTGGTCCCTCGATATTCGCACGGTCATGGTCACTATACTCGCTATGGTTATTCTCGGCGGATTTATCGGCTTCTTCATCCCTGACGTCGGTAAAGACTTGTGGAACTCGAGGAAATATCCACTTGATCTAACAGAGGGGCAATGGCAAAGGGAGCTCAGATGAAGCGGGACTGGAGCTCTATTGATGAGAAGTATTTCTTCCAAGCCAGATGCACCAGCAAATGAGAGGGTGCAGCCTATCCTGAATGGAGATAATCGCGGCTTTCTCCATTCATTCTTTCATTCTTTCATTCTTTCCTTTTCCGTTTTCCGTGCGCAGGCTACAAAACGTCTGGGCATGGGTACGGGCTATCAACAAGTTTCAGGTACACTGTGAGCACTAGAAATATGCATTTCACTACACAATAGTGTCTAGCTGTGTCTTTCCGGGGATTGCACCCAGTGAAGAATGTCATTATGAGAGGCAATGAAAGGACGATGATGCACGACAAACCTTGTGCATTGGTCCAAACAAAGCGAAGGCCCAATTGAACAATCAAAGGAGTTTTAGAACGAAGCCTCCACCCATCCCACGCAGTATCACTTAGGTATCTCCCTTACTCTTAGGCTTGAACATCGACCTCAGGCGACAATAAAGACCAGATTCCTCCTGATTTCCTACCGCGAAGTTCAATGTGGGTTTGCGCGAGGTGTCCTGTGCTGTCGTGCCGCCTCCGATGGGGTATCTGAGTTCGTCATCGAAGGTCTCGCCCAGCTGATCAATCTGCGTGACCATAAATTGGACAAGCTCGACCAGCTGCTCTGCTGTAGCGGAGTCGTACGCCTGGTGAAACAAGAATTGTGAAACGTCGCTGGCTTCATCAGAGGCAAGCAGAGCAGGGAGCACCGATCCAACCAGTGATTGTCTGTCCAGTTCCGTCTTCGATAAACGCTCGGCGAGACCTGTACAGCTTCTATGAGACAAAATCTATGAACGAGGATGAGGTGATTTACCATTGACCAAGACGTCGCCTATGCAGCAAAGCCACGTGTTGACCAGGCCCCTCATGTAACCCGCTTCATCCCATTCGGAAAAACCAGATGCCAGCATTGTAGCGCCGTACTCCTCCTGCAGCTTGACTAGTAATGTGGTGACGTCGATGAACTTGAAGAGGGTGGCGCTGCACGTGTCTTGCTGCCCCATGCGACTCTTGATCTTCCGTGCGACATCGAGGATGGCGATGTAGACTTGGTCCATGAAAACTGCTTCGGGGCTTGATGTCATGGCGGGCGGAGGTTCCCGTGGCAACAATGCGTCGCGACGCGTGGACGGCTCCTCAGGATGTTGGGGGGACGCTGAGATTTCCGCTGTGGACCTGGACGTCCGCTGCTTGTAAGTAAGAGCCGTGCGACGGGAAGATGCAAATGTCTTACCGCAGGGCTGCGCGGCTGCCCTTTTGTGTTGGGCATGTTGCGGAGACAAGGAAGATTTTCCCCGGGCAGAAGTGGGAAGTTTTTCTTTTTTTTTCGGCAGAAGTGGTAACGAAGCCACAGTGCGGAATGATGAGGGATAAGACCATGGTTCGGTTTGACTTCACGCTGGAGCGTGGTTCGTCGTGGTGGCGCGCGACTGCGGTTGACAGGAAGGCACCACCGACCCTGAAGTGCCTGCCCAAGCGCACGCCTCAGCTGCCAAACCGCTTCCTCTGCTGCCACCACAGCCCGGCAGCAACGGATCTGTCAGCTGTCTCGCGGTGCAGTTTTACCGCACCGCAGTGAAGAGCTAGACGGTCTTTATGTACATTGGGTCCTTGTTTTCAAGAGAAGGTGGCGGATTGGTGTACAAGACAGGGTATCGGACCAGGTGGCTGAGTTCATGCAGAATTGAGCTAAAGACTGGGATATTGGTCAGACTTGCCTGTATTCCAGGCGATATGCCTAGGACGGCTTAGGGCATCATTTTAGGCGTCGGAAAGGGACGGGCGATGGCGTTCGTCAGGGTATGCTCTCCGTTTAAGGTTTCGCCCCGAGTGCTGGGCTGGGCTTTGCCGGCGGCACTCCATGTTCCGTGCCAATCCTGAATTGGCAAGCGCATCAGATCACCTTTCACCGTGTCGTCTACTTTTGCTAAGGTGAGGTGATCGGCGACGGGAAAGCCCGGCGAGGCTCAAACAAGGTGCATCGTTGCGATATTGGACAAATTCTGCCGCCGTAGGCCTTGTGTGAATAGCCATGTGTGCTTTCGGCGCAGAGTGGCGTGAAAGACGATCGACTGACCAGATGTCTTAGTGAAAAGTGGCTGAGGGAACTGGTGGTGCATCTATGTTTAGACTGTTACGCCATTTCAGTGACGTACCCAGGCTTCAAGTCGGACAAGCGTGATGACTCATTCAGCGCAGCGCGGTGCGTCATCATCACAGAGCATAGACATATGCGGATCGTACGAATCTGTTGATTTTCCTGTAGCGAAAAAGGTAAAGAATAATGCACCGCATTTTCAATGATAAAAATTAATCGGTTTGATTTGGGGAAAGAACTATAGCGAGGAGTAGCTATCTATTATTTTGGAACCATATCTTGGTGCTCAGTAGGCTTAAAATCTAACTACCTCATATTTCTCGCTTAAACCTTCTTTCTGAAAGCTTTCTTCGCTTCAAGTATCTTTGCTCTCTAAAAGACTTCTAGCTTGAATTAGATTCTCATCAAATAGCTCACTAGCCTCGGCGTCTGCATCCTTTATCGCAGGCTTTTCCCTTCGTGTAGCCTCCGGTGCGTTTGCGAACCAGCATTTAGTCTCCTATGTGTTGCAATAGAGTAGATATTCTCTCCTCCTTGGGCTTTGGCTTCCTGCCTCGGTCCGCCTTCAGAAAGCCAGTCTTTTCATCAATCTTCAAGGCAAAATCCTCCAATTCAACATGGCTAGGATTTAGAGCCTTTAAGAATGGCATGCCACCAGGATCATTCATAATGACGGCACACCCCTGCAAAGCCGTATCCCAGTCTTCTCTGATAGCACGTCGCTTCTTGGAGCTAGTATGACCACCGTATCTAAGTCTTTGGATGGTAGCGTGGTTCACCCAGCTCCTTGCGTGTTCAAATCTGGGCGTGTTGCTTCTGCTAACCCACTTGACGATAACTTCCTGCAATGAGACGTCTTTTTTGATTTTTCCGGGGATGCTGTTTACGTTTTTCTCACCCCAAGCCGCTGTAATCGCATCCATGGCTGAGGACGTGCGATCGAGCGTGGATTGGCCAGGAATGGATTGGTCGGGAGTGGATTGGTCAGGCGAAGATTGGTCGGGCGCTGTAATGGGGGCTTTATAGTCTGCTTCATGATATGCTGGTCAGCCATTTGTTTCGTCTCTTTGAATCAGAAAACTTTGCAGTCGATAGACTCAGACGTACTATTCTGGCCCTCGGTCAGCACCTGCGGCTTATCCTCGTCATCATCCGTGTCATCTTGATTATGACGCTCGTGCTGATATGAGGAGTTTCTTTGGACGGCAGTTCGTGCCGGCCGGTCGTCAATGATCTTGGTGCTGACGTATGGCTCCTCTGTACGTGTCTTGGAGCTGTCCGGCACATCGATGCTGATATTGGGGCTGAGAGAGCTATCCGACGCTGTCATTTTCGCCTTCTTGCTTGCCACCTGTGGCAGCTCAATATCACTGAATCTTTTCTTCGGAGCGGTGGGCACCTCATGTTCCTTCGGGTTCTGGTATTCCTGCTGCCCGCGGGTGAGGTCCTTCTTCAGGTTAGAGTCACTTCCTGCTTCCAACCCCTTGGCTGCTGGACCTGGCGTGGCTTCCGTTACTTGCAAAATTTCGATGTCATTTGCGTCAGTGACATGGGAGCCATCAGTCATGGTCTTTTCGGGCACTGTTTGTTGAATAACTTTGTTGATGCTGCCACGGTCGAGAGACCGTTCACGTGGACCAGGACGGAATGAGGAGTAGAAGTGATAGCTGAGCTGTTGAGGCACCGGCGCTGCAGTAGCATCAAACATCCGATAGCTGGCAGCGATGCTGGCTGGCGCTAGGGGATCCTCAAGACCTTTGCCATCTTCGGGGGAGGCTCGTGGCATGTTCTGCTTGCGTTTGGGGTTTGCGAGATCGTACGCTGGGAGTGGAAGGTCGTGTCCGCGCTTCGCCGTCTGAGTACTTGGTTTCATAAAGGTCAGCCGGGGTGGCGAGCACTATCCGTTGTTAGGGACCAGCATCCCATTCAGTCTGATGTGAGCGGGCAACCTGAGCGGAGCGGGTGCGTGGGTATTCGTTACCTTGGAGCTAGGATGAGAAATGGCAAGTATCTACAGTCGGCATGGACAGTGAGGTGTGAGCAGCGAAGAGAGGCGCCAGCAAGCTGTGCCGATTCAGGTCAGAGCATGGCGAGTGAGAGGCCGGCACCCTGCGGTGAGGGTAGATGTTTGGCTGTGAAAGATGGGCTCAGAGGTGATGCAATGCGTCAGAATGCACGGATAATGTTTCGGAGCAGGTGGAAGATACTAGCGCGGGTACCGTGACACGTGAGACGCGCTTTTTCGTGTTCTCTGGTCTGTTTGCTACACCCGTGATGGCATTCCAGTAAACGCGTCCAGCAAAATGAATCATGACCTGGACTGCATTGTGCAGTCTCGAATAGGTGAGATCAAGACTCAAGCAGCCTCACCCACAAGAAACATGATTGGCCCTAGTGCGACTACTGTTCACCCGGTCAAGGATTATTTGCCAATGGGGCTGAGCTGGAATTTTGATCGCCGGGTAGTTGCGGCGTGCGGAAGTTCCGATTAGCTTATGCTCGCTGATGTCCAACGAGCTCTGCTTCTAAGGTGAGAACTTCGCAACAACGGAACATCGGGCGCAGGCTCTCAGAGCAGGAGGCCAAACGATTCCAAATTCAGATGCAGAATCACGTGCGGTCTAATGACGCGCCGAGTTATGTCTATTGGCGTTGACGAAAAGCGACGGTCCCGTCCGTGATCGAGGTGATGGACGTGTGATGCATTGAGCTACCTAGGAGAAAGCACTGAATTACCCCCCTTGGCGATCACACCTGCGAACAATGCCCGCCTCTGTCAAACAAATCCTTCGCCCACACGCTGTATCTTCCCCCCGATTCTGTTCATCTGCCCCGCACGTTCTCACTCCTGTTGGTGCGACTTTTCGAGCCTATCCTCGTCCACATTTCACTCGTGGAGGCACTTCATGTTTTGGCTTAGGTATGCCACCATAGAGAGCGTGTCAAGTCACGCATAATCATGATGTAGTGTGTGAGGAATGATTCCCAGGACCTCATCGGAAGCTCTGTTAGTCTTTATAGTGGCAACTCCCCATGAGGTCCGGCCCAAGAGTCGTGCAGCCCGACCAATCGGGTTATCGTCAGGCACACTGATCCAGCCCGCCTAGCGGACTCGCAACGCGCCTGCCGCAGCGTCAGCGTCAATTTCCTACTGCAAAGCCGCCTGGCCGTACAGGGCTCTGCTCTACCGCTCGCGAAACGCCTCCGTCAATAGCTGTGTCGTAACACGTCCCAGCAGCTTGGAAGTAAATTTTATTAGCACACCACACCACACACGCCCTAATTCCGCCCGATTACACGCCTCTCCCCGTCCAGCACACAAGTTCAAAGGTCAGCTCTCGCATCACCTACAGGCGGCCGGATCGGCGCTACATGGGGTCCCGCGCCTGCCGTCTTTGCTTCGCTTGTCTTGGGCTGCTGCACAAGAATATCTTCACCCGCCTCCTCCGTCACGCACCCTCCAACTCTTCTCCCTCTACCACGAACCTTCAAACTCATCAGTCCTGGCTTAGATCTGCGCGCCATCGCTGTCGGGACCTTCTTTTGCTGAATACACAATCCTCGCTCACCCACCACCTCCGTTGTCACCACTGCAGGCTGGTTCAAAACACTGAATTTGAGCGATCATCAACAACAATGGCCTCCACACCCACCAGCGGTATGATACTCTGCTTTACCATGTAGAAAATGCCAGAGCTGACAGCCGCCAGGCCAATCGTTGGAAAACTGGTTCAAGACCGCCCGCCTCACCCAAGATAGGCCCCCGGACGTAAAGAATATTCCGGCTCGGCCAGTCATTCTCATTACGACGGGAAAGGGTGGTTCAATGAAAACCTTTGGTTCTGTGAAGAGGGTCCACGCTGTCCAACCTTTCGCACGATGCCGTTTGTTCAGCCTTGACCCCGCCTTCACCATCACGTTGCAAGACCCGGAGGACGTCACGCTTCTCCAAGGCAGACTCAAGACAACGTCATCTGAGGTTCACTTGAATGGCGGTATGCTCCAACCAGACCCGAGCCAAGGTGGAATGTGCATCCCGGTCATCGAATTCGCCCCCCGGGCTAATCGGTCCTCAATCCAGCATTAACAGCGGCGGCTGACGCCAGAGCCACAATCACCGCACGTAAGCACCATCTGATGAATACCAATCTTGCGCTAGTGACCCTCAACATCGCTCCTGAGTATTCTCCTGCCATGTTCGGCAAGCTCATCAATGAGTCCTCTTCAGCAACCCACGATCACATCCTGACTGCGCTGTCAGGTTCGAAGAGGATAGAGGCACTCATGGAGGTTGACAACAAAATCATTGCTAGCTTGAACTACTGGCAGAGATTCTTCATGCTGAGGCACAGCCCGAGCATCGCCTGGCACCCTCAAGATCACGCTCGCACCCAAGGCTCGTCCTTTTGGTGGTTTGCGCAGAACCGAAACTTCCGTTGCGCACAGGCCTGGCACCCCGAAGAAGAAAAGACTGTTTGGAACAAGGCCGACACGTTCGCATACGGATTGCTTACCGCCGAAGTCAGCCTTCCATTGCCACCATGGCTCGTCGGTGCTGAAGGCCACCCGAACCTCTCGCCAAACCAGGTCCAACAGAATGGAGAAGAAGTGATGCCGTTCTTCATCGACAGATACTCCTTCGAGACCGTCATGATGGTGAACCTCTACCGAGAGAGGTCACTTTAAAGGAGAATCATCGGTGATGCCATCCCTGCAGATTCCATACACTCTGCTACTTTCCGTCGCATCCAAAGCACGCAGATCTTCACCATTCAACTAAGGCTCGTCCATTACTCCAACGAGCTTGTCGAGCCCGTAGAGGGTACCATGGTGAAAATCACCAGAGAAGGTGGTATGACCTAGAGCGTGATGCCGAGGCTCAGCGTAGCAACTCAAGCCTGCTATACTCCAAGGGAAGGAGGAAGACTTGAGCCAAATGCTTGCGAGTTTAATCGCCTCACAGGAATACGAGACGTTTACCTTCCGTCCTTACGCCGGTATCGTTGATAGGCGGGTCAAGCTTATCGAAAGCTCGTTAGGCCATTGGATGGTACGAGTGTCGGGAATCAACGAACAAGATCCTCTCGGCGACGCAACGCGCCATGCGAAGTTCATCGAGTATTTTAGGCAATACGCGATGAACGTTCGAATGGACAAGGAGCAAAGGGCAAATTTCGCCGGCACGATCACGGAATTACGCAAGCACGTCTTCGAGATCATGGACGTCATCGTTACAAGCGCGAGCAATGCCGGAGATGAAAAGCTCTATGAGTGGGTCTAGCCCTCCATGATATTCGTCGATGAGGCTGCACGAGTCCCCGAGCCAGACTCATGGAGTCTGTTCGCATTCTACGCTGTGGACACGCCGAAGATTCTGGTTGCAGATATGGCGCAGCTTAAACCACCTGCCCATTACGAGAGCAATTCTCCTTGTCGCTGATGGGGCGCTTCGCAACGATCGGATACCCGTTAGTAATGGTTGATGAACAACATAGGATGCATTCCAGCATCTGTAAGGTGGTTTCGACCACCTTCTACGACGGGAAGATCCGAACTGCGCCAGGAACCGACGACAATCCACTCAGTCAGACGTTCCGCGAATACATGCAAGAACATTTCAAGCTACCGCGAAATGCGGCTCTCCTCAATTGCGTCGAAAGCGTCGCTGAGTGCGACGCCCACAGCAGCGTGTTCAACAACACGCATGTTAGACTGGTTGGCCACCTGGTCCGCGGCCTCATGGAGCGCGGTGTTGAACCATCATCGATCGCCATTTTGACTCCAAACAATGCTCAATTTTCTCAATACCGCCAGGCGCTCACTGGCCTTCAGGCCATGTACCCTCTCGCCGACATGCGGGAAATCGCGCTGGGAAAGATCGACGCCTATCAAGGCCGCCAGGCCGACATCGTGATCGTGAACCTTCCTAACCACGATAGCATGGGCTTCTTGGATGACCCCACCCGCTTGAACGTCGGCCTCTCTCGGGCAAAGCGTGGTCTGGTCGTTGTGGCGAACACTTCAGTGGTCACGAAGAAGAGGTTTTACGCTAAGAGCTGTCTAGCACGCGTGTTCTCCTTCCTCAAGAGAGCTGGTTCTTCGAATCAGCCAACAAACAAAGACCCTAAGCAACTTCAGCTCACTCATTATTGTCGTCAACACGTCGGAGGTGTCCAGAAAGCATTTCCATGCAAAGTCCTACCTCGCACCCGTGTTCTTTTTCCCCAAGAGGACTTGCTCTTCCAACTCCGTGGAAGGCGTTGCTGAATCACAATGAAAATCAACATGTCTGGGTAGTTGAAGCTATCATCCGGATGCAAATGTGGAATTAATAATTATACATTCACGTCCGGACGACAGCTTCAACTACCCATGGTATGAGCGAAAATTCAACTAACGCTAGCCGTCGGCTGCAATGCCCCCCTGAACATCCATGGTTAAAAGTTCAGTCACATGCTCCACCTGTGGTCCCACTGCGCTTTGACTTATATCTTACTACTTTTCCGGCCGCAGCAATGTTTATTTACTTTCGTCAATCCCTCTGGAAAATTCGAGACATGGTTGACCAGAATTCGACAGCCACCTTCCCGATTCAAGAACAGATGCCCCCATCAAATGTGCCTTTCGTTAATGGGCCGTCTCAATATGATTGCTCTGAGGATGTGCATGTGAGCATTGAGGATGCCGGCTGCCTGGTGGATAACCTTGCGCAAGGCATTGCAAGCATATCCAAGCGAGCCGCCTCGACGCAAACAATCCCTCCCACTATGTTCGACATCCAGTCATCCCTCTGGGAAACTCGATCATCAAGTGAGCATCGGAGAGACATGGAGGTCGACTTCCTCATGGCCAATCCCTCAACATCCGAGCGCATCCAAGTCCTACTCATCGGCATACGTGCAGACCTGGATCGCGGCTTTTAACAGCGCTATCCATGACATCAAGGACGGGGTAGCCATGACCATCGGCCCTCCTGGCAACGGAAAGTCTCGGACAGACGCCGCCATCGCTGTTGCAGCTGCGTTGCTTGGCGGCAAGGTGAAGGTCGTAGCGCCAACTGACGGAGCTGCCAGAAGTTTCCTCGCCACGCTCTACAAAACCGCAACGAGTCATGGCGTCCTCGGCGACTTCATATCCCTATGCCGTGCCAACATTGGCATGGTGGAAAAGTCCATCCTCTCCACCCGTGATGAGGAAGATAACGAACCATCGGGAATATCACACATCGACGGGAATGAGGCAATGCTGCTCTACGGCAGCAACCGGCTTTCCACCAGTGCCCAGCGAAACTCCCTGGACCACAGATTCTCGCTAGCCCAGACAGCGATCAGATGGGCTAGAGACAATCGTGAGAACGAGGTGGCAGACCGCTTTTTGGAGCTGCGAGCCGAACGAGTTCAGACAGATCCTGAGTCTGGTAACAGCTGGAAAGGCAAGCAGGAGTTCGATCAGAAGTTCAGGCAGACTGTGGGCGTTGCTTTGAACGAGACAGATATCCTCATCACAACTCCCGAAGGCGTAAATAGCGCCAAAGTTCGACACTACGGCGCCACGTACCTTATCAACGAGGAAGCTGGCGCTACCTCCGTCCCGCAATTCTTGAGAGCGATCACTGCGCAAGACAAAATCAGTACAATCGTTCTTGCGGGTGATCCTCATCAACTCCCTCCCACCTGCATGGTAGCAAGTCAGAGAGAGTCCAAGTTCGCAGCCTGGGACGTGTCGTCCATCCTCACATACGCGGAAAAAGTCCTCAGCCGCCGCGCTCTCATCCTCATCACGCAATACCGTGCCAACCCTGGTTGCACGGAGTTCGTTGAGAAGGAAGTGTACAAGACAAGACTCACTAGCGCCTACCACTGTGAAGATGAGGACCTGCTCAGCGGCCTGGAGAACTTCTTCACAACAGGACCCTACCACGAGGCACTCTGCAACCAGCGCAGCAAAACGCTGCGCTTCTCCGTCAACTCAACATCCCAGAGAGCTCCAGGAGAGATATCGCTTGTAAATCTAGGATCACAGGCCCGGTTGATGCAATCCCTCTTTGAGCTTCTCTCGCACACGCCCGCTCAAGGCCGGAAGGGGACTTCAGACGATGTTGTCATTTTGACAGCATATACAAACGACAAGTACGCGTGGACGGGCATGCGGCGTGAGTACATTGAATACAAAGGGGGTACGAGCAGCTTTTTCGACGTGAGAATGCGCACCATCGACGGTTATCAAGGCCAAGAAAAGCCCATCGTCATCTACCACACCGTAAAATCGAACACTGATCGTGGCTCGGTTACATTTGTCGGAGACGCGAATGGGCTGGCGATGGCGATCACAGGCGTGATTTCCATTCTGAACACGACAAGTTGTCACTCTTCCGCAACTACTTGTCGTACCTGCAGGACAAAGAGGCTTTTCGGGTTTGCTGAAACAGGCGTACGTGAAGCAAATGTCCGGATGAACATGTCCATTTTTAAATTTGACACCTGCGTCCTGACGTTAGCTTCGACTCCCCCAATAGTGAGATATTAAAAATGCCCTGAGGCGCGGCTTCACGTATGAGCTTAGGAGGCCTGACTATCCCAAATCCATTCCTGAAACAACCTGTGCTATCTATCCGCGGAGGTCGATGATTAGTACAAGCCCACTAAGTATCCTCTGACATTTTTAGATTTCTTCCAAGGAGACTATTCAGAAAGGATAGTACACCTTACACTTCTCCTATCGCACCGAAGGATTCTGTAACGGCCCGCCTCATACTAGTTCACCAAAACTGAATACGACTCAATGGCAGCCCGCTGACCCCAGGGAGCCCCCGTTGAGAGCCAGTTCACTATGAAGAGTCACGTTACATAGCATAGAGTGAGGTATTCAAACAATGTATTTTCCAAGCGACTCTGCCCCTCAGCGATTCGATCTGGATTCCAATTGTGCTCATCATTGATCCTTGAACCACTATCATTACAGTTTCTACTGGCTGCGAGGGGCGGTAAGGGCGGGTGGCGCTTAGTTCCGATCCGCCGCGCCCACCTCATAGCTACTGCGATACATTTTCCAGGCCAATTTGCTGTTCTTGTGTGTTGTTCTCTGGTATGGTATAATTCTATTCCCGTCTTAAGCGCAAGCAGCTTGGGAGATGATCGATCTGGAATCCAGGGATGGTGTCAGCCGCAACGGGGCCGTTTTTTTCAGCCGCAACGCGCTAGCCGTTGCACCAGCACCGCACGTCAGCTCTCCAGTCCTCTTTTGCTACCCACTCAGCTGTATGCGACATATAAAATTTGCTAGTTCAATTGCAAGCGTCAAATAAGTGGAATGAGGGATAGATGGCTGCTCTCGTAGGCCTAGCGCTACGGGTTCAATGCCTTGGCATATCGAGGGGTTTGAGGGGTAAGACATCTGCTAACGACACACGGCCAGGGAGAGCAGCTCACCACTGTCCTCAGATATAAGTGAGCTCTGTTCCCGGTGAACATTTCCTGAACACGGGAGAAAGCACACGGAGGAAAGAGGCACTACAAGCGGTTGAAAAGCTCATAGACGCCGTACCACGGCAGAACATTGTAGCGCGAGGTGAACAAGGGAGTACTGCCGAGAATGTTTCAACTCAATGACGCAGAGTGTACCCCAATCGCCAGTAAAAATCATCACCTAAGATGTCTATCGTGAGGTACCCTGAGCTCAGACTGGTGATGTCGGCAAAGCGCTATACCGTATTTGGTAAACGCAAATCAACTTACGCGCGTTTAACAGTTGTCATTGTGGATTTAAACTTTTCGCTAAATGCCCTGATCACCATGTAGTGCATGTGAAAACCAAGTTGAACCGGAGTGTTGTTCAATTCCTGTGAAGTTCCTATCAATGCATATATATGCATGCTCTCCGCCTTGGTTAGAAGCAACATGAGCTCTTGCAGATCACCTTTCCCGTGAGTCGCGGCCAGCTTTTGCAGCGTCAATCTTTCACGGCCATGCACCGTCCTCTCCTCATCGCCTCCCTTGCAGGGTCTGTTCTGGGCTTCGCCTTGCCAGAGCTTGAGGTTGACGATGCCCCTCTCGATAGCACCGTACACAGCACTATTGAGGTGACCAATGTCATTACCAAGAGTGTCCCGTATGATGACGATGATGGAATTCCTGCCACTACATTACTCGCCCCGCATGATGACGACGCTGGCACTCCGGCCACTACATTAACTGCCACCTCGACAACAGTCACTACCGCCACCACCACCGCCACCCAGACTGCATATGTCACAGCCACTCTTCCGGCTGCGGACGACGGCGACGAGGGCTCTCCGGAAGGCTCATCTACTCCTGAAGAGCCTTCTCAAGCACCGAGTACTGCGCCAGCTCCAGCAAGCGATGACCAGACTTCGACTTCCACCCTGGACGCGTCTGGCTGGCCGACATTGCTGCCCGCAGTGCCCGGCAACCAGCCTTCGGAGGGCCTCGACAGCTTGACTCCGACAAACAGCTCCAAGTTGACCTTTACCCTGGACGGCAACTCGGATCTCTCGACCAAACACCTAGTCGCCGAAATGACGGCAAACCACACCACCCCGGCCGTCGTCCTGGAGCACTCGGCGCAAATCGTAGACGTCAGCTGCGCCCCGCAGGGCCTGAAGGTTGATCTATCGACTGAGGAAGCTGTGGATTTCGCCCGGTCCGCATGGGACGAGAACTTCGTCGCCATCACGTCGAGCGCAGACTGCGGCGGCACGCCGGCCAGCGGCCAGCACAGCTACTGGAATGTGACGGCCGTAACCTACCCGGATGCCACGCTCACGGCCCTCCTCGACGCCGTGGAAATCGACGTCGCAGACTTTTTCGACCACGTCGACCTAGTCTGGGGCGCCAACGTGCCCCAGAGTACCACGCCCGGTGCTCCTTCACCGAGCCAGACGGACACTGGTACATCACTGACGGACGACGATGATGATGACGACGACGACAGCGATGATGAGGGAGGCGCCCTCGACTTTGACGAGGACTTCGCCGACGCGCTCCATGACTTCGCCCCTGGGCTGTCTACTTACGCCGAGGAGGACTACGAGGACGAGGACAGCCCGGCCAACGGGACGGCTGGCGACCCGGACTACGACATCTGGAACAGCGGCATCATCGACACCGAAGGCGCGCAGCCATCCGACGAACCGATCGAGAAGCGTCAGGATTACCCGCTCCCAGCGCCAGCCCGGAAGCCCTACGACCCGCCGGAACCCAAGCCGGCACAGAAGGCCAAGAATGCCCAAGATTATCCAATCCCAGCGCCAGCCAAGAAGCCCTACGGTCCGCCGGAAGAACAGAAGAAGCAGAAGTCCCAGAACCCCGACGATTATCCATTGCCGGAGCCGGCCAATAAGCCCTACGGTCCACCGAGGCGACCGAAGGAACAAGTAGCCCAGGACGCCGTCGTTGCCAAAGAGGGCGCAAAGGTAACGGAAGAGGCGTACAGCATCGCGCAGGAAAATCTCCAGAAAGCCAGGGAAGCCGCTGAAGAAGCCCGGGCCAATTACTACCACCGTCGATTCGACTCCAGGCGCAATCCAGCCGACTGGGGGATGGCCTGGAAATTAAGGACGGCCAAAGCCAAGCTTAGAACAGCGAACAAGGCAGCCAAACTGGCGTCAGACATTGCACGGTCCGAAGCGGTTGCGAAGCGGGCGGCGAGGAGGAAGGCGGCGAGGCTGCTGTCTATCGAGGAAGCTCAGGACGGCAAGGGTGGTGGCTCGAAGAACAAGGTTGGAAAGGCCAACCCGATGGCCGTCGCCGAAAGGGTGGCTCAGAGCACCATTTCCAATCTTCAGGACGACGCGCAAGTCCGCCGAGACGCCCAGAAGACGGCACGAGGCCTCCGCGGGTATATCAGGTCGGCTTACAAGAAGTTGGTCAAGGTTGTCAGACAGGCCTCAGAGACGCTGTCCAATATCAAGCCGGATTTCAGCATCCAGGTTGACTATTCGCTCGTGAGTATGGTAAGGGTCCAGCAGGGGTTGGGGCTTGCACCTTTCCCCAAGGTGGATGACGACAGTCCGTGGGGTTCGCAGGTGCTTCTCTATGAGAACAAAACGGAATACGAAAAAGGAAATTCCAGCACGCTGTTCAAGTTCTACTGCGTCGACTGCGGCTTCACGGCGACAATCTACGTCGAGGGCCACGTCAGCTTCAGCGTGAGCCAGATGCAGATGACCAAGGGTTCCATTACCGTCGAGGGCAGCGATCTGGCGGCGAAGCTCATGATCGGGCTGGACGCCTTTGCCCAGGCCACGCCGTGGTCACGACAGAGGAACGTCGCCGAAGTCGCCATCCCTCCGGGCTTCTCCATCCCCAAGGTCATCACCCTGGGGCCCGCCGTGCGGTGGGACATACGGGCATCGCTAAAGCTCGAGGCTGAGGGCAACGTGCTGGCCGGCGTCGAGGGCACCTTCTCCAACTTCACGTCTACCGTCGACCTGGTCGACCGCAGTGCGCCCGTCTCTTTCGAGGGATTCGTCCCTACGTGGACGACACGGTTCGAGGCCTTCGGGTCGATCCGGGCCGGAGTGCGGCTTGGCTCCCCGTTCAGCATCGGCGTCACCCTGCACCTCCCCTTGATCCAAAAGGACGTGGGCCTCGTCATTACGAGCGAGCCGTACCTCCAGGCCGTGGCGAGCTACGGCGACACCAAGAACTGCACCAGGGGAATCGACTACAAGGTCAACGCCGGCAACGACATCTACGTCGACGTGCTCAAGTACAAGACCATCGATATACGACAGGACGAAGCGCCACCCATTGTCTCAGGCTGTGTACCGTAGGTTCCCCCCCTCCCCTTCTTTTTATTTTCACCGCCACCACAAAACCCACCATGCTGACCTTCTCCCTCCCCCCAACAGGATCCCGTCCTCAATCGCCAAATACATGCCCAAAGGGCTCGTCGAGCAATTCACAGACCCCCAAGACAAGAAGCCCAGCCGCCCCCAACTCAACAGCAGCTCCGTCTACGCCACCGCCCGCAAAGCCGTCAAGGACGCCAAGGCCGCCGGCGACTTCTACTTCGACACGGTGACGGCGGGCGGCGGCGAGTGGTACCTCTTCGCCGGCGCAACCGGCGGCGTCGAGCTGGTGGCAGCACCCGAGGGAACAAACGCCAACAAGCCGGCGTACGCACAGCAGGCGTTCGCGCACATGCACGACGTCGTCGTGGCTGACGCGCAGGACCGCCTGCTGCACTACGACCGCGACGCCGTCGATAAGTGGGGCGTCTCGCCGCTCAGCTTCGTTGATGAAAAGGACATTGGTAGTGGTGATAGGGCTATCGCCCTGTTGCCTATCCTGGTCGCCGGCGGCGAGACGAGAGACGAGGACGACTGGGTTTTTGAGCCGGAGGATACGGAGGGGAACAGCTTTGGGACTATCTCGTGTGCTGTCACCATGAATGACCCCTCGTCGTCGTCGTCGCCCGAGGAGGAGATGACGGTGAATAAGGTGTTTATCGCCCAGAATGTCGACAAGGCGATCGAGACGCTGGAGAGAGGCGACGCGGCGAGTAAGCAGTTGGCGAATGGCGATGTCGAGGCTTGCGAGGGGATTGCGATTGATGGGGTTGAGACTAACCATGGGTATGGTATCTGACCGACTAGCTAGAAGACTATATCTTACGTCGGCGTCTCTTCCGTTCGTTGTTTGTTGGTAGTGAGTCAACCGGCGACGCACATGTTCTACGCTGCCCGTAGGTATTCTATGGGCTGCCGTACGCATCAGTGTTGATAATTTAGGTTAAGATTATTAAAAGTAATGATAATATTAACTATTACAACTACTAGTTCTATGTAAATCCTTATAGTGAATATAATCTATTGAAGGATTAAAGCTGAAAAGAACGAAAGACAGACAAAACGTAGTTAAAGCAGAGGACGAGGATCTGCAGTCGGGCGGCGGGTCAGAGTTTTTGCATTTTATTCGTTCTAGAAAGATACACCACGCGTGTATCGTACAGTAGGGAGGCCAGATTCTTCTTTGCCTACCAACTGGTTCCGCCAGCGCCTGGACTCAACAAGTTCCAGTCGACTATTTACGTAGAGTACGTTCATTTCCAGTACTTATGGCCTTCGTGGTCAATCATAATCCTTAAACAATTATTCCCGACCCCTAACCTTGAAAGCCTCCTCCTCCTCCCGTGCCCGCACTTGCTGTTTCGTTGCACCATCTCAAACCACGTGAGCAGATTTGCCATTCGCAGAGCATGGTTCCAATGCTTCATGTTCAATACAACCCCGCACACTCCCAACTCCCCGCCTCCGCCACCTCGCCCGTTCCTTTGTACCTCGCCTGCTGCGGATACGGACAGATCGGCCGCTGCAGCGCGACGCCACTGACGGGGTCCGAGTCGTTGCTGAACTTCGACGCGACGAGGCTGGCCGGCGCGGTGCCGTTCTCCACCCACGCCATGATGGCCAGCAGCGGATCGTGCTGCGCGTCGGCGGCGATGCCCGAAGGGGGGACGTCGAACTCGCCGGCTTGCGTGGGCCCGCCGATGTACCAGGCGGCGTTCATGGAGGCGGGGGTGCCGGTGCAGTGTCTGTGGGAGGGTTAGCGGTTGGGGGGGAGACATGGAGAGGGGGCAGGGCGTACTCGAGGCCGGGGACCAAGAAGAGCTTGTAGAACTCATCGACGTCGATGCCCTGCGGCGCGAGCGCGCGTTCCACATGGTCGTGATAGTAAACGCTCGCGCCAGGCGCGACGGTGGCGTCGGAGAAGCCGTGCCAGTGGATGAGCTTGCCGCCGCGGGCGTAGAACGGCGCGAGGTCGAAGTCATCCGCGGTGGCGTTGCCCGGGTTGGCTTGCTCCGCGTACTGCAGGAAGGCGTAGTCGAGGTCCGTCCAGGTGAAGTTGGTCAGCCCCATGACGTTCTGCATGTACCACAGCTGGCCCGAGATGCTGCTCTCGCTGCCGTCGCCGAGTTGGCTCGCGAACATGGCTTCGCTGCCCAGCGCGACGTGCGGGTAGACGAAGGTTTGGTTGACGTCGACCCAGTTGTTGTAGATTTTGTAGAGCGTGTCGAGTTGCGCGCTGGAGAGGCAGTCGGTTGTGCTGTTGGCGGCGCCGCAGAGGAGCGTGGTCGGGTTGAAGTTGCAGCCGAGGGGGTCGGAGATGACTTGGTCGGTCAGGCCGTCCTGGGGGTCGCATTGGCGGAGGACTTCGGCGCCGATGACGTCGTACATGGCCGTCGGGATGGTGTGCGAGGAGTTTGCCGGGGCATTGTATGTGGTTTGCTATGCCACCGGTTAGCACGATATGCACGAAGGGGTCAAGTCACGGCACCTTCAAGTTCCAGAGCTGCTGGTGGGTGGTCCACCATGCTGGGGCTCCAGCGAGGACACCGTCATAGTCCTCGGGGTAAGTTTGTAGTTGCTTCAAGGCATGCCTTCCACCGACGGAACAGCCAGTGAAGTAGTTGTAGCTGGAGGCCTTGCCGTACCAAGCCTCGATGATGTTCTTGGCCACCACAGTGCAACCGTGCACGCCGCGGTATCCCCAATCGATCAAGGACTCAGGAGTCTGCCAGCCTGGCACTCCGTCCATACCCGAGTGACCGCTGTCGGAGGACACAGCAGCAAAGCCATATCTCACAGACGCACCCTGTATTGCCATTAGCATGACTTCTGAAAGTGAGGCAAGTTACCTGTTACAATATCACGCCAGTTGATGCCTCCTCCGGGTGCGGCAGCGCTTCAGGTTGTTAGTAGTGCGTGCTATCAGAGCAATTGAGATTCATACATGAGACGTCCGTTCCAGTCCTCGGGTAGGAAAAGGCCAAAGCTGTAGTGAGAACCTGCCACTGGACCAGTGACGTTGACCTCCACCGCGCAGAGATTGGGGAGGTCGCTGGAAAGAGCGGCATCAGCGTCAGCCGGAAGGACCATCGTGCTGTTCACCGTGTGCGCAGCGGCGAACGTGACGTTGGCAGTGGTGCCATTCGAGTTCAAGAAAGACTGGAACGCATCAACGCTGCAGTTCAGCGCTGACGCCGCTCTTGCCAACGCCAGAGAGCCCAGGACCGTTTGAGGCTTCATGTTCAATTGGAAATGTTTGGAAACGAATGGTGGTGGTGCTGATCTTGATCCAAGGCTTCATTACTTCTTATAATCATGTTTCAACGGTGGCACGACGACACGGCACCGGTTACTGCTGTTTTCCGGATCTGGAGGGGTCAAACAGCGGACACTATAGCAGCGGTGCATCGTCCGCATTAGGGTAGATCCAAGCGAGGACGCGTATGTGGAATACTAAACATCACACGTCTTCCTTGAGAGGAGGTGATGAGCTACCGCCATCGGCTTACAAATAAGCTTGTTTGTGCCACATTTCCTTGATGAAAAGTGGCGCGCTACTGTACCCCACGAGAGAATCTCCGCAATGCGGCGCAAACAAGATCGGAGATAAAATCTACGTGTCGGACATATCTAAGTAGCGTCTAAACAGACACCGATGTGGAAGGGGTTAGGGCTCGGAGATCCTCGGACATAAGAGCGACGAGTCCACATCACGACCAGACTTGGGGGGGCATCATGGCCGCTTGTCTCAATATGCAGTCGGTAGGCATAGCAAACGCCGATTTTGCAGCATCGGCATTTGAATACGTCCTACAGACTATATATCATCCAAGTCCATACCCGTCAATGTTCAGGGCAAAGTACAGGAATCCGGAAAGTGGTCAGGGTACGGTAGCGATGGGAATCGTTGATAAATTGTGTTTTTGTATTCGTTGATCAGCGTTTCGAATTTGAAGTACACTGAGAGGTCCGGTGAAAAGACGATAACTAAGCCACAGGAGAGCATGTTTGGTTAGCTGCTGGTATAATATCTGGAATAGCGGATAAGGAGTTTTTAGTAAATTGCTCTTCGACGTCTTTTCCGGCCATTGCCTCCACTAGCCCGCCCTCACGTGCTGAGGGATTCGGTCCGCGTTGTTCGTGTTTGAAGGTACATACAAACGAGAAGGTTCAGCAATATGGAGTCTCGGAGGTGATGGCTCTTATGTGAGGAATGTAGGTCCTGTATCTGAAGATCAGAGCTTTCATACTCAAGTGGACACCAGGAAGCGTAAGAGCCAATCCCAATCCACAGATTATAGGTGCCGCCCGTAAAGTCAGATCCGACCAATCGGGTGGCATACCATCCGAGCTCTCGGAGATAAGCCGAAGACACTCGTGCTGTTATACTACATTAGGCTACAATTGGGCGAAAACGCCCGAGACCCCTTCCGGCGGTCTGAAGAACGTAAAGGTATGACCGAGCAGTCACCAAAATGTGCACGACTGCTACCATCATACGAGCAAAGACCAATTTGCTCTCCATTTTGTTGAATCGTGGCCCTTGCGTGTTGTTCAGGTCACGCTCTTATGCCAGGGCCATCCTACGGCCATACTACCATAGAACCTCCGAAACGCCGCGATATTGCGGGCCTTCTGGATGATGACAGAAGCACTGGTACCTGAAATGTCAGCAGCTTGGCTGAAGCCGAACTGCGCCCGAGTTTCCAGAGTAGCTTGGGTTGGGGGCCTAAAGCATCACCACAGCTACTTTAAGCATCGGCTTAAGCAATACAGGTAGGGAGTGAGACCGAATCCGATTGGAGAAATAGTGGTGGGGCATGAATCTGTTGTCCTCGGGCGATTTTTGCCGTTCTAAATTAGGACATCAAGGCACGTCCAAACATCGGTGAGCATCTGGCACATAGGGGGCCGGCACAACGGTCAGACCAGAGTCGGGCAGTTTGCTGGTTCATGTACGTGTGAGGCCACTAGCTACACCGGTACAAGAGTTGCACGTAGGGCTGCCCCGCATGTCTTGGCTGTCCCGGCCTCAGTCCGGGCCACTCCTCGCCGCCCCTTTTCCAGATGCCTGCAACATTTTCTCAGCCCTACCGATCTTTTTGCCCATTGTACATTGCCATGAGAATAGAAATTTCATCTAATTGGAGTGATATTCCGTCCATTGAGGTGTAGAAGCTCCCCAGGTCCCTGTAGAAATGTTGTAACACCACCTTTCCAGAAGCTCGTATTCACGTTCCGAGCCGGGCTATGGACTATGACGTAGACTCGTCGATCAACTCGTATACTACGGTCTCTCCGAAGTGACCGTTACCCATCACGCTGGCAGCCATACCAACAACGATCTAAAAGGGGCGTCAACGAGAGATATATAAAGACGTCCCAGTAGTCCTCTCAATCGACCATCCACAGCTTCAATCACTCAGCAAAACAACAGTCTCTCGTTCCACTCCGAACCCAACCCCACCACCACCACCAAATCCAAAATGAAGGTCTTCGCCGCCGCTCTCTTCGCTGGCCTCGCCGCCGCCGCCACCACCGTCAAGGTCACCGACATCTCCATCCGCGATAACGATGGCCTCCAGGCCGTCTCCTTCAAGGTCGACGGCACCGACTGCAGCTCGGTCAGCGCCGCCACCCTCGCCGGCAACGGCGCCAACGCCTGCGGTGCCGCCAGCCCGCCCGACTTCACCTTCTCCGTTGAGAAGAACGGCCTGTCCGACTACCAGCTCTGGCTGCACAAGAACGACGGCTCTGTGTAAGTTTCCTGTTCTCCGCTCTCGCTTTTGTAATGAGGGACTTTTTGCTGATGATGGGGTGAAAATAGCCGCGGCCTCAACGGTGGTGGCAAGCCTCCCGTCTACTGCCACGCTGGCGGTAACGGCCAGAACGACTTCGTCTGCACCCAGGTCGGCGACCTCTCGGTCGAGCTTCAGTAAATTGGCTCGCCTAGCGTCGCGGCTTATTGCTCAACACCGGCTTTGGAAGGGTTGGGAATGTCAATTGTATGATTAGCCATGATTATTGCGACAAATAATGTTTTGAAACGCTACTATCGTTCCTCTCTCGTGAAAGCCCAGGCCATGTTCAACGCTCGTGAAATTACTATCAAACCAAAATATAAAAAATGAATGAAATCTTTACTATATGCAGTATGAAGCACGAGTTACATCCACAAGCAATTTTGGAAGGCTATGTACGCTTATATCAAGTTCTGATCTGACTACGGCATGAACACAGCGATTTGAATTTGGATTCAGATAAAGAAAGATACTAGTAGTCTTTCCGCCCTTTACGCTTATCAGGCCTTTTTGCCCCCTTCTTTCTTATCGGCTCAACAATTTTGGTAGATTCTGAGTCGGTGCCGTCGGAAAACTCTGCTTCTTCTGAGCTCGAGCTCTCCGATGTATCTGACTCCGAGTATTCGAAGTGCTTAGCCTTCCCGCCGGATGCATTCTTCCCTCTTGCAGGCTTCGACTTGCGGCCATGTCCTCTTGGAAGATCATACTCATCATCCCTGACCTCATTCATCTTAGCCCGAGTCTCATCATCTCCCCGGACTTCGCTAAGATACGTGTCGAAGTGGGTGCTGGCCCTGGAAACAGTTTCAAAATGCCTGCGTTCCAGCTGCGGCCCGAAGAGTCTAGAGTCACCTCCAGATGAACCCTTCAGACTGTCCCAGTCAGCCAACGCGACGGCGGTTTGGAAGGCGTTCTTGATCTGCCTCCCGTTCCAACGGTTTCCATCTTTCCAGTGGCTGTCCGCAAATTCCAGGATCTCTTTTCGGTCGAAGCGAACCGGCACATTGCAGTCTGGGCTCTCGTTCTGCTTTTGAAGGAGTTCCAGGTTCATCTTCCAGATCTTCTTAGTGTTCCTGCGGTCGAGTGGCGGATAGTACAATGCGCAATGTACACGTGACTTGACTGCCTCGTCGAAATCGCCAACGCGGTTCGTCGTGAGAATGAGTATCCCGGAATAATACTCCAACACCCGCAGGAAGACTGATTATACGTCAGATATATGCTCTAAAATGGTAGTGCGAGGAATAGTTAGACTCACCCGATACTAGGATGTTCTGGCTAATCCATCCCCTGTTGCGGGCGGTGAGGAAGACATCGGCTTCATCCAGCAACAGGACGCAGCCCCACTTCCTTGCCAAATCGAAGAAGCTCTCCAGGTTCCTCTCGACTTCCTGAGCGCTGGTTCCTCCAAGGTCTCCGCATGTTATCGGGAACAAGGGCCGGCCGGCATTTGCAGCAACACACTCAGCGGTAGACGTCTTTCCTACTCCAGGAGCCCCATGAAGAAGGATTATGAGTCCCTTACCCTTTCCTTTGACTACATCGAATTGACGAAGTGGAGGCTGAGACACATTGTCGGTGCCAGCCGTGTTGCCTCCACGAGCGTGGGTCTTGACAAGGGCTCGCACGATGTTCTTGTGGCCGTCTGGAATTATGAGTTTCTCAAACCCGTCGTCATCACCATCTTTTACCAGTGGCACATCTTTGACTAGGTCAATGTCCAGCGGGTCTGAAAAACATCAGTTCTGTTTGATTGTCTGTTTGGAGAATGAGTACTTACACCATTTCCGGCTGAGAAGCACGTATCCGTATACTCTGTACGGTAGAAGAATCAAGCTGTCTCTCGTGAGGCTCTGGAACGTGTGCGCCTCCAGAAGGTTCGTATTGTGAACAAACTGTGACCACCGTCGTTGCATATATTCTTCGTCGTCGTAGGACACGCCTTCTCCGTCTCGAGTCTCTTCTTCATCCTCTTCAGTTGGCTTCAAGATCACACCGCCCCCGAAATTCGGTGTCGGAATTTTTGGCTCGCTGTTCCGAAACGCAAGCTCGAAATCAATCATGGCGTCGCCTTCGATCTATTTAACGTCCTGACGATTAGCAACCCATTCCTACATAGTGTAGCTCGAACAGGACGTGGACGAACCTCATCGCATCTGTCGTAAACATCACCTTCTTTGAGACTGAGACCGTTGTATCTTTGGTGTCGAACTTTTACCAGTTCTGTGAACTTCTTGCCTCTTTCAACCAAGGCTCCCTCCAATTCGCCATGATCATAAATCATCGGATAGGCTTCCAAAGATTGGATGGGCAACACGTCATCGTACGGCGTGATGGAAATTGTTGTCGGCACTGCTTTGAAATGCTTACCATCAAAGTCCAGGTAGAAACAGTCGATATTAAGATTCGAAAGGGTTTTGCGAATAGACCTCTTTGCGCCGTGGCTCCTTCCTCTAAGAGATTTCCTCCCACCACTGACTTGTAGCACGCGGTAGACTTGATGCTTCGGACTCTTGGACACGATCTCTTGGCCTGGTTGAAATAGATGCCACAGGTAGGCAAAAGGGAGCTTCTCCACGGTACCAGCCTCGATTTGCCTGTATGCTTCTACGAGATGTGCGAGATCATTGTCCAAAAAGTAAACAAGAGCCCTGAGTCCGTCCAGAAGAACTCTTGCTGTATCGTTTGCTGAATGTGGTCCCTCACGACGGACTGACCGTACATTGTACGCAAATACATCCGGAACCCATTGCTTGCTGCGCTGGACGGCCGGATCGTCAGGGGATTCGGAGGCCAGCTTTTTAAATTCTCTCTCCATTTCTTTGTGGAGTTCCCGAAACTTCTGCTCGAAGGGAACAATCGATCTGAAAGGGGGGACATGGTCTTGGTTGAGAGAAACGATCCCAGTAATCTTCCTCATTTCATTCAGTAGGAGGGTGTTCATGATTCTGACCCGGGTGGGCAAATTGTATGATACAGGGGCGAGGGCCTCTGCTGATGATGTCTTCTGAGGCTGGCAAGTGGCAGAACTGGGACTGCTGGGTCCGGAATCTAACGCAGCAGTACCATCCGTATCGCCCTCCATGGCGGGCTTCGCATTGGTCGTTGATGACACGTATAGATGGCAGTCGAGCGCGTAATTTCGCCACGGAATCCAAGACTCATCAAGGATATACACTATTCCGTTCTTCCGCGTGAAACACTTCTCGGCCTCTAGAAGACGTTTTTTGATTTTCTGCTGCTTTTTGGTCTCTTCGGGGTCTTCTGGTTCAGGGACTCCGGCATTGTCGATTCCATCGGTCGATTTCGTATCGTTCTCGCGACTGCCATGTTCGTGCCGGGTGCTTTCATTCATGGTACTGGGCTCATGTGCCTCCGATGTGTGCGATCCCGAGTTTGGCTGAAGTATAACTTCCGGCACTGGAGGAATATCGATTTGCACTTCTGGGATCACGATGTGCGAAGCAGTCCCTTCTACCACGGTAGGGCTTTTCTCAGTGCTGCCAAACTGCTTTATTTCCGAGGCGTCTCTACCAAAGAGAGGCATTGTTGGCTGGGAAGGCTGCTCTTTCTTGAACGGGGGCATTTTCTACCGGAGTCAGCGCCGGTCGGACAAGAAGGTCCTCCAATGAGATTTCTTCAACACAACGTACCACAGCTTGTCTCCGGCTGCGCAGTGAGGAATTTCGATCTCTTTCGTGTTTGGAGTAGCAGAAAAGTGTCACAGTTCATCAAATTGAATTAAGAATGTGGCGCCGAGATTGGTGAGTCGAAAGGGTACAGCCGGGGAGTTTTATCATTACCCGGTCCGCCAGTATGTGTTAGCCCGCCATTGATAAAAACCTGGCTTGAGCGGCTCAACTGGACTAATGTTTAGCCATGACGAAAAGAGATGCAAGGATTAATCGGGTAATCGCCCTAAATCGAATAAACCCCGCAGTGGGCCGAATCGCATTTAAATGGTAGATCCGGTGAGTGGCTGTAGCCGGTCGCATGTAGGGTACAACATATGCCTCAAAGTTGTGTTAAATGGAGGTGGGGGCTGACTCAGAGCAAACTTATCGAGGGTGGCTGCAGGAGTTTGGGGGCCTTCGTGGCACGGCTGCGTCTCCAGCAAGCCACCATCACCATGTGATACCACAACTGCAACACGCTTTTTCGGAGCTTCCTTTTCGGGGGGCTCAGCTGTAGAGCATGTGCAAAGTGGCTAAATCCTTCCGCACTGGTTTAGGATGATCACCGTTATTGATTTCTCAGCAAGGCTGAAGGCTTCTGCAAGCTGGCCGGGGCTTAGCGCCCACGCGTTGCGGTGCTCCGGGGGTTTCTCTTCCAAATCTCCGAGTTCTCACTCATCAAAAATCCCATTCTAACCTCGCCAATGTGCTTTAATGATCGTCCACTGATCGCGTCCGCGAATTCTATTTTCTACGGGTGTGTAGCTCACAGGAAGCTCCGTATACTGCTTTAGCGACAATGCAACAGTTCCCGGAATCTCGCGAAGGAATCGATGCCCTGTTGCTCGACTCGGCTCACGCGAAAGACTGCGCTATCGAGATAGTAGAGAAATACGTTACTACCCGTTCCTCGTTAGATTCAACACTGCCAACTCTCCAGCCTAGCCTCCATCTGGACTTCGATCGGAACCAGCCAGCCAGCAATCCGTCAACACAGGACACGAATCAGCTGTAAGAACTCAGTCCTCTCCTTCTAGCATAAGCCATGTAGGCTGATTAAGTTGGGAAGGCAATTACTTCAGCAACAGGCAGACGCCGAGAAGGAATCCTTTCTTGAAGCTCTAAAACTCTATGAAGCCGAAGCCGACGAGAAGTACAAAACCGGAATCAATGTCGAAGACACATACACAATGAAACAGGTATGGGATGAGCTGGATGAAGCTTTTGAGAAATACCAAAATAAAGGAACCAAAGGCGTTGCCGGGCGGGTCCGCGGGCTAGGAAGGAAATTTGGCAAGCATGGCGAGGCCGTCGAAGGATGGCTCGGCTTGCTTCCGACACAGTCGCAGTATCTCTCGGTGGTTCTCGGGGGCCTGAGGCTGATTATCAAGGTAAAAATGACCAAAGAAAGACCATTGGTTAGGTTTCATTACACCTACTAATGCCTGACAGGCTTCCAGCAGAATGAGAAGCATTGCTGATGATATCATGGATGCCATCCATGAGATACCGCATATCTTTGACAACACCAAACGGGCGCAGGCCCTTTACCAGTCCGACAGTCTCAAGGCCATCACCTGGGAGATGTATACCTCAATGGTGACAGCTTTGGGGCATATTCTTGAGTACCTCCGCCGCAGCCTCCGCCGGAAGTTCTTCAAAGCCGGGCTACAACAGTCGAGCTTTGGAGCGGAACTGAGCGAGAAGATCATAGCAGTCAAAGATTGCAAAGCTCGGTTTGACTCAGAAGCGGACATGTGTGAAAAGGAGATGGTGGGCCGCATCGATAACAGGAGCAAAGCTATTGAGGAGGCCGTGAACGAGAGAAGCCACGAGATTCTGACCAGTCTTGATCACCTGGGCCACATGGTGATGGAGCTCCTACATGGAAACCCAGCGGTGCCAGACCTCGCATATGAGCTACGTAAGCCCGCTGATCCCACGTGCTTGAAGATATACGGACTGACCTTTTTGAAGGTAAACGGTTGGACACTCCCCCAATCTCCACAGGAGTGCCACCGTCAGAGGAGCTTCGTCATGCGTTGCTCTCAAGACTGAAGTATGATCCTGAAGCGGCAGGAACAGATGTAATTGTGAACTACAAACTAGCAACACGACTCGATTGGGAAGACCAGGAGCGCAGCCTGTACGTGATCAGGTCACCGAAGCTAGCCTCCTGGGTTACCACAAAGACCTCCGCACCGCTCATCATACAAGGGAACGCCCCAACGGTGGCCCGGCAGTCGGCTCTGAGTTTCGTATGCGCGCGACTCGTACATGCGTTAGATGAAACCGGACAGAAGAGTGATGGCCGTGGAAAGCCGCGAGCCGAGGCAATTGCGTTGCACTTCTTTTGTGGAGAGCACGCAAGAGCCCGCAATATACGGGAAACGCCAAGCGGAATAGTCAACAGTCTGCTAGCGCAGCTGTTGACTCAATGCAAAGACGTGAATCTCGATACCGCTATCGGATGCTCCGCATTTGACTCAAGCAGGCTGAAGCCCGTGCTCAAGAGGTTCAAGTACGTCCTCGCACAGCTACCACGAACGACTACGGTTTTCTGCATTCTTGATGGACTGTCTTTCTACGTCGACAATGCCATCACAGCGCACGATGCAAAACGGCTGATCAAGGACCTCCTACGGCTTATCCACTCGAAATCACGTGAAGGACCAATTTTCAAAGTTTTACTTACGGCGCCAAACAACATGCATGCATCTGAAGTGGACTTTTTAGGCGACAGCGAGGTGATCCATGTGCCAATGTCGTTGCCACGTACGGGAGGGTTTACTGGCACGAAATGGGATCTTACTATGGAACGCTATTTACATGGGCGGAAATAAAATAGTCATAGATCAAACGAAACCCCGTACCAGAGTGCACAGTATTTCTTCCTCTCTTGCACGCCATAGTAGCGCTATCATGCCGCCAAACTTCCTGAGTGTCATCTCTCGCTAGTATTCGACTACTGATGGTGTTGAATTTCTCGACCAACAGATAGGTTCTGATAAGCGCTCAGCGATGTCAGAACGAAGAGAGAAGTGGACTGCGCCGCACGAGATGACTGATTAATCAATCAAAGCTCAACAGTGTCATCAGTATTATTCACACTCACCATAGCTCCCTTCCAGCGATAACTGACGCAGCCCGAGAGCTAAAAAAAAAATATGTTTCGTAATTCTTGCCCGATTTGTTACCGCGCGCCAAACTGACTGCCATTTTAGGCAGCGCTCAGTGGTGTGCTTGTCGCTAGCAGCTTCCGCAAGCGAGTTGCAGAATTCGAACGTGGAATTAGGGTATAGCGTGAATATCTGCATGATCAAACTCGCTGTACCTCGCTGAACGGGGCTGAGCCTTAACTCAAATCAAGCCGTTCTAAAAGCGGGCCTCTTTCCATACCGACTGTGTGGACGAGCATCCTTTCAAACTCCTACCAGGTATTCAGTCGCGCGCGCCTAAATAGACGCTGACCCACTGGGGCTGTGTAGTGTTTCGAATGTTCGGCTCACTTCCCTATACGTAGTCGATCAGCAATGAGGCACAGCTGCTTGGCGCTGTTCGAACATGGATGCGATGAAGCCAAGCTCATTCTGTCAATGAAAACCTTATGTGCGTAGCGCGCGCTTTGGCGTATGTCCTCGATTTCCAATGCGAGAGTCTGGGTTGCCCAAGTCCGGCTGAGACTCATGCATAGCCAAATTTCCATAGGATATATATACACTCAGAGATGGTTTGCGAGCATGCATCCATCTCATTCTACTTCGCCTATCTTTATCCACACAACTTTGATCAGATATCTGCTACTCATATAACCCCTTTTTTTTGTTTATCCTTTGAAGCCATTGGCATTGTGAATGAAATGGCAAGCTCCCAAGTTCGCTGCAATTGCGATGACTATACGGTTGCAGTCATCTGCCCCACGAAATTTGAGCTCGCTGCTGTCACGGCAATGCTCGACGGTACCCACGCTAGTCTCATATCGAGTCGCCGCACAATCACGTATACCCTAGGTCACATCGGCGTACACAACATGGTCATCGCAACCCTTCCCGAAATCGGAAACAACCGTTCCGCACAGGTAGCAGTCCAACTCTTGAACGACTTTAGACAAATCAGGTTTGGTCTATTGGTCGGAACTGCAGGGGGCGTTCCAAGCGAGGACAACGACATTCGTCTAGGTGATGTCGTCGTCAGTAAGCCAAGGGGTCGCTTTGGCGGAGCCGTCCAATTCGACAGCGGAAAGCATCGAACAGGTGGAAAATTTGAACGGACGGGAACCCTTACGAAGCCACCAACATTGCTTTTGACGACCATTGAACAAGTCTATGCCGAACACCTACAACGCGGCAGCAATATGTCCAAACACTTGGAGGAAATGGTGAAAAAATGGCCGGTGATGAAAACCAACGGGTTCATGTTTCCTGGGGCGCAATACGACCAGCTTTTTGAAGCAACATACAATCACACTGGTGGGAAAACTTGCCAAACTTGCAGCCGGGACGGAATCATTGATCGGATTCCACGATCCAGCACTAGCCCAAAGGTGTTCTATGGCACAATTGGGTCAGGCAATGCCGTCATAAGAGATGCACAGAAAAGAGAGAGGTTGAGAGAAGATCTTGGTGTTCTCTGCATAGAGATGGAAGCGGCAGGTGTGATGGATGAATTCAACTGCCTTGTTATTCGTGGAGTCAGCAATTACGCAGATTCCCACAAGAACGAAATATGGCAACCTTATGCCGCCGCTACTGCCGCTGCATACATGAAGGAGTTGCTGTTGGCTATCCCAGCAAAACAACGGGGGCGTACCCCCAATATTGAAGAGCGTAAGTTCCCCTTGACCTCTGAAATGCTCTTTTAAGTCAATATTCTGACCGAATGCTTGTAGAACGCAAAGATGAGATCCGGACTATTCCGTTCAACCCTCCATCCTTGCTGGTCGAACACGAGGAGATATACGATCAACCTGAACACAGCCCCCTCAGCACTTCAGGTGGGAGGTCAGTCAGTAACAATTCATCCATGCCGTATCGGCTCAAGGGCCCGGGGAAGAGGTCCTCATAGTTTCATTTTGCGAATGAGGACTACGAGAGGACTGTGCCTCTTTTTGGCCGAAATGCGTCAAAGTGTGTAGTAAATCGCTGCACGTATGTACGTAGTATCGTAATGAGTTCCACGATTCACACAGTAAGAAGAGCTATTGTCGAGATAGGTGTTTGGAAGAATATTTGAGCGTGAGCGCTCCGGGAGAAAGGCGAAAAAATCTCGATGACCCCTCGAGCCTTGTCTGTTCCACAGATAGATCAGTACCTCTATGGTACATCATAGTCTTTGAGATCCATGTGAAACTTTCACTCCCGCGATCCATTCGCTGACCGTCTTCACCTCATCTGCTATAATTGGCCAGATCAAGTTCGTTGCAGCATCCTTACCGGCAGTGCTAAAGCCGGCGGTCGCGTCAGTCCTGTAGAGATAAAGCCCGTTGAGTTAGAATAAAGGCTTCAAGTCATGAGAAAAAAGTTACACCTACAGCATAGTCGTATGGTAGCCCCTTTAGCAGTTGGATCATCTGATTAGCTTTTGCCCAGCTGTAAACGTAATCGGGACTCAATGTTTTCCTACAATTCTCTCGCATATCTTGCCGTGGACTCCATGCAAGTGTTGGCGACCATCCCAGCAATCACCAGGTGGGTGATCTCACGCTGGCGGAGCTGGTAATCCAGGTCGGTATTGGCGAATCCACTGAACACCGCTGTATCAGCAAAACATCGTCGTGACAATCCGCGCCACGGAGACACGTCTCCTTCAGCATGCTTCCGCACTTCGCAGACTTTGCACGTCGCTCACCTGCTGTTCCAGTGCTTGCTGACTACAACATCGCCGTTCCCCAGAACATCCGGCTCGAGGCCTTCATGAATCTCGGCTCCCCAGCTGCCCTCTTCAAAAGCTCTCATGTTGTCGATCCGCGTCGTCGAAGTGTTCATGTGTCGCCATCCTTGGTAGTTTCCCTCCTTCCACGTCTTGTGCAAGGCGTAGTAGATGGGGAGATGCGCCTTGCGCGCGGCGCTCACGAGTTCCTTCATGTGGGTTACGGTGTCTGTTGCCGTGAGTGATTCGCTGACGCGGCTGTAGAACTTGCCGTCCGGATGAAGGAAGTCATTGTAAGGGTCGACGAGGACAATCGCCGTGTTGGGCGGGGCAGAGGTTGAGTTCTCGGTGGAAGACATTGTTGCTGTGCTGTAAAAGCCCTGTCATGTCATCGTTTCAGTTATTTATGCTTGGCTTGGGGAGGTCCATGATGTTGGATCGTGGCCACCTCGGACGTCATCAGGCTTGGCTGCTCGCCGGCTGATTACTGATATGCCGAGCAAGGTCCTTCAGCGTGTCCCGTTTCGTAACTCATCGCTTGGGTAATGCTAGGATAATGGCGCCGCTAGCGCTGCGGGCTCACGTCTAACCGACAGCCTTGTGGGGCAGCTCGATTACTACCGTTTCGGGATACTGGTGGATGCATCTTCCAGCGCTATTCGGGGCCCGTCCAGTCAAGCTGCTTGGCTACGATGGGCTACGTTGACAAGAATCCATTTCAAATCAGGTTTCGTGCCCTACGACTTTCTGGTCTGACGGTACCAAGCAGCATGAAACCCAGTGAGAGGCCGAAGTATAATTCACGCCGAGTAAACTCCACAATATGAGCTAATTCGCATGGTCGGCTTCGAGATACCCCGCATCTTGCACCTGAAATTACAAAGGCCGTGCTAGTTGCTACAAGGGGTAAACAAACACCCCGCAGTCTCCTCAGGGGCAACTAAAACCGATTGGCATTTGCAGGTTCTAACTCTAGGACTGTATAGGATACCCTAACTCATCTTTCCGTCCTGTTAGGTCTTTCACCACCCTCAATGTGAATTTGTTTTGGGATTCTATATGATTCAATTGAAGGATTTAGCACAATTCAAATATTTTCACTACACAACGACTCATGTGAAAGCAACATTTGAAAGTGCGCACTCGCGTAGGCATCCAGTATTTTGGGAGTAATATGTAGAAGTAGGGGTCACTCATGTTGATGTTGTAGGCATGAATGAGTGTCAAGACAAACATACAAAAGTGGGCCGCGCTTGTCGTAGAGCGTGAACTTAGTCCCCATGTCGCAGGGCGCGCCACCCAGTAGCTTTATTCCTGATGCACATCGGGTTAAACTTACCCCGCACCTTGCAACCGTATGAATTTCCGATTGGAACATCTCTTAGGGAATTATTTTCGATGATCATATCACTCGTGTCGATATTTGTGTATGTAGCTACAAGCCTTCCCGGATGCTCATGACCATAATCACTCATCCAGTGATTTTATCTTAATCTGACTAGAAGAGTAAGTTGACTGGAAAGGGTGTAGCTGAGAGTGGGGCATCCTGAACTCGAGCAGTTTAAGACGCAACAACCTTTAATGACCATTGGCCTGAAGTTGTGTGGCATTGACTAAATAATGCCGCCAGAACCAATCAGTTTTTAGTAAAACAAGCTGTAGCTTAAATTCAGATTATTCAGATTCCGTTGCGAGCCGGCAAGGTCCAATGATTAGACACTACTAGGTTGACGCACTGAGGCTCAGAAGATAAATATACTTACTTAATGTCGAGACAGCTCTTCAAATAAGTAATTCTCAAGTCGACTAATAATTGACTAATTTATTATACACGGGAAATCTCAGTTATGCTACTAAATCTCACCAAGGACACGAAGGCTTAATCATTCCTAAAAGGCTACGAATTCCAAGCAATACATCATGAAGGAGGACCGAAAGCATTTATACAAATACACCTAACCATTTTTAACATCAGTAACAGAATAAAAGTTGAAGAGCCTCCTCAATCGAAACACGTTTCCCCTCATGGAGGCTGAGTGTTAGGCCCTTGAGCGGTTTCACGTGAAATCTGCTGACCTTCAGGGTCATTCGCATTTTTCTTCTCTTCCCTCTTCTTCTTACCCTCCTCAAACCATTCGTGAACCTTTGTTATCCAGTCGAAATCTCGCATCGGACGGAGATTCTTTCTGTAGGTTTGCAAATACTCTTGCCTTCCTAAGAAATTCCGTGTGGGTTCGGGCGTATGTTCGTAGATACGATGGTAGACCGGATGGAGCACTGCTTGGACACAGTAAACCATGAACAGACATGGGACGAGGACTATGGATATCACAGGTCTCCCAACGCTCTGAACGAATTCAATCAGCGGCTCCACGATATTCTTTCTAAGATGTTTGGCGTTGGCCAGTGCGAACACGGTAATTGATAGCGAGGTGATGGCCGTTGCAATCATAAAGGTGAGCGTTGGATTTCCCGGAGCCTCATTCATGCTGAAGATACCAGTAGCAAATCCAAGAGGAAGGAAGATAACAGTGACATATGTGAACAATGACATATTCTCCGAGCCTCTAAAGCTCATCTGTAATATAATTAATATCTATAAGTCAGTCGGAGGGATGCACTTACATCTTCTCGGATGGACTCCAAACGTCCAGTCAACGAATCTCGGAACGTTTTGATCCTCGCATTCAACCTCTCCAGATTCCGTATCTTTCTTTGGTTTTGAACACGAAGTTTGTTCATCGTGTTTCGGAAAAGTCTTTCATCATTTCTTGTCCATCTCGGGCTCTCCGGAACACGGTCTTCTTCACGCCTGCTCCACTCTTCAATCCTCTCCAAGTTTTCGGTGAGATCTTCTCCCAAGGTTTGGAGAATCTCTTCGAACAATCTCCAGCGGCCTATGACGTTGAAATATCCTTCACTGTCGCCCAATTCAACAAACTGGTAAGCGCTATCGATGGCCTCGGAAAGAGGGTTGAGAGGATCAGATGCGGCCATCTTGTAAGGCTGGGCGCTGTCGTCGGCCCCGTGTACGCCTAGTACACTCTCTTGTGCCTTCTTCGTCGAATATTTAGATTCTGCTCCATTTGTAGCCCCGGAAGCTTTCAACACGCTAACTCGAGCCCAGTTGAATATATCTTCCGTTTCTTTCTCGATATGAAGAAGTATCTGGTCAAACAGAAGGAGTTCAAGGACTTTCCGCTGCTGCCACGGATACTTCGTTTTGCCAGTTTGAGGATCTGTCAGTTGGCTCTGTATGTACTTCTCTTGTGTGATAGATTCCATGATTGTGGGAGCAACTTTCGGGTCGCTCCCGGAAGCATGTTCAGAACATGGCTCAACGGCGTTTGACCTCTCCATGGTGGTGTCTTCGTTCGGTGTCTTTTTTGGTGGTGGATTTCCCGGTATATATTCGAGGAAGTGGCAGGTCCAATATCGGTCAAAAAAGTCCCCCACAAACCTGAATCCCATAGCGGCACGCACAATACCCGTAGCCATATCTGGTTTTGCCTTTGGGTTGACGGCTCCCTTTCGCACAGCTGTGGAATGAGCAACGACATAACTGAACTTGGGTATTCCCTCCTCTTCGTGGAAGTCATCAGGCTCGGCAAACCCAGCAAGGCGATAGAATGAAAGCTGGAACTCAGTCTTCCACTCGTTCAACGTCACTGATGTTTCATCGGAGAAATACTTGTCGTAGAGCGCATGTCTGTCGAAGAATGCTGATAGATAGTACTGTTCGTCAGGAGGAGACGCAAGACAACAAATCAATGCAGTCTCTCTGTCGGCCTTGGGCAACCATATGAAGCGTTTCTTTGCGGATTGGACATCGCGCTGCTGTCCGAGTCGTACCGCAAGTTCTCTGTTATTCTGAAGGTTACTGTCCAATCCCCCTCTTGCCCCCTTGGCACCTCGAGGGACATCGACGACACGGCCTTTGACTCTTTTCTCATCCGTGAATGAGTTTGCATTTTGCTCACTCGTGAACAAGGTTGCCATTTTCTCGTCCTTTGATTCCAAGTGATAGGCATCCAAAGCAGCCGATACCAGCTCTTCCGAGCAATGAGGGAAGATTTTGACTTTCCTTATCACTGGATTTGATTTGTTCGGACCTTCAAAACGCAGGAATCCAGGATCTAGCCCAAATTTCAAAGCTTGTGGTCCCTGCTGAAGCCAATCGTCCGATATCTCCACGAGACCTTTGGGGTCAATGAATTTGTTTGAATTGGCAAATTGCAGCTTTTTCGCCATGAAACCGCTTTTCCGTTTAGAGCTGCTGATCTCCTGGTCGTTTTGAGGCATGCGTGGAAGTGGAAAGCCGTCTGTAGAGGTGAATTTTGTCACCTTTCCTTTGCCGCATCTCCAAAGAATATGCGGAACTTCGAAGGTCGTCTGCCAGTAAGTGTCACGGTAAGTTTCCTCTTCGAATTCCATAGGGGTACGACTGCTCGTCAAGAGCCCAGGGAAAAGACCACTTGACGAAGTCATACCCAAAAGGGTCATCCATGTGCTGTGTAGGAGGGCTTCAGGTGGCATACTGTTGATCGACCTATCCTTTGAGGCAAGAATGAATGCTAAGGCATACCAAAGTGGCTTTCTCCACTTCAAATCTTGCGTTTCTTCATGTTCGACTTGGCAGTCAATTGTGTTCTTCCACTCATCCATGACGTACTTCCAACGATTGTATTCTTCATGAGATTTCGATTGTTTCTTGGAAAATATACTGGAGTCCATGACGTGCAAAAGAGCGGTGTCTTTTGAATGGAAGAGAAAGCGGGTCTCGGATGCTGTACGGGACGTGGCAATCATGCGTTGCTTCGAAATCGGATTCTCGGTAATGAATCTTTTGAGCACGTTTCTTTGGACAACTTCAGGACGGAATCTTTCCAAAGCGTCTCTGATTCCAGTGTCGTCGTAGTATTGAGTCATTCCGTCGAGTTTTGTTAAAACCTGAGAGATCCGAACGTGATCCACCAAATGAAATTTTGTCTTGTCTGTAGATGGCGTACGTGCGAAAGCATATCTTTTTCTATCATCGTCCCGGTCAAGGTCCTGGAGCCAAGCCACGACTCTTTTGGATAGTGCCTTCATTGAATCTTTCGACAAGGCACCGGTGACCATATATTCTCGGAAGCTAGAGCCGCTGTTGTCGAAAACTTTGAGTATCTGCAGGGGAGTGTCCACTAAAGACGGCCCAGGCAGCCAAGCTGTTTCGGAGATCTTCTGGCCGCTGGCCCAATAGTGCGGAGCAAATGCAAATGATGCTTTTGGATGGTCCTTTCCTTTAGGAAGCTCTGTTGTTGACTCGAACACCCATCTTATGTGTCGCTTGCATGTCGTGCTGATCCGTGTGTGCAAGCTTTTAGCATAGAGGGAGCGAGGTTGAGTCTCGAGATATTGATTCATATCGCGGAGATATTGTAAGGCATGACTGGATTCAGTTAGCAGTATGCCTACTGACCCAATATGGGTCACTTACAAGCTCGCTGCTAGTCCAACATAATGACCAGAAATATCCCCGCACGTCAAGGCAATCGGTGAGTTGCTGTCCGTAGTGGAAATCACAGTATCTTCTTCAGAGGGTTCTCGTGTTGTTGGAGCGACTGGAATGCTACAAACAGACAATATGTGTTCCAAATTGCGCCGGATGATGAAATCCAAATTCGGGTGACTTGAGAACGATATTTTCTCGTAACTTCCGTGTCCATTGATCGGTGATTTACTGATGATTTCTTCAAAATCAGCGAGCTTGTTGTCAGCCTCATTGAAGTGTAGCTTGTAGGCAAGAACCACATCAAGCACTCCAAGCTCGTTAACTTGATGTTGTATATTCTCATTCAAGTCCATAGTAGCGGCTTGACCCTCTAGATTGAGTGATTGCAGCTCTCCATTAACGTAAGGTGTGATCGCTAGAATAACCGCCTTTTGATGCTCGGGTTCCTCGAGGCCGAGCTCTTCTGAGTTTTTCCTGGTGATGTGATGAACAACTTCAAGGCTTCCTTTGTTGACACCAAGCCGGTAGCTGTAAGTGGGGGCTCCGGCTCTGGTTTCCTTAGAGCTTGCTCTGAACATGGATACGTTGAAGCGCTCGAGCAGTTTATAACGCTCAATTGTTGCCTTATCCATGTTAAAGTATGATCTCTGTGTGAAATCGAGATTCCGAATGAGCATACTTGCTTGCAGCTCCAACTTGGTGAGTTGCAGACCTGCTTGTGCATCAGCTCTTCGTTCCAACGTGCATTTCTGAAAAATAGTTCCATCGTTGCAGAAGTACTGAATCGAAAAGGAGAAGTTCGTCGACAACGCTGAAGAGGGGCGTGTCTCTTGTGACGTCGTTTTGTCCCCTGTTTGCGCCTGGTACTGGCTGTTTCGAGCTATGCCATCAGCGCACTGATCTGCCGCAGGACTGACGAAGCGGGGCCAGCGGTCGTCAACAAATTCCAGACGAGGGAGAACTTCATCGAAGTCCCATGAATCGGCAAAGGCTTGTCTCCAGTTTATGCCGATAGCTGCAGTGTTGCTTTGCGCTTTTCTCAGAATGTCTCTCAGGCGACGATTGGAGTAATAAGGACTCGAAAAATCGGGGAGGTCGGCACAGAAGAAGCCGGAGTGGCCAATGCCAAAATATTTAGAAATCTGCAACGGATGGCCGTATGCGCTCACACTTGCAGTTGTACCGTTGTCGCCAAAAGAAGTGTATGTTTTGCGTTCTCCAACTTCTTTGAAAGTGCCAGGAGCGGTTGTTAGTCGTTTCGGCGCTATCCGTGGCTCTATATGCAACCCTGATCATCACTGTCAATAGATATATTGACAACATGGCTAATATGATCACTCACTCTCCATGAGTTTTTTCCTTTCGCTTTCCTGCTGTGGAAATTCGGATTGTGTAGCGCTCATATGCTGAGATGCACATTCTTGGTCTTGTTGCTCTTTTGCGGGATCCGATACTTCTTGAAGCCCCTGAGAAAGCGTTGAAGAGTCGTGCGTTTGAGTGTCCAAGCCTGGTTCCGGATCCGGTCCCGGTCCCGGGGATGGCGGACTCATGGTTGTGTTCAAGGTGACCGTAGGTGACCACCCTTGGCGAACTCGTGGAGGCAATTGATCTCTGATTATCGCTGATCTAAAGATGAAGCATGCTTCAAGGACAAAAGACTTTGGTGGCCAGAAAGTGCGGTACTCCCGTGTTTGGCTCAATTTATCGCTTTCTTGGGGTGTTTGTCAGCTGAGACGAGGAAGTTGCTGGTCACATAAATGCGCGCTGTTGAGAAAAGTTGAGTTCTTTTAAGCAGACGACTCTCATCATGTGCTCACTCCTCATGTCCGTTGACAAGTTATTTCCGACCAATTCCGTTCAACCCTTCAGAAAAAAAAATAACCAGGGCTCCACACGACCATGCAATGTTGCAAAGGCCAAGCCTTGTGCAAAGTGGGCATCTATGCTTTTTTTTTAAATTTTTTCTTTGGCCTGAAATTCAGAGCTCATGTCCTTCGGGTGCCGATTCCTTCGGAACCAGAAATTTTAGCATTGTTTCTCCTTTCATCCTGTCCAAACTTGTGAAAAACAATTCTGCGGGCGATCAATAGAGCGCGGCTGAGTCTTGCGGATCCTTTCTTTTTTTGGCCCCCACTTAATGCATGTTTCTTTTGCGAGGTGAGACTCAGAGCTGAATATGTGCCACGTTGGCATTTTTACCGGTCACAGTGGGGCAGCTGAAAAGATACTGACAGCCAATCTACACTGATCTGAACAGATTCGTCGTTAAGCAATCACGGAGCCCCGCACTCCGAGACATCAGATCAATAGAATTTGTGTCACCACAGGCGCTTAGCTTCCTCTTATAGTTGTTTCAGCTCGCCAAAAGTCTCCTTAATTTCGAGGTGCATTGGTGGTGACTCTTGTGGAGAGCGACAGGAAAAAGACGCTGATGTGGAGGTGGGTTAGCGAGACTTGCGAGTTGCCAGAGTTGGATTAATGGCTCGAGTGACCCAACGCACTCCTTTAGCAAAGCCTCGATACCCGACAAGACAATCCTACCAAGCAAGGGAATCCCGCGATCACAGCACTCTGACGGACAGATTTCAATATTCAAAGAGAATCCTTCTGAATGATGATGCATGTAACCAATTATCTTAAGAGGTATTTTCCGCCTGATTCCATTTGCCGCAGCTAGTGCAGGATATCAATTGGAGTGGACTTTCGGAATCCGCCAGTGTCTCAGTCACCAGAATGATTACTCGTGGCAAGGCTCTCTCCTCATATTGGTCGCTGTCCATCTCCAGCGTCTGTGATTTCCACTGGGGCGGCATTGCCCCCTACGCCACCACAGCAAAGCATTATTGCGGTGTGGGCCTCTTTTGTGTGCTGTGAAACCCCACTGTCTCTCTTTCAGCCACGGAGATACCTGCCTCGCGGGGAAACGGCACAACTGCCGCATTAAATGATCTATGCCAATCGCACAACTTTCACGGTTTAGGCAACTGCTTCCACCAGAAAGCAAAAAAAAGAAGGTAAGGGTTGTGGGGGCGGAAAATGGCTATTAGCATGCTACGTAAAACTGAGGATACATGGAAGCAAAACAACTGACAATAAATTGCATTAAAGGCAATCTGCATCATCAATTCACCACAACACCGATGGGAGGGGATCCGCCTTTTGTCTACAGATCATCCCAGATTTACACTGCACAGCTATTCACTCTTTTCCAACTTCCAGTTTAGCAGCTTTAGCGGCTTTTTCAAAAAGATAATGCCACTGAGAACATCCAATTCGGCTGGTTAGGGTGGCGCCTTCCCTTTCAAATACTGTAGCATCTTTTCCAGCATGCGCCTGTTGAATCATTTGACACAGGATGCGTCCAATATATAGGTGTTCAATTAATGATGTGTGGAAGCGGTATTTCAATGACAATGCAATAAACCCCCTTGGCTTGATATACGGATTTTCAGGGTCGGTGGTGGGTACCAAGCCGAAACTCGCCTGCAGCTACTCTGTGGGCAAGAGATGATGCTGGTTCATTGTACTAGCTGAGTCTCGAGTTTTGGAAGGAGTCATATTGCTGATTGTGGGCATGTGAAAAGGACAGGAACATGCTGAGTACACAATACTGGCTGAGGAACAGCAACAGTTCTAGCCGTGGCGGTTGCCTGCCGTGCAACCAAGAATCTGCAGAAGGGTATTGCATCCGACGGCTAGCGTTAATTTGTTTTTCGCTAATGTCATGGGTAGTTGAAGCTATCGTCCGGACGAAGTTGTCGAATTAAAAATTCTACATACACGTGCAGACGATAGCTTCGACTACCCATGTGTTGTTTTATTTTTTTTTCTACGTAGCAATTGAGTGTGTGCTTTATGGATCATATCGCCATTCGTAAGACATATCGTGCTCAACGCCTCCTTGAGCCTCTAGATGTCTTGATCTTCAGATCAGCTTCACGGCCATCCTTCTTCGCAAGTGCCCAGATGTCATTCTTCACCCCTTCAGCGTATTTTCCCAGGCCCCAGTGGTGAATCTCATTCACCCAGCCAACAAACATGCGGACGTCGCCCGCCGCCGTGAGTCGACCTTCGCTTAACAGGCGGACTCTACTCCCCAGCCACTGCCCAGACTTATCAACTTTCGCGTCTGCAATCCAGACCTGGAAGTCTACGCCGGCCATGATTATTCCGTAATGCCGTGCGGCTTCATGGTCTGGTGTAGTCCAAGAGGAATCCTCACGTACTTTTACGGCGTCGTATCGAAGCCTCCATCGATTGTAGAGACTAAGTACAGCCGCACAGGTCATCTGGTTGACACTTTTACGCATAGCGTTCTTGTCATGACGATCCTCCTTGAAGTCGACGGAGAGATATGGACACAGAACTCGGTACCGATGGTGTGTGTATCTGTCAGCAGAGAGCTTCCAGTTGTGCCCGAATGCTTGTAAAGAAAGCCAATACATTGCGCCTGGTGATATTTGAAACGAGTATCTCTTTGTTGATTCGTCTTCTGCAAGCAGTGGTGGAGCCTTCCAGTTTGTGTTATCATCGTCTAGTTGAATCGATTCCTCATCTCGTCGTTCGACAAGAAACTGGTGGGCTTCCTTGGGGTCCAGGTCCATTATTTCCTGCTCAAGGAAGTACTTCAACGCAAGGTTCGACCATCCCCGCTCGTTCAATCTCCAGGAGTCGAAAGTGCGGTACTGCTTCACCACCCGTTGCACAAAGTCGGGTCCTCCGTCAATAAAGATTTCCATTGGCTGTCCACCCAGTAGCCCGTGATAAATTGCCTTCTTTCCAGACTCGGGGGCCGTTTTCGTTTTGAAATGGGTGCGCGGAAAGTCGTAAGCGTCTGTACCCCTAAGGATTTCGACACCACGTGGAATTAGAACCGTCGTTTCGAAGTCTGCGTCATCGATGCTTGCTTCAGTATCAGAGCTCCGCTTTTGCCTTTTTGGAGCAGGCTCTGGGTCCGTGGTTGTCTGGGTAGTCGATGAATCGCTGGAAGTATTTGACGTGGCCATTCTGACAGTGGACCATAGCAGGTCGGTGTTGACAGGATCAGAGTCAGGGATATCGGAATCGATGTTGTTGCCTGCGATGCTAGGTTGCGCCTGCCGCTTCATGACCGCTGCGTGGGAAAGTGCGAGACTGCCGCAGTTGCTTCCCTCCTACTTATAGTGCAACGTAATCGTTGAAAATTTATTCGGTTGGTCCAAAGTTGAAGGAAGGGTCCGAAAAGCGACTACATGAAATAGCTTTACCCAAACGAGCGTCTCCCGAACCAGTTAAACCCTGCATCCATAGCTCCAGCGTATGGTAGATATACGTAGACAATTATTTTGCCAGAAGCGCAGTTTACCATCCCGCACGGACCCAACTGTTTGTTCGCCTTAAATCCGTTACTTGCGCCACACCATCAACAAAAATAAGCAATAAGCCGAACCTGACGTAAAACGCGCACGTTATCGCGTGTATCCGATCCTTCAACGCCATAAAACCCCCCATCACGAGAGCATCCATCTTCCCCTCCCACCACCACCAACACCCTCCTCCACAACAATGTCTCCCACCACAAACGACCTCGTCCTCCCGCGCCCCGGCGCCACGCTCGGCGCACCACAACCCCCCATCCCCGGCCCCACCGAAACCGCCTTCACCACCACCTTCGGCGCGCTCCTCCCCCCCGCCAAATTCCTCACCACGCCCACCGGCAAAGCCGCGTACTACGAGATCCCGCCCTCCACCACCTCTTCTCCCCCCACCCCCTCCCCCAGCGCAACCACCACACCGGACCGCGTCCTCCTCATCCACGGCGTGCAAACCCCAGCCCTGGGCATGCTCCCGCTCGCCCGCGCGCTCCACGCATCTTTCCCGCACGCGCACCTCGCCCTCGTCGACCTCTGGGGCCACGGGCTGAGCGACACGCCCATCGTCCCGCACGACGCCGCGTTGTTCCACGGACTCATCGACGCCGTGCTCGATGCGCTGGCGTGGCCGGCTGCGCATCTGATTGGTTTCTCGTTCGGCGGCGCGCTGACGGTCGGCTACGTCGGCTCGCGGCCGGAGCGCGTAAAGAGCTACGCGCTCGTCGCGCCGGCGGGGCTGATTCGGTCGTCCGGGTTTCCGGTTGACGAGCAGCGGTATCTGCGGCGGGGAGGGGAGGGGGAGGAAGAGGTGGATGAGGTCGCGGCGCGGGACTGGGTGCTGCGGGTGCTGGAGGGCGGGGAGCTGCGCGTGCCGGGGGATTGGGAGGAGCGGGTTGCGCGGGGCGAGGTGGTGGCGGAGGCGGTGCGCGGGTGGCAGATGCGGGAGCACCGGGGCCACACGGCGTCGGTTGTTGCGGTTTTTAGGGACGGCGGGGTTATGGACGGGGAGGCGGAGTTTGTGAGGGCGGCTGAGACGGGGATTCCGGCGGTGGTGGTGTTGGGGGGGTTGGATGATTTGTGTACGGAGGAGGAGTTGAAGGAGCTGGGGTTTAAGGATGTTCATGTTGTGCCGCAGGTTGGGCATGGGGTGGTGAGGGAGAGGGTGCCCGAGGTTGCTGGGTTTATTGGCGGTTTTTGGAAGAAGCTGGATGAGGTCAAGAGCAGCTGAAATAGGCCGTGGGCCTTGATGAGCAGGATGCAGAGTTGCGGCTAATTACTACCTTTAACATTAGGCGTAAAGTAGTTCCCCGCCTCTAGTCGTAAGTATTTACTTCCTCAAGAAAATAGCGGAATATAGGTGGAAAGAAAATACACAATGAGGCTAAGAGACTGAAAGGGGGATAGAAAAATTATGAGGCCCTTACGTAGAATACTAAAATCGGATAAACCGCTTGTCCCTTGGTGGAAAGGTTAGAATGGTTGAAATTTTGTGCTTCTGCTTGTCTTTTTTGAAAGAAAAGTAGAGCAAGTGTCCTCGAATACATGAATCTGAACTGATATGAATGAAGGAATGGGAGTTTCTGAGGAAGCAATACCCGAGGGTATTGGCATGTATAGTGGTAAGCAATGCCCTCCCCTTCTCTAGAATCTTCGAGGGATTGTAGTAGCCGAAGGAATGAACAAGTGCAGCTTGAATAACAAAGACATGCTGGTTGACATAAAACCTTTTGTTTCCCCTTTATCCAATACGAATTTCCCGCATACACAAACTACTAAAGTTCAACGATTCCGGCTCCAAAGAAGTTACTTCCCCAGAAGGACCCCTCTTCATCGAGTCTGCGTCCCAGAAGTCAACGTGGCCAATTCGTTGAAAATACCCGTTCACCTTGCGCAGAAGCATAGTGTAGTATGTTGACATGGAGTGTTTACCGAGGCAAACTCCAATGTATACTCTGCACTTGAGCTCATCGAGCGGGTCCTTGCTCGAACCGTCCTGGGGATCATCGTATATGACCGCTTCTGATAGAAGCTCGTCTCCGTTTCGCATCTGTGTTACCGCGTATGTCCTCTTACTGGTCGAATCATCATGCCACCTGGGTCCTGAGGGGGGCTCATGGTATTCAAGCCTGACATCTATAGTCCAAGCTTTGAGGCGGATGAAACGGGAGATGAGATGGGACTGGTTCTCGAGGTATGACAGGCCTTCAAACTCAGACCAGGTTAAAACTTGACCATCTGTACGCTCGATGAAAGCTTCAATGCCGAAGTTGACGTCTCCTTTCTCATAAAGGTAGGGAAAGTCAATTCCGCCTTGCCAGCCCGCCCACGACCAGCTTGGTATTCCGCGTCTTGGTTTCAAGTCCACTGGCATATAAGCAGTCCACATCAGACCAAGTATGAATCCGTCGACGGCATTTCTCTCAAGATGCGTAACTCCACGGTCATAGGCAGAGGCGGAATCAGTCATTGGCATGATCGGAGTGCCCCACACGTGGGAGACGATCAACTTGGCCTCCTTCAACTCGGTCAAAATCCCAGAAAATGCATTGACGGCATCAGAAGGATAGGTCAGAGATCTTCCCGCGTACTCACAGAACAAGTCTCTGAGATGACGCGGGTCCTTCAGACCGCAGGGAGGCCGAGGCATCTTTCTCGCGAGCGCCAACTCAGCTTCCCGGTTGCAGACTGGCTCAACCTTCGGATTTTGAGCCTCGAAACCCTCCTCTTCTGGTGTTAGATAGCATGAGAACCAGGCAGTACGTTCCGTGAACACAAGGAGCCGGTTCGACAACTTTGCCTCTTGGAAAGTCCATGCTCTAGAGCCCCAGGTCGTCCGGTCGAGGCTTCTTAGAAGGGACGCCGCATCAACCAAGTGGATATCTCCGATTCTGAAACACTCTCGGCCTAGTCGACTCCTGTCTTGCACTCCGGGGATTCCGAAGTCGGAATTGTCGCCCGCCGCAGCAACAATTGTCAAGTCTGCATTTTGATATATGCGGTTCATTTGCTGGATCTGCTGCAGCTTGTGTGTACCGCTCTGATCGATGCATAGTTGGTCGACCCAAATGTACTTGTATCCGAAGCGGAGGGCGACTTCCATTGCGTCGCAGATGGTTCGGTGCTGCTCTGGAGGCTTTTGGAAAGAAGCTTCTGGATCACAGCCCCATACGTAACTTAATGCGACGTACTCCGTATGTATCGTGGCTTCCTCAAGCTTTCTCGTCAGACAGTTGTATACTCGAAGTCCTTTTACCGGCAGGCGATTCTTTGCTCCGCAGACTGGTCCATGTTCCGCCTTACATTGAGCGAATTTCTGCTCGAGTGGACCGAAATCGACCCGCTTAGGGTCTTTTGGCCAGTCATAGCGTCGTGGAAAGAGTGGTGGAAAGGGCGGTATGGATATTTCGCTCTCAGACATCGTATACCAATGGCACCAAAGCTTGGTCTGGCCTGATTGGGACGCTTCGATTCTAATTTCCGCCTCTCCCATTTCAGAGGTGGCACCACGGAAAAGATCGAAGTCATAGCCCGGCCACGAAACAAAGCGTCGTGTGAGAATGCATAACGGGCAAGTCAAAGACGAATCAACAACGTCGATGGCCAAGTCGAATTCGAAGTCCCCTATGGTCGGGGGCCGAAAGTCAAAAGATGCTTCAAAGTCAAGATCTGAGCATCTTTGGCACAGCAAGCCATCTCTTGTGACTAATGATGTATGCATTTTCCTAGTCAGACGGTGTATCGCCGTCTTAGGCTCCTCCCTACCGTTATCCCAGTGTAAAGGTTGAGTGGGTCGTGTTGCCACTCCAATAAAGTCGTTTTCACCGGATTGGCGGATGTAGGATGAGTCTCTGAACAGCTCAGCTATTCTTGGAGGCAAGACAGAAAAAAAAAAGATTCCCCAAACGGCAGGGGATCCTCAAAGATGCTGTCGGAGGTGGAAAGCTTGGGAACGGAAGGGCAAAAGCTGAAAGTACCACGTCAGCGATTATGATCCACATCTCACGTGCACGACGAGTCATCGTGGGGGCCACATCATTGGGTGATACCCGCTATTGGCCCTCATCATGCACCAAATTCCAGACTTCAGAGATAGTCTATCCTGGACCAAGGTCACCAAGGGAAAAGAGACATGGAAATAAGATCGGACGTTCAAAGAAGGCTTAAGATACCAACACAATCGGCAGATAAAAATTTTGCGGACCATTGCTTGGTTGCGAACCGGTCGTGACGCGCTGCATAGATGCAAACCACTTTGCGGTGCAACAGCAAAACAGATACATCAACCTGCCGGAAAAAGCGCCACAAGGATACTCACTGGTACTTTGCATCCACGCCCGCAAATAATCATCCAACAGTCTATTGCATTATTAATCCATCACAGAACTGACGAGACGGGATATACTCTTTACCTACAAACCAGACCTGCTCCAGTGCTTTGAATCTGATTCAAAGCTCGTCCACTGCACAGTCGTCCCAAATTATACATGTACAGCTATCCGAATTTTGTACATTCCAAGCCTTTCGAATTCAATGTCCTCTGTCTTGTCGTTTTGTAAGGCCCCGCGGACCCGTTTCTATCAATACAACGCCGTAACGCCTTTCTTATGTCCTCTAAAGATATTGCCCAAATAAACACAGTCTTATATCCACAAAATTTACGGCGTAGCTCTGGTGTCGGGTGCGTCTTTCGTCTTCGCGCCATCGTCATCGGATTTCGCCTTGGGCTTGCTCATCTTCGGCGGCGGGGGCCACTGCGGGGCAGGAACGCTGAGCAACTTGCAAACATCCTGCACACGCACAATATCAGGTCAGCAAAACTCTCACTTCATCCAACAACCACCGAGCGGCTGGGAGCAGGGGACAGCAGCGATGACCATACCTTCCTTCTCTCCCTAAAATCCTCATACAACGCCTTCCAAACCTCTCTATCCTGACACCCACTCTCCGCCGCCGTCCCCGGACGAATCCTACACTTCGGCAGCATCTCCGCAAGCAGCTTATTCGGCCACATGATCCACGGCTTCGGCAGGGGCCAGTCCGAAAAATGTATCAGCCGCGTCTCCTTCAGCACCTTCTCCGTATCCCAGAACTCGTCCTCGGCCCCCAAATACATGGTATGGTCGTCCCGCCTGAACTCGCCCGTCAGCATCGCGAGCCGGCGATGCGGCAGCACGAGCGCGGAGTCGGCGTAGCGCTCGTTCAGCAACTCCATGTCGAAGCGGTGCAGGGCGCCCTCGGACGTGAAGGCGGCGTGCATGAGGGCTTCGAATTCTGTTTGTGAGGGCGTGAGGAGGACGAGGAGGGAGGTGAGTTTGCGCGTGTGCGGCAGCTCCCAGTAGGCGCGCGGCATGGCGGCCGGGGCGGGGGGCAGGAAGAAGAGGTCGTCGAGGTGGTTGTTGCGGAGGGTGACGTCCGAGTCGAGGTGGAGGACGCGGTCGTACTGCGTCAGGTTCCAGGCCAGGAACTTGTTGATGCTGAAGTCCCACGTCTCTTCCTCCTCGTCGGCTTGGTTGTCGGTGGTGGAGGATGTTGGGCGGCTGGCGCGCACGCTCTGCATGTTCATCGGGATCAGCTTGACGCCGAGCGTGTCCCGCGCCATCACGAGCAGCTGGCTGTCGCGGTCGCGCGTGCTTTCAACCGTCAGGTCCCATTCTTCCGGGTAGAACAGCACGCGGTCGGCGCGGCTGCCCAGCGCCGCTAGCTGCGAGAACAGCATGACCGAGTTGCACAGGTACGCGCCGTTGGTGGCGTACTGCGAGTAGGCGAAGCGCGACCAGTCGACGCCCGCGTCGGGGAGGAGCCCGTTCGGCAGGCGCTGTGCGGCGTTGGGGTCGGTCTTAGACCTGCTGCCATGGTTGTACCAGAGCAGCAGGAGGAGCGCGACGGCGACGAGCGTCAGGCACCGCGAGCGCCGCCAGGAACGCGGCCCGCTGCCGCGCGAGCTCCATTGGTGCTGCTGCTGGTAGCTGGACGGCGGCACATGGATGGTCCGGGGCGAGCGGATCTTGGGGTAGTTGTAGGTGCCGTTCGGCATGCTGCGAGGAGGAGGACGGACGGTAGGATCGTGAGAATACGTAGGTCCCTTCTCCCTGCGGTGCCTGGATGCGCGGGCGGCCGGCCCGGGCACCTCCTTCCCGCGCCCGCCGCCGCTGACTGATCGCCGCGACGATTGCCGATCGTCAATCTAATAACGGGGATGTAGCCGCAGCTTCATCCTGCTCACTGCAGCTGCTCTCGGGCCTTGAGGTGACACGGCCAAGAAATTTGGCTGCTCCAATGGCTGGAAGCGAATCTCGTGCGAGGTGCTGCTGATTTCCAGCCAGTTGTATGATTGAGATTATCTCGAGCCCTTATCGAGCTTATCGATTGGCTCAGGAGCTTGGGATATTTCGTTAGCGTCGAAAAGAAAACTACTGATTAGGAAAGCGGTGAGTTCCTGAACTGCACCCAGTAGTCTGCTTCTACCCGGAGATCCACGGCACCAAATCAACAGCTGTTACGTCCTGAAATCCATCTTCCGTCCTTTCGCTTCTTTTTTATCCAATGAATGAACTTCTTACACATGCTCTCCCCGTCTCTATTCCTTCTGTCGCAATTGCTGCCTAATATGGCGTGTGCTTCGGAACTGACAAGATCCGTGAAGGATTCTTTGCTGGTGGTTGTGTTGAAACCTCATACGATGGGTGGAAACCTGGGGAAATCCGCGGTGTCCGCGGAGCCCGCGCATTCCATTAAACCAACCAACGATTCCCACAACTCTCCAGTATGTACCTTTCCTTCCTCCAATTATCGAGCAGCAGATTTCAACTGAGGCAAAAATGGCTTCCGAAATTGGTTTGAACTTCACGCAAGTTGAGTTTGCGCAACACCCTTACTATCCCCTTGGCGTTGCAGTCGTCGGGTATGCTGCGAATCAGTGGTCGCTGCTTCTGCTGCTTGGCGCTTTCGCTGTAGCATGGTCTACCGTTCTCGGTGCAGCGTACTTTGTTGTGGCCAAAAAGCAACCTACTATGCCAGTGTCTGAAGTTCTCACTTTCATGTGGTTTGTTTTGTGTAAGTCGCTACAGAACCAATTTGTAAATTGTTATTCCCACTGACGAGAACACAGCCGGCTCTATTCATTTGTTTTTTGAAGGTAACACCAATTCTCTCTACTCCAAATGCTCTCATCTAATGCATGTATACCAGGCTTTTATGTCTACAATTTCCGGGACTTGGCCAGCTCCCAGCACCTGTTCGGCCAACTTTGGAAGGAGTACTCCCTCTCGGACTCGCGCTACTTGACATCGGACCCTTTTGTTCTCTGCATGGAGGCAGTTACGGCTGTAAGTTGATTCACATCTTGAGCCGAATTCAAGCAGTTGACAGTTGACACCCGTTCAGATTTGCTGGGGCCCGCTGTGCATGGTGCTTGCCTACATGATGATCACCAACTCCCCGCTTCGCCACCCACTTCAAATCGTCATCTCGTTGGGTCAGATCTACGGCGACGTGCTTTACTTCGCAACGAACTTTTTCGATGAAACAATGTTGGGTGTGACTTACTGTCGCCCGGGCGCGTACTATTATTGGTTTTACTACTTCTTCTTCAACGCCATCTGGATTTTCATTCCCTCGGGTAAGTTTCTTCAATGGTCGGAAGTATCCAAGCAGAGTTTGTACTGACATATAGCAGTCCTGATCTGGAGGAGTTTTGCGGCGTGTCAGGGCGCATTTGAGGCGTTAACCAAGCAAGAGGCATCGCCCAAGTCGAAGGGTGCCGTGAAGAAAGAATAGTTTCATACCGGTGCGAAGGGAAAAGCTTGTCCTACAATGAATGGGGCTAACTGACTGTATTAATATGTGGGCTTTTGCATAAGCGAAGAGGCAAAAGGGATTGATTAACCGAACGTTCCGTTGCAACACGCCCTTTCTCGCTTCCAGCTGTAAAATAATTGAGAGGTTGCAGTATTGGGATGACGAGATACTGTACAATGTGCTAAAAGCATTTACTTATGAGGTCACCTCAAACTAAGTTTTTATTTTCTTGATTTATTCATTTCTTCGTTCGAATCTCTACGCTTAATTTAGTCTTTTCTGTTTGACTTCCAATACAACGAAACTGAAACAAATGAAATAATCTGACCATCGAGACACCGGTCTTGCTTATTGTGCATGGCGTGGTGTCATTTTCTAGGGTGCCTGCGCATGCACGCTTGCCGGATCCGACTGCTGTGGAAAAGAGTGTGTTCCCGAGAAGGCCATGGAAGCTTTGCCGCACCCAATCCGGCCCGGCCCAGCCAGGGTCGTACAGGGCAGCTGCCCTTAACCCCGGGCCGCACGAGTATCATGAAAGTTCCATACCATTCTTCCACAAAAATTCCTACTCCTCATCGCCCGCCGTGGCGAGTCTTCCCTCCTTCGAATTGATCCACTCATTCCTGCAGCCCACAGTCAGTATTTCCATTCACCAGAACCCCTCCGCATCACCAAAACAGGAAGCAGGAAAACATACTGCTCATTCGCCCAAGTCATCAGATAGTAGGCGCCAATCAGCGGCGGTGCCCAGTACAAGATTTGCGCTTTCGACCGCCGCCAAGTGTTGAAGATGGCGGCGTGGCCGGCGCCGCCCATGGCGCGCTGACGGTTCCACGACAGCCGGTACGTCGTGATGCCCCGCTCAGCCGTGCCCCAGACGGGATCGCCCCATTGCGTGAGCTTCGGGTATCTTTGGTGAGAGAGCGATGTTAATGTGACATGCTTTTGGTATGGGACCGGTTCGGGATGTGGGTTGCTTTACTCTTTGGCGATGCGGTTTTCTAAACTGTACCAGTGCGGTCCGCCCCAGTGAGGGTCTTTGACGTAGCTGTGGTAGGATGGTCAGCTGAGATTTGTAGAAAGTTATGGTAGTTGTTGTTCGTACACATTGTTTAGACGCCGGGAGTTGGTACCGCCGTAGCCTCCGCCGCCCATGATTGCAGGATTGAAACGGGTAAAATTGGATTGCGCGAAAGAGGGAAAATCTGAGAAAAAGGTCAGACGGAAGCAGAACTCAAAAGAGGGGTCAGACGAATTTATGCAGTGCAATGGTGCCCAGGAGACTCGCCATTGCCTAGAAGTAGGATTGAGGCTGACATTGGCAGCCGGAGCATTTGGTTCGCTCTACATCGGCTCGGTTCGGCAAGTCGCGGCCGGGTGCCGCATGAAGCCGGGATGCCAAGCCCTTCGTAAACTATACCGCTTCTAGTAATTCTTGTGCCTGATTCAGGCAGGCATTAGGGTTTTAAGCTTGTAGGGCTGAGATCGGACAAAATTAAGCATATCGAGAGGTGCACTGTGGTGTATAGAGGTCATTGAGATGTGTATTGTATTGCTTTGCGGAGGGAATCACTGGATCACAGCGTGGCACAGTCACGTGGTGGCATCTCCCCCCCTTTGATCTGGGTTTGAGTCAAGTCGTTAATTTTGCGCGGGTTGCAGACATGGGCAGAAGCGTGCTAGATCGCAGCCGTTATTTTCCCAAGCTACTGTCCCTAGTCTTCACCAGACCTGTCGTCTGTATCAATTGTTGAAAACAGAGCATTCGATTATTGCATTTTGGGCGAACATCTATTTACAAGTAGTGCAACCATGGCTTCAGTAATACAGCTACTGGGTCAGACTTTGCGCAGCGTAGCTTGTAGCATTTTCATGTAGTACTCTGCACGGCATGTGGAAATTTGTCTTGGGGAATAAGTTGAGACTATCAATAGAGCTACAATTAAAGATAAAACCCCCAAATTTGCTGTTCTGACAACGACCTCATGTTAAAGGCAGCCAAATAAATTTGCGTTGACACGCGGGTAGAAGTGGACGCTTCTTCGGGGAGCGGAAGGTCGAAAAAGCACGCGATAACGTTACTCGTGCAACATGTGTCGGAGACCAGATTTAGTCGCAGTAAAGATCCGACTGGTCATCGAAGCGGCAGCGGTTACCATCGTACATGGTCCACAGCTGAAAATAAAAGGTTAGCAGGCGCTCATGCAGTTGAACATAGAGAATCAGTGAGCTTACGTTGATGCTACCACCATCGCCGCGCGACCAGAAAGCGTTGTTGCCGGTCATGTAGAAGCAATCATAACTGCATGGCGAGTCAGCTGTGCTCATATCCCTTTTCAATCATGTGGTGCCACTCACTCGGTCTTCAGGGGACCGGACGAGACCTCCTGGTCACGAAGGCCGAACATTCCAGTGGGCACCTTCAGGTCGTAGCCCTTGTTGTAGCAGATGGCAGCAGGAGCCCTGTTCCTGTCCGGGTTGCGGTCCCACATGCCCTGAACGACAGCCTTGACGAAGGACTCGCGCTTCTATTACAGGTGTTAGAGCAACCACTGAGGGCGATTGTTGTGCGAGCTGACCTTGTTCCAGTTCTTGATACCCTTGACGGCATCAATGGCGCCCTGGACGGCGTAGCCGATGGCTTGACCGTACTGCGCAGTGCTAATCTGCGAGCCGGTGGTCTGCGGCACGGGGCTAGCCTGGACGCCAGTGGCGAGGGCGACAGCGACAACTGGGAGGAAACGCATATTGGCGACTGGAAGAGGTAAAGATTGTGAGTGAGTGAGAGTAGTTTGCTTTGAATGAGAGACTGTGTGGTGCTGAGTACAATACTTCTGCGCGGATGCAGCCGTACTTATAGCATCACGAAAACAACACCCTGAAGTCTTCCAGAGTCCATCCTGACAAACCTCCTCCATGGGGTTCCGGAACCCTCGGAGATCCGTCACCGGTGGTTGAGCAGAAACGCCGTGTTTGGCGGCCTTACAAGTGGTACTATCTCGCTTCATTGTCAGTGTTGTTGCACTACTTGACTAAGGTAGGCTGTAGCGCCAACACCTCGAACGGACGGAAATAGTAAGTTCTTCCGCCGTTTTCCTAGAAGGACTGCTAAACAATAACAAGACGACGCTAACCTGTTGCCAAGTCACAATACGCGGCTTAGCGAAATTGCTATAGTAGATCGTCCAATGAAATCACCCGACTGAATCGGCTTATTCATCACCGCCTGCTCTATCAGACGGCGAATCCAGCCTATTCGGCCCTATAAGTCATGACAACGCCATTAGCTCTCCCCACCAGAAAAACGGTGGTTCGTGCCAAGACGCCGTATCCTCATTTTCCAACGTTCCGCGAACGCCGGCAGCGGGACCTGGATGTGATGAGATGACAGAACAGCACTGAGTCCTATGGAGGCATCATCTCGCTATACGACCTATGATGTGTGGGCGTTAGCCATGAGATCATCCTGCAGATACAACAGCCGGTGAGCAGGAAGCCTTACCAACGAGCCACTTTCTAGGGGTATATGTACTGTCCGCAGCTTGCCGTCTCATCTTCAATCAGCCGCACATTCGCTCTCTCAGTCAATCGCTACACATTCTTTCTTCAAGTGTTTCCTCAAAGATGAAGTTCTCCACTGGCTTCTTAACGATTGCCCTGTACGACTCTCCAAGTCTCCATGCTTGATTGACGGCTGCTAAATATCCCGGGACAGGCTCAACGCAGGTGCAGTGTTGGCTGACATGCACAACTTCTGCGGTTGCGGCCACCGCACCGGAAGAAATGCGGTCCAGGACGCATACGTGCGTACAACAGTGCACATGCGCATGACCTCCAGCTGACTCGAGATTACAGTGGACCTTCAACGAGGAGGCGACTAAGTACGCATGCACGCGGTACAGGAACAGGAACACTGGTAACAAGAAGTGGGACAAGTGCCCGGATTGTATGTTGACCTCTTGGACTTTCTGAGAATGGTGACTGACTATGTATACAGGCCAGATGGACACGCAGCACTTTGATGGACAAGCCAACGTTCCTGCATGCTTCTCGGTTGCATGGCACATGGGTGGTGATGAGTTCGACTACTACTGTGGACTTAAGGGCCTCCAGGGATACTGCAAGGACATCAGCTAAGCTGCTCGGTGGTTGGAGTTCATCTCGTATAATAATGAATTGTTTTTCTGTGTTGCTCGAATAACCTACCTCAGAGCTTTTCCATGTCGATAGCTGAATGTCCAGATGCCTGCTTTTTGCGTTACTTGTTCCTGGAGCTAGTCGTAGATGATGAATGTCAAACGTTATGCCTGAAGCCTCATCGATGGCCTTCTAGCCAAGACGTCTAGCTGTTCAAGAAAAATTCTGCTGTCATCGGGTGATTTTTCTAAACAAATGGCAACTGTCTTCTCATCTCGCAAAAATTTGTCCATAAATTGGGTTCACTGGGCTCATTGAAAGCATGATGGAAATAGGGCGCGTTGTAAATAGAAGATGACTGGTTTAAATGATTTCATAGAATCAAGCTCCTCCAATTTCTTTGGAAGGATTGGTCATGTCCCGGAATTCATGGCGTTTAGCAAATAGCGAACGGTGTTGATCTATGCGATTGCGTCTTGATGTTCTCTACCCTACAAAAACCACTATTCAAGGAGTATTCGTTAGTTTCTATGGGGTATTGAGTGTGAACCTGGATGCGAAAGTGTGTAAAGCGAACCGGAATACGATTGAGGCTGGAATTTGTTGCTGGACCATGTCGTTCGCTGCACATGCTTAGTCTGGAAAGCCGCGGCCGCAAGATTGCTAGATGGCACGAGGGGGCTGGGTATGCTACTCGTGTTACTGCTTACCTTCTTGCTGAGTAATGACGGGCTGGCATGACGTTGCCTTGGTCATTATGCGAGAAAGGGTCAGACATGCTTGTCTTAGCGTAACGACACGCTCAGCTCTTCTCAAACCGCCAGAGAGAACAGCGTGGCGTTTATTGAGGCTTCTATTCAGCTTTGAAAGCAAGCGCCGTAGCAAGCGTCATCCAATATTACCGCGCCGCGTAAGCGATAGCCTTGCTCAGCTGTCGTGGCCCAGCTCCTGCAGTTGACTCGAAGTGGCCGCGGCAACTCCACCCACCCACTTCCCACCCCAAGTAGAGGCCCAGCCCCGCTCTTACCTGCATGCAGCTTGCAGATTCAGCTCTTAGATTGTTGCTTTCTACATTCTACTTTTATTGGTCATTTTGTCGTACAAGTGCACGAATTCGTAAATCTTCTCATACAGTCCCAAGTCCTTATGGGCGCGGCTTACGACTTTATTAAGTCTCCTTTGCTGAGGAAAAGGTACAAATATCTAACGCGATAGGCTGAAGTGCTAAGGCTGACAGCACATCGGCGTCGTCAGCAACACACGTGGCACTCTAGGCAAAATGCTACCTACTATTAAAGGCTGATCTGTCACACATCCCCCGCACTTAAGCTCGACATACACAACCTCAGCCTTGCCTACTATCGGACTCACAAATTCCTATTAAAGATTTCTCATCCCCTCAAACCAATTTTTCCACAAGGTGCCATGGACTTCTCGGACAATTCCTCGGAGAATCACACTGTGTCCTGGCATCCTGGGCCGACTACACGTGGCTCGTTTACCATTTTGTCAAGTTGTGTCATTACCCTCACACTTTGTGTGTGGAAGGTCGTCCATCTGAACCTTCCTGAGCATGAAGGCTGTCTTCCGAAGAGAAAGAAGACGAATCTTAAGTATTGGGTGACGCGATGGATCAGTCTCCAGCAATGGCGGAAAGTAGGCTGGTTGATCCTTGGCATATTCGCGCCAGAGATGGTTAGTACTTCTGGAATTATTGTTGACATTTTGATCCTGATATGGTTGCGTATTGGAGTTCCCGGCATCCTTTGCCTTTTTTTTTTATTTCTTACTCCGTTTATCCTTCTCTCCAATACATGACACCATGCTTCCAAGCTATTGGCAATATAAAAGGTTTTAAACCTCATCATATTGCTGAGTATATTTCCCGTATTTCATTGCCTTTTCTTCGACAATAAGGCAAACCCTTTGTATGTCTTAACATTAAAACGTTATTAATTCATTATACTTTATGAATCCATTTCAGCACTTTGCTGTACATAATCACGTAGCTCTATTGCTTTATTGCAAGAATCAGCAGTGTTCAATTCATTCATTTGCACCGTTCAACACAAGGCTAATTGATATATTCCAGGTCGCATTCATTGCATGGTCACAGAGACGGGATGCTAAAAAGCTCAATGATGTGATGGTCAGGCAATTATCAGAAACACAAATGTCAACAAACAACGACATTGAAATGGGGCAAACCGACCAAACACAACCGCGAATGGGCGATGAAACTGGAATGTCAAATTCTATTGAGCAACCGATGACCTACTTTGGAAACTACCCATGGACTACAACGCACAGCTTTTACGCTCTCATGGGTGGCTATGCTATCGACACCAGCGTGCTCCCTGAAAACTTAAAGTTTCTACTAGGCAGGCGTGATCGGCTTGTATTGACACCAGCCGGTCTGAAGTTCCTTGCGGAACAAAGACTAGACCTCATTCCACGTGTGACAAGAGCGGAGATTATAGATAAAAGCAAGGCCGACCCATTTGCTAAATCGATCGTCATCATACAAGCGTCCTTCTTCATCATCCAGTGCCTTTATCGCCTCATCCAACATCTTCCCATCAGTCTTTTGGAGCTGAATACATTTGCACATACTCTATGTGCACTCTTCACCTACGCCTTTTGGTGGGAAAAGCCGCTCGAAGTTGCAGAACCGACCCTAATATCTGCTGGTGAGTCTCGAGAACTGTGGGCAGCCTTGAGTTTTTATTCAAGACTTTACAAAGGCCACATAAGGGACTCAGACTTTTCAAGACGTAAAACTTCCAGACGTCAAGATATGGGCCAGCTCGAAAACATCAATACCGAACTTCGCCTACGCTCTGGAGAGACACTTGGCAACTTGACATGCACAAGGTCACCTGGAGAGTTCAGACGAAAGTTCACAAGTCAAGATTATTGGATCTACACGCCTCGGGACCGGTTACGCTGGTCACTTGTTGGTTCTTACTTCAATCGCCCAAGATGTGAACCAACATTGGAGTCACCTTTGAGGCACTCTCCGGTGGAACTCCCTTTCAATACTCTTTGCGATCGCATTGCAAACTGGCCATACGTTTTTGACTACGACAACTATTTTTACGCGCTGGTACTATTCAATGTGCCATGGGTAGTACTGATAGCTTTCACTCTTGCTGGCCTTTCGTACGGTGCAATTCACCTTCTTGCCTGGGATTATCGCTTCGCCTCTCCGGAAGAACACTTACTATGGCAGATATCTGGGATAACAATAGGTACTTCAGGGCCAACATTATTCTTTTTAGAATGTTTGTTTTATTGTATTGGTAAGTGTGATTTGGGATTAAATGATGACTTACTTCAATTCATTGAAATACTTCTATCGTGCCTGCCAGGAGGATATAGCTTGCTATACATGTTCTCAAGGGTCTATCTTATAGTTGAGTGTTTTATATCTTTCGCATACTTACCCGATTCTGCTTTTCAACAACCTCAATGGACCTATTACTTCCCTCACATTAGCTAGAAGGGAATACCTGTAGCGCGGAGAACACTGCCGTGGAATAAATCTTTTTATAGGGTTTGCATGTATTTACGTCTGTTGCAATTCTTAAGAAGGCACTGAATGGATTCTTTTTCAAGGCCGTATTGCGTGACACCCATCATCCAGCCTTACTGCCTTCATCAGTCTATATTCTTCAGAAAGAAAGAAAAAAAGGGAGGCGGCGTTTCAACTTTAGATTACTGGTACAATTTTGGAGGATTACCGCTGCAGTTGGTGATGATTGTTAAATGTGTATGGATTGCTGGTGGTCAGCGAGAGGGAGGGTCGGTCGCCCGAGGGCGAGTCCTTATCCTCTGCCGATGAGTAAGCTATGTATCTATTCATACTATCTGCCACAATTACATAATAGTATTTGGACTAACTGTGTAGCCTGCACGAGTAATTCCACTTGTTCTAGTCCGTCTCCTTGCTAGCACACTCGGTTGTCTGCCGCGGCAGGTTACGGTCGAGCTGGCACGACTTTGACTTTCAATGGCCGTTGATGGTGGAAACATTGAATGTTCTTGTTCAATTTAAGCAACATAAAGTCAAACGACTAGCAAATCAGCCTACAAGTGATTGCCGCACAAGACAGTCCCGGGCGCGAAACGATGATGCATTGCGCACAAGTCCTGGCCGCCCTCCCCTCAACAACCGGCGCGGCTCGGCTCGGCTCCCATCGGAACCGCACGCCAGCCCTCGCACCCACCCACGCACCACGACTTCCCACCCCATCCGACTCTGTGCGAGAAATCCACACACGCCCATTCGCCCATTCGCCCGCCATGTCGCCGCCATCGCCGCCCACTACGTCATCGGCCGGCCCGGCTACCAGTACCTCCAACCAACCCTCGCCCGCCTCCGGCTCCGGCTCCACCGGCCCCGTCCGCCGGCGCCCACGCCGCAACTACCAGGCCTGCCTCGCATGCAAAGAGCAGAAGATCCGCTGCCAACTGGGATCGCCAGACGATCCGCAGCCGCCGTGTGCGCGGTGCCGGCGGTCGAGGTTGGATTGTGTTTTTGGGCCGCCGAGGACGGGGGGCGTGGGTGGGAGGGGGACGAGGAGGAGGGGGAGGACGAGGGGAGGAGGGGGGGATGATGAGGGTGCGTGAGAATCTATCTGAGAATCTGCTTGCGAGATGGGGAAGAAGATGGGGTTTTAGGAATTGATGTGCTGATGGGCTTGCCGTTAACAGCAGCGGATAGCGGTCATCCTCTCGGGCCGCGCGGCGGCGATCCCGTGCCGAGTGACGTGCCGTCGGTGGGCGTGCATGCTTCGGCGGCGGCGGGAGAGGCGGCGGCGGCGGCGAATGGCAGCGCTGCCGTGCCTGGGGACGACGGGCAGGCTCGGCCTATGCCGGGACGCCAGCAACAACCGACGGCGGCAGCGAACGCTGCAACCGCGTCTTCTACGAGCACGGCTACGTTTCGCGAGTATCACACCGCGTCGTCAGCGGGCCGGAGCCCTTGGGATGCCGCTGCCATCTCAGGCACGCTGCGGTCACGGGATCTCTCTCCCTGGGCGCAGTTCCCGCTGTGCAGGGATGGATGGATGAGTCCGCAGGAGGCTGAGTTTCTGCTGCAATGGTGCGTCTTGGCCTTCTTGGAATGCTTAGCCAATCAGGTTATACGGCGTGGCTGTTTATCTAATCATTTGGCAGCTACTTTGATCGAATGCAGCCGCTCTACCCCGTCGTGGATGAGACGTACCAGGACAGCGAGCGCCGGCATGTCCTGGTTGTCAACGAGCCGGTACTGTGCACCGCTATCCTTACCGTTACCTCGCGGTATGCTTGGCTGGATGGCACGCCTGCAAGTTCTCGCGCACACGAGATCCACAGTCTGCTGTTCAAGCAGGCGCAGCAGAGCATCCACCAGTCATTGTGGGGCGTTGAGAATGATGTTGGGCGTGAAAGCCGCATGCTGTCTATTATAGAGAGCATACTTTTGCTTGTTGAATGGGTGAGTCCTGCTGCGTGTGTATCTAACGGTTACTGATGTTGCCTTCAGCGGCCACGGCCGTTGGACGTAATGCCCAACCAGGGCATGGTTGCGGGCACTGCGTACATGTTTGGCGTAGATGCCGGCGATCCAGGCACTGCCCAGAACTCGGTCATAGGTATTTTTTCTCTTCCAGACACAACAGTCAGCTGGCTTTCTTTTGCACGGGCACTGAAGAAGCCTTGCAGATGACGAGACGCACAAAGCCTACATGCTCGCCCGCCGCATAAACGCAACCTCTTGGTACGCCTTCCTTCGGCCCCCTCCAGCCATTCCCCCCCCCTAACCGCCTCACAGGCGCCTACTTGGCCACGCCGTCAACCTCGCCGACGAGATCTCCCTCGTCGAAGGCCTCAGCCGCTCCCGCGAGCCCAACCCTCGCCCACCGGCCAATATCCGTCGCCGTGCCCGTGTCCGTGACCTGCTCATCCCGCTTACCTGGGAGGTCTCGTTCCGGCTGGGCCGCAGCTCCTTCCTCAAGCTACCCACGCCGACGGCCTCCGCTGCAGAGGAGTACACCGACGAAAGCGTATACGCGGCGCTGCTCAATACCAGGGCGGAATTGTACCGGCTGGCCCGGCTCGTTGAGAACACGCTGTACGCGTCTGTCAGCGCGACGAAGGACATCATTGCGAGCGATCGCCATCCGGAGATGGTGGCGAGCTTGGTGGAGATTTTTGGTGATTGGTGGAATAAGTTCCAGCGCGTGGGAGGTATGTGTGGATAGGGAGGGAAATTTGTTTTTGGTGTGATGTGGCTGACTGGAGGGTGATGGCGCAGGGCCGTTTGCGTTCAGGAAGACGCTCGAGATCCAGTATCACAACGTCTGGACCTACATGCATGCCATTTTCTTCCAAGCGATTATCGAGCGCCTGCGGGGCTTTTCGACGCGCGAGCCGGACATCCGGCACTTCGAGCGATCTTATCGGCCGCAGGGGCTGAGCATCGCGGAGGTGCTGCGCTCGGAGCGGAGCCGCAGAGACCTCCAGATGACTGAAGAAGTATGTCACTCCAGCAAAGCGTGATGCACCACCACCAACTGACTGGCCACTAGATCGCAAAAGCCAGCGTCCAGGTCCTAGAGCTCGTCCTGGACCTCGAGCGCGAAGGCTATCTCGGCTTCCTCCCGTTCACAACCATGACATGGGTCTTCACATCGGCTACGCTGCTCTTGAAGGTAAATTGCTCCCTCCCTGCACGAACCATAAGCAACGACCAACCAACCATCCTTACAGGGAACCGGCTTACGCGCATCCGCCGCCGACCTCGGCACCACGGATCTCTTGAAACGCGCCTCGCGCTCCCTCGACCGGGCCGTCGTCGATGATGTGCATGCCATGTCGCACCACACGTCCAGCCTGATGTCTCTCATCCACAAGGTCCAGAGCGGCCCCCCTGCCACCGGCGCCGCCACCACCACATCGACCTCCCGGCCAACAGCGCAGAGTGGTGACAGCGTAAATAGGGCGGCGGATGCCACTGGTGCACCGCAGCCTGTTCCTGACGCCGCCACGTCCGCTGCTGCTAATTTGCCGCCAATGGATGTTGCGAATTCTGGCGCCGGCGAGGCACCAACTCAGGAACAGGGAATGTTTGCGGGGTCGGCAACGGCAGCGGCCGGTGGTAGTGGTGGGGGGCTTTTCGACCCCATGTTTAATGCGGATGCCTTGGCTGAGGATTGGGCGAACTGGTTGAGCGTGGGTCTGGATGGGATGGACGGCGGCTCTTTCGGTTTCGACTTTTATCCCGGCGCCGGATCTGGAGACTTCTCCGCGCCGTGGTAGAGCGTGAAGAATCGCCGGCGCTCACGGTATGGTAACTGCGCAAGATGCATCGGGTGCGAAAGGGGTCAGATTCGGCTCTCCTCCAGCATTTAGTTTACAGCATCTGTCTCTGACACCTCCCAAGGCGCCCAGGTAGTACACAACTGGCGGGCTGGCGCAAAGGCGGGATCGTCGCCATATCACTATCTCACCCAACTACTTCAGTACCCCGCTCCCATTGGCTAATATTTACCGAGAAGCGTGCATGCGTCGGGCAGCCACCGAGCGGCAATAGCAGTCCCCCGCTCTCCGCATACCTACTACTACTTCTTTCCCCACGTATCGGCCCGACGCTATATTACCCGGAAGAGGCCGCCGCCCCGGTCGGCGTCCGCCAAAACGGCTCTTGCCAAGCAAACCTTGAGCGGGCTTATTAGCAAGTAGCGGGGAGAGCCAAGACTCGCCAAGGCGGCGCTGATAGCCGTATGACAGCCCCAGAATGCTCGGCATTGGTGGAAGTAAGCCACATGCCATGCAGTTAATTGTATAGCCGGGGTAATGGGGTAATTGTACAGATTAGGACCTGAAGAAAAAGCGCGTCAGCCGATAGGATTGGTTTCTTGTCTCTCCACCTGCTTTGTTGCTTGCGTACCCCCTGGTCGCACTGGTTGGTGTCACATTAACCTCAGCATGGGGGGCAGAACTCGCCTATTGTCTTGTTTCGGCTCCGAAGCCTTTAGTTCCCGCATTTCTCCATATTGACCTGCCTGGAATGGCGGTGCTTGCCACGAGGAAGACCGGGATACCATTCGGCGCGCGTCTGGCCGTTATCCTCCAGTGCCTGGACAGAGAGCCCTGGTATGGCGCAAGAGGACGAAGCTGGCTGGTGGAAATGATGGGGAGAGATACGTCCTTTCGTGGTCCCGCCTTCCCGCAACGCACGACAGTCAATTTCAACCACGGCCTTGGCGACGAGCGGAACATGGTCGTCCAGGCGAGGAGTTTCTCCGCCGCGACAGCATGATGTTTTGTTTCAAGAAGGAAATAGGAAGAGAGATGCTCGATGTATAAAACCCCGCTGCCGTTGACGTGATTCCGCCAGCAGATTCACCACCTTACACCCTCAGCCAACAACAAGTGCCTCGAGAGAGCAACAACCATGCACCTCCCCACCCTCCTCACCCTCCTCGCCGCCTCGCTGGCCAGCGGCATGGCGCTCCCCGACCCCACCGCCGCCCCAGACCCAAACAACAAACCCACAAAGGTCCTCGGCAAGCGCTTCGCGACGAACGTCATGCCCGCATCCTCGGGCCACGTCGTTTTGTCGGCGGCGACGACGGTGTCCGTCTTCGACGGCGGGATGAAGAAGTACGACCGCGGCGTGTCGTGCGGCGGGCAGGAGGAGGGCGGCGACAAGGACGCCGTCTTCCTCGTGCAGTCGGGCGGCACGTTGAAGAACGTGATTATCGGCAAGGACCAGATGGAGGGCGTGCATTGCCTGGGGCCGTGCACGATTCAGAATGTTTGGTGGGAGGATGTTTGTGAGGGTATGTTTTTGTTTTTCTCGCTTTTTTTTCTTTCGGGGGACGGGGAGGAGGGTGGTAGCGCTGGCTGACACGGGACAAAACAGACGCCCTCACCATCAAGCAATCATCCGGCACCTCGTACGTCGTCGGCGGCGGCGCCTTTGAAGCCTCGGACAAGATCGTCCAGCACAACGGCGCCGGCGCCGTGTCCATCAAGGACTTCTACGCCGAGAACTTCGGCAAGGTCTACCGCAGCTGCGGCAACTGCGGCACGCAGTACACGCGCTCCGTCACCATGTCCGGCGTGTGGGCTGTCAACGGCAAGCTGCTCGCCGGCGTCAACTCCAACTACGGCGACAAGGCGACCATTTCGGGCACGTGTGCGGATGGGGTCAGTGCGATTTGCGCGTGGTATCAGGGCAATGATGATGGGGATGAGCCGACGCAGTTGGGGAGTGGGATTAGCGATTATTGCGTTTATGCTAATAATGGGGTTGATGACTGTCCTTGAAAGATCCGGAGAGGTGGATGGAAGGGGGAGGAGGCGGGATGGGGGATGCTGGAGCTATAACGAAACCTGGAGTCGAAAAAGAAGGAAACCCCCACACTCTCGTTCAAATCTGCAACAAGCGCGCGCGTCCTTCCGTACATATATACACACCCAACCAAACCTTGTAAATAGCCACAATTCCATCCACATTCATCTACTCCTCCCCCTCACCCCCCGTGCCACCGGCAACCGGTTCCCTCCTCCTATACCCAACCAACACCTCAGCCTTGCACCTTGCCTGCAGCCGGTAGAACCTGACCCCGTCGCCCGCCGCCGCCGCGTCGCCCATGTCCCAGAGCAAGCCGTCGTACTTGTCCTGCAGGTCGACGTCGACGGCGGCCAGCCAACGCAGAAAGCGGGCCAAGGCGGTGCGGAGCGAGGACGGGGTCGTGTTGAGGTGGCTGGAGATGGTGCGGTTGGGTTGTTGGATTGATGGGGTGGTGGTGGGGTTGGTGAAGCGGACGCGGGGTTTGTTGCCGGGGCGGGGGCGGGAGGAGGAGGATGAAGGGTAGGGAGGGAGGGGAGATGCTTCTGTTTCTGCTTCTGCTTCTTCTTCTCCTTCTTCTTCTTCTTCTCCCTCTTCTTCTGGTGGTGGTGGTGGTGGTGGTGGTACAGCTGCTGCGTGTGGGGGTAGGGGAGGAACTGCTGGGCTGGCTGCCGGGCTGTCGTTGTCGGCCTTGCGTTTCTTGCGTGGTGGTGAATGAGGTGAGGCCGGTGTCTGCTCGGTCGGTGGTTCTTCGTCCTCTTCCGTCGTTTCGCCGTCGAGATCGAGTTCAGGTCGGTAAAGTAGGGGTGATGCTGGGTCTGGGGGAAGTGAAGGTTTTGGCTGCTTAACTGTGGAGGCGTCGTCATCTTCATATTGAGGAGGGGGCGCCGGTTCCGCTAGAGCATCTTCATCCTCTTCCGCTGGTGCTTCAACTGCTTTTGCGCTCTTGCGCTCGAAGCTGGGACCTTGGGGCGGGGAGCTGGTGGTAGCCGCGAGTGGGCCGGCCTTTGGTGCGTTGTGTTCAGATGCGGAGTCTAGGAAGATATCAAAATTGGACCAAACGTCACGTTCAGCGCCACCCGTATAAAATGACCGGAAGTCGATGTCGTGGCTGACCAACTGCTTCGAAAGCAAGCTGTTGCAAACTTCTTGGAGTGACTGCACGCGATCCGCACCCAATGGCAAATAGACGGAGAAGCTGGTGGCTTCGGAGAGAGATCTGAAAGAGCGCAGCAGACGGCGGCTCTTTTCGGTGGCGGGGATGAGCGGAGGATCCGACTTGGGCATCACGACTTGGCTATGCTCCTTCAAACGCAGATGCAGCTGAAACGTGCGGGTATTGTCGCCGCCAAGGCTAGCACGGGAAATGGCTTCTAGAGTCGCTTTCGGCGCAGGCACCTCGGAGACGTGGTTGAGGGAGAAGCAAGGATCGTGGTCATGGTCGAACATGTCGGCTTGAAGCAGCATGAACAGCGAACGTGGACGGCTGTGGGTTGCAGCACGGTGACGCTTGACGCTGACGACCAGTTGGAACCAGAGAAGCAGCTTGTCCGTCGACGGATCGAGTCCGACAGTCATGTTGAAGGAACTGTTCGCTTCGTCACCGAGGAAGCATGTTTTTTCATCACTATCCCACTCTGCAACAGCGCGCTCAATCAAGAGATTCGAAGGATCAATGTGCTTTGCTATGGCTGCCTCCATTGTTGTCTATCTTGATAAATTCGATCCCCAGCACCGTGTTGCATAGAACTTCCGTCTCTTCTGAATTCCACGATGCTTCAAGAGCGTGACAACTACCCGGCTCACAGCTGCGGGGGTACACACGGCCTCGACAGCGATGATGTGAGGCACACGGTCCGCCCGGCAGGAGAAGCACAGGTGATTTATCGCAGCTCGCGATCCACCAAGGATTGATCAAGCACACACCGCCGATCTCGTCGACGCAAGCGCACCCAACGAGAACAAAACGTCGCACAGTACGAGAGAGGCGCACCGGTCTGCCCGGTATGAGAAGCACTCGGGCTCACTCGATACGGGAAACACGAGGCCGTCTGCTGTATACCGGCGAGCGCAGTGGCTCAGAGTGGATGCTGGCTTGCGAATGAGATACACACGGCCGACTCGAGATCCCGGGGACGCACGGAGCGGGCGGTGTGGAAGCAGGCGCAGCTGTTGACTGCCGTGACAAAGGTCCGATGATCCGGTCGGGAGCGGGAAAAGGCAGCGCGAGCGGATTCGAGCGGAAAAGGCGTGGTTGCAGCTGCTGGCGATGGCTCGGGGGAAATGGCGTTGATGGGATGATGGGCGGTGTCGATGCGGATGGGTTGAGTGGTGAGGGCAGGCAACGAGATGAAGTTGGTGAGGAGGCTGGGAGCTTGGCGCCGCTTAGTCACGAACGCGCGACGCGAAACGCGATCACGTGGAACTCGACCGCACAGGCCGGAGACGACTTTTCATTCGGCGGGAATTCTCACTGACGCTCAACACTATACACATCGCAACAAAGTCGAGCTGGTCAGAGCTGTCGTCCAGAACCCCTTGCTCGCACAGACATCGCGCATTCATGGCCAAACAAAGGCTCCGGTTTCTCCTTCTCCGCTGCGACACTCATCAATCTCTTCCTGCGCTTCTGTGAGAATGAATTGCATTAATACAGAGACTATTAATCAACATGCGGCATCATAATCAGCTACAGGTTTCGCAAGATCAAGTCGACCTCCGCGTCTGCTGCTTCCAATGCATGCTCCGGTGGGTACTGCGGCTTCCATCCGATCTCCGCACCGTGCGCGGCGGTGAAGGTGCATCTGCAAGTTTGAACTCAATCAGCGCCGCTTCTGCCGATCAGGAGGGTCGAATACTCACTTTCCTCCAAGCTGAACCTCCACGAACGACTTCGGACAGTCAAGACCAGATGCCATCTTCTCGAGCGCCGCATCGTCGGCATCCTCGATCGCGTCGTTCTTGATGGCGCCGCGCTTCGCAAGCGCCGTAGCCATGGCGGCGTAGAGCTCGTCCCACGCCACGCTGCCCGACGCTGCAAGGTAGTATCCGCGCTTTCCATGACCGGGCTCCTCCTTGTTCAGGATCGACCTCAAGATGGCGAGGTACAGGGTCGTGTTGTCGACGATATGGCACACTGGCCACCTCTGTCTCTTCCATCAGCCAGCCGCCGGAAAGCGAGGAAACGGGGGACTCACCGGTCGCCCCGGTGTAACCTTGTAAACTTGGCCCGCTGCTCTAGCCGCCTTGACGATCGCTACCGTTTGGATTGAAATTGGATTTCCGAACCCTTCGCCTTTGCCGTCTGACCCAGCTCATCAGTCCGAAACCCTGTTTCTCGGAAACAGCAAAGACTTACAGACGATGCAGGGAGCAAAGATGTAGGTCTTGACACCGTGCGCTTCGCCCTGCTCAATGACCGTGGTATTCGCGTCGACCGCCTATTCTCGGGTTAACATTGCAGAGCGCCACTCGCCTATGCAAGCTACTTCGTACCTCTTGCATCGCTCGCGCCGGCACCTTCAGACCCTTTTGGATGGAATACAGGTCTGGATCCGTATCGAGAAGCGGACGGTCGGTTGGAACGCCAACGAGGCTTGAGAACATCTTGGCGCCCGTTGTCTAGAAGACGCACTCAGTATGAGGATGCTGCGAGAATCTCGATTGTCCGACTCACATGCAAAAGATGCACCTCTTGGCCCGTCCTCTTTTTCAGCTCGCCTAGCGCCTTGATGAAGAAGACCTGCGAGTCTGACCGTCCGGAGTCAATCAGGTAATAGACGATGTTGATCTCATTGGCCACGATGGTCTCTCTGACAGCAGCCTCATCATTGACGTTCAGGGTTACAGGCTGGGCGCCGTAACTCTTGACGGCCTCGGCCTGAGCCTCCGTTCGAACCAAGGCGAACAGCTTGTCGTAGCCACCGAGATTGGCATCTTTCCATCGTGCCAACAGGGTGCCGCCGAGGTAGCCCGAGCCGCCGGTGATGAGGATGTTCTGAGACATGGGTAGGGATTGAGTCCTTGGCAGAACGTGCCGTTTATCCTTGAGGGGCTTGTGTAACCTGACTTTATGTGCGCAAGTCCAACAAGTGCAGTTGCGTCATTACTAATGCGGGTGGGGTTTGCCGATTTGTAATAGCTGACCGCCACGGGCCAAAATGCGCGGTTTAAGCATGTCTGACAATCGCCTCCGGAGCCATTGGCTCCGTGTTCGACTTCAGCTACCATCGCGTGCGAAGGCAAGACGGCCTACATAGATGATTTCCACGACGACGGAAATACGAAGATCGAGAGCCAGGATAGCTACCCCGCACAGTGCATCCAGGTGGAGATCGCGACCGGCCCCACCACTCGTCTCCAACCACCCCGGCTGCACATCAAGGCAATCCGTATTTAGCAGCCAGCCACAACAGACTGTGGCGTACGGATCCTCCCGCATGTCTGCAGAAGGCTAACGCGGTCATCAATGGCGGGCGCTAGCATCTGCATTCACTAACCTCACCCTGCAAGATGGAATGCTGCATATTTTTTGCGTTTCGGGGCGCACGAAGAACCCACATCACATCGACGTCCAGGGATGAGGCCAGCTGGAGGACTCGGAGACGGAGGAAAAGAACATGTCTCATTCATCATGATCCGAACGGAAGAGAGCGAGCCTATCACTACAATGCCTCGCAAACGAAATCCCCCGCGCAATACCAGCTATATCCATGGTCAACCCTGAAAAAATGCAGCTTTTCGACACATCAAACCAATTTAGGAAAGACATCACGCGCCGAGAAAACACTTCCCAACCACTCACTCACTCACTCACTCCTTCTTCGGAATCTTAACGATCGCCGCCGACAAATCATGCGTCAACGGCTCACCCCAGCTCTCGAGCGAATACTTCGCCTCATCCGGCTCCTTCTGGCGATCGACGACGCGCAAGGCAATAGACTCAGCCGGCTCGAGGTACTGGAACATATCCACGCCAGCCACGCCCTCGATCGGCTTGCTCGCCGTCGACAGCACCGTGATCGAGTCCGTGTCCGGATTCGGGAACTCGGCGCGCGCGCTGCCCGGGCTCAGCCCGGCGCTGCCGTCGCTGTTGTTGTTCGGGAAAAACACGAGGAAGCTGACGCGCGCGCTCTTGGGCAGCGCCCGCACCTGGTTCGACGGCGTGCGGAACGACACCGTCGCGCCGAGGTCGCCGGCGTCGTTGGTGCTGCTGCGCCCGTCGACTTTGATGCCGAACGGCTCGTCGGCGCTGCCGTCGAAGGTGAAGCCGGAGAGCCAGGGGATGACGGAGCGGCGGCCCTTCTTCGCGGCGCCGGTGCCGGAGGCAGCGCCGGGGAAGTTCTTGTAGGGAAAGAACGGCGAGTCGACGGCCGTCCCGTCGCTGGCGGGCTTGCCCGGGATCTTGGCTGAGTCCCAGGTGCCGACCAGGACGTCGGCGTGGGCCGCGTCGTCGGGGACTTCGATCCACACGCTCTTGAGCTCCCAGAGCTTGGCCGCGTTGCCGGTGGTGGAGACGTGGACCGCCAGGTCAAAGCCCTCCTTGGTGACGTTCGTGGCCTCCTGCCAGAAGCTGGGCGCGGCGGCATCGACCTCGAGAGCCGAGAAGCCGAGGAAGATGCGTGGAGGCGCGTTGTAAGGCTTGGTGAAGGTGATATGCTCCGTGTACGAGCCTAGCCCGGCGCCGCTGCGGTCGTCGGCCTTCTTCGAGAAGCTGCCGCGGTGCAGGACGTCGGGGTCGACGGGGGGCTCTTCGGGCTTCTCCTCAGGTTGTTCCTCCGGTGCTGCTGCTTCCTCGCCGGGATTGTCGTCTGAAGAATACGGTATTAAAATTGATGGGCGAGCACAGAGGGGGCGCTGGCATACCTTTTCCATTGACGACGGGAGGCTTGACGGCACCGCCATCATTATTGCTCTCGGGGACCCCATCGAACGACCATCCGTCCGCGCCGTTGGTGACGGGTTTGTTGGGCTTCTTTGCGGGCGGCGCCGTCCCGCCGTTCACGGCGCTTGGCTCGTCCTTGTACCCGTTCGCGATGGGCAGCACGCCGTTGGCCTCGGGCGTCACGCCCTTGGGGCCCATGCGGTTCTGCTTGACCAGGCTGCTGTACAGCGCGTTGAGGTCGCGGCCCTTGGAGGCGGCGGCGGCGGACTCGCGGTACACGCCCTTGCCGTAGCCTTCGTAGTGCATCTTCCAGGCTGTTTTTCGACGTTGTCAGCACACCCAGCCCACAGATTCCAAGGGGCTGGCTTTTCGGAAAAGAAACACTTACTCGTCGGATCGAACGTCAGCCACGACCAGCTGTCGTTCAGGTAGCACCGCTCGGTGCCGACCATGATGTTCTTGAGCACGCCCATCTCGCCCGGCGCGGGGCGCAGGTTCTTGAGCTCCGCGCACACCTTGACCAGCGACATGACGATGGACACGGCGATCTCCTTGCCCAGGCACTCGTGCGGCCCCACGCCCCAGTGGATGTACGCGTTGGCGGGGCGGTCCAGCTTGAACTCGTCCGGCTCCGGGACGACCTTGCCGTCGCGGCAGGCGGGGCCCTATAGGTAATTCCCAAGTGAGCAATGGCGCGGTTACGTTAGGAGATAAGGGCAACTTACGAAGAGACACACGATAAAATCGCCCGGGTTGAACGTCTTCCCGTCGATGGTGGTGCTGCCGACGCAGACGCGGGCGCCGCGCAGGTTGCTGACGATGCGCTCGGCCTCGAGCACGTACTTGCGCAGCGTCTTGTCGGCGGCGCTGCGGTTTTGATCGGTGCTGCCGCAGAGCTCCTGGATCTTCTCCCAGTGGTGGATGTTGTCGGGCTGCAGGAAGTACGACATGACGTCCGCGAACTGTCGTGTTGCCACACCACCGCAATGTCAGCCCATCTGAACCCGGTAAAAGAAAAAAAAAAAAGAAGCTTGACGAGACCACTGAGATAGAGAGATAACACAACATACCATCGACACGGGCGCCCCAACCCCCGCTAACGCCGTCAACCAGCAAATATCCGCCGTCTCCTCCAACGTCTTGCCCGCCGCCAACAGCTCCTTGGCGACATTGTTCCCGTACCACCTCAGGCTGCCCGCCTTCTCCTCGGGCTTCGGCACGAGCTTGCCGAGCAGCGGGATCTTGCCGAGGCCCTTCTGGATGCCCGTGCCGGCCTTCTTGAGCAGGCCCGGGGTCAGCGACGCGGTGCCCTCCTTGATGGACTTCATCGTCGTCGGGATCAGCACCTCGGCGCCCTCGCGCGCCCACTCCCGCCGCCGCCACGTCATGGCCGGGTCGTTGTTGTTGAAGCCGAAGGTGCGCACGTCCATGAGGTGCTTGTACAACTGGACCGTCGTGAGCGTGCCGCCGGGGTTCTCGTCGGTGTGCAGGTCCTGGCACCAGAGGTCGGCGATGATGCGCGTGTTGAGCGGGATGGCGACGTCGCGGATGATATCCAGCTGGTCCAGCCCCTTGCGCAATTCCAGGCACTCCTTCTTGATCAGGTTCCGCCCGACGGCCACGGCCGTGTCGGCCAGCAGCGTGGCGAACTCGGCGGGCGTGTTGAGGATCTCGCCGACCAGCTTCTTCTGCGCCGTGTTGGCCGCCTTGTCGCCGCCCAGCATGAAGCCCGCGAAGCTCTTCTTGCCGGGGAACAGGTCCTCGTACAGCACCCACGGCACGTGGAAGTTGGCCTGGTCCTCGAGCACGCCCGTTATCTTGGCGTGCTCGGTCAGCAGGATCGGCCGCGCCGGCGGCTTCGGCCCCGCGAGCGTGTAGTCCCCAATCGTCCCGATCTCGCGCGCTATCTCCTCGTTCATCTTGCGCGTGAACATGGGCTGCATGATGTGCAGCGAGTTGTAAGGGAACCAGCCGGGGAAGGCGCGCTGGAACAGCCAGTAGAATTTCGACCCGCCCAGCACGTCGTAGTCGGCCGCCACCTCGTTGAAGCCCCATTGCGTCAGGTTCGACGCCGTGTAGTCGAGCGTGCAGAAGCGGTCGCTGCGCACGAGCGTCACCGCGTCGCTGAAGACGGCCCGCCCGACCGTGTACGGCGGACACCCGCCGCACCCCGGGTCCATGCGCGGCTTCGCGTCCTCGAGGAACATGCCCGGGTACATCTCGACCATGTCCGGGTGGTCGTACAGCTTGCGCAGCAGGTCCGCGATGGCCGGATCGGGGTTCAGGTCTTCGAACGTGTCGTGCCGCTTCAGCTTGAAGAAGTCGCGCAGCTCGTTGAGCGAGGCCAGCTGCCACTTGCGCGCCGTCAGGATGCCGGTGATCTCGACGATCTTGAGGAACTTGGGGACCATGCGCGGGCCGAAGAGCCCCGCCGGGTCCTCCATGGCCTCGGTCATGGTGCGGACGAGGTCGGCGTCGGAGAACTTGCCGTCGGCGCCGCGCTTGAGGTTGCCGAATTCGCGTTTGGCCGGGTCGGCGGGGATGGTTTGCTCGAAGGCGAAGAGGCCCTGGACGAATTCTTGAGGGGTCAGCTCGTCGAGGGACTTGGTGGAGCCCGGGAAGAGCGAGGTCAGGAACTCGTTGAGCCAGATCTCGTCTTTCTTCGAGATGATGCTGTGGAACCGGTACAGCAGGTTGAACTCGGCCGACACTTGGTTGCCGATGCCGCGCGGGATGCCTTCGGGGTCGAAGAGGCGGGAGGCGGCGATGCGTGGGTCCAGCGTCCAGTCGGTCGTCGAGTGGTGGCAGTTGGTCAGGCCGCGCAGGTAGTCGTGCAGACTGATGTTGATGTAGAGGCCGCCGGTGATGCTGGGGGGGTGGTCAGTTAGCATTGCTGGGTGGCGCATCAGGGGATGGTGCTTGCACTTACAGTCTCGCCGTCTGGAAGAGGTCGTTGTCCTGCTTGGCAATGGCCTTCTTCTTCTCCTCTTCCGTCTCGTACGGCAGCAGCGTGAAGCGGCCGCCCTCGTTGATCTTCAACAGCACGTCCGCAACGTAGTTGTGGAAGCGGTTGTACATGATCAGCATGACGTTGACGCCCGGCGGCTGGCCCAGCAGCCGCCGCTCGTGGAACGTGTCCGGCTTCAGCAGGCCCTTCTCCATCGTCCGCACCTTCAGCTGGTCTTCGAGGCTCGACCCGTAGAGCGGCGCGAGGTCGAGGTATGACGACGTGTCCGAGATGTTGTTGTCGAAGCGGTTCGTGCGGAAGATGTCTGCCGAAAGTCAGCCCGGGGAACAGGAATGGAAGGTGTGCACGGATGGGGGCTCACCGTGGATGATGATGGTCGCGTGGTAGAAGAGCACCGAGCTGATGCCTGCCGGGTTCTCTTTGAAGGTCTCGTCGGACCTGCACATGAGCAGGTCGAAGAGCAGACCTGGATCCGGGGGCACACCGTGCTGAGACTTGATTCTCGGCACCGAGCGGGCGTAGTGGCTTCCCGCCTTTCCGAGGTCGGGATTCATTGGGTTCTGCGGCCGGGGTCAGCACCATCACTTCGTAATGCCATGGTACTGCTTACATTGTAGCTTCCATCGGGAGTGCGGTATTGGTACTTCTCTCCGAGGTAAGTGAGCGGAGGATGCTGGAGGGCCGACCACAGCGTGTCGATGATGACTCCAGAGAGCTTCCCACGCGCCTTTGAGGTGCGTGGCAAAGACGCGGTGAGCGCAATCATCTTCTCCATCTGTAATCCAGTAAGCTTCGGTTGCAGCAGCAGAGCCACACCAGGTCTTCTCCACCACTCACCAGCATCTCGCGGTCATTCTGCGGCTTCCCCTTCGTCTTGAATGCCGTAATCAGCGTCTTCAAATCCTTCACCGACGTCGCGAAGCCAATCGTGCGCAAATCCTGCACGAGATTCGTCGACACAACTTCAGGATCGCCATACGGCTCGCCTGCCTGGAACTTTTCATCGTCCTCCTCCTCGGCGATCTTCTTGCGGTTGAAGATCTTGGCGTTGAGCGGGTTGAGCTTCGACAGCAAGCCCAGCCGCAGCGAGGGCAGGCTGGACAGCGTGGCGAGCGTGCCCTTCGGGATGAAGCCCTTGGGCTTCATGAACCAGTTGATGATGTCCTTGATGCCCGGGACCTTGTCTAGGTGCAGCACGTCCAAGACGGTTGTCTTGATGGTGCTCTTCAGCGCCTCGATCGGGTTGAGCCACTTCAGCGGCCCGGGCAGCTGCGGCTTGGGGAGCTTGTCGCTGAGGAAGTGCCCCTTTGGCAGGTTTTTGCTGAGCTTGCTACCATTGGGGAGGTTGGCGAGTGGGGACTTGAGGTTTTTCAGGTCAGGGAGTTTGCCGTTGGTGAGCTTGTCTGTGGGGAGCTTGGATCCGGGCAATTTGGGCAGGCTGGGGAGTTTGGCTGTGAGGGGTTTGAGGCTTGGAAGCTTGTCTGTGAGAGGCTTGAGGCTGGGGAGGTTCTTCAAGGGGTTGAGCTCCTTTAGCTTGGATGGTACAAGCGAGCTCAGAGGTTTTTTGTTAAAGAGTGTTTGGAAAGCGGCAACAGCAAGAACGACGCCAAGAAGAGGGAGGAGGATAGGTAAGAATCCCGCAAGGGGCCCAATAAGTTTCGTAAGGGATTGCAGTCCCGCTGGTGGCTTTTTCCCGAAGAGACCTGACGGCAACAAGCCTTTCTTGGGAGCCGGAGCAAGTGCTTTGGGAAGCACGCTCTTGGGACTGCTGAAGGGGTTCCAGCCTGAGGCTGGCTTTGCGGAGGCGAATGGGTTGAGCATGGTGACTGTGCTTGCTCAGAGGAAGTGCCGTGGCTTGGGGAGATGCACTTAGTGAAGGTAAGCCACCGTTATATCCTCCGCGTCAATGTTTCCTCCGTGACTGATGCACGACCATCACATGCTTCTGCCCCACTCACGAAACATTGATATCAAAGAAAGGCATCCGTATGCCTTGCCATTGGCCTATCGTAGAGGCAGTGGCGGCGGCTACGGGTCCCCGCTTCTCGTCAATTACCTCAGTGAATCCACTCTCCACCATCACACCATCGATGGAACGAGTCTGTCCAATGAATCCATCACACGTTCCAGGGGTCCAGAGGGGAATTGCAGCTCTTCCGTCGCCACTGATGGACTAAAATGGTAGTGCAACCATCGACGGGAAGTAAGGGATGCGGAGACGGCTGCTGAGCACGAGCATCTTTGCTATCTTTGTCTCGCCGTCAGCACAGAAGTGACATCACGTACAGGCTGCTCATCCGTGTGCAGCAGCTCGCGGCGGAGTTTGCCCCGATCCTTGCAACACCGGTGTTGATGCCCTATCAAGGTGGATGCATATCGAGAAACTGAAATGGCTAGCTTCCGAGTGCGCCGCTTTCAGCTGTGCAACGGCCAAGCCAGGCAGCCCAATCCCGCTCTGCCTATCACCTCGTACAAGGCGCGGGGAGAGCGTTTACCGTCAGCGACTTGCTTATCTCGGCTCGGCGTCGATTGGTCAATGGCTTTTCGCGATGATTGTTTATCACGGTGCTCGATGGCGTCGCGTGCATGCATGCGGGGACTGTGCAGCAGGGTCTGTTGTGTTCCGGTGAGGTGGCGCTTCCCGCAGACGCCCGCATTGCATGCATGCTGCGAGGCGTGGCCATAGGACGCGGGGCTATACGCGAACAGGAACTAATGCGCACGAAACTTTATGATTGGTGCGACATTTGGCTGGCCCAGGTCGTGGCACAGCTGGATAGCTCGACGATCGCCTCGGGTTGTCCATGCTGCCACTTGCATCGAGCACATGCCTGGATCCGATGTCCCGCAGCCAGCATGCTTGAGCGGAGGACACCGCTTGCGGAATTGGCCTGCAAGACGAAAAGCAGCAATATTAGTACGCGTCGTCCTTCAGTCACTCGCCAGTCCCCACGATCCTCACCTCCCCCTCGTTCTCATTCACATCGGTCACTTCCGTTCCCACGATGCCCAGTGTTGCTGATGAGCTCGACTCGACCGAGGTGCCGGGCGTCGGTCCGCGGCGTCTTGTCCTCTGCTTCGATGGCACGGGCAATTCATTCCTGGGCACCGAGGCCGACACCAACATTGTCAAAATCTACCAGATGCTGCAGCGCCACACGGACGATCAATTCCAATATTACCAGCGTCGCCGACCCCCATTTTTCCCATTTAATGAGCATGTGCTGACCCGTCGACAGCCGGAATCGGGACCTACATCAAGGGCCAGTCCAAATGCTCGCGGCGCAGCATCTTCGACCTATGGCCAGCCATCAAGTCGACGATCCTCAAGGCCGTCGACCAGGCCATCGGCACGTCGTTCGAGGAGCACGTGCTGGCCGGGTACAAGTTCATCATGAAGCATTACTGCCGAGGCGACCACATCTACATCTTCGGCTTCTCACGGGGCGCGTACACAGCGCGCTTCCTGGCCGAGATGGTGCAGCAGATCGGCCTGCTCTCTCGCGGCAACGAGGAGATGGTGCAGTTCGCGTGGGAGACCTTTTCCAACTTTCAAAACGCGTCGGGCAACGACCCGCAGACGGACGAGGACCGCAAGCTCTACGACTACATGGGCAAGTTCAAGGACGCCTTCTGCCGGCCCAACGTGCGCGTGCACTTCCTCGGCCTCTTCGACTGCGTCAATTCCGTCGGCCAGTTCGAGATCCCCCTCTGGCGCATGAGCTACCAGTACATCGCGACGCCGGCCGCCACGCACATCCGCCACGCCGTGTCGATTCACGAGCGCCGCCTGAAGTTCAAGCCGGCCCTGTTCCACTTCGACGACGACGCGAAGGTCGATATCAAGGAGGTGTGGTTCGCCGGCAACCACGCCGACGTCGGCGGCGGCTGGGGCCTCGTCCCCGGCCAGAAACACCTGCTGTCCGACACGCCCCTCAACTGGATGGTCCAGGAGTCGCTCAACCTGCCCGGCTCCGAGAGCCGCCTGGCGTACAAGACGACGAACGTGCAGGACGTCGTGCGCGCCGAGAATGCCTTCCCCGGCGTCGAGAAGCCCGGCACTACGGCTTTCGACGTCCGCCGCAAGACGAACCAGCCGCACGATATGCTCAAGTTCTTCCACGGCGTGGGTGTCTTGTCCGTCTTGCTGTGGTGGATACTCGGTACGTCCCCCTCTCTTCCCCTCTCCCTCCTCCACACCCCTCCCCCAGGCGGCCCTGCTAACACCCCTCACACCCCCAACAGAAATCCTCCCCATCTTCTCCCGCCTCGAGCTCGAAAAGGGCAAATGGGTCCCACGATTCTGGCCGCCCAACCTCGGCGCTCCCAGGGACATACCCGTCGAAGGCGAGCTGCACCCATCCGTCAACGAGATGATCAAGGCCGGCATCCTCGACCCCAAGTCCGTCCCTGAGAAAGGTGGCGACAACCCCATCGTGCTGCCCAACGTCGGCGTCGCGGATGCGCTGAGCGCGTGGAGCCAGGCGGCGAAGCGGAGGGCGGCGGAGAGGAGGGGCAGTGAGGATACGCTTGTGGAGGGGTTGGGGGAGAAGGTGGGGGAGGGGTTGGAGGGAGTTAAAGATAAGTTGGGCGATGGGGTGGAGGGGTTGAAGGGGGGTGTGGAGAAGGCGAAGGATGATGTGGATAAGCTAAAGGATGGACTTGGGGAGAAGGCGAAGGATGATGTGGATAAGTTGAAGGATGGACTTGGGGAGAAGGTGGGTGGGATTGGGAAGGGGGTGGAGGATGGGGTGGATAAGTTGAAGGGTGATGTGGGTAAGGTGGGTGATGAGGTAGGTGAGAAGTTGGGTGGGCTGGGCAAGCTGGCTGAGAATGGGACGGACAAGGTGAAAGGTGATGTCGACAAGGTAAAGGATGACCTGGGTGATAAGGTGAATGGCCTTGGAAAGCTGGCTCAAGGTGGGCTGAGCTCGTTGACGAGGGGGTTGCGGGCTTGAGGCGGTCGGAGATGGTTTTGTGTGGGAGGGTGAAATTGTTTGTAGGACCTTCGCTTTGAGTCTCGTTACTTTGCTTTGACTGCTATGTGGGCGATGAGTGGTTGTATATTTCTTGAAAGCATGTCGTTGGGATAGTGATGCTGGCCCTGCCGTGTTTCATTTAATTTTCGTTGTCGTCGCCAAAGCGAACCAATGGTGAAGCTGAAACCATGCACCTTTATCATGTCCCTGCTGTTGATCTTAAATGGCCCACTATTGACCAATTAGTTGCCAGACTTATCCTGCACGCACCATCCAGAAGGCCACATAAGTTCTATAGGGCTCTATAATACCAGTAAAAGGTTGATCGGCCGCATAACACCTTGCGCAAGCCCATGCGTCATCACTCGCATATAGATGGCCCAACACCCGAACTACACTGCCAGACAAAAGAAAACTCGGCCTATGAGCAGCCGCACGATCTTCTCCTTGAATTTAGATAAACGAGGGCCAAGTCATCTCTGCGCGCATGCTGCCTCGAGCTTCAGAAAAATAGGCAAAGTTGTGTCTTGGCTGTGGAGCCCACGAATCAGGGCCGCCCTATACGGGCCGCCTAAGGCACACATCACAACTCGAAACGCTCTACTACACACCCGAAAGGAGCTCCCTCCGGCAAAGACGTCGAAAATCTCAGCAATGCGGTGGAGACGCTTCACGAGTCGCCGGGGGGCCGATTGTCGGACGTTGTAACGATCTTAAGCAGCGCCTTCGGGCTCTGTTTTGTTTCTTCAGCTTGCGTCTCAGCCTGCCGCTCGTTACTTTTTCCAGTCGTTCGTTGACGAAATCCTGCGTTTGTCGAAACCATGCAGCTTACACAGCTGATCAATGCCGGCTTGCTCCTGGCGGGTGCCGCGACCGTGGAGGCGGGCCCACTCATCAAACCCGTGTCCACGGTGCTGAACCTTGCCAATGCCACGCTTGAGCAGCTTTCTCAGAATGCCCTCAGCGTTGCCAAGGCTACCATTCCCTCCAACTCGACCTGCACCCCGGACAAGCTCTCTGTTCGCAAGTGGTGGTAAGCAATCTCCGATTAGTAATGCAAACGGCAACTGAAGAGATGAACCAGGGGCGATTTGACTGCGGATGAGAGGATTGAGTACACCAACGCCGTTCTCTGCCTGCAGAAGAAGGCGCCGAACACCCCGGCAGAGCTCGCTCCCGGCGCCAAGACGCGTTACGATGACTGGGTTGCTGCTCACATCAACCAGACCAACTACATCCACTTCAACGTACGGCGATGCGTCATCCGTGAGACGGTACTCCTCAAGCTAACAAGACGGCAGGCCGCCTTCCTGACCTGGCACCGCTGGTTCACCTGGGAGTATGAGCAAGCTCTCCGCAACGAGTGCGGCTACACCGGGGCCCAGCCATACTGGGTAATTACTCACTCTCCCTGCAACGTGCAAAATACACCCCACCCACTAACAGCACCCGCACAGGACTGGACCAAAACCGCCGAAACCGGCCTCGAGCAGTCGCCCCTCTTCGACGGCAGCGCGACCTCCATCTCCGGCAACGGCGCGCGTCTGAACTACAACGCTACGGACCGCATCATCGTCAACGGCAACACGGACGCGCCGACGATCCTCAGCCCGGGCACGGGTGGCGGATGCGTGACGTCCGGTCCTTTCGCCAACATGACGGTCAACCTGGGGCCGGACGGGCTGAGCCTGCTGAACGGCGCGTCGGACAACTCGTCGTACAAGTTCGCGTACAACCCGCGCTGCCTGCGCCGCAGCTTGACGGATGACGCGAACCAGCGCTTCGCGAACAAGACCAGCGTGCTGAACCTGCTGACGGGGCCGACGGACATTTATGACTTTGAGTTTACGATGCAGGGGTACCCGTTGACGGACCAGCTGGGTGTGCATGGTGGTGGCCATTTTTCGCTTGGTTAGTACGACCCTGGGTGGTGTTGGTTGTTGTTTTGGGGGGGATGAGATGACGTCGTTGTCGCGGATGGTTGAGTCCGGCGTCCTGAGTCGGGGCGCAGGCAAAACGATAAGGATAAAGGAAAACAAGGCTGACGTGAAGAAACAACACCAACAGGCGGCGACCCCGGTCGTGATCTCTACGTTTCGCCCGGCGATCCTGCGTGAGTGCTACCCCACCTCCCCTCCCCTCCCCTCCTTGAAACAGGAGATAAGAAAGAAAAAGAACAGAAGGAGAAGAAGAAAAAAAATGATTGAGGCGAATTGAGGCTGATGACAGGAATCCAGGTTCTTCACGCACCACGCCAACATCGACCGCATCTGGTGGCAGTGGCAAATGCTCGAGCCCGCGAGCCGCACCGCGCCGGGCCCCAGCGCCGTCGCCGGCCCGGTCACCATGAACGACGGCTGGGAGCCGCACCGCAACGGCACCGCCGACGACTACATCAACCTCGGCTTCGTCGCCCCGGGCCGCGAGTACAAGATCGGCGAGCTGCTCAGCACCACTACCGGCCCGTTCTGCTATGTTTACGAGTAGTTTAATAGGCTGCTCTGCGCTTTGTCCATATGTCATTACCTACTTGTGTACGATATATTGTAGAGGCTGGGTTGCACGGGCCGAGAGGGGGATGTGCGGCCGTAGTATGTAATACTTGTTTCATGGCGTAAGCAAGAAAGGAGCGCGCCTAGGCTTATACAGGAAATTTTGAGCCGCGTCTTTTTTCCCTTTGTTTATTGTGACAGGATGCAAGGCGGCTGCAGGTGGTGCGACTCGCCGAGACTTGCCCTGTAAGTGAGCTGACATGAGGCCCGCAAGCCACAATCACGGTAGAGTGATCGGACGGCCGGGAGCAGATCATCGTTGTGGAGATCTTGTGCCCTGCGAGAGTGAAAAATTGATGACGGGGATTGCGCCAGGGCGCCGGATGTTCGGGGCGAAGAACAAAGAAAAAAAAAGGGGCGGCGGCGGCGGCGGAGGACGACGTCGGGCGAAGGCGGACTGCTGGCCGAAGGTTGTCACGCCCGAAGTTGTCACGCCCGAAGACAGAGCCGTCGTGCCGTCGATTCGTGAAGGTGAAAATTCCGTCCCTGGTCTAGAAGGATGCCTGTGTGGGGTTAGTCGCAGCTGCGCGTGGTCTAGACAACTGGAGGTTTTTTTCCCAAGGGAGACTAATTACAGGAGTCTGCGGGAGCTCGGCCCCCAAACGGCAACAGCTGTCGCACCATTTTGCCCAACCGTTAATCTAACGCCCCGCATTTCTTAATCGCACTCCCACGGCGTTCCCCGGCCGGCGAATGTATCCGCTACCGCCAGCCCTGTGGCTTTACGTCATATCCCTGCCCATTCCGGAGATGGCGATTCGTGCTCGCGTTGGTTGTTGGGTGCTGTTTCGGCGCTCGTCCGCTGTACGCCTAGGCGTGCAGCTGCGTCCGCGCCTAGTTGGCAACGCACAGCGCCTCGGCGCAGGCAGCTCAGCCAGTCATGTTTAGCTACAATACGGAAGTTTCATCAAAATCACGACTAGCTCTAGCCTACCGCCCGGGACTATATCCGCGGCGATTGGCAGATTACACTTCTCGGCGGCTTCATGAAACAATCCCGGAAAGCCGGATAGGTACCCCATGGAAAATCTTTAAAAGTAGCCGCCCCGCTGCTGCACTTCACTCTCCAGTCACTGCCTTCTTGCACATTCATTCTTGGTTCCCAGCATTCCTGGACCGTTCCATTCTTTCCCCGCAAAACATCACGACTTGAACGCCCCCCACCTCTACGCTAGCCTCACTCTCTCTTCACTTGATCCGGCATCATGCATTTCTCTGCTGTGACTGTGGCTACCTTTGCTGCGCTGGCCGCGGCCTCCCCTGTTGCCAGGCGGTAAGTGAAGAATCATTCCATTCTTTCCAACCAGTGATACTGACCCTTACAGCGGTCCCGCCAACACCGTGCCCTCGTGGGTCTGCGACTACTGGCCCAGCTACTCCGGCTGCAGCACCAGCACCTCCAGCACCTCGACGTCTGCTGTCACCGAGGTCCAGTACACGCCCAGCGCGAGCACCCCCTCGTCGGGTTCTTCTTCTTCTTCCTCCGGCTCTTCTTCCAGCGGCAACGAGTGGGTCACGCTCCACAACAACTACCGCCAGAAGCACGTCGACACCGGCAACGTCGAGTGGGATGAGGAGCTCGCCGCCGGCGCCAAGGCGTGGTCGGAGAAGTGTGTGTTTGAGCACTCTTCGTCGAGGTAAGCTAAACCAATCACCACCATTCAATCACCAACACATCACTAACATGCTTTGTCTCAGCGGCGACTATGGCGAGAACCTCGGCATGGGCAGCGGTCTGACCGCCGAGCAGACGGTCGACATGTGGTACGCCGAGATCGACGGCTACAGCTCGTACTGGGGCAAGGACGACGTGCCCATGAGCGTCATGCACTTCACGCAGGTCGTCTGGAAGGGCACGACCAAGATCGGCTGCGGTGTTGCTTCTTGCTCTGATGGCAACCTCGTCACCTGCCGCTACAACCCGGCCGGCAACATGCTCGGCGACTTCGCCGCCAACGTCGGCGAGCTCAAGTCCAGCTCGTAGATTTGATTGAAGGACCAGGGGAAAGGCGTTACCAATTGGGAAACACAAAATGCATCGGATCGGCTGAAAGGACGGGCTGCTGATGGAAATTTCGCTTCTTTCTCTCCTTTTTTTTAACTTTCGCTTCGTATTTGTACCAGGTACAAACCCTCTTTTTGAAAGAAATGATGAGACGTTTTTCCTATGGAATCATTTGCATTTTAGACTTTGCGTTTGCCTTGCTGCAATCAATACGGATCCGTAGGTTGCGGAGATGCTTCCATATTTCGCGAAAAAATCACGTGAAGCGCGTACTGCAATTTCGCCTCGCCCGCCGCAAGCCCAAACCTTGCAACAGACTGCTGCTGCGCCGTTTGATTGTCCGGCATTCTGCGTTGCATCAGTGTTTGTTTCATCGACGCTGTTTCACACACACCAGACGACGTCGTGGGAAGCTCCGTTTGATCTGCCGTTGCACGCTTTGTTGCTCTTTCGCCCGTGCGTTGCATTTCTGCGCTGATCATCCCAACTCAAACCTCACATGTTAAAAATCAGGAACCTGTTCACGGAAAGTATCTGTACATCGGACGACACTCTGATTCGCATCGGTGTATCTCCGGCGGCCGGCGGCATCCCAACAAACTCGGGTTCCTGCAGTAGCCCGCCGAGCCAAAATCGCTGTTTTGTTTCGTCTGGTTCGACCTGCTCTTCTTGCCGTGTGTGTGGATGGGATGCGGATCTACTGCAGGGGCGCCGAACCACGCGGTAAAGTCTATCGGGAGAGGCTTTCATGCAGGAACACCACGCACACCACCACTCGGGGCCACCCTTCTTCTTCCGTCAAGAAAGAGTTGTTCTGGCCAGTCGGACCATCTCGATTGGCCACGCCGGCGCCGCTTTTGCCGCCGAACCACGGGACACAGTTCAGCCCAACCAGCCCACCTAGCCATCCACCCAGCCAGTAGCCGCCGGAAGGGCTGTCGACGAGTCGTGGAACCGTGGGGCCCGTCAGCACGTCTATCGAGATGGTGCGACAGGGCGACAAGGTGATGGGACCCAGAGTCATCACGCGACAGAAGATGCACTTGCAGCACGACAGAGATAGCACACGTGGACAACTTCTTTCCCGACGCACCTGGCGCGGCAAGGGAAGGAAGGGCTGCCGCATCGCACCGTTCGCTGGGACCGGCGTGTTTGTGTTTCTCTCAGGCGTGCGGCTGAACGGCGGGGTGGCGCCCCTGATTGGCTTGCGCTACCACACACCCACCCCCCACTTGCCGCTCTGGGTAACTGGTTTGAGCTGCAAGCCATCGCCGCTCCGCCCCTGCATCTGCCGGCGTTCCTGGATGGCAAATTTCAGGACGGCCGCCGCGGGGTGTGAGGTGTGGTGGGACGGCAGGGTGATGTTATGCCGGGCTCAGGGGCAGGATGGGGGTGGTGGAAGTTGCTTTTATGGTTACGAAGGGGGTTTGCAGGAGTTTGGTGGGGTATTGTGCTGATATTTAAGAAGTGGTGGGGGTCTATGTCTAGGTAAGCCCGCGAGAAGCCGTTTTGAGCCGTGCTGTTGTAACGACGTTTTTAAGGTTTGGGAGTCTATGTGCCTCTCACCAACGTATCCAAGACCACTCTGTCTAGACATGCCCTCCCGTCCCGATAGCTGCATGTGCCGATGACTTACTGACAGCCGAGGGCAGTCTTGAAGACCTCATCACCAGCGCAAGGCAAGTCGTCCAGAACCCTCCGCAGCAGCGGCTCCGCAAGCTCCCAAGCCCAGTGCTTTAGCAGATTGATGTGGAAATAAGGCGCCTTTGACAGCTCAATGTCCTCCAGGATATCCGTGACCACGTGCAAAGCATCGACAAGTATGGGCTGGACGATTTCCTCGCTCCCACGAGCATACTTCAAGCTCTCGTCTCCCCACAGTCCATCCACTGTCTTCCTCAGGCGACTCAGCCTGTTCTTCAAGCAAATGAAACATGTACCACAGACAAATGCCTTGGCCCTCTTCCTGCAGTAATGGTCGCTCTTTACTATCCTGCCCTGTGATGCTACCATGTCTTTCAACGCGACCATTGGCAGCAGTGCGTCCGCGCTGTTGAGTTCGGATATGCAGGCATCGATCCAGGCCGCGCCGGAGTCATGATCTTTCTTCCACTCCACGTGATTGAAGTCGATGAGGATGGGCATGTAGTCTACTTCATCTTCTTCTTCGTCTTCGTATTCTTGGTCTTGCCCTTCTTCTTCTTCTACACCCGCCTCTGCTTCTTCTTCTTCCTCGTCGCCATCCCCCACCTTCCCCACCCTCTCCCCGACCCTCACCAAAATGACATTCCTGCCATGCACAGACCCATGCAGCATCTCGGCCTTCCGATGCAGCCACTCGAGCGCATCCCTCAGCCGCTGCCAAACCCTCCTCTTCTGGCCCTCCGTCTTCAGCACCGTCGTCACCGCTCCCGTGCCACTGTCATCTTTGTCATCCAGCGTTGGTCCGTGGATCATCTCCAACCGCATGCCCAGACGACAGTACTTTTCGACGGGTTGAGAAAGGAAGCACGAGTTGGTCGGGCCGCTGTAGTTCTCCAGCAGCGTGTCCACTGCGCAAACGTCTTGCTCCTGGCAGAAGGAGTTGATGATGATGAGGAGTCGGGCCATGGCCGAGTCGGTTGTGGACTTGGACGCGATTTTCGCCTTGGCGCTGGTGAGGGCTTTGTTGAGTTTGGCGTAGGCCTTCTTCTCGCTGGAGTGCTCGTCGAGGCTGATGTACTACGAGCGGTCGAAGGGAAGTGGCTTTGTGTTAGCGGGGCTGTGTGTGTGTGTGTGTGTGCTACGTTTTCTCTTGCCAGGTGAGGCGGGGCGGAGTTTGTAGTCGCGGAAAGTTCTGGATCAGGGCTTTTTTTGACTCTTCCATTGTGTCGCGCGAGAGATTTTGCGATCGGACGGTCGTATGCTTGGGTGACTGAGCGGCGGGCTTACTTACTAGCTTGAGCGCGTAGACTCTGCCTCCGATTACAGCTTCGAAGACTTCGCCGGCGTGGCCGGAGCCAAGGCGTCGGACGAGGCGATCGTCTTCCATGGCGGACTATGTCAGCGTAGCCGGTATGGGGAGGATGAGGGTGAGGATGAGCAGATGTTCTAGCGCAAAATGCGGAAGTGAAGAGGAAGGCCACCTTGTGCCAAGACTTCGACGCAGCGGGCTAACCAGATATGGTAATTGCGTGGTGATGGTGAATGCGACCGGAGAGGCGCGGCTTTGCTGCTGCCTGGGTTCTGCAGCGAGAAAGCTGTTTTCGAGCGCCTTCGGCACGGATATTCTTCGAGCAACGACAAATGTTTGCAAATAATTACTTGGTGAAGCATGCACATATTTACCACCTCCCATTCATTTCGAGCAATGATCCACGCTTCAAAATACGCTACATAGTGTAAAAAAGACTACAGCATGCCGCCAATCGAAAACATTCGATTGGCAGTCCAACTGGCTTCACACCTATCTGGGTCTTCCACCAAAAATATGAATGGAACAAGAGGAAAAGAGTTTGCGAGAAACCACCGGAGGAAGACTTGCAGCTCGCTGTTCCTGACAACTGCGTGATTCGTTTCCAAGGGACAATTAGCAGCGCGTTGTACTTCTCGTACTGCGGACCCAAGTATGGTTGACTCCCTGAAACGCCTCCCGCGATCTACGCTACTTTTAAGCTACCTGCTGACGAGGAAGGAATTTTCTCACCTAGTAACAGTATCGTCATTCGCACGTGTTCTCATTCTTGACGCACCCTCGAATCAATTTCAGAAGTCAACTAAACTTGACGCTGTACCATTATGGCCGTCAGCCAGGGCTCTACATCCACGGCATACGCCCCACCGGAGATTACATGCATGACTATCATCGAGCAGTGGTCCCTGGAGAGTAGTCATGCCATGTGCTGCGGATGCTCGGGTTTGCACAGAGCCACTACGAAAATCCCCTCTGTCACCGGCGGCGTCACGCTCCTGTCATACTTTCCCCTTCGGCGAAATATGGAGAAGCGTGACCATAAGATTGATTCCCAATGGCAATGGTACGACGCTGCCATGATTAGGCGATGCAGACACAGTGGGGCGGACGGCTACGTGGCTGGTGGCTTAGCTGCACAGCCTGGCGGGCATTCATGCAAGCATCCACTGGGGAACTGCTGGAAATGAGCCGTTCGAGCTCAGGCGGTATCGTGTGCAGCATGCTACCAAGCATGCTGGGGAGAGTTGCAGGTGTTGTAGTGGCGTGGCAATCTCGATAAGTAGCATCTCCGCAGATTCAGCCTCGCGTACGCAAACCAGACAGGTCGGAAAACGATCATGTACGATTTTGATTTGCGAAAGGCATTGTTTTTCACGCGACAGCGAAAGTGGAGTGAGGTAACCAATCAGCTTCATAGGCAGGGCGTAAGCGCCTCCACATCCTTGCTTTTCGTGCTGGCAGGTGCAGCTGACTGTAGCGAGCGTGGATTCATTCAGCCTTGTGGCGATCGCTCGCTTATATTTGTTTGCCCCTCTTCCCACCTGCTGAACGGAGGCCTCTCAGCCTTGCTCCCGTCCACGCTTCCTACGAAGCATCCAATTTCATCGCCTTCCACATCCTCCAGAATGGCGGAAGCCATCGGGGTTGTCTCTGGCGTGATCACCTTCATCGACGCAGGCAAAAAGGTTCTGGACCTGTGCACCAGGATCAAAGACGCCCCCGAAAAAATCGCCGCATACCAGCAACATCTCGAAGACGCCCTGTTTAACGTGGAGAATTTGAAGCAGAGACTCCAATCAAATACCAATCCAAACATTTCGATCGCTCGCAAAGATTTGGACTTTGTGGACAATCTTCTGATTAGATGTACCGAGCATCTCCTTGCCTTGCAGCAGACTTTAGGATATCTGGACAATGAGTTCAAAGGTGGACGACGGCGTCACGCTTGGGCATCTTTGGTAGCTGTACGAAGAAGCGGTGAGATACTTGGGATCTTCAGCAAACTTCAGAATGGGCTGAACTCGCTCAAGTCCTTCTTGATTCAACAGAACTTTTGGATGCTTCAGGGTCAAAGGTATGCCCAAGAATCGAAGCTTCGCAACAGTTGAACACTAATTCTCCCAGTTCTGCAGTTGCAGCCGTTCAAACCAGTCTTGCGGATCTCAAAGCTATACAAAGCCAGAACATGCAAGATTTAGAGCAAGGGTTTGCAACGACGTCGCAACGCTCAGCTGAATACGTCGTCCAAGAACTCAATCGCATGCTCCAATCCCAGACTAGTGAGATCATCCCAAAGCTTGATGCCATCTATGCAGTCTCAGCGGTGAGTCATCAACCTGAGGAATAAGGACAATGTATCTCATGCAGACGTTAGAAGCGAGTTCAGATGGACGCAGCATCCCAAATTAGTGCTACGACACAGGCAGTGTCACAAGGCCATCCCCTGTCCATCAACGGAGTTCGGTCCCGGAGGTGCACTTGCAAGACACGGCCAGTACCAACATATCGGTCCCTTGGTGCATTGTATTACCAGGACAGAACGAAGAATGTGCATGAATCCACCTGCCCCCTCCGGCGAAAGTCTGCTCGAGAAGTTAGTCTTGGCCTGAAGATAACTATTCCGGCACTTTTTTCGAAAGTCGTACAGTTTGTCGTCTCTGCAGACTTTGGGGGTGGTGGAATCTCGATAAGCCCAGCCATCAAGTTCCCCGCCACAATTGTGGACCGCACGGAGTCGGAAGGCTTCCGATTGCTTGATTCGCTGGTCCTCGAGTACAAAGATAACTACAGAAAGGTTTACGACACCCCTAAATCTCCGAAAAGTGTCCTCCATTTCCCCAGCCGCTCCCTGGATCCAGACAGTCCCTACTGACTGAAGTCTCTATACTCGAACACCTGAAATTTGTCACTCCTGACAACCGGAGGCTTATTCTTGATTACGTTGTTGAGAGCCGTCGTCAGCTTGGTGTTTGGGGGTTACAGTACCTTCCTCACAAGAGCCCCGAAAGGAGTCACATTGAGATGATACAAGATCAGGGATGTTTACTGGACGAGTTCGCACTGAGTGTGTGGGAGGCTTTAAAAGCACACCTCGTTTCCATTCCCGAATATATCTTTCCTGGAAACCGGCCATCTGTGTATTTTTGGGTTCAAAACGGATTGCGCGATAAAAGCACGAGCAGGGCGATATGTGAGTTTCTTTTTGACTCCGGCTTCACAAACGTCAATATTAGAGATGAGGACGGTTGCACTGCGTTCTGGAATGCGTGCTGTAAATCGGACTGTTCGTTCACAGACTTTCTCGCCTCGAAAGGCGCTGAAATACATCCCGACGCCCATCGTGTGTACATCGGGAATATTGAAAGGAATTTCTATTACATTACTCGACTGCCAGACTGGCTTTTCGACTTGGAACCTCAAATTACGCGCGACGGTTGTCGATGTCCCTGTTCATCGTGTGGCTGCACGCCAGCGAACATCCTTGCGAAGCACCGCCCTCTAGGGCATACCTCACGTCGTATACTGCTCTCGGTCTATATTTCTCGTCTGCGCTCGGAATCTCAAGAAGAATCTTGGCTCGAAGCGTGCCGGCTTGAAATGTTCGAGAGACTTGGCATGACCCACACATGCTGCGAAAAGGAAACTTGGGACTTCAAGTGCACTTGCAGTCAGGTTTCCACTGGTCCGAAAGAGGACGAATACCATGTTAAGGAACAACACCTTGAGGATGCTCTTGAGACAAATATTCTCGTCTACACAAAGCTTCGAGCGAGGTTTGGTGGCAAGCTTGGCGACTTCCTCCGAGCTTGGTGGGCTGCAGTCGATTTGTTCCTGCCGCGAGACGATACGGTTGACAACACGGTACCTGAAGATATTCAGCCCACTAAAAAAGCTCGAAGTCAAGGATTTCTTCTCCCGGGAGTCGGGAGGTTGGATCGGATCTATGACGAGTTCGACGAAGCTACAATCTGGACGATTATACGACAGTATTTTGCTGTCGTCGACTCTGTCACTGATTTCTTCGATGGCCAAATCAACGAAGTTGAATCCTATACATCAGTCGATCGCATAGCTTACTCCGACGTTGAGGTAGCTTTGCCCGAGGACCTGTCCCGGTACTTGCTCTGGCTGAATGTTCCACTTTCTATCATCATGTGGCTGGATGGAAGCAGAAAAAGGGCACGTACTACCAGTTTTGAGCCTTCAAGAAGTTACTGCTACGCGAAGGAATCATACGATTATCTCGATGTGGCACGAAGGAAGAGAGACTGGATAGAGGACTCTATTGTCCCACTCGTTACCGCGGGCGTCATCGCAGATCTGAGCGAAGGACGAGAAATTCCCGACAGCCTCTATGAGCAACTTGAGAAAGATGGAGTGGTTTTTAACGGACAACTGAGGCCACTAGCGGATCAAGAGGACATTTTCGAGCAAGGTATGCAGTTTCTTGGGCTTTGATGAATTAGCGGACCGGAACATTTGGTAGGGTTTGTACGCTTTTCGTAGGTCTTGTGGGTTACTCTGGTTCAATTGCAATCTAAAGAAGCTTAATAACATGACAAACAAAAGATCTTTTGGATCCAAGCAGAAATACCGCGCTTAGATTGGCAGCGTGATCAGGTCCAGCATTCGAGGTGACATCTGGATGACGTAACTGTCGACAAACAGCTGCTGTTACCAGTCTCTATAATGCCAGCTCTGACACTATAGCGCAAGGCTGTGGCTACCACATGGATACCAAAGAAGGTACTAGAAATCGTGGAGGTGCGCTCGGTGGAGAAAGAGAAACTGGGGGAAACTGCTGATGTATCACCAACGTCATAGTTGGCCCAAGCTCCCTCGAGCAACCCCAGGGTCCAATAAACTCCACCGCCCACCTGCGGAGCTTCGGGAACATCAGCCATTGCTTACCACTTCACTCTCAAGATACGATTCTCCATTCCACCCCCAGCAGCAGGCCTATAGCGCATCGCATCCACCCTCTCAACCACCACAACCACCACACCACCCAGCGCCGCACCTCCACCCCACCCCCCCTCACAACCAACGTTCGCACGCAACCCCGCACCCACAACTATAGCACGAACCTCCCGACAACAAACACTACCCCGAACAGAAAAAAAAAAGAAATGTCCACAGACTCCCTCGCCATCTCCCGCCGCCACGCCGGCGACGACCTCGCCGACCTGGCGCAGCAACACATGCAGCACGACCTCACCGCCGCCGACCGCGACACCCTCAACGCCGCGGCGAAGCGCTTCGGCATGCACACGGCGCTGGGCTCGCTCGCCGGCGTCGCGCTGGGCGCCGCGCTGTTCATGCGCACGCGCGCCGCCCGCGCGAAGCTGGTCACAGCGCTCAGTAAGCCCGCCACGCGGCCCGTCGAGGTGCGGTTTCAGGATGGGAGGGTTGGTGAGTAGACCCCCGTCTCGTGCTCCAGTTCGACGTTGGTGTCTTTGGATTTGAGGATCAGATGCTGATGGGCGGTGTGATGTAGAGCCGTTGCCTGACGTCGGGCAGTTGCTGGAGCGGACGCCGTTGACGGATGTGGCGGCGAGTCTGCTGTTTAGTATCGGCGGGCTGTTCATTGGTGGGGAGTTGGGGACGATTTCGGGGGCGTGGAGTGCGCGGAGGGCGATCTCGAGGGATGCGGAGACGAAGGAGAGGATTGAGAATGCGTTTAGGCGGTTTCAGGCGGATGTGCTGAGGAAGAGGGCGGCGGAGCTGGAGAAGGAGGTGAGTAAGGGGAGTATTTTGGAGAGTGCGAAGAGCGTTGTGGGGTGGAAGTGAGAGCAGGTCTTTTTCTCCGACGGCGTTGATGGGTTGGGTTTGCTACGACGTTTAAGCTGTTCACTTGTGCGACGGATATTATTTCCCCTTTCCCTCACGCAACCCTATTCAGTACCGTCAGCATTTTAATGACAATGATTTTTATTATCTGTAAGCTACAAAATTGCAACAGCGTTTGGCGGACTTGCCACTCCTCCGGGCATCTACAGATAATTAGCAACTTCGCTAACCTTCCTTCAGAAAACCGGCTCACCTTTACAGGAACACTGGAAAGATAGAAAGTATACCTCCCCTCCTGGGCGCAGCGCTCCGCCAATTCCTCAAGGTCAAACAGCTCTCCAATCGGCATACCCCACCCGGCCAAGAGCCACTGGTGCAAAAGATACTCCGTGTTCGACCCTCCCATCGTCTCAAGGCCAACCGTGTCACCTGCAACAGCTGAGAGTTGGTTCTCCCAAAACCACCTGAGAGTCGCTTTGGTTGATTCAAGACCGATGTATTCTGGCGGAGATCTTTGTGAGATGTTTAATTGATCCTCAACTGACAAAGCCTTGAGGAATTCGGCAAAGCCACTGCGGATGAAAAGCACGTCCCCCGGGCGAAGCTCGATCTTTTTCTCGCTGATGATGGCCTTGACGTGGTCCAAAGGGATGATTGAACCTTCGAGGAAGTTGATCGGTATATCTTGCTTACGAGCCCAGCCGGCCCAGTCGACAAGCACGCCGCGGGTCTGCAAACCGCCATTTTGGGCCCACGCTAGATGATTTAGCTTGTCTATGAGATGGAAAGAGGGTTGCGCTTACCATCAATCCCCAGTACCCGAGACGCTTCAAAGGCTTCTTGGGTATGGCCCATGAAGAACGAGCCAGATTTAACATCGCATTTCGCTCAGTCAGCATTTCTCCTATGAGTAAGTGAACGGCCTCACTTACCATGATGCCTGAAGCCATCCCATTGAGTGCTGGACTGCGTATTGATGGTGATTATATCGTCGTTCATGGGTAGATCGCCGCCCACACTTTCATCTCGTGCCGGCATGCCTGGCGCCCGAGAATTATAGAGTGCTGAAAGAAATTGAGAGGCAGGTCCAGAGATATGTGAATGCCTTTTTTGATTTATTTTGTTGCCGCTACTACGGTTTCAGGAGTGATGAGGTTGAGCATGCCCAGCTCATCGTGATCACCAAAGAGGCCCCAGGCATTTCCTTCAGGGCCGGTGGGATCGAGAGGCAATGCGTCGAAAGACGGGAACTGGGAATTTTGGGATGCTGGAATCATGAAGCGTGGAGGAGGAATCCGTGGAACAATGCATGACAAAGAGTGTAGGGTTTGAGCTATTTATACTTGTTACCTACTGTCTGAGCTGATTTTGACTCATGTATTCAATTGCAGAGGAAGACTTGGAGCTAACTGAAGTAGATACACTAGCATCTGGAGGCTGATTTAAAGTTTTGATACGATCGTGGTGCGTAGGAATACATATTCCGCCCACCGCACCCTGCTCACATGACGTCATTGCCGATCATGCCGACAGTGCCGACGACGCACAATGCTGACGGTGCAGGCAATGCTGTCGACTTTTTCTAATCACTCCGGTGGGAATAGTAATCAAGGGATTGATTACTTTCTATCAAACTATATGTTCGCACAGATTGTTGCAATATGATCGATGGTCGAGCAACTCTACCGGTTCTGCCATTTCCGTTCTGACTCGTTCCACCCCCTCTGAATACCAAACACCATGTTGTCATTGCTAGAACCTGCCGTACTCGGTGACTCCCTCAGCCTACGCAACCGCATTTGCATGGGAGCCATGACGCGTAACCGCTGCGTCGACAACAACAAGCCTACCGAGGCCACTGTCAAGCACTATGCCACACGAGCGCGTGATGGTGTGGGCCTCATAGTTGCTGAAGGAACCTTCGTGTATCTGAATGGAGCCGAGTGGCCTCATACACCCGTGATGTATGACAGGAGCCACGCGCAAGCCTGGAAGAAAGTCACAGACGCCGTCCACAGTGAGGGTGGGAAGATTCTTTTCCAGCCCTGGCATGCTGGTAATATGTCTCCAATAGTGATTGTAACACGTTGAAAGCCCTTCCATCTGACATATGTGTTGATGTGCAGGACGCATTCAAAACGAGAACATGCCGATGCTGAAGAACACTGGTTATCCGGTTTTGGCGCCGTCCAGAGTCAAAGCAGAAGGAGGAAAGTACCGGCTCTTGGAAGGGCACCCTGTGAGTATCTCCTAGTTGAGGGGTGTAGCTCGTTGTCTTTCAAGTTTATGTATTCTGACATACGTCGCTCTTGGATTAGGGACATACAGAGAACATCACTGAGATTGACGATCCGGGAGCTATCATTGAGCAGTACAGGACGTCTGTCAAGCTCGCGAAAGAGGCTGGCTTTGACGGCATCGAGCTTCTGGCTCAGGGGTGAGTGAGAGCCTAAGAAATAAATGCTCGCCCAGCTTGCTGACATCGTTATCGTTCAGTGGCTATCTGTTGCACAACTTCCTTTGCTCGTAAGCAGCCATTATAACCTTGAAAGAGGGAAAAGTGTACTTACTTTCCGCCCTTGCAGACACAGCAACAAACGCACCGACTCGTATGGTGGCTCGGTGGAGAATCGATGTCGGTTCGTGCTGGAAGTGCTCGACGCCATCATCGACAGCTGGGGAAGCCCTCGGCAAGTCGGCATCAAGATCTGCCCTACCGACGACTACAATGACACAACAGTGTCGTACGAGGAGCTCTCAGAAACGTATGACTATCTGATCAAAGAGATCGTGGAACGGAAACTGGCCTTCATCAACCTCTCGCGGCGCGGCTGCGATGTTATCAGAGCGCAAGACGATTTCTTCAAGCCGGAACCACGCCCAGCCGGGAAGGAGCTGCCACCAGGCTACGAGCCTTTGAATCAGTTCGGCCACCTCGTCAAGTATCCCGGCAGCGCCACCATGCTCATGGTCAATCATGAGTACACGGTTGAAGAGGCGGATGCGCTGGTCAAGGAGGGGAGAATCGACCTCGTCGGCTTTTCTCGTCCTTTTATCTGTAATCCGGTAAGCTCTAGATGCCCCTTTTTTGTGTAGACTGCGTAGCTGAAAAGGTCAAGGACTTGATCACCCGTATCAAAAAGGGTATCGACTTTGCGGTGAATGACCGGGGTGGAAAGGTCAACTATGGACCTTACGATACGGTTGATGAGGGCTACAACGACTGGCCTACAGCCGTACAAAATTCAGCGGTGGTGCATTAGTGCTGTGTTCGTTGAAGACTTAAGACATCCGTGTCTGGACTATAGCTTTGTCTCCTCAGAAAGAAGTGACTCTGGCGTATCACGAAGCTTTGCGAAATTATTCGAAACATGAAGAGTGAAGCCTGCTGTCGGAGCGGGCCGTCGACAATCCGTCGCCGATTCTCGGTGCTGCATGTCGTGATGCATGTCGTGATCGTGGCCTCAAACGCCGCCTGACTCAAGTGGCGTCGGCATGTTCCACTGCCGTCCATTGGCTGCGCATACAGGATCGCAGACGTTCGATGCGGGCGTTCGAACCAAACACTCGCCTCAAGCAGTAAAGAAGTCTGGAAGGGAATAGTGTTTATCCACCGTTGCCGTTTAGCCGAGCAAGGCCCGTTGCTGCGCCCCCCCTTTAAAAAATGTCAGACAAGTCCTTGAAACTGTGATTGGACTGCTTTAAAGTCGTTCCCATTTTAATACAAATGAAGCGAAATTTCGTTATGCAGATCTATCTATTCGAATAAAATCTTCCTATTTTGCTTAGTGCCCCTCGTATTCGATGATCTCAGGCTCACCGTAGCGGCCAGCTTCCGCTCGCATCAGAGAATTGCGGCCTGTACGTGTTTCCGCGATGCTTAGAAATCGCGAGATATCCATAAGATGGCGGTATATGTGTAAGAGATGGGATAAATAGGACAAAGATCTCAAGAGTAGCTCAGCTACCAAGCCGTTCCATTCGTTCACAGCATCGGCCACTCGTTCGTAATGGTTGCCTCGTCGCTCTTTCTTGGCCTCCTGGCCGCAATTCCTTCTCTGGCTGCTGATCCTCAGCTGGGACTCAACAGCTATGTAGAAGTTGAGAACCGCACTCTGGACGAGATCTACCAGGCTGGTCAGTTCCCACTCGGTTTCTTTAAAATGGCATTGGGCTCACTAGAAGAAAAGCTCTCAAGGAAGGAGGTGTTGTGACGCTCGCCGCTGGTGGTGATGAGAAAACCCAGCAAAACTTTCTGAAGCAGGCTTTCGAAGCGCGCTTCCCAGGCATGACCCTTAATGTGACCGTCGGTAAGCATCACAACACGGCCACTGTCAATCAAACGTCTCACTGACTTCTCAGACGTCTCCAAGTACCACGACGGCAACATTGACCGCCAGATCGCCACCAACAACGTGTATGTCGACAGCGTCATCCTCCAAACGTTGCACGACTACCCGCGCTGGAAGTCGCAGGGCGTCCTCCTCCCCTACAAGCCTGCCGGCTGGGACCAGATATACGATGATTTCAAGGACACGGATGGCGCGTACACCGGCCTCTACATCATCAACTGGTTGAACGTGTGGAACACCAACTACGTCAAGGACGGCCCGAAGGAGTTCACAGACTTCCTCAAGCCCGAGTTCAAGGACAAGCTGGTCCTCACCTACCCCAACGACGATGATGCCGTTCTCTACGCCTTCGACCTTATGTGAGTTACGCATCCCACAGATAAGAAACAGTGGTCACTAACCGTCTATCCCCAATCCAGCCTGAGCCAGTACGGCTACGGATGGTTCGAAGAACTGCTCAAGCAGAACCCGCGTTGGGTGCGCGGCACCGCCACCCCCGGCACTCTAGTCGGCAACTCCAACGGTATGCCTTCCGCATTCGCCTCCCCTCTCTCCCACAGAAACTGACTCTCCTCGCAGGCACGTACACCGCAACCTTCACCGGCAGCCGCGGCTACCCGGGCAGCGCGCCGTACAACGTGTCGTACCCGACCGAGGGCACGTTCGTCAGCTGGCCGCAGACGGGCGCGATCCTGCGCGACGCGCCGCACCCGGAGTCGGCCAAGCTGCTGCACTCGTTCCTCGCGAGCAAGGAGCACCAGGCGTCGCGCGGCGGCTGGAGCGTGCGCCGCGACGTCGACAACCCCAACGGCTTCCCGGCCATCACCGACATGCCCGGCACCGACCCGACCAAGTTCTCCCAGTGGATGGCCGACCGCGCCGCCGTCGAGCGCCTGCGGTTCTTCTTCGAGGACAGGATCGGCACGCCGCAGGGCATCAGTCCCCTGGAAGATGACCTTTAAGTGGGGATTGGAGAGGGCCGGTTGTTGTTGGGTGTGTGGCTGGGGTGAATGGAATGCCGAGGTAGGGCCACGCGGTTGCTCATGTTTAGTAAACCTCTTTGTCCCGCGCTATGAGAAGAAGAAGATTCAATCAGCCCGTACATATAACACTGATGTACATATTACGTAACGTATGCGATAAGCGAGTGATACAGCCCAGTGAAGGCTCTTCTACTAGCTTAGAAGAGTTATCGTGAATCTTTACTTGGACTTCATGATACGGACAGAGCTGGTTGCGATGCCATCGGCGTCAACCGAGGAAGGCGCGGGTGGAGAAGGACGCCTCCCAGATGCGCCAGATCGCGTTTCCGCCACATCGACTGCACCGGTTATTGCGTGTTCTGGTGTACTAGAAAATGTGATCGTAAAGCAGCTTGGACAGACGATGTGACTTATAGTAGGGACGCCGCAGACCGGGTCCAAGATTCCCTCTCTAAGCACTCAGCGGAAGATGACGCTTCCGATAGGGAACGGGGGTGTGCGAGCGCGGAGAAGGACACGTTGAGTCTCTTTAGTGACGAATCCGAAGAGCAGTTCTTAGCAAAAAAATCAACGTTAGTCTAGGGAGGACGATTTTCTTCTCTACTAGTAGTTAAAAGCAGGAAAGCTATAGTGATAGGTAGAGTTTATTATAGATAAAAGGTAGTTTATATGTATGAGGAACTGTAGTACGAATAGACAAAACTAAATACAACGCGAAAGAACAGAAAAAGAAAATGTAAAAATAGAGCTATCCTTATAAATCCCTCGTACCGTTTCCTTCGGGGCTACCTTTTCAATACTAATATCCTCAGTACCAGCGTAACGGCTGCTTAGAGAAGAACTAAGCTCTCAGTCTTTAGTTGCGATTAATCTTTTAATAGCTAGAGCAAAGACTGCTATTGCTTACACCGCACGCATCTCTGCTCGTCACTTCTCCTGTAGGCTATCTACATACCTTCTATCGGGCCTTTTTATGCCCGACCATCCTCCCAGTATTTCCAAGATCGGCTTGCAATCTTACCCGGAGGTCCATCTACCGTGGGCACTCTAGGAAGAATTACTTGACTATTTCCTTTTCCGCGGCCTCTCAGGCGCGGACGGTGCTCAAACACATCAGTATACGCCGCCTCTCCGCCTACATCGATTACTCTTCCAGCGAAAATTGCGTCAGCCTCTCCTTTCTTGGCGAGGTAAATGACCGCTGACCCACACAGACGGCTGTTTGGCTTGCTTAACCAACGGGTGTACGTCACTTCGAAATCGTTCTCGGCACTAATCATTCGCTTAATTCGGCGCGCACCGTAGTGCGGTCATCATTCAGAATAGCAAACTTGTTAACATTGTCTACTTTGACTAGATACCACTGGCGACTTCGGATTCTCGCCCCACGGAAGGACATCTCTATCGATCTAAGGCTCGGCCTTACGAGCTCCTCGTCCTCCTCCGTGCTGAAGGGGGGAAAAACGTTCTTTAGCGGTCTCGCTAGGGTTCCTAGTGATTCCGCAGCACTTGGTGCTTCTCTCCTCTAGAATTTACTGTCCTGTTATTTTTACTAAATTGAATTTCGGTGCCCGAGAATTAGTGAAGAAAGCCTCAACTACCAGGCCTTCATTTCCGATTTATAAGGTGTAGACAATTTATCCGTCGGGAATGTTCGGGACGGCTGTGTCGTCTGCAGTGTAGTCCTTGCCGACCTTGAACGCTCCAATCTAGTATTCGTCGACGTCTGGTCTAGGTCTATTAAGCTACTCGAGGTACCGAGGAACTAGTCTGTTGGAGCAGACAGCACCGGACACGGCGTAGTCGTAAACGTTTACGCCAATTCACTGCGAAGTAGCGGGGCTAGAAGCGACCATCACAAAAGGTTTTATTACTCTATATATAACCTCAGAATGACTTTTTGATTAAGGCTTCCGGCAGCAGCATATTGGACCTAAAGACATTCACCAGGTTGGCAACGTTGAGTAACAGCTAATATAATAGAAACTAATTGACTTACTTCTTAACTTATAGCGGACAAGTACCATTAATAGTATAGACGAAACTCCTAGTATGGCGCTGTGCGGCGAGGCTGGTGCGCAAATGCTAAGGAGGTGAACGGGTAATATATTAAGCTACCCGAAAGAAAGTACTAAATACCCCTCTCGGCGATCGCGCCTACTAATAGCGTAAGCTTTAATTAATTAGATATTATATTGTAGAACTAACGCTTTGTAGTAGGAAAGGCGGTGCCGGAGCCCGCGTGGTAATCCGTAGGCATAGCCTGGAATGCTGTAGAGATGCGAATTTAAGATATAAAGAACGTTAAGCCTAGTGTTTTATGAAATCAATGTAACGACTTCCAAATGGGTGCCCACGTTGTCTTTTTAGTGTGAGAACTCGGGCCTAGGGACTCTTTCTTAAGAAAACTCGTAATTCGCTCGGATGATCATTGTCAATGTTGCGAGCTAAGCAGAAAAGGTACATAGTCTGGCTGTGGAGCCATCGTCGCGTTCGCATAGGCCTCGAGATTTCGGATTGTAAATGGTACGAGTACGAGTGCGGTCCATCGTATTCGCATCGATACCGAGGCACTACCAACGCCTTATCGGACTGAAGCTATGGAAATAGCGAAAAAAGGGGCCCAACACAGTTAAAGTTACGAAAGAGGACTGTGTTATTTGTCACATTGTTTGCTCTTCTAACAATTAAGATACATGGAACCTCAAGCCAATCCAACCATCTGCATTGATAGTGCCCACAGGCGTCTTTCCTTTTCCTCATCGTAGGTCCACTCGCAGTAGCCAGGCCCGTAGTGACCGGTTTGACGATCCCATGGTCCTGGGATGTCACAGTTTTCGACATATTGGCCGGGTTTTCCTTCGAGCTGTTTCGCTGTAGCGGCCCATACCGTAGGCGCAGCTCCCTGAGGAACGCTGCGGTTCTCTTTGACAACCTCCTCGTTCTCGAAAGCCGCTGCGATGTTTTCTTCGCCCATGAAACGACCTAGTGATGTGCGAACAACACTAGGGTTGACGCTCCAAGCATGAACGCCCTTGGAACCATAGAGACGCTCGAAATGATTCGCGGTCCAGACACAGGCTGTTTTGCTGGCGGTGTATGCTTTGAAAGGATCGTATGCTCCTTCCAGGTTGATGTTCTTGAAGTCCACTTCGCCGTCTCGGTGAGCACTCGACGAAAGTATGATAAGGCGAGAATTGAAGTCGGGGGTAGATGCAGCGATCAAGGCGTCCTTGAGGAGCTGAATGAGGAGGAAATGAGCCAAGTGATTGACACCGATTTGGGTTTCGAAACCATCGACGGTACGGCCTTCGGGAGTCATCATGACGCCAGCGTTGCAGATGAGGACATGAAGCTTCGTCTCCTTTGAAAGAAACTCAGAAGCACATTGGCGGACACTCTCCAGAGACTCCATCTCAAGGTGAAGCAGATGTGCCTGGCCGGAAGCGAGAAGATCGCCTAGCGCAGCCTTGGTTTTGTCGGGACTCCGCTGAGCAAGATACAGGGTGGCACCGGTCTTGGCAAGAGCGCGAGCGGTCTCAATCCCGATTCCTGCAGATGCGCCGGTAATAAGAATCACCCGACCTTTCCACTGGCCCGCAACACCTTCGTCCTGAATGATCTGATCGGCGGTTGGACGAGCATCCCCAGCTCCCTGAGGGTTGGCATATGCAGCAGCATATTGAGATGGCATGTTGGAACGGCAGTGGAGAATGATGTGAGACTTGGGAGAATGGGAGTGATATGATCGAGCGCGTGTAATTCGTGCATTCGATGGCAGAGATTTCCTAGATATATATATCGATGTTGGTCTTGTCTAACCGCTCGATCGCACGCCGCGGACTCCGGACGGCTAGTCTGGTTGGAAAGATGGGACCACCACTGGTCACTCGTTCACACACTGACCAGCTGTCCAGGCTGCGCCAGAACTAATCTAACCGTCCGGATGGGTTTTGAGTAAAATCCGTTAACACCGGGAAACGAAAGGCATTCGCCTAACTCCGACGATACGTAGCAACTATCGGTAACATTCATCGTTTTTCATTAGGAACAAATAACGCAAAGGTGACGTAGTCACACCGGAGAGAGGCCATTAGGCCAACTAATGTAGCCATCGCGACGATAACAATGAGATAAGGAGGCTAATAATGGTCGATAACGTAAGAAGGTAGCTCTGTCTTAAGTGCAGTGCTTTCCTACCTTTGCGGATACTATTAGCTCTGAACTCCTCATTACTCCAAGCCATTATTATTGACCACCAGTTCCCGATTATCGGCACCCCACACGCAAGAGTCGAGGGAGGTCTCTAAGCGTAATATCGACATCTCTGGGAAAGAATGGCTTCCGTCTCTTATTTCTCCAACTTTTTCTACTCTCAACTCTTCGTTACCGTGCCGAAACCAACTACCAGTTTTAAGGACCGCATTGTCATCGTCACTGGGGGCAACATTGGCCTTGGACTCGAGACGGCACGTACCATTGCCTCTCTCGGTGCCGCCAAAGTCGTTATTTCCTCTCGTTCGACATCTAAAGGAGAAGCTGCTCGCGCCGATATTCTGGAGACTACGAAGCGCGAGCCAGCTGCCGTCGAAGTTTGGCCACTGGACCTGTGCTCCTTTGACAGCGTCCGAGCCTTCGCTTTGCGCGCCAAGTCGCTGCCTAGACTTGATGCACTGGTTTGCAACGCAGGTATTGCGACCAATATCTTCAAGCTAGCCGAAGGTCATGAATCCTCGATTACGACCAACGTCATCTCGACCTTTCTACTCTCCTTCCTCCTGTTCCCACTGCTTAAGGAAACCGCCACCCGCACCAGTAGCCTCTCACACCTTGTAATTGTCTCGTCGGAAGTGCACTTCTTCACCCAATTGGCCGAACGCAAAAAGGACCCCAATCTACCGATCTTCGATATCCTCCGCTCCAAAGAGAATTCAGATATGCAGGATCGCTACAATGTCTCTAAGCTCCTCGACCTCTTGGTCGTCCGCGAACTCTGTACTCCGCCTGACGGTCCCGCCTCTGGAACATACCCCGTGGTCATCAGCGCCCCTCACCCCGGTCTATGCGCTAGCACTTTACGACGCGATCCTCAAGAAGGCCCCTTTCTCGCGCGTTGGGGTGTGTACCTCGTGGAGCGGGCCTTGCAGCGGACGAGTGAGCATGGCGCGCGCAACTTCGTTATCTGCGCGTCCGCGGACGAGAAGTACCACGGGCAGTACGTGAGTGATGGCGTGCCCAGGGATCCCTCACCGTTTGTGCTGAGCAACGAGGGAAAGGAGGTGCAAAAGGCGGTATGGGAGGAGCTGAAGAATATTTTGGAGGAGATTGAGCCGGGTGTCACGATGAATATATAAGCGAGGGCATGGTGCTACTCTTAAGCATTATTGCCAGTGGGCTACGTCACATTCAGGCTCTGGTGTTCTGTTCCCATTGTGCTCTACTTATTGTTCGTCCTGAGAACTATAAAGCTTAGTTACTGATTCTATTATTCGACTGGGTTTCGAATATAATTTCCTGAGCGTTCGTAGGTGCCCTGAAAGCGGATCCTACACAGTACAGCTTGGCTGCATGACTGTTGAGTGTTACCCCTTGCTTTGCTCGGTAACCATAGACAAATCAAGAGCCAATGTAGGGAGTACGGACGAAAAACAGCCCGTAGACTTGTAGAGAACAACCCCACATATACCTCGCTGCCACTCGTATGAGGAGGGCTGTGCGTACCAAGACTCCCTATTGGCTATATTATTAGTCCGAAGTTTTCCCTCGGCCGACGACATGAATTGTTGCTCCGTAGTCATCACAAGCAACTTTAGTTTACGGCCGGAAGGTTGCTACACGTCAGCTCCTTACGACGCTGATTCGTGGCTAGAGGGGCTTTAATGAGCTTGGTGGGGGGATGCTGATAGTCCATGCCTGTCCTATACTCTGACCGCCCAAGTACGCAGTTATATTTGCCATGAAAGCAACCAATTCGCAGCGAAAATGAATCCTGAGAACCTCGCGCAATGGTGCCATCGCCATCTGCGGCATGCTTTTATCCGCAGAAGTCTGTGTCCTCCTCTAACGAGGTGAGCTTTGACTGGTTTGAGAAGATTGCAGATCGATAACGCCACATGGTGCTATTTCTGCGACCGTGGCTTTGTAGCGAGAGCGCGGGAACGAAGAGACACCGTAACCCCCAACCAACGGCTCTTCAATAAAGCTGGTTCTCGCCATCAACCTGTATGGACATAAGATCCTAGAAGGCGGCAGGGCGACCTGACGCGACTTCGACCCGCACACAACCTTAACACTCTTCCATCCTCCTAACCATCAACCTAGAACTTCTCATTCACAGCGATCAATAGCCTTACGCCCATTACTATCCGATCAAAATGTCGTGATCTATGCACTGATCTGAACTCCTGCTCGCCGATTAATTCCACGCGACGACTGAGCGATCGATTGCCTACCGAACCGAAAACACCGCACTACACCGGTACCTCCCCACCATCGCTTACGCACACAAGCTAGAGCACATATTACGCCCTTATCCTGGATTTATAAAAGCCGGCTCAACGCACGAATGAAACAGCATCACCAGTATCCTCCGACTGTTTCCGCCCGTCTTCGATCTGGTAAAGCCTCCCTCCATCGCCGTTGTTGGCAGGAACGATCGCCGAGGGGGGTATTTAGTGCTTTCTTTCGGGTAGCTCAATACATCGCCCGTTCACCTCCTCAGCATTCGCGCATCAGCCCAGCCGCACACCGTCTCAGAATACAGGGTCAGAGCTGCCCTTGACTTGCCAAATCCTGGAGGGCGGAAAGAGTATATTACGACACACACGAACCATAGGGGACCCGTCGTTAGAATACACGGCCAGTTATTCCGTATTCACAGGCGTAGGGCCAGCTCTCGGAGGTGTCGGAATACCAGGACACGGTTCCTTTATCTCTTTGCTTGGGGTCCATAAGGGATGCTGGATGTGCTTCTATTCCTACCTCGGCGTCATCTGGTCATTCTATTGCCTTGGCAGCATGATACTCTTAGTGTGAAAAGCCGAGCGCGTCATAGAGATCACCGTTAAAACACACCGGTCTCCATGCTGTTAGGGTGGTTAAATATGGTGGCGACTAGATGGGTCCGGCGGCCAAGTCCTTGGAGCTTTGCTTGATCCTTTCGAAAAGAATGACTCTGACGGCCTTGTTGCTGTATCGGGGCTGAACGGCTATAAGCTCAGCTTATTTGAGCAACGTGGCGGCAGTTTTATATGGCTTCGAGATGCCCTACTAGAGAGCCTGCCACATACCAGGATATGCGGCTACGGGTATGACTCTCAATTGCAAGACAGCAGCTCATTTCACTGACCTTGGTTTGAGTTTTCAAAATGTGATCACAAGCCTGAGGCGTTCACCCCCTGGTGCCTCCCAAGCAAGACAGCTCATATTACCTGGCCATAGCCTGTGAGGAATCATTCTCAAGCAGATGAGTTGATTCGGCTCATGCGACCTGTACAATGTCCATTGTCTTACATATCGCAAGCTGCAGTGCTCTTAGACAAACGTGCAAAGCAAATTGACAGTTCGTCCTCGCTTGGCGGCTAAGAAACACTACAAAAAGTGGCTGGGATGATGTTTTCTGGGACTCCAAGCGAAGGGCTGGATATCAAAACCCTCCCGCCAATGGTCGCCCAAAGGCCGCCCCGCTTCCCCACCCCTGTCGTAGCTTTATTGAGGCGGAGGTGGCGGTATAACATTGACACGCTGCCCCTTTATCAAAACATCCCGCATCGTCTCCGCACTCTTCACCCTCACATCCTCCACACTCTCCGGACAATTCCAAGCCGCGTGCGGCGTGATAACCAGCCTCCCCACCAACCACTCCTCCCTCCTCCGATACGCCTTCAGCAACGGATGCACCCTACTCTCATCCTCCGGAATCGGCTCCTCGGGCAAAACATCCAGCCCCGCGCCCGCCAACCGCCCATCCCTCAACCCCTTCTCCACCGCATCCAGATCCACAATCTCCCCGCGCGCCGTATTCACCAGCACCGCCCCGCGCGGCATCAACCCCAACAACTCGTCCCCGACCATCCCCCGCGTCTGCGCCGTCAGCGGACAGTGCAAGCTGACCGTCGAGCTCTGCCGAAAGAGTTCCTTCACGTCCCGCGTCCGCCGCACCCCCAGGCTCTGCTCCACCCCGCTCGCTACCCCCGGGTCGAAGAACAGCACGTCCCACCCGAACGCCTTCGCCCGCAGCGCCGTCGCCATGCCGATCGCGCCCAGGCCGACGACGCCGAACGTCGCGCCGCGCAGCCGCGAGATCAGCGGCGATGGGATGGCCGTGAAGGGCGCGGGTTTGGGCGACGCGCGTTGCAGGTCGTGGTGCAGCGCGATGCCGCGCCGGAGCGTGAGGGCGAGGGCGAGCGCGTGGTCGGCGATGTCCGCCGTGCCGTAGTCGGGGACGTTGCAGAGGGTTACGTTGCGCGCGGCGAGGGCGAGGCGGTCGACGCCGTCGTAGCCGACGCCCATGCGGACGAGGCTGGTTGGGGGCGGTTAGTTGGTGGACGTGGGTGGGAGTGGTGGATGGGTGAGGGGTTTGGGAAAAGGAAGGGGAGGGGGCGGCAACACTTACACTTTCAGCCGCGGGAATAGTTTCAAGTCTTCCGCTGTGAAGGTCAACATCAGCAACGTGATGCCGTCGACCTGATCGCGGAGAGACTTGTCGATGCTCGACCAGGGCTTGGAAACCGTGGTACCAGCTGGACGGAGGTTGACCTGTGAGTAGTTGACTTTGTACTCGGGGGAGTCCTTGGACGGTCGGAAGATCTCATGCTCGACGCGGTCATCCTGTACGGGCAGTATCAGAAACAGAACCAGAGACTGGTCAAAGAAGCATTATACCTCGTAAAGTCCATCGGCGTGGATAATTGTGTAGGTCGGAACCGTATTGTCTGTTACGGAGCCCATGTTGTCTTTGTCTCTGACAACCGACGAACCAGATTGAAGTGCCTGGTAATGACTTGTCGTGAAGTATCTAGCCACTTCTTAAAGAGATATCGACAAATCGTATCTGTATATCTTGATCCCTGTGTTGGAGCTTCCTTAGGGAGTAGAGCTGTCCTATTTGATGGCGGAAGTAGAGGCTGTAGGACCTGTGACTCGTACAAATTGACGCTTGATAGACAATGAACTTGTGGCGTTGGATAGCCAAGATGGGTATAAATAACGAATGCCCCTAACGAATTTTTGATCAGGTTGGATTCACCAAGTAGTAGACAGGCCGCCTATCATTTAGGCAGCCTTTGTTGTTAAATTAAGGTTCTGGTCTTGGCTGCCGATCTGCGGATCGCTAGGATAGTAGTGCTTGAGAAACTACCATCAAGTTCAAAATACATCCCTAAACGTACTTATATACATGACGACATGGCCCGTGCGTGCAGCCCATGATGTGGGCTGATATATGACTTAAGGTTCCACATAAGGCCCAATTTCTCCACCACACTACTGATTCAATGACCGTAAAAACGCCGCTGCGCGAATTGACCGAGATAAATGCGTATGATATGCGGAGGGCAAGTCAGCCGTCTATCTTGAAAATGTATTGCACAAACGACATGAAAATGCCGGGATAATCAAGATTTAAATGCGAATGAGACTGTACGAACAATAAATGTCTCTTTCGCAGCTCTTCTCAATGACTATATATCTAAGGCCGCCCTGAAGTAGCTTCAATGTGGTCTTTGATGTAAAGCAAAAACCGTGGCATTCAACGGTTTCTTCTTTTCCAATATCAAGAGCCGAGAGACCAACTACACATTAAGGCTGATGCAAAAGCAGGGTTTGGTTTGGGTGAAGGCTCGACGCCATGTTGAAATCTCATTGCGGTCTGGCGTAAACTGTTTGTCGATCTCGGGAGGCGATACTATCACCAGCCATTCATCACTGAAATCAATCTTGAAGTGTTTTGAAAGTCAAAATATCCTCTCGTATCTTGACTGCACTCCAGCCTTTGCTGAATAGAACAACTTTCTCTCAATGGCACTCGATGCTACGCATCTCAATTATAATAATTCGTAATACAACTTGATGCATCCATTCAGGATAACTTAATTCGAATTTTAGTTGCATTTGTCGAGATTTCATGTATGTTGATACGTCAATCTGGTTCAACCGCCTGAAGAGCCGCGGTGATGATATTGCCAGGATATCTGATCACGTCATTCTCTTCTAAGGTGATGTGACTACTAGGCCCAGGAATTTCAATGCGCACATATAAAAAGGCGTCAGCCAGGACCGTGACTCCGTCAGGCCGATATCATTTTCGGGCCACAGCGTACTACCATGAAAACCCTATCCGATGAGCAACTTACAGCCCTCGCGGGGCAATATTTTGCTCCGGCAGGTTTATACCAACACACCAAAAGCCTCCCCTTCCTTGGGACCTTGGAGTGTAACACCACGTCACTGATCGCCGGCCAATGGACGGAGCTTATTGTCGAGTACACTGTGGGCGCCAGTGGTTTAGCGGATGGGGCTTGGATCAAAGGTACATTCAAGTTCTACTCCGACTGGGCTCTATTCCAAACGACGGATCCAGAGAAGGACAACTATGTATCGGCTGAGTACATCGCCGGCCCGCTCCATCCTGGCCAGACACCTGCGACGGTTCAATCACTTGCCGTCCGATTCGACCAAAAGGGCCATGAGCGACCTTTTCAGAAGGCCATCCTGATTGACATTGTCGACGGTTTTCTGAATCCGGGTGACAAGATCATTGTTCGCATTGGTGATCGACAATGGGGTTCTCGTGGAACTCGCGTTCAGACCTTCGTTGAGGACAATTTCTTGATGAGGTGGTACATCGACCCCGTGGGAACCTCCAGATTCGCGCCCATCAAACCGGATATCGCCATCCCAATCAAACCGGGACCAATCGCCAAAGTCAAAGCAATTTCTCCACGCTTAGTCGGCCTTGACGTGTCCTTTCCGATCCACGTCCACACGGAAGACGCGTGGGGAAATGCCACGGCCGACTTGGATGGACTGAAGACTCAGATCACCATCACAGAAGAGGGGTCATCCGAAGCAATCTTCGACAAGGAACTCGCGCTTCCAAACCAAGGATGGACCGTCGCCAGCACAACACTGTCCCTCCCCAAACCCGGCGACTTCACCATCTCCGCCTCCATCCTCGACCACCACGGCAGCACCATCATCACCACCACCTCCCCCCTCACCGCCTCCGCCACCCTCCTCATCCCCCGCCCCCTCTTCGCCGACCTCCACGTCCACTCCGACGACACCGTCGGCACCAACTCGACCACCTACAACTTCAGCTACGCGCGGCACATCGCCGGCCTCGACATCGTCGGCTACACCGCCAACGACTTCCACATCACCGCCGCGCGCTGGCGCGCCGCCCTGCGCACCATCGCCGCCGCCAACGACCCCGGCCGCTTCCTCGTCTTCCCCGGCACCGAGTGGTGCGGCAACACCGCTGCAGGCGGCGACCACAACGTCGTGTTCCTCGCCGACCCGACCGCTACCGAGTCATCCCCGCCGGAGTTCCCGGAAGATCGGAACGGCAATGTGGCGAGGAGTTTTGAGTGGAATGAGCATGGGCCCGCGCAGCTGGAGCCGGGGGCGTGGCCGTTGGATGAGGTGTATGCGACGTATGCGGCGCATGATGTGGAGGGGCATTTGCTGATTCCGCATGTGGGTGGGAGGAGGGCGAATTTGGCGTGGCACCATCCGCGGTTGGAGAGGTTGGTGGAGATTGGGAGTGCGTGGGGGTTGTTTGAGTGGTTGTTGAGGGATGCGGTGCGGCGCGGGTGGAAGATGGGGGTGTGTGCGAATTCGGATGAGCATCGCGGGAGGTGTGGGGGCGGCGTGCCGGGGACGGCGGTGTTTGGGACGAAGGGCGGGTTGACGGGGGTGCTGGCGGAGGGGTTGGAGTGGCGGACGGTGGGGAGGGCGTTGAGGGCGAGAAGGACGTTTGCGACGACGGGGGAGAGATTGGTGGGGTTGGTGAGCATGAAGGATGGGATGGTGGTACAGGGTGATGATGTTGAGGTGGGCGTGGGAGAGGAGGTGAGGATCAGGTATCGGTTCTTTGGAGAGAGTGGGTTTGCCTCGGTCGAGGCTTGGGACGCTACCGGGAAGATCTTTCATCGCAACCTACAGCAAGAGGTGGAGGAGAATGCGCCGGAATCGACGCGGAGGAAACTTCGTATCAAGTGGTCTGGAGCTCGGCTCTATGACAGGTATCGCGAAGCAGTCTGGAAAGGTTCGATCCTCGTCGCTGGCGCCGTCATCTCACATGTACAGCCGTTTGGCGGGGTGCTGGATAACCCGGATGACGTGATTGAACAGGCTTCTGAAAGCCAAGTCATTTTCAACACACGGACGAGTGGGGACTTCGATGGCGTTGACATCTTCTTTGCCGAGGAATCTGAGCTGCCAGGATCGATCAGCGTTACTGGTAAATTGGGTGGATATGTCAAGGTCGGTAACATTCTCGAAGGCAATCCCCACAAGCCCCAGCCCGAATTCAGCTTAGACGCTTCGTCACAAGAGTTGGTGCAGGCTGGCGGGAAGCAGATTGACATCCAGGGTGGAGCTGAGCTTTCTGTATCTGCTGAAGCCCTCCTGGATGTGACGCTTCCCAAAAAAGCTGAGGGCGACTTCAGTATCCCTGCCAACAAGCATTCCATTGGGGACGAACAGGCAGTGTATTTCGTGGGAAGGGAGTATAGCGGTGGCAAGGTGATAACAAGTCCTCTATTCATTCAGTATGTAGCTTGACTTAGGAGCCTGGACCCGTAGCTGGCCAGACAACAAGAACGGACTTGCCATGTCCGAAATGCTGAGCGCCCGGTGTCATGAAGTTGTTCCTTCCCATCACCCCACCATGGACGTCTTATCGCTGGGCTTTATAGTACTACTCCTTAAGGAACGTAACCCTCTTTCACCCAATCCCAATCTAGCCGAGTGTGGTGCATACGAGGAGTCTCTTTCATCTTTGTGCACCTCACGTCGAGATATGTAGACGCAAAATCCATGCCCGCGGCCGAACATATGCACGTAGCCCATCGTCTCATCTCCACCTTTTCCCCGAGGAGGTCTACCCCACTCAAAAGTGTATGCGGCGATGGGAGCAATGCAATAGCAGGGCGAAATCTTTCGGTGTGGATGTGACCTGACGTGCGCTGTACAGTATCGGTGTATCGTTTGATTTTAGGACGGTGGAGGCGGAAGGCATCGCATGTGGCACACTGCGTTGAAATTTCGCTGAGCGCGGACCGATGAAACGAAGCACTGGTAAGAAGCCCATGAGCAAGTACTGACTCGCGTTGGAAGATCTCCCCACATGGCCGGTACTCAGTGGAAGTCGATCGTGGTTCATAAGGTAATTCGGCGGGCCGAGCCGTGAACAAGTGGAGGCGGATATCGCTATACTGCTAACTAAGGGCAATGTCGTGGGAAACTACCCTCACGTAGCGTTTCCCAGCGGTCGCATCGGGCGGCCTAGGAGGCCCGGACGGCCAAACCGGCGAAGCCCGTTCTGCAGCACATGAAACTTCTTGGGTCCGTTTACGGCAGATGTGAGCAGTAGGCGTAGCGTGCGGATTGCGTACGGCGTAGTGGGAGGTCGTCGGAGTCGCTTGCCGAATGAGCGGGCGGTTGAAAGCATCGAGACTTCCGGGCGTAGTCAGGGTGCTGTGCAACGGTTAGGCTGTCATCTCAGAAGCGAGTAAATAGTACTCGTCGCATACTTCAGACCACATGAATCTATGTTTTGATGGAAGCTGATGGAGGGCTGGCCAGGTCTGGGCGCGACAGATGGACACGTTAGCAGTCGAGAATTAGGCTCTGTTTGGGTGAGTAGATGGCTGACCTAGTAGCGAGCTGCTTGGGCTAGCTGTGCTTATCCGAGACGTGGCGCTTGTGGCAGTGTAATGCAGATGTTTCTCAATTGGTGGCAGCAGGCAGCAGGCGCTGGGCAGCGTCAAAATCACCCTCCTGCACGGCGATGCGCAGCAATCATTTGTGCGGCTGTAGGTCTCGCCTAAACGGAAAATAAGGGAGACACGATAACGAGCGGAAAAGTGCAGCAGGGCGCGGATGGAATAATGCATTATTTTGGGACTGGCTTTCCTAGCAGCAGGCGTTGCACCTGCGGCGCCCAGGGACATGCCTGCGCTGGTTCGTACCTATGTACATAAACAGCGGATCCGGGAGAAGTAGTCGCCATAAGTAGAGCTACACAACGACACACTCGCGACTTTCCAGAACACAGCGCCGGGAAGATGAGTAGCCTGACCTTTCAACTATCCGCAATTGCGCATGCGTGTTGATAGAGCCCTGCAAGTCTTGAATAGTTGCACGAAAGTTGCGTGCAAAGAGTTGGGGGGTTCGCGCATAGAGCCTTGCTTCCAAGGATCTGTTGATGATCGCGTCCGATGTAACTCCGCGAAACACGTTATGTCTATTGAAACATTCCCCAGCAACAAATCGGGGCATTTAGCTTGAAATACACTGTATTCTAGAGCCAACCTTTCTCCACAAGGCGATATAACATTTGTATAGAAATAGCGTCTGCACACTGCGTTGTAATGCGTTAAAATACTTCAGAATTTATTCTTCCTCGAAAACGTCTGTACGTAAGTATACTCGTACACGCGGCATTCGACTTTTCTTAAAAAGGAAGATGCGCACCGAAGAGGTATTTGGCGTCTGACTACGGACGCGTCCGTAAAAAGATCATTGGGAGCACTGTGATATTAGCGGGACAGCCAGATCCCACAACGGAGATACCTCGCTCGTGCCCGCCTATAATCTGCGCTTCGAACTTGCAAATCGTAGCACAAGGGCGTTCTCGCCGCCGCGGGCGATAATCAACGATTCCTCCCACATTGGCTGTCTTCCAGGGCGAGCGGCTACGACTATGTTGAGAGATTTCCGTTGACCAGCCTTGCTTTGGAGACCCTCCAGAGCAGGTCTGGACACAATGAGCACGGCAGGTGTGCTGATTTGCCAGCATGAGCTTCACGCACCGTAACTTCCCCGCGGGAAATACTACCAGAGGCGGTTCAGTGACCAGCGCCTGCTCGTGAGCCTCGTCGCGGCGCTGAATTGTGGCGTGTTGGCGGTACGCTGATTTTGCATGTAGCACGCGATTCACGGGCATCGTGACTCCCCAGCCGGCAGGCGATAAGGCCTGCGCGCGAGCCTCGTTGCCGCTGCTGCATACCAATCAATAAAGCTCATTCGCTGCGCTGTCCGAAGAGCCGACCGGGATTCCGCTACTTGCTAGGGTAGGATTGCGCCTGTGCTGCTCGGCAGCTACAGGTGACGTACGAACTGGCGGCGTCGAGCTGCTCGGCAACCACAAGTGACGTACAAACTAGCGGCGAACATGAATTATATTTGCGCGCCGCGGACGCTTCGTTCTGGAGACACATTCTTTGGAATAAACCATCTTGAACAGTGCATCTGCATTGCGCCCTTCATTTTTGTCCCGTTCAGCTTCGGATTCTGATCCTGCCCTGACCGGCTCCAACCCCAGTCTTGTCCTTGCGCCCCGGTGCTGCTCCACGTGACTTGCTCAGCATATCGTCACACAAACAAAAGCTACGGAGTAGGTCAATAATGATTTACTAAACTTGTCGATTGTAGCTGACTCGGTATTATTCGTAGCGTCCCAATCTCCCACCAGTTGCTTCCTTCTGCCGCCTTTCTGCAATATGCGTAGCCCGCCGGCATCGCATTCGCCCTCCCTTGTTCCAGGGCCACCCACTATTCCAACGGCGCCTTCAGACAGACCGCTGTCTCTCCCTCCGCCGCTGCCTTTTACCTCCCACCAAGCGTTGCATTGTATTCTCTCCTCGACGGGCGGCTGCGGTCCGCACGAGCCGTGCGATGATCTGATTGAGCCAGCTGATACCGTGGCGAGCGATCCACCTGGCCTAGGGCAAGAGGGTACCCAATACGCCTTACCTGATGACCTGCCTTCGGATGAAGGCCGTCTTCCCCAGCAAGAATCCACATCTGAACACTCTACTCTCGCATCACGGGAAGATGCTCTCGACGACCTAAACCGTGATGTTAATATCATCGTCGAGTGCGGACACCATGAACGCACTTACCGCTGTAAGATGGTGATAGACTCGGGCAATCCCCACGCCAACCTCATCAGCAGAAAGGTAGTGGATGACCTTCGCCTTCCCCGCGCGCAGACTAAGCCCTCTTTTATGAGGCGAGTGCTGAGTAAGCTGGCGCCTTGGACAAACGCGGGGATGGCTGCCAAGCTGCAAGCCCGGGGCCGGGTCCGAAACATCGATGGCACTCCGATTAAGGGGCAAGATGGCACCGTTACGATCTCTTGGTTTGGCACGAATCGGGATGGTTCCAGTGATCCAATCCTCTGGTTCCAGCCAAGGCGCTACGAAACGACACACGTTGTCGTGGACGCCAACCGCTGCGGCGCTGACATTATCCTGAGTTGGAAGGAAGTCAAGCGCCTCAAGCTCAGGCAGCAGTTCACCGGCGCGATTTACCGGCCGCCCACTCCAAAGTCTGATCCAGGTTGGTAGACCCCTTGCTGATTACATAGAACGTAGAGACAGTAGACTGATCACCACCGCAGATAATGAGAAATACAAGGACTACGAGAAGCGCAGAGCCGAGAACGCTGCGGCTCGGAAAGCAGCCAGAGATCAAAAGCCTACACAAAGTCCATCATCTAGCGCTCGCAACGCAAAGAAATCTGGAAAGTAGTGGCCATATCCACTCATGGATGCCTCCCACAACGAGTTAATCTCTTTTGTTAATATTGATGCACATATCCATTTTGGCGGCTTTGATGGGTAGATGCTGATACGCAGTCTTTACCCATTACCCACCTAACCCCCCTGCCCTCCTCCTTTCTTCCCAATCACGGACTGGAAGCAATAATACTCAACGGCATCACGGTGCAAAGAACTATAATAGGAATGGACGGTATCACTGACGACTGTAAAGAAAGATATAGGCATTGTAATACCGAAGATAGATTTCAATATATCACTGTTGGGCGTTTTCCTTCCAAATCTCTCTTAGATCCTGTTTTTTGTCTCTTCACATGTGGTTTCAATATTATGTAGCTATCAGCTTTCTTTGTGCATGTCTACAAATATTACTGTTGCTAAAATTTGCATCTTGTGTGGAAGCCCTGCCGAGTTCGACGTAACAATTTATGAATGAACACTATTCATGATCAACTCAAAGGAACAAGGCTCCAACTGCTTTGCCGTCTGTCAGGCGCTGAGCTCATGGAACCGGCGGTCTGATCTTCGCCGCTGAAGCGAAAGCCGGCATCAGGAGGGCCAGCACACTCTTCCACGGGCCACGCTACGTCTTTCCGTCCAGCTGAGGGACCATCAGGAAAGCACTCTCAGACTGGCTTCTGCGCTGCCATTTTTGGAAAAAAGACATACCCGTCATCATCTCACTACAGGTATCTTACAGCTGGGTTTGATGCGCTCATCGGTGCCTTGGAGCGTTACGCCCTCTAGTAAGATCGCGAAGCAATCAACAACGGTACGCATACGGAGCCCTCGATAATATCGAGGTGACCGTGTGGAAGAACCATGTCCATTGCAGGATGTCCTGGCCCGATCTTGTTCCCATCCCGCTTTCCGTATGACTCACATTATACACAGTGATGGATGGCCTTCACTAAGAGGGTGAGGGTGCGGTCGGAAGTTGCAAAGAGGGAGGTGGGAGGAATCAACTCTATCATTACACGTACGTATTAGCGAAAGCGGGGAGTCTACTGTGTAGTCCATGTACATGCCTGGTAGATGAGATGGAATGGGTTGCTGACTCGTGTCGAAAGATGATCATCTCCACACGGTTCGTACTCGGCGAAAGTCTACTGCGGCTCATGATGTCATTCGGCGGGCCGAGCCGAGAATTGTGTGTGTGTGTGCGTTGGGGGGGGGGGGGGGGGGGGGGGGGGGGGGGGGGGGAAGAAAAGGGAGCCTACGATGAACGACGGACGTATATGCCTCAGGCGAGGCCGGGTTGAGAGCCCGCCCCGAAGAGCTGGTATCTGGCTCTCTGGTACAGCGATTGATTGGGAGATCAAACCAGACGGAGCTTGCAAGGGTGAAGAAATGAAAAGGAACCGGACGAGTGTGACAAGACCAGCCCTGAAGGACTAGCTAATAGTATCTTACCGCCAACTTTCTTGGTGTTCCTTGTGGGACGACTTGTTTCGAATACAAACATCGTAGCACTTCGCTTCAGACTCTCATCGTCAACGTCGTCCTCAAGCAGGAGCTCAGAGAGATGGAGCCTGGGAATACGTCCCCGGCAGACCACGCGTGGTCAAGACGTTATACCGTGCTCAACGCGTGCCCCCTCCGCTGAACCAGTGGCTTGCGTGGCAGTGTTAAGCAAAGATGGTATTGTAGACGGCGACGGCCTGATCAAAAGCGCAGGAGGTTGTTTCCCTTGGCCGATGCGGGTCCCTACGTAGCGCTAATGCACAACCTCCAACACTGCGTGTCTGCTTTGTGTCCGCACCAAACGCTGGCCCAGCGTCGCTTCGATGAGACAGGCCACATGTCCGACATAGATTAGGGCGCGTATTTAAGCAGGACCCGGCGATTGAGTTGGCGTTGGCAGCGATGGCTAAGCTTCCACGGCGGGGCAGCGTGTGGTCAAATTCCGAGGGCTAGGTGCAAGACGCAGGACGGACGAGGTGGCCAGTATGTCTTTGGTATCCGCGGCATGCGACGGATGGCTCGACAGACCGCGGACTCGCAGCGCTGTGAAAAAAAAAGTTCGGTTCAGGTCGTGGACTTTGGGTGTGCCGGGCTGTGGCTGGCGTGTCCAGGTCCGAGCGGATAGCGGGCTCAAGTTGGGCGGGAGACTCGCTTGCTTAGTCAAAAACACCACGTGAAGCCCCAAGAACAGCCAGGTCGTTGTCTCGAAATTTTTCTCGGGGGAGCATGTCGCAAGATTATTTGCCTGTCTTTACATAGGGATGCGATAGCAGGGTGTCTGCCCTCTGACTCGTGGTATCGGGTGTATGCGCCCGTCGACATGATGCTTATCAATGTCAGATCTAGATCTGGAGAACCGCGCAACGGGAAAGCAGGCCCCCTGTGACTATTTCTTGCAAGATTTACTGTCTAGCCAAAGCCTTGATTTTCGAGGTTGAGCTATAGCTGGGCTAGTCCAGTCAGTCAATACACAGCCATGGAAATCCACCCATCATCCGATGCCAACTTCAACGCATGTCGTGGCGGGGAGATGAAGTCGCATTTCCTAAATGATCGATGACCTTGTATTGGATGTTGCTTTGGCCATTGCTAACAGCCCATGTGTTTGACTTGGACCGTTCGGGATTGTACATGGCTTACCAGAATCCAAATCTTGCCGGTACTTTGCTTCGTCCACACCGCTAAAAGGTCCCAAACGCCTACACCATGCTTCTCTCCAAGCGATATGCCGACTGCATCCTTTAGTGTCCGTAGCAATGGCCTGGTGCATGCCCCTCTAGGGCCTCCTCTTCACAAACTCCTCCAGATCCGACCTGGTGGCTACTCCCAGCACGAACCGCCTGCTCGCATCCGTCACGACTGCAAAGTCTTGCTTTTGGCCCTCGGTGCCCTTTCCCTCGAAAAATTCCTCGAGCTCCTCGAGTGGTGTATCCATTGTGATGACCTTGTAAACGCGGCCTTTGCGGCGGAAGCGCAGCATGACATCCCTGACAGGGCTGGTTTCCTGGACCTTTCCCTCCTTGAGCAGTTCCTTAAGTCGTGGGATGCTGAGATATCCGAGCAGCGCGCGGTTCTCCGGCGACAGGACGGTCAAATGCGTGTAGTCGCGCTCGAAAGCCGACATGAGGGCGTGCGAGACCGGGTCGGTGGGCGAGACGGACAGGGCGGACGGTGGGTCCAGGTCTTCGACCGTAGCCTATACGCGGTCAGGACTGGATACATCGCTGAGCTTTTCGCACGGATCGGGCCACGTCGGAGAAGAGCGCCGCGGGACGGGTGGGCTGTGACGGTGCCGGGGTGAGGGAGCCCCGCTGACGAGGACATGCGTACTTACCCCACGATATTTGTCGGCCCACAGCGACGTCGTGGCGGGGCCATTGGGCGTACTGGCGGTCATTGTGCTAGAGGCCATGGTAGCGTTGTTGCGAAGAGGAAACCCCGTGTTGAGTTTTGAGTCAAAGAAACGGAATGACGTGGGGCGAGCATGTGAGGTGAGGCTCCCGGCTTTCGTCATGCAGGGTCTCGGGTTCTCTACGAGCCAAGCACATTCACGACCAATCCGTTTTGGTCTTGCCATTCTTCTTCCATTTTATCAAAACAATCTCCTATCTAGCAGTATTACTGCGCCATTTTGAACGCCGATCAGCTATGCACAGCACCATCGGGTCTGAAACCATCGAATTCACTCCTTGAACACCAGCTTGAACTTGAAAACCGTCGCAAATGCCGGGTCTGTGACAACCACTTCCTCTCCGCTCGCAACTAAATCAGCCAGCTTTCTCTGAAGATTCGGTCGTGTCTGCTCTTCCAGGCTTGGAGGAAACTGCTGGTAAAGCGTCTTGGCTTCCGATCGAATGCTCGGCTTCTTGAATTGCCTATATTTCCATGGTCAGTTTGTTCACTAGTGGCTTCCAGGGAGTACCCACGTCTCCGGCCGCTCTGCGAGGCTTTCCAGGAATTCCTCCAACGAGTTCGCCGAGTCGACCTCAAGCGTCCTGGCGAGATTACCGCAAATGGGGCAGTCGTCCTTCTTCTCATGCTCGAATGTGTAAGTGTACACGCTGTCATCGCCAGTATAGTACATGTAGTTGCCATTTCCACTGTCCGGGAGCCCAAGGGGCGGGTTGGTGTTGCTGGCGATCTTGAAGGCTTCGTTGCAGCATGCCGCGGCAACAATCGCGTTGGTCGATGCAATTGCAGGGATGATGTTCTTGACCACGCCCTGAGTCATTGAGTACGTGACGCCAGGAATGTTGAACTCGTCGGCGCGAGCAAGAGCCTTGTTGTAGAGCCAGGTGATATGCTCGGGGTCATCGGTGTCAAGCGTATCTCCCTTGCGCTCTTCCTCCCAAGCTATGATGTGCGCCCACTCGATGCAATGCTGCGGCTGTCTTGGGATGGTAGCAAGCGTACACAGAGGAACCGCAGCACGCGGGGCGTGCATGTCCAGCTGGCACTCTATACAAGACGTCATAGTCGGGAGAATGACACGCGCCTGGCCCTTGAAGCCTGGCGTTCGAATTAGCAACCGGTGGCCTTCCAGCCGAGGATAGTTTTACCTTCCGTTCCACCGTCAATCAACGGCTTCAGAGAATCTGGGTTCTCCGCATCGACCATGCCAACGAGCGTGGCATTGATCCACCGGCGCGCCTCAATGCTGTCCAGCCCGCATACCACCAAAGCAAACTGCATGTAGAAATCCTCGTCCTTGTCCTGTATTTTGCCGCAGTAAGGCGTGATCTTGACACCTTTGACTCGCTTCTCCACGAAGCGGGCCGCGACTTCGGCCTTGTACTTTCCAACGTCGGCTTGACGGAATAGAAATTGACGGTTCAGGTTTGAGACGTCAATCGTGTCTATGAACCTCGTCAGATCATGTGACCCAAAAGCCAGCTCGACACGTGGATCAGGCAATACCCATGTCGATAACGTAGATGTCCTTGAATCCAGAGAGCGCAAGGTTCTTGAGGATCTCGCAGCCAAGCCCTCCGGCGCCACTGCCTGCGGTGAGTACGACGCGAGGACAATAGGAGACGACAAGCATACATGACCCTAAAGGCATGTTAGCACGATCTCGCTCGAACAGCTGCATCGAAACTACTCACAAAACCTTCATGCTTGCCAGGGCGTCAAGCGTAGCCGCGCTAGGCTCCCAGTCGGGGTCCGTGAATGGACCATGGCGGCTAACGATGTTCTGGAGATATTTCCTGACACTTGTCAACATGGAGTCCTTAGAAGGGCACGGCGGATGTCTACCATCTCGCTGGAAGATTTTCTGCGCGGTTCGCCATGGTTCGTGGTGACCGGATCAGATTCGATGCGGAGGTGCTGAGTGACAAGTCGAGAGAGGTGACGGAGCCCGTTTAGAGATCCATGGAATGGTCAAAGCTCCAGCATGCTTATCGATAACGGCCGCTGCCTAATCTTTCGCCGCCGTTTATCCGCACGCCATTGCTCTCCGTCCCGCTTGCGCCCAACTTCTTCTCGAATCCTGTCGCCATGACTTAACGCGCGACGATGGATGACCTACTGACCGCCGTTGGGACGACTAGGCTAAAGCCTGTTGTGGCTCTCGAGGAAACTCTCAGTACAACTGACCCGACTGGTTATCCCGGAGCTGCCAATATAAGCTCTCCAGATCAGGCCTTAGCGGCTCTGCGAGGACAACCTGACGCACAGGAGCTACACCATGTTCTGAGATACCTCGGTGTGTCAATGAAGAACTCAGAAAACTTCAACATTAGAGTCCCTGGACCACTCTCTGCACAGATCATCAGCACACTCGTAAACGATACCATTCCGAATTATTGGGACGCATGGCCAACCACATCCTCGTCCAAGGACGACAAGGGTGTCATTCTCGATTGTCTCAAAAGCGTCAGCGGGCTTGGTGCCATCGTTGCACGTCTCAAAAGCCTGGTTCAGGATTTTTACCAAAATCAGAAGCGGCCGGGCGGGACAACCGATGGCGTTGAGCAGCAATTACGACCACTTTGTGATATCCTGGCTAGTCTTCTTCACGAAAACATCATTCTAGATCTGTGGCAAATCATTCAAGGTTTTGTCAATGTCCCCACCCAAAGACAGATCCTGTGGCGCGAGCTTGTCTCTCTTTTCGCAGCTGGAAGGATTGTCTCCGTGGCTGCCCAGGCATCAGATTTACTGAAGGCTACACGGAGCGGTCAGTCTGATCCTTGGTTTGCCTCTGGATCAGAATTTGCACAGTGGCTTGGACGCTCCACAGCCATTTTCGTTAGTAATGCTGCAGGCTCGGATTGTGCGCAAGACGGCGCACTTCTCTTGGGGAAATCCTTGACGCTAGGATATCCAGGTAAATTCTTATCGCCTCGATATTGAGATGTGTAGCTAATGTCTAGACAATATCTTGTGGGGATTCTTGTCACATTTCTCTCTTCATGGTGCAAACAGACTCTCGTTGTTCCAACAATTGATCCGAAAGCTCCGTGGCCACGAGCAAAGGCAGGTCATTTTTATCCTTTTGAATATCTTGTCGAGTAAAATCCTCCGCACCCAGAACGAAGATCTCGAAACGTCCTCGAAAGCGATACCAGGTTCAGTGGCCTTTCTACATGCCGTCACAGACAGCAGCGATGCCGCGAAAGAAAGTCTTGCTCTATGGCTCACCAATCCAATGAGCGGGTACGCAAATGTATCGTTTGGTGCGAGACGCGTTGCCGTCGCCGCTCTGCAACTAGACGAAGGTGAGAGATCCTCTCGCTAATGTGGGCGGGTGCAGAACTGAGGAAAAGTATAGATAGGATGTGCAAAGTCCTAGAGAGGAGCATGGAGCAATTCGGGGATGAGCTCTTCATCAAACACACCCCAATTCTGCAGCAAGAAGGTAAAAACCTTTACTGATGACAAAGGTTGACCGCTAACACGCTATAGCCTTGGCTCAAGTTCTACTCATGGCCTCAGGTTACATCCACCGAATGCAGCCCATGCTCCTATTCACCCTGGCAAGGTCAAGTGTACAGATGCGGGGCACCTCGAATCGTTTAGGGACTTCCTCTCCACGTGCCCGCTTCCTGGGAATGGTCGTTGCTACTGCCATATCAGAGCTCGTAGACAAGCCAGAAAATCGGCTCAATTTCGGTATCGCTGAAACCGAATCCAACGAGGCAGATTGGTTTCGGCAGCTTTCTCGACTGGACGATCCAATTGGTAATGTTGGAGACTTTGAGCAAGCGGTGCTTGACCAAGCGACTCCAAGCGTGAAAGCTTCACGCGCCCAATTGCAGGCGAAGCAAAAGGCGGGAGGTTTCCCAAGGCAAGTGAGGAAGGAACAAATAGCAGCAGGCCCAAAGATTATCGAAATCGCGGATTCTTCGGACGAAGACGAAGATCTTGTGCCTTACGCAAAACCAGACTCTGATCCAGAGGACGACTCTGAAGACCCAACTCAGGTCACCAGAGATAGATCAACAGCACCCGTCTACATTCGTGACCTACTAGCGGGTCTTCGAGAAAGCGAGAACCTCGATCGTCACCAGCTTGCGCTCTCAAGCGCAGCCAGTCTAATTCGACGAAAGTCAAACTTCGGCAAAGAGGTCAAGGACAATCTTGAAGAGCTCGCTTCTGTCCTGGTGGGCTTGACTGATCAGTTCGAGCTGGAAAACTTCGAGGAGATGCGTCAACAGGCTTTGGTTGCGGTTGCGATTGCTGAGCCGAGGCAAATGGGGCCATACTTGGTGAGATGCTTCTACGCTGGTGACTATTCTATCAGCCAACGTGTCTGCATGCTCGGCGCCATCGGCCTCGGTGCACGGGAAATGGCCGGATTCAAGGAGGATGGCGACGAGTCCAGCGCGGGGCGGCGCCAGGACTCAAGCTTCCCCACGAGAATGCTTCCTGCAAAGTTACACAGTATCTATTCGACGGAAGCCAATCCGGTGGATGCCATTACGAACAAGCTGAAGCACACCTTGATATCTCCTCTGGCGCTCGATGCGGCTGACAAAGTTACTGGGCCAAACGCACTCAAAGTCCGCACATTCTCGTCACGCATGGAGGTGGAGAAGAAACGTAAGATTATCACCAACGACCTCGCAAAGGTCGTGGCCCAGAGCTTCTTCTTCCCACTTACCGCTGGGTGGTGGGCACACTCGAGAGCGCTGTAAGTAGTTCATGATCGTCCGGCTACTTAGGCTGACTCTCAACAGGGGCACGAGCAATATATATTACTCTCCTATGATACTTCCTGTCTTTCTCAAGACACTCGCCATACTCCTGCACTCTTCTGGCTCGTCCACGCTTTCTCTTCCGCAAATGACTTCTGAGCTCTGGGATCTCCTTCTTGCAGTCCGGGCACCTGCACTTAGCGACTCGGCCATCCTTGAAGGTGTTGTTTTTGCGATGTTGATGTTGCTGGAGGTGAATGAAAACCAGCAGCGTCTCGTGCACGACCACGGTAGAGAGCTTCTTGAAACACAGGAGTGGGTGAAGATGGTATTTGACCGCACCGGCGGAGGAAGTGATGAGGAAGAACGGGTCAGGACGCTCGCGGCGGGAGTACTTGTGAAATGCGGCGAGGTGGTCGAGAAATACCAAGGGTCGTTGATGGGCGAGATGATGGATTTCTAAGCGTACCCCAGGAAGCATTCGTAGTGCATGCTCAAGAGAATTGCCAAAGTTTTGACTGCCCGTTGCTCAGCTTCCAACATGGCGAGCAGCCCTAACCCGGTTTAGCGCGGTCTTGGCGCGTCACGGTTCGGCGATGCAGCAGAACACCGCCGCCCGCCGTTCCTCAGCGCCGCATCATCGACAACTTCCTGCTTCCGCCTCCACTCTGCTGCTCGACGGACGCACATACATGTCGGTCGCATAAACTGCCCACCCGGTCGCAGCGCATACTGGATCATCGTCGCCACTAGCCCGTGAAGATGTCCGACGGTAAGCTACAGCTCGACGCGCTCAACGTCGCCAGCAAAGCTAATGCACGCACAGCCGACTTCGAGACCATCAAGCGCCTGCAGCAGGAGCGCAACGCGGCAGCTGCAGGGAAGAAAGGTTCAAAGACTTTCGACCCGGCTAACCAGAGGACTGACAACTCAACGAAGGCCTCCCTGACGGAATCCTTTGATACCGACCTTTATGAACGCAATGGCGCCAACAAGTACGACGGCTACCTCACCTCCATCCCTGCTAATGACGATGAGGACATGGATGATGTCGACGACAGCCGCAGGCTTGTTGGCCAGTACACCGCCACCCGTGCCCAGATGGACGAGTTCGCCACGGGAGATGCCATGGAGGAGGATATTCTGATGGATCGCGAGAAGCAGGCCCAGATCCAGGCTCGCGAGACGGATTACCAGAAGCGTCGCTTCGAGCGTGGTACCGGCGACGAGGAGGGCATGAGCTACAAGGACATTATGAAGAAACGCGAGCGTGAGCGGGAAGAGCGCGAGAAACAAGAGAAAAAGGCGAGAGGCGAGCATGTCGAGGAACATGAAGCGACTCTGAAGGACGGTGGCGACAAGACGCCCACGGAGAACGGTACCAACGGCGCCACGGCTGGCCGCAAGCGCAAGAAGCGATGGGACGTCTCGTCAGAGGACGCCGCCACTAACGGCACGAACGGCGCCGTCGAGTCTGAACCCAAGAAGCGCTCCAGATGGGACCAGACTCCCTCGATTCCTGTTCCCGGTGCTCCCGATGCTACTCCCAAACGCAAGTCGAGATGGGATCAGGCACCGGCTCTGGGTGCCACACCTGCCGGTGGTGCTCCTGGACTCGCCACGCCTGTCCACCCCTCCCAAGCTGGCACAGTTCTCTCTTTTGGAACCGACATTTCTGGACGCAATGCCCCCATTTCAGATGAGGAACTCGACGAGTTACTACCCGGCGAAGAGCAGGGTTACAGGATCCTCACACCTCCACCAGGTTATGAGCCTGTTCGCGCCCCCGCAAAGAAAGTGGCAGCCACTCCCGCGCCTACAGCCAGCCTAGCTGGTGGCTTCATGATGCAGGAGCCCGAGAACGCCCGAGCCCTTGGAAAGCAGCTTCCCAACGAGATCCCCGGTGTTGGTGAATTACAGTTCTTCAAAACCGAGGACATGCAATACTTTGGCAAGCTCATGGATGGCCAAAACGAGGAGGAGCTGAGCGTGGATGAGATGAAAGAGCGCAAGATTATGCGGCTATTGCTCAAGGTCAAGAACGGCACTCCACCGATGCGTAAGACTGCACTTCGCCAGCTCACCGACAACGCCCGCAACTTCGGCGCCGGACCTCTGTTCAATCAGATTCTCCCCTTGCTCATGGAAAGGACGCTCGAAGATCAGGAACGCCATCTTCTCGTCAAGGTCATCGACCGTGTTCTCTACAAGCTTGATGACATGGTCCGGCCTTACGTCCACAAGATCCTCGTCGTCATTGAGCCGCTGCTCATCGACCAGGACTACTACGCTCGCGTGGAGGGTCGCGAGATCATCTCCAACCTTGCGAAGGCTGCTGGTCTTGCTCACATGATCAGTACGATGAGGCCCGATATCGACCATCCCGACGAGTATGTCCGTAACACTACAGCTCGTGCCTTCGCGGTTGTTGCCTCGGCCTTGGGTATCCCTGCCCTTCTTCCCTTCTTGCGGGCCGTCTGTCGAAGCAAGAAGTCATGGCAAGCTCGTCACACTGGAGTCAAGATTGTCCAACAAATTCCTATCCTGATGGGCTGCGCCATTCTGCCCCATTTGAAGGGCCTTGTCGACTGTATTGGCGACAACTTGAACGACGAGCAGACTAAGGTGCGGACTGTCACGGCTTTGGCCATTGCCGCTTTGGCTGAAGCTGCGAATCCTTACGGTATCGAGAGCTTCGATGACATTTTGAACCCGCTATGGACTGGGGCTCGTAAGCAGCGTGGAAAGGGCCTTGCTGGTTTCCTCAAGGCTGTTGGCTACATCATCCCCCTGATGGATGAGGAGTATGCCAACTATTACACTGGTCAAATCATGGAGATTTTACTCCGCGAGTTCTCTTCGCCCGATGAGGAGATGAAGAAGGTCGTGCTCAAGGTCATCTCCCAATGCGCCAGTACAGAGGGCGTTACGGCCGGCTATTTGAAGGAGAATGTGCTGGACGACTTTTTCAAGAGCTTCTGGGTCCGTCGTATGGCTTTGGACAAACGCAACTACAGGCAAGTTGTGGAAACAACCGTCGACCTCGGCCAGAAGGTTGGTGTTAGCGAGATCGTCGAGCGCATTGTCGTCAACCTCAAAGATGAGAGCGAGCCCTATCGCAAGATGACGGTCGAGACGCTGGAGAAGGTCATTGCCAGCCTTGGTGCTGCCGATATCGGTGAGAGGCTGGAAGAACGCCTCGTTGACGGTATCCTGCATGCGTTCCAGGAGCAGAGTATCGAGGACGTTGTCATGCTCAACGGCTTCGGTACCGTCGTTAACGCTCTTGGAACCCGATGCAAGCCTTACCTCCCTCAGATTGTCAGTACTATCCTCTGGAGGCTGAACAACAAGTCGGCCACTGTCAGGCAGCAGGCCGCCGATCTGGTCTCCCGCATCGCGCTCGTTATGAAGCAGTGTGGAGAAGACGCGCTAATGGGCAAGCTCGGTACCGTTCTGTACGAGTATCTCGGCGAAGAGTATCCTGAAGTGCTTGGTTCTATTCTGGGCGCTCTCAGATCCATCGTCACCGTAGTGGGCATCAACCAGATGCAACCGCCTATCAAGGATCTTCTTCCACGTCTTACTCCTATCCTTCGCAACCGCCACGAAAAGGTGCAGGAGAATACGATCGATCTAGTTGGACGTATTGCCGATCGTGGTCCCGAAAGCGTCAATGCTCGTGAGTGGATGAGAATTTGCTTCGAGCTTCTGGACATGCTGAAGGCCCACAAGAAGGGCATTCGTCGTGCTGCTAACAACACGTTTGGTTTCATCGCCAAGGCAATTGGTCCGCAGGATGTCCTTGCCACCCTTCTCAACAACTTGAGGGTGCAGGAGCGTCAGTCTCGTGTTTGTACTGCAGTCGCCATCGGCATCGTGGCCGAGACTTGTGCTCCCTTCACGGTTCTTCCGGCGCTGATGAACGAGTATCGCGTGCCTGAGCTCAACGTCCAGAACGGTGTGCTGAAGTCGCTATCCTTCCTCTTCGAGTACATCGGCGAGATGGCAAAGGACTACGTCTACGCTGTTACGCCGCTTCTTGAGGACGCCCTCATCGATCGTGACCAGGTTCACCGCCAGACAGCCGCATCCGTTGTCAAGCATGTTGCGCTAGGCGTTGTGGGTCTAGGATGCGAGGATGCTATGGTGCACCTGCTCAACCTGCTCTACCCCAACATTTTTGAGACCAGCCCTCACGTCATCGATCGTATTATCGAGGCCATCGAGGCAGTCCGTGTTGCTGTCGGCACTGGCGTGGTCATGAACTACGTGTGGGCTGGCCTCTTCCACCCCGCTCGCAAGGTGCGACAGCCATACTGGCGCCTGTACAATGATGCGTACGTCCATTCGGCGGATTCGATGGTGCCATACTACCCCGACATGGGCGATCCGAACACAGTCAGGCATGAGTTGAACATCATCCTCTGAGCTTCATCATCTTGGGTGACTTATCTTCCTTGAGTCATGGCGGGCGCAGAGCAACTTTTTTTTTCTCATCTTCCAAGCGGGTATATTGGCGAAATGAGCGAGCAGGCTATTCCTCCCCACTTGTTAATTATCGGTACATGGGTTTTTCATTCACTTTTCTACGGGCATATGGAGAGGGCTCCTTTTTTTTGTCTACTGATATAAAGTGGGAAAGTGGGTTTCTTCGTTTCCTCCGGCGAAGCGAGTGCGTTGTGTAAGGAAAAGAAAAACGGGTTAGCGATGGGCTTTTTTTTTTTTCACGGATCAAGGGAGATAGGTAGTGGAAATACGATAGACGATATCGTAACCAGGACAATGATCATCCTTTCGTGTCTAGTAGGCTGTGGCGATCCTGTTAGGTCCCAGGAAATAGTGTGGGGATTAATCCTCGTTCGCATTTTCATACCTATCCAACGTATTTCGTTTGCCAAAGAAGTGGCTATCGTTGAAGTTGAGGCTTCGTGGCTCTTGTACGCTTTTGCCTCTAACGTTTGGGGCTCGCTTCCCAGGCATATCACTCCTCTGCTGTTCTCATGGACTTCCGACGAAGAGGAAACCAAAAAACGAGAGCCCTACTATTTACTAATGCGATTTTGCACCGCTCGGGGCCCGGAAGACGGTATTCACTCGTGCGAACGGTTGGGATCCGGCTCAAGGGCTAAATTCGGCCGTCTAAAAGAGGCGTGCCATGCCGCTGTGTGCTCTTATTTCTTTAGTATGGTATAAGAAGAAGAGTAATGTGAGTCTTCGCGCGAACAATGAGGATACCGGAAAAACTATAAAGGAGGCCGATTCGTGGAATGTCTACTGCCAAAGAAAATGCTGGCTGGCATAATCATCCAAGGCAAGGGATGAATACACTTGACGGTGAGTAAAAATCCTTTCCGGCCTGTCCTGAGTCAAGAAATTCTTGATGCTGGCGCAGCTAGATAGCACAGTAGACTTCTCACTTGCATATCGAGTAGACTCCTGAGCAAGCAAAGGGAAGTGCGACGCGTCATTGCTAACGTACTGCAATAACATAGTCGAAACTCAACATCGAGCTGAGGGACGTTGAGTATCTTTGCAAGAGTAATACGCCACAAATACGTATGTCGTCTCCTGGCCGAAGACTACGAAGACAGACGGGTCCGCGCTGGTACTGAAGGATCCCACGACAGGTGATGCCAAAAGAAATACCTACAATGGCAGCTTGGAGGCCACAGGTTACAGTGGTATCTCTCGGGGAGTTGTTATAATTTAAGGATACTTGATTCCTCCATATGAAAGACCTTGAACGACAAATACACTACAAGATCAGGGGGAAACCAGCCTATACAGTTGCTTGCATCTTTCGCAAGATTTGTTTGATCGAATCTTTATTCGAAGAGAAACAAGCAGCTGGGATTCGCTACCAGGCCTGGCAAAGTTACACGGCGACTTTTCAGAAGTGTATACACCATATGTAGATGACACAAGTTCTTCAAACCGATTGGGCGCGATCAATATGGGGGCATATATCCAAATATATTATTATGCGTGATTACTATTATAGGTACGTACGCTTCATGTCTCATTCCAAAGTCATTGCTGACGCATAAGACATATGCTTACTTAGAAGCCGTGATCACGCAGCCAATCGGAAATGACATGGTAGCCGGCAGTCGCGTTGTAATGCGTTGTCAGACCATGCCCAGTGTTCGGCTGGATGTAGGCTAAGAAGTCCTCTGACGCGACGTTGGGGAAGGACCGCTGGACCTGGGCGGGGATGGACGGGGCGGCGCCGCCCGTCTCTAGGCAGTCTCCTCCGCAGAAGGGAAGATCGGCGTCTGCACGTGGCTGTGTCAGCACTCATTCGATGGGGAAGGAAAAGAAAAGGCAACACGTACCACCCGTGAAGACGAGCACTGGGCCATCAAAGTTATTCTGGGCCGGGGCGCTTGCGAGGGTCAGGAGCTCGCCTACGGCCACTGGCTGCTTGGTTCTCTCGGCAAGGGCCAGAATGTCGACGTCGAAGAAGGGCGGCAGCAAGAATTGGTACTGATTGGCGCCCGAGTTCGCAGGAGTGATGTATCCGTCGGGCAGGTCTTGCGGTGCCGGCAGGGCGGTCAAATCGATGGGCGATACCCAGTCGTACAGCGGGCTGGATTCAAACAGGAAGTCCTCGACCGTGGCGGCAAGGCTGGGGGAGCCGAAGCGCAGGGGCGCGTTGATGGAAGCCTGCTGGAAATTGCCGCCGGCGAGGAAGAAGGCGTTGAAGCTTGAGTTGAGGGCGAAGCCGGTCAGGACGAGACCATTGGTAAGACTGGGGTAGCGGGCGGCCAAGATGTACGACTGGATGCTGCCGTACGAATGGCCGACGTGCACGACGCTGTCGTAGGTTGTGTTGACGTTCGGGAAGCTGCCGTTTCGCACCTGCTCGGTCAGGGCGCGCAGGGCGGCAACCTCAATGTTGGTCTGGATTTCGTTGAGCGGGTCGCCATGCTGCGACTGGCCAATGCCCAGTCGGTCGTAGCTGAGGGTGGCGAAGCCAGCATCTAGCGCGGCATTGACGTAAGAGTAATTGAAGTCGTGGAAAGAAAGGTCCCAGTAGCTGAGCAACGGTCAGTGTGGGCGGCCCTGACATCCAAGGGTATGTACATACGTCTTGTCAAAGCCAATGCCGTGGGTCAGGATCTGCAAAGTTGGCTTGTCCGAGGTGGTCTGGTCGTCCCAGCAGTACTGCGTGCTGAGATTGTAGGTCCCTCTGATGGTGTTGTATCCGGTCAGGGCCTCGTCAGTGAAGTTGTGCCCTTGACGGGTCATGTTCTGGATGAACCACGTGACGTCGATGTTGCTGTGAGGGATCGTGTTGGTGTCGAAGACGGCATTGCGGGACTCGATGTCGACCGGAACCGTCTGGTTGAGGCACTGCTTTGCGGCCGAGGCCACCGAGATGAGGGCCAGGCCCGTTGCAGCAGCTTTGCCGACCATGTTGGTGAAGTGACGGTGGAGTAGAGCGTCGACTGCAGCACGACCCGGGGCTTCTTATACACGAGCGGGATCTTTTCATTGAGCAAGCGCCCGAGCTCCAATTGAACGTTTTCTGCATTTGCTCCGTAACCTGTGGTGCGATTGACATGCTGAGTCAGTAGTGATGTAGGCCGGCGATCTCTTTGGCAGTTGACAGCTGCGTCTCGCCGTCATCATTGCGCAGCACGGCAAGCACATCTACCTCCGGTAACAGACGCTTCTCTGGCCCATGGACCCGGGAAGAAGATGACGAAGCTGCTTGGTAAGAGGCAAGTCGACCTTCGGCCAAGGCTGGCGGGAGCCGGAGGAGCCGGACCAGAGCGTATGGACGGGGAGAGCCGAGTTGGATTTGGAATTGGGCGGTGAGCAAGGGGCAGGTTCTGGCTGTACTGAAGGCAGTTGAGGATTGTGGGGAAGGAAAGCCGTTGGCCGTGCGCGCGCCGGCGTCGAGGGCGGGAGGCCAACGGCGCCACGCCGTGTCGTCATCACCCGGCCTGGCGTCAACCTAAACCTTAGGTGCACACGAGGCCGTCGACTGCTCGACGAGGCTCTGTGCGAGGCCGGCGTCGACTTCGACGGCCGGCCCAATGCCGGCGGTTGCGGAGATTGACTCGAGCCAACGTGCTGATCAGGGAGTATTTGAGATAGATTTTCGTGCTTGGACGTCGGGCTGCCTCCTCGGCGTGAGCATGCGTGCTCTTGTCAGCTTACACCCCCCCTGCAGAAAAACCCAAGCTTGATTACAACTACTCTACTTTGTAAACAATTCCTCGTCGCCATTATGACACCAGCCCGCACCCCTGGACTTTACAGTGAATGAATGCTCGGCTTTTCAATGTGCAGAACCCATCCAACGAACCAACGCCTATCACAATATGCCGATGCCCGTCGTCTACCTGTCTCTGTCCTGAGATTCGGGACCAAGGGAAAGGGGGTCCCGGAAATGTATCGAAAAATCAAACGCCGCACATGCCCCGAGGAATCCCCTTATTCAAACGTCATCTTCATCTCTTTCTCCTTTCCCCATTCCGCCTCGTCGTCATCCGCCCATGCATTGTGCTCAAAGCTCGCCAAGTTGACCGGCAGAGTGCTCGACGTGCGCAGAGGCGGCCTCTCGACGCTGGGCGAACTCCACGTCGACCCTGTGTGCACCGCCCCGTGACTCGATGCCGGAGGAGTCTCGTACGAAGTGTCGAAAGTCATCGAGATGTCGCCCTCCCACCGGTCGGGGTTCGCGTCGTACTCGGAGCCGTCGTAAAGATGGGCCGTCTTGCTGCCTTGGTTGTGGTCGATTGTCGAGTCATTGAAACTCTGTGTCTGCCGGAGCTTTGAGCGTGGGCTCTCCAGCGTCATGGGTGGGAGTGTGCTCTCAAGCTGCTTTACCTCGATCCCCTGCGCCGCGATCTCCGCTGCCTCTTGCTTGATGGCCTCCACGTCGAACAGCACGTTCTTGTTCTTGTCGTCGTCTCCTGCCCTCATCTTCTCGTCGTACATCTCCCACTCCTTCTTCTCCGCCTGCTTCTTCTTGAAGAAATTCCACCCGCTCTTTCTCTGCGGCTTCTGCTCCATCTCTTTGCGCGCTTCTTCGATCTCGTTGATCAGCTCACGCTGCCTTGCCTCGTGGTTGTCCGGATCCGGATCCTCGATCTCCGCAAACTCGTCGCTTTCCACCGCCCACCCCATCTCACGCAGCAGACGAGGGATCGCTGCACGATACGCCATGTGCCCGTTGACCATCTCCGTGACGTCGAAGTTTTCAATGCCGGGGCAGTCAACTGGGGCAAGCCCCGCAACTTTCATGACGCCTCCGCTGGTTGCGCGGAAGAGGTATCCGAGGATCCAGTCGTTTGTCGCGTAGCCGTTGACGAATCGACCCGCAACAACCGATCTGGCCTTGAGATATTCGTCCTTTTTCGCCACCATGGGCGAACCGAACAGGAAAACATTCTGAACCAAGCCATACGCTCCTCTCTTTGAAAGCTCTTGTAAGCACGAAAAGATGACGCGGGATCCCAATGAGAACCCGACGAGCGTAGCAGGCCGCACGCCCAGGTTCCGGTCAATGAGCGAATCAGCAAGGATCAAGCCGGCCAGCTCGGCTCGTGCCAGTGACACATTCCATGGGTTGTCGATGAGGTACGACAGTTTGGTAAGTACGATGGGAAGTTGCAGCGCACCCATGAGCGCGACGAGGATGGTGCTGCCAAGAACTTGCTGCAGACCTTGAGTGAGGGCCTAATAGCTGTGAGTTTCCGACTCTGTGGTTGTGAAAAGGGGGGCCCTTACCTCTGTTGCTAGGATATTGATGGTTTGACCCATGCTCTGCAACATTTCCGGCTCCCAAAAAACCGAGTAAATGTCTCCCATCACGGGATCCACCGTACTGAATGGCAAGCGAACATCGTCAACCTTGCCATTCATCCATCCAGACACCGTGATGACCATGTTCACCCTCTTATTGTTGTGCAGAGGCCGGTACTCGAACGTCTTGACTGCCCCTGTTCGCCGGTTCGAAGCTCGCACACCGACAGTGCTTCCCGTGACCACACCGGTAGTAGTGATGATGGCTGCGCCACCGGCACCTGCGAGGAAGCTGCTGGTGCCAGCAACACCAATGGTTGTGAATCCAGCCGCAAGACCCGCGCCGATGACTGGGGCGAGGAGACCTGCCGACAGGCCGATGACCAGTCCTCCTCCAACCGTAGCCAGACCCATCATCACCAGTCGTCTATTCCTTTGCATTTTGGCACGGCTTTCCAAGTGCCCTTCGTCGCTCCAATTTTGGTCGTTTGCTGCCTCTTGCATCTCGAGAGCGTCGGTGACGCGTTTCTCGAAACGACAAATGTCAAGATCGGGTACCTCCAAGTATTTTCCCACCTTCTCCAATACCTCCCGTGAGCGCGCATCATAGACAGAATCAGCAATCAGTACGAGGAACAGATCGCACAGAACAGTCCATCGCAGATCAATGTCAATATTCTTGGTTGTGGGGAGCTGAGAGGGGGTGCGGACTTCTGGCATATCTTCCCCACCATGGTCCTCATAGGGCGGAGGCGCTGACGAGCCTGGAGTGTCTGGGACCGGAGTAGATGGGGCACTTGAGGTTGAGCTAGGCCGCGGAGATGACACGGAGGGCCGGCTCGATGCGGTCTCCTCGGCCACGGGATTCTTCACCCGTGCATTCTGCATGAGTGCCGGGGTAAGGTCGCTAGGCTGGACCCCATGCTCTCCCAGTTGTTCGATCATAATCTGCTCCGCCGACTCGATCTCCATGTGACTATACAACCGAACCATCATCTTCTGGCTCCACATCTTCATAGCCTCGGAGGACATGTCAACCTGCTTCTTACTTGCTTTCGTCCTCTCCAGCTTCTCGAGTTCCTTGACCATTTCCAGCATGGACAATCTGACGACTCCGACGTATGCAATTCTCTGACCCTCGGTAAGCAGGTCCTTGGTAGCCTGCATCTGCGACAGCGGATCCCGCGCTTCTTCGTCGTCATCCTGGACGTTCGTGCTTTTCCCTCCCTTGAACAGATATGCCGTGTTGTCGTCCATGCTCGTGGCCGATTGCGCATCCTCGTCAATTTGGACCCTGGTGTATCCTCTTCCGGCGCCACCCAGGGCGCCGTACTCCACCTCTTCATCACTGAAGTCGTCTTTCTCGCGTGCGATCAGCTTGTTATCGTCGTTATACATGTCATACGAAGCGTAAGCGGGCATGTCCTGCCATTCGCCGTCCCAGTCGTCATCTTTCTTCTCTTTTTTTGGGGCTAGCTGCTGATACGACCATTCTGACACGGCGCCCGGCTCCGCATACCTATGATCAGATGCAGACGCCTCGGCGAGGACGTCGGGTGTGGCCTCGGCGCGCTTGTCGTCGCTCTGCGCCGTTGCAAGCTCGCCTGACGGGGCCGATTTCGTGTCGACCTTCACGGCCACATCGTCGTCGTGAGCATTGCCCTGCGGCGTCGGCGAAGCCGAGGCAGAAGCCGGCGCCGCGGGCGCTGTTGCTCCCCATGCATTTCCCGAGGCAGTTTCCTGGTGCTGCGCCTCTTCCACGGATCTGCGGAGGTTCTCCTCGCTGTCCTCCGAGATCAGGCGCCGCAAGGGCTTCTTGCGTATGGGCAGACCAAACTCGTCGAGCTCGACGCTCAGACCGACAGGGTCCTGCTTCGGCGGCGCTTGGGCGGACTGGGGAGCTACCGGCGCTGGGGGCTCGTTTGCGGCGGCGGCGGCGGCGGGAGGAGGAACAACAGGAGCGGCGTCCGAGGACATGATTGTCCTCGTCGGGAAGCGGGGGAAAAGATCGGCGGGACGGGCGGAGGGAGGAGATGGAGGACTGCGAGCCGGGTCTCAAGGGCTACGAGGGAGCGGGAGTCGGCATTGAAGGTGGTGGTGTTGGGGAGCGGATTGTGTTCGCAGAGACAAGAGAGGGCCTGGTCATCCCGGGCTGTCTGCTGCCCCATCCGCTGGGCGCTGCCCCTGCCCTTTGAGACATTGCGTAGGCAGGCAAGCACCGGACCGGCGACGGCGGTGCGCACGGGCCAAAGCTTATCTTTTTGGGTCCGGCTGGTTTTGCGCTGCGACGCTGCACGCAACAAGCGCGTGCCCCAGATTTTTTTCCTTCTGTGAACGTTCACTCCTAGACGCAACCGTCACCATGCGCGGCAAGCGGGCGAAGCAATACCGCAAGTTGATGCACCAATATGCCCTCACGTTCGGCTTCCGCGAACCATACCAAGTCCTGGGTGCGTCGATTCCACCACCATCCGCTTGCCTGCGCGTCCGACTAACCTTACTGTCACAGTCGACTCCGAGATCGTCCTGGACTCGACGCGCATGAAGATGGACCTTGCCGGCTACCTCGAGCGCACCCTTCAAGGCAAGGTCAAGCCGATGATCACGCAGTGCTCGATGCGCCACCTATACGCCTCTAAAGATCAGGACGCCATTGGGAAAGCCCAGGCCTTCGAGCGCCGCCGCTGCAATCACCACACCCTCGACGAGCCTCTCTCCACCCTCGACTGTGTCAAGTCCGTGCTTGATCCGAAAGACTCCAAGACCAACAAGCACCGCTATGTTGTTGCCAGCCAGGAGCAGCGCCTGCGTGCCTACCTGCGCAAGATTCCCGGCGTGCCCCTGATCTACATCAACAGGAGTGTCATGATCATGGAGCCCATGGCCGGCGCCACCGAGGACGTGCGCGACAGGACGGAGACGGAGAAGTTCAGAGCCGGCCTAAAGACGCGGTCCACTGCAACGGTTGCCGTATCCAAGAGGAAACGGGATGACGACGACGAGGGGAGCGATGGTGACCAAGATACGGAGATGAAGGATGCGCCCGCACAACCTGAGCCAAAGAAAAAGAAGAGGAAAGGACCCAAGGCCCCCAATCCATTGAGCGTCAAGAAACCTAAGAAGAGACCGGAGCAACAAGGCTCGGCCAAGGCCCTTGCATCTGATAACGCTGCCGGTGAAGGGACAGTATCCGAGGAGCAAACCAAGCGGAAAAGGAAACGGAAGAACAAGGCCAAGGCGGACGAGGACGCACTGGACCGAGCAAAGCAAGTCGCGCAAGAGGCATGATGATGTTCTATTTGGTCGGCAGTTGCTCTGCCTGTCTATTCGTTTCTTCATTGCCGGTTGACCAAGACCATCCCTCCATCGTTTCATGATTCCCAGTTTCCGTTTAGCCATTCAGCATTGCCCGGCGTTTTTGGTAACGGGCACGGTGCTCGAAAAGGAAGAGAAAAGTCCAAAAAAGGGTATTTAGTGTAGAACCAAGGACCAAAAATAATACCAAAGTGCTTCCGCACGTTCAAATCACGTAGGCCCTTCAGTCAAAAGTGTGTTCATCAAACCTTCTTTCCTTGCGCCAAGAGATCCGAGACCTTTGGTGGCAGCACGAGAGCGCTCCTGTCGTTGCGCTTCAGAAACTCGATGACGGTCTGCGCGCATTGATCTGGTACGTCTTCTTGGACGAAATGGCCGGCCATTGGGTAGACCTGAAGCTGAAATTTGCCTGCCGCTCTGAGATTAGCAAGCAGCATGTGTGAGGGGCTGTCGTAGTCATGTTCTAAGAAAGGACGCGGTCCAATGATGAATAAGCTGACCTTGCATTTGCCCAATCATGAGCTCCTTGTCCAAGCGATCCGTGCCCGCGAGGAGCAGCAGCTTCGCACCCCTTGCTGTGAGGAACTTGCTGCTCATGCCCTCGAACCAGTTCGTCCAGTAGGCTTCGGTCTGAGCCAAGTCCGTCTTCCACACCCACTTCCCGGACTCCAGTCGCCGGAGCAAGCTGGGCACAGACGCACGTGCGCTTTCTGGATTGCGTAGCGTGCGGCTGCGGATGTGCCATTCGATGGCGGCTTCTGGAGAAGGGAAGATGGATGGCCGCGTCGACAAATACGTATGCATGTGCTTGAGGGCGTCCATGGCTGAGCCCTCAACCACGTCCAGCACCGCGTAGCCCATCACGTTTACGCCCAAAACACCGCTCTTTGCCGCCTCAACGACGACGGCGCCACCCAGGCTGTGCCCGACCAGCAGCAACTGCGGCATCTGTGCCCAGCCCAACTTGGCCGCCGTGAGATGAATCATCCGCGCCAGGTCGGCACTCAGGTTAGTGACGGTCATGGCGCCGTCGATGCCGCCGTCCCCGTCAAGTACGATGGAGCCGTGCTCGCGCGCCTCGACGGCCAGCACGCCAACCTCGGGCATCAGCCGCCGCACTTCGAGTGCGAAGAGCGCCCACGTAAGCGCCGACGAGCCTGCTCCGTGATGCAGTACGAGAAGCGGCGTTTTGGGCGTGGCTGGCGGCGTCACGTAGACGTGATACTGCGCGTGCTCGCCGGTGACCTCATTGCGATGCTCCAGGAACAGTTCCTGCGCGAAGTACCGCGTCCAGTCGACGTTAGCGGCCGAGGCCGCGGTCGGGGCGGAGGTGACGCCTGGCTGCTTTTGCATCGACGACGGCACGACGGTGCCGGTGGATGAGACGGATGATGCGGAGGACGAGTCATCTTCAACCAACTGTTGTTGGCCGGACTCTTCTTCGAGGATGTCGGCGATCTTCTTGCTGTTGCTGGGTACTTTGCTGCCCAGCTTCGTTTTTCCGACGGTTTTTGCCAGGTCACTCATGCTGGCGGTGTCTCGGTATCGCGGCTTTGGTGCGATAGTTGAAGCATTGGAATGTGCGATGGATTGGTATTGATGCTCGATGTGAGGTGACGGCATGATCAAGCATCCATATCGATAGGTGCACGAGCCATATGGTGGCACGACCGCATGCCGCCCGTTAGTAGTGGTTGCCGCTGTTTCCCTCCGTTTGCCGACAAGATGATGCGGCGAATACATCTTCGTTATAAAAGAGGATCGCTAGTTTCTAAGCGTCTATACATTGGAATGACTTCGTAGGATAGCCTCTGGCTCAACATGCTTTCCTGGCGTATAGCGCAGATCGACTTGCTTACAGGACAGCCTGATGTTCAAACCACACATTTGAATACCGGGTTCCCTCTTGTCCGGGTGAAATGTTACTGCACTTTAATCAGTCCAACAAACAGGCAAGAACAACACAGGCAATCACTTGGACAGGTGGCATGAGCAAGAAACATTCATGTTTGCCGAGAGCGATATACAACCCATCTCGATGCTGCACAAACCGGTTTGAATTACAGAAGTGGTATCCGTCATTAATCATGAAAGCGAGACTACAATGTCGTTTCTTTTTGTTGTGTTCAATCCAAAGCCCAGCCGAAAGAAAAGCAATGATTGTAGCGAAGGGGGTATCAGGTCGTTGTGTGCCAGTTCCAGTCCAATCCAGTTGTAACTATCCCACCCGGCCCCAAAACGGAATAAAGCAACCAGGCCGTTGGATCATGAACCAAATGAAGGAAAGCGAAATGAAATACACCACTACTCATCTTCAGACGACTCATCGCTGTCATCCTCGTCGATTCTCCCGATGAGGTTCCCGTTGTGGCTGACTTTCTTCGTCGCGCCACTTCCCAGTTGCCAGGCGCCCCTCGCATTCAACTCGATGAGGCCTTCTTCGCACAGCCACTTCTCGAGCACACGATCCTCATGCCATCGCTCGACGCCATATATTTTCGCATCGCCGCCCTTCCGGTCTTTCTCGAAGTGGCGACCGACGTGTTCCATGCGCTCGTCCCAGCTGCCCGGGCCCTCGAAAGACCGGTTGCAGAAGAGACATGAACTGCGAGGCGGAGGGTCGCGCAGCTTCAGATAGCACTGCTTCTGGAAGTCGGCCATGTTATCCTCCGTAATGGGAGCATCCTTTGGGGGAGGGCTGGAGCAGGAGCCGCTCTTGTTGCCGGAAGCTGCGTTGCTGGGTGCCATGTGCATGCGGCGCAGATGCTGTGCGAACAGGTCTTTGCGGTTGAAGTCGTTGTAAGACGTAGTGGCGCCGCCGTCGAGTGTGCTTGGGCATAGCTGGCAGCGCCAGAAGCCGAGGCGGATGTGCTGCGTGCTGACGTGCCGCTTCCATTCGTTCTTGGATGCAAATGTGGAAGAGCACGAATACCCTGCGAAGGGACAGGGAAAGGGGCGGTTCACTGAGTTGCCGTCCTTAGAAGAGGAGTTGGACTTGGAGGAGTTGGATTTCGAGTACTTCGCGATGCGACCGCGCCCGCTGCTGGCGCTGTGAGAGGTTTTGCTCGAGTTGCTGCTGCGACGGGCTGTGCTTTGGGAGCTGATGCTGGAACGAGACGTCCGGCGGCGACGCTGCTTATTGCGAGGCTTCCAGTCGGAGTCGGCTTCATCTTCGCTCTTGACGACAGGCTTGACTGACTCAGCGTCACGGACGCGGATGACGTCCTCATCGTTTAGATGGGCACAATGATGTTCATCGGTTGCCATTTTGCCGTTGAACAGGATGGTCTCCTGTTCACAGGCAAATCCCATCTTCATGTCATGGCAATCCTCATAGTCGAGGGCCGGCTCGGTCTCTTCGCAGGGAGAGGGGTATGGTTGGATGTCTGAGAGAGTGCAGGAGCCGCCGGCACCAAGCGTCGCTTCCTCCATCGAGTATACAGGATACGCTTTGTAGTCGCTGTAGGTTGTGTCCTGGGAAACGTACGGCGGGCTGCTTCCGCGCTCGGGGGAGCCGAAGCTGTTGATACTCAGATCGTCTTTGTGCGAGATGTTGTAGCTGCTGCTTGAGGATACGGACCAGCTAGACCGGTAGTTATCGGGAGACTTCTGCCTCTCGGGGAACGGCCAGGGCGCCTGGGGGTCGAAGCAAGGCTCAAGATCAAAATGCCGATGCTCACGGTCGGCGCTACTGTCGAGGTGCTGAAAGACATTTGTCTCGAAGAGGGGGCGTTCAGGCCCGCTCAAGTAACGTTGCATGGAGTGTCCTGGCGCTGTGTCCAAGGCCACCTCGGAGCCAAAAAGGGTTGCTCTCTGATTGGGACGTGCACCAATCCAGGGAACATCCCGATCTGGCCACCGGTATCCATCCTGGAGATGGCCTGCCGCATTGAACTGGATCTCAGGAAGGTCGCTGAATGCTGAGTAAGGGTGGTCCATTGTGCATGTAAATGCAGAGGGAATCTGCACGGTAGCAAAGGCAGAGTGCAGCAGACGTATAATAGTGGCTCAGGAACCAAAGGACATCAAGCCAATCTGCGAAGGAGCAATAAGAAAAGAGGTTTTGGTCAAAGCGGTTCGGCAGGAGCGTACCGTTAGTGCTTAGCTTAGGGAGCCTTGAGCACACTCGGCGATACTTATACAGCGTGAGTGCGGTGTTGGTTACTCAATACGGCGGAAGGGAGGGCGAGGCGGAGCAAGATAGACCTCTGGGAAAGTGATGGGTCTGAAGCTAAGAATGGATGGGCTGTCAAGCGTGTGCTCCGCCCTGAAAGTTGTGTATGTGTATCAATGTCCTGCATGGCAACGACTCCCTGGATCGCGCTCTTATGGCGGAGGCCCCACGGTACGTCTCGCAGAGCCGCATCGACGCACCCTCCCCCAGTTGCACGAGCGCCAGCATCGGCTGGCAGTGTGCCGCAAGGAGCAAGCCATCGACACGCGACCCCTGCATGCTGACCGGTCTGTGTGCTGCGCTCAACATGGTTTGGGGATAAGCCATTGTGGCAGAGTCCCGCTGTCCCACCACAACGGACTGCAGATCCCGACATGGGCTACTGATCGGGCGCAGGTGCGTGAAGACTCTGGAAAAGAGGGCGAACGGGGCGGGTAAGAATTGGGGAACCAGCGCCGCGCCTGCGTCTCTGGGCTGATCCGTGCCGCTGATGGCTGACCAGCGCACTGCTGGAGCGCCTCGCGCGCGAGAGGCCGGCGGAGCTGTGCGGCTGAGCCTGCTGCAAAGGACGCGCGCGGGACTGCGGGTGCGCCCATTCGTGCCTTGGGAGGGGTTGGGGCCAGAAGGACGCAAGAGGGCGTGTCGGCGACGAACGAGATGTTCCAACCCCCACGGGTTCGCTGCACGCCGGTCGTCGCAATCTCGCGCGCAAAAGCAAGCACGGTCGAATCCGGGCGTCCCGCAGGCGGGGGGCAGGCGCGACGGCTGCTGGAGAGGTCGAGCGGAGACGAGGCAAACAGAGCCGCCAGCAGGCAGCAAGCTGGGCGGGTTGTGCACCACCGCCCTGGGGTGAAATGTCTTGGGCGGCTGATGCCTGGAGCAGCCCTCGGCTGTTGGCCCCCATGCTCTTATCCATTGGACGACGCTGCACCAGCACATGCACTGAGCGCCCAGTGGGGCGATGCACATTTTTCTATTATCCATACCGACGGCTAGCTATCGTTAGACAAAGGAGGCTCTGCTGGCGCTCCGGCTCGAGTGTGCCTTGTCTGCCCCAGGCCGGCTGGCCTTCGATCATCCCGCATGCTGCCCTCGACCCGGAGCTTGGCATGCATGCGCGCGCGGGAACCACCGGTCAGCCAAGGCACTGTGCGCTGCATGCTGTTTGCTGCTCCGCCCCGTCGCATTTGCGTGGCTGACCTGCAGCAGGCCAATGGCGACGGTTGCTGTGATCTTCAGGTCAACTTCGCCAGCAGCCGCTCCTCGACGCCCTCGAGGATCCAATAGTGGTCCACCACCTCGAGGTTCTCCGCCTCGTTTTGAAACAGCTTGTCCGGGTCCTGGTCTGGGCCCATCATCCCCGCAGGGTTCATCTGCGCCATCTGCTGCGTCACTTGGCTTGCAGCTGCGGGAGTTTGCTGTTAGCTTCCGGGCAACCAGGACCCTGCGGGTGCCATGACGTACCGTTGTTGCTGCCCAGAATGAAGTTGTAGACGGGCTGCAGTCCAAAGAGTGTCAGGAAGTACCACGACAAGCTCGACACCCATTGCACGTCAAGGTCGCGTGTACCCACGCCCGATTGGAGCATCGACTTGAACTGCGGCGTCAACGGGAAGGGCAGCTTCACTGTCACCAGGTCAGCCGAGAACATCGCCCCGTCGCGTCTGGGGCCATTTTGTATCATGTTGCAACGGCGGCCATTCGCCCTGGCAGCCCCCAATTCCTGGTGTATACCTGCCACTGTGCAACTGCTTTACCGGGAACCACTTACAGATGACGAATCCTGAGAAGAAAGCATTGATCCATCCCATGATCAGTGTCTGCGGAACCATCATGGCCACGTTGCCCTTCATTGCGCCCATCATGCCCTCCATTGCTGCGGGGTCGCTCATTGGGTTGGGTCTAGGCTTTCCTCTGGCTTCAGGATCGGCAAGGAAGGCACCGTCCTTGAAGGCAGATACGAGGTAACTCTTCCGGCTCTGGAACGACGACGGGGACAGGACATTGCTGTTGGAACGCAAGTTGACGCCGCGCATGAGTGAGCGGTGCTCGCGCAGTTTCGGAAGAGTCTGCTTTTTGGGGGTTGTTTGCAGCAGCACCATCGCATAGTGTCGGAGGACGCCTGTGAGGACCTGGAGAGGTCAGGAATGCGTGTGCATGTTCGCGGTCCACGGAGAAAGGCGTACCATGACCACCGTGATGGGCAACAAGATCCACCAACTGCATCGACTGTTAGCTTCTTCCAAGCCATGGTCTCGGTCAACGCTTGCGAGCATACAATAGGGAGGTATCCCGATGGATTGTCTGCACCAGCGGCTGCGCCATGATGCCGAACGTTGGGCCGATCGTGTTGTAGAGCTCGAGGTTGGTCTGCGATGGAGGAAGGCGGCGCCGTGAAGTGGATCATTGGAAGGCGCGGGCGCGGCTCCGGCAGGGATCCGCGGCCGGAAGCTCCGTGAGAACACCTTGTGCTTCAACCGTCAACAGACCGTTCCATGCAATCTCGCGCACCAGAGCTCTGCACCGGGTCCGCTCACTGCTCGAGCCAATTATTCTTCAAACATCGCAACCATGCCTGAACAGCAGAAAATCGCAGTTTATTCCATCCCCGGTATGACGCGTGCCCGCTAGAATCTACTATCCAACGCGAACGCTGACGCTGCGCATACAGACCTCAAGAACACTACCGATGATGCGCTGCCCAACTATTTAAACTCACTCAAGTTCCGCCAGTCTCATGGGCTGACGGACGTACGCCTCGCTCTCGGCTACACGGCCGTCATCATCGCCGGCGCTCTCTTCTACTTTGACTTCAAGTTCGGCTGGGACGCTACAAAGGCATACACTGGGCCCGCTGTGGTGGCATACTTTGTCCTGAACAGTGCTTTCATGTACTGGATGTACTTTGTGGAGAAGGGCATGGTGTACTCGGGTGAGAAGGATGGCGTGAAGGTATGCAACCCACAAAGTCCAGACGGATGCAATTGGGCAACTCTACTGACAATCCACAGCTGGAGATTGCTTCGCGAGTCGAGAAAAGCATTCCGATCTACCACCTGACCGTCCGCTTCGTCTCGGGGGACAAGAAGAACGCCAAGAAGACCCTGTGGCAGGAAATCCACATCAGCGCTCCTTTCACCCGCTGGTTCACGTCCGACGGTTACTTCGCCACCAAGCCTTTCCAGCAGTTCATCGCGTCTGAGATTCCGATCGTCGGGCATGCGGATCCGAACAACGTGGTCGAGGAGATTGGGCGCGGTTCCGGCTCCACCAACGAGATCCGTGTGGACGGCAATGTCCAGGATGTGCTGAGCCAGCTGAAGGCCGCTGGCGCCAAAGCGAGGAGGAGGGGCTGAGGAAGGATCTCGAGGAACGTGGAGGCGTTACGAGTTGTGGGACCTGGGTATCGATTGCTTGCATTGCTTTTTCTTCTATCTGATTCTTGGGCACGGCACGTATGAGCCCGGATGCATGCACGTCCGTTGCGGAGAGCCCGCCAAAATCAAGCACAAGCTGAATGTCAAGAGCCGTCGTATGGCGCATTGCTACCCAAGACCAGGTTGGTATCTACATACAGAGCGACATGCTCGTCACAGCTATGAGCAAAAAAGATTCGAAGAAAACAAGTAACCCCCGCGCCAAGACCATGCGCCTATGCTGCAGTGTGAATACATTTATGCCGTAATAGTCATCCAGTGTAGTTTCACTCGTCAAGCTCCATCATGCTGAGCATCTCCAATTCTGTCCTGACGACGCGTTCGAATTCTTCACGCTGGATTCCGGCCGATCGGGCCAATCTGTACAAGCTTTTAATATCGGTGCTGATATGCTGTTTGATGGCAACTTCAGCTTGGGAAGAAACTTCCGCCGCCTGCTCCATCCGCTCAATCGAGCCCGATAGCGAGGAAGCGGCCGATTCGGGGCGTGGGTGGTTGATCTCGTTGGTTGTGTTTTGTTGCGCCGGCGGCAGCGACGAATCGTACCCTCCCGGACCGAGGTTAGTCGACTCCAAGGGTTCGACCTGAGGCTGGCGTTCAGTAACCAGCGAGTTTCCATTGAGTGTGGACTCGATAGACTCGTCAACCTCTTCGTCCGGGTCGTGCGCATCCAACGCGGGCTGCACTTCCATGGCGTAGCGAGCGAAATACTCGAGCTCCGACGCTGACGGCATCTGCACGCTCGAGCTAGGTGCAGGGGAGCGCTTGGCAGGTGTTCTAGCAGGGGTTCTTCCTGGAGTCCTATCGTAAGAGTTCCAATAGTCGTCGTCGTCGTCGTCCTGCTCTTCTTGGTTGCCGTGCTGCTGCTGATAAGGCACGCTGCGGGCGTTGGGACTGAGCGTGTCTTGGCGGAGAGCATCCCGAATGTACGCAACCTTAGAGCCCTCGTTGGCTTCATCCATGCTGTCAAACCACTCGGTGCCATCGTCGATGTCCTCGAGAGCACGAAGTTCGGTGAGCCGCCACCCCGGGCCGCCGCTGGACTCGTCCGTCATGCACCAGAGGTATATCGGCACAAGTTTAAACTCCTCCAGCTCCAGTCTGGCCTCGAGGGTCTCCTCATCCCTCCGCCTGTATCGGACACCTTTCACGTCCTCAAACTCGATTTCGCCCGAGGATGGATGCGGCTCGATCTCGAGGTTTTCAACAACCTTCGGGAGGTTGCTGGCCCGTTCTTTGTCCCACGAGAGGAGGGGCAGCCATGACTCGTTCGGGCCGTTTGTGATGGAGAGAAGTTGAACACGCTGGCGCAGAATCGGCGAGAGAATGGGAAGCAGAGCTGGCGGGGGGCGGGGGGACGCGAAGGCGGTCGGTAGGCATGCAAGGAGCGGAGGAAGCAGAGTTCGAGGCTCCGGAGGCGGGATGAACTGGACCATTATCGTGGCTGAAGTTGTCGGTGGAGGTAGCGTGAGAAACGGCGGAGGATTTGAGGAGGGCGGGAGCTAGCAGATTGTCCTCGTGAAACAGTAGTAGGTGGGACGTAGCAGTCACATGCAGATCGACAGCTGTACGATTCTGCAGTTTCTGCTGAAGGACGGAGAATTGTATGAGGGCGAAGAGAGTGGCGGGGTGCGAAGAAGAATAAAAGCCCCGGGCTAACGCTCGAGCCGGTGGGCAACGGGCAAAAGTCACAGGTGTTTGGTACCATCTCGAACCCCTCTGGATCCTTTCGCCCGCGCTGGGCCAGGCATGCAGCGGCCCATAATGACGCTTGCCGTCGATTTGCCGGACGCGTCCGAGACATCCCTGCGCGCCCCAATCGTGAAGTGCCGCCCCAGGGTCCGTCCCACTGCGGAGACGAATCGCACGCGGGGGTTTGCTAGCCAGAGACGAGTCTCTGGCGTCATGGTGGCCGTACTATCTATGTTCTACAGATGTGACGTGCAGCAGATGAAGCTGTCAAGCATTGTGCAAGCTTCTGAGCAGTATCGCACGAAACCCCCCAGTCATGCCAATGGGCGCGTATCTCGCGCCGCGTCCCGCTCGTGGAGCTATCCCCTGCATTGCTCCACTTGTCGCGCATGCACCTACTCCACACGAACGAGCGCGATGCTCGAGCGTAGCTCCGTGTGCCACCTCTTGTCCAGCAGTTGGGGAGAGCCGCCCGTCTTTGGGGGAAGATTGAGCAGCGCTAGAAAGAAAAGGTTTGCATCGGGTTGCTCAACAAAAGCGGCGAGCGGAGCATTGCGGGCCGTGTCATTCGCGCAACAGGCGGGCGGCACCAGCTAGGAAAAGCCTCGGCGGAGGGGATGCATCTTCTCTCTGCGTGAGTGCCTGAGGCAGACTGCCGGCACCCGGCGCGGCTGGAATGCTTGGCTAGTCAGGAGAACCTCAGGCATTCATCAATAGCTGAGTCGACGACGAGTGTTGCTGCAACATCAAGCGCGGCGGATTGAACGCCGAACGGGCGTTGCTTCAACTCGTCGCGTCGGGTTGCCCAACGGCATTCCATGGTGTTGCTGACACGGTCGCAGGGAGGCTGGGCCCGCTGCACTGCCCTGGAATAATATCCTAGAGGCAATCTCGTCGTGCAGTGATGGGTGATGCTGTCGAGGATCGCCAGACCGGCTGCGGTTGCCGGCTCCACCGGCCGGCGGCAGTTGGAGAGCCTCATTAGGCAGGGCAGAGCGGATCTTGCTGCGCTAGGCGTGGCTTTGAATTCTGAGCGGTTTCATCATTTCGCGTCCGCAGCGCTGTGCGGTGGCTGAGCCGGCTTTTCTGCACTTTGACGTTGGCCGCCCTGCGCAAAGTCTGCCTTGGAGGGTCGGGCCACGCTTGTCTGAGCTTTGCGCTGGTGCTTGTCGCTAAGCTCGAGGGCAATGGCGCCTGATGGATCCGCAGGCAGGCTCCCGCAGCGCGATGTCTTGGCTCTCGCTCCAGCTGCTCGACGCCGCCTCGGGTCAGCCTCGCGTGGCCGCTGCGCCCGTGCTGTGACACTGGTTAACTGGAAGCTCACTGCCCATGTCACCCTCAGACATGCCGTCTGCTGGCGCGCACCGCTTCAGCTTTCTAGAAAAGCAGCTGCCATCCTTGCCCAGCGCGCCTGTGCCTGACTGAGCCGCGGCTTCCCACCACTTCGCCAATCGCCTGCCCTACGACAAGCGCCCGCAAGCACGCCTCCGACTGTCGCTCCGACATCTGAACTCCGCCGACCGCAGTCGCGCGTCTTGGATCCTGCCCCGCCGCCGCACCCACAGATCGACGCGCGCACCTCTGCTGCCGGCGGCTAGATGCTAAATCTGTCATATCCCTGGTGGGCCCAGTGATCTCCGACAACAAGAATGCGCACACCCACGCCGACATCATGAACGACTTTTACTCGGCCTCTGCTTCTGCCGAGGCCTACCGCAACCCGCTCTACCGCCCCAGTCACTCGCGCAGCAGAAGCTCCCATAGTCGCACCTCGCAGCACTCGCCCGTCGAAGACATGTCCATGCCCTATCATGACAGCTCGATGCGCCTGCAACCCCTCGACTTTTCACAACCAAAGCCAAACAACCCGTACCAGGATACGCAGATGGCACAGCCCTCCTTCAACCCTTCTGCTAACAACCTGTCTCCTTCCATTTCGTCCTATCATGAGCATACCACGCCTGAGACCCTTCTTTCAGATCCCGTCTACACCGACATCAGCCAGTATACGACCCCGGGCTTCGACGACGAGCTTCTCGAGGCCCAGGTGAACATGGAGTTTCTTTCCGTTGGTGCCATGAACACCTTCAACGCCAGCTTTCCCGACAGCTCCGTGGCCTCCCGGAATTCGTCCGGGCCCAGCAGCGTCAATGCTTCCAACAACAACCTCCTGGCTCCTACTTTCTCCGCAAGTTACGGGGGGGCTACACATCTGGTGTCGCCGAGTCTAACGACCCACTCAAGCCCAGGCTCTAGCAACGAATGTTTGGCAAATCCATCACTTGTTTCAGCACCAGCCCTCAATGGTAACGCCGCTCCAAGGTCGCTGACGCCTGGTATGGACGACCACTCGCACGGCATGCCGATACCACAGCAGCAACAAAGCCCGGCGCTAACGCCAAGTCCAGGTGGCGGCTACCTTGACGTCCCTCAGGACCGCTCGACAAACTTCCCAAGCCCTGTTGTCCGAATCGAGAACTTTAGCAGAGACGAATCACCAGCTCGCACCGACCTCGACCGTAGTCTCGGTAACAAGCGATCCGGCAACCATCTGTCCCCGCATGACTTGGTAGAGTCAGATGATGACGAGTCTGGGCAGTCGTTCGTGCGGGAGGTTCCGATCCGGACGGTGCAGGTCCCGGCACCGTTACGTGACGAGGATGGCTCATGGATCCGCAATTCCAGCTCTGGACAGGCTGGACTACACCCCGATGTGCGGAAGGACATCCAGGATCAATATGTTCCTACCCTGAAGGAACAGGAAGACCAGCGTCTGATGGAAGAGAGAAACCACGATGTCGCCGAATGGCTCACCAAGAGTGAAGTAGGGAGCGAAGCCGGCGGGCCCGAGAGCCGACCGCGCCGCAAGAAGCAATCAGCAGCCGGACGCCGGAGGGCACGTAGCACAAACGATATTTTATCTCGCTCAAAGGAAGGGTTGGGTGTCCAGTTTCCTCCATTCAATATTCCCGGACCAGGCCTGCCTCTCAACGTCGAATCGGAAGATGAAGATCTTGGAGCTTCCGAAGAAGATGACACCAGTGACGGCCCAGATTCCCCACCGGCTCAAGTTGACATCGAGCATGATGGGGATCAAGGCTCCTATTTCCCGCAGATGCCGCCCACCATGGAAGACGAAAACCTCCCGCCGCATATCCGCCCATGGCGTGATGCTCCACGTCGTTCGGAGCCGTCTGAGATGAAATACCAACCAGAAACGTCCAACGCCGCCATGATGAAGTTCCATCAGCGTGCTAGAGACCTGGAGACTGCCTCGCTGGCAGTGACCGTTGGCTCGCAGCGTCGCAGAAGCGAATCAGAGATCGGCAGTGTACGTCAAGCTGCCGGGATTTCGAAGGCCATCACGACGACCACCGAGGCGGGCAAGCCTAAAGAAAAGACACGTTCAAGGAAAGGGAGCCTATTGGATAATCTAAAACGTCATCCCAGCAATATCCTCAAACGCAAGGGCAGCCATCCAAGCCATCCTTCGCAACAGGGGGCAGCTGCCCCTTCACCACCAGCGCTGTCGCTCGAGACCTCGGTCAACGTCCCACCCGAGCGCACAAGCAGCTGGGGCCGGTCAAAGTCCCCAAAGCCCGACAGCAGCCCCACCGCCCTCTTTAAAGATCACGGAAGCCTCGCACCGTTTACATATGCGAAGAATCGCATACGCAGAAGTAGGAGCCGGAGTGATATCGGCAGTAAAACGCCAGGTCTGTCGGAGCTCATGCGCACACATGGTGGTCCACCGACATTGTCCTTGGTGACACCAGCGAACACTTCCGATGCTCAGAACCCTGGCTTTCGTGGTGCAGAGGGAAGTGGTGATGAGGACGATGGCGATTTTGACGAAGTTGGCGGAGTCACTATGGACCTCAAGGTCAGGTCAGACCCCATCATACCTACGATTGAAGGATTCCGTTCACACGCACGCCTGCTCAACCCACGGGTTGATGAATACATGGTCGAACGGATAGCCCAAGAGCAGCACCGGCGGTACAAGAAGTTGCTCGATCTTAAGGTCAAACACCTTAAAGCGGTCAAAGAGAAGAGCTGTGGGTCGAAGGGCTTCTGTGCCGATCTAGGAGGCCATCCCAAGATCCTTCCTCCGCCTGTGAATAAGAAGGATGGCGAAGCTCCCTTTGCTGGCTTCCAGATCGTCGTCTCCTCCGAAGACGAGATCGATGCGTCCGAGGAAGGCACCATCATACCGAAGCCTCTCCCCCCCGGTTTCCCCATTCCGCCTGTCAGGCGCATGCCAGCCGAGTTCGAATGTCCGCTCTGTTTCAAGGTTAAGAAATTCTTCAAGCCCTCAGATTGGACCAAACATGTGTACGAAGATCTCCAGCCGTTCACGTGCACGTTTCCGAACTGCGGCGAGCCCATGTCGTTCAAGCGGAAAGCTGATTGGGTTCGACATGAGGACGAAAGGCACCGTCAGCTCAAGAGATGGATTTGCGAACGGCAGGGCTGCGGGCATGTGTGCTACCGCAAGGACAACTTTGTGCAGCACCTTGTACGTGAACACAAGGTACCAGAACCAAAGGCCAGGGTCGGGCGGGCGGCAAATGCACCAAGCAGTGTGCAAATCGACGTGGGCGCCTGGAAGACAGGGGGGGATGTCTTCGGAGGTGCCGGCGACATGTCAGACAAGATTTGGGCTTTGGTCGAGGCGTGCCGGCAGGACACGCCCAAGCAACCGAGCCAGGAGCCGTGCCGCTTCTGCGGCAACATCTGTCCGACGTGGAAGAAACTGACGGTGCATTTGGCAAAGCACCTGGAGCAGATCAGCCTGCCGATCCTGCCGTTGGTGGAGAACAAGCAACTTTCGGCGGACAGCGTCATCAGCCCCGTGGAGAGGCGTCGGCCAAGGGCGGCTTCGTCTGCGGCTGAGAACGGGAAGCAGGAGAGCAGTGCCAACTCGAGTTACTCGAGCTACAACCAGGACGGGCCGCCGGCGAACGTCATGCACACATATCCGCCGCCGCAGTTCCAGCATTACGGACCTCAGGCTCCGGCAGCAGTGCCGTTCGGGGGCGACGTCGCATCGAGCTTCACGGTGCGGTCATACCCGCTGCCGGCGACGGCTCACGGCATGCGGCTCAACCCCAACCAGTACGGCTACCCGCCGTCGATCACGCCAATCACGGACATCGCAGCGGCCGGGCAGGTGTTCCATTCGCCGGTCGAGGCCGGGCCGTTCGGCAGCGAGCTGCCGACGAACCTCTATGCTTACAACGGGCCGATGGGGTCGGACTTCGCAACAATGGCGGGACAGGTGCAGGGCGAGCAGGTGAATGGCGGGCAGTACCAGCAGCTACCTTCTTCATACCCTAGGCAACGGCAGGGCTTTCCAGATTACGAATATTGATTTAGTTTTTTCTTGGGTTGCTTTCTTTTCTCGGGCGGGGGATGGGGGGTGTTCTGTTTGGCTGGCTTCTACGATATCCCCAGGGCTCACGACGTGGCGAACCCTTTCTAACGGCCGGGCGATACACAGCGGATAGGAATCTAGTTTTTTCTCTGGCAGGAATGGCATTCCTCGTCGTGAGGCGGGCCCGGATGCGGCAAGTCAGCTCGCATTCCGGCCCCCACGCGCGGCCCCCAACGAGTGCGGCGGCTTCTTCGAAGCTTCGCTGCAGGTACGCCGGGCGAGGGCAGCAGCGCAAAGGGCGCGAGGGCTCTGGAGAGCTGGTGGTGCCGGCCGGGCCAGCAGGTATGGGAGCGCTGCGACAAGTGGGCGGGCTGCGGCAGGCAGCAGGCAGCAAGCGTCTCTGCCTGCGCCCGTCACCCGCTGGCCCCGGCAGCATCAGCATGCATGCGTGTGTCTCCTTCCCGGCTGAGATCTGCCTTTGCTTTTTTTCTTCTGCTGCGCGCTGCAGCCCATCTCGCACAGCCTCCCACGTCCGCGCCCTTTCGTCACACCGGCCTCCCGCCCAACCCACGCCAGCCCTCTGCATGCTTCCCTGAGCCCGCGAGGCCAGGCGGTGAAGGCGGCGGAAAGTACTAATGCGCCCAGCGGCTCGCAACCACTGCTCCCCGCACAATCCACCAAGGCTCGCGACCATTTCTTTCATGGCTCTCGCGCCGGCCGCCCTGCTCCGCGGCGCAGCCCTGTTCTAGCAGCACGTTAGCGCTAGCTTGGTAACTCGCCATGTCGCAAAACAGGTATCCGCCCTACACGACCTACGACGCCGTATGTAGCCTTGCCCACGCTCGCTGCGCCCGTGCATTGACGCCTTTGCAGTACTTCAATGCTCCGCCTCGGGCGTTTGAGAAGCAGATGGAGCCAGGCATGCAGGCAATCCTAGACTCCAGGCACCCGATGCCGAGGCCTTTCGACACCTTCACCTATCCCGGCTACGAAGGCTCGTTCCAGACCACCTCGCCGGCAATTGACCAAGGCCTCCAGGCCCTGCTGAGCGCCAACAAGCCCCACGCATCCGCTCGCGACACGTATTCCAACCCCATCGCCAGCTTCTACCACGATGCCGACGGCCCATGGAACAGCGTCCGCGCCACCAGCCAGGCCCGGGGCTCCACTGCCAACCCCACGCTGACTGTGCCCAACCTGGACTACAACAGCTATAGGGATGCGCCAGCATCCGAGATATCAGACTCGGGGTACGCCTCTCAAGCCGCTGCCTCACAATCCATCGTGAACACAAACACAGAGCCAACCGACTACAACAGAGAGTGTGGCGATCTCCCCGTGCAGGTGAACAGCTTTTCATTCACGCCCACTACCCACAGCTCCCCTGCCTATGGCTCCCCGTCCTTCCAGACCCGCAACCCCGACAGGACAGGCATAAGGTCGCAATCCCAGAACACTCTGACATGCACCCGCTGTGGTGAAGTTGCAAAGTGTCGATCCGACTTCAAGTGTGTACAGCCCCCATGCGCAGTTGGTTCCATCTCCGCTTACCCTCATGACGCAGGAAGCACCAACTCAAGCACACCAAACCATGGGTCTGCGATGTGCCCGACTGCACTCGCAAGGAGGGCTTCACTACTGTCAATGATCTCCAAAGGCACCAAAAGAGCGTGCACAGGATGGGCGGCATGACCAAATCCTTCCGCTGCGTTGCCGATCGGTGCAAGAACAAGGACAAATTATGGCCACGGCTGGATAATTTCAAACAGCACGTCCAAAGAATGCACAAGACCGACAATATGGACGATTTGATTCAACGGTATGCATTCGAACATATTTGTTCTGCGGCGCTAATCGGAAACAGTTCGCAGTGCTCTGACCCAAACCCACCCCGCACCAGATCTGTGTCACCAATTGATAACGCTCTGACCGAAATAGACTCAAGGTCTAGCAGTCCGGATTTGACCCATCACAAAGACTCTCCGTATCTTGCAATAAGCCCCGATCGGGATGAAGCCGAATCCAGTCGTCTTGCCCCGGATGTGAAGTCCTACCCAAGACCGCACCAGGGGAAACTCCAGCAGTACCAAGGTAACCATGAGCAACCTCTTCATATGCCGGATGACCAGAAGCCTGCCCTGAGCCCACGGCCGGATGCGCCCAGGCTGAAGCAATCAGCCGCTGCAGCAACAACACGCCAGACAGACGCCAAGAACAATCCAAAGTCTGGACGATCCAAGAATCAATCGCTCAAACGTACATCCGCCACTGAGGCTGAGCAACCACGGCTATACGGTCAGCTCGCCAACGTCATTGCGTCAAAAATCGCCAATGGCGCCTCAGACGAATCGTTGAAAAAGCGTGTTCTGAAAGCTCTGCTGGAAGTGGATCCGAACGAACACATTATTGCGGCCACCAGCCACCGAAAGAGCTCGGCAGGAAAAGAAACCAGGAATTCGAGGCATGCTAACAGATCGCCACCCGGTTTCCGAGGGCCGGATGGAACAGAGACAACCATCTCCACAGCCGAGGTCAAGACGGCTCTAGCAACCCTCTCTAAAAAAATGAGCCAGAAACCTAATGCCGTGGGAAAGCGCATCAAGTGCCGGATGTGTCCGAAACTTTTTCGGATTCCGTCTGAACTGAAGTAATTCCTCATGCCCTCTACATTTTTCCGCACGCTGACAGAACCGCTACGATAGCAAGCATCAAAAGCGCCACACCAAGCCGTACGGATGCACCTTTTCCAAGTGCTTCAAAGAGCTTGGTAGCAAGCACGACTGGAAGCGGCATGAGAACAGCCATGGTGCCGAATCCGAACGCTGGCGATGCGAGCAGCCATTTTGTGATAGGGCAAGCCTCCGTCCATCCGCTCCGCCACTAACAAACGACGACGACTCCACTACCTCTTCAGATGCTACCCCAAAAGTTTGTGGTGTCATCTTCTACGATACGACCGCTTTCTCCGCCCACCTCCGCTCCCAACACTCGCTCCCAGAGCCGCAAATAACCACAGAGCTCTGTGTTAGGCGTATCGGCCGCAACAGGCAATCGCGCTTTTGGTGCGGCTTCTGCGAGAGCATCATTGTGCTTAAGACGCGCGGAGATAATGCGTGGGACGACCGCTGCGACCACATCAACTTCCACTTCAGCCAAGGCGAACACATCCGCGATTGGCTAGATGTTGAAACGAACAAGCGTAAGGGCAGCCTCAAGAGGGATACGGATTGCCGTACCTCGACTGACCAGGGAGGTGATGAGCACGATGACGAGGGTGACAGAAGCGACGGTGGAAGGCCGGACTCTCCAAGAATGTCGGCCGAGGGAGCGGATGACTTGATTCTGACAGCGCCGAGAGATAAAAACTGCGGCGCGAGTGACGGTTGCTTGACCGCCATCGCGGGGAAAAAGAGATCACATGAAGAGATGGAGGCCGGTGGCAGCGACAGTAGTCATGCTTACGCTCGTAGTGATGAAAGAATGTATCAATCGCAGAGTAAAAGCAGGGAAGGAGAGACTTTGTTCTTCTGCGTAAGTCTGAATCCAGTTACCGTCACCCTCTGCTCCCCCCCCCC